GTACGCCTCAACTTGTGAGGCCGCGTGATATTTGTGATGATCGTATCGGTATAGACCCCGTGTAGGCCCGATAGAACGTGATCATAACAGGTCTCATGTGCCTGTAGAGTGCACTGACTATAAAGTCCAGTGCCCATAAAGTCCAGTGCCCGTAAAGTCCAGTGCCCATAAAGTCCAGTGCCCGTAAAGTCTAGTGCCTGTAAAGTCTAGTGCCCCAATATCCCTATATGGCTCTTTTATTTTATCCTATAAGGTCCTTCCTGTAAGATTCCCATATAAAGCTCCCTATAAGGTCCCATCTATTAGATTCCCCTATGAGATTCTGCCCTATAAGGCTCCCCCATCAGAGTCCCACTTATGAGGCTCCCCCGTGAGGTTCTCTGTGAGGTGCTGGGATGCCATTTCAAGCTCCAATGGCTTCTGAGGCATAGCCCACTCTAGTTGCTAGCCTGTAAAGTCTAGTGCCCATAAAGTCTAGTAATATGGCTCTTCTGTGATATCCAATAAGGTCCTTCTTATAAAATTTCCATATACATATAAAGCTTTCTATAAGGTCCCATCCATTAAATTTCCCTATGAGATTCTGCCCTATGAGGCTCCCCCATCAGGGTCCTACCCATGAGGCTTCCCTGTGAGGTTCTCTGTAAGGTGCTAGGATGCCATTTCAAGCTTCAATGCTAAGGCATAGCCCACTCTAGTTGCTAGAGTTGCTAGGAGCACCAAGACATGGCTTACTCTGCTCACCCAATTTATCATGGATGCTTGCTTTGCTCACGTGGTTGCTTATGTGGCCTACATAAGTGTAAGCAAGGACATATGACTTGAGCTATTAGCCCAGTGCCACCATTTCTTATTGTCCCCTTTTATTTATTATTTATTTACATAAAAAAATACCTGGAAAAAAAACCAAGAGCCCAGAGTGGTTGCCAAGCTAAGCCCTTGCTGAATGCCCCCTCATATTTTACCTGAAGAAATCACTGCAAGACAGTGCCAGGGGAAGAGAATTCCCTATGCTTAGGTTAGCTCCGGGCACGCACGCGCTGACCAACTCCGTTTCAAGCTCCGACATGCTCCGTTTCACCTCCCGAAGCCTATGGGACAGTGGTCTCGCGTGGTTTGTCGCGTGGGATTAGCCGACGGCTAGTTGCCACCGGACCCCTACTGTCGCCCTCTATATAGAGACTAGCTTCTCACCCGTCGCGTTGCGACGGCGCAACCATGCTTAATCCGAGTTTTTGCTACAGTGCTTGGTCCGATGTGTTTGTAAAGTCTAGTGCCTGTAAAGTCTAGTGTTCATAAAGTCCAGTGCCTATAAAGTCTAGTGCCTGTAAAGTACAGTGCCCGTGCTTAATCTGAGTTTTTGTTGTAGTGCTTGGTCTCATGTGCCTGTAGAGTGCACTGACTATAAAGTCCAGTGCCCATAAAGTCCAGTGCCCGTAAAGTCCAGTGCCCCAATATCCCTATATGGCTCTTTTATGATATCCTATAAGGTCCTTCCTGTAATATTCCTATATAAAGCTCTCTATAAGGTCCCATCCATTAGATTCCCCTATGAGATTCTGCCCTATAAGGCTCCCCCATCAGAGTCCCACTTATGAGGCTCCCCCGTGAGGTTCTCTGTGAGGTGCTGGGATGCCATTTCAAGCTCCAATGGCCTCTGAGGCATAACCTACTCTAGTTGCTAGCCTGTAAAGTCTAGTGTGCCCATAAAGTCTAGTACCTTAATATCCCTATATGGCTCTTCTATGATATCCTATAAGGTCCTTCTTATAAAATTTCCATATAAAGCTTTTTATAAGGTCCCATCCATTAAATTTCCCTATGAGATTCTGCCCTATGAGGCTCCCCTGTAAGGTTCTCTATAAGATGCTAAGATGTCATTTCAAGCTCTAATGGCTGCAGAGGCATAGCCCACTCCAGTTGCTAGGGTTGCTAGGAGCACCCAGACATAGCTTACTTTACTCACTAAATTTGTCATGGATGCTTGCTTTGCTCACATGGTGTCTTATGTGGCCTACATAAGTGTGAGCAAGGACATAGGACTTGAGCTATTAGCCCAGTGCCACCATTTCTTATTGTCCCCTTTTATTTATTATTAATTTACATAAAAAAAATACCTGCAAAAAAACCAAGAGCCCAGAGTGGTTGCCAAGCTAAGCACTTGGTGAATGCCCCCTTGCCTGAAGAAATCACTGCAAGACAGTGCCAGGAGAAGAGAATTCCCTATGGTTAGGTTAGCTCCGGGCACGCGCGCGCTGACCAACTCCGTTTCAAGCTCCGACACGCTCCGTTTCGCGTCCCGAAGCCTATGGGACAGTGGTCTCGCGTGGTTTCTTACGTGGCCCACGCGAGCATAAGCGAAGACACGCGACATGAGCCGCCGGCCCAGCGCCACAATTTTGCAGTGTCGCCCTCTATTTACTAGCTTCTCACCCGTCGCGTTGCGACGGCGCAACCATGCTTAATCTGAGTTTTTGTTACAGTGCTTGGTCTCATGCCTGTAAAGTCTAGTCTCTGTAAAGTCCAGTGCTTGTAAAGTCCAGTGCCTGTAAAGCCCAGTGCCTGTAAATTTTAGTGCCTATAAAGTCCAGTGCCCATAAATTATTTTGCCCTAATATAGCTCTCTGATTATATTCTATAAGGTCCTGCCCATAATATTCTCTATATAAGACTCTCTTGTCAAGCATTATTTAGTTTCTCTATAAGGTCATACCTATAAGGCTTTTCCATAAAGTGCTGGGATACTATTTCAAGCTCCAACAGCTGCCAATATATGGCCCATATAAGGTTCTCCTATATAGGTTCCTTTATTATATTCCCCTGTTAGGTTTCTTTATTATGCTTACCTATTATGTTCCTCTGTCAGGTTCCTCTTGAAGATCTTGCCAGTGAGGCTCTCTTGTGAAGCTCCTCTATAAGGTGCTAGAATATCACTTTTAGTGCCCATAAAGTCTAGTTCCCATGATATTCTATAATGTCCTGCCTATAAGATTCCCCTATAAGGCCCCTCTATGAGATTTTGCAAGATGACATTCAAAAGATTCCCCTATAAGGTTCCTCTGCCAGATCCTGCCTATATGGCTTCCCTATTAGGCTCCCTTTTCATATTCCATGAAAGGTTCTGCCCATAAGGCTCCCCTATGAGATTCTGCCCTATGAGGCTCCCCCGTGAGGTTCCCTGTGGGGTGCCAGAATGCCATTTTGAGCCCCGATGGCTGCCGAGGCACGGCCTGCTCCAGTTGTTGGCATTGCCGGGCAGACCGGGATGCCGTGTGAAACCCCGACAGCTGCCGAGACATGGCCCGCTCCAGTTGCCGAGGTTGCCGGGTGGCTGAAGGGACAGCTCGCTCCGCTTGCCAAATTTGTCATGGCGCTCGCTTCGCTCGCGTGGTTTCTTACGTGGCCCACGCGAGCATAAGCGACAACACGCGACATTAGCCGGCGGAGTTTTGCCACAATTCTTCACTGTCGCCCTCTATATAGGGACTAGCTTCTCACCCGTCGCGTTGCGACGGCGCAACCATGCTTAATCTGAGTTTTTGTTACAGTGCTTGGTCTGATGTGTCTGTAAGTGCCTGTAAAGTACAGTGCCTGTGCTTAATCTGAGTTTTTGTTGTAGTGCTTGGTCTCATGTGCCTACAGAGTGCACTGACTATAAAGTCTAGTGCCTGTAAAGTTCAGTGCCCATAAATTCTAGTGCCCGTAAAGTCCAGTGCTTATAAAGTTCAGTGTCCACAAAGTCCAGTGCCTATAAAGTCCAGTGCCTATAAAGTCCAGTGCCTGTAAAGTCTAGTGCCTGTAAATTCCAGTGCCCATAAAGTCTTGTGCCCCAATATCCCTATATGGCTCTTTTATGATATCCTATAAGGTCCTTCCTATAAGATTCCCATATAAAGCTTCTTATAAGGTCCCATCCATTAGATTCCCCTATGAGATTCTGCCCTATGAGGCTCCCCCGTGAGGTTCTCTGTGGGGTGCCAGAATGCCATTTTGAGCCCCGATGGCTGCCGAGGCACGGCCTGCTCCAGTTGTTGGCATTGCCGGGCAGACCGGGATGCCGTGTAAAACCCCGACAGCTGCCGAGACACGGCCCGCTCTAGTTGCCGAGGTTGCCGGGCGGCTGAAGAGACAGCTCGCTCCGCTCGCCAAATTTGTCATGGCGCTCGCTTCGCTCGCGTGGTTTCTTACGTGGCCCACGCGAGCATAAGCGACAACACGCGACATTAGCCGGCGGAGTTTTGCCACAATTCTTCACTGTCGCCCTCTATATAGGGATGGATTGTCAGCAATTGTCGACAATGTCCGACAATTGACGGCATTTGCCAGGAATTGCTGAGATTTGTTAAAAAATAGGTGTTTTTGAAGTAAAAGTTCTGATTTTTGTCCGGGTTGGTCCCTCATATCTATGTCAAGTGGGCATTTTTGATATCTTCTTAAACTGCGTGTGATGAGCTGAAGTTGAGTACATAGGTAATATCTAACCCCTGACGCTGGGTAGCACTTCGGTCTCTTTCAGTTAATGTCCTTAAGACTCCACAAATCAACGACTTTTTAGGCTTTTGCTCTTACTTCGAATTCAATATTCGCTACTGAACCCTCACCTTATAGAGGGAATCCACAGGCTTCTATGTTCGTACTATGTCAAAACCTCAAACTTGAGTTAAAGAGGACTGACGTTCTGCGAACATCCGTAACACCCGATTTCGTCTTCATTGACGAGTCCTGTACTAAATATTGAATAGCAACAACAATAATCTTCAAACAAAAAGAAACATAAATTATGTATCCAGAGGTTGCATGCATCACAGATGTGCTCGGTACAGACAGCAAATAGATAGGTTGCGGTGGTATTAGAAAAAGAGAATGCAGGTTATGATGCAGGTTATGGTGGTATGGGGGGGAAATGCCGATGAAATAGAGAACCAATCGTTCTGGAACGAGTCCCGGGAAACTGAATAAAATAACGGAAAAAAATGCACAGGACACAAGAGTAGACAACAACAAGATAAAAGTCCGAATGAAACAAAAAATGGTGAGCGAATGGTGAAGTGTAAAGTGAGAACAGGAAATAAGAGGATGTCATATTGATCACGACGCAGAGGCGGGCTGGCCTGTAAGAGAGCGGCCAGCCCAGGTAAAGAGTTGTCGCACGTCTCCAGCAGGAGGCGTGTCAGCTGGTTGTTTTGGCTCAACGAGCAAACTACGAGCGATGTTGAGTCAGCTGCGACACATCACGCCAGCTATAAGTGAAGCTCACCTGCGACGATAGAGGTCATGCAGATCGCCGTGGTGAGGGGATTTCTCGAAGGCATGATTGAGGTATGATTGCACTTCAGGAATCTCCTTCAAAGTGTATGGCACTTGGAAGCGCTGCATGTCTACAAGAGCGTTCGTTGTAAATATGAGTCCACCCGGCGCAGTTGCCAAGCATACCTTGGACAATCCGGGCCATTTTGTGGTATTTATTAAAATTGAGCAATTTCTTTTCCGCGGCCATCGGGGACGCGCGATGCGAAGGGTTGCCCTCACGACAAAAAGTCACGTCGGTTAGGTAAAGGCCTGCAAAGAAGATCAACTGAACTGCAGACGGAGATAACAGAAGGATCGACATACCTAAGAAGGGAACGGCGGGAGGGGCCGTATTCCTCAATCGGCTACGGTAATCGCGATAATTCCTGGCGTGATCGGCGAGCTTTCGAATCGCATCCAGCTGCAGCTTCTGCTTCTGCGGAACTCCCTAAGAACGCCGGATGCGCACTACCAGTCAGATTCAAGCCAGATTTGGAACAGAAAATACGCACGATCCACGTCTGATGCAACCGAGAGATTGTGGATGAATCTAGCGCAGCCAAAATTGAACGAGAGGTGCTGAAGTTGGAGAGCGTTGTGCACCGCTACAAAACGAACATCAGGTCAAGGAGCACACAAGCGCTGAGAACAACGTACGTCGGCAACTTTGATGAAGAACTTCACCAAAGTCGTGCGTTTCTTGATGTCATTCTCACTGAGAATACTCTCCGCTACCCAACCTGTGATAACAGTACTGAGGCTAGTCACGGCCTTGACATTGACGGGTGCTTTCACGCCTTCTTGGCCGCTTTCCAGAACCTCCTCCGGTTGTATAGAACAGAACAAGTTACACTCCATGATCGTTAGCTGCCGCGCGAGCTCCAGAGAGTCAAAGTCAGTGATGAGGATGGTCGAAAAGTTCTTGCTGCGGAGATTAGACAGCAAATTCTTCGTCATGATAGGACGAGGTATCTCTGAAGGAGAGCTAGCCGTAGGGGGATTGAGAGGCATGCCTGCGTCGCGCATGCGGTCCAGCCTGGGGGTTATCAACATGACATCGTCTTGATGCATCCGCATCGCAATGAGTTCGTGTATCCGCTGTGACGGCCCCGGGAACATCAAAGCCAGAGCATCACGGTTGAAGTCATGAAGCATGGGCAACACGGAGTTATCGAAAGACGGTCGCCAGTATAGTTCAAGCCAGACCTTGATGAAATTCGAGACGCGCAGCCGCACTGGAATGCCTTTGCGCTGTTGCCACTTGTAAGTGTCCTCCTCAGACAACCCAGAGGGAGGAAGGAGGTTGTAGCGGTCGATGATCGCCTGGACAAGCTCAAGAGCAGTAGAGAAGAGACGGAAGGTGAGGAAGAAGACGGCTGAGAATGCAGGGTCCACGATGGAAGAATGAGGGGTCATCTTCTCGATCAAGGCCTGGATAGTTGCACCGACCAAGTGGCCTTCACCGTTGTACGCAACATCCTCAAGCGCGTAGTCATGGGGAAGCATCCATGGCTCTGACTCCGTCTGCATCAGCTCGGGAATGGCTGCGATAGGGAGCGAAGGTAAGTCTCCGTTTAGAATCTTCTCTTCCAGCGACTTCGGCCGTTCGAGCGGCGGTTGACTCCCTTCCCAAGTCGTCCGCTCATCGTCAGTCTTGGCGACGGATGACATTGGCGACGGCAAGTCGGGACCGACCGTCACACTTTGAGATAGCGATAGGGTGGGGAGAGTCACCCGCTCAGTAGAAGTCCTGGCAGGGACATGCTTCCCTTCATCTTGCGTTGTAAGGGACTGAGAAATTCCTGGGTCCCCAGAAACATCGATGATGGGCATGTCCCGTGGCAACGGCTGTCCCTGGACCGTCGAGTCGTCCTCTGCAGGACCTGACACAGGGTTATTGATGGAGGTCATGGACTTGGAAAGTCGCGGCGACATGCGATTTGAGAGCCTACGGGGCGTCATCGGGACTGGATAGTCCTCCAAAACCCTCGGAGCATCAATGATAAAGAGCTTGTCACTCGACGAGCGAGTAAGACACATCTTCACGGCAGCGACACAGTCAGCGCCAGCCTTGAGAGCATCCGTAGCAGAGCGAATTAATGTCGCTTTCTCTTGCTCCTCGGTCAAGGCAGAAGGAAGCAAACTCGTCAGCATACGAACGGATTCTGCCAATCCACTTGTCACGCTGTAGAGACCCTCCTTTGCAGCTCTGAGATGCGAAACCTTGTGCGGCGGGACAGTCGGGTGCCGCAAGACAGCCTCCACGATCGTCAAGAGCTTGCAGACCATCTCGACAATCTCCCGCACAAGTTCGTACATGTGTCCCGTACTTGATGCGTGTGACGACCGCGAATGCGAATGGGCGTGACCAATGAACGCCGCGATGGTCGATAGATACTGATCATGGGTATGTCGCAGTGCATCCATCAGTTCCTCGTACGTCGAAGGCCCTGAAGGGAATGGCGGGGTAACAGGGGTAGGAGCAGACTCCGCGGATGACAAGGACGACGAAGAGGCGCTACTGCTAACAGAGAAATCGTGCTTGTGCGACTTGGTTTTCCCTCCCACAGGTCCAAGGGACTTAATATGATCCGCCTTCCTAGGAGGCACAGAAGGCGCGGCGTTAGCCTCCGCATCGAAAGCTTTCTTCCGTTGTATCCTCAGATCACCCGTACTTCGCGCCTTCATGGCGTTGCCCGGGGTTCCCGGTCGGCCCTTCACCCGCATTCGGGGCCGCCCATTGGTTTTCCAGGGTGAAGCACGGAAAGTGACATCTTCGTCGGGTCCAGATGTCGGAGTCGTGGGTCCCTGCAGGAAGGAGCCTGATGACTGTGATGAGAATCCAGAGTCTGACGGAATTAATTGGCTCTCCATTATTGTCTGTCGCTCAGGTAGATCCACCCCGCACTGAACCGCGACGGCCAGAAAACGTCGGACGCGAGAAAAGACCTGTCCACCTAACCTGACCATCTTTTCAACCTCCAAGTCACGCTGGTCTTCGTCTACATCCTCCGCCGAAGCCTTCTTCGCCTGAGTCACGATGGCAGCCAGGTCTGAAAGCACCTTTTTCCTTTCCTGCGCAAGAGATGTATAGCGTTTGAGCAAAGGGGCATCGCGCGACAGACATGCTGCAGCGTCCAGTACGGAACGAACGCAAGAAATGAGACAAGCGACCGACGGCTGGAAATGGGTCACCCGGTTTGACCGAACGGCATTCTGTAGAAGAGAGAGCGCATGGAGAAGAGGTACCATCAATGGTGGACAGTAGTCGTTTCGAGAAAACGCGCTCTGCCGCGACGATGTTGAGCTCGCAAATGAAGCCACTGACACTGTAGATTTAGAGTGAGAATGGCCTGACCCCATGCGCTGCTACCCCGGATCAGCAAACAAAGAATGATTAGCTTTGATGGACATTTTAGACTCACTGGGACCGAGGCCATTACATCATCTGCCAATAAACCCAGATCCCCATTCACGTAGTTGCTGGGAAACCACCCGCGTTTGCCGTCTAGCTCCCCATCCCACCAGCCGCTGGAGTCGCGGTTGAGGACGTGTATAATCTGCCCAGCTCGGAAGGCAAGACATGTAGCATTCTTCTGCTGCGGAATAAAATCATGCATTGCCAGAACGTACTCAGGTGATGACCTCTCTGATACGTAGATTGCGGGAGGTGACGCGACGGTATCAGAGATCATTGTCGTGGAATAAGAGGCCGAGGTGGTGGGGGCATGTACAGATAATGAAGAAGCATTGGTCGATGAGGGAGTGGGAGATACAAGGGATAGCGTCGAAGAGGTTGAAGTAGGGGATAGGTTGCGAAGCCGTCTGTCCCCCGAAGGCTGAGCAGATTCGGGTTTGAGGCCCTGTCTACTCGAGGATTTGGTGGAGGGTGGACTTAGGTCGTAAACAACAGACGTGTCAATTCTGAGTTCTGGGGAAGGCGCCATGGCTGCCCGTCCAGCATAAAGAGATGGAGTAAGCTGTTGTGGAATCAGAGTTGTCGAGGGATGATGTCCGATGAGATGACCTGTCGATGGATGCCGCTAAGTTGACTTGAGTGACCTTGCAACATGGGTAATGTGAGGGGATGGGTACTAGCAACCACGTTGATGATTACTGTGAGACATACCTTTTCTCAATCACGCGCGGTCATGCAAATTCGCTCGTTACGCCAAGTCGGAGGCCGGCCAACGCACTGTGCCGAAGGGACAGGCGAAATCCAGAGACGACGCAGGCAACAGTCGAGCAGCAACCGCAGTCAGGTTACCGAGGTTGCGCAAGAAGGAGGATAGAGCCCAAGAACAGAGGAGGGGGTATCTCGATTCGACACGATCGTAGAATTGGACGCAGTGACTAAGGGCACAAGACGGTCGGCACCCAAAGGGCAAAGGATTTACAGCGATTGGGGAAGGTGGCCCAGACTCGCGGAGGCGCGTCGGTGTTGGAGGAGAGAGAGACGAGATAAGATACAACACGAGAGACAGGATGCGAAGAGCAAAGCGGAAAGAGGGGTCGCGGCTGGGGACGCGCGAGGAAGAGGAGGGAAGGGAGGAAGAAGAAGAAGAGGACAGGGAGGAGGAGGACTTGCAGCCAACTTGACCGACGCGAACCCAACCCTGATCGCGTTAGAACTGAGCCCAAACACGCGTAAATACAGCCCAAGCGCCCGGACTCTCTCACTGGCATCTCGACTCACCTTCGTTCGATTCCTCCACACGATGGTTCTTCTCAACTGGTCCTGCTTGCTTGGACGGATGCTCGGAAGGGTTTCTCCCCCTCCTGATAAACCCGCACTCTTATTTATACAAACCTGACGTCCGCCCGGCAACCCCCATATTCAGGCCACATTCACAAACAGACCCTTCCGTGATCTCACTTTTGCTTCCGTTCCATTCTGTCCGCCGGTACTCCCCCATCAAGAAGCCTTCACTTTTGCTCCCAGCCATTCATGCGACCGGGCTTTGGGCAGTCACCTACGGCATCCCTTATGGCCTCGTCTTGAGTCAGCAGAGTCGTTCTTCGCCTGGCGAGGCCCAGCAGGGCCCAGCGTATCACCACAGCCTTTGGCACATCCGTACGCCCGAGATTGCTCCAAACTTGTCGATCTGTCCATCACCCCTCATCGCTATGCAATCATGTGGGTTGGCGGAATGTACTGTACAGAATTTGTAGAGTTGAGTAAGCAAAATGGCTGAACTCCTCCAAACTTAAAATCACGCTTCGATACCCATCGCCCTCTCTTCTCAGAATGTGTACATTACTCCGTGCCGCTGCCGGTGAATCGTATGCCCTGTACACATTTGCATCTCCTCGTGAATCTCGCAAACTGACGCTCTTCATCGCGAGATCTCATAACCCACAGTGACAATGACATGCTCTCCAGGTCCAGGTTCAGCAGCGCGCAAGTTCGTGAGGTGAGTGCCCTGCTGCGCCCGGGCCCTGTTCGAATCTACTTGGTTTCTGGAAGATACCAGTCGAATTGGTACACGCGCTTACACGCGATGCTCCAAGACGCTCTGCAATGCGAGATGGGTGTCCTCGATCCCCTATGAATTTTCAGCTTCCCCGCAACGGCATGGGACCATCAAATCGACTGTGCGGTGGCTGCTAGGCGCTCGAAGCGGGTTGAGATCGGATGGTCAAATCCGCTGTCGAAGGGATGCATGGATGCAAGCTGAGCTCGCCTTAAAGATGGGCCCTTTTTGATTCCCCCGGAGCCAGTATGAATGGTGTGTGACTGAACTTTGAAACTGTGTTCGTGTCGAGTTCGGAGCAGCCTGGAGTAATCCATTGCCGTAATGCAGCCTACCTGATGACGCAGCGTCCCGCTTTTGCTTGCTTTTGACGAGTGTTTGTTGTGCAAACGACCGACAACCGATCGTGATCAGCCGTAATAAGCAACTTTGCCTTCCATATCGGGGGCGCGTCCAGAGATAGGCAAAATGACAACCCAGCGATCGATCCTGCGACGACATGCAGACGCTTTCCTCGCTCACCTTCGTCTTGTCCTCGTCGTTCGCGGCTGCAGTGAGCTCGTCTTTCGGTCATGCTTCCACTGCTCCCGCCTCTCCGCCTTGCGCTCCCTGGTAGCCATCGTCGACTGACCCTCTTTGGCCGCTCACTGCTCCTCTTATCCGCCGAACTCCTCGCCAATGCCGCCTGTTGGATTGTTGCAGGCATTCTGTTTGGAAAAGATCCTGGGAGACAACCTATCTTGAGTTTGTCCCTGCTGGCCTGGGTGAGTCACTTCTTTTCTTCTCAGAACGAAGGCCGCCGTGATTCGACCTGAAGGGGTAGACGATCGGGCTGAGGCATGGTAAATTGGTATTCAACTCCCCCTTTACCCCAGAAATTTATCTCCTCTCGTAACTATTGTAGCATTGGATGCGGACCACATCAGGTAATTTGAAAGCGCAACCGTGGGTCTTCATGGTTTTTATACATAGGTTATTCATTCTGGCGTCTCACGTATCATCAAGCAGCGCCGTTATCCTCTTCCCCGCCACACAACTTAATATCCGCAACGAACGAACTTTCATCCAGCGCAATCGACAATGCAACCCGGGGTCTCATCAGCCTAGGACAGCTTCCCGTCACATGCGGGCTGTTCTTCTCCCTCGGACATAGCACAATCGTCATAGTAGTAGTGCGTTCCGATCTCGCCGCTGTGAACTCTTCACAGGCGCTCATGTCTCGCTTTCTCAACCCCGTTCAACTTTTTGAAGAATATCGCGATTGCCATTAGCACTGACGTTGCCGACAAGATTGGCGGGGTCGGCGATGTCGGCGGCATAGTCGGTGGGCGCAACAGTGTATCTGCTATCTGGTTGTCGAGCTGAAATGGCTAGCGCTTCGTGGTTGACAGGCGCGTCCGTCAGTGCGGCCTTCTTGTTTATCGTCGGCATGGCCAATTCGATTATCCTTTACAGGATATTGAGGAAACGCCGCCAGGTATGGATTATCTTACGCCCCTCTCTTTCTCTGATTTCCTTGACATAACTGATGGCCCTGCCTTAAAGAATAAAGTGCGTCGAGCCGAGCAGCTCGCTCGTGGGGAAACCCCGAATGATATGGATGACATCATAGAAGACGAGGTCAATTATAACAAAACAATCATGATGAAGGTCATAGGTCCCGTCGTGAAGTTTGTGGACCGTCCGTGGAAGGTGGGTCATCATTTCTCTCCACAAAGCTCAGCCTACATCTCGTCTAGATGTATCCTGTGGGCGTCCTATTCGGCTTCGGTACGTCGGCATTGGAAGGTCACAAGGATCGAAGAAATTAACCTTTGACAGGCTTCGATACCGCATCCTCGATCGCGCTGCTGGCCGTATCTGCGATAGCCAAGAAAGGCTCTGATGGGAAGTCCATTCCTTCATCGGAGATTGTAGTTCTCCCAGTACGCGCCTTCCCCTTCTCTTCGTGGACGCCCGCATACTCAGCGCGGCTCAGCTTCTGTTTACAGCAGGGATGACTCTGCTGGACTCCCTTGACTCCATCTTGATGCTCTATTCCTACTCTGGCTTCCCTGAGCGGTCATTCGCCCTCTTTGAGCCGATATCCGAGGTGCCGCAAAACGCGACAATTATGGCACAGGCGGCTGCAGCGGACGTCGATGCTACAGCGGCAGCTACCCGACCATCCCGCGTTGGAGATGTCGAGCAGCCGTCTCATCCTCCCACGATAAATGAAGTGGTAGTTGACAGGCCAACGGAAAGCTCGCCGAAAAGTAGTCGCTCGCAGGCAGACCTTCTCATCCAAGGTGCAGGCATTGACCACACAGATGCCGATTCAAATATCGTTGCAGTGGAAGAGACAGCGAGCAGGGAGCAGAAAGTGAAGAGGAATTTGATGTCGGGGCTGAGTATCATACTCACATTTATGAGCATCATGGTTGCGTTCAGGTAAGATATCATCCGCTTGTGGGTTTCCGACTGTTGTAGAGCGGCGGGGTGACACCTTATTCTAGTATATCCCTAATCACGATCATGGGTATGATAGGTGACAATTGTACTCGATGTCAGGAGGCCATGAACGCCGATGACGGGGGAGGGCTTGCGGGACGTTGGTGGAGATTTTGGGCCGCAGTAAGTTGGGAGCACGCTTCTGACCTTCTCCTTCGATACCAGTGTCTCACGCCTCCCTCGCGACAGGCAAACGGCAACTCGGGGTATATCGGGGCTGCTATTGTCGGGGTATTCCTGTTCATCGTCGGCAGCTGGTATGGGATTCGTTGGGCATTCCGCAAATTGCTAGCGCGTCGACAGCGGCCCATGTCGCGATAAAAGTGATCAACGGAACGATGAAGATATGGGTGGATAGACGCTGTTGGTTCCTGGATATCCCCGATCAGCATCCGTTCATCATACGTAGCACTGACACTGCAAGAAGGGAACTAGCAGGGCAAGTCTTTGCCAACTTCTTCAACTCTTACGTGTACCACCATTTCTCTTCTTCCTCCGGGCCCCGGTCCTATCCTGTCTCTGACCATGATCCCTGAGCTAGATCTTGGCCACAAGAAAGGACCTGAGGCACTTGGAGGGTTTGTTGATGGCCGTGCTTCATGGTCCGATGTGAAGAATGAAAAAGTTGGTTCAGTTGAGTTAATCGTACGCCAGTCATTTCCATTCAGGAAGTATACTCGTTGTAGTAAAGGATCACTTGGCCACGATCTAACTCACGCGTTCTTCGCCGAGGTTTAGACGGCTGAGTGTTCAAACGCGCAGAGAGGCTTACTTTTGTCGCTTTTGCCATTCCTGCTCTACGTGCTTTTGGTAGTTGAAAGATGATACACAGCTATTCCAACCATGTGAGAAAGATACTGGGATTGCAGAGCCCTTGGAGTGAGGAAGGAAGAATTAATTGGAAATGCAAGTCATTGAACACATGACGTAGGCGCTAGTCAGCCCCATTTGCTTCATGAGGCTTGCCGATTGCCATGATGGAGCCAGATGTTTGTTGGGGACGTCTCTCATTCTCCTGTCCCACAACATAGCCTCAAGGCATCTTGCTTGCCTTCTTCTGTCTTGTCACAGCCTACATGGGCGTTACTGTCTACCAGGAGTTTGTCTCTTCTTCTTTTCTTTTGTGGTTTGTTCTGACGCTCCGTAATAGGCTATGGTACTCTGCCTCACAAGCATTCCGCTTGTTGATCCCAGAACCCAAAGCCCGCGTGCCAATAACTTGGAAGACAATACCCCGCACATTCATCTACTTCATACCCTTTGTTTTCCTAGCATACCTTGCGCGCAGACCGGACACATATCTTATACGAGTGCTAATTCTACCCTCTCTTGTCTCGCTCGCTCTGCATTGTTCTTTTGGGTACATATGGACGGATCCTAGGCTGAATGTGTACAATTGGGGCTCAGGTGAGTCACCTTTCTACGCTCAATCTTCACGACGAGACTGACGCGCTTGGACGGCGAGCCCTGTGCGCTTTTGTCGTCATCGCGAAAAGCATAGACATTTCCCTCACAGCGAATGGCCGTTTCAAACAGGGAGAACGGACTCTTGGATCCATGCGCGAGCCCGCCGTCGCTGCCAAAGCAGATAGCGACGCCTCCGCAGACGCGTCGGCACGTCACCGCCCGGGCAACAGCTTCCTACCCGTCTGGCTCGAAGACGCGCTGGAGCTCATATTTTCCATTCGTGGGCTTGGTTGGGACTTTGGCCGCGGCGTACACGTACCCTCGCATATTCGCCCTACCGAGCGTGGACCTTTCCTCCGCGCGGCCGCACGCTCGTTCATCACAAACTTCCTCATGCTCGACTTGCTCGAAGCACTTTTCAAACTCATACCCGGTGTCGGCAGCGTTCTCGGCGGGAGCATCTTCGTCTCGTCTTTTCCTCCCCTCCAGCGCTACGCTTTTTCTACCTTCATACACTTTATGACGGGCTGCGCCCTCCTCGCTGGGTTCAACATGGTTTATGACCTGCTCACGCTCCTCGCAGTCGTCCTCCTCGGGCATTCGCCAACTGCGTGGCCGCCGATTATGGACAACCCTTGGATATCCAACTCCCTGCACGAGTTTTGGGCGAAGCGTTGGCATCAGACCCTACGCCAGACGTTCCTCGTGTTCGGAGGGATCCCTGGGCGCGCGATCGCAGGGGACCTCGGACTTATCTTCGGCACATTCCTCGCGTCGGGGCTGTACCATGAATGCTCGATCTACGCTATGGGCAGGGGATGGGATTCCAGGGTTCCCTTCTTTTTTTTGTTGCAGGCTCTGGCTCTGGTGGGCGAGAGAGTGTGGAGGAAAGTGACAGGCAGACGGGTAGGCGGCTTCTTTGGGCGCCTGTGGGTTTATTTTGATGTTATCGTCCTGGGACAGCCACTTGGTGAGTTTTTCTGTTCTTCGTTTGCAGGGTTTCCCTGATGCGATTCAATCGCAGTCGATGCATGGCACCGGCGGGGGCTCGCCGGGGCGATGATCATTCCTCCTCCCATAAGCCCGGCGCGCCTTTTATTACTGCCTGCAATCCGATCTTTGACCGGCTGGCAGCTGTAATCATGTACGATTTAAATATCACTAACATCTTGAGCTCCTAAAGGCGTGTATTATACATACAAAGAATTTCATGCAGTCACTACTCGTGTATATTTCAAGTCATAAAGTACAAGCACTGAATTAGAGTCACGAATCCCAGTTGTCCAGCTCAGTAATGTCTTGAAGATGTACTCACACGCCGCCGTTCGAACCAAATAAGAATCGGACTGTGCCTTCGTTGCGCCCAATGTTCGTGTTCAGATTCACCAGCGACTCACGCGGGCTGTCAGTCAGCAAAGGTGTCCGGCTGCGAGGCGGGTGCTCGTTTTCACGCATAGCTATTTTGAGGCGCATAAGTTGGTCGGACTTATACGGTGCCGGTGGTGGAGGTGGTGGAGGGTTGTGCAGGTTGGTGTTGGCGCGGGAGTAAGGGGAGGGGGAGGACGGGGTGCTGGGTGATGTGGAAGCAGACGGATTTTCTGCGGCGCTGATGAGGAGGTCGAGGAGGGAGTGGATGATGACTGCGTGAGAGAGCGGGTGGAGACAGTCAGGTAGATATATAGCGGAATGGAAGGCATCATGACGTACGTTCCAAGTCTTCAACCTGGGCTTGAAACTTGCGTTCCCAAGGACCGTGCTTCCCCAGCTGCTCCGCGAGTTCACTGTCACTGAGACAACCTGGTTTCGCTGGTACTACGTCGTGTTCAAAAGACGAAAGGAGTGCGGCAAGGTAGACACAAGCTAGTGCGACTACATGTGGTGGGAATTGGAGTGGTACAAGTGTACGGTGGCTGCGGCCATAAATGAGTCCACGATGGTGAACCTCAATAAGACGCGAACTCACCTGTCGATGGAGAGCCGCCAGGCTAACTTGGTGAGTTTTTTTGAGGCTGTGACAATACCGTTACCGTTAAGGGGAGATAGTAGCGCCGTGCACTAAAAGAACAGCTCACCTTTAAGCTGTCTACCTATCTTGATCACGTATGGAAAAGGCATTCGCGACGTGAAGTTGAAGCATATTATTTCCATGATAAATCTCTCTATTCCGAGAAGACGCTGTCTGTCATTTTCCACGACCTAACGATCGATGTCACAAGGAAGCACGAATAGTTAGATATCTTTCTTGGAGACTTACTGCAGGGTCCATATCGATTTCTCCAGCTATAGATTTGGACTTGGCCGCCTGTTCTGGAAATCGGACAACGTATCCGACCATAAGCAGTTCTCGGGGTTTCTTGAGCGTGTCGTGCATCTTGGTTGAGACATAGAGTGCAGCGAGACAGACGTCCTACGAGAAACGAATATTAGTATCAGAGGAGGAAGCAGTGATGACGGCAAAGCTTTCACATAGTATAGAAATCCCTCCATTGGGAAGAATAAGTGAAATCTGTGGTACAAATTCTGCGCAGTCGCAATGGTCTTTCTCGGACTACGAGGGGGTTCGGCTTCAGCTCGGTATATCATTCCTACCACGGAAAAATCAAAACGAGGACATACGTACAAACCAACCCTCGCCCCGACGGCCTCTATGAATGCACATGCCTGTTGTCTCCCTTTTTCTGCTTTCGCGATCGTGTATTTTCCGCGCTGCCGCTCGGACAGTACTTCAACCTCCACTGGGGTGTAATAAGGGTGGTGATTTTGAGTTTGTGGTAGCGGAAAATGTAAGGGTGAGTCGCGATATGAACCCGTCTCCATGTTTCGTGGTATGTGTCCCAGTCAGGCTCAGGATTGCGAACAGTCACGAATGCGAATTAGAAGGAACAACGTTCAAGGCCATCCACCGCGAAGATCGCAACCCAATCCGTCAGCGCTTCGGCTGCCGTCAGCAAGATGAACCAATCGATGAACGTCGATGAACGTTTGAACGTTTGAACCCCTATACAGTATTCTCCATCTCGACAGGGTTGTTGGTGATTCATACACTCCCGTGAACAACATGTGGCATCTAGACACAAGCCTGCCGTTTGTCGCGCGGCAATCTATGGATTTAAAGAATCTCCAATGAAAGTTTGGGTGACTGAGACGGAGCATACGAGAATATGAATATCTGAATCTCTGAAGACTCAAGCTCAAGAGTTGGGGATAGGCATGGATAGACATGCAGGCTAGAGCGCTGTGTACTTGGACAAGAAAAGAACGTAACCAGAAATAAAAAAGGGTATGGATAGGACGGAGAAACTGAGGAACATATACATATTTATCAAGGAACGAGTGCGATGGAGTCGATATGTACAAGGAAAGAGATGCCGAGAATTCGAAACGCAGAGCAGCTGGAGGGGACAAGATGTTTCTGCGAGTCAAGGTTGCTGTGAGTCAAAGTTGGAAGACGACTGAGGCAGGATGTGTTATATGTATGTACATCTAGACAGATTACCCGAATCAACAAAAGTAGTCGAAAGATGAGAAAAGTACGCATGCATAAGAACATGACGCGGGGCGAGACACAAGGGACACCACACCGATCATGCGCTATAAACCATATCCATCATAGGGCTAACAAGAAGGGCCAAACCGATCAGAAGAATAGATATGTTGTGATGAAGATGAGGAGCGCGATGATAACGACAACTTGCAATGGCACGCCTTCTGCTTGCAAAGCACCATCGTCGTAATACGTCCCCACGTCAGACTCCACCGTTGTTGTGCCGTCGTCCGACGTAGGCCTGTGTCGCCGTCTGAGCTCCGTTGGGCTTGTCCCGCTGGATGCGACGGAACTGGGGTCGGGGACAGCAGCAAGCAGTGCGCGGAGTCGCTGGTTCTCGGACTGCATTTCTTTCAGCTTAGCGAGGAGCTGGGGATTTGGATCGACGACAGGAGGAACGGGGATCGGTACGGGTGCCGCAGGTGGGGTGGGTGGTTGCGGCGTGTGCACGTTCACGTTTACCACGCCCACGTTGCCGGAGTGCGATTCGGGGACGACAACAGGCTCTTCGTGCACGTCCTCGCGCGCGGCGCTAAAGTCAGCGGGCGGAGTTAATGAGCGTTGCATGATTGACTCTGCAGGGCGTGCAACTGATGGTGCTCCTCGCACGGTCTCATATCTCTGTAACGTCATCAGCCATAGAAATATAGAGAACGCCAAAGGAACGTACCGATGGGCCGGGAATAATCATCGAAGGCTGGTTCGCATGACCTTCATCCTCCTCTTCCACGACTTGTCCGTCTGGCGGCAAGTACACGACTTTGATCTTTTGAGATTTGATTTTGTCCGGATCCTCTCCTTCGGAGACAGTCCACTGGAGGGATTCAGAAATTAGGCATAGTTTGTAATAGAGGATTAGGTGCTCACAATGTCGTGTGAGGCTCCCTTGTCGGGCGTGATGAGAGTGCTTTGAATCAAGAATTTGTCCTTGCATTTGACATTGAGCGGAGGTTCCTCTTTCATGGCCTGGAGCATGACTGAGGCGCTGCGGGTTCAGAGCGCAGCCTTGAGAGGAGGGACGAAACAGAATACCTTGAACTTCCACCGTCTCTCCTGGTTCCACTGTTCCTGAATTGGGTCGCACGCAATACAACTGCGATGATGTTTAGCATCCAAAAGGTAATTTAGTCAAGTGCGCGCACTTTGGGCGCCGTGGTCTTGACTTTGAACGCAACTGGCTGAGCATTAGGGTTGGTTATGGCGAGGGAGCGTTTGACGGTCTGGGTGAGGGGTCCTAGGTAGCATCGTTCACGACAAAATTGGAGACAAAGAACAGGCACAGCGCGTACGATTGAACCCTAGGGAATTACTAGGTTGGAGAGTTACAGACATTGGGGAGAGAAGGAGTGAAGCTGAGGTGATGGTATGTAGTGAGAGAACTGGGGTTTGGCACTTGGGAGCGGAGTTGACAAATTGACATCAGCCAGCATCAGCCGTCCACAGCCGCGTGTTCCTCCACGTTGACTACTTTGGTGTTCGATGAATCCACATTTTGTATTTCCACCATGGTCGTCAACTCTCAAGGCCGCACGCTATGCGCATGCATCACCACACCTAGCCGGAACCCCTATGCCGCAGAATGAGATAGAATGAGACACTAACATATCCCCAGGGCACCTGGCAGCATGGTCGGCGGCTGAGCTATGTACATAGTCGGATGCCGCTTCCTCGCCTGGTTCAACTTCTCCGATCTTGAGAGGGAGGTATATGTGTATGTGTATTACTACCGATGATTACACGTACTTGAAGGACAACCGGGTGTCAGTCTAGAACACTCAGCCAGACCAAGCTAAGTGACAGCGCATCCAAGTAGATCCCAGTGTTGTCAGGGATCAGGAAGCTTCGCTGCCGACCCGCGGCCGGTGTGAATGCAAACGAATTCTCGGGATTGTTGAAAGGGGATCAAGGGGCTTTGAGGGGATCTACAACATATACATCATAGGATGGATCACCATCTGCGATGGAAGTGGCCACGAACGCAGCCTTTGTGGGAGCAGACGTTGCGGGCGGGGATTGCCGTGGGAGGGTGGCTGGAAGGAACGGTCAAAATCTGTTCGGAAGTCTCTTAGACAACAATTCGATTATCCGAGCATATATCTAGAGCAAAGCAGGTCTTAGCTCCCACATACCCGCCCCCTCCCATCTCCTCCCACATCCACTCTCCTTCACACTACCATGTCCTGGAAACTCGGGAAAAGCAAGAAGGCAAATCTCGCTGCCGACGATGCCTCCACCAGGTCCATTACTCCCACTCCAGATGACAAGCCATTGTCGCGCACGGGCATGCTCACCATTCGCGTCCTATGGGCAGAGAACCTCGCAGTTCCAGCCGGCACTGCTGTCCCTGCCGCGGTGCAGTCCGCCATGTCCTCTCAGCAGGCTCAGGTGGCCGCTGCCATGTCTCCATCCAGTGTGACACAGTCTCGTCTGGCCGCTGCTGGCAAGGCGAAGCGGGACAGCGTTCAGCGAACACAGTGCTGGTGGCTCCCGTATCTTGTTATGGAGTTCGAGGTCAATCAGATCCTCATCACGCCGCTTGGTGGCGAGCTCGAGAAGCCGCTGTACATGTATCAGGCTCACTTGTATGTCTCCAACGCTCTCCCACTTCTTGCAGCTTTCTGATGCTGTAGTCAGTGATGTGTCGCGTAACTCCGAGATCTCCATCCAGTCTTACCTGCGCACCGATGAGCCCAAGCGTGGGTCTGATGGTGTAGATGACATGGGCAATGATATCTTCATGGGAGGCATCACGTTTACGCCAGACTTTGACAACATGGGTACTCAGGATCAATGGTACGATCTCAACGGGGGTGCCGGAAAGCTGATGATCGGTGTCGCTTTCCAGCCGAGCAGTGTAAGTTCCTCGTCCACATCGCCTTCCCCGTGCTCAAGCATCAGATTATAGGGACAAACGCTCAGCATTGATGACTTTGAGCTCATCACCGTCATCGGAAAGGGAAGTTTTGGAAAGGTGATGCAGGTCCGCAAGCGTGATACCCAGCGAATCTATGCCCTCAAGACCATTCGCAAGGCCAATATCGTGAATAGGAATGAAATCACACATACCCTTGCCGAGAGATTGGTCCTTGCACGAGTCAACAATCCGTTCATTGTACCGCTCAAGTTCAGCTTTCAATCTGAGCAGAAACTCTATCTTGTCCTTGCGTATGTTCTACATACGACTATTGTTATCCCTGTACTCAGTGATCTGTTCCTTATCATTTAGTTTTGTTAACGGCGGCGAGCTGTTCCATCATCTTCAGCGAGAACATCGGTTCAACGAAGAGCGAAGCCGATTCTACAGTGCAGAGCTCCTGTGCGCCTTGGAACATCTCCATGACTTGGATGTCGTCTATCGGTCGGTGTTCCTATCCGTTCAACGTCTTGATGTCTGCTTATTTCTGCTCCTATCAAAGTGATCTCAAGCCTGAGAATATCCTCTTAGACTACACTGGTCATATTGCTTTGTGCGATTTTGGTCTTTGCAAGTTGAACATGAAGGATAACGACAAGACAAACACGTTCTGTGGGACACCTGAGTACCTTGCACCTGAGATCCTCTCCGGATCTGGATATAGTTGCGTTCATCCATTCATGCATGCTATGTAAGGTGCTGACGTTGAAGCCAAATTATCAGACCGAACGATTGATTGGTGGACTTTGGGCGTTTTGCTGTATGAGATGCTGTCTGGCCTGCCTCCATTCTACGATGGTAAGCACCATTGATCGTTTCGGCAATCGTACAGTAGATCAATTAAGGCCCGCACCTTCCCTCAGAAAACACGGAGAACATGTACAAGAAGATCTTGCATGACCCTCTCGTCTTTGGGGAAGACATCAGTCCGAAGGCACAGTCCATCCTTACCGGACTGCTGACGCGTGACCCAACGCAGCGCCTGGGAGTGAATGGAGCAGACGAGATCAAGAAGCACGCTTTCTTTGAGAAGGTCGACTGGAAACGACTGATCCAAAAGAAGATCCAGCCTCCTTTCAAGCCGAGCGTGTCTAGCCCGGTCGACGTTTCCAATTTTGACACCGTCTTCACCGCAGAGGCTCCGCTAGACTCCGTCGTCGAGGATTCGCAGCTCTCCCAGACCGTGCAAGCTCAATTCGCTGGTACATGTCATGTCAGACCACCATGACATCAAGGCTAACTTGATTGTTGTTTTGACAGGGTTCTCATACGATGGCAGCAACATGCCCATAAGCCCGAACTAATCACCCCACTCCGTTCCTGCATTGCTTTCCAGACTGCTCTCGGTTATTCGTTGATATACTCTCCTTTTATTATTTCTTTCCTCTACATTCACTACCTTATACCATCTGGATAGTAGCTGTTCTATGTCACTTTGTCAATCACTTGCTCACCACGTCGCCCTCAATCCACTCATTCGTACAGATCTCTGCCCCATTCATATGGATCACATCATAATTTTTCCGTCGCGCTTGGTCAGATCTATTGACCAGTCCCCTTTTAAGTACCGATCTTTCGCCTTAGGCTCAGCGGGCTATCTTTGGCCGGAAGAAATAATTCTATCATCATGCAGATCTTTGAGACTTCCTTCGAAGAGAACTCAATGTGCGGCACGTACAGCACAGGTGCATACGCCTACGTGTAAGATAGAGCTGGCAGCACACGGCGGCCTGCTCAGGCCACGAGGTAATACAGTCGCCATCCATACCCCAACCTTCCTTTGAATCTCCTGTCCCGCTGTTCTTCTTCATGTCTGTCCTCTTCGACTTCTACATACTCATCACGGCGCAGGTCCACAACACCAGTGTCGACGGTATCAGTGTACCACCACCGGCCTTTTGGGATCACCAGGTCAGGCGAGGATGGAGCGGGAAGGATTGATAACTGTGCATTCGATCGCTGCAGAACCGTCCACAACAGGTACATGATGATCATGATTGGGATCTCGATGTAGAACGAGACGAAGTCGACTGCGGAAAAGGTAGGAAAGATCGAGGACCAGCCTTGGACTATTGCCAAGATTAGATGACGATGGAAAGGCGAGAATAATTACATACTGAGGATGAGAGCAGTCACCGAAATGATCTATGAAATGCATTGCGAGGCGCGTAAGGATGAAGAAGGGTAGAAGGTCGAAGTCCAGGGTACGTACAATGAACGGCGGGCCCCAAGGCCATGTCCAGCCTACACGGAACTTCATTTCTTCAAGCGGCCGTCCTTGCTTGACCCATGCTTTCCGGAATCTCCACGATGCGATACCGATCGAAAGCCATGCGATCTATACATATATGACCATCCCATCAATCTACAAGTACCACGAAGTGCAATGGGGAGAGGGCAGTCGATAGAAACAGGGGCAACAGGGATAGTAGGAACCCACCTGGTTTGACACACCGACAAGGTTTTGCAGCCACCCCCAAAGCTCGCCGTTGCCAATGAAACTGCTGCCGAAACACAATGCGCTGATACTGCTCGTGGCGAGGAGGGCGAGGAGGGGCACGCCGTTGCGTGTTGTCCATGCAAATATAGGCGGTGCTTGAGGCACTGGAGAGGTGGACGCGAGACCATACAAGACGCGTGTGCCCGCAAACATTGCGTGATTACCGGCGGAGACGACAGAGGTGAGGATGACAGCATTCATGAATGATGCGGCGGTATCTGCGTAGACAAGATATCGTGAATAGTTCAGGCAACAGCATCAGCAAGATGACCTTACTAGAACCGACTTCGTAGAACACGATCGTGAAGGGCGAAGTTGTCGTGCTCTTGTTGGAGAGATTGGGATAGTCCCATGGGACTACAAAGCTGCATCAATCAAATGAGGGGAGGGTTGGATCAAACACAAATACCATTTAAGCCTATTAACAAGACACTCAAAATGTAGAATAGCCAGATTCTACGAGCAAGGAGTTAGAAAAAGCGAAACCGATCTGTTTTTAAATTGGTACGAACCGCCAGAAAACAAATTTTACCACCTTTGGCATATTTTTGCCCGGGTTCTTTGTTTCACCTGCCGTGATACCTAGACTCTCTGTTCCCCCATCTAGAAGACACACAATCGCGTGAGTCATTTGTATGTAGTGTCACCGCGATTACTTTTGACATGAAAAACATTTTCACTCACATGCGAACGAGGCGGTCACGAACACACGCGCAAAGCCACCGAAGCCTCCAACGAACGGAGCGCCCGCGATGCGCCAATTTTCACCCCCGATGTAATGATGCTCGCGGTTGACGCCGGCGTTGACGAGGATGCCGATCACGATGAATATGACAATCGTGACCACTTTCAAAGAGGAGAGCCAATACTCTATTTGATTGTGCATTGAATCTCTGATTGTGCATCGCATACATTGAATTGAGAAGGACATACCAAGTTCTCCGTATGCCTTTACATGAATGGCGTTGATGCCTACGAGGAACACCCAAAGGACTAGACTGATGATCCAAGGATGCGGCACGTTCCATAAACCGAGTACCAGTTGAGCAGCTGTTAGGTCGGAAGCCACCGACACGGCATCATTAAACCAGTAATTCCAAGAGAGGGCAAATCCGTAGGACGGGGAAAAAAATCGGGTGGCGTATGCATTGAATGACCCTAGGTGCAACGTGGTGTTGTTTATCAGCGAATGACAAAGTAAGAGAAAGTACAATCAGAAAAGGCTGGTTGAGGATTGCTCGATGACTAGAGAAGGAGCATGTACAGGGACCTGAACCCACGGTAGACGCATCGAAATAAGCAGTCACGGAAACCGACTGCACGGATTTCCTGGCAATCCAGCGCGCCCACGAATTTAAACCTTCCTAAGCGGGACACAGGGACCTACGATGGAACGTTCGGAGCTATATATAGTAGAAGTCTTTTCTACTAGTGGGTGCCTGTGGGTGCGATATCATGAGACCATCGCGGCGGCACACTGCGATAGGCCAAAGCAGTCCGTTTTCATAGGAAAGGAGAACACGGATATAGTGAATAAAAGCCTTCGATGCAACGAGGCCTGTCCGAAGAGAAGTTTCAAGGGTAAGGGCACGAGACACTCACCAGCGACAGGATACTGGGTGGCCATTTCTCCCAGCAAAAGGAGCGTGATGTAGACGATGATACTGACGAAACCGTAGCATATGAGCATGCTCGCCGGACCGCCTTGTGCTAGGGATCTTCCAGTACCCAGGAAAAGACCAGTGCCTATGGTACCCGCGATGGCAATCATCTGCACCTGCCGTGAGGACAGACCTCGGTGAAGCGTGCCAGACATCTTGCCCACTGAAGGAACGGCGAGAAAGGCAACGGGGAGTGCAACAGAGTGGTCAGGACCTTCGCTGCACCGATCGGTCAGAGCGCGAACATTCGCTGGGCGCTCAATTGTGCCATATTGAGCTCCGGAAACGTGATCATCTCTGTCGTGCCCAGAGAGTAGCGGAACTGACTCCTTGGCGGGCATGTATGGAGTCAAGGGTGAAGGAGGTGGGGCAGCTCGTTAGTGCTAACGTTGTGAAACTGTAGGGCATTGCTCCATGCGGACAACGATATCAGAAACTTATCTATAGAAAGGCTGAGTGGATTGGTTGCGCAAGTCTGACGAGCACTGACGCCGCCGAACCCATCGCCTCACTTTCCCACGACCTCCCGAGCCTGTAATACTCCTTTCCTTTGACCCTTTCACCTTGTGGTTCGATGGCCACAGTCACCCATTACATTCGCTCACACTATGACCCCATTCGCGACCGAGACCGCTTACAGCTTGAGACAGGGCAAACTATAGGCGAGCCGGAGCCCCACGGCGAGGAAGAGGATCCGTGGCAGACAGAGTTCACGTTCGGCGTGCGACATTCCCTAGCCAGTGCCCCTCGCTTTGTTCGCGCGACGCTTCCTTATGATGAATGGGGGAATATAATCATCAACTCCCCTGAGCCTGTGCAGAACATTGAACAGGATGAGAAACCACAGGATCTGGCAAGCTGGTATAGGACGCTGACCCAACGCACTGACCAGAAAGATACACCTCCAGCCAAGATCCCCAAATCATCCAGTGTATGCCTACCATCTACATCGACTTCGCACTCTCTCACGTCGACAGCTCGCACGGGGAAGCGAAAAGACCGCGATTGGTTCATCTCACGCGCGCTCGCGCAGTCGGCTTCGTCCTCGACCCCTGCGCCCTCGAGCACTCTGGCTGATATCCTTTCCAGAGACCCACCCGCCGATCAGCCCTTGAAACCTCCTATATTCTTACATCTTGGGCCATCAAACAGGGGGTGGGCGATGCTGCAGAGACATGGCTGGAACGAGGGTGAGGGGCTAGGCAGAAGTGTCGCTAGGAGAGGCGACGTAAGGTTAGAGAGCCTAGAAGGGGGTCAAGGCTCAGGGTCGAAAAGGCCGGAAGTTCAGGTTCACAATATAAAGGTCAAACAAGAGGAGATTACAGTGGATGAGGGTATGGTTAAGGTAAAGGATACCCAGGTGATCGACCTCACGCTCTCCGAATCAGAGAGTGAAGATGGCGAGGATATCGAAATCATATCTTCCTCTTCCCTTCCGCCACAGCAGCCTGATGTGATGGTCCGTGATCATTCCTCTCAAAACGCCCTTCTCACTCCGATCGCGACCGTCCTCAAATCTGACCGCCTTGGCATTGGTCTGAAAGCCAAAACCGAAGGTCCATATCGCGCCTCCATCAAGCGGGTTACGCATAACGCCGCTGCGCTCCAGGCGCATGTCCAAGCTGGGGAGGAACTCCGTCGGACAAAGACCCTAGTGGGGAAAGGGGGGAGGGGGTTTGAAAGGCTGCAACGAAAGGAGAGGGAGCGGCGACAGGAAATGCTGGCTTATCTTAATCATAACTAACAGTCGACAGATACATGAGCAAACCTGCCTTTGTATATGTACAGGCCTGCTTGTACTCGGAAGGATGTAATCTTTGAAATATACAGATACAGTAAAATACACTTTGAGACATTCAAGCCAATAATCAGGAGCATGCGTTTGAACAGAAAGAAGAACGTGAATGTCGTGAAGTAGATGAAGAAAAGTCTAAGCCGTTGCATAAGTAAGCACTGTCGTTAAGCAAACTGTTTGTCAAAGACAACAGGTGGTGCAGAGAAAGATATGATACATTAAAATTGACCAAGTTTCCCTCCGAACTCGGGTTTGAAAAAGGCATAAGGTACTTACATAGAGATGATACTTCCCGCTTTGTCGACAGCACCCAAGGTCACGAGAAAGTTGACTCGCTCCATGGCCCCCTCGAGGTATCGCACTTCACCTCCGCGACGTATAGTCGGAGCCATTGGATCATCTCCTTACTGATCTGGTGACAATGAGTGAGGTCGATGCTCTTCAGGCGCTGAGGCCACGTGAGAGGAACCGATGTCTTCGGTGGTGCTGAGTGCGAGCGGCCGAGAGTGGAAGGTTGTGATTGCGATTGCGGTGGATTTGGATGGCGGCCGGATGTAACGGCGACAGAGGTGGAGTATGTTCTCGGCGCAGGGAGGTAGAGTGCGGAGCTCGCATTTAGCCGTGGGTACGCGCGAGAATGTGGTGGTAGTCGCGATTCTACAAATGCGCGTAAGGCATCCCAGTCCAATGAGGTACAGCCTTCAAGACTCAGGCTTTCTAGCTTTGGACAAACCCATGTCTGCACCACGGATGGTACTGAGAGGCCCTGCACGCCACAGGAGGGTCAGCAAAAAGGTCACATAGATCATCGGAGCTTACGCACCTTCAGAAGACTAGATGAGGCGTCCTCGACATCGATAAGCTCCAAGGTAAGAAGAGAAGACACGCGCCCAAGAAGCTTCGCCAGCTCGAGCTCGCTGAACACGGATGTCTCGATTCGGAGGCGCCGTAACGGCAACGACGTCAGAGACTGCCGTTTCAAATGACTCAACAGCGATGTGACGTCGTCCATGTAGCACAATTCCACCTTCTCTAAGGTGGGGAAGGACAACTGGCTAAGGACAGCCCGCGTGCGGTTGATGCCGGCATAGTAGAATGAGATCTTCGTAAGGCGCTGAAGAAGGATGGTGCGAGACGAGTATCGTTTATCTGAGGTGGGTTCATGGTCGTATGCCTGGCACGTCTCTGCATCAACATCCGACATATTCCGCAGAACGAGGTCCTCCAAATCTGGGCAAGCGCGCAAGATGTCGAGAATGACGGCGACCGAAGGTGATAAGTCATTCCAGTATCCCCCTAGTTCTAGAGAACGGAGCCCACTGACTACAGAAACGTCCCAACCGAAATTAAATGAAGCCAACGAGCAAGTGCTCAGGCTGGGCAGGTGGCCTCCAAAGAGGGGCAGTGGGGGAAGCAAGTAGTGATCTTCCTGCATAGAGTGGAAAATCTTGACCTGCAGAAGCTCGAGCTTGAGGGCGGGATCTTGACAACGAGCAAGTGCCGCATGAGCTTGGGCTCGATTGGGTACAACCAGACGAAATGTCTTCCATCGCCATATAGACGGCTGTAGGAGATCCATGGCGTGAACAACTGTCTCCATCGTTCTGTCGCCACACTCCATCTGCGGGCTGAAGCTGATACAGATATCAAGAGGAACTGACTTCGACCGTGCCAACTTCCGCCGAGCCTTGTCCAAGGAATCGTGGTTGCTCACCAAGATGCGCGACCACAGCACCGGGGTATTGACAGCCACGTCCAGCCAGTAGTGACAGACGAGCATGAGATTCGCCAGTATCAGCGGATCCTCCTCCTCCATCTCTAACGCCCCGATTGCGAAGATTGATGCGAGTAGCTCGCTTGGAAGGCGCTGGATGGGAGATCGCAAACGTACAGCTCGCTCAAGGCGGGACTCTAGCCTCTCGCGCTCCGTCATGAGCGATGCCATCTTGGACTCCAGACTAGAAATCGCCTCTCGTAGGTGGGGGATCGACTGCTCCGCCATTCCGCCTGCATTTCGAGCAAGTTGCATGCTATGCGAATATGCGCCGCGTGTCGCCAATGTCCCAGTCGCTTTGCCCAGCGAGACGCTCGAAAAAGTGTTTGACTTGGGGGATGCATCTATAGGTGGCCGACGACGTGTCGTATGGTGAGAGTGTGGCGGGATAGAGTGATCATGGGGTGAAGAGGTCGCGAGCTGTATCTGCTTTGACCTCATGCCATCTGCACGATTGGAGGAGGGAAATGCGATAGGATCAGGCTTCAAACTCAGCTCAGCGCATATAACGGGAGATCGGGGTTGGCGGGGCATGATGAGGGGACGTCTTGAAAGTGTAGAGGAGTCGGACAAGGGCAATTGTCCTTATAGCCTTTTCGAAGAGATTGATCTCGGCGTAGGCACTGCGACCCGCTGGCGCCTGCTGGTCCTCGCGGGCTCGATCTATGAACAATGAGCAAGCACTGACGCTTGAATCTTGTTCAGCCTGAAACGAGGCATCGTTACTCCGAATTCCCGACAGTGTTGCCACAACATACCTTGAGCCTCGAGCATGATTGACGAGCTCGGAGGGATACCAGGGATGGGGTGGAAGACGTGATGGAGAAGGGTTGTTTTATGGTGTCCGACGAATCTCACGATGATAAAGAGCATTTTGGCTCCCGTGTTTATGGCATGCACGAGGCGGAAGGCGTGTCGACCTTCGAGCGGGGCGAGCCATCGAGAAGCGCCTGTGGGTGACTGCAACGTGGGTCGTCGCAACGGGACGGACTGAACACGAGGAGGGGAACGAGGCAGATGGATGCAGACCCACCCATCCTTTCGCGCGCAAACCCGACCACACCAGTCCGCCTCCCTGGCTCGTCCGTGCCTATCCGCCTCCGGTCCCTTATCTGCTTGCCCTCCCTGCCATTCATTTCATATACAGCTACTCTACGTCTCTTTTATTCTACCCTGGCGTGCTACTGCTCTTTCTGTACGCATGCTCCCCCATCCGATAGTATACAAACTGACATAGCACCTGCACACGCGGGTACCCCAGTCAGCTCGTTCGCATCCGCTGCAGCACGCTCACTCACAAATATGTCCAAGAACACGGTCAGGAGACTTCCTGCGCGCGCCACGTCAGTCCTGTCAGTGCCGAACAGACATCTGTAGGACTATGACAACTGACCAGCCAGCCAGCTTGCATTGGCAATGAGGTGGTCTATTTTTGTGGAGGACACACAGATAGACAGCCCGTAGGTCAAATTCCCCAGGATCGCAAACAAAAACAGTCCCGGAGACAGTCCCTCGCATCGAGTCTTCAAGTTTTTCACTACAGATCCAGTCAGCTTGGAGACTTCGAGAGAACAGGGGCGACTCGCGTATCTGTGGTACTCGGGCCCCCACTGTAGGTCTCGGCATGAGGAAGAGATTCACGATGAATGTCAAAGTCTACTCACAATACAGGACGGCGCTGATCCATCCCAATACTTGGCTCCTCCATTCAAGAATCTCCTCCGGCCGTGATGGGTCTTCTTTGCCTTGATGAAGCTTCTCGCTTATAGCCCAGGCGGCGATGCCGGTGGCAAAAACAAAGATAACTGCACCGAGGTATTTCAGAAGCTGGAGCCTCGGAGGGTAGACTCCCTCGACCGTGGGCAATTCGCCATCGGCTTGGGAAAGCAGATGTGTGGTTTCTGAGGCATCGTTCACGGTGATGTCTGATGAACGAGCATGGGCGACTGATTTCCTCCTCCGGTAATAGTAGATCTGGAACAGAAGAATGATGTCGCAGAGAGAATACTGTAAAGCCCGGCCGCGAATTCAATATACAGTGCACGATGCGAGTGGAAGGAAGAAAAAAGCTTACATAGATGGCTAATAGAATGACAGTTGGGAGTAGGCCCGCCATACTGGCACCGACAAGATTGCACAAATCACCTAACAGCCATACTGCTACGAACAGCACACTGAGGGCTTCCCCGGACTTGAGCTGATAATTCTCAAATATTTGAGGGGAGTAGACAACTATCCTGTTGATATCATATCAGTCGTAAAGGTCCGTACACAGTATCGCAGAACCGTACCAGCACGCGATAGAAATCCAGCCCAGCTGAAAAGGCTGGGATCGGTATGATGATACTTGGAAAATGCTGGAGACAACATACAGCGTTGCTCAAACTGTCGCTCGATAGCATATCTAGGGTGTGTCAACACAGATTAAGTCCTACTTGTGTGTCCCGTTGATTTGAAGCAGGTGCATCCAAGTCTACTCACTGCTACTGTAGTCAGAAAGAGAAAGTCATTGAACATATATAAGCCGTTGAAATATTATCCTTCGGCAAGCTCCGAGCTCGGCAGAATACAGCTGGCTGACGTTGAACACCTCCACAGCGGCATCGACTGCACCAACCATCTTCATGAGCAACCAGGAAGCATTTCGAAGGTTTGCGCAGCAACTGCAGAAGGCAGGAAGCGGTGGCAGCTTTCCTGGAGGGAACCCGAAGGGCTTATTCGCAGGAGGTGGTCTCGTCCTTGCTCTCATTGCTGGAGGCATCACACTGAATGCCAGTTTGTTTAATGGTGTGTTCCATCTATCTTTGTAAGGTTGAAATCGTTCGACGTTTCTTAACGTTTCTTCAGTGGATGGTGGACATCGCGCTATCAAGTACACAAGGTGCGTATCCTCACAATGTTTCACGGCATTTCAGGGCCGAAGTTGGAGGTCTCGAATTCAGGTTGCACGGTGTGACCGAGGACGTATACAGCGAAGGGACTCACCTGATGGTGTGTGTTCACATATCGTCTCCGTGCTCGTGTCTCATTGAAATTTGTAGATTCCTTGGTTTGAAACCCCAATTCTCTTCGACATCCGAGCCAAACCTCGGAGCATTGCCAGTTTGACTGGCACAAAAGGTCCGTCTTACGATTCAAATTCCTATGTCTACTCAATTTTCAGTTAGACTTGCAAATGGTCAATATCACCTGCCGTGTTCTGTCAAAACCTTCTCCACAGGCTCTGCCAACTATCTACCGGGAGCTAGGCCAAGATTTCGACGAACGCGTACTCCCGTCGATCGTGAATGAAGTGCTCAAGAGTGTCGTGGCTCAATTCAACGCGAGTCAACTGATCACGCAACGTGAAATGGTATCCTACTCTTTTGGAGCGTAGTCTCTGTCCTGGATCCCGTGCTGATGGACCTCTAGGTCTCTCGTTTGGTCAGGGAGAACCTGACGCGCCGTGCACTGCGTTTCAACCTTGTGTTGGATGATGTCTCTATCACCCACGTCGCGTTCTCTCCCGAGTTCACTCACGCAGTGGAGGCGAAGCAGGTCGGTGTCTTCGGCCACTTCTTTCCCCGAAGCCACAGCATTGCTCATGTCGAGCTAACCGTATAGGTCGCACAACAAACAGCGTTCCGTGCTGCGTTCCTTGTGGATCAAGCAATCCAAGAGAAACAGGTAAGTTTGAATGATATCGTAATCCGACGCGGGTTCTAATTGTAAACATTTCAGTCTATCATTGTCCGAGCGCAGGGTGAGGCCAAGAGTGCCGAGTTGATCGGGGAGGCTATACGCACGAACAAGGGTTTCCTGTCCTTGCGAAGACTGGAGGCAGCTCGCGATATCGCGTCTCTGTTGGCTGCTTCAGGGAACAGAGTTATGCTGGACTCGGACTCTCTTCTTCTCAACGGTAGGAGGCTGCGATTTCTTTTCGGAGATCAGGTTGACTGATATATCGACGCTCAGTGACTAAGGACGATATGAAGGATCTTTTGAAGACGAAAAAGTGAACTGGTTCCCCTGCGATTGGGTTGTCGGACATCTGTTTTCGATCGCTTTGTATGTTCGCATGTCTTGCTCCACTCAATGACAAATTGTTCCGCATTTCGAATAGCGCAAGTGAAAGTTATCGCCCCATATCAGAGTTTCGAGGGCATGTCGTTGTGCCGTGCTCCTGGCGCGGTCCTTGCAGAATTGGCTTATCGAGGAAGGAGGACTCTATCCTGTTTGCGGCTTCAGATTGCAGTTTCGGACACATTGGGCACGTGGGTCGACTTCGCGACGTCATCATCCGAGTAAGGACTGTTCTTTGGACCTACAGGTGTACCCCTCCTTAGCCATCAACCTATCTCCGTAGCATCCACCCCCTTCATTTACCTCTCCCATGGGTGGACATCCTCGGGCCTCGCCGGCATCACATAGTACAACGTCAACGCGTCTGAAGCGCCAGCGGATAGACGACTCCTTCACCGACACAGAGGATCAACAATCCCCCATTGGAGATGGAAAATACAAGAAGAAGGTGAGGTGGGATGGTGCATCGCGAGACACAGAGGAGGGCGAAGGGGCGGCTAGTTCAGAAGAAACCGATCGAGAGGGAAAAGTAAGCGCTCTGGATGCGTTTACACCAAATCTGACACGGCTACTTCCGAATCAAGATATGCTTGACCGCCTCATGCTTCAGGTGAGTGTGGGTATACGCGCTCATGATAGCTGACAGCTCATCCGTGTACTCAGCGGGAAGATCGGCTGCGCTTACTACGATCCTGTGAAATGTATCATCCATGCATTAGAGGATACACAAGAAAACCATCATTTCGACTTGACAAAAATGCGTTGAGTATCACGTCGCGTTACAATGTCAGATTTCTCTGACTCTTTGGAACGCAGTGCTAAATCAGATCTCCCCCGACTTTATACTCACAAGTTCCAAGGCCGACGACGATTTCATGAACGTCTGTCGTGATTACAGTATGTTTGACGACATACTCTCAGTATATACGCGCATATATTGACCATGTTATTCAGTGGATGAGGCAGGCGGTATGTTCCAGATCAGGCCTCATAAGGATTTCTTACCGGGAAAGGGGCGCAATCGCCTTCTCTCGCTGAAGCTGTTTTCCGACCTTTCTACGTATGACATAGAAGAAAGCCGCTCTGACATAGATTCTTCCTCGGAGCCGCGCAACGCTTACGACTTCATGAAGAACAGAAGGGATATGGACGGAGATCCTACCATGCGACGGTGGAACGCGACTATAAGAATGTCTAACTTTGCATCTGTGGATGCTGCCCCTCTGTGTGTGAGCGCCTGTTGCAACTGATTGGACGAAGTTCAAGATGAAATTGTGTTTCTGTGACAGGTCGGATCGATGGGCGCGTTGCTCGATCATCTTGCTCGGGAATGCGTTGCAGGGGACTTGGAAAATGAAGGTGTAGGGGGATTGAACATCCTTGACATCGAGGTGCTTTCGCTGTATGTCTTCTGGTTGTTCTTTTTACGTGCGAAGGTATATAATGGAGGCCCAGCGACACGGTGATGCAGATAAATGCAGACGCCCTATAGTGAGTAATACCTTATATGCTTCTAGACGTGTCTTGTTGATTGCTCGATCAGCGCCTTGCAGATTTTTGAGAATGAAAGCCACGCGTCCATACACTCAGATAAGACGAAGGAAGGCTTGTCTCTCTTCGGTATGTCTCCCCGGAGGTATGGGTTCGAACCCTGGCTGATTTTAGAACAGGCATTCTCAACAACACGATGACCACCTTAGGACGCCGTCTGATGCAGTCGTGGCTGTTACGGCCGTCTTTGTCTATCGATATTATCAAGGCGCGCCACGACGCAGTCGCATGTTTTACTCGATCTGAAAACCTCGTCGTTACAAATGTGATGCACAACCACCTCAAGGGGATGAGGAACGTTCCTCGGATACTGTCCATGATGAGGACGGGCAAAGCCGGAATTGCAGATTGGCAGGGACTCATCAAGGTGAACTTTTACTCACTCAAGTGACTGGTCACAGATAGTGATCGGTCAGAAATACAGTTCACCTTCCATTCTGCATTGCTTCGAGACACATTGAAGGACCTGAGCGCAAGTAACGACGTGGAAGTCATTCAAAAGGTATGATCGATCGCTACATTCATGAGTCTCAAGGCGAAAACACCTCTTACTTCTCTTCAGCTGGTCATAGCTCTGGATATTTCTAATTTCAAGGAAATCGGTAGTGCAATAAACGAAACGGTATGTATCCACCTGGATTCGTCATTGGTTGCTCGGTTCCAACGTCACTTTCCCAGATCGATTGGGAAGAGTCTACATTATCTTCAAGGATCTGCATTCGTCCCCATATAGACGAGGAGCTCGACAATCGAAAGCATGTCTACAATGGCATAGACGCCGTTCTGGTGCGCCCAGAGCTTATGGAGGGGCTCTAAATTGATTTTTAATATTTCCATGAAGTCGAAAGTGGCCCGGGACATAAGCGAAACAATTCCGACCAACTATGTGACATCCCTCAACGTTGTCTATTTCCCCCAGCTAGGTGAGATCGTCATCAAGCTAACAAGCTTGCTTACTGAGATCTATTCAGGATTTCTCATTTGTGTCCCGATGCTGGACGAATGGAGGACGGACGAAGGAGTACATGCTTTGGATGACTGGACCTTTCAGGCACAATCTTTCAATTTGTGATCTAACAGCATCGTTCTGACTATTCGTTTAGTTCTCTTCAGAGTATGTTCGTTTGTTGACAGTGTTTTCATTCTGCTCATTTGATTGACATATTCTAGGTCACATGTCTATTTTAAGAGCGACAAGATGCATGGTGAGTTTCTGGGATCTCAAGCAACCTACCTGGTGCACATCTCACCGGTTGAAAGACTTGGACACCCATATAGGCGATTTATACTCTTCAATCGTCGGTATGCGTTCGTTGCTTTCTTCCTGACCCCAAGCTCACGCCGTCTGAAAGACCGGGAAATCGAGATCATTCACGCTCTAAAGGAGAGAATACTCGTCTATGATCAAGCCATCACCAAGGCCTGTGATACTTGTGCCGAATTGGATTGCTTACTTTGTTTTGCGAGTGCTTCCACCTCCTTCAATTATTGCAGACCCCGCATGACCGAGGAGAACGTACTCCTCATCAAGCGAGGACGGTATGCACGCTATCATTGTCGCCATCCATGTCGCTAATATTGCCACAGCCACCCACTCCAAGAACAGATCGTTGACGCTTTCGTACCAAATGATATATTTCTTGTGGGAGGCGCTGGAATAGACAGCTATCCTATAGTACATGCCTCGTCAGACGATAATGATGATATGGGGGGAGGTTTGTTAGGAAACGGTGTTCTGATTTGCACAGGAGCAAACGCATGCGGCAAAGTTGTCCGATATTGATTTCCTCTATCCCTCACTGACCACACCTTCTGTAGAGTGTGTTTCTCAAACAGGTAGGAGTAAATCATTCGGCACAATATTATACTCTCATCTTTGAAATATACCCCAGACGGCGTTGATACAATTCATGGCGCAGGTGTGTAGATTCTATGCAATCCCTCAGACATGTCACGAACTGACGATGATAGATTGGATGGTCAGTCTTTTTATGAGACGAACCTGTTTCAACTCATTTTGTCGCAGTTTTGTACCCGCAGAATCCGCAACCTTAGGCATCGTGGACAAAAGTAACATTCAGACTTTGCTTTCTGAGTCCTATGGCTGACAAACCCTCACGACAGTCTTTACTAGGGTATCTAGTCGGGAATCAGTGTCTAAAGTGATTCTCTATAGTCCTTCATACATATTCTCAGCGGACCCTTGATGGACCCTCCTCATGCTGATACATCAGGTGCAATCATCTTTGATGATCGACCTAAATCAAGTCTCTCTGGCTTTGCGGAACTCGACAGCTAGATCTCTGATCCTCTTGGACGAATTTGGGAAGGGGACACTCTCTGCAGGCTCGTGCAATTTTCTGTTCGACATTTATCTATTGATCTCGTCACTTGCTATTCTTGAGATCGCGGCGCTGACCACCCTTGCTCTTCGCTTGTCATTTTCTTCTGATGTATCTAGATGGTGCAGGCCTCTTCTGTGGTGTATTGAAGCACCTCATCTCGCGTGGACCTGACTGCCCAAAGGTAGTAGCTGCAACGCACTTTTACGAACTGTTTCAAGAAGAAGGAATATTCAATCCACGAATTCTTCCTGTGTCATTCGTTCATATGGAAGTCATATTTACGACGAGTGACGGAGACATTATAACAGCTAGCAAGCCACCTGAACATGATGGCGACGCGGAAAGCACAAACAGGATCAATCCCGGAGAAAAAATAACGTATTTGTACAGGTGAGATCCATGTTCTGATAAGAATAAAGTAGGGTAGACAGATGCGATTGGTGAAACAGAGTGGCGTCAGGCCTCTCCTTGCATTCTCATGCTGCAAAATGCGCAGAAATATTCGGGATCCCACATCTTATCGTCCAGAGGGCTCAATATGTTAGGTAAGTGGGCACCTCATGCATCAGACTTAGGGAGCTTATCAGCTCATTCGCACCAGCCAGTTGCTAGAGACACACAATATAACACAGCTCCTGGATGAGGAGATGACAGTGGATGAACGGCAGGATTTGGAAGATGCGGAGGAGATTTGTCGGCGGTTCCTGGCTTGGGATATCAGCAGTCAACTACAGGAGGATCCCGATGGCTTGAAGACGCGGCTGAATGAAGTTCTGGGAAGAGCAACTGCATGATGACCCGAGAATTCATTTCGGATGTACCTCGTACGGAAGTGGATAGTGACTGCTGCTGGTTTGTCAACGTCAAGTTCGGAGACCGACTCAGTCGTCTCAGACATCACGTCGTGGTCGCACCTGATATATGAGACGCACGACGACAAACATAACAGTATTCCTCAAGCCTATGGGTTCTTCCGAGTGAATTTCAGCCCTTCGGGATGCGCAAGAGACTACGATCATGGAGACAGCTTCCTTTGGAACACGGTCGAGCATTATCTGGTGTTATGGAAGAGCATATAGCAATTACAACGATTACAATAAGTAACAGCTGGGATATTCATGTACAAGTCAGGAAGGCCGACATAATCAACGAGAGGACAAGAGCGGGACGGGACCTATCGAAATTACTCACCAACAAAGCGATGTTCAGGCACCTATTCACCTTCATAAACGAAACCCAGCGGTTCAAGGCCACCTTTGGAGATGTCAATGTACCAAAGACGAGCGGAACGGAGCTGGATGACCCGGGGAATATGAGGAGAGGGGAAAGACGGACGAGAGGTACCAGAGCGCCGAACCGCGCAACTCAGTCAAGGAATGCAGAGAGGGTATACGCACACACCGACACACCAATGATGCAGAGAGGAGAATGGCAGAAACGATGCGCACATGGCTACAGTCGGCACACCGGACGTAGCGCAAACTCAGACACCAGTACGTTACTTACTATACTTCCATATAATTCTCGCAACCGCGACCCATCTTCTATGAGGTCCACACGTGCCCCTCATTGCAGCGCACAGCATGGTCAGATGGACACTATTACGATACGCACGCAGATACATACGGTACACGTCTAGACATATGGTACTCCGTAATTAGACAATAATACCGAAAAAAAAATCAACGAGAGTATCCACTCAACTAGTCTAACGCTTCCAGCTAGCCGCTTTTTTCTTCATATATCTGCAACTAAATCGAGGTACATTACCACGCAACCAAGGTAGGACGTCTGCCTCAACGCGGGGACATTCGTTCACAATAAGCGTCTGAATTCGTGAAACCGACAGAGCCTCAGGAGTCAAGCCGGCTTCTGTGCTGAGTCCTACATCCTCTGACAGCCCTTCATCCACCGACCCATCCTTAGGACCAGTGGCCGATAAGGCCAATCTTGCGGAGACCATTCTGACAAGAGGTCCAGAACTCAAACCGTGACAACCTGAGAGGTCCACATTCCTCAGCGCAGAACAAACCAAAGGGAGAGAAGCGACAGAAGAGCGTGTAGGGTCCGTCGAATGCTCATTGTGAGATGTCGCAGGGGTGGTCAGTACCTCCACCACTTCGTTGACAGCGATTGCCGTTTGAGTAAGCTGCAATGTTTCCAGTTGTGGTGCTTGAAGAAGAGCGCGGATGATAAGCTGCGGTTCGAGTGAGAAGCGGCCGATGGTAAGTTCAGTCAGCGCAGCGAGGCTGGATTGCGGATTCTCCACGATTGATTGTAGGACGTGCGATGCATCGGATACACCAGTCAATCGTAGAATACGAAGAGAAGGTAAGCTGAGACCTTCTACCATGATGCGTGCTGGCATTGTATAGGCGAGCTCTAAATGCTGAAGGCGATTGAGCGTAAGTGGAGGGATAGCGGTTGTCGGTCGATCTCTTGTCGGTATCAAGATTGGTCTGCAGTAGCAAATAAGCTCCTCGAGGTTAGGATTGGCCTGCATTACTTGTCGTAGAGGGCGGCAGTCATGCTCCCGAAAATGGTCATAGATCCTTATTGAGACCAGGCTGTGGATGGTACTGGTCATGTGCTTCCAGAGGCAGCGGACATTTCGAAGGGTGAGCGAACGAAGCTTGGATTGAGCCTGCAAAGTTGAATGCTCTGTGAAGCTGTGATCATCAGAGCCAGTGACTAAGGATGACCATGGCCACTCATCCGCGTCGCATCCGGTCAATTCTAGTTCTTCCACATGCCGCCATATGTCCGCCTGGCCTATCTCTCTCCAAAACCCTTCCATAGGAATTGAAACGAACCCTAGCCTGAGAATCTTCAACCGCTCCCATTGAAGACCCCTTAGTGCGCGGAGAATTCCACGCCGAGGGTCCTCTCCCTCGTGAAGGTTTTTATTGTCATATTCGTTTAGATCTTTGGAGAAGCTCAGTTCAGACAACCGGTTGGCAGATCTGATGGCCCACAACCGAGCCTTTTTCACGGGTCGTACGGTGGAAAGGACTAGGACGTGCCAGAGAGAAGGGAGGGAAAGCACCAGAGAGCGCCAAGGCTGAGAGACATGCGACAGAATGATTGGGGTAACGGGGGAATCAGAGACAGCACACACGAATATGTGGCTTATGAGCTCGATGGGGAGTTTCTCTAGATAGTTGACCTTTTCCTGGGCTAGACCAGGAGATCGCTCCATTGTCGACACTATGGTTAATTGACTCCTGTCCTGAGCTTGACGAATAGAATCTCGCAGCTCTTTCAATGCGGCACGGCGAGCCGCGTGTTTCAAGGGATTGTCCTTCGTGCGTTCCAAAGCCAGTTCAACCATTGTCAGCGCCGACGTATATTTCTTCAGCTCGAAAAATAGCCTCGCAGAACGCGCATAGCCCTGCCAATGATCTGGAGCACAGTCTATGACTTTCCTTGAGTCCCGAAGCGCATATTTTGTCTGACCAAGTCGCTCGTAGACAGCAGCTCTGGAATCGTACAACCGCAACGAATGTCGAACAGGAGGATGTTCGGCTTCCTCAATTGCCTGAGATACGGTTGGCATCAATGGGAAGGCAGGAGACCATAAACTCCCACCTTTGAAAGGTGTTCGATGGCAAGGTCCAGCTTGTTCTCATGAAAGCTCGATACCCCGAGGGCGAGGTGCTCCCTCCAACTCATCTTGGATGGGACTTGAGCTGAAGCGTTGATGATTTGCCCACTAAATAGCGCGACTTCACTTTATGACTTGGGTGTAGAACGTCAGAGCCGGAGTGCTGACTTCGACAAGACAGTTGAACGCGTTGAAAGAGGTTGAAAGCCGAAGACTGCGACTCGTGCGGAGATCCAAATATATCCTTTTACACTCGTCCATGAGCGTCATCACTTATTGTTGGACCAACCACTGCGAATACAAAACAATATAGAGACACAAGTTACATCGATTCGTGTCCAGGACAATTCACAGCGAAACATCCTACAGCCATGTTATACAAGTAAAATAAGTCCAAAGTATACGGAATCAAGTCCTTGTAGACTACACAATCCCAAATACAATCGCCACGAGCATGAAGAATCCCCACCGTCCAATTTTATCGTATCATTGTCGTTCAGATTAAGTCCATTAGCCCTGAGGTAGTCCGACGAGTAAAGAACCACTGTCTATCTAGTAACGAGCTAAGCCGCGGTGGCATTATACACGATATTGTTCATGGATAAGCTGATCTTGGTCCCAAGAGCACCCTGTGAACAAAGGTGCAAGAGTTTCAATCATCATGACAATGGCGAGCTGATCAATTCGGACGCACATCGCAGGAATCCCATTCTTCCCAAACCATGAGATAGAACGTAGCGTTAGCAGCTGACTGGCCTGAACCAAAGCCACCCTGGGGTTGTGATAGCACTGGCATGACCAGCTGGGACGGAGGCGGATTCGAAGGGTATGGTACAGCTACGTAGCGAACAAGAGTTATTTCCAGGTAACATTACGGGGTGAAGAAGCACGCGTACCAGGATAATTAGCTTCTTGGAAGGTTCCGAAAAGGTGTCCGGTCATAAACGTTTCCGACGGCATGAACATCGTGGGCTTGTCTGTCACGAGCCAAACGGAGTAGTTGTAACTCGACATGCAGTAGTCTGCGTGCGCATTGTACTTGAAGTCGAATACCTCGCCGGGCATGATGGACGTCCCATTGATGGGAGCAACTATCACGCCGGTTGGGTATGCAAGAGGAGCAGCGGTCGTGAGGAAGGGGATAGACAGCATGAAGAGCATTGAAATTTTCATGACCAACGTAGAGGAGAGCATCGTGAGCGGGTTTTGATATGGGTGCAAGGGCAGATGGCCGGAACTGGGATGGCTGGAACTAACTTCAACGGTTCTTATACTCGATCCGCGAGGCATGCTTCGTGACTCTGCGGTCCGAGTTTGTCCATTTAGAACATACCAGTGCTTTCAGCACATGGCCACGGACGACTTCGATGCGGAGAGTTCCGATTAGAATGCGATCCTCAAGCTTCTTGAACAGACCACGCCGCTCTGGGTCGTCCGCGAGGTGGCAGGACTCGGACTCCGGGCAGAAGGTCAAGCCAGGCCCAAGTTTCCGACACCGCATTATAACAGTGCTCTGAAGCGTGCACACTACACAGCACTGACTCCTGAGCACTGATTCAAGATGTTTCGACACCAATAGGCCTTCCCGTCTCGAGTCAAATTTTGTAGCAGTGAATATACAATCAGAACTCACTCTATGGACGGGATGTCTCGCGTGTCTTGCCGTCGATGACATCACCTGTTTGGACATCGATATAGGAAGAGCTGCAAAACAGGTGTGGCCATGCATCAAGAAGCTCGGTGAACACTTAATTATGGCATATGTTATCCATCGTGCGAACATAGCCTTGGGCAAAGCAAGACATGTACATGTGAGAGAGGGCTGTGAATCGCAGCTCGAAGCGTGGAAACGATGAATTCCTGGTACCGTATGGTCCCAGGTTTGTCGACGATGATTTTTGATTAGAAGGACGTGCATCGATTCTCAAAATCTCACCATAGTATGCGAACTTCGGGTGCATCATGTGCCCCAAACGATACCATCTGCCATCTGAGCGAAGGAAGTAAAATGATAGAACTGATGCGTTACAAGGGGATAGACGACTAGACTACGCGAAGTATATCAAAGCGTTCTTCTTCTTGCTTTGAACTGTGGAACAATCATGTGTTAGCCAAAACTCGACCCAACCAAACTCGACACAAACCTTCTGCGATACCACTCAGGAAATGTTCATGGCCAAGTTTCCTCGCACCCTCTCGGAGAGCAATCATACCAGCTTCTACACAGACTGCCTTCAACTGGGCACCGTTGAACTCGTCCGTACTCCGTGCGATCTCTTCGTAATTAACGTCAGGTCCAACAGTCATCTTGCGTGAATGGATTTCGAGGATGCGCGCGCGCGCGGTCTCATTCGGTAATGGGAATTCGATCTTGCGGTCAAGTCGTCCTGAACGAAGCAAAGCAGGGTCAAGGATGTCGATCCTATTCGTTGCAGCGATAACCTGTGTTTTGTATTAGTGATAGCATGTGGAATATACGAGATATCGAAAAGGCGGACTTTGATTCGTTCATCACTGCTGAAGCCGTCAAGCTGGTTCAAAAGTTCTAGCATCGTTCTCTGGACTTCACGGTCACCGCTCTTCTCTGAGTCGAATCTCTTGGTGCCAATGGCGTCCAATTCGTCGATGAAGATGATGGCAGGGGCCTTCTCCTTCGCAAGTTCGAACGCATCCCGAACGAGCTTGGCACCATCACCGATGAACATTTGCACCAGTGATGGGCCAGCAAGTTTGAGATAACACGCATTTGTCTGCGCGGCGCAGGCACGGGCCAACAAAGTCTTTCCAGTCCCTGTGGGCAATGATATAATTAAATCGGGCTAAACACGCTAGATGTAGGTGTTTACCTGGTGGTCCGTACATGAGGCAGCCCTTGGGTGGCTTAATTCCCAGAGTCACGAACTTCTCCGCTTGTTCCATAGGTAGCACAATTGCTTCAACAAGCTCCTCAATCTGCTTCTCCAGCCCACCGATGTCCGTATACGTCTCTGTCGGTTTCTCATCTACTTCCATAGCTTTCACTCGAGAGTCGTATTCCGTGGGCAAGGTGTCGAGAATAAGATACGAGTCTTTGTTGACACCAATGAGATCGTCCGGTCGCAGCTTCTCCGGAGGGACGAGACCAATGAGGGGAAGAAATACGGTTTGTCGCGTCGAAGTCTTGATCACAGCAGTTTTGCCCTTACGCATAGAGTCTAGATCTTGATTTGCACCGTCTTCCTCTCCTTCGGGATCGATATCTAAGATCTTAGGCCTGGGTTCGGGACGGGATGCACATCCTTGAACAGTGTGGGCTCACCTCGACAACATTGGCAACAAGGTACGGCAGAACCTTATTCTGCTTGATCTTCTCTCCGTTATCTCGAATCTTCTCTTTCATGACATTCTGCTCATGTTGTAACCGCAGCGTTTCTGATTTCATGACCTATCGCAACTGTCTGAGTAATTATTCCACGTCGCCCAACACATGGATTCTTACCTTGATATCATTGTCAATCAACCGCACTCTCGTCATGATTTCGTTTGTGTCTAGCTCCATCACTTCCTGAGGAATATCTGCCCATGTCTCCTCCGCAGGTGGATCAGGTGTTATGTCCATCACGACATCGGGTTGAGTTGGGTCGGCGGGAGCTGACGAGTCCTGACCACCTAGTTTTTCGTTGTTGTTGGGTGGTTGGCCTGGGGGTAATGATGACGACATTGTGGGAGAAAGGGAGGAGAGAGGATACAATGGGTGAAAGCAAAGTGCAACAACTCCGGTGCGGACGCGCGTCCTCATGATGACATAATATCGACTTCACGTGCTCCCTGCGTTTCCCCGCATGATAGCTTACTTGCAGCAGAGGTCAACAGGCTCTGAACCTGCTAGCGTGGCGGTATGCCGAACGATGGCCCGGGACCCTCACCAGAAGATAAGGCGCGATACGATGGGGCAAGGAAAGAGCTTATACAGGCACTCTCAAAGAAACGAGCCGTAGACAAACAATTGGTTGAGTACCATTTTTCTGAGTTGAATGCTATGTTAATAAGATAATTGCGATTCAGGCACAACTAGAGATTCAAATATACAATCTTGAGAGCTCTTACCTCTTGGAAACTTCTGCTCATAGCGGAGGTAATATTATTCATGGATTTGACGGTTACTTGAAGAACCAGATGACGAAGAAGAAGTATGAGCTGAATGATGGGGATCGAATATTCTCCACCAGCAGCTTGACTTTCCAAAAGGTAGGGTAACCTCACCATATTTTCTGTGCTTGAATTGATGTTTGTACTTTGATCAGTCCATTGAACTATCCGGTGAAGGAGAGGAGTCCTCAGCTACAGTGGATGATTATAAGCAGCCAACTCCAGGGCTGACAACCGTTGTTCTCCCCCCTGCTTCCCGAGCACAAGAGCTTACAGCAGCGCAGCTGAAAAAGAATAGAGATAGGGAGTATCAGCGGAAGAAACGCGCAGCCGCGGGTCGTATCAGTATGGGGACTGTCAGTGACGAAGAATCTGCTCCATCTACCGGGAGGCGACCGACGAAAAGGTCGAGGATGATGGACGAAGATTGATTTTTGCATGATATATACCGGTAAATTTTTGTGAACTTCATGATTGCTGTTGTCCGTTGATTCAAGTTGTTTTATCTACAGTATCGCAAGTGTCCTTCTGCATTGTGTGTAGCGCTCTTCATAAGTCCAGGCAACTACTGCATTTCCGTCTGATTTAATAATTCAAAGGTCCATTGTTTTGAGAAACTGCTTCAAAGCAGCCTCATCAAGACCACCTTCGTCAGGATCGGCGGCCTCTATACATCGTGTCACAGCAATTGTGTCTCTAACTTCATTGGCTTTAATCCACACTCTGCCGTTCACCCCAACAGCCACATCCAGAGGAAAGTGCGATCCAAGCAATGAGAGCAGGAAATAGGAGGGGTCTAGAAGGCTATCAAGATTTTCCTTAATATTGCCAAGCAAAGAACTATATTTTTACACTTACTTTCGCGCCATTTTTAAGCTGCAGCGTACCAGTAGTCCCCCTTTCAGCTCGCCAAATCCTTCAGCTTTCCGGGTTTGAGCATCGAAACATTCGAGCTCAGGCTCCATATCCTTATGCGCAAGAGATACGCGCGCATAGATCAATGACCCGACCTATAAAAAAAGGGTGGAATTAACTGCAGCGCGAAAGGGATGGGTGTCTCACTTTCAGGTTTGGCCTGTTTCGTCTGCTAGCACCCTCGAAGGCGAGACCGTCGAGAGAGGCATTGTGAGCTGAACCGATATCAACCCTCCACCCTTCGCCTTGTTTCCCTGCTACGATGCCTACTACTGATTCTTGGAGGGCTGGCGTGTACTACTCTCGGTAGCACAGGTGATGAAGAAGCACATTTTCAAAGGCAATAAGTCGAAATAAAGGCTCACACGTCGAGCGTTGCTCTCCACCCACCACCTAGCGCCATTTTTAGAATGCTCTAGACGTCCTGCGCGAGTAGATACAACAACATTTGAACCCTCGGGCGTTATAGTTTGTTGGAGACCAGGGCCAAGTTTGAGATTGACATGCTGAACAGGAACGCTCTCTCCTGGCAGGACGAGAGCCATGGTTGCGGTCTCGAAACACCGCGGTGGCTTGGAGACTTGACTGCTGACGCCAGTAGTTGACATTACTCCTCTCACCATAACTTAGAACAATCGACTTCCCACTACTTGCTGTGATGTCTAACACGACACAATTATTGACCGAGTTCCCAGAGCTATCTCATCTCTCGTGAGGCGCCAACTGATGCTACACCAGGGGTGGCATATGGATATATTAATGGCGTCATATCGCAGGCGCGAGGATTTGGAAGATATGCTAGTCGATCCAGCGTATTTCCAAGCTGTTTTCCACACTTTAACCACGGTGAAGGAGCTCTACCGAGCCCAAGCTGAGCTCGGTCTTGCAAACGAGTCTATAGCTAGTGAGTGGGCCATCTCCTTCACGAATGCAGCTATTCACGAATCCACAGAACAGAACCTGTCCGTCCAGGATGAGGTGTACAGGATGAGGTCTGAAACCAAAGATGCCTTCGATGAAGCTAAGGCATTGGAAGCGAGATGGGCCGAATTGGAACGAGAGCAGAAGGAGGTTTTTCAGGTTTGTTCCCATCTGCACGTCTAATGGAGTTCATCCGATAACGTTATTTTACCGAACCAAGCGTTTTAATCCGCAATTTTTGCTCATGCGATTGAGGCACGCGACAACTGCACAGGATGATCTCTCCGAGGCTCTTGCGTCTACATTTGTCAGATCATCAGCATCCGAGGTCCCCTCGCCATCTACGAACGGCAAGGATGTGGATGACTTCGTGAAAGAGTTTCGAGAATTGAGAAAGACATATCATAAAAGAGTCATGTGGGGCGATCGTTGGGCTGCAGGACAAGTTGCATGGAGAGATGACTAGGGAGGTTTGCAGTTATATCCATTTCTGAAAGGAACATTTTTCATCGCCTTTTGTATGTCGCTAATAATATTCATCTCATGTATACCAGGTTTCGCATCCCATTGTTTACTATAACCCAGAGACGTCGATTTTGATCGTCATTATTCTCTCGCATTACACCACCCTCTGATCACTTTGCCGGGTCCTCAAATGACAGTCGTGTCACTTGGCAGTAACAGTCAATTGGAGCAATTGCAGTGGATTATCCGAACTTCCCATCGGGTCTTTGCACACCATTTCGGATACGGCTCCTGCTCTCGCGATGCTACCATATTCGATGGGAGTGGGTAGTTGTCGGATCCGAAGTTATCGTAGACATGCTCATGATCATGCTTCGGAAAAGTCTTGCTAAAACTTCGCCCCCAGATATGTCTCGTACGTCCTTGCGACCGCCAACTTCCTCGGATCCCGAGCTTATCCGCATCATATGACATGGAATTGACTGCGCCCTGTCGTGATCGTGCGCTTGCTCTTGTATTCAGAAGGCTCTAAAGTGGGCGTGGCCCACTGGCCTTCTCGCAGGCTAATTTATTAAGCTGTTGCTTCGTGTATCCCCTCAGAATATCCATTCATGGGGGTATATAACCTGGCGAGGAATGGATGGTCCTAATATCCAGGATCTAGCAACTGCTCTAAGTTTTGTTGATCACCATGTTGTTCAAGTCTTCTCTCGTGGCAGCCGTGACTTTCGCGGTGTCTGTATCTGCTCACACCATCTTCCAGGTTTGCTGGCAACGCGATTCTTCCTTTTTCTCAGCTTAACTATAGTGTTCGTAGGAAATGTACGTGAATGGCGTGGATCAGGGTCACATTACCGGAATTCGTGTTCCAGATTATGACGGGGTAGGCTCCTCCCTTCCTTTCTTGCCCTCGTTGTTTATTATACTGATGATTTTCGTTCGTCATAGCCTATCACAGATGTTACATCCAACGATCTTATCTGCAATGGTGGTATAAATCCATACCACCAACCTATGTCAACCGCGATCATCACGGTCCCTGCCGGTGCCCAGGTGACGACTGAATGGCATCACACACTGGCTGGTGCAGACCCATCAGACTCTGCTGATCCTATCGACCCCAGTCATAAAGGTCGGTCTTGAATAATTGACATTTATTTGATCATCTACGATTGAATTTCTCCATCGTATCAGGCCCTATCATCGCTTACCTGTAAGTACCCCTTGCTCTGATCCCGACATACTCGAGCTTCGATGTCCGTAGTGCCAAAGTACCAAGCGCCACTCAGAGTACGGTGACAGGACTCCAATGGTTCAAAATCTATGAGGATGGCATGGAAAGTGACCAATCTTGGGGCGTCGACCGTCTAATCGCTAACAAGGGTAAAGTGTCTTTCACAATCCCGAGCTGCATTGAGGCCGGCCAGTACCTTCTCCGTGCAGAAATTATTGGTGCGTACAGTCATCGTAAAAAACCTAATCGGTATATCCTTACATTCCTTTCAAGCTTTGCATGGTGCTTCGTCGTATCCAGGTGCCCAGTTCTACGTGAGTCATCAAGCACATCTCACGATCAATGATCTGACGATTGTCCTGCAGATGGAGTGCGCTCAGCTCCAAATCACCGGCGGTGGTAGTACGTCGCCCGCGACCGTCAGCTTCCCAGGCGCATACAGCGGTACGACATGGGTTTTATTGATACGCTGGATGTCGCAAATCTGATGGCGAGACCGTGCTTGAAGGAACCGACCCAGGCATCAAGATCAATATCTACCAGACCCTGCCATCGTACACAGTTCCAGGACCTGCGGTGTTTTCCTGTAATGGCAGCACTGCTCCCGCTCCCAGCAGTTCCTCCGCGGTTGCTCCTACGAGCTCTGCTGCCTCTCCTACGAGCTCAGCCGCTTCTCCTCCTCAAGGCTCTGGCACTCCCGTGACCCACTATGGACAGTGCGGAGGCCTTACGTGAGCGATTCTCTTTCACTGAATTCAGCCTACTGATAGTTCTACGATTAGTTATACAGGGAGTACCGCCTGCGCTTCTCCCTACACCTGTACTTACTCGAGCGACTACGTAAGTTCATTTCAGCCGAGGATTTGACCGAGAAGTTGATGTCATTTCTTCGCAATTCCTAGTATAGCCAGTGCCTATAGATACTTACGAAAGAACATGATTTTGCATCCATCCTCCTACCAGTGGTCATCTGTCTCAATGAATGGAATGGATGTCTTACTTCCATGAAATTTCTGTATTCGTATGGCGTAGCACCTGTGTGCAATGTGCAGTTCGTCAAAGCTCCAAGTCCTAGATCGCAAATACACTGCATTTAAACTCGCTCTTCATAAGGCACGAATGAACTACCTGATCCACTTGGCGCATCCTGCTGAAATGTTGTGTTTTCCCGTAGCATCAAATGCCGTATGAATTGTCTAGCTTATGTGTTGGCCTGGTAGGATGTGCTGGCATAGCGCTTCTGGGTGTTCCATCCCTCTCGTACACAAGACCCCTCGACGTGGTCGACGAATGGTCTGATGACTTTGGCAACTATTTTCGTCTGTTCGGGAAATCTTCACCTGCCTGAAAAGTGACTCGCATTCCCTGACATGCGTTGTCGGTCTCTCAAAGAGCGTCTTCTATTCTCGCGTTCTTCCTCCGGCATGAACCCTTTGAGGCGCATTATACTATGACGGCCCACAACACTCGCCGAAAACCCCAGTGACGTGGACAGATAGAACAGCAGACCTGGGTCTCACTCAACAATCGCGAAACGAATTTTCAAACGTGTTCTGTGACGATGACTCTATAACGTATAAATAAGAGCCTGCTTGGCTGTCAAAAGAGCAAGACGCCAGTGTTCCCCCTTCAAGCTCCAAGATGAAGACCACACTCGCCTCTCTTGCTTCTTTCGTACTCTTGGCGAGCTGCGCCTCTGCTAGAACCGTCTTCTCCGTGAGTATAGCACTTCCGGAACGGAGAAAAGTTCGCATGGAACTTATGAATGGGTTTTCGATAGGCTTTCTCTGTGAATGGAGTTTATGAAGGCCTTGCCGTTGGTGTGCGTGTTCCGGCTGCCAACACTGTGAGCTTATATCGCTACATATGTGTCTTTGTAAACTGAAAGCATCTGAATTTCTCTCAGCCCGTTACAGACATCACTTCGAACGACATCATTTGTAACACCGGCTTTGAACAGCCTGTTTCGGATGCGGTCATCACCGTCCCTGCAGGTGCCACAGTGACCGCCTCATTCCACAAGACCTCTGCTGGGTATCTTGGACCTGATCCTGCGGACCCAATCGACCCTGAAGACAAGGGTAGGCTCCCTTTTGAAACGAATATTGACGTTATACCTGATTCGACAACTCCCAGGCCCTCTGACGGCGTACCTGTAAGTTTTTTCCCTGTTTTTTTTTTCCTGTCCACGTCTGATATACCGACAACGGTATAAAGAGCCGTCGTCCCTGACGCGACTCAGGCAAATGTCACCGGTCTGAAATGGTTCAAGATCTGGGAGGATGGCTTGAGCGGTCAGCGGCAATGGGGTTCCGACCGTCTGTTCATCAACGGCGGAAATGCTACCTTCACAATTCCCTCCTGCATTCAAGACGGGCAATACTTACTACGCGTTGAGGATATCGGTACGCACCCCATCAGATACTGTAGAGATGCTGTTCCTGACAAAAAGACACTAGCTCTTCAATCTGCCACCGCGTACCCAGGCGCCCAATTCTTTGTGCGTAGATCAGCCTTATCAAGGCCTCATGAATTCGGTTAATTGGTTGCTTGTTCATTAGATGAGCTGTGCCCAAATTGAGGTGACGGGCGGAGGCAGCGCTGTTCCTGCTACCGTCAGTTTCCCTGGTGCCTACACCTGTATGTGTCAAACTATCTATATCACTTGACTTATGCCGACCCAGTCTATATAGCCACGGACCCCGGCATCGTCGCGAACATCTACACCCTCCAGAGCTACACGCCCCCTGGTCGGTAGCGCCTCACTAACATTGTCATCATATCTCACTCCCCTTGTCATAGGCCCTGCTGTTTTCACTTGCTGATCATCGGCGCTGCGGTATCAACAGATTGTTCAAGACGGCCGACCACCCGGAACCAAAAGGACCCGGCGCCGCACGACCCCGACCTTTATCTTCAAAAAGTCTGTTGTGAATTTTGTATGCTTCATAAATTACATGGTTCTTCGACAATTTCATTGCGATCACTGAAAATTGCGGGGTCGTTACCGGTCGTCACATATGACGGCCCGTTTGCACAAAAAATCAAATCGCGCAAAACTTGTTGCGAGCGCGCAACTTTGGATTAAAGCGCGCAACTTTGGATTATGCGCGCAACATTGGCTGGGTCAATTACATATTTAGAATTTCGGGCCGGATCGGGCCGAGGCTTTGGTTCAATTAGTTTCCATATCTGGTAAGTTTGTGCTTATAAATATAATAGCCGAAAGAGAGAGTCGTCGCTTGTGAATGAACCCGGGATCGACCGGGAATCAGCTCCTTGGCGGATTCCTGGTCAATCCCGGGTATATTGCCTATATCCCCGGGATATCCCCAGGACACATTCGGGGCAATGTCCGGTGTAGACCTTAACACAGAACGACTGTAATCTTCTGTGTTGGTCGGCCACGGAGACTAGATATCCAGAGACCATATCGGAGGTTGAAGGAGAATCGTCTACGGTCACTGCCTTTGGAGACTAGGCGGGATATTCGGAGACCATGTCGGAGATTGAAGGGGAAACGCCGACTTTGAGCCGCTTCCCCTGACGCGAAGCATCCATTGCTCTGACTGAACTACGCGGCGGACGAAACTTCATCTATGTCGACGTCGATTTCCCACCTCACAGACCCCCTGTTTTTCGTCCTAGCACCTTTAGCTTCTCAATCCGGAAGCGCGAGTGTTGTTGCACACACCTCCAATGTTGAGGTCGAACAGTCTCTTCAATCACTTTTACTCTCTTTGAAGCCACCATTAACTCATGCGCGCATCAACGAAGCTATCCAGGCGCTTCAGGAGTATGAGTCTTTTCGGACAGCGTCAGAAACTGCAGGAATTTCAAGTGCTCCAACTTATGAAGAAGAGAACCTGAAGACTGCGATCGTCCATAGACTCGTGGTCGGGACTTATGCTGTGGTTTTGGACACTTTCTTGAACGAGGCTATCAATGCAGAGACCGAGGCCGAGTGGTGGGCTGACATCGAACGATCTACCTGGGGTGTTTGGGATTATCTTTTGCAGAGTGCGTGGACCTCATCTATTTTCTATGTATGTCCTCTGTCTGTTTCTTCACAATTACACCCCGTTCCACCACTGAAACGGTTGGTGGGACAATGATTCCCCTAAAATCAAAATAGTAGTTGACCCTCCTATTCGATGCATCAATAAAACTGACATTTCATTATCAGCTCTTCCGTCCCGGGTCATCAATCTTCTTCAGAAGGCAATTGTTGTCTTGCATTCCCAGAATCGATCGTTCACTACGTCTCTCCTGAGTATATCCTCTCTACGCAGTCTTCTCTCCGAGAAGGAGCCAGGTCATCCGAACATCTTGGCCGCCTCGCTGTTTCCACACCTACACCTACACTCTCGCATTCTCCCCGTCTTTCTTCCTACCTTGAATGCGTCCAAACTTTTCCTTAGACATCCATCTCGGGCGCCATCTACAAAAGACGTCACATTGGCTTTCCGAACAATCCAGAACACACTTTCCGCATTGATCAACTCAATCTCTGTATTTTTTGCACTCCCATTCGAGCTCACGCGTCAAGAATGCATGTCACGACGAAAAGAGCTGCAAAGAATTCGGGATGAGCGCGCAAAGGTTCTTGGTGACATGACGAACAGACGTAGCCAACTAATCTGTGCTCTAGTCAGCACGTCTGAGCGCGAATCCGAACAAATTGGGTTTCTGGAAGAACTCAGTTCAATAGCCTTTGGCATTCCATATGCCGAAGCCCCTCCATCTGTCTTATATGCGCTTTCAAAAGTATCAACTCGCTCCATCCTCCAGCACACTACTCAACATCGCGAATACCTCACGAGCCAGTTTCTCATGCGGCCATCGAGGTTGACAAGACTTTGGCCAAGGCTCGTGTTCTTGCCTCCGCTCGCCCTTCTTTTGCTCAGGGAGGTGTATGCGTCGAAGGTATCGTTAGCAAGCATGGCTGAAGAAGTCTGGGAGACCATGAAAGGTTTCTGGAGAGGATGGCTTGTCGAACCGTCTAGAGATATATTCAAGACTGTGCGGGCTGGTGGAGAAGAGGGAATGATCGTTCGCAAAGAAAGCGTAGATGCGGATTTGCAGGTAGGCGCCTAGGCACGCCTGTTCTGTCGTCTCTTGTCAATTTGATCGAGACTCTCCCCATACATCTAGTCACTAGAGCGGATGGCGCTGGACCTTGCCAGGGAAAAACTGCGGTACGGACCCGCGCAGCTTGACGAACTATCCGCGAAAATCCGTGTGGGGGATCTGACGCCTATTCTGCAAATCTATGAAGAGGATATCAAGAGTCCCGTGAAGTCCGCAATTAGTGGAACTCTACTCAGGTCTGTCTTCGTGCAAGTTCAAAAGGCCAAGGTGTGTTCATGCTACGTTTCACCTCCGTCGCCGGCTTGTCTGACGCAATGCTTCCAAAGGTCGACATTGACCAAACTCTCGCAGGCATCGACAAGTTGCTGAAGTCGCAGGAGTTGACCTTTGCATTTGTGGGTGTAGCGCCAGCTTTTGCGATCGTTTACATCGCAAGCGGCTATCTGCGCAATCTTTGGTTCGATGGACGCGGGCAAGGGCGGTACGGTGGCAAGAAACAGCGGGCCGCAGCCTGGCTCGCGATGCGGCGCATTGAACGCCTCCTCATCTCACAGCCGCGTACGCCAGGACAGAACTCTCTCACTGACGCTCCACGGTTGTCTGCTTACGCAGATCACACGACTCATATTCCCCCACTTACCTCTGGCCTGATGTTGATCTCGCTGTCGGCTCTGAGAACCTACGCAGAGACGTATCTCCCAATGCGGTCAAGGCTGCGAGAGGGCTTTTTAGAAGATGTCGGGGACCTTGAGGATCCGGTTTTGAATAGGGAGGAAAAGGTTAGGGTTATTCAGAGGATGTGGAGGTCGTGGGGACGCATCCTAGACTGGGACAGAATGGGTGGGAAGAGCGAGAGGTGAGGCCCTTCACATGCGGGGGAGCTTGTAGCGCCAGTCTCAGGACATAATGGTTCATACGAAAATTACCAGCCTTTCCTTCATATGACTCTACTGGTGCTTTCCAAAAGCCTGCAACAATGAATGGATAAACCTATGGGCACGTTCTCAGAATCCGCTCTGGCGTGCTGGACGATAACATTTACTTAGAGCCACAGATTCATACTGTAATGAGAGACCCAACCTTTGACAAAGAGTACCTAGTCCGAGCGGTGCAGAAATCGGGCGGAGAAAGCGTAAAAGATCGGCATTCAGCGGCACACCGCCGGAATATATGAGCGTCGATACATTTATTGGCATGATTTCTTTCGCCGAGGCCCATTGTTCTAGATCTGGCTGTACTGTACAAACCAGTGCTCGGGAAAGAAAAGACTTAAACTGCAGATGAGTGTTAGATGAGTGATCAAGGCAACCCCTCGGTCCGGCGGCAGACCTCGGCAGACCCGGCAATGGACGAAGATTAAATGTCGGGCTGATGGATCTTACCTGGTGATGGTGATCAGTGGGTGATCACCATTTGCTGACGAACGTCCCTGTGCAACCTGTTCACCTTGTTCTCCCATCATGGAGACGTACCGCGCTGCGCTTGTCAATAGCAAGGGGAATAGGACTGTCATATTTGTCGGCCTGGTTACCGCTGCTATTATGCTCGTTTTATGGGGATTGCTTGAGCCGGCTAGTCCACCAACGATTCGCAAGGTGTCTTGTCTGCTTAAGAAACCATACCGTGGTGATTGATATAATTACATTGCGCTATAGGCAGTTGTCGTGCTCTCTGGACCAGAATCGAAGGCTTTTGGCACAGTGGCCTTCGAACAAGTTTCCAGTACCGGGGCGGTTACTGTGACTGGAGACCTCCAAAACCTCGATCCTTCAGCCAGACGCGGTTTCCACATACAGTACGCATAGTTTCCTCCCCAAGAGATTATATCTTCAGGCCTCTTGTCTGAGTCATTCCAAATAGCCAACTAGGCGATACAACTAATGGTTGCTTGTCGGCTGGCCCCCATTTCAACCCATATAATAAGAACCATGGCGCCCCTTCTGACTCAGAGAGACACGTAGGCGATCTCGGAAACATCGAAAGCGACAGGTTTGGTATTGCCAAGTTCACGATCCAGGATAGCATGATTACTTTGAACGGACCTTTAAGCATTGTTGGGTGAGCAGTCAACCCTCTCCTGATCAACCTTTAGGCATTTTTGATACAAAGACGACTCTGTAGTCGCACTGTGGTCTTACATACGGTAAGTTCATATACCTCAACCAATACATAGTTAGCTCAAGTTTTGCTCAGGGCGTTGATGACCTTGGAAAAGGTAATAACGCCGAGTCTCGAAAGACAGGAAACGCCGGCGCACGATCAGCGTGTGGCATCATTGGTACAATATATTTCTTTTATCTACTCCATTTCTTGTGCTCAAATTCTCCGGATAGGGATTGCTGAATTTGTATAGGCAGTTCGGAAAATAAAATGTCATAATTCTCCAGCATACATAACAACGGTGTACACGGCCATCGTGTTTGACCATGACCATCCCTTCCTTTGTTGCTAGCCTGAACTTCAAAATGCCTGTACTACGACCGCCTGAACATGTCACTGGCACTTCAAAGCAAACTGTCTCAGAGGTATACTTCACTGCGTACATTTTCAGAATACATCACCTGATAATAATAGGGGGCCGACACGGCAATGCACGCAGTTCCACTGATGCATGTGGTGGGACCGGTGTATCCGGTACCTACACGCCCAATATTGCATTAGTAGGTGCTGCCTGTTTCTGGCTTTAGGACCTGATCGTACCTCCGCACTGCCCATACTTGGTCTGCGTAGGTCCGACGGCACTCGAAGTACTGGACGCCGACGTCGAAGAGCTCGCTGGTGACGAAATTGTGGAAGTCACAGGGGGTGACGAGGACGAAGGGGCGCTTGATCCGCTTCCAACACTCGTCGTAATTGGGCCGCTTTCGATATACACACCAGAGAAGTAGAAGTTCTCCGGAGTGGCATCGTTGACTATGCGTAAGACTCCAACGTGCCAGTCCTCCGAGTTGGTGGACGTCGACGCGGCTATGTTGTTAAAGACCTTGGTCATTGGGGCGGAGCCCTCCGAGAACCAGAGGCCGACAGTGCTCGCAGAGAACTAGCGTGCGGGTAAGCGCCACTCACAGGATCCGAAAATTGAAGCAAGCACTTACATCGATGTCGTAAGCAAAGTTATACCAGGTATCCGCCTCCCAGAAAAAGCCCCACTGGGGAGAACTTGAAACGTGCCATTCCAGGTAGGTTTGGTTAGGGGCAACACCATACTTGAGCTGTAAAAATGTATTTCGAACGTAAGTCTTCTTCATGCTTTTCACCGTAGCCTAATTTTCACCTCTGTGAAGTGGGATTCAAAGAAAAAGATTTGATGTTCTAAGGTCGACTGTATGCAGAGCGTTCAACGTTCATCTCACTGATACCTAGGGCTCGAGGAACCAGTGAAACTCACCTCTGGAGGACTCGTGCTATCGCGCTTAATGGAAAAGTGGTAGAAAAGATTCCCCGTTCCGAGGTTTGCCGTGGTCTGCGGAATCAGCTCTGTCCTCTCCATCTGCGAGTTCCATGTGGCCGTCGAGTCAATAGTGACTCGCAAGCCATTGGTCTCCGCGGTGTCGGCGGGGTTCTTATATGAGGGGTCGAGGGCTAGGTAGTGCGAGGTTGGTTGTGTTCCGTGGATGTACTGGACCGCACTAGATAAGACTAACGATATCGTACTAGTTTGGCGCAAGCGACGTACCCACTGGTATTCTCCAACCTCGTCAGCCCAAGACCCTGTACTTCATTCGTCAGCCTAATATTGTTTATATTTATCAGGAGACACTCCGCTTACAGTTATCGAACGCAGAGACGGTAGGATACGAGTTAAAGGAACCCGACCAGACCGTCGTCCCCGCGCGAACAGAGACGTTGAAAAGGTATAGTAAACTAAGCGCTGAAGTCACAAACATGATTTATTCGGTGTCAACCTCTGCATGATTTCGCTTTATATATCAACAATCATGTCGATCATTATTGCAAAACGTCTCGCTTGGGAATTGTCGGATGCGATGTATTTGCGAATATCTACCTTGAATTATCCCCGAATGTCGACATCGGTCTTTCTTTGCCCACGGGACACCTCTCGGAAAAAATCAAGCTAGAGGAATTCAAGTGCGTGCAAGAGTACGCAAAAATGTAATCTACCTACTTGTAGTGATAAATTAATCAGCTATGACAGCGTAGGTAGAATATTCTTGTGGCCCTGGGTATAGAATACAAACTTCAGGGTATGCAAAAGGATACGACAATTACTCCGCTCTGGCGAACAGCCATCTCGTGAACCACGATCTATGTGCCCTAGCGCCCTGCAGAGCTTCCTCAGCCTCCCTTCGTAACCGTTCCTCCAATGCTACCCGCTCTTCAACAAGAGCCTCCTCTTCGACGGCCTCCTGCATTGTCACCGCCGTCGGCTCGCGCTCGCGATATGTAGGAATACTGGCCAGAGAGGGATTTGCCAATATCTGTGATACAGTAGGAAAGAGCTCCCCCTGAATACGTCGGTCGGGATGAGGTCCTGGGTCTTCCCGAAGTCCTAGTTCTTGAGTCAACGACCTAGAGCGCCCTCGCATCCTCCGACCAATTGCTGATCGGAACGATGATGGAGCACTGAACTGAGGTCGCATACCGGAGATGCCGGACGTGGTACGAATCCTGGACATGATAGATGGCCCTACATCGAACGTATGAGGTCGATGAAGGCTAGCGCTAGACCGTACCGTTCCGACGGTGCTCCGCTCACTACTCCGTCTGCGCCCGCCCAGAAGAGTTGGCCGACGTTCTTGCGCATCTTCTATATTCTCATCTCGGTCTGGAGCATTGATCCGAGACGCAATTCTTGGAGGTAATGAGACCACCTCGCTTCCATTGAAACACCGCGCCGTTGACATCGAAGAACTGCGTGCTCTGTCAAGTGGAGGTGGGGAGGCAATAGAGGGTGTCTGCTGATGAGGCACTCCTGACGTGAATAACGAGCCCAGTTGGCCTGTGGTAGTGGTCGTTGTCAATGACCTTTGGACGTCGACTGTCTCGTCAAGGTTGAGAATGTCGCAAGGATTACGGGGTAGCCAGAGGGTGTTGCTGATCGGCTGTTTGTAGTACGGGTTCTCGTACGGATGGCAAGGGTCTGATTCGTCGTCCCAGGCGGGGTGGGGAGGGTGGGGAGTTACGAGAACCGTTGCCGTAGCTTCCACGAGATGCACTGGTGTCTTAGATGAACTTGGCGGTGATGGTGCTGCATTCTCCCCTTCGCTCTGTTCTTGATGAACAGATTCGGAAGTGGGCAATGAATCTGCCTTGGAACGAAGACCATCAATAGACTGGAGCCGTGCAAAAGACGATTGGGAGGTGGCGAAAGGGTTTGGCTGTCGTCTCGCGTCGCGGCGTCCTTGGCCAGAGTAGGTTGCGTAAGAAAAGACGACCTCGGTACGAAGTCGCCACGTCTTCCAATGTTTCCACGATTGTGAAAAGCTGTTTTGGGGTTGCGCGCGGTTCCCTGCATCTTCTCTGTGATTAGAAATGGAATCTCTATCACCAGCAAAATTGTCATCGACAAGCTCCTCTTCGGTGCCACAAACGATGCTTGCTTCCCACATGTCATCGCGCTCGAATTTCGCACGACAAGCATGGGTTAATCTGAAAGGCACATCAATGAGTAGGAACATGGAGAGATATAACAGATACATACAGTAACTTCATCAAAACTGTGAGGATAATAAGAACTGCTGATAAACCAACGTTCGCTCGCTTCTTCAAAACGGCCATGTATGCAAGGAAGACAGCCTAAAAACGTTTTCAATTATTTTACTCAGACCGTGATCTTGATGTACAAACCTGCGAAACAACAAGGCCTGCGACGGAATCAGTTATTGATCAGGAGACCATTTAAATTCGCCTACCGTCCAAGGAATATCGTATCATTCGGATCAAGAGATGCTGGCCATTTCCTTCATAATTCTTGGCGTACACATGCAATAACTACAGTGAAAGTTGTGAGTAAATCAGTATCGCCTTTCTGATTCGAATGCTCACTTGGTTCTTGATGACCGCTGAATGGTACTTGACTGTCAGACGATTGTTTTGATTGGGAGTTCATGAAAAACGCACTGCTCTGGACCATGAAATATACAAACCCAAAGGGCACAACCAAAGGGTTGAGAACTGTGAAAAGCAGGAGGACATGCACTACAAGCATATGATTAGGAAGCCAATCTGTACGGAAGATGAGGTGAGCTTCGCTTTCTCAAGTCCAGACTCTACTCACAGTAGTAATTGAAAGTACGAGGCCGGATGCCAACAGAGCGTTTGCGAGGCGTGGCTTGTCGTTTTGTCGAGGGATACATGAAAAGAGGGAGCTGATATTCAAGGGGCTTAGTGATCGGATACGTTGTAAAAAACGGCTAAGAAGTACCCCAACTATATGGGAATAATTAGCATGCCCAGACAAGTTAGACAATCGGGTTGACTCACAAAGAACCAGTTCGATACCTCCATGCATCCCCGTCGTGAAAATCACTATCATCGTGATCAATACCAGATGATTACTGAAATTGGAATCAGACCTACTCCATCCAACATAGAATGGTCCTGCAGAAGGGAAACTGCTGGATATGATTTCCAAGACATTTTGGTGGTTCGCCTTGGAAGCAAACGAGACAAGGAAAGATTGCAATGTAGCGGTCCCGACGCAGAAGAAAACCAGGACATTGACGATGAGAAACTTGTAATATCGTGCCATAATCCGATCGTGTAGCTCAGAGAGCGTGATGAGAGTGTGTGCCTTCTTTCCAATGAGTAGCAAGATCAAGGGAATGAGAATACTCAGAAGGGCGACAAGGACAGTGGGTAGTAGAGATTGGATTAATTCTAGCGAAGAACGAGTAGTGAGCTTCTCTCTTGCACGAGGATACTGACTGCATACCCTCCTCCCATGGGTGATGGTCCAAGTAATGATTCTGAGCCGTCGCCGATTTTAGATGAGAAAAGACGAAACAAACGAGGGAACGTACGAGCCCTGGCCAGAAAGCGCTGATATTCTGAATCGAGACCAAACCAACAAAGAATGTGACGGGGAATACCCAAAAGAGGGTAAAAGCCCTATATAATTTGGAAAAAAAATCAGAAATCGTAGGAACCAAATATGAACATTCCCACCAAACTCCAATATCGACTACCCAATCTTTGACAAACTACATTAAGCACCGTGAGCATCTCGAAATTGACTCGAAGGTAAGTCGAAGACTGCATACCTCCACGCGATAAGACGCTTTCATCACTCTTGTCCAATCCAAATCTTCGTATCCAGGAGCCATTGTGACAAAGCAAGCGAGGGGATTATCTGGGTTCACAGCAAGGTACCTGCAGGCGCGTCTGGCATCTCTTGGGTCTGCAAATGTAACAAACGCAGTGGATACGGGATCATAATCAGCAACGGCCTTCGCCCTGTGCTCCGTGATGAGATTCGTTAGTAAAGCGTATTTCGCATTGTAATAGTCGATAGATGCCACGGTGGTGTTGTGAAAGAGTGTGCGCAGTCGGATCAGGGGTTGGTATGGATCAAGAGCACGACGAGGAAGGCTGTGGAGAACGTCCCAGATAGTCCGACCGTTCGTGTCTGATATATGCCTATACTTCTCGTCTGGAATTCGAGGGGGATGAAAGAGGTCCCGGACAAAACCCAAGACACGCTTTGCGAAAGGTTGAGGTACATTGCTCCGAGTAACGAAACGGGTTCGAAGCCCAAACTCGTCAACAAAAGGTGTGAGTTCACGGAGCAGGAGGTCTGTATAATCTTCGTCTTCGCCTTCGCCTTCGCCTTGATTGTCGTGTGTCATCGTTGGTACTGTATTCGCGCCAGGCTTATCGTGAGGATGTGACAGCCGATGCAAGGACATCCGAGACGTTAGTCGCTTGATTAACGGCCTCCCATTTTCACGCTCATCCACGATCTCCTTGACCGTAAACAAGACCCTCTTTGCCAATTGTATGTGAGCGACTTCGAGCCGCCTAAGAAAATCTTCCCGTCTTTCGAGCAAGGATTGCAATTCTGTCATCTTCCGTGCAATAATAACGCGATCAATAACTGGAACCTGTCGCCCATCCATACACGGGTTACTTCCATTATCTGATTGTCCTTCGTTACGATGAGGGATGAGTTCTGGTATGCGCTTGACCTTATTGAACAAGAACGCCATTGATGTGCTGAGAAAGCCCGGTTGAGCAGCAGATGGGGGTCCGATATATGGCACGTCGATGGGCCGCGAGAGATAGTATTGGAAATACTCCGCAAGTTCTTTTTCAGAGCGTAGAGAGCGAGGGACGTTCGTGACCATGACACTTCGAAGCCGCAGACCCCGATCAAATCCAGCATCTGCTGCTGCTGGTGCGAGTGATAGAAACGGATACTGAGGATGGGGATGGGGGTTGAAACGCGCACTGTGTTCATCCTGTGCGGCAGAGGCGAGTCGATCCGCAGTGTCTTGAATATTGGCATGTCGAAAAGCGAAAGCTCCACGGCATATCCAGAGTAAAGTAGCCATCCATGTCAGAGTGATGTAGTAGAGAAGAATCAGATGTATCCAAAGAAGGTTGCTACCGTCTTGTGTGAGAACAAGTGAAGAGATCGAAGCACGGGTCATGGACCGAGGAGAAACCGTTTCGTCGGAGAAGTGGACATGGATGGGTAGCAGAATTGGGACAGTAGTGAAAGTATGCAGAAATGTGAACCAAGCTGCAGAGAGGTGCCTAAAGTCAGTAATCTTTCCACGGAGGGTGATCTGTTGACAATATTGGCGAAAGCGTACCGCAGCCGCGAAGGAACCGAACATAAAGCGTGGCGTCGACTCCTCTCAATTTGTTCATCCCTGATTCAGGGAAGTCGATGACTTCCTTAACCCATGAGAGAGGCCAGCCTTGAGGATGCGGAGGAGACGGTCGCCTACAGAGAGCGTGGATGAGAGCTTAGAGAACAAGGTTCATTGAATAAGCTGCGAAAGCATTACTTTGCCCATGACCGTCCCTGGTATAGACTAAGTATATAAAACTTGTCAGCATTCTAGATCACGGATTGAAGAGCAGACTTCGAAGGTCCTGAAGAATGGAAATGAAAGCAACGAGACATGGAGAGAAGGTCACTCACTATCCAAACTCCCAAGTTTCAACACTATCCAATCCTTTGACCACCCGCCTCCCTCGCCTTCTCCTCTTCATAAGCTCATAGGCCGTGGTGCATATCGCCCCAAGACCAATGGCAATTACCGACTGGTTGATGAGACCACTTTGTATTCAATGTTAGTTTTAACACAGATGAGCGGTTCGTCTTGCCATGATCACCTGTAGTTCTTGGAAAATGGTCTATCTTCAATGGTCGCCATTCAACCTCTGGTGTTCGAGTGTCGCCGTCGACGTGCAAGGGAAAAGCCAAGGTTGGGCCAGAGCTGAGCGCTGAGAGGACGAAAGTAGACAGCCCAGTGAAGAAGTCAGAAGCATTACGGCTGCTGTATACACATCTGCACCTGTCCGCGCTGCACCTCTTGTTGCACGCATGACGCCATCAGCTATTTGAGGAACTTTGAGCGCTGTGACGGCATGGACCAAATATATCGATACACAACATTGGCATAGTATGTATTTTGGGTTACATGCAGGGATACCTAGGGATACATGGTATACATACTGACATCAAAACAAGCATGGTCCAAACTGGTAAGCGGTAAGAAGGCAGAACATCTCAGTGCAAGAGATAAGGGTCAATATAATCATATACAAGGGCATAGGTGGAGTAACGACTGTTTTCATCCTTACGCTGAGGGCTGAGTGTTGGAGACTGGCAAAACTGACACAATGAGAGGAACATATAAGCAATATATCTGGAGTGTGTATTCAAATCATTGTCCAGGATGATGAGAATACGCTGCTCACAAAGATTTGTTTACTAGATATACTCCTTCAGTATCTTTCGCTTCCGTAGCATTCGCAGGTCTGCTACTTCCCGACAGAGAATTTCCTCTCCAAAAATGAGTAGCCTGTCCAACTCCATTCCGCAAGCTCTGCGCACTTCTAGCACTGTCGCTAACATCTCGAAGAAGTTCTCATCCACGTCTATGCTCCTGGACAACCAGTCCAACTTCGTGCAGTAAAACTCGAGGTAGCGTAGGTGAGGGCACAGCAACTGCACAGCATCTGAACCATCTGCAGACCCGCTTGCCAGCGCCTTGACAATGTCGTGCCACGCAGAATGGCGAACACTGAGTTTGTCAACTGCTGGGAACAGTGCAAACACCGTAGCATAATCGAAGCTCTTTCTGCCAATTGATAGATAGAGGGAGTGGACGTCCTCGAGCCATAGATCCTTGCAGACAGTGACAACGTCCGAAGCGGATAGTTCAAAACCTTCTGGCTCAAGATGTAAGGAGAACATCCCCTCTTGATTTCCGGTAGGAGAACAAGAAAAGTAGATGGTGGTTTGAATCGCCGGGTTGTAGTCATCATGCATGATTTGAAACTTGTGCAATGGCAGAGGCACTCCAGGGGCATTGTACATCAAGTTGCGTCGTGGTAAGACTGGCTGAGGGAGAGTTAACGCGATCCTAGAAGTGACAATTGTAGATAGATTGATGGTTGTAGATGGCGGGATCTCCAGGTGATGCATGAGGTTAGCACAGTCAACGAGGCGGTGATGTTCAAAACGAAGTGACTGCAGGTGCGGAAGATTTACGGGGTTTAGGGCGACTGCTGAGTGAAGGGACAAGTCGTCAGGAAGTATGGATAGAACCTCGTCCAGAGTTAGTGATATCAATGATGGTGTTCGTTCTAGAACGGTGAGTAGTTGAACCAGAGTCCACCCGTGCTCAACTCTGCACGGTATAAGTGTCAGGGACGTTAGACCTGTGAACATGTTTCCAAAGAGAGGCGAGTGCGGGGATATACCCAGTCCATTGAGGCAGAGCTCTTGCAACCCCGGAGATATGTGGGCAAAGAAAGAATCTGGCAGCCTTCCATCTATCACGGGGACGTGATAGATTAGTGTCAGAATTCGAAGCGTAGGAGCAGGAGTGTCAGAGTCGGACAATAGAGGTACAATTGGGCCCCATAACGTTAGGCCCCTCATACGGTGCAGATTCTCCATAGCTAAACGAAGACTGGTATGTAGAGTCACACATGTTTCTCCGAAGTCTGTAGAAAAATCAAAATGAATCAAAGCACCTTTTGATCGTTCGAGCATGATCTTTTTCCAAGGAATAGAACATAGAACAACGTTCGTCCACAGATAGGGAGCGCGGAGAGCCGTTGTGCGCTAGTAATGGCAAACATGAGCGACTATGATCCAGTTCAATTTGAGGAGCCATGGATAGAGTGGCCATGTCTGTGTAAGAAGTTCGAAGACATAGATCAGGAGTTCTGTGGGGAAGACTGACATTGGAGGTGGGCTCGGATGAATTGTAGGCGGCGACTCGGCGAACAACAAGTCGTGCGGTGGAGATGCGACGTCTGAAGCTGAAGGCGCCCTGCTCTATGAACAATAAGATTTTCTATGAGCAGACCGGCCGTGATGTAAACGACTGCCACTCACTTTCCAACATTTCAGCTTCAGCCGAGCCTTGCAGTCGTTTTGAGATCAGATGCTTGATTGATGATGCTCGATGCAGAACTTAGAGGGGATTCCTATCAACGAAGAGTGGAAAAGCCACGAAGTCGCGTCATACCAGGCATAACGACGGGTGTGACTTGCAAATTTAATGCACTATAGGGAAAGATACGATACGACACGCGGTCGCAAATTGTTGTATCGCTAATCACAGCCAATCAACGTTGTTTCTATTGGATGATCAGAATATTATGAATTATCATGATGATTTTTGCCCCCTGATCTTGTTCGTTGTTAAGATCTCTCACAAGTCAAGCTGAGTTTTAGAACATATAACGGTCTGTTCCATAACATCTTTTTGCCAGACCCGACAGCACAAGCGTGCGGTGGTATGGCTTTACTATATACGTTGATAAATCCGACACGCGTTTATCTTTCCGAGTATGATAGATGCATGCGTTAATCGCAAGTTAATTCTAGTGCTCCGAGATCAACTGCGAGTGCCAGTGAACTCGTAAACGAGTGTACTTAGGTGGAGGAGAGGCAAGCCTGAAGCGTCTATTTGGTCCGAGCAATTCGGAGCTTGTTCGGTTTATAGACATAGTTCTCCGCATAGTTCTTAGGAGGAATGCGCTTCGAGGTAGGTGGTTGCCTAGTGAGAAGACGGGTTAGATCACATCTTCAATGGCCAGGATGGAAGGACATACACATAATAGTCCCAACCTGATGCCCGAAGACAGATGGTCAGCGACGTGTGATGTGCGAGTCCCATATACCCACCTTGTTTCTCCGTGAAGTGGATGGCATCTTCCTTCGACCTGAAAGACATACGAGTGCCCTGCATATAGTCCGCACTACTCTCGACTGTCAAATATCCCGTTACAGACTAACGTACTAGAGGGAAGACTCACGAGCTCGCCCATCCCATCAGAGAATTCTCCCAACGTGCACCACTTGATAAAGTATCGAAATCAACACGCCAACGCTCAGACTTTGCGCCTCCACTTTGCATCGTATTCCGTGTTGGCTGATAGATGCGCACAGCGCGGTGACGAAGTTCACCTAAGTAACTCAAAACATTATTTGGTGATCCAGAGATTATTGAATTCAAAATATACCGGGAGCACCACTGACAACATCCGCGGTTAGGACATCCTTGATTGAGACAGGTGCGATATCGAAAGGCTCCTTTGAGTGAGACTGCTCGGATGCTTTAACGTCCGTGGAAAGGCTCCTCGCACTCGCCAATAAATACTGAGCAACAAATGGTTTAGGGAGCGCCTGCGCGCTGAGACGGAACAGCGACATTGTTGGAACTTGAGGAAGACCTCCAGCTCGTCATGCCCTCAACTGTACGAGCATATTACGTGATCTGGTCTCGGGAAAGTCCGACATACCGAGAGTGTAAGTTCCTGGAAGCCAGAAGATGAGCGGTATATACATACATGGAAAATACAAGGCATGTACATGACGTTCCACAGGACTATAAACTACATGGATTCATTCCCCGAACCCGACAACTGTGCTCCTCGGCCGCAAGCTCATTACTGGTGCATCAACCTTCGCCGGTCGATGGCTATTGCTCACTTCCTCCTCCTCATCGCTTTCCGATGCGGCCGCCCGAGAAGTAGCAAATAGCACACTAACTACACGCCCATTAGGGTTAGGTTTGACCTGTGAAACAGGTGCCCGAAGCACTTTGGCATAATCCGCCAATTGCTTTACCACATCATAGTCAAGCTCAATGGTGAATAAGTCAAAGATAAACCGCCGGACAGGAAGGCGGTAGCGCGAGGTCGAGATGGCATGCAATGCGCGATAGAACATTGATAGTGACGTAAACACTTTGCGATATTCTGGCCGAGTTTTCAATCTTTCGACAAGAACAATCCATGAGTGATCATTCAGCAAGGAAAATGTCATGGCATACTTGGCCAACGACCGAGATGCTGTGTTCGCAATTACGGCGTTCGACAAGTTGGAGATAGTAGTGACGACTTCTTCCTCGGCCTGCGAAATTGGAGGCACTAAACGATTGGCGGAATCGTTCCCGACTAAAGCTGGATCCCAGGGTGGTATCTGTAACCGAGATGAGCACAATGATGGCTTTGTACGGACAAGACATACTGAAATGAATTTGTAGAGATCCATGGGTATACACAAACCCGTAGGGAGGCCGAGAGGCGAGAGTGTTGCCTCCCATCGATAATCGTCCAATATTTCAGCTCCCTGAGGTGTCGTTGAGACAAGTCCCAGCACAAAGAAACATGTCCTGTGAAATCATCAGCTTTTATTTTGACCAGAGAATAGGCATTATGTACCCCCGCACAGACAGAACCAGAGATTGTTCGGCAATATCAAGTATAACTGGAATAATCTCCTCCTCTTCGAGAAATGGGAGCCCGCCAGCACTAGATCCTATATTTCCCTAGGAATTTTTTCTTTATAAAATAAATCCGGAGTTACCGCTCGCGACTTACCACAGCCCACAAAATACTTTTCAACTTCATGATCACCTCAGGATCTTCGTTCTCAAGACCATGCTGTCTGATAAAATGAGTGAAATCAGCGAAGTGGCCTTTCTCGTGTAAGACTTGGCATCCGAGCTCCGTTTTTGCCATCTCGCCATAGAAATGTGGTGGGACAATGCCGTCAAACGCACTGGCCGAACACGCACACCGTAAGTCGCTGCAGGGAGTATAATGGGAAGCAAAACGGACAGCATGTCTTCCTCATCATGGGGAATGAAGCTGAAGGCTTTTGCCAGGAATACCTCGATTTGAACCACGTAATGGATGTTGCGATCCTGCCACGAGTTTGATGTCAGTCATGATAACGGGTGCGTGAATGACAAACGAACATGAAGCCACATGTCCATCTCCCTGTCGATATAGCCAGCGTCATAGAGATATCGGAACCCCATTGGGGTTGACATAAACCTGTGGCGGATTCCCTTTAGGAATGAGCACAAAGATTAATCGAAGTTCATACACACTTGAGCAAAAGTCCATGGCCAATTTCTCCTAAATGGTCTAATGTTGGCTGCATTACAACCACGAGCTGCAAGATATCCATGGATTCGCACGCTTCTTCCAGGAAATGCGCTGCCATCTCACAGACCTCTCTGTTGGGATCGTACAACTGAGTTAGCAGTAACCGAAGGGTCCAAGCATTGGCCGACGCGCTATTACGAATCATCACTCCTAAATGATTCGTGGCGTATAGGCGAACATGCTAATCGCGGGTCAAGAACTGCGTCAGGAGGAAGATGATAAAGTAGCACACTTTGTAGCTGGATGTAAGGGCCTTAGACAATACAATTCGTGGGTGTCCATCGCTGCCAAAGACCGTTAGACATTTTATGCACAAGAGACAGACGTAGATAAACAATTCGTACATGCTATAGTCGATGTTTTTGATGATGCCTTTGATGAGATCCTCGCGACTGCGCAATTCGCTGAGATGATAGAATGCAGTGAAGACCCTAAATTTTTCCATCAATCTGAGAATACGCGTGTGAGTAAGATGATTGTGAGCAACTGAGGCGATCGCATAACTCTATGCCTTCCTTGTGTTTACTGAGGGTGCCGAGCATTTCGAGGTAACCGTATGTGAGAGTCTCGGATACCCTTTTCTTCGAAAATATAGGGTCGGATTCTGGAGCGCCGTTGAACTATTAAGAAAAGCCTCAACTAAGCGGCTATGGTTTATCATGAGAGCAAGGATATATTACCGGATCAAGCTGAGCGAAACTTCTGACAATCTGTTTCAGAAAGTCGTCTTCGGAGGACAAAAAGCGTTGGCCATCCGAACTGGCCATGAGCGTCGTCAGCAGGGTGCATCCCAACCGAACCCAACGTAGGTTGGCCTGTCATTTCCTTTGATCAACAGGGATCATAACAATTGCACACTGATATCGTACAAACCTTTGTTCTCTCCATGTCAGAGAAGCGATGACTGAATGGGTGATAGAAGGACATTAATCGACGGATAAATCGCGAGACCTTGATGGCTTCTTCCATGCGTTTGGGATTGAGTAGTGGACCGTCAATGAGGTCTTGCAAAGTTTCGAAGTTCCACTTCATGTGGTCCTTCGTAAGCATGACCTGTATAACCGACTCAATGGATCTATTCCAGGAGCTTGATGAGAGTGTCTCATACCTGAGTTTCCAGCAAAGCTGCCTGGAAGGTCTTGTCATCCATCTGCAAGCCCATCTTGATCTTGACTTGTTCTACATGCCGTTGACCCCTACGAAGGGCGTCTTCCACGGAGTTTGCTCTGGTCGTGACAGGATCAAATCTGCGACCTTGCGCATTGATGACGAAATTCTACTAACCTTGGTCGATTGTTCATCACCGCAGTCGGTTGTAGTCGAAGCCGATTGCGATTCAAACTGTCTATAGAGGACAGGGCCGAAGTACCTACTATGCGATGCTCGCCGTGGTCGTAATCCGACGCAAGGCTGAAGACGCGAGGAACAAGCTAAAATTTTGATCAGGCCTGATACATGTGAAGCAAACAGCGTGAAATACCTGAACTTTTGCCGCTACCGAGAGGGGGAGAACCTTGTTCGCTAGCTGCAGAACTTCAGCCATGAGGAGCGTAGCTTTCCGAGTCAAATTGTTGCCAACAGTGGTTTCCTCAAACATGGATGTAAGGGCCTGTCAAAGTCAATGAGCCGACGATCGCAATCTATTGACGTATGAACTGACATCTAAGAGACCGGCTTGCGTGAATACAAGAACAAGGAGAGCTATGTATTGATCCGTAAGCTTCAAAGGCTCTGGTGAACGTTGGGATGTGTCCGTTTCCACTGAATGTTCCGGCTCTGAGGAGGACCGTGCTTTATGGTACACTGACGAGATTGTTCAGAGTAGGAAAATGGGGCCAAGGGACGAGATAACCTACTAGTCAACCGACGCCCATTGATGAACGTCTGATACCAATGCGGTGTTTTTATTTTCAGTAAATCGAAGAACATATCCAAGATGATTTCCTAAAGACGTACGATGTCAGATGATTTCGGAAGGTGTTATAGTAGGGAATATCCTCACTCGTGTTTCTAGAGAAGGTATTCGCAGGGTATCAATCAGTGCACGAATTGCTCGTAGGTTATCCATGCTGAAGTACATCAGCCCTATGTAATATGATAAGCATATAAGTCGATGCGTTTACTTTCATGGAAGACGAACCCCCCCAGGTGCGTAGCATGCACGTGATCATTTTGCATGCGCCCTTTAATTTGTCCGCATACTCGGCATCCTTGCCGTATGCGTCCGTCACGCCAGACATCGCGATCTGAAAGCAGAGATGAGGTTGATGATATTGGGCGGGATAAAAAGTGTCATCACCTCCAAATCCGTCCCAGCGTGGAGATAATTCCTGGTGCGAGGCGAGTCAACAATGTATAAAAATATGGGGGTCAACAGTTGAGATATCTCCAGTGGTCCATCAGCCAGCATCTGCAGCAGAACACGGATACCACCAGTCCGAGCGACCAGCTCGATGTCGATCAGCACTGCACCGAAAATAGGATCAGCATTCGAATAACAGCTTCAGTGTGCTCACTGATTTCAGCCAAGGTCTGGACACAGATGGACTTGAAGGGATCATCAGGGTGTTCTGCAATAGCGATGAACGCGCGCATTATGGGCTCCGAGAGGGGTACGTTTCCAGAACAAGGCGCAGTGTTCGGGCCACTCCTTTGCGACCCTATCTCAACGACGGCTCGAATGAACTTAATTACTTGCTCTTTCTCGACTGTGTGTTTGTTATCCAAGGTCAGAGACCTTGAAAATGCCGTAAACCTTAATGAACAAGTATATGAAACACATACTTACTTGACGATGTACCAGTCAAGAGGCTGCTCCTTCAGACATTGAACGGAGTCTTGGTCGACAATTGTATGGCGAAGGAGGCGGTAAGCAGTCGCTCGGCAGAATTGCGACGAGCGATCAGAAAGGGCCGGAATCACTCTACGCAAGTATCAAGCACGATCTCTGAGTAGATTCAATCTATGACAGCTTACGCTTGGACAACTTGAGCAACATTCAATTCATATCGAACACGCAGATTGCGCTGCAGGATGGTGATAAGTTTGGTCATAGCATCGATGCGGGTTCTATTAGCCTGCTCTTCATGGGCCGATGGGGGGCCGGATGAGGAAGAAGAGCTCGGTGAAGCGGAAGGGGGACTGAACGATCTGCCGACGGATGTCAGAGTTTTGACGTAGACGGAGGCTTGCTGTAGCACAGTGCGGAAGTCATCTGAGCATTAGAGAAGGTGAGTTCATCCTTGATAGGCTCTTGAAACTACACACGTACCTCTGTCATCGGCAGAGCTCCTCACTTACAACGTGATGATTGTTTAAGCTCGTGTTCAGTCGCACCTTTGAGGTGTCGAGGGACTTACGCTGATCCATTCGCTGGGATATTATCTCGATCCGTCCATTCGCCGTTTGAAGCTCGTTCTCCAGCTGAACCCGGAATGTTTCCTACCCATCCCAACTTCTCAGCCTTTGCACGTGGGAAACACAAGATGGGTATACCTTGATATCCCGATGCTGCTGGTTCAAGATGTTCTCTGCTCCCTCCTGTATTGCTATAGCCTTGGCCATCATGTTGTTCAAGATATTTAACTGTGTCACACAGGCCATATGATGTCCAGATTGCACGACGTTCGGAAGGCGAAACACTCACTTGCTTCGAAGCATCCTTGCCCTCGAGTTCAGAGAAGTCGAAATATCTATCGAGGTCAACTGGGGTATCTTGGCCTACCAATGTGGAAGCAGCGGTAACAGATGCCGAGACATGATCGAAACTGCTGTCTGCAGACGCTGGCATTGAGCAGAATACGGCCACAAATATTTGGGGATACGGTGACTTCTAGAAAGCAATGATCGTGTCTGGGCTGTATATCAGAACGAGCAGTCGTGTAGTAGGACGAAGTGATGAAGCGTTGTGCTTTGTTGTGTACCCACGAATGCATTGTTGGGTCGTTGATCCAGTGATCGACGGTGCGCATGATCTCATCAATCTTACTTCACGTGGCTTGAAAACGCCAATTAGCTCGTCATTAGATTTCTATTGGGCATTTTTAACTAAAGTTTCGCGCCCCATCTCTGATCCAACCCTGCGCTGAACACTGGCTTCGACACAAAGTGTATCAACGAAGGCAGTTCAGACAATAACATGAACACGTCGAATGAGGGCCATGCCCAGTTAAACTGCAAACCTCAGCTGACTGCGTATTGACCATATTGATTCCCAACACATGACCATGATGGCCATATCCAAGAAGGTGCTCAAAAGGCAAAATGCTGCATCGCAGAAGGGCAATAAAGCAAAAGCAGGACATGCCCGAGCGATGGCCGAGAGAGGAAACTATTTGTACCAGGAAGTTGCCGAGAAACTGTATCGTAGTCGAAACAAAGTTCAAGCCACACGGCCGGCTTGTAGACTGCCCTACAACGCCAACCACGACAAAAGACACCTCAAGAATTCAAGATGGGTGAGTGATCCGTCATTCTTCCCCGGCGACGCTCATGTCTTTCATTCAGTTCGCTACGCCGCCGCTGCCCTCGCTTCTAACCCTGACAAAAGTGTGTCAGAAAGACCATGCTGCTGTTCCTGGAGACTAATCCCATGATCTTCGCATATAGCCTCCCGCGCTCGCGGCGAGTACTTGCGGACCCATTTCAAAAATATGCGGGAGGTTGCTGCCGCGCTGACGGGTGAATAGGGTGAACAGATAGGATCTAGGTCAAGATACTGACGCGTGTTCGACTATCAGGTCTCAAACTCACCAAGGCCTACTCTTACCTTAGCGACGTCTCAGAGCACAAACAAGTCATTCCTTATCGGCGGTTTAACGGTGGTGTTGGGCGTGCTAGCCAGGCGAAGCAGTTCAAAACAACTCAGGGTGAGTCTGCATACCACATAGGCCTGATTTCGGGGTGTTCACAAAATCGCAGGTCGTTGGCCTGAGAAGTCCGTCAAGTTCATCACCCGCCTACTCAAGAACGCCGAGTCAAACGCGGATGCGAAAAGCCTTGAGCTTGAGGATCTTACCATCAAGAACATCGTTGTGCAGCAAGCTCCCGTACGCCGTATGTCCATTACATAGCATTGGTCTTGTTGATCATCCCCTTCAGAAAACCCGCCGTCGCACATACCGTGCACACGGTCGTATCAACCCCTACCAAGGACATCCTTGTCACGTCGAAATCATCTTGTCCGCGTCAGAAGAACAAGTAGAGCGAAGCAAGGACAAGGACACTGTTTCACGCTCGGCGCTTACAGGGTTGAACAGGCGTCAGGTCGCGAGGAGACGTATTGAGGCTGCTCGCTCTGCATAAGTCTTATGTGATCAGTCGAGTTAGCGATGCTGGCCACGAGGAACTTGAAGACATGCCGTGTCTGTCGCCTGTATGCATATGTCACGCCGCAGACGCCTTCTGTTTGCGGCGCATTGTTTTACGCCTCTATTACCATGTCTTTCTCTTTTCTTGAAAACAGGCTGACAGCGAGCCAGATTTTTTCTGTGCCTCAGCGCGCAAGTCGGCCACAAAGTTAAAATTCCGTGAAGTCGGCGCATTAAAAGAGTGTAGGTACGATCAATTTGATTAACCACTAACAAATGCAAGCAGGTATAGGAAGGAAGGACTGTGTAGCTCATGTGTTAAACAAATCAATTAGGTGACTCGAAGGAAACGCAGCTAAGCCAAGCGATGTATGTTTTCAATACCTTCCGGTGGCTTCCTTTTCGCCGTCGAGAGCGTGCGGTAACAGGCGACTGCCTTAGCCGTAAAGTTGGCGACATAAAGGCTGGTGTCACTGGCGGACGATGTTCGTCGGAGTCTCCGCACAAGCGTAAGGGGTGGCTCTGCGCCTTCCATTCGGAGGCTGAAGGATTGGAAGTCAGCTTGGATCTAGCATGGAATGTATGATGCGAAGAAAACTTACCTTCGAGCAGCCAAAACCTTGATCAATGCGCTCACATCTTCCTTGATGAGAGGATCTAGTGTATTCTTGAGCCAGCTTTGGATGTAGACCGATTCGCTGATGTCATATGGTTGATGCCACTGCTCCATCTCTATGGGTCACTGAGAAAACATCAAGCAGGCAGGGACTAGTAAGAATGCTCACGGCGAATAGTCTGTCCGACACAGTTATATATAAAGATGTTAGGGATCATGTGGCCTGACTTCTCCGACTGGGCACAACGCTCGTAACCATTAAGTAATTTCTCGATCTCCCGCTGGTAAGACGCTGGAAAAAAGGTTGTCATATCAGCCATTCAATTGAGGGAAGTGGAAGCGAACCAAGAGGAGGCACGGCGGCACGGTCAAATTTCAACGCCTCTCGAACGACTTTGAATCGCTGCCATGTACTTGTGACTGCCTTAAGGAGTTTTTCGTCGTGGCGAGAGTGATACTCAAGGTTCTGCCCAGATCAAAGGTAGACGGGTAAATGAATTAATATGGATGAAAAGCGCATGGAAGAATGCCTACATCATATGTCTTCCAGAGTGTCGCGACTGCTTTGGAGTTAAGCGCATTTCCAATTGCATAGAACGAGTCGAAATTCCGCATCTTCTGACAGCGCTGTAAGTAATGGTCAGATATGACAACAAAAGGCCTAGGTACCGAACAAAAAGGGACATACTCGTGCCACCTTGATCCATGTTCTTCGGACCTTAGTTCTGACTACACGATCCTTTTGGTCACATATGCTGTTCAGGACCCAGCAGGTCAGGGCATCATGGTAGACAGTAATCGCCTGAACAGCGGACTGTGCAGCACAAGTGCAGCCATGCTTGTGTTGATAATGGCGCAGGAACTCCTCCGGGACAAGGGATCGATAGAGGTTGGAGGCCCAGACTGTTAATTGGCGAGCCAGTTCATCGCACATCTTCCCACCATCGATCTGATCGATAGAAACTTGAGAGGGGTATTGACGACACATATCATGCAAGCTTCGGGGCTTTGTCCAATTCGGAAGTGCGGCAACGAGCTGTTGAAACTTCGTGGCATGTTCTGCGGAAGATAATGCCGGCGCCTCACGCAGTCGGTGGACCGTTCGTGAAGTGCGTGAACGAGTGCAGCGCAAGGCTTGGTCAAGAAGAGGCCCAGCACTCGGCCAGTCCCTGTAAACATGGCCTCTTATAAATTCTTGCAGGGCCTTGATAACGGGAGATGGAGTGTCGTCCCGCCAATATAATTTGATCCAGTTGCGCATCATACGGATGACTCGCAGCTGGGCGATCCGACCTTCTTCACTACACGACTTTTCTAAAGGGCCTTGCTGGTGATTGGCCTTCTTATAGCGCATAATCAGGGCACCGAGGACTTCTTTGGTAGTGGTCCAAAAATCGTACGTCAAAAAGAATGAGTCGACAAGCCCGTCATCAGCGATAGCGTCTTGCGAGGTAAGAAGATGAATCAGAGCGTCAAGGCTAGCATACCACAGACGACCGTGCTTGTAAATCGTATCCTGTGAGACTGTGCACGAGGAGGGATGATCATTTGTCAATTTGGCCAACAAAGGGAATTTTCCATAGGCAGATGCGATGGAGGCTCGGATACTGATGCTGGGTCGTTCGCTTGAATGCACCAAAGTGGTGCTGTCATCTTCATCATCATCCGTGTCTGAATCGGGGTCGCGCGACTTCTCTGCATCATCAGACCCCGGAAAAGGTACTGTTGAAAAGGTTGAGTGGTATGACATGGGTATTAATACAATACGAATCACCTTGCTCTTCGAACTCTGCCCACTTGATAGAATACTCATAAAACTTCCACGGTTCGTCCAATTCTAGGCCTGCAACATCCAACATCGTGCGAACTGAGGTGAGTGTTAACTGCAGTAGCGACACGGCATTGCCGAAATAAAACTCGGGGCGAAATGGATCAAATTGAACCTTTGCGTGATTGCAGAAAACTTTATCCGCGAATTGTGCAGATTCCCATGCCAGGATATATCTATGAGATGCGTGAATAAGTCCGGGGAGCTCAGAGGTAGAATCAAGGAGCTTCGCCACAAGGATGTGAAAGGTGGAAATGAGGCTCCTCAACTTCTCCACATCTCTCCTCTTGTCTCCACATGCGGTTTGTATGTGCGCCGCGTGAATGAGAACGTCGGCGAGAATGTCCTGAAAATCCAAGCTCACGGGTTGGGTAGCAAGAATTGGAACACCGGTGGCCAAGACAGCAGAACCGCCCACGATGCCCTTGCGCCGATTAAGTTTCTCGTTCACGTCAGCTTGTGAAGAAGTCCTTGGAATACGCCGGAGTGGTTGTGGATTGTGCTCTCGATTTGGATTGGAAGGCAGGTTTGGGACTGTTGTCGTGACGGGCGTAGATAGTGTCCTCGATAGAAATGGGACGATCGCGTGTTTCCTATTTGATAGCGGAAGGTTAGGGAGAGGTTTATTGATAGATTCAGGTGGCCCATGATATTTAGATAGAGTGACTTCAAAAGCTGGCATCCCTTGTCGAACAGAGGATGGGGGCCTTAATGAGGTCTGCGGCCTCGAAGACCTGCTCGAGGATTTACGATTATTTGAGGGCTCACGCGTCGCCATATGGATATTTGGAGACATTGAGGGGTAGAAAGTACAATGAGAGATGGAGAGTAGTAGAGGAAGAAAGGTGATCGAGGGTAGAAAGAGTGTTGAGGATGTGTTGGTCTGAAAAGCTGGAGAAAGTGGCACCGTGATGACTGCCCAGCGAAAGCCAAACATTGTCGTGGCGGTTCAGGGGGTGGCAAATTTGTGACAAAGGGAATCACTGTCGTGCATTGACTCGTATGTTAAAGCGAGTTTACAACAAAGCAACCTCACCTAACGGCAAACTCAAACCACACGGGATTAGCATGAGTCAAATTTGAGTAGGTATATGACGCATGCTATTCTTATCGAACTATTCTTCCAGAAGTTATTTTACCTGTGAAGAATCATGAGACGGATACGGATCAATGCTTTACAACGCAGCAAGAGGCAGAATGAGACATATTCGGAACCAAGAAGCAGAGAGCCTGTTGAACAATAATCCGTGAGTGGTCAACGTGCATTGCGCGTCGCAATCAGAGTATGTGGCGGGAAGTTAATACGAAGGGCCATGCTCACATATATGACAAGTAGGTCCAGCCATGAGTCTGTTTCCTTACTGTTCAAAGCGAGAGATGCAAAAGCTGCCCAGTCGACCAGGTATGATTTTTCTTTGACTGCAAAAGGCATTCAACTGAAGTGTTGCCATGCGGCATAGCCCACTCTGGCGGTGATTTATCTTATCGAGACATGTGGCAAGAGGCAGGGAAGGCCTAGTGTGGCTCTTACATAGAGAAGACCCCGTGTACTCACCAAACACGAGGCAGCACCGCAGCAAGCCTTCTCTCTTTGCAGCTGGCGTATGGAAGATTTCGTCTAGATTTCAAACTCATGACTGCATCTGTGGGATTTCTGTCAACCGTGGAAGGTGAAATATCTTTCTTTCGCTCTCTCATGCGCGCAAGACCGGTCGGCCTTCACCGGCACTTTCATGTATTATCCATGCGCAACGCCATACATCAAGACACCGGTCAATCCGTGTCAATAGACGAGATTTGGGAGAAACTGCGCAGTTGCTATGACCTAGACGCGTTGGAGAACCTGGCGAGTGTTAATTCGCGTCTTCGATGTATATCAAACTACTGACAGCAGTCGTGCATTGTGTATATAGGAAGCAGAAGGCTACGAGTCTCCCGGTTCGAGCCAGTCAACACCGCAAGTTACAGGCTCTCCTTCACCCACCGCGAACCTTTCTGCGCACCCTTTCTTTCGAAAAGAATTCTCCTTACCACTGGATGATTCCTTCGAACCCATGATATCCGCACGCCGCATGCACAGCTCCGCTTCACCTTCCCCTCCAGCATCATCGCCAGCGTCTCCAGTGAAACCCCCCGGACGGGGAAAAAAACGCGGGAGGAGTAAGGTCATGGCAGGTCTAGTGGGAGGTGATAGCGATAGCAGCGCCTTGACACAAGAAAGCGGTGATGAAAGTGTAGCGCCTACTCCCAGAGGTAGCGTTGTTACAGGCACAGACGCAGGCACAGAATATGGAGAGGATGATGATGTAGACATGGACGCAGGTGCGCATTGGCACTTATGCTCGAAATCTTCACATCTGACATGTGCGGCAGGGCCAACGAGAGGTGTACGGGGTAAAGGGCCAAAGGCCGGGAGGAAAGGGGGCGCTCCGCGCGGTCGACCAGCTGGGCCAACGCGACCTATGAAGAAGAGAAAACGGTGATCTTCCCTTCTCTCATCAGTCTTTCTTGATGCACGGTTTTTTGCGTGCTGTCCTCGAGGTCTTGCAATATATCCAGTCCCGCATGGCACAAACACATACGATAGTCCAGATGTCCGTTACAATGTAATATTACACACAAGCACACCAGAGGCCTCTAATCTATGCTCATCTTCACATCGTCTTCTTCTGTTTTGTCGAAAGTAGCGTTCTTATTCCTTCTCTCTGTTAAATAGGACTGAATTCGCTCCTTCAATTCAGGATCTGCAACATTGTCAAAGGACCAGTTCACTCATGTGTATACGAAACTACTCACTAGGTATCACATCCTCGATCTTCAACGGCGCCCGATTGAAAGGATCCTTTGAGTCCGATAATAAATGGGACTTGATGGTGGATCTGTCGATGATGGCTCGGGAGGTAGGAAGGATGACGGGGTCCCTCATCACTGTGAACATCAAGGGGTCTGGATACAATGATTAGACAATAGTAAAACAAGCAAACAACGCGACCAACATACCCAGGAATTCGTCAGGAATCTCTCCAAGTTCATCCTCTGCATCTATCAAAATCTTGGCCTCTTCGACCTTGACGACAAATTTCCGCAATCGCTCGATGTCCGTCGGGCTCTTGAGAGAGTGCTTGAGACAAGTCGAAGCCGCCTTCTCGAACAGTTCCTTCCTATAACTGCGACCATCCCCAGCCACAGCCTGAACGAAATCATCCTGCTCGCTTAGGTTCAAAAATACTTGCACAACGTCGCTCAGCAGCTGTCGAGGGTCAAAGGAGTATTTTTCCTTGTCCTCAACACCCAGCTCACGAGACTTCGGTCCCACGAGAGTATCAAGATTATAATCGAGCATCGCAGCGAGGCGGTCAATGATCTCCGGCATCATGAAGGGTTCCTTCGTCTCTGCTGTGAACAACTTCAAAAGATCCACGGTGGACTTGCCCAACTGCGTATACCCAGTGGCCTGGCGTTCCAGACTTCGAAGATGACCTTCACGCTCCCGGCGATATTGTACAGGCTTGGCCGCCCATTCCGTGGTGTTTTTCATCTCTACTTGAATGCTGTATATCTGTGCCAGATCGCTCAGGGATTCGTCCATGAGATATGTCACGTCGTTGATCATAAGATTGGCAAAGCGGACAAATTTGTCGACATTCCTGTAACATTATGAGCATTTTGCGTCTCATTTGATTCGACGTTCGAAATACACTTACTTTGCCTCTTCTTTGAGGGCCGTCCTATGTGCAGGATTGTCCCAAACGGCCTTGAACAGATGGGCTATGTTCCGACTGAGTGAAACATTAAACTCAACAATCACGCCGTACATTCAAATCACCTTACCGGGCGTCTGGAAAGGATAGTTGGAATCGGTATGAAATCGAAGATCAGATAAAATATAGACTTACTGAATTTATCATAAAATTGAGAGCTTGCGCCAGTTTGTTCAACCTCTGCAGGGCTGTCAGAGGGAAGATGCCACGTCTAGGAGTGACGACATACCAATGTAAAAATGCATCAAAGCTGGCATGAGATACTTCACAGCTAATGGATGGGTGTTGAGTGTCCCGCCGAGAAGGCTAGCCTGCTCGTTTCGGTAATATTTTAAACAACCGAAGAACAAGATCTTCAAGCAGGTGTCAGCAGCTTGGACGGTATAGGGTCGACGACACGTACTTCGATAATCTTCGACTTCAAGAACGGGTTCTTGATATACCAGGTCGACATCAAGAACGTGAGACTAAATACTAGGAGCTCTTCTCTTCCTACTAACTCTAAGCTGGGGGCGTTATGACTGCATGGAAGCCGGTCAGAGTTGTGTCCCCCAATAGAACGATTGCCATCTTACCGAACGACAAAGACATAATACTCAACACAATCTTCAATGATATACTCGGGGAGGACCCTGAAATCCAATGGGACCGATGTAGGCAAGGGCAGGCTATGGGTAGATGGGTTGAGCAGGAGACGATACGGTTGATGAATATGATACCGACTCTACAACAGGTTTGGGGTGCTTCTTCCTGGGATCAACGAACCTCACCAGCCAGGTTGCGACAAAGGAGTTGAAACTATTTGCCCGAAACAGCACTTCAGGGTCAAGTAATTGCGTAGATGCAGCCGCTGCCATTCCATTTAGCTGTGCAATATTATCCTGTCGGTGCAAATGTTGAGCAACGGCGTAAAGAAGAACAGGAGAATGAATGCAAAGCGTACCTTTACTTGCTTGATAGCTGCCTCCATCCGCGCCTGGAAAGCAGTCTATCATCACATGAGTATCTAAACCTTAGGGGAATCAACGAACGAGCTCGTACTCCTTCCCAAGATCGATCACCAATGATAGAGTTAAGATGCCGTTGTTGCTCGTCAATTTGCTTGTGGTAATCATCAAAGGTTTGTATCGTCTTCTGGAAGCCGTAGTGGTTCATTGCGAGAGTCAAATAAAAGATCTCAGAAATGAAATTCGGAGGCGGGGCACCTGCTCATGAGAATTTAAATCGGATGTCAACTTGGTACGTCAGATGGCTCACTGTTAGAGAGTTGATTTGCATTCTCCCACTGCGATGCCTCTTCGCTAGTAGCATTGATGCGGGTTTCCTCTTTCACGTTAATGCGTGTAGAATGCGCAAGATACAGAGGGTTGATGCGATCCATCTACGGAAATATCAGTCGCAATGCATGACAAGCGAAAGATATTCCTTGCTTTCGTGAAATTTGCATCCATGAAAGGTTCCACGAAATGCAACAAAATAATCTGCAAGTTCATCATGAAGCTATCGGAGGCGACAGTGTTTGGGTCGACCTGGCCGGTATCGAACATCATCATGAGGAATATCGGACGACGATCCGTTTAGCAACACTGACCTGCATCCCAGCCCGTTTTACGTTTAAGGATACAACATGAGATATATAAGATAAGAAAGCTTCTCGGCATTCCGCAGATGTTCTAACGATGGTGTTGAAGATCTTGAAAAGAGATGACTGCCAAGCGAATGGACATTAGCCAGAAAGAACGAGGTGGCCGATCACATACTTGTAAGCTCTTCAAGGTGCCTCGCAGACTATTCCGAGCAGATTCGACATCGACGGCAGGCCGAGAGTCCATCCCGGAGAAATATGTCTTGAGGATGGACGGCTAATTTTATTATGTGTGAGCGTAGATGTATCGTCGGCTTAAGTCTATGCTTCGAGTCTATACACACCCAATCCCGTGGAAATACGTTCAAGCTCAACAAAGGCCCCATCAAGCTGATATCCTCCATATCAGTAGGGGTGGCCTCCTTGGGGTCCCATTCTGGCATCCTGATGATCATGTGTATGATATGCTTGTTGGACACCAACGCTTCTAATCCGGCTATGACGCCGCGCCATTGTGAGTCGCTGCTAGCAAGGCCTTCCGATTTGGAAAGGGAGTCATGACATGCGAGATCCCTGACTACGGGACCTAAAACAAGTTCCAGGTCTCCTTCAGATTCGAAGCGGTTCACCAAGTCTTGCAGGAAGACCTCGATTTCGGACGGAGTGATGCTGTATGGTGATTCGACTGTTCCTCCATACAAAGGCGTCGAGAAAGAAGAAAGAGATAAAAGTATGGCGACAAACTCTAGATGACCAGCTGGTTTCCTAAATTAAGCAAGCATGATTAGACAGTAAAGCATCTCTAAATAGATGACGAACCCTTCTGGACAATGAAAGGCCTCGGGGTTCATGAGATGTATGCCTATGTAGCTGATGATCAAATGCCGCATTTTCGCTTCCAATTCAAACGCTCTCTGAACATCCACTGGAGAATATCCCTGTAACACTGTTAGATGACATTTTATACATGGGCCTAGCTGGACATACCCTCTTGACCAGCGTAGACTTAGCGGCATTTAGCCGTTTCCAGCATCCGACCAAGTATTCAAACACAGTGTGATCTTTCGGTATCCGCGAAATGAAGGGTCGGAATTCATTGTCAAACCTAATGTTCCATGAAGATGTATGTTCACTTGATATCAGAGCCAAGACTTACTCAGGTGATCCTGGGTATATGTCAAGCCGAGCAATGAGAATGTTATCCAGTTTGTCGGCGTGCATTGCTGGAGGATCTGGTAACATTGGTACATAGACCAGACACGAGTAAAGCTTGCAGGGCGTACCAACACCATCGACATTCATGGACTGATCTTCATCGTCGTAATTCTTGAGCCACACGATATCATAGTCACTCCGTATGGCCAGATCGCGCTGTCTTGCCTTCTAAACTACATGAGCAGAGTGGATATTACAAGTGGACGCACATCGAGTGTAGCCTTGAACACAGTCGTGATTGTTTCATTCTCCCAGGCCGTGTAGTCGAATCTCGCAGGCGTAGACACCGCTTTCTTCTTTGGCGGCACAAGTGAAGACGTGACGGGAGCCTCTGGAGCCCTCTTTGGTGTTGGTGCAGGAATGGGCTTTGGTTTCGACTTGGGTAATATGCTAGAAGTCGAGGGGTTAGGAGAAGGGCTGGGGCTGCTGCTCTGGGTCGTAGAAGCCTGGAGCTTTGCGAGCCTCTTCATACGAATCTGCGAGATCACAGCGTTCGTCAGCGTCCCGGAATGAGAGACCATTAAGGGACAAAAATCGCACACGTTCAGCATCATCCGCGGGGTTGTTCGTGGACTCGTTCTGGCTCATGCTGCAAGCTAATCTGCAGAAAGACGGTGGCGGGTTGTCGATGAGGGGCAGACACAAAGGCCGAGCCGAGAGTGGCGGAGTTCAGTAGAAATCTGTCACGGGGCTCCCGAGGACCCGATCGCCGACTGGTTTCCTTCCGCGCGCTTTCTCGAGTCTGCAACAAGCAAGCTGGTAGAATGATTTCCTTCTCATTGATCTCTACGGCGCGCCGGCTAGTCGCATCGCCAGCGCGCGGCTTCTCTACTTCTTCAATCTTCCAGTTCCCAAAATTGAAGACGCATTCGGGGACGAAGAAACGATGGAGGTCGATGCCCTCTGGCATCTTTAAACGCGTGAGCACCACTCGCCAGATCATTCGAACATTCAACTTGGCTAATCTCAAGACAACTTCAGGCGCATGCCGGTCATTCGCATCTGAACGTGTCAAAACGGCCGGGAAGAAAGAACCAGCTGGCACAGGCCGCATATTCAAGCACGTCACAAACGTCCAAGTTGAAAAAGTTGATGCCATATGCTTGAGGGACTACACATCATGCATATATAATGTATGTTCTCATCATTGACTATATATATATTGATTTCTGACGTCGAAAGGTTATGGCATAGTGAATATGATACAGTAATTGCCTAGCTCCAAACATTGGGACAGTATCACAATGATATCTTTCTACGGAAACTCATGATATCGGCTATCGGCCACCCGTTACAGCAGTGGACATGCTATATGTTCACTTCGTCTCTAGCGTTACTCTCTGAATGCTCTTGGGCCTCCACTTTACCTCCGAAAAATGCCCTGATATCCTTCTGGCTAGGGTCATACGCGGAACTACCGATTCCGCCTTTCTGCCGTTTCTGTGGCCTGAATATCAGCTCCGCAACGAATTACAGTCAAAGGAGCGCATACGATATTTTCAATGTGTGAGTGACGGTCGATGTCAGTCACACGGATATCTAGCGGTGATTGAGCATCGTCGACTGATTCCAGCCGCTCCCCCTCCTTGAGTCCCTGCTACGCACGTCCGTAAGACCCTACGAACTGAATGGTGATGAGAATCACCTTTATACTGACAGTCACCCTACTCCAAGCAGTATTCTTCAGACCTCGGTAATCTCCACCATCAGGTCCATCTGTGTTGTGCTTCAGGAGCTGTATCATCAGCTGGCTGATGCATAGGCCATGGCTGACGAGAGCAATATGGACACCCTTCTCACCCTCCTTTGCAGCCGTCCATACGTGCGGGAGTACCAGCTCCTCGATTGCCCGGTTTGCACGCGCAGCAAGGTCGTTCAAGCTCTCCCCACCTGGAAATTTCTCGTCATCGTGGTGAAGAACAGGGAATTTTCCCTGATCAAATTGTTCCTCTAGAGTCATGCCCTTTTCTCGATGATATGTCCAGGGCTTTCCTTCTGCTATGCCAAAGTGTTGCTCGCGGAGCAGGGGTGAAGAGGTGAACGTGGGTTTGGGGTCTTTCTGCCCGTCATACAACGCCTGCGCGGTGGTGAAGGCGCGTTTCAGGGTGGATGCGTAGATTGCGGTGAATCGCGTTTCGGTGAAGGATTGGCCCATTGCCCTTGCTTGCTGCTCAAAGACATCATGCAAATTGTTAAAGCATGATGAGCAGTTCATATCCTCACATTCATTCCTACGGCACAGATTAGCAGACATATAGGTGTTGTTGATTGACTTTACCATGATTGGACAGTGGGGCATCTTCCCAGCCTGCCCACACCGAACGCTGTACCCCGCGTTGGAATCATCAATTACAGGATCCTCGTTTTGCGCAGAGTGCGTACCAGATTATCTGTCGACTCTCCATGTCTAATCTGCAAAATCGCATTGAATCGTTGCTGTTGTAAACTTGTTAAAGCTATCTCACAAATGTTACGAAGACGGTTGGTGTGGTCATAGTGTTGTTGCTCGCGATGTGAGACTGAGTCATGCCACAGTCGCGTGGCCATCGAAATGCTTCGAAATGATCATTTGTCAAGTTAGACGCACACAGACGGGCGCTTATGTAGTAGTAGCAGGCACAGCTGGACGCGTCAGCCACGAATTTCCCAGAACATTCACGTCTTGGCTGGCGACGGCGTCGCGCCTCAACACCTAAGACGCGCGTCCCCCCCTTGACTCTTATATATATCCATCTCTCTACCACGTATCCTGACCACACCACACTCCCTGAATCTCATTATGTCTCGTTCTTCGACAGAGCGCGACCAACAACTACTCTCCATCGGACACCAATGTTCTGAAGCCACATGCATGCTGATCGACTTCCTTCCTATCGAGTGTCAGCACTGCGCTAAACCCTTCTGCACGAACCATTTCCTACCTGCCTCCCACAAGTGCGACAAGTATGACGAGAGCAAGTACAACCGGGTCGCCCCATCTTGTGCGTACGAGCCCCCATTCCCGTTCGTACGGGTCTTGATTGGCGGTCTGAATAGGTCCTTTGTGCAATGTTCCTATTGCTATCCCACCTGGGCAGGATCCTAACATCCGAATGGAGCGCCATTTCAATGAGGAATGCTCTGTCATGACGGGCAAGTCTGGTAAAGCCAGGTCCTCGCCCATCTGTGCGAAAGGGAAATGCGGTAAGGTTCTGTTTCAACCCATCCGATGCAGTGTGAGTTTATATGCCTTGCTTCGTACGATTCCCTCTCTAAATTGAGTTGCTCTCTAGGACTGTCAACAGCAGTACTGCCCAGCACACCGTTTCCCCGCCACCCATGATTGTTCACCTTTGAATTCATCCACCTCCGCAGCTACATCGAGAGGACACTTTAATCCTATCTTCGCGTCTCATCATCAGACGCTGGCGGCGAGCGCTTCTAGCGCTGTTGCTTCTATCAAGCGCACCTTAGCGGCACCGAACGCTACACGAGCTACTTCATCCAGCTCATCCAAACTTCATGATACCAAACTCAAACCTAAGCCTTCGTCGAATGCGGCGAGCGCTTCTAGCGCTGATGCTTCTATCAAGCGCACCTTAGCGGCTACAGGAGCTACTTCATCCAGCCCATCCAGCCCTCATGATACCAACCCCAAATCTAAGCCTTCGTCGAATCCTTTCTCAAAGACCGACAGGTACGCCTTCCCTGAGCACTTCGTTTTCGGTGATCTCTCATAACACTCTAGGTCTTCTATCACAACTATCGCGACATCTCTCGCCACGCAAATCTCGGGCGGTCCCATTACTGCCGTTGCTGATGCTGCCAACGACCATAATCCCCCCGAACGATGCTCTCCTAAATTATCTCACAAATCTGCTATTGACTTCGAATCATTTGTACCACCATCATTGTTTGCTTCTGCTTAACTGTATCTGTATCCCTACCTTGTATCATGTTAGACGAGCGAAAGACGAAAGGGAGAGTCGGATAAGCGCCATGCAAGCCCGGGATCGCAAGGGTGTAAGTCGCATCTTCAACTCTTTTGCATGTGGATTATAGATACTGAGTCTACGAGCTGCAGTTACTACGCGATGATGAGAAGGCCTTACTTGCATCGCTTGAGGCGGAGCGATCCAGTGACAAGGATTGTGTTATAATGTAGCTAGACTTTTATCGGATCTCCATATATCTGACGGACTTGGAATCTATTCTTTATGTATACCATTCTTTCCAGATGAATCGTTGCTTGTTAGCGCAGAGGTTGCAAGCAGGAAGTCCTAGCGCTTCAATCACAGAGACAGATTATACACAGTCCGTCAAGTCTTATCGTACACTACCTAATCCGCAAAGCCCACACTAGCCGCTCTCGACACCGGCGCTCTCCGCTTCCCAGATCTGTACCCTAGGCTCTGGGCTCTCAGCCCGAACTCACGGCCGATTCCCCGAGAGATCATGGGGGCTATCCCGTCCTCTGTGGCTGGCGTTTGGACATCGCTGTGGCCCTTGTCGCTCATCGAAGGGCGCCGGCTTCTAGTACCGAGTCCGAGTCCGCCGACCGTCCAGCGCGCTTCGATCAGGGACTTCATGCTCCATAGCCAGGTGAGAACGAAGATCGGTGTGCTGATGAGCACATTGAGCACGGGGAACAGATCGGGATACCGCGCGGGAGGCAAGAACACAAATTCAAGGATATGCAGAGCAAAACATGCCGCGTACACGCCCTTTAGGTAATGTTCAGCCAACATGCCAACTGAAAAAGGGGTCGGGCGTACGAGGGTAAAAAGATCTAAAAGCTCTGCCTTCCGGATTCGAAATGGGTTGTGACCGATGAAACGGTTCCAGAGCAACAGCAGCGCGATGTATTGCACGGCTTGTCCGTCCCTGCTTAATAAAGGCCACATACTGCGATACCATCAACTCAACACGCGTTTTGCAGCTATTACATGACGACACCTACCTGAACACGGCCACGTTGTTGACCAACGCTCCCATCTTGAACGCCGTGGAACCTTGCGCTGCCCCCGAGAGAAGTAGACTGAGTGGCATCAAGGGAAGTAAGATTGTCTTCTCATGTACTTGGAAGGAAAACAAGAAGAATGACATTGCACTGCTCAGCAGCGCGTGAAGCAACACAGGATGGATGACCTGCGGCGCGGGCACCGTTTTGTTTCCCTTTGCCTCGCCTTCGGCCGGCTCTTCTCCGCGAAGCCGCAACCATGCTCGAACGGGAGCAACAGCGGCGGGGACAAACCCAACGGCGGTCAACAGGGTAGAGATGCGCACGAGCGTGTTGCGTGAAGCCCAGAACTTCCACTTGATGACCACGTTCGACGCACACCAGAAATTCGCTACTTTATCCTCGAAAATACCGCGGTCGAACGGGAATATCCGCGTGATCGGGTCAAGGATGGTAGAAATCGGTGCAAAGGGTGGCAGGAATGGCAGAAAGAGAATAAGAAAGGAGATTGATGTGACGATGGCAAGCCGTATAAACAGCTGCAGCCTATAGTGATGTGAACCTGATAACCTCGCGAAGCATTAGACAGAAAGCACGCACCCGTCTTTAGGGCCTAAATAAAGGCATTTTCCGATGAGGTATGAGCCTACGGCGGGTGCATAATAAAGAGCCATTTGTTTGAAGCACAGGCTGAGTACAAAGAAGAAGGCTCCTAGCAGATCTTGTCCCGCAATGAAGAAGTTGACAGCCAACAGGGTAAATCCTAGAGAGTGAAATGTGAAGGTGAGTTTGAAGTTGATAAATCTCGAAACTTACCGAGCATGACTGAGTTGTACTGAAAATGTCCGAAATCTACGAGCAATAGAGCTGGTTGCAAAAGGAGTGTAAGAAAAGCTAGATTCTTCCTGTGGGTCAGTAGCTAGCCGACAGAAATCTTTGAAAGTTAATACCTGCGTCCTCCGAGAACGGCCAGCATGCCAGACGCGCGTGAACATCCACAATGCGGGGACATAGACGATATGGTCAAGCATCAGGACCGTGGCGCGCATAAATACTTTGCTACCTTCGGATTCGATCCCTCTCGACTTGTCGAGAACAAACCACGTAGGATTGATCAGGGATCCGCTAACCTGCTGTCAGATCCAATATAATACGAGTATTGAAATACATACATGAAACCACATATCCATGATACGTATGCAGTCACTGGTGGGTAATCGAGCCCCCAGTACTGCAGATCATAAGTGTACCACTGTCGGATGGGCAGATGGACGGTAATTTCCATCCAGTGTCGCTGTGCTTCATAATCACCGAACATAGGCGGCGTGTCTTTTCCTGGGTACGCGCATTTCAACAGTCAATATATAAATTATCTTTGACGACTGGCGTCAGCACAGCTCGAGCAGGTGATAAACACTGACCTGAATATGACCCCAGCCCAACACACCACTTCACCCACGCGGACCCAATCACCGCACACAGGAGAATCCAATCCCTCATCCCATGTCTATGCATCCACCCAATCCACCGTCTTCCCATGCCCATACTCTCCAGCTCTGCCGCCTTGTCCCCATCCTCCGCAACCCTCGCCAACTTGCCCCTCGAATCGAATGTGCTGAAGCTTAAGTGCGACTTGTGATACACTGAAGACGCTGGCGATATCGCGCGAGATGAGGACGGGGAAGGTGTACGTGTCCATCGTGGCGATGTGAGATCCGGCGTCTGCAACGCGCTATGGCGAAGCGGGACAGGCGCGATGATGTCGAGTCGCTCCTGCGCGGAGCTGAGATATCCGTGAGCTCAAAAGCCAATAAGCATGCAGGTTGATCCTTTACTTTGTGTGAGAGGATGATGGGCGCTCCCGAAGGCTGGGGGTCCGTAAGTGCGCCTTCCGAGCAGGGCTGGATGCCAAGGAAGTCTGCGAAGACGTGAGCGACGCGGTGCGCAAGCGGGAAAGTTTTTGAGGAGGGTCGTCTGGCGTGAGATGGGCCTGCTCGTCCATGCCAGGTGTGGTCACGGTCAGAGAGACTCGGTGGGCTACTTATTAGAGGACAACAACGGGGTCGCAGTCACGTCGGCACGTGTGATGCGCGAGTGCCGACGGGTCGGCAACCTCAAAACGCATGTTCCTCGCTTGTGGAACAGTGTACTAGCACTTCTAAATACACGCATAGATAGACTCAAGACTCAGTCCACATCCTTGCCGTCTATGACAGTCTCCCCATCCTCAGAAAACTTGACGTTCTCCTGTGAAGCACATCATCAGCAAAGTCCGTCACTTTATCGGGACAGTGACCAACTGACTTCGTGGTTTATGGACTTGCCGATATATTTCGTGTGATCTGAGCAGCGCGCACAACGTGCGTAAGAGCGCCTCCGGGGACGGCATGCGCGGAGATACTCACATCCATAAGCGACCAGCTCCCCAGCTGCGTTATTAAAATCAACGCGCGTGTAAGCGAGGGATCTCCCTGTGTCCTCGACAATGAGATCCCTTGTCTAAGCTTGCGTTTGAGACATACGCACCCAATCCGGTCAACGAAGCTGTCATGTTCAAAATATCTCCTGGACGCCCTGCTGGCCGAACGAACGAGGCTCCGATATCGGTCGAAACGCCGGTCATGTATTGGCCTTTCGTCGCAACGGCAAGAGAGCCCAGGGTGTCCGTCAAGGACAGGATGAGACCGCCATGAACGGTCTGTGGGATGTGAATCACTCGGAATGGAAGAATGCATCGGAGAGAAAAAAACGTACGCCGACTCGGTTGACTTTGCTTCATGTGTGAGTCAATCAGCGATATCTTACGGTAGCATTTGCAACGATGTACCGTTATATGGCTCGATCTTCAACGAGGCCTCCACGACGCCAGGTCGTGCGTGATGTATGTTAAGCTGCATATTCGGATGAGAACCAGTGAAACCGACGCAGCTCAAAATCGCGTTACGTTCGGAAAGCATTGAGCATCGTGGCCTAGTGTTAAATATAAGGACCCACGCCGCGTACAGGTATCGGACACAGAAGTAGACGAGCGTTCGAACCTTTGTTATCTATGAAGGACTTCCAGACCTGCAGAGATGCAAGTCAGTCAGAAGGAAATATTGGAACGACGAGTTCGGAAACGGTGTACTCGCCCTGTGAGTAAACCGTAGACAAGCGGACATGGTGGTGCAGTGCTGGAGATCGGAAGGGGCAGCTTGCCCCGCATCCCCGGCCACCCGGCCCGCTGCGCCCTCACAGTGATCAGGGTCCTTGCTCCTTGATCAGAGGGGTGTCAAAAGGCTTCTGCGCATCTTCACTAAGAACACTCTTGGACATCTGGTCTCAGACACGCAAAGTTGTTTCTGTCTAGTCATCGCACATTGATGGTATGCAGAGCTCCACTTTGCCGCATGCCGGTGTTCGCAAAGTTTGCTCTCGTGAACGCATCTGATCGCGATTCGTGCTTTCTGAGGCCAAGGGCGGGGCGGCGGGTGCGTGCGGCTCACGAACTTTATTGTTGAGGGCCTTGCCGCAGAGAAAGGTCTCTACTATGTCGACGAAAGTGCACAAACCAGGGTGTGGGATTCCACCATGGATGTGGCTGCCCGATGAGCGGGAACAATCTCGAACAGCAACGTGATCCACAAGTCCCGAGAATACAGCTCGGCGTATGGGCGACAGACCGTATTGTCTTTGGTGCGATATCGAATGCATGGAATGCGTAGTGCATACACGATCGTCGAAGGACCTAGATTACAGCTTCGAAAACGGAATTCGAAGATCACGCAAGGATTACAACCGCTCCCGACCTTACCGCTACATCTCGTTGTACATCGATCTACCAATAAAAAATTGCTCTGTTTGCACACTCTGCACTACGATGGTGTGTACGGCACGAGATGACACCTGAGCGAGGAATCATCAGCTACATATCGACGCACAGTCAGACTGCACACGCGCTCACCCGAGCATCCCTCGGCCGCCCCAACCTTGTCTCGGGGTAAAGTTCAAGACCACGGTCCGTTGTTCGCCTCTGCGCACAAAGACCCTGATCTCTTTCTGCAGACACGATGAGCGTGAGTTCGGCGCGACACAGCCCCCGCGACCAGGGCCCGAAGCGCAGAGCACGCACGTTCTCGTTCTCGGCGACCACCTCTGCCAGGGGCTGCAGAGACGAAGCGGTCGGGAAGGACGTGTGTCGCAGGTGTCCGAACTTGACGACGAGGTCGTCGCGCTGGAGACCCTTCACACGACGCCGGACATCAGAAACGCGGTCAGTCGCAAACGACGCGGGAGGGAGGGGGGACGAGTTCGTACGGCGTCCGCGGCCGGACTGTCAGGGGCCACGGCGTTGACCTTCGCGAACGGCCTGAGCGCGCCCCGGGCCTCCTCGTCCGCGTGCTCGCCCGCCGGGGCGGCCAGCGCGGGGTCATACACGCTCTCCAGGGCCTTGCCGATCTCGCCCATGAGCGCGCTCAGGTCGTTGCGCAGCTCGATGACGCGCACGCGCGCGTGGCGCACCGCCCACACGTCGATGTCCGCGCGCGGGAAGCCCTCCCGGTCGACGAGCGGCTCCTGCATGTTCGTTCCGTTCGCGGTCAAGATGGCGGCCTGCGCGCCGAGCTCGGCTTCGATGGCGTCCTTGCGCGCCATCAGGGCGCGCGCGCGCTCGACGGGGCTGGTCGGTGATGGAAGAGAGTATCCCATGGCCAGGTTTCCGTGGGGAGATGGGTGTAAAAGGTAGAGCAATTACGACTCGGGCTCGTCGCGTCCCGATGACGCGTCGCAACCTTCCTTCAGGGGCTGACCGAAATTACATAAGGCCCTCGAATGGCAGATATTTTCCGCTGTATTCGCGTTCACGTTCACGAGCATGCATAAAACATAGGCGTGGTAAGCAACCGTAGAAAACTGCGATTCAATAATCGACACAATCCATCTGCCATAGATCAGGGAAAAGTTCTACCCGCGCAGAACGAAAAAGAAAAAAAAACATGTGTGGCGAGATTGCACCCTGCTGCGCCCGTCGTCAGTCCACCACTCTCCCATCGACGATCCTGTGCGAGTCGAGCACGCGCATGGCCTCCTTTGCGGCCTTGATCCCGCTCGCCATCATCGCGCCAAACGTCGGGCCCATGCGGTTCGACCCGTCGTGCTCCGCGAGCTCCATCCCTGCACGACAAGCAAAACAAAAGTCAACACACCACCCTCTCCGCGCGCCCTTGCGCCCGCGCACGCACCCGCCATGACGAGCCCCGGGACGACCTCGCGCGTGCCGTTCACGATCGCAGGCTCCGCGCGGCGCATGTCGAGCGCGCGCATGCTGCCGAGCGCGGGGCGCAGGCCCGCGCTCACGAGGCGCCTCGCGCAGAACGCGCCCATCGGGCCGTCGTGGCCCGTCGCGGACACGACGACGGGCGCGGTGAGCGTGCTCGGGTCCATGCACGACTGCGTCGCGTGGTTGAGCGCGACGAGCGTCCAGTTCACGACGACGCCCGCGACGCGCGCCTGTGCGCCGTCGCTGCGGCCGTGGACGATGAGGTCCTCGACGGCGGTGGCGTTGAGCAGGACGACGTTCGGCATGCGCAGGACGTGCGCGAGCACCGTCGCCGTGAACAGCGCTGCGTGCTTCACGACCACGAACGCGCCCTCGTCCTCGAACGGCACGCCGAGCTCCTCCAAGAACCGATCCGCGGGCTTGCGCACGACCTGCAACAACAACAACCACAGCCACGTGTGCGCACGCGGCGCGCGGGTCAGCGCCAACGGCCCCACGGCTCAAAAAGAGGAAAAAGACGCGACGAGCGCGTCGTGCGTGCCATGGGCGTCATGAGCTGGCCGCCGAGCCACGCGCCGCCGCCGGGGGCGACGCTGGCCTCTACGATGGTGATCTTGAGCTCCGGGCGGGCCTTGGCGAGGTGGTACGCGCACGAGAGGCCCGCGCTGCCCGCGCCGACGATGACGACGTCCGATACCGCGCGCTCGTACAGCGTCGCGGAGTACCTGCGGCGACGGCGGCGGAGATGGCCGGACCCGTGCGCTGAGCGTGCGATCGTGCGGGGGCGGGGCGTGGGTGCGGCACTCACCGCTTGATCATCGCGCGCGCGACCTGCGCCTCCTCGATCGGCGCGAAGCGGTAACGGCCGTCGTAGTCTTCCAGCGCGTCCGCGCGCGCACCCGCCTTGTCGCTCGCCTGCTTCGGAGGCGGGGCCGCGTCGGGCACGGCGCTCTCGAGCGGAGGAGCTGTCGCGACGGGAGGAGACATGAGGAGAGGATGCACCGAGACGGTGCGAGCGCGGTGCGCAGGGCTTAAATACCGCACTCCCCACAGCGCGGGACGGCCAGCGCGCAGCGGGCGATAAGCTCGAGCCACGATGACCGCACTGTCCCCAGCGGATGATGCCATCGACCTGATACCCTCGACGCTCGTGAGAGGCCCCGCGTCCCGTGTGGGCAAGGACCCCCCTCGCAGGAACACGACCCCCCTTCGAGAACCCGCCCGAGTCATGAGTGTGGCCGTGGACACCCCATAAAGGCGCCACGCAGTCCTGCAGGCCATCGTCTTTCGAGTTATTTATGCACCCCGCGCGCGCGGGCCCTGTGAGCGCGCGTGACTCTCGTGGTCTGTGCGCCGCCGACGGGCGTAACGGACGGACGGAGGTAGTCCCCAGCGCAGACCCACCACCGTTCTGTTCACGGAAGGGATTCCGAGCGCTCGTGGGCCCAGGCTCGAGCCCCCGCCCTGCGCGCGCGTCCGTCGACCCACGAACGTGTCTCGGACGGGATCGACCCACCGCCGAGCGCGACTGACAGCTGCAGGGACGCCTGCACGCGGCCCACGCATCCGAGTCCCGAGCGCCCTTCCCCGGATCCGCAGGTCGAGGCCTCGCCGTCCGACGTACTGAAGTGCTGTGCGCACGACCCACGCGTCGGGCGAGGATCGCCGGCCGTGGCCATTATAGAACCGGGGTGCTTCCCATGGCACCGAGCCTCGGCCCTGCGGTCCCCCGACGCACGCACGCGTACAATAAATATCCATCTACGTAGATAGAGATAGCAGCAGCAGCACTGTCCGTGAGACCACATCCGAAACGCGCTATGTACACGCGACGACCGCCCCGCCCCGCCCCGGATCCCTACATGAAAAAAAAAGAGTCCAAGTCAGCGTGCCTTCCATCAACATCAACAAAAGAATAGCAGAGCAGTGTTCAGTTCGAGCCCCCGGCGGGCCCTTCGCGAAGGGCCGCCAAGAGCTGAGCAAAAGCCGGACGTATATCAACCCGCTTTCCAAGGCCACAGCGGGACCTTCGTCCCCGCCGCGTCCTCCAAAGGGTCATCTGGCCCCGGCAGACTCTCATCACAGTACACGCACGCACGCGCACGTACGCGTGGCGCCCGAAACCAGCCGAGAAGATTGCACGCACCTAGTTTCTCGCGCCCGCCCCGACGCGCGCCTCACTCGTCGTCCTCCTCGTCCGTGAGCTCCTCCCCCGCGCGCACCCCACGATGCCGCTCGTGCCCAGGCTTGCGCGCCCACGCGCGCCCGTCGGTGTACGGCAGCGTGCGCAGCGGGAGGACAAGCGTGTACCAGGGGCTGCGCCGCGCCGCGCGCGCCGTCATGTCGTGCGAGGTCAATGCGGGAGGACGGGGGAGGACGAGAGAGGGACGCACTAGCCCATGGGCCCGAGGTGCAGGAACAAAGCCAGGTTCTGGCGTTTCCTGCGCGGGGCGCCGGATCGATCGGTCAGTCAATGCCGCGTCGGCGCACGCGGCGCGTCGCGTGGGGACTCACCCCAGATCGTACGAGTTCACGAACGTCTGCGGGGCACGGGCGGTCGCCGGTCAGCGAACAACGCGCACGGCGAAGCGGGGACGGGGCACGCACCTCGCCGCGCTCGCGCGCGACGCGCCTGTACACGTCGTGGTCGTGCCCCTCGACGGAGGTCTCGCCTTGGGCGACGCTCCAGAGGTGCCAGGCGAGCATGGTGCCGACTGCGAGGCACATGACGGCGGAGAGGACCCAGGCCATGATGAACACGACCGCGGGGGTGCGGTAGCCCCAGTTGTCCTGTCGGCGGCGGCGGGCGGTCAGATGGGGTGGGAGCAAGGGGGAGGGAGGGAGGGAGGACGCACGTCATAGCGGAGGCCGAGGGCGTCGAGGAGGTAGGGGAAGCCGAGGATGGCGAAGAAGAAGGTGGCGAGGACGAGGTACGCCCTGTGCGTGTGGTTGGGGACGCGTCAGGTCGGCGGGGAAAGAGGGGGAGAGGAGGGCGGGCGACGGGACGCACATGAAGAGCACGAAGTGGCGCTCGTTGTAGAGGCCGACGCATTGATTGATCCCTGGCGTGTCGCGTCGCGTGGGGACGATCAGATCGGCGATGGGCAGCGCGTGAATGTACGTAGAGCGGACTCACACTGTCGACGACGGACGAAACGAGACGAGAGAGACGCGATGGTGAGTGTGTGTGAGAGGATCAGGCGTGCGAGGGACGTGTGTGGTGACGAACCGGGCAGTGATGATCGTACTTGAGGACGCAGCGGTTGCATATGCGACAATGGTGTGTCCTCTCCGTGACGCGAGCGAAGCGGATCGTGGATCAATCACGGCGGAAGGACGCGTGGGTAGGGCGAGGGAAGGGGGTGCACACCTCGGGCTTCTTCTGGCCGCACTTGCGGCAGGTGGTGACGGCGGCGGGGGTGACGACCAGGGGTGCGCTGGCGGACCACCTGACGCCGCGGTCTGGGTGCTGGCGGGGTGGGTCGGCGGCGTCGGGGCGGGGTGCCCAGAGGAGGCCGCGAGGGTGTGGCGGGGGCGGTGCGTCGACGAAGCCGGGGGGCACGGTGCAGACGTAGTAGTAGTGGGCGAAGAGGTTGAGGGCGAGGAGGAGGCAGGGCGGGGTGGCGAGCCAGGGCCAGGGGAGGTTTGGGAGGACGACCTCGACTGGGACGGGCGGGGACGGGGATCAGGGCGGCGGGGGAGCGAGAGCGGAGAAGGGGGACTGACGAAATGAGAGGGCGCCGGAGGCGATGAGGAGGACGGCAAAGGCGACGAAGTAGGGCCCCGCTGCGCCCGTGACGCGGTCGCCGAAACGCTCGAGGGCCCTGAAGCAGCGGAAGACGGCGCGGGGGCAGGACATGCTGGCAGGCGAGGCGACGGAGGGAGGGGCGACGGAAGGGGCGACGGCCACTAGCGCCGAAGGGCCACGGCCGACGACGCTGCGGGTGTCGCGGCTCGCATGCGCCGTCCTTCAAATTCCGTGTGTGCGCCCGCCCGCTCCCGCTCGCGCCCGCATCCGCAATGCAGGCCAACTACATGCTCGCAGAGGACCCGCTCTCCCTCGACCGCATCCGCTCCATCCTCACCCGCCTCGAGGACACCATCATCTTCTCCCTCATCGAGCGCGCGCAGTTCGCACACAACCCCAAGATATACCAGCCCGGCGCCTTCAACCACGTCCCCCAGCTCGGCACACACAGCTGGCTCCTCTGGTTCCTCCACGAGACCGAGTGCTTCCACGGTCTGCCCCTCCTCTCTTCTGCCCGCACCCGCTCACCCTGCCCGCCCAGCCAAGGCACGCAGATACACCGGGTAACCCACTCCCCACACGCGCCCCTTCTTCCCTCCTCCGCGTCCTCACCGTATCTTCCCCAGCCCCGACGAATACCCCTTCACCTCAAACCTCCCCGCCCCCGTCCTCCCCCCGCTCAAATACCCCGCCATCCTCCACCCGAACACCGTCGACGCGAACCCCGCCATCCTCGCCTTCTACACCCGCCACATCGTCCCCCGCATCACCCGCCCCGCCACCCGCGCCCTCGCCGCCGCCAAACGCGCCCGCGCCATCGACCCCGCCACGGACCCCGACCCCGACGACGACGGCAACCACGGCAGCGCAGCCACCATCGACGTCGAGGTCCTCCAGGCCATCAGCAAGCGCGTCCACTACGGTCCGCTCCCCCTCCCGCTCTCCCTCCCAGCTTCTCCCCGGCTCACCCCACACACCCCACACAGGCAAATTCGTCTCCGAGTCCAAATTCTCCTCCCACCCCGCCGCCTTCATCCCCGCCATCCGCGCGCGCGACCGCACCGCCCTCGCGGCCCTCATCACAAAGCCAGACGTCGAGCGCCGCCTCCTCGTCCGCCTCCGCAACAAGGCCTCCCTCTACGCCCAGGACTTCGCCTCCGACGGCGCCCCGCGCCCCCTCGACCCCGCCGGCGGCGCACACGGCAAGATCGACGTCGACGGCGTCGTCGAGCTCTACGAGAGCTACATCATCCCGCTCACCAAGGAGGTCGAGGTGCGTCCGCGTCCCGCGACCCCTTTTAACTGGTTCTCTCTCGCACCGTGCCGCTTCTTACGCGCCGCTAGGTCGACTACCTCCTCCAGAGGCTCGACGGCCTCTCCCCAGAAGAGATCCAAAAACTGTCCGAACGCTGACGCCCGCACACTCCGCGCATACACCCCGCGCGCACCCCACATGACTTATTCTCCGACCCCGATCCCAAAAAGAGTACTCGCAGTAGCCTTACAGTACCCATACAAGCCGCTCCCATAATCCTGATGGCCCCCTTGAGCCGCGCGGGAGCCAACCGCTAAGCACCCGTGAGCAGCAAGAACAAAGCGCGTACGTCTCCGCGTCGCATTCGCATCCAATCAACAATCTACCCTACCAAGCAAGCGGGCCAAAAAAACCTAAGCAACGGAGTCTCGCGCCAATGGTGGCCAACTCGATAGAGCGCGGGCGGGCATAGATACAGTATATAAAAAAACGAGTGAGAGATCCAGCAGTCATCCGAATAAGCAAAAAAAAGACAACACGGTAAACGTAAACGGAAGATAGATCGAGGGCGCGAGGCAGCAGCAACAGCAACACAGAGTCGGTCGGGGAGGGAGCACGCACGTAAGCTAGCAAGCGGTCGGAATTAGGGGATAGGAGGGATAGGAGGGTAAACAAACGGGGAAGGAAGGACAGGAAAGACAGGGCCGGGGTTCACAAAAAATGCAGACGCGGGGAAGGCAAGGACAAGGACAGGGGCGGGGTGCTACAGGTCCGCCCGAGGATACACGCGCGCGCGCGCACGCACGTTTCTTCTTTCTTTCTTCAGGGGGGTATAACGCGCGCGCGCAGTAATCGATACATACAGCGACGGCGACGACGGCGCCACGGCTCCGCCTCGCCACACGTAGTCCGGGATCCAACACGGACGCCGCGCGGGAGGCTGACGGCGCGCGGGCGGGCTCACAGGAGCGGCGTCGTGGTGAGAGAAAGCGGGTGCGAGGCGGGCGCGGGCGTGGGCGCGGGCACGGGCGCAGCGATCGCGCCGTCCATCGCGCCCTCGAGCAGCCGCCGCGTCTCCTCCTCGCCGATCTTCTGCGTCGCGCGCCGCGCGAGGAGCTTCTCCGTCCTGTACCGCTCATACAGCACCTCCTTCGTGTGCGTCTTGAGCATCTGCAACCGAGCGAGCGCGCGCGCGCGCGCACCGTCAGCTGCCGTTCGCCGACCCAAAAACCAGCACCATGAGCGCCGCGCCGCGGCCACGCACCTTCATGTGCGTCGACAGCACCGCCGTCCGCAGCGCCGCAAAGTCGCAGTGCGCGGGCTCCAGCACGTCCACCGTGCCCCACCGGAACGTCCGCGTGAACACGCCCTTCAGGTCCTCCGGCGGGCCCTGGCTGTACGGCAGCGCAGCAGCAGCCGCAGCCGCCGTGCTCCGCCCCGACCGCCCCGACGGCGACACGGGGCTCTGCAGCGCGCTCGTGTTCGTCGACTCGGTCGTGTGCCCGTCCTCCGACGGCCCCGCAGCCGCAGCCGCGGCACCGGACGCCTCGCGCGTGCGGCGGTGCCGCCGGCGGGACGGCTCGGGCGCGATGAGCGCGAACGGGAGCAGCGCGCTGAGGTCCGCGCGCGCGACCGCCGGCGCGGAGAAGCGCACGTTGGCGACGCTCTCGCGGTCCTGCGGGTCCGGAACCGCCGGCCCGCGCGTGTCGGTCGTGAGCTCGCGGCGGGTGCGCGAGCGCGAGCTCGGGCGCCGCATGCTGAAGCTCCCGCTGCGCAGCTTGATCACCGGGCGCGACTTGCGCTCGGGCTGCGCGGGCTCCGCCTTCTCCTCTTCGTTGCCATCGTCGTCGTTGTCGTCGTCGTCGTCGTCGCTGTCCGTGCCGGTGCCGTCCCTGCCGTTGCGGCGCTCGGCGGTGGCAGTGGCGGCGTCCGTGGGCTTTGGCTTGGCGGGGACAAAGACGCCGAAGCCCAAGTCCGCGCGGACGAGGTCCCTGCGCACCGCCTCCTTGATCGCCTTGAGCTTCTCGTCCGTGAGCGAGTCGGAGCGCCCAATCACGGGCAGGACGTTCGCGCGTGCGGCGATGCGGCGGATGACGCGCAGCTCGGCAGGCGACATGGTGAGCTGCTCGTGCGCGGCCTCGTCGGGGGCGTCCTCGTTGTCCGAGTCGTCCTGGCTGTCGTCCGTGAGGGACGGCGTGTCCGGCGGCGGGTGCGAGAGCGTCGTCTCCGAGCGCGATTTGGGGGCGAGCGTGGAGAGCTGGCGCCGGGCGCCGGCGGTCATGATCGAATCGGGATCGATGATGTAGATGCACCTGCGGAGAGATGGCATGATGGTGATCATCAGCGCGAGCGCACGCACATATGTGGTAGTCGGACGTACAGATGGACGTGTTGGTCGCCCTTGCTCTGCCGCACGACTTTCGATTCCTGCGCACAAACGACGACCCGTCAGCGTCCCACGCACACCCGGCCCCGCGCGCGACTCCCAGCACCCTGTCCCCCACCGCACCGCACCGCACCGCACCGCACCGCACCCAACCAAAAACCAACGAGACGCACCTCGCTCATCGTATCCGCATACTGCTCGTCCAGATACTTCACGATGCCCGACACCTGCCGCTCGAGCGTGAGCTCGCGGCCCTCCGCAAAGTCGAGCCCGGGCGTGTCGATGACGGACAGCAGCAGCCGGTCGAAGCGCGACTCGCACAGCTCGACGCACGCGCTCTCGATCGCGCGCGTCTGCCGCACGCCCCCGCGCACGAAGCGCGCGAGCGCCGCGCGCTGCGCCGCGGTCGCCGTCGGCGAGACGTCCGCCGAGTCGAGCAGCAGCCGCAGCAGCGACGTCTTGCCCGTGCCCTGGCCGCCCGCGACCTGCGATGCGATGCGATGCGATGCCGCCCATGCCACCGCGTCAGTGGCACCCGCAGACGCACGGAGCGGGGAAAAAACGCAACGCACCATGAGGTTGAACGTCGTAGGCAGGCGCGCCCTACGCTGGCTCGGGCGGCTCGGCGCGTGCGACGCGGCCGCGGAGTTGCGCCAGTTCGCGAACGACGACGGCGGGTGCGACGACATGTACAGCGCCGAGATCGTCCCGTTGGCGCCCCCGTTGGCGTTCGCGCCCGCATTCGCGCCCGCGCCGCCCTGCGCGGTCCCTGGAGGCCCGCGGAACGGTTTGTGGAAAGGAATTGGGGCACGGTCGGGCGCGCTGAAGGAAACTTTGGCCGCACCTTGCACGGGGTACGCGCGCCGCCCCCCCTGCTGCCCTTGCCCCTGCCCCTGCTGCTGGTACTGCTGCTGGTAGTGCTGGGGCGGGGGCTGCTCCGAGGTGGACTGGCGGATGGACTCGACGTCGACGAGGTTCTCGGGCCAGGGGATGCCCTGCGCGGAGAGCTCCGGCAGCGAGGGCGACGTGCGGATGGCGGACGCGTCCTCGTCGTCCTTCTTTGCGGGTTTCTTGCGGAAGCTGCGGAACATCGGTGGAGACGGCGGTGGAGACGGCGAAGATGGTGGTGGTGGCGGCTAGCGTGTGCGTTTGCGGTATGAGAGTATGTTGTATGTGTATGTGTGTGCGTGCACGGCCAGCGAGGAAAACAAAGCGAAACAAAAGAGAGAGCGGAAAGGAAAGGGGGACCGGTGGCAGCGGGGGGTATACGACGACTGCCTGCTCTCTCTCTCTCTCTACAGTAACACACACGGGCCTCTCTTTGCGCCAGAACTCCTCGCCGGCTTCCACTTACGTAACTAGTCTTTCCTTCACGCGGCGTCCAACGTCCACGCACTGTATATCCAACGCACCGCTACTGTACCTGTACTACTACGGAAAAAAAAACGAAACAGAGGAGGCGGTAGGGAAAAGAAAGCGAAAAGGGAGAAAAGACGGAGAACATAGGCGGGACACCCGCGGATCGGATCGGATCGACACACAAATACAGTACAGTCCTAGATAGTAGTTATGAGCAGAAGACACTGAGGGGGTAGGAGGGGGAAGTGTAGGTGGTGGAAGGGGCAAAGGGAAAAAACTAAAAACCGAACGCAACGCGACAAGAGAAAATGTGGTAGTAGTAGGAGTGGTTCAAGTCGAGCGAGGGGGAAGAAAACACAAAAACACAAAAACAGAACGTCACGTCGCTGGAACATCGCGCAGCGCCCGGCTATAACCCAGAAACAAATATACCTAGGAATGACACGCACCGGATACCACAAGGGGGGTGGAGGAAGAGAAAGCGCGAAAAAAAGAAGAGAAAACAGGAAATAAAAGGGGACCGGGATCCAAAAAAGACAAACACCAGGACGCGCTTTGGTATGTATGTGTGTGGTGGGAGGGGGAAAGTGTGTAAAATGGAGGGAAAGAGAGCGAGAGACGAGAAGAAAAGAAAAGCCCGTCCGTCTATGTGACACTGTGCCTCTGCCGCGCCAGCAGCCCACCCGCGCCCCGCTCTATGCACGACATGCCACCGCCCGCTCGCCCGCTCACATCACGCCGAGCACGGGCACCGCCCCCGCGCCGCCCGCCACCTCCCCCTCCACGCGCACGCGCTTCGACGGCGGCGCCGCGTCGCCCTCCGCGAGCGCGTGCGCCCGCTTCCCCTCCGCCGGCGGCTCCTCCAGCGCGTCGTCGTACGAGCGCGCGTACCCCTCGGACGCAGACGACGGGCCCGTCCCCGACCCCGCTCCAGCTCCAGGCCCCGGCTGCGGCGCCTCCGGCGGGCTGCGCGACCCACGTGCCCGCGCGCTCGTCCCTGTGCCTGGGCCCGCGTGGCCGCCCCTCCGCCGCGACGGCGCGCCGTTCGCGGGGTCGTTGACATAGTTGCACGCGAGCGAGCGCCGCGCACAGCTCGCGCACGTCGGGTGGGCGCCGTCGCACTTGGTCTTGCGCGCTGCACACGTCGCCGTCGCCGTCAGTACCATATGGGGCGCGCGCGGAGGCAAATTCAAAAAAAAAAAGAGGAGGGGGGGGCAGGGGCGGCGAAGCGGAGGAAAGGGGGGGGGGCGCAGATACACGTGATAGAAGAGACGGGACGAGGCTCACCACGACAGAAATTGCACGCGACGACCTTCGGGCCGTAGTTGGACGACGTGCGGTTGCCCTTGGTGACCGTGGAAGCGCGCTTGCGCTGCGCGGGCTGCGACGGCGGGGGTGCGGGCTGCGACGCCTGAGCCGGGGGCGGCGCCTGCGGGGGCGAGGGCGGCTCCTCGTCCACGGCACGGATCGGTGGGAGCATGGGCGGCGCGCTCGCGGCCATCGGCGCCTGCGCGGGGGAGGTGTACGTGATCGTCGGCAGGCCACCGCCGAGGACGTGGCCGTTTCCGTTGCTGGGGCCGTTGAGGATCTGCACGCCGCGGCGATCGACGCGCTCCCGCTCCCGCTCCCTCTCAAAGCCCCTGTCGCGCTCGGCGTCCAGCTGGGACGACGCGAGCGCGGACGCGGGGGGCGCGTCCTCGAGGCGCTCATACGCGTGCAAGGCACGCTCGGCCGAGAGCGTCTCTCGCGTCTTTACCTGCACGGACGACGCCGGCACCAGCTGCTGCTGAGGCGCCGCGGCGCGCACGAGCGGCTTGGCGTGCACCTCGGGCGAGAGCGACGGCTCCATCTCGAGCGAGCGCTCGTCCGCGCTCCCGGGGCCGGCGTCGGCGTCGGCGTCGCTGTCGCTGTTGTTGCTGTCGAACTGGCGGCGCTGGCGCGCGCCGCCGCGCCGTTTCTGCGGGGGCATGTAGTCGCACGGGTTCGAGCGCTTGAGGCACTGGTGGCACGCGGGCCGGCCGCCGTCGCATTTGAGCTTGCGGGCTGCAGGGGTGCGCGTGGGGATGCGGAACGGGGCAGGTGAGAATCACGGGAGGAAAACGGGGAAGCGGGACCCAGTGTCGTGTGCGAGGCGGGCAGAGGGACAAGGGACGACTCACAGCGGCAGAAATTGCAGGCGACGGTGATCTTCTTGGCGCGCTGCCTGTTCGACTCTGCAAAAAAGGTGGTGGTCAGCCACGGCTCTTAACGCGCCACGCACCCGCGAAAAGACGACGCGAGAGGAGACGAGCGAGGAAGAAGTGGGAACGTCAAGGGACAAAAAAAAAACGAGAGCGCCCAAGTAAATGCCGGGTTCTGCACGCGCGGATAAACAGGGAAAGAGGGGACTGACTTGCGCTGGACGCCGAGGGCTTGCCGTTCTCCTGGCCCGAGTCCGAGAGGGTCGCCGAGGCGGCGACGGACGAGCCGTGCGGGTCTCCGGGGGGCATCTGGTGCGTGGCCGAGTGCGCCGAGAGGCGAGGCGCGACGCCACGCGCGGGGGGCACGTCGATGGCGAGGATGGGGCGGGTGTTTGAGGGCGGGAGTGGCGCGGACTCGGGCGCGGAGGAGACGGCGACGGGCAGGAGGTGGTGCGGCGGGACCATGGCCTCGCGCGATGTCCCACGCAAGTACTGGCTCCTGAACTTGCCAAGGAGGTACTCGCGCGTGTACTTCTGCAGCGTCTGAAGCAGGCGTCGGTCATGAAGACCACACGAGGGGGGTGGGGTGGGGTCAAAAGCGTACCTGCATGTGTTTGAACGCGGCGTGTCGGAGGGCGAGAAAGTCGCAGTGAGTGTGGTCGAGGACGTCGAGGTAGCCCCACCGGTAGCTGCGGATGAACTTTCCGCGGGCGATTTTGGGGGGAAGATGGTAGCTGGAAGGGTGGGAGTGGCTCTGGGGCGTGTACTGGAGGACGAGTTCGTGTCGGGAGGGCGGGGCCCTGTTGACGCCGTCGCCGTGGGAGTAGCCGTCGGGAGAGATGAGGGCGTAGGGGAGGCGCAGGAAGGAGGGCGTGACGGGAGAGGTGGGGGACGAGGTCGCGGAAGAGGAGGCGGAGCCGTTGGGGTGGGCGAGGTAGGGCTTTACGTCGCCGTTGAGTACGGGGACGTCGAGGGCGTCCTTGAGGTGCTGGTACTGCTCGACGTCGTCGAAGATGCCAAAGCCGATGCCTGCACTGGCGAGGTCGTGGCGGACTGCGAGCTTGATGGCGGCGAGGCGGTCGTTTGTGAGGGTGTCCGCGCGGGCAATGACGGGGAGGACGTTGACATGGGAGGAGAGGCGGTGGATGGCATTGACCTGTGCCTGGGGGAGGGCAGGGCGACAGAAGGGGGGGTTTGTGGTGACGGGGGGCTCGAGGATACGGGCCTCGGGGTCCAGCTGGGAGAGGCCGCTGGGGTGGGCGTGGGGGACGGGGGGCAGGAGGGCGGAGGGGTCGGGCGGGGGGACGATGTCGTCTGGGTCGAGGAAGTAAATGCAGCTGGAGAGGGGAGAGGAAGCGCGGTGAGCAAGGGAAGGCCGAGGAGACCGAGCGGGTGGCAAAGAGAGACAGACGCACAGATGGACGTGGTGGTCGCCGGTGAGGGCCTTGTAGTCCTGCAGAGGGGCACGGATTAGGAAGGGGCGGGGGGCGAGGGGGCGTTGGGAGGGGTTGGGAGGGGAGGGGCGCGGGACGGGACGTACGTCATCGAGGCTCTCTGCGAACTTGGAGTCGACATGGCGGAGGATGTCGTGCATGATCCTCTCCGCGTGGGCCTCGTTGCGGAGGAAGTCGAGGGAGGGGGTGTCGATGAGGGTGAGGGCGACGGGCTGGGGGTGGGGGGAGTCGGAGGGGTCGAGGAGGACGTCGACGGAGAGGGAGCGGATGTGCGGGGTGTGTAGCGCGCAGCCCTGGACGAATTTGGCGAGGGAAGTGAGCTGGTCCTTGGTGGCCGAGGGGGCGACGTGGCTGGTGTCGAGGAGGAGGCGGAGGAAGGAGGTCTTTCCTGTGCGCTGGCCGGCGACCATGAGGGTGTAGCCGCTGGGGGCGGGGTCGAGGGGCGGGGCGGGGGGCGGCGGCGGCGGTGGACGGGGCAGGAGAGGGTGGGGAAGGGGGCCGGGATCGGGGCGGTCGTCGCTGTCGCGCGGGTGCCAGTGCGGGGCGGGGTCGAGGGGCGCGGGGTAGAAGGAGGCCATGGCGGGGGAGCGAGGACCGCCGGGGGAGATGCGGGGAGGAGGAGGAGAGACGAGGAGGAACAGCAGCAGCTAGCAGCAGGAGCAGGGACTGGGACTGGGAGAGAGAGGCCCAGTGCGGGGCGCGTTCGGACAGAGTCTATCCCCGCCGCACCCGCCCAATCGGATCCACCCCTTCCCTCCGAGCGGATCCTTTACACATGTCCCTCCCCGGCCCCGGCCCTTGCCCCTCCTACCCCCGCACCTCCCACACCCCCGCCCCCGCCTCTGCTCAAGTCGCCCTCGCCGTCGTCCTCGTTCTCGCCGTCGTTCTCGCCCTCGCCCTCGCCCTCGCCGTCGTCCTCGCCACCTTCCTCCCCGTCTCCGCCGCGTCCGCTCCCGGCGCCTCCTCGCCCTGCGCGAGGAACCAGTCGCGCGGATCAGAAGCCCCCCCCATCACACCCGTCCCCGGTCTAGACCCTTCTCTCCGTTATCTCACTCGCCCCTCGGCTACCCGATTGCTCCCCCGTTGATCACTCACCACCTGTCCACGCCACAGCAGCACTTCCTCGTAACATTACAACGCCCTCCCGGCTGCCTACATATCATCCCCGTCCCTATTATCCCTGCCCCCCCCCTCGCCCGAGGTATTATCATCGTCGCCCCCAATAACAATACGCCATAATAATAATAATAAAAGATCAAACAATCGCCTGCAGATCGTGATCCCGGCGTCTCATCCGAGCGCCCTGCCACCTCGGCTACCCCTCCCGTCCCTCCTCATCCCTCTTCCCGCCGCCGTGCCCCTCGCGCGAACCTGTCTCTCGGCTCCCACCCTCCTCTCCTCCCGCGCCCCGTCCGCGCCCGCCTCGCCCCCGCCCGCGCCCAGACCGCCGCCCGTGGCGTGTGTGCGGCGCGGAGGGAGCGGCCAGATCAGAAGGGCGGACAAACGCGTGACTCTGCGCGGGAGCCGTCGCGCCTGCCGCGGGCGCAGGCCCACCGCGTGTCCCCCGATTCGGCTGCTGCCCCTGCGCCGCGAGCGTCTTCTTCCCGGGGCCGCGCCGGCGCTGCACCGGCTCGTAGACGCAGGGCAAACCCCGGTTCTTGCAGTTCTCGCACTCCGGCCGGTCCCCGCTGCATTTGAGTTTGCGCCCTGCGAGTTCCCGTTCACGTCAGCCCTCTCTCAAAGCTAGATGCGGGCACCCACACACACCCACACCCCCGCCGTCACCTCGACCAACGTCCTCCGACACTGTCCAGGCGCCGGCGACACAGGTGCGTCCACTCACCTTTGCAAAAGTTACACGCCATCGCCGTCTTCTTCGGCGCCGCCCGCGCCCGCCCCTCCGAGTCGCTGTCGTCCGCGTTCGACTCGCGCTTGCGCTTGCGCTTCCGCCCCACCAGCGGCGACGGCGCCGTCCTCGCGCCGCGCCTCCTCTCCCCCGTTTTTGACTCTTCTTCCTCCGCGCGCGGCATCCCCTCGGGACTCGTCGTCCGCCGCAGCCTCAGGGGGATCGGCCGCGACGGCTGCGGCTCGTGCAGCCACCCCGGGGCCCCCGCGCGCGACGGGCCCGCCACGGGCGCTCTCCCCCCCGAACCTCCTGCCTCCCCCGCGGCGTCTCCTCGCGTGCGTTCTCGATCGTCGTCGTCGTCGTCTCCAAAGCCGAGCCTGAGCGGCCGTAGCATCAGCTCCCGCTCCCGCTCCCACGGCGCGCCTCTCTGCTCTGGGGCGGGGGCGGGCATGGGCACGGGCACGGGCACGGGCACGAGCATGGGCGGTGGGAGGAACGCATACTCGCGGCTCGTTCGCGCCGCGCCCCCGAACGCCGCCAGCGGGGGCAGGGAGCCATGCGTGCGCGGGTCGAACGTCGTCGCTGCGGGAAGCGGCTCGTAATAGTCGTATACACGGCCAAACCGCGCGTCGTAAAAGGGCCGTGTCCCCGCCGAAGAAAAGCTGTGCGCTGAGCGTCCGTGCGCGACGTCCAAAAGCAGCCGCGGGCACACGGCAAACGTCAAGCCAGCTGTCAGCGTCCGGAATGGCGCCCGAAAAGACAAAAGAATCGACGCACCCTCGCGGTTATAAGCCGCGGCCTGTCGATCCAGATCCGCAGCTGCCCTCCGCGGCTCGTCCGTCCTCCTCCCCCGCTCGTCGCGCTCCCGCGCCGACTGCACCTCGCCCTCCGTGTAGCCCTGCCTCGGAGCGGGCGCGTACCAGAAGGGCGCGTGCGTCGGCGCATGGGGCTCCTCGAGGCCATGTCCCTGGGGCCTCCGCCACGGGTCCAGCGGCGGCGGGGCGGCGGGGGAAGCAAGCACACGCGCAGTCGGCGGGCGCGGCGTCCGCGTCGATGACCCCGCCTCGCCGTTCCCAATCGTTCGCTGTGGCACGCGAGAAGGGACTGGGGTGAGTCTTTGTGGAGGGGGATATGTGTACGACGTGGAATCTGTGTCCATGAACCGCCCCGCCCACAGGCCACCGTCGTAGGGCGGGAGCGAATGCGAGAAGGCCCTGGGGCCCTGGGGAGGGTGATGCGCTTGCGGGTGGCCCGTAGGCGAGTGCGAGTGCGAGTGGTGGAGCGGGGGGAGAGAGGGGAGGCCCCCCAACGCGTGCGCGAACGGGGCGGAGGTCATGAGAGGCCGGGCGGGGTAGGGGGAGAACATGGCCGTGCCCGCGAGAGCGTGTTCCTCGAGGGGCGGGGCGAGGTCTCTAGTGCGAGGACCGTGCTCGCGCTCGCGGGCGTACGCGCGCATGCGAGTGGCACGCCATCGGCCGTCGTCGTCGTCGTAGAAAGGGTCGTCGTCTTTGTCGTCAGTGTCGGTTTCGTCTCTGGGCGCGCTCGTGCCGGCGCTGCTCGCCACGGTGGACGCGAGAGGCTCAGTCGTGCGCGGCGATTGTGGGCCAGAGCGCAGATGGCGCTGTAGGCTGCGGGGGAGGGAGCTTTGGCGGTGCTCGCGGTCGCCAGGTTGCATCTCGGGAGGGTACTCTGCCCCTCTCCTCTCACTCTCTCGAAGTGGGCGGGCGGGCAGGCGGGCGGGCGGGCGGGCGAGTGGGTAGGCAGTCAGGGGGCTCGCCGATAGCACTGCACAAGCCACAGGGGAAACGTATCCGCGGAGGCGTCTCGTCGGTGGGCAGAACTCGTCGTCTAGCTAGAGCAAGCCGTTCTCAAGGCCATACGTTCGGGGGGAACGACGTACTGGGTAGAGGAGCTGTGAGGGCACGGGGCGGAAGAAAAACGCGCGAGAAAAGGCGCCGCTCGCGCTTTTGGAGGCGGGAGCACAGGGGCGAGGGGGGCGTGGTCAAGTGGCAGGACCGCTCCTAAGGTTTGCTTCCGCTGTTGACATTGGCGAGACTGAGACAAACAACCAAAACAAACGGCAACGCCGAGAGGGCAGCTGGGAGACAGGAGGGGAGGGGGTCGCTCGAAACATGCTGGCCTCAAATTTTCGCCGCCTGGCCTGCCAGACAAAATTTCCCGATCGGTGTGGGCCCCCCTCCGCCGCGTGCGCTCGTCGGCGGCGGACTTGCGCGGTGGTCCAGTGCGCATTCTGATTTTCTGCGTATTGTTTTTTAAAATCTCTCACAGCCTGCGGCGGGCTCCAGTAAACGCCCCCAGCGCGCCGGCTATCTCCCGTTTAGACGTGCTTTGTTTGCGTCGACAAACACCGGCATCGCGCTGCGCCTCGCGATACCGACGGCACCCTGTTTCTGAGCTCGAAAAGTGGCCCCCGGCGCCGTGTGCGGTTTATTTTATTGTCTCTTTTTTTTTTCGTCGCTGCTCAAACGCGCGGTCGAGCGCGAGCGCGAGCGGCGAGGGCGAAGGCCCCACCCTGCGATGCAGCAAGATCATCGCAAAGCCGCTTCGATCCCGCCCTTCACCATCTTACTTGGGCCCACATCACGTACAATAACCCCGGGAAGCCTTCCCAATATGGCGAAAAGGGCCCACAGATTTGGTCGCCTCTGCAACTCTAACGTTATATCCCTCATGCCACAGCTTGCCACAGCCCAGACTCGGCGTCGCGCCGCGTGCTGCGCCCCCTCCGTCCGTCCGTCCGCTTTTGGCCAGCGGTTTGCGGCGGCTCGAGTTGAAAAAGAAACCGTTGGACTCTGCGTCCGCGGCGGACGCAAGCTGTCAAGCTGCGTTCTTAATAGTAGATCGTATCTGGCGGAGGCAGGCGTTCCCTCTCGCTAGCATTAGTTTCCGCGATTCAGTCCCGTTTCTTTTGTAGGCGGCCTCGCGAGCGTGTCCGTACAGTGTTATAGGAGTAAATCGATATCTCGCCATGAAGCTGCACGCTCTCGATAATTCTTACAAAGCTTGCTGGCTTCGAGGCTCTCTGCATACTACGTGACCGAAGGTTCCGCGTCGAATGCTCTTCGATAATGTGCAATTTTACAGCCGCCCTCCATTTTTCGGACACTTTTTTTCTGCGCATGCAGAATGTCTCAGTCGCCAGGCCAACAAAAGTAAGATCGTGAGCGGATCAAGTGTGCAATGGAGCGGCCGGGCGGTCGTCGGGAAAGCCGAGCATCGCCGAGCCGCGTCCGATCGTGCTGAGTCAGCCGCTCTGAAGACAGGGTCGCGGCCGAGGAGCCAGTCAGCGCTCACGGAATGACCACCGCACGCGCGACGACGATGCGCTCGAAAGTCCTTGCGTCCCCGCGAAAACACGCCCTGGGCCCGTCCGCGAGGGCCTTTGCGACGTCCGCGGCGAGATGCGACGAAAAACCGGTGCTGAATCGCTACTCGAGGACCATCACGCAGCCCAAGGCTCAGGGCGCGAGCCAGGTGCGTGTGTCGGCTCGTCGTTTGCGTCTGTCTTGTGCGCTGAGGCGTGCTCGTCGCCGGCGCGCGCACAGGCCATGCTGTACGCTACCGAGGGCATCAACTCGGACGCTGACTTTAACAAGGCCATGGTCGGCGTCGCGAGCGTATGGTGAGTCACGCCGCGCCCGCCCGCTTTTTTGCGAATTGACCCGCCGCGCCCGCGCGCAGGTACGAAGGCAACCCGTGAGCCCCCCCCCCCCCCCCCCCCCCATCTCCTCCCAATCCCCCTCCTCCCCCTCCACGCGCGCGCGTGCCAACTGACCGCCGCGCGCCCAGATGCAACCGCCACCTCCTCGGCCTGGGCCAGCGCATCAAGGCCTCGCTGTCCAAGGCGGACCTCGTCGGCTACCAGTTTGGCACCGTCGGCGTGAGCGACGGGATTAGCATGGGCACCCGCGGGATGTCGTACTCGCTCCAGTCGCGTGACCTCATCGCGGACCAGGTGGAGACCGCCGCGGGGGGCCACTGGCTCGACGGCATGGTCGTCGTTCCTGGCTGCGACAAGAATATGCCCGGCGTCTTGATGGCCCGTCAGTTTCCTCCTCCGCCCTCGCGCCCGCGCGCCCTAGCGCCGTTGACTGACGCCCCGTGTTGTGCTCGCAGTCGGCCGGCTGAACCGCCCGGGCGTCATGGTGTACGGCGGGACGATCCGCCCCGGCTCGTGCGCTGGCGCGCCGCAGCTCGACATCGTCTCGGCCTTCCAGTCGTACGGGAAGTATCTCCAGGACGGCCAGACTTCTGATGCGGAGACAGAACGGTACAACACCGTCCGCCACGCCTGTCCTGGTCCTGGTGCCTGCGGGGGCGTGAGTGCCGTCTCCCTCTTTTTTTAATTCGCGCCGCGGGTGAGTGACCCCCTGTCCCGAAGATGTACACGGCCAACACGATGGCGAGCGCCGCTGAGGCGCTCGGGATGACCGTCCCGGGTTCTTCGTCGTTCCCGGCGGAATACGAGGAAAAGTTGGATGAATGTAACTCCATGGGCCAAGTCATGCGCAATCTCCTCGAGAAGAACATCCTTCCCAGAGACATCATGACTCGCTCCGCGTTCGAGAACGCCATGGTGCGCGCCCACGTTCCTGACTCTTGTCGGGGGTTCTCACATTATCATTTTCTTTTAGGTGTTGACGATCATCCTGGGCGGCTCTACGAACGCCGTCCTGCACTTGATCGCCATCGCGCATTCGGTGGGGATCAAATTGGACATCGACGACTTCCAGAGAGTGTCGGACAGGATCCCCTTCATCGCAGACCTCAAGCCTAGCGGCAAGTATGTCATGGAGGACGTCTACAAGATCGGTGGCATCCCCAGTAGGTGACCTTCAATTGATCGCGCCGTGCACATGACCCGATGCGTTATCTGATTGCAGAGATTCTGGCTTACCTGCTCAAAAATAACCTTATCGACGGCGATAACATGACCGTGACCGGCAAGACTCTGGGCGAGAACCTGGAACGCTGGACACACAAGTACGGAGAACTCTCTTCCAGCCAAGACGTTATCCGACCGCTGGATAAGCCGATCAAGGCCACAGGCCATATCCGGTGCGTCGTGCTCTCTACCTCGACCTTCGAACCCGCCCTCGATACTGATAGGGGCGTCCTCCACGCAGGATCCTGAAAGGAAACCTGGCGCCGGGGGGCGCCGTCGCGAAGATCACTGGAAAAGAGGGCCTCGGTTTCACTGGTAAAGCACGTGCCTTTGACTCCGAGGATGACTTTGTCCGTGCGGTCGAGAGCGGCTCGATCAAGAAGGGCGAGAAGACGGTCGTCGTTCTCAGGTATCTCGGACCGAAGGGCGGGCCCGGTGCGTTTCTCATCGCCGTGAATCTGGGGTGGCGGTAACGGACGCGCTAAACGTAAACCAGGCATGCCTGAGATGCTCAAGCCCACGAGTCTGATCATGGGCGCCGGTCTCGGCCAGGACGTGGCTTGCCTCACGGACGGACGGTTCAGTGGAGGGTGCGTCCTTTCTTCCGTTCTCCTCCCTCGTTGCCCCCTTCACTTCATGGTCCCTTCATGTCTCCTTCATGTCGCCCTCACGCCTCGGCCTCTTTACGTCTCTTGCATGTGCATGCCTGTGTGTGTGTGTGTGCGTGCCGAGAAGCTGATTGACCCCCCTCGTCACCTAACGCACCCAGCTCCCATGGATTCGTCATTGGGCACGTTGTGCCGGAGGCCCAGGTCGGGGGGCCCATCGCGCTGGTCCAAGACGGGGACATCATTTCCGTCGATGCCGTGACCAACTCTATCGAGCTGCGAGTGTCTGCGGAGGAACTCGAGCAGCGCCGAAAGGCCTGGACGGCCCCTCCGCTCAAGGCGCACCAGGGCACGCTTTACAAGTACATCAAGACCGTAGAAGACGCCAGCCACGGATGCATTACGGACGCCTGACATGCTTCGGGCAAGCGTCCCATCCTCTTAGGGGTAAAAAGTAGCGACACGGTGTATTAGGATCTGTCAGATGCATGTGGTAGGGACATGTTCTGGCTGCGGTGCAAGTACACTCTAATGTAAAACGTACACTAAGCTATCGTAAAGGGGCTGGGGTGCTCCCGAACGGAAAGAAAACGGCGCCTGTGAAGATGGGGTCACCCGCGTGATGTCGCCTTCAATTTCTTCTTCTTCTCTGCCTTGGGCATCTTGGTCTTGCGCTTTTCGCGCTGCTCGACCTTGACTGCTTTCTTGCGCTCCTGCGGTGCCGTGAGCATGCGAGCAGGACCAGCGGAACAGAGGACTTGCCTTTTTGGCTTCGCGGTCTTCGTGGCGATGGCCCCGCGATGGCCGGTCGACGAATTCACCGTCCGCTGCGCTTTCCTCCCCATCGTCGTTCTCATCGGCATCATCGCCTTCGTCGTGTTCGTCGCTGTCCGACGGTTCCCCTGCCTCGGGAGTGTCGTCAAAGTGGACGGTCTTGACGGACTGGGGGTCGTCTGGAGAAGAGGGCCTGACGAGGCCGATCGTATCGGCGTAGATGAGCTTGTTCCCTTCACCGCGCAGCACCGCGTCGACGTCTCGTTCCGGGTTGTACAACTCGTTTAGCGTCCGGGGGATATATGACTTGCGGAACACCTCGTCTTCGTGTGCGGCGGAGGTCTCTGCCGCGGATCGAGGGTCAGCATCTGCGGTACCGTCGCCGGCTGTCGAGGGCTCCTCGACAGGCGCCTCTTGCAGCCACCGCTGGAGAGCTGCCTCGTCTCCTTCCTCAGACGCTGCCGCGTCGAGCTTCTCACAGGTCACGAATTCGAAGCACCGCCGCAGGCCGAGGCACTGGACGCCCATCTTGGAGAAGAAGTCCTCGACGTTTTTGAGATCGCTACGCAAGAAGTCGAAGGCAGAAGGATGGTCCTGCTCTACGCTTTGCGAGACATCGATGATGTATAGATGGCCGTTGTGATAGAGGATGTTGTATTCTGATAGGTCAGCGTGGACGAGCTTGCACTGGTGGAATAATTTGCGAACGTTGAGGACGAGTTCCTCGTACAACGAAGGGTAGACGGATTTATCGATATCCGCATCTTTCAGTCGTGGCGACGCCCTGTCAGAAATTCCAAGAAAAAAGATAGAAGCATGAGAGCCGAATCCCCTATGTGGTCGGCGAAGAGCGCTCACCATCCCTCTTGGTCTCCCAGAAAGGTCATGACGAGGACATTTTCACGGACTTCTATGGGCTCTGGACAGGGAATCCCAGCAGTGACAAGGCGTTTGAGATTGCGCATCTCCTTCTCGGCCCACAGGCGCACCATTTTGCGCGGGTTCCGACGACTGTATCCTCGTCTGAAGCGGAACTCGCCTGTGACATAACGATCTCTGTCCTTGAAAACAAGGATCGAGGTTTTGTATATTTTGAGAGCAAGGTGCTTAGCCTCCGGCGTCGATGCATGGTAGACATTTGCCTGAATTTGATCACATCGAATCGAATTCAAAGAGGGATGCGGATAAGTTTGCACGTACCTCTTTCCCTGTGCTCACGCAGCCATTCACTTCTTGAACAAGGCCTCTGCCAATCATCTTGAACAAAATGATGCGTGTCCTGGGATCTAGAACTTGTTCGTTTGTGGCCCTGTCTGACTTGTCCTTCATATTGGCGTACGAGCTAGGGCCCTTGCGGTTGACACCGACGCCCATCTGATACGGCATGTCAATTTTTGCGAGTCTCGAAGAGTATTTTGCAAGAGCTGCAAGCTGATCCGTCGCTTGATCCTTCTGGGCTGCTGTAGGCGCGGTAGTACGCGGTCTATTAACAGCAGGTAAAGCTGCAACCGCAGTGGTGCTCTTGATGGCAGACGCGACGCCTTGGGCGTTGCCCGAGTGGACGGCCAAGTGCTGCTTTAGACGGTTATACTGCTTCGTGAAATCTGGCCAAGCACGATGGTCAGGATCCGTGTTTGAAGGGCTAATGAGGCTGAGCCACCTCGTTCAGTGATTTCCCAATCCTCGTCCTCCGCCCTATCGAAATCGGCATCGTCTTCCTCGAGATCGTCTTCGTCTTCCTCTGAAAGTTCATCAGACCAGCCAAGCACTGCTTCTGGCTCATCGATATGATTGAAGCCCGTTCTAGGATCTGATGCTCGTTCTATTGGGAGGTCCTCCGGGGCGTCGTCAAACTGGCCATCTTCAATTAGGGGCTCAATAGGAACGGGCATGGTTGGAGATAATACGGATCGCGCGAAGTTGTGGGAAGAGTTTCTAGAAGATCGGTAAAAATGCAAGCAGTTATAGACAGAACTTACAGCTGACAGTTACAATGAATAAAATAAGACTACAGCAGATTTATCGAAAAGTTAGTTGGTGAGGAGTTTGGTGGTGAGAAAGAGATGCAGATCTATCCCCGATCTATACAAGCGCCACTGGCTGTACTCAGCAGTCATACTCGTGCTATACGCCTTGCCCAAGTTGTGCAACAACTAACACCCACGACGAGCTGTGTATTTCTGTGTATCCACTCCGATTCCACACAATTACATGTCTGCATTGCGGCAAAGGAATGTATTCACTTTCTCGAATGACTCCGACGAACACCAAGAGACACTCATTCTCGATGACCAAGGTGAAACCCGTCTTTTCCAACTGCAAGCTTCGAGCTTCAAGAGTCTTCGCTATTATCTCCACCCCTCCTCCTCATCACTTCCTCATCACTAGATCATAACTGACATGCGAAAATGACCGCCTCTAGAGCAAGAAGAACTGATTCAGAGTCTTCGCGCACAAAATGACCAGTCCAACTCGCAGTATCTCCTCATTGCGCGGATCGTAGTTGCCCTCTCCTGCTTTCTGTGAGGCTCTCCGCTCGCCTCGACAATCCCCTTGTCGCTAATCAAGGCGTGTCATCGCATCTCAGTCATCTCATCTACCTTGTCAACCCTACTAAGGAGTCTCCCCTCTCTGTCATCTTCCCACCAGGCTACCCGGACCCGCCCATACCTCTATCGGTACCATTCACTATGCTCCACATTATTCTCCATGCGGTTCTTCTCCTTCTCTCCTGGAAAGAACACTCGTTTCAGTTTCTCAAGCACATTGTCACGTCATTCTCCTACCCAGTCACACTCGCGGCCTCGGCAGTCGCACCGCTCTGTTCCGCCCTTCTTGGACGGGCATTTGCAACCACTGCCTGGTGGAGTTTCGCCTTTGTGATAGTCGCAATGCAATATAGTGTACACCGGTGGATACTGCAGGGCGAGGCGAACATCGTAGAGCTCGGAAAGATGAAATACGACGCTCGAGGCGCGTAGCAAGACTGTAGCAAGGAATGAAGACTACCAAAGCTTGGTGATCCATTTCGTACCTTTTCACCTCTTCCAATTAATTGAAAGAGGTACGGCCGTTATTTAGCAATCATGTGCTACGGATAGTAAACTCGTGGAGACTCGTGGAGACTCATGGACGCAGATGGACGCCTGCTGGCGGCCTGGCGTGTGGGTTGCTACAGGTTGCTACATACTACTCTGGAGTCTGGTCAGTCGGTTTCTAACATCCTTTGCTAATATTTGGAAATATGATTTTAGAATCCTCCTGACTGGGCCTGGTCGTCCCTTACCGAACTTACTCTAGCTTACTCTTCGAGGCTACAATGATCCTTCTCTCCGATAAGGATCATCCACTTTGTATTAAGCAAGGAAGACATACTGTGTGAAAATCGCTAATCATACACCCATCCCTAGGTCGCTATCGTTGTAACGAATGTGATAAAAAAAAAACAAGGATAGTAGTTATTACACATAAAGAGAACTTCCACCTAACTTAAATTAAGAGTGCAAAAGCAGTTGGACGCCTGGCCTGACCGCGCAGATACAAAGGAGCTCGAACCATACGAATGACAATGAAGCGAATATAGAAACCAACGACTTGGAAACGGGCAAGTCACAGGCACTGGCAGGAAGCACGCATAAAATCCGATGCTTCACACTCCCTCGTTTGCTCCCCGACCCGGGTTGCCAATGACCATCACAGGAGTCGAGCTGCGTGACACGGCGAGATCATGTTCCCCGAACTTCGCGTCGATATCATGGGCTGTCAGAGTCTTTTCATCCTCGAGTCGTGAATCTGTGGATCTGGGATGGCGCCAGAAGAACCATGCCTGGACAACGTCCCTCTGTGTTCCGAAGACAACGAAGACAGCCACGCCCACTAGATGTGAGAATGTATGAGGTGAAGCTCCTCATCCACGGATCAAGAAGGAAAGGAAGGCTCACTTGTGGCAATGAACAAGTCTCGGCCCGTCGTATCCATCTGCCTATCGAATATTGACCATACACTAAACCTGTGACGATGCCTGTAATTCAGCAACGAGACACGAATTTCAGGGACAAAACATACACTGTGCCTCCGAAAATATACAGCATGAAGACAACGAGTCGAAGTGCAAGGCGAAAGTTGACATCTGGAACCTGGCCAGCCCTGTGTGCGAACCGCCAAGCGCGGAACAGCCTGACACCGAGTCGAACTAGAGGCGGACGATCATGTATCAGCGGGGTCTCCTGGGTACCAATATCTGCTTCGAACCTGCAAAGGCGATGATCACTGCACAAGCCACTGTTGTTGCTATGGACACCGAGTTCGTACTGAATGAGGCAAAGGTAAGTAGAGGTCAAGATATGAATAAACAACACGTACTAATGTTCATAATCAAGGGAGCAGTAGAGAAGTCGTCTCTTGCGGCTGACCTTGGCAGGGTGCATCCCTGATAACTGATTCACCGACAGAATCTATCAGTGGCGGACTCAATATGGGGTGGGCAGAGCTGATCGGCTACATACAATGGCTGTGATGGTAGCCCAACCTAAGAATGCTATGTATGGCGCTAAAACCATCTTAAACGGATGATTCATTCGTGAAGACTAGTACACCAAGAGTATATAGCTTACGAAAATCTTCCATCGCCGCGAAATAGGTCGCGTTTTCAGTTTGGTATCAAGCGAATGCCATGTTTGATACACCAGGGCAAGCATTGCCACGGACCATCTATATGCAACGAAGTGAGAATCGCGTCTACAACCTCAAAGAGATGATATGGAGAAGAAAAACTGACGTGGGTGGACAAGCAGTGACCAGAGATGCCTGTAAAATACACAAGCCCTTGGATGGTTCAGGACCGTACGCCTGACCTGCATACAGTCTGCAACAACAAAAACCCGTCAGAAGGACAAGGGGCATTAAAAAATCAGTATGGCGCACTCACAATAAACATCCGCAGAAGCCAGTCAAGATGAAAGTCCCGCAGAGATTAACAAGTGTCGGGTCTCGTTTCGCAGTTTTGGAGAACACGAATGTCGCAACAAGGATGGGCATCATGATTTGCCCTCCCAAAACCTGGAAGGAGAACCAGATGGCCAACTTGGTCTCTGGGCTCATGAAGGAGCCACGGTCATCTAAAAAAGAGGGAGTGCGAACAGTTGAGCTAGGTTCGTCCCCCCGTGCATCTCTCTGCCCGAGATTCACAGACAGATAAGACATCCGAAGATACGTACGCTCAGCGATGTAGGGAAGTGGGCCGCCTTTGCCCGTATCCATTTCAGTCTTCAAACTTCAAGATGTTTACAGTCTGAGCTCCTCCTGCGCGAAAAAAGGAAATAGACGACTAGAACGGAACCCGCCTGCGGAGGAAAAGGAAATAGTTTCTACGTTCCCGCCAGCGAGAGTGCTGTACAGAACGAGAAGAAGAGAAAGAATAGCGGATTCTGAAACCGAAGAGAGGGAGAAAGGAATGTGAATCAAGTTGGCTTCTTGATCATAGCTAACGGCGGCTTGCACAAGTCATGGTCTCGAGACTCGGCAAGCATGGCAATCCGCAAGGGTAGTGAAGTGATCCGGGCCCATTGTGATGGCAACTAGATGGCAACAGCATCGCTGGATGTCATCACCAGGAACCCGAGTACGCTGTGAATTTCAAGCCATTCAAATGACTACGAGCACTCTACGGGCACCGAACGGAGCTGCCCACGAGACAAATGTTTGTCGGATGCACCTTTCGACACTGCGCAATGACGATGCCATACAGAGAGAGCTAAGTCTATCGAGATGGCGAGTGGTATCGTTGATGTCTACGAAGTACTGATACTATAGGCGCAGCCTGAGCTAAAAATATTATCATGATCATGAGCCACTGCAGCGTGCACCTCGAGGCACCTTGTTTTCGGACACCCAACTTCTCCCTGCCGACAATACATGGAATACTACTCTAGACCGCGCCGGGAGCACCTCTCTATTGGTAACTCGCAGACGCCGCCTGCGGACTGCGACCATGCGACCTCACTTGTGTTTGAGGACCGGTCATCATACATCTTCCCAAATCCTCCATCTGCCCCTGCCAGCCCCTCTTTTTCCTCCTTATCGACACCTACAGAATTCACATCATTGACCGATAGCAGAAGCAGGTCGCGGGATGGCAGCGTCGGTGGGAGTTTTCCTCGGAGCAGCCTAAGCGACGATCCACCCGAATGGGAGGGGGTCTCTGTGGGTTCGCGGACAGGGGCTGGTCCGGTGCTCGACAGCGCCGGGAGAAGCTCACAGTGGTGGGCAGATGATGGTCAAATCGACGAGAGTGAGTCCATGTTGGAAGAAGAAATAACACGAGCAAGCCGCTGGGCCTTCGTATCCGTACCACGCGTTCATTCCGGCTCTGTGCCGTCGGCAGCATACAGACAAAATTCTTGCGAGGGCACAGGCGCTGTGAGCATCGATACTTCACGACATCCACCTAATCCACGCTCTCGAACTCTCTCTACTGTCAGTTCCAATTCCTCACCAACGCCGCACCCTCGCATCCGCATCCCTCTCCTATCTTTTTTTGCATCTATCCTCTCGATAGATAATTCTACGCTCCACCTGATTTCTCATACCCCTTCCCACTCTATCTTGTTCCCTGGCCTTCCGGCGCTGCCTGAGGAAGCGGCAAAGTATGAAGGCGAATCCCTCCATGGCTTGTCCCTATTTGCATCCACAGACGAAGAATTTACATTGAGAGACGGCCTAGCCATTGCACACAAGTCGTCATTTGATCCATCCAATTCGCTCTCAGCGCCTCTATTTCCGCTTTCGGAGTTGTTTGACCTAATGAAGGGCGCGTGGAGCGGAGGTGCGAGAGGGTGGCAAGAACTTTGGAAGAAGTGAATTTCATAGACCTTGGAAATTTCCTGGTATACGTCCGCTCTTTCCACCTGTGTTTGATTTTCTTGAACCCACTGACTGCCCTTGATCTTTTTTTTTTTTGAGTTTTGAGCCTAGTATCTCTACCACTATCATGTTTCATATCCCGTCGATTACTGACTTAGTGCTTTGGTGGGAGAGATGTCATTTTTTGACTTCCCTTTTGGTTGAGACTGGCTGTCGAAGCCCCATATCTCAGTCGTAGCCCTACGCCGCACTTCTGATCATCCAATCAATTACATTTGACAGTCAAGCAAAATTTATCGCCATACGTTGAGCATACCTGACCTCTCTGAGGTGATCTGGGCATGACAGGTATCATTGTCTGAACTCTTCGAGTTGCGGCCTGTCGGGATTCCACGACTGCCTTTTAAAGATTCGGCATGATGACACAGCGTGAGACATGTAGTTTGCTTCGATCAATAACACTCAGACGATTGTAACAATCAAGATCTTTGGAGTGGAAGGCAATTGATCTGCTAGGGACTAGCGGGATGAATCCACACAAACAGCTCGCTTCTGCCGTGGTGGAGAATATCAAGAAACTACCATCGTTTCGCAAGATTCCCGTAAATAGACTTTGGCTCCTTGCCAACGACCTTTCCTTGGTCGTGCTAGGAATCAGGTGGGCCTTAATTTCTCTCCTTCTCTCTCTACACGATTGAAACAATTTTATGATCCTGTTTAGAACTGGCTATCTGCTAGATGCATTCGCGGTCCCGAATCCTGTCGATACCTTTACTTGCTTGATCAATCAGCTAAGAATGGTGAACAAGATTTCTAGCCTCATGTTGCCCAACCTCACCCCGGTCATCTTGATAGCATAGGCCTGAATTCAGCTTCATCGTGCATATCTATGAGCCTACCTCTGATCAATCGTTCTTCGTGAACAGTCATCTATTCCAGCGAATGCATCAGTGTTCAAGCTTCAGCGTGAGCTTGCAGCAGGATCAATCCTGTTGTCCGGACTACACATCATTCGTCTTACTGAGCGAATCACCAGCCTTGGTAAGGTTGCTCATATGTTATTATCATAAAGTTGAACGCACCCACCATTTCTATAGTTATCCAATCCGCCTGATGACCTGCGGGAATCGATCAACAACTTGTGTGATGCTATCGCCTCCACTCGTGGACCTTCAATATCACTGCCCGATGGTCTCACACAGCAGATCGTCATCCCTATGGCAGCATTTTTGCTTGAATACCCCGTAGCTTACATCCCGCCCTCATTTGATCAAGTAACCTCCCTCAATAGCACTTCGCTCACCGTCTATGAGGGTTCGTTGCATTTCGCCTCACAAGGAACCCAGCCATCGTACCAGCATACTGTGATCAAATTCTCCTGTCCTACTGCATTAACATCCCAACATCGCCTACTGTCGCCCGACGATCTGCAAGATAGAGTGACAGCCCACTTTCGTTCCCGGATAGCAGAGGCTGGCTTGTCCCCATCGACATCGTTCATAGTAGAGCGCAGTATCCAGATGCATGATCGAGTCGGACTCTGATGGCAAGCTTCATCACAAAGAGGGAAGAAAGTTATTCAGACACCCTGCATAGATCCGAACCGCCCCGCTACTCAATAACGACGTTAATAATCTTAATGTCCTCAAATGGTTTGTCTGTCTTGTTCGCCTTCGCATTCTCAATGATATGCACCGTCTCCAACCCCGACATCACACGTCCGAAGATCGTGTGTTTATTGTCGAGCCAAGGCGTCGCCGTAGTCGTGATGAAGAATTGAGAGCCGTTTGTGTTGGGACCAGCATTCGCCATGCTCACGGTGTACGGCCTAATTCCCCAATTCAATGTCCACTGAGCACCCTCGTGATACGCAATCTGGGAAAGGCTCACCGGTCGTGCTTCAGATCATCTGAGAACTCGTCTTCAAATTCCTTTCCCCAGATACTCGTTCCACCCGTTCCATCGCCCAGCGGATCGCCAGTTTGAATCATAAACTTGGGAATGACACGATGGAAAATTACGCCTTCAAAGTAGCCACTCTTCGCGTGTCCAATGAAATTTTCCACGGCTTTTGGTGCTTGTGCAGGGAACAAGCGCATGTGGATGTCTCCTTCAGTCGTGTGGATGGTGGCAGATGTTGCAAGTGGAGAAGCAAGCGCTCTGGAAGATGCGGCAGCGGCAGCGATGGTTTGAACTTCGCGAGTGGGACGCTCGTTGAAGATATCACGATCGCCAGATTTGTTGTCCCTACAAAACCATATCAGAGCGAATACCTCTTCAATATGCGAGGGGATCTTACTCTGGTTCGCCGCGTGTAAACATGTAGAACCGCTGACGCTTATAGCCCGTACAAAAAAGAGTGGGATCGCGAGCAGCTTTATCCGCAAGGATTGGATTGGCAGAAGCTGCCATAGCGACAGTCGTGAATCCTTTCTTCGCAGGAGCACCCTGATACAAGCTCAAGTTCATCCATCGCACTGTCTCATCCTTACCTAAAAGTCGGGCAACGCGATTTGTTACAGTGTTGACCACTGTGTTCTTCGGTAAGTCATGTGGGTTTTAATGGTCAATGGACTACGCGTACCTTTGATACCCAATAACGTAGGGTAAAGTAAAAAGGCTCCGCTCTCGTCCCATACAGCATTGATCCAATGTCCTGGAATCTTACCGTCTGGGCCGGGTAGCTCGAGCTCCTTCTCCGCCGCGAGTCGTCGTCCAAACTCCATATCTTCTACTTTGTACACCGCAGTCCCAGCCTGCTGCATCTCCTGAATGGCTGCTAGCGACTCATCGTATTTGCGCGTCATTTTACCTGTGAGGAAGGAGAAAACTCGAATTTGGCGGTCGGGAAGAGAAAATGTGGCAAATGAAGAAGAATCCGGCGAGAGCGTAATACATGTCGGAACAGATTTCGACTAGAAGAAATAGAGTCATCAGAATTTGGATCTTCCAATGGCTCGGCAGAGTCAACAGACCTTTTTGAACTCGTATAAGTCAGTTTGGGTCTTGAATGACCACATGCCAGAAGCATTTTTGGGCAGCTCAAAGGGATCCGAAGGCTGCCAATATTCAACAAATCCACCCTCATCTGCAGATATTACACAATCGTATCTGTCACTGAACTGTATATCCCAAGAGCGTTGTTCAGTGGTCGTGCAACGAGACGTAACTGTGAGAACTGACTGTCATGAGATGGACTGGGAAGCGATGCAGCCGCGTGATTGTCTCTAGTACTGTACCGTCTCCACGCGCATCGTACAAGCGAATAGTCCCTGAGTTATCTTCAGAGCTAGAGCATCGACAAATCCATCAGTACCACCACGTGTAGAAGCAAAGTCTCCAGCCTACACAGCAAGTAAACCCTGAGCTTGTCCTCTTCTATGTACCCAGCAGCACGCGCGAGGAGTGAAACCCAGCTTTATCATATTGATCATATCTATGCAACGGTTGTGGGTTTCCGCGATTTGAACATTGTGGAGATACGCACCAAAGTTCACCACATCGAACACTTTCGCACTCCCGTCTTCTGAGATGCTGGCCAAGAGTTGCCCATCCGCGCTTGCTGAGATGCCCGTTATGGGTAAGAGGTGCGCCCTGTAGTGCTTGACGAACTCGATGCCGGTGTCTTGCTTCTTCCATAGCTTCAGATGTCCGTCCACGGATGTCGTGATGATGAATTCAGTTCTACATTGAGTGAGCATGGACTGCTCTCCACGAATTGTTCACTAGACGTACTTTGTGGAAACACAATAATTGATCACGTCGCGGTGCATGAAACTCTTGTAATAGCGGTCGGCGCTGGGAAGATGGTCGAGGAACAATCGCTCATGAGGGAGTACTGCCCAACACGTTCATTGCGTCAGCCTAACACCTTGAAGACTTACAAACGTACCTTTTCGTTTCTTTTTCACCCCACCGTTTGCAGCACCACTGTCCGGCATGGGCATCGGCCCCATATCCTCGTCGCTGTCATCGTCCTGTGTGTCATTGGAGTCCGCTGGTACTGGCGGAGGCCCCATGGTATCATGCTCCTGCTGACCGTCCGCACCATTGCGTACGCGCTTTCCAAGAACTGAAGAATCTTGTTGCTCGATGTCAGACATGGTGCGTCAATGCGGTGCAGCTTGAATTACACTGACCCAACTGTGAGCCGGCGGCTCAGGAATAAACTCGGCAATCGGTTTGGCACGTGCATGAGAGTGGCTGATAACTGCTGGATGACCAGTACAAGTCAATTATCTTTCTTGCCTTCACCCACAACATGCTCTCCATCGCCGCACGCGCCCCCCGCCGCTCTCCTGCTGTATCCCACATACCTTTCCGCTCATTATCAACAGAAATACTTCCCTCATCCGCCTCACAGCTTCCTTTACCCCCTCCTATCGCCACAAAGCACCCCGCCAAACCTCGCACTCGACTATCCCCCGCACCGCGGCCTGCAGTCTCACATCGCCATCAAGTTCTCTCCCATTTACCCCCAAACTTCGGGCAGAACCAGCTTCTCCCAGTGTCCAATACCACTCGTGCGCTACTCGAGAGCATCGTCGCCGACTTCGAGGCACCCATTCGCTATGCTTTCGCGTACGGCTCAGGTGTATTCGAGCAGGACGGGTACACACCCGATCCGAAGGGTCCGATGCTTGACTTCATGTTTGCCGTCACGCATCCTGCACATTTCCACTCCATTAATATGACTCAGCATCCGAGCCATTATGCGCTGCACGCGCGGCTGTTTGGATCGTCATTTGTGTCAAATGTGCAGCAGATGTCGCCGGGCGTGTGGTTCAACGCGTTTGTAAAGACGAAAGGCCAAGTGAGTTTCCATTTTTGACTATCTCTGACGACAACCAGCCAACAGCTTGCCGCAGACCATCAAATATGGTGTCACCACTGTCGACAACATGTGCTCCGATCTGCTTAACTGGGACTCACTATACCTCGCCGGGCGCATGCATAAGCCCCTCCGTATCATCAAAGATGACCCCCGCGTGCGCCTGACGCAGCAAGTTAACTTGACTTCTGCCGTGCGCGCTGCGCTGCTCATGCTACCTACTGAGTTCAGCGAGACACAGCTCTTCGAGACGATCGCAGGTATCTCGTATGGCGGCGACCCGCGCATGATCTTGCCGGCGGAGAATCGCGGGAAGGTTGGAAATATTGTGCGCAAGCAGGGCCCACAGTTCCGCGAGCTGTACTATCGCCTCGTCGTTGGCCTACCTGGAGTGCATTGGCCGGGGCACTCAGCGACCATCCAACAGGATACGAGCGCCCAAGCGCGCGCGGCGCATCTGCGGAAGCTGCCTTCAAACCTACTCGCACACGTGAGGGAAGGGTATGGTTCTTCCATTCCCGCGAAAGAGGCGGATGAGAGCGCATATTGGACACGCATGGCGGGAGACGAGAAGCTGCCTTCAGTGCTCAGGGATCGTACGTCGATCACATCTATTTCGTCCTTATAGCTGTCGATTCACGGGTCTTGTCATTCCAGAGATGAGCGGCATCGTTCGTCACCCGGCAACGATCCAGACATTGAAAGGGGTCGTCAGCGGAGGCATCGGCACAACTGTTCGCTACAGTGCCGAGAAGGTAGGTAAATGGTGGAAAGGCTCAAAAGAGAACCAATCATCTTCATGATCTCACCTTATGCACAACACCCCCATACCACACTACCCTGTCTCGTCCCCTGTTTATTCTTTCTCCTGGGACCCATAGAAAGGACGATCATCTAAAGTTGTAGCCTCTTAATCATTGCTTGTGATATCCCAGCGAATCATCTATAACATCGAATACAATCGCCGCATCGCATCCTGGAAATTTACCAGTCGCATTCTCGTAGATTCTCGTGCTCCTAATCCTCCCGAGCCGAAACTCTTCGAATGCAGATCCTCGCAGCTAACAGTCTCGTTGCTAACCAGCCGGTCGTCAAGAAACAACATGTAGAGAGCTGTCGGTGCCCCAGACACCTCGCGGCGATGGGATCGGAAGCCGACTTTAATATCTACACCTCGAGATCAAGCCGCAAATATTCCGAGAGCCTCAGTCTGAGTCTCCGTGATATTTCTGTGTTTATTACATGATTCAATCACCAACCAGCCGTACACGGGTTTCCAAGTTCTCGGCGGTGATTCGTGCGGGGGTGACCCGGGTCTACAACACCGGGCACTGCAGTGCTCTCGGACAAATCAAGTCCAACGTCAACTTTGTCTTCATTCTACTCGGCCCTCGAGGGTCCTCTGCATCGGCCAGCTCCTTGCTCCTCGCTTTTCTTTCTACCTTGTTTATCTTCTTTTTTGCGAACACTCATCGTTTGTCTCTCGCTTTCTAATTATCGTGCTTCCATGGACCAATACTCTCCGCAATCACCCAATGGTCTCTACGTCGAAGCTATTTTTAAGTCCCCCATCGCGTCCCCCCCGAGATCTCCTATGGTGAAACCTACGAGGACAGTGGCTATCATTAAACCCCATGCTCTCGAGCGCAGGTTCGACATCGAAAACAGGATTACAGCGGCTGGCTTCGAGGTCAGTCCCCTGCTCCGTTATTCCCCGCACATGCGAAGAGTGTCGAGCTCACATTTATTATAACGACAGATCGTGAAGGAACGTCAGATGGAGTTCGACGTCGAGAGTGACCCTGATACACTGTTCGAGTTGTTTGGAGAGGACGCGAACTCGTTTGCTGAGTGAGTAGTTAACTGTCTGGCTAGTGATGCATTCCACATGCCAACACCTCAAAAGGGGCGCTGTATGGGTCTACGTCCTTGAGCGCCGCCGTGCCATTGAAGTCTGGAATACCATCATGGGTGACCCCGATCCTGAAACAGCGCGTGCGACCTCCGCAACTTCGCTCCGAGCCCTATACGGCATCTCCAAAGAACAGAACGCGGTGATGGGTTCTCCCGACGGCCAAACCGCCGAAGTGCAGATCGCGTCCCTCTTCGCGTCTTCACCTCCCTTCCCCGCGACAGAACTCCCTGATCACCTCGTCTCACCTATCGACGGCGGTTCCATGCGCTCTGTGTCCTCATCTGTTCTTTCCGCACTGCGCCGGACCAGCGACGACATGTCGCGGTCACAGGTGCACGGCGGGAGCAGTGGAGGCAGACGCACCTCAAACGAAGGCATGTCCACACCAAGCTTCAAGGCGCGCCCGATCCCCGCTTCGCACGTGACGCCCACGATCGCACCCCGCACAACCCGCGCAGCCAACCTCCGCGCGGGCATCGTCCCCGAGTCCCCGGAGCGCACGCGCGGGCCGCGCGTTGCCCCGAGTAAAGAGAAGCTCGCGCAGATGTTTGTCAACGTCCCTGGGCACAAGCGCTCGGATACCATCGCGGTCGCCTCCACCGCCCCTCCCGTCGTCGCGCCCCGCATGACACGAGCAGCATCCCTGCGCCTCGGACAGACACCCGTCACGCCTCCGCGTCCGAGGCCCAGTGTGGACACTGGACGAGAAAAGATGTTCGAGGGCGTCCCGGGCCATAAGCGGAGGGAGTCGATCTCGGTCGCAAGCACGAAGGCGCCAACGGTCACGCCGAGGCTGAACAAGAGCGCAGCATTGCGCGTGCAGAAGGAGAAGGAGAAAGAAGCGACTCCGCCTTCTTCGTTTAACTGTAAGTGTTCGTCGTGGTCCCCTTTGCGAAGCGTGATGGCTGCCTCGTCTCATCTCTACTTATTCTCTTCTACGCTCGATCGCGCGTAAATAAAGTCCGCTCACCACAGAGAGCGCCAGCATCGCTCTCGCGTTCATCTTCGCGCAGCCAGCTCACCCCTTCTCGTCCTGCCTCGGCTCAGTCAATCTCGTCATCCGCCCTTCGCTCAACGTCCAATACGAATGGTGCGAAACTCACCGCTCCCTCCCCTGCGCCGCCAACTCCCGAGAAGCCTAAGAAACCACGCCCTTCGAGCCTGCAGGCGCCCGTCATGGCGCCGCGCCAAAACAGGAGCGCAATGCTTCGCGCGGCCAAGATGAACGCCGCTCCAACTCCATCACCAGCTGTGAACGGCAAGGCGAGCACGATCAAGCCCAAGGTGGCCTCCAAGGCAGTTTCGAAGACTGTCACGGTCTAGTCACTGGCGATGGATCGCGTTGAGCTTTCGCCCTCTGAGTATAAGATACCCCCTCCATGCGACTGGGCGCGGCTGAAGTTCCGAAAATGATAATCGTGAGCAGACATATGACGTTTGACAGAAGCTATTGAGACTTCCCCGCGCTGGCGCTCTTCGTTTGTGTTTTACTGCATTATTCTTACTATATGAGCAATTGGTCAATGTCTGTTTATATCTTTTGGTTGGTGGGTCCGATCTCGTTCACGAGTTCTTAGTGATTATGTCCAGGATATACACACGTGCGCACTTCCCCGTGATATACGGTTCTAGTTCTTGCTTGCTTCGTTTATGCAACTCTCCGCTCTTTCCGTGTATGCTTTTGTAACATTTTGACCTATATGTCTGTCGAACCCGAGACTCACAGACTGATGAATGAATGATGTATCAGAACCTAGGTATGCTGTTGCCTTACTTGCTTCTCATGGGCCTGTTTTACAGTACACTATAGATACACGCAGTTCCATGAAAGATTTCAGATGTCTCCGAATAGCACCTTTCTGTAGCAAACAGCGAGTCATTATCAGTTCCTTGGCATGTCAAACAGCGCAGAGTGACCGGTGATAACGCCACTCACAGTGACTCTGGTGCCTCACTGAGGATCGTGGGACCACCGATCATCTCGCGCGTCCATACATCGCGGACGAACCAGCCAACATGACCGACCGCACAACCGACGAGATCACTTGCTGCGGCGCGCCAAGTGCCGCTGAGCATCCATGAGAAGGCGACGAGGGCGAAGGGGAGGTAAGGGGCGGTTATGGTCACGAGACCGAAAAGAGAGATCGGTGTGGACGGGTGGCGGCGAGACCACATGTAGATAGGAACGTAGGCGAGCGGCGAGGATAGGAAAGGGAGGTTGAATAACGGAGAAAGGGTCTGTTAAGGAAAACACGATATCTCGTATGAGCATTGAGCGTGGTGTTTGGCGTTTGCTTACGAGGAGCATCACGGAGGACACGAGGAGGAGCCAGAAATAATCCGCCTTCCGGTTCGCGAAGGAAGATTCCTCTAGCATGCGACTGTATCGCATGCTGTCAAGGTTGTCTTCAGCAAAAATAGAGCGCGAGGAGAACGGAGGGTTAGAGCTCACAAGAAGAACATGTGGAACACGAAGTCAAGGGATATGGTCCCGAAATAAAAGAAGTTGGTGAATACACGCCATAGCTAAATGCAAGATTGCGGATCAGCCAGTTGCGGGTGACACAAAGAGGTATATGGGATGGCGCAGGAACCTGCATGTTCGTGAACGAAGCCTTGAAGCTAAAGTATAGTTGCAAAGGCGTCACCAATTGAGATTGCTACAACACCGTGTTCGAGGATAAGCATCACTGTCAGGCGTGAGATCTGTCTGGTGGCACGTACGACGGCGAGACTGGTGAGAACGGAGAGCACGAGCCATGCGCGGGTGACTGGGGGTATCTGATTGACCCAAGCCTCGATACCGACGGGCATCGTTGAAGATGTAGATGGTGCTGAGCACTGAACTGGGCTGGACGAGTTGCTCAGCGAACGTGGCAGCTTTCTGACATGTCGTGATTGCTCTTACGTACATACTTCTCCCTCCAAAATTCCTCTCACGCTGCACTTACTCAGCTCAATCTTTCATCTCATATCAAACCCTCCAAATAACAGATGAGCTTCGGCGACGGTACCTTTTTACGGGAGAATCGAATCGTAGCTACTCTCAGAAGTCGAATTGTTGTGGTTATTTTAATCAAAGCACAGTAAGTGTGATTCCGAACCCGTAGTACACTAGTTGTCACTACTGACGTACTAGAATCAATGCGCTGTTCTATATATCCGACAACACTACGATCAATATCCGACATTGTACATATGATACCAAAGTCCCAAATAGCGAGTCCAGAGCATTCAGAATGCACGTTCTACAGGTGGTGAAAGAGAGATCTCAGAGAAGGGACGGTACGAGCGCTCATATGCGCTCTCAAAAGAGCTCCGAACAAGAGGATCTGCAGAGTTTCTGATTTTTACACGTTAGATGTCTACACGGTTGAAGGCAACCCTTGGGACTCACAGTCCATCCTGGTTGGACCTCGTGTCCCACAGCACGGACCAAGGGCTACCAGGAATGCTTTGCGGAGTGAGAGCTGCAGAATTTATGATCTCGGCCCTGGGCAGACTTGGGTCGGTCTCCCGAGGATCAGTAATCTTTATAGACAATCCGTGTCCTCGGACAAAGGTTGGCAGCTGTTTCTCTGTCTCGTGGGCTACCGTGTCGCCCTTGTCCGTTGGGCCGACCTGCATCTCCTTCAATTCTCGCGAAGCAATGACAACAAGTAGAAGGATTGCATCCACCCCAGAGAAAATGGTTTGAGGGAAGAATCCGATGATGTCTGCTGTATATGTGAGTTCTAACTTGCGTACAAATACTTGGACCATGCGCACCTATCAAAACTCCTAGATGCATTGGATGCCATCAGTGCTCGATCTCACACTTTAACGCACAGTCCTGGCTCACCGTCGAGATCAGGAGCATCGGGCATTGCGTTTCTGATTTGAGGAATCGCTAGAACAATGGCAAACGCATACAAGGAGTGCAATCCTACACGCTTAATGTCCCCGCTCTTGATAGCCAGCACGACGAAGCCGATCGTGACATGCGTGAGCATCCAGTTCACTATCCACAACATCATAGCATATAGTCTGACAGTGGGTGCCCTCCGCACTATCATCTCTATTTCACGAGTGGGCACTTGGGTCCCATCTGAGAGCGTGTTGTAGGTGTCGGCATCTGTGATGGTGACCGTGAAGCTGGTTGTTACATCGACGGTGCTCAATCTCTGTATTTGCAGTGTCTCATTTGTAGCGGAGTTCACTGCGCAAACGATGCTGGATAATCGGTACGTGTCGAACGGGTAGAGATTGGCTTCATGGACGTCGAGTACGTGGTCGTCATCGAACCGCGTCAAGGCTTGAATCCTGATATAAACGTGAGTTCGGATCTCCTAATATGAACAAAAGGCGCTGTGTGGAGCGGAGCTCACATCTGTCTTTTCCCACTGTCACGGCCAAATGGTGACATTGCAGGCCTGTACTGTCCGACTGGCGTTTGTCCGCTATATGAGTGACAGCACCGTAAATGTCTTCATTCGACAAGCAAGAAACATCGCTGACCTATCAATGTATATGTCTAGGGGCATGCTTGGAAGACCACACGCTTCACTACCATGGACACCTTGAGATCCAGGCAGTAAAAATGCCTCCCCACAGGCGACGAAAGCCCACCGTATCGAGATGGAAGGCTCGTCGACATCGATATCGACGTCTTCTCCGAGCAAGACAATCTGATCGCGCCCAGCCCCAGATGTCTCAACAATCGTGCGTGTATCCATGAAACATCATCTCTTACCCCGGGTGAACCACTGGCCAATTCATCAAGCATGCTCTTGAAAGTGACGACGTTGCGCCCTCCCACAAAGACAAGCGACATAGTTCCAATAAAGAACAGAGAGGCCAGTACACACATAACGATCAAGAACATCGCTCCAAGAGGCACAACTCCGTTCTTTGCGGCCTTTTTGCCTCCTGGACGCAAGGTCTCACGTACGGGTGTTGTGCTACCCGTCGGAGCATGTTTGTCCGATGAAAGAGTGTCTTCGGCCCACGATGCGGTGCGCAGGAGATTAGTTGTGGATGTAAAAGAGTGGTAGGCGGACATGGCTCGCAGTCAGGTCCAGTGGATGAAGGGAAAGGGGGTTGAGGGGGCGATCTTTCGCAAAACCGGCCTTCTCTTGCTGCTGAGACCTCACATTTATGCAGATGCGCAGGCTCGGCGCAAGGGGTATGCAATTACCACCAATTGTGTACATCATGCTTCCACCTTCGGACACTAAACCTTGGCAATTGACTGTTCGTTCGCATAGAATATCTTACTAGCTTGATCGTCGTTATTTAATAATTCGGAACCCATCGCGTATGGCTTCCCTAGCGTCGCATGTGGAAGCATAGTATTCTCTCATTTCTGGACGTACCACTCTGCAAATCTGCGAACGTACATACAATTTAAGAATAAAAACCACTTCGGCGGTGAACCGGTGACGATCCAAGGACGCATGATAAGCATCTGCAAGACCTGCTACATCAAGTCGGCACATGGCTAGCGACTGTCAAGGATTCCGTACATATGTCAGCGAGACCTGCAGGTGTATAGCCGCTCTATCGCCGTTAACTGTACTCTTCGATTGACGGGTTTGATGACTTCTTTGCGCCGATCCTGTACCTTGGGCGGTTTGCGAGGCTTGCCAGGAAGTCTATGAGCGATAGCATCTACGGTGGTGAATCTTGTGCAAAAGCAGCCAGCGTCGCACAATATAATCCCGAAATGGCTACATGTTTTAGTCCAGTAAGGGCACTTTGAATCCGCTGAAACTCAAACGAGAAGTGATCTCATGCGTCGCATTTACGCCCCATCATGACATCAAGAAGAGACAGAGAAGTAGTAGCTGAAGATCCAACGTCACCGATTGATCATTTTCGCATCCCATTATTGTCAATACAAAGTCAATTCCTGATATATGACGGATGCGACCTAGCTGCAAAGGTGCAAATTTACAAGCTAAGGCAAGAATTTCCATTCTTCATGAGAGCGCTTACTGCGAGTTCGCAGCACGAAGTTCCTCCTCCAGGAGGTTTCGTAACAACCTCGACTCCTCTAAGGGGCCACCTTCATCGCCCTCGGGACCGTAGATTTCAAGAATTTCACAAGCGGCCAGAAGGTACCATTGGGCATGAGCAAGACATTTGGTGGTGGGGGCGGTATCGTCCGTCACAACCGCATTCCACGCTGTCTTCGCCATTTCTAGGGCATGCATACCTGGGGAAAGGTAAGGTTAACATATATTCATCTTGAGCTTGATCATCAGGATTGACAATTACCGATCTGTGGGTAATTTGGTGGATAGATCAGGAAGTAAACCGCCAGGAGGGTATGCCCCACATCTAGAGCAGCCGATATACTATCCCCATGCGCAGCCTGACTAAAAGATTCTGACATCTTTAGAAGGACAGACGGATGCAAAAATGGTAAAAGAGATTTCGGTATATTCGCGTAGTTTTGGAGGCTGTTGGGCAGGGAAGGCTGCCGGTTGAGAAGACAGCCAGTGAACTCGTAGAGTGGGTCCTTGAGCTTTGTCAGCTGATCATTATCCGGAGCCGGTAGCGTTTCGTCAAGGTTCGATCCCAAATGACAGAGGGGGCAAGAGCAATTGAATCCGTAACTTATCTGTAAGGTTTGTTGACGATCAGAAAACGGGAGTGCGGGATCAAGATACGGGATCGTGATCTATGCCATAGGTAACCGTCAGAGCCTTGCATACCATGAGTAGATTAAATTGGAGAGCTATGTACCTCTTCGCCTTCGAGTATGGGCCGCAGGGTCACAATCTCCATCCTCACAGGCCTGCCCGCTGCGTAACTATATCTCGGTGCAGCATTGGGTGTACAAGAATGGTTGAAGAGACGGCTTGATAGCGGGAATATACCATGCGCGATTGATGAGAGGTGCGAATGGATGACAAAGTTGTTGTTCCCGAAACGTGCGTACAAGTCGTTTAGCAACCGCAACGATGTGAAGGCCGGTGTTGGCTGAAATGACAAGGGTGGGATGGCAGTTGGGACTGATTTCTGTGGCATCAAAGATTTGAAGATTGAGAACGCCGAAATCGGTTCGTTTGTATCAGCAAAAGTCGTTTTGGGCGTGACAAATTCTGCGACGAGATGCGAGAATAGTAGGGCTTCCGTTCTTCCATACGATCCCAGCTGCTCATACACAGGTGAAGCTGCAAACTGTGGATATGATTTACATATTCGTTTGTGATTATTGTTCCATGCTTCTGTCTGACCTGGTGATTGAGATGCTAGTCAGATATGTTGAGAAACAATTGACGGTGAGAGAAGAATCACAGTTGGAGCCACAGTACCAATATGAAGCACACCCACTACACTTATATAGGTTTGTCATGCTGGATCGCAATCTGTGACAGAAGTCGCATCGCTGGCCCTTCTCGGAGGGTAGTAAGGCAGTCGACAAGGGCAAAACTGAGATCAACAGCTTGCCTTTGTCGACATTGGAGGAAGCGACTGTCCTGTTCCTAGCAATTGGATCATGAACAAGTTGAATTGGAGGGGAAGGACCGGGCGACGATGTATGAATCAAGTTGTTGATAATGCTTTCGTTCATGGTCAAGTTGTCGATTCAGAGACGCACAGTCCCATTTGGAAATAGTCCCAATTGAGTCAAACCCCATGAAGTAATAGATAGGTCGGCGAGTCCGTTGGAACGAGCTGGAACAGTGAAGGCAATAGAGACTGTACAATACAAACTGGTAGGATACATCTAAGCAGGAAATGATGACAGTAATACAGCGTAGTAGATAAAAAACAAGGCATTCTTTGATCATGAATCCCAAATGGCACCAAAAGCTGGAATACCTCTGCTCATCATGCCGTATACAACTTTTTGCGTCAGCTTTTGGTTGGAAATGATGCACACCGCCTCCGCGTTGAATTCGCGCACCAGTCGGTACGTCAATTTCACCATATCCGGTTTGCCGTTGGTACGCGTGTCTAGAGAGCAACATCGGTTCGTGATTCAAGTGGGCTATACCAGAGATAGTGACTTACCATAGACAACAGCACCTGGCGATGCTCCAAGAATCTGGTCTACAAGCTTATCTCCAAAAGTCTGTCGAACATTTGGAGATGTCCAAAGTAGGCGGATGGGGATTCGCTGTTCCAAAATACAGGGTGTACAAGGTCCTATACCGCTTCCAGTCGCCACGAGGACGACACGGCGGAACAAGGGCACGATGCGGAGAACACCAAAGGTCGGTGCGCCGCGGACCCATATTTTTTTCGGAGGCTCAGTGATTTGTTTGGACGTCCAGTCTCCGGCCTTGGAGACCACGAGAGAAAATCCTTTTTGACCCGGCTCTGGAATCGTCGCGAAGCCATGCCATTCCATGAGCGGGTTATCTGAGATTCGGGTGAAGCTTCCCGCCACAGGCGTTGCTATATTGCATGTTAGACCAAGGAAGTGCAACAAAGAAGACTGACGCACTATAGTCGAAGTACAACCTCACAGCGTGAGAAGAAAGAACTTCGGCATGAACTGGCACTTCACGAAGACGGAGCCAAGGAAGAATGATCGAGATACTCATGATCAGGACCAACCAGAACGGAGGAGCATGAGCCAACGCGTTTCCTAGTGTCTGACCCTCGGGGCGATAGTCGTTGGTAAGCAAGATGACCTGTTAATGTCAAGATGAAGAAGTAGAAACGAGCGGAAGGCCAGGAAGTATCGTACCTGACACCAGACAAGAGCAGTTGCGGTCCATCCTAGGAAACGATGAGTGACCTCGAATCGGTCGTGGTACAAGACTCTGAATCTCGGATATGCGAGACCGACTATTGAGAGTAGTAGGAGCAAGATCCAATAAGTTATGACTAGGGTAGCAACAGATGTCTATGATATCTTATCAGGGTGTGCGGACAATCAGATAACTAAAAAGGACAAACCGGGCCGCCATTCACAACTTCTCGAGTGGCTTGAACAGTGAAGAGGATCAACCAAACTACGCCTGAGATCGCACATCCTGAATGCACTAGAGCGGTCGTGAGCAAATATGCTTTTGAAGACTTTAACTTCTGGACACGTACATCCACCAATAGAATAGACTCTGGCACAGACTCGGCGGATAGCCATAGGCCATCTACACGGCAAGGATATCAGAACAAGAAACCAAATTGTGTGCAAAATGACCATACGATGAAGGTACGGCACAAAAGACGTTGAAGAATGTGTTGATGACATAGTCTTGCCGCATTAGGATCGCGCAGAACAAATTTGCGACTACGATGAGACCCAAGTGTTGGGCATTGGCCTCGCCACGGACGAGGGTTGCAATGAAGATTGCCATGTTGGCGATGAAAACGACGCCGAAGAGACGACGATAAAGGGAGAAGATAGAATGCCTGAGATTCCGGACGAGCTTCCCTTGAGTCTTGTTGGGAATGTCATCGTCCAAGTAACCATCCCAAGCGTTTCCTTTCTCGATGACAGACGGTGACACGTCTGTAGAGGACATATGAGAAGTACCAGCGGATATAGTGTTCTCGCCGGAGGGTCCGTCCTGCAAGTAGATGTCCCTTGTGGGCGGGTTCCGCTGATAAGTGGAGGAGGGGATCAAAACTAGCTTGGTATCTGTAAGCGAGATGTCTTGCAAGATCACAGGAGATTCCTCGGTCGCAGTGGGCAACGTGAGCGGAAGTATAGTCTCCTTTTCGTCCAGAACGATAGTTTTTTCGCTGGCGATTTTGTCGAGCGCAAGTTGTCGGAGAGCCCGCTTATCTGTCTTCCCGTTGCTGCAAATGTATAAATAGGTGCGGGAGGTCCAGACTCGATACAACTCACCCTGTGTGCGGAAATTCGGGTAGAACTAGGTATCGCGTGGGGACCGCGTAGTATGGCTGGACCTGTGCAGTGGCAGCTTTTACTGTGCTAACATCCACATCGGCAGGAGTCACAAAGCCCCAGAGTTCTGTGCCTATCAAGAGAGCGGTGGCAACCTTCACTTCTGGACATGTCTACTTCTTGTTAGAGACCGCATGGACCTTTTGACACGAGGGACATACCTCCATGGCAGCCGCGACACCATCGAGTTCCACGCGGAAACCCTATCCACGTGTATGAGATAAATTTTCTAACAGAACTCGAGTCAGCAACGCACTTTGACTTTGACTTGGTCATCAACTCGGCCAAGATGTTCTAAAGTTCCATCAGGACGCCAGCGGCCTAGATCTCCAGTGTTGAACATGTATTTCCTGCTCATCGCACGGTAATTGATACCTAAGCAAACAGCATTATAGCATGCACACTCACCTGTCGTTGGTAAAAGGATCGAGCTTGTACCGTTCGGCGGTTTTCTCTGGCAAATTGATATAACCACGAGAGATGCCAGCTCCACCGGCCCACATGATCCCGCTTTCCCCGATAGGGAGAGGCTGCATGCTCTCGTCCAAAATATAAACGTTGTTGTTGGGCGTCGGCTTGCCGATGCTCAGTGGCGTTGAGTAAACATGAGGCTGAACGGTGTTGACGATGGTGATCTGGAAACAAGTGATCTACATCAAGCTGACTAAGAAGAGGTAGCAAAGAAACACACCTCCGTAGGACCGCAACTGTTGTAAAAGTGGCCGTTCCTTGCCCAAGCATCCGCCAAGGCTATGCAATGAAATTAGATGTGCGAAATCCCTCAATTATATTTTCAACTCTCACCTTGCGGGCAAACTTCGCCTGCCGTGGCCACGGCCCGGATGTTCGAGTAGTCAAGCGGATTGTGAGGCACTGACAGTAATCAATCCCGGTTGCGGAAAACGTAGCTAGCCGACTTCGACTCACCCATCATCGACGGGGTAGCGATTACCACGTCGACTGTCTTCATCAGAGCCCGCCAATCCTTCGATGTTTTGCCTCTGATACAAAGGGTGCAACCGTTGCACATCGACCCGAGAATCTCCTGTAGAGGTATGAGATAATCTCAGTGGTGTTAATAATGTAAGAACACTGACCCAAGCCGCCATATCAAAGGCTATATTCATGAGTTGAGAGACGCGTCGACCAGGACGCATCTCCACGTTCCCGGGAGACAGACAGACGACTAATATTCGATGTCAGCATCTCTATCGAGGGTGAGAAAAAATGTCAATTACGATTTGTTACATTCGAGTGCATAACGTCGACTCCCTTCGGTTTTCCAGTGGTACCTTGAACGGTGATCAGTCGACTAGATGGTACGAAGGTGAAACGAACCTACCAGATGTATAGATGATGTAGGCACTGTCAGAGGGGCAGGATAAATCTTCGAGCTTTGCGCCAGCGCCAGTGCCTTCAGAGTGCCTAGAAGCGGTGTCGTCTAGACTGAGAACCGGAATACCTTGCACACGATGGCGGTACTCGTCCAAAGCAAGAACGAGGACGCATTCAGAGTCTCGGATAACATGTTCTAGAGTTGACTGTGTAACTATCCCACCATCAAGGGGGACATAGGCGCCGCCAGCTTTGAGTACAGCAAGGATACCAATCACCATCTGGATGGAGCGCTGTGCAACAAGACAGACACGAGCACCAGGGACAACACCCATGGCACGTAGACGGCGAGCAAGATTGTCCGCACAGTGGTCAAGATGGGAATAGGTGATAGTCTCAGCAAGGTGTTCCACTGCGACTGCGTCAGGCTGCGAGCGGGCATGGTGCTCGAAAGCATGGTGAACGCATCGAAAAGCGGGGGTAGATCGATTGCCGAAGCTGTACTCGATGAACAGGCGCTGGTCAGCAGATGAGAGGTGCTGGATGGAGGCAAGACTGTGCTCCATGGCAAAAATGGTTAGGACGTTGAGCGCTAGCAGTCATACTACTCGCGGGCCACTATATATAAAGGCCCTAGTGAGGAGCTTACTTGATACCATCATCTGGCTGTGAATGGAAGACAAGCATGACGGGAGCGTATGGCACATCATCATGCCACAGGCCTCAGGAAGCGCCATACATCCAGAAAGGTTGCTTTACAATACCACGACAAATGACGGAGATACGTTTCGAGATTGCGTGTGGTACACTGGAAAATGTCAGCATGTTCTGTCTCGAATAGGACAAGCAGCTTCACCATCTCGATACCGCCAGCCCGAAGATTGACAGCCTTGGCGAAGGAGATTGAGCCAGCAGTACAGCCCGGAGTATCCGCTGCAATTTGGAATCAGGTGAAAGAGGACAACGGCGATATGCAATGCCCACCTGGTCAACTCGATACCGTGCTGGCGGTCTGGTTTGAAGGCACCGGGGCAAAATCGGCATGGAAATTCATGAGGACGAAGCATGATACGTGAGGTCCAATCTGGAGATGATCTTGAAATAAACGTAGGTGACCGGAAAAGTACACCCGACTCCCAAGGTCAACCGTGGGCAAAGGAACCTGGAGGAACCATGCCGACATTACTTGCGAATCGCAGGGTAAATTGAACGGCCTTTCTAGTGCAAACTCCATTTGCCGAGTGGTTGTAAACAGGTGACTGATGGTTTGCAACATGTCTCTGCAGGTACACAGCCCGTAGGGTTCGGTGTATTGATGGAGCAAGGGGGTGAGAGTTACACGTTACGCACCGACTCAAGCGACATCAAGCGACACAAGTGTCTGCTTCCTCTTTAGGAAAATTTGCGGTAAAACAAACCTTCGAATTCTTGAACAATGATCTCGAAAGGCCTCACAGATGCATCTCGGAAAATCAGGTCCACAAATCCACATGGCAGTCTCGAAAGACGCTCGATTGATCAGGAGCATGGGTGGGCCCCTACACTCGTGCTGCCAGACGCGGATACCGTTCTCGTAGGTTCTCGTGCACATGGTCAGGGAATGACCCGGTCGTCCATGCGTAGGGCGCCATGAAGGGGCCATACTGTAATAGGAAACAGAGCGACTAGGGGCGACTGCAATAAGCGCTGCAGCTGTCATTTTGGATTGAGATGACGCATGACCAACCCAGTAATCCCCAGCGATGATTTGTGAGAAGTTGTTTCGCCTTGGAAGGGGATCGATCATGCAGCATGCTGTGTGAGTAAACATTCTTGTGGCCAACTCTTGAACCTTCTGCAGGAAAGCCCAGGGTGCCAGATCACAGGCGAGGATGAAAGAGAGTGGAGAAAGAGAATGGAGAAAGAGAATGGAGAAAGGGGAACTAAGACAGATGTGCATTGCGCATGCCTGTCGCAAAGGTTGGGTATGAGTTTGACAGGGTTCAACCACCCGGTGGGGCATCTCTAGTAGGGCGCGCATCTACCAGGTCTATCGTGTATTTAAATCGAGGTCTTGTCCCAGGAAATAAACCGGAAGACCATCGTCGTATGGAACTCCGACTTCAACTGTATAGATTCTGTGTTTGCTCTGTCGGTGACTTATCGCAGGGCAAATCATAACTACGAGACCGTCATGCGTGCGTGCTGGCCTTCCTTAGGTCATCGAGCCCATTCAATGAAGTCGGATAGCATGTATAGCGATCATCTGTGAAGGTCTTCTCGGAGAATTTGACTATAGCACCTCTGTGGCACCGTGAGTTTGCATGAGGTGATGGGTAACTAATCGATATTGGCGGAATCAAATGTTAAGCATAGTGCAAGTAAGTGCAACCTAGACTGGTAGAAACATAGCTTGCGATTCTCAAGCAAAGTCCATACAGAAGGTGACGAGCGACTGCAGGGGAAATCCAAAGATGCAATATTCAGGCGATGGTGTACGAAGTGGAAAAGTTCAGCCGAATCTCTGCCGCTCAATCACCGACTTCTGCCTTGAATCTCTCGAGACGCGCCTGTAGGTGGATGTATGACGATTACAATCGAATTGACAGACGAAAGTGACTTGCCAGTAGTGCTCCATGACATTGCTCTGCCCTAGTTTGCGCAAGAAGCTCTCGTCGTGGGTGATGATGATCAACTGAAAGTTGGAATGGTTCCTTCGTTCGTTGATAATACTGAGGGTATTCAGGATGATGAGTCTAAGTCACCGGCCTCGAGAGAAGATGACCTACTCGACAAGACTTGCAGCAAGAGCGTCGATGTTCTCCGTATCTAAAGCGTTTGTAGGCTCGTCCAGGGCGAGAATGCCGCAATTTTGTCCGAACGAATCTGACAACGCAAGCCGTATGACAATGGAAGCGAGCATCTTTTGGCCAGCTGAGCAACGACCACGCATATCCATCTCAACCTGATCCTTGGTCATGACCACCTTTTATAGAATACCGGAATCATTTCCATGTGTACGGAACACACAGACGAAGTCACATACCCGGTAATTGTACGATCTCTTGGATGCACCACCTTCACTATCTGAGCGAATTTTGATTCCATCGATATCTAGCAAGCAATAAGTACGGGGCGATAAACACCCAAGATTTGTAGAACCATACTAACCTGTGCCTTGGTAGGTCTTATTCCACAAATGTCGCATAATATCGTTTACCTCTTCCATCTTCAAAGAATGATACTTCATGATCGCACTGCCACAAAAATTCAAACAGTGTATGCAGGTGGTGTGAGTGAAATGACCTACTTATCGAGAGCCTTGGCATACTTGTCAAGGTCGTTATTCACCATATCTGACATCTGTTATGAATAAGAAACCTAGAGATACCACAAGAAGATGATAAACAGACTTTGACTTTCACCAACTGCTCAGTATACTGTTTGCTGATGTTCTTGAATTCTTTGGAATCATTCTCAAGCTGCTTGAGCTGACTCTTCAAAGCCTGAATCTGCCCGCCAACATGTGCATACTAAAGATGTCATTAGCATCGATCAACAAGACTTGAATGGCAAACAAGCACGTTGCTTTGCATATTAGTCTCCCGCTCCAACTGTTTGGGATACTGTTCGTCGAAGTTTCGCCTAGCCTTGGCGGCCTCTTCCATATCCAGGGCATCGATTTCTTTCTGGGTTTGGTTGATACTACGAACGAGATCCCGCATGAACAGATTATCGCGTATATTTGCTTGTACTGCGCCTCCCTCGTCGATCTCCTTGTTGATCAGAGCGATTTCGGCGCGAACTCGCTCGACATCACGGACATGTTCTTGGATATTGGCCTCAAACTTGTCGATTTTATCTGTAATTTCCTTCAATTTGCGGGCATGCCTGTCACGTACGTAACTGCGAATGATTGTCCTTAATGATCAATCTCAATTCTGGAACGAAGGGTGCTTGCACAAACCGGTTAATGACTCGGTTGACACTGTCAAGCTTATCAACGCTTTTGTTGAGTTCCTGCACTTCTTGTTGAGCCTGTGAGGATCTTGCGGCGAAGTCTTTCTGGAAAGAATCAAATTCTTGATCGAGAAGATCAATGGGAGCCTGGCCATCCTTAATCAAGATATCAAGTTCCTGTACGGACGGGAAAAAAGTCAGTAGAGAAAGGAAGGTGTCGTTTTTTGCTCACTTTGCCCTGCACAGTCAAGGTAGCAATTTCTTGGCGCATATCATCCATGCTTTTCTCCAAGATGACTTTCTCACGGATTTGTGCCCGGAGCTGGCTCTCGCGCAATTGCATTGTATGCAAGTCGTTTTGAAATGTCTGGATAGCATTTCTTCGACGCTCCCTTTCAGTCATAAGACTCTGCTTCTCTCGTTCAGTAGAGCGCCTTCAGGGAAGTGTCAAAATGATTGTGCCGAGATGTATCACAGAATAAAAATACTCACAGATCCGCTAGCACACTGTCAATCTCATGTTGAACATCAGTCGCTGTCTTTGTAGACCCGGAGGCTGACAGTTCTTTCTGTATGTCTGAGATATCCTGCTGAAGGCGCTCGGTGTCTTGAAGTAACCTTGAGACATTGCTCGCATGTTGTCGCAGGACATTGAGATCTTTCAGGTCCTTCTTCGCTGAAGTCAACCTTTCGGTGGCCTGTTGAGGATAGTAAGCATCATGTCTGCGTCGGAGATGGGTGGATTTACAAAACCTTGTCAGCAGCTTCTGCCAGCGAAGGCAGTGATGCATCCTTCTCCTTGATCTCTCGCTGCAAAGCAGGAATCTCGATGCTCTTGAGACGGTCTCGAGTACTTTCCACTGGTATCAGCTTCTGGAGCTCCTCCAAATAAGTCTCACGGCTATTGATGTCCGTCTGATTGTTGGCGGCAGCACTAGACGAGGTTTTTTGAACCTTCTCTTTGATCTACAACGACGAGTTTCAAGATAAGTTACGGATGGCTGATAATGCAGATAACACACGGATTTCTCAAAAATTGCGAGTTCGCCATCATCCATATGGCGTGTACATAGCGCACATATACTCCTTGACTTGCCGATCTTGAGAAACATCTCGTAAAGCTGCCGAGCACTGGCCGCCGTGCCGATTTCACTTGATTCACGATAGATGAACTGCACACTTGTGAGATAGACGCAAACACTGCTTACCCCTTCAGCTCATCCAGCTCTTCTCTGGTTGTTTTCATGGCAGTCTCAACACAATCATGTTCATAGAGGCCTTCTTGCAGCTGTCGCTCCAATCCTTCGAGAGATCAACAATTGATCCATAAGCAGGAAGATCAAACATACTCTTTATCTCCGATTGCTTTGCAGTCAGCAGGGCTTTGGAAGACGACAAGGCGGTCTCTGCTTCGTGGAGGGTCCTATCTGCGCCTGCTGACAGCCTCTCAATAGAGCCATACTCGCTATCTTTTTCACTTCACCAAACTCGTCAAGACCACAACATATCGAGAGAGAGGGATACGAACATGATTACACGGTCCAACTCCTTCTCCATAGTCTCGGCGCGCGCGTCTGTGCCGATAAGCTTCCTGAACTTCGCATTGTTGATCTGCAGACTGCAAAACATGTAAGGTGCTTCTATAAGAATTAGTGAATGAAGGTATTCACAGGTTCTTCAACTCGCTCGACTTAGACTTCAACTCGCTTTGCTTGAGGTCCAGCTTTGCTCTAGAATCAGCTTGAAGACTGAGTGCCCTAAATTCATCGTTCAATGCATCGCGCTTGTCTTCCAAACCACGGCCCTTGCTAGTCAGCTCCGTCAGGCGGTTATCATATTTGGCGGACGAAATCTCCATCCGACTCTTCTCGATCCGATCCTTCTTCTCGTCCATGTCTGCCAAAAGCGTCTCAAGCTCAGCATCAACCATTCGAGAGGCTTCGATAGTCTCTTCAGCCGCGGCGAGGTCGGATTGTGTCTTCGACTGCGTGTGGTCATGGTCAATGGAGATTATTCATCATCACGAACAAAGAGGAAGACACACAAGTTTGTCACGGGTGTGAGCCTTCTGCTGCTTGTGTTTCTCCAGAATGTTTGACAACTCGCGAGATTTATGATTATAATCATCGCCTTTTGCGCGGCGTTCAAGCTAGAATCGGAGCACGCAATCTGGGTAAAAATCCACGTATCTAACGAAGCTCGTTCACCAGACTGACCTCAAGTTTATTGACTTCTGATGTTCGCTGTCGTTGCAAATCACTCAATCTATCAGAGAACGCAACAACCTTCTCCTTGGCTAAAGGAGACGTGTCAAAGCCCTTGATGGTGTGTTGCGCGCCTAGTTCTCGAATCAAGACCTCGCGATCAGAAATGCGGTCCTCTTGCACCTGAATATTGTCAGCTCCCTGATACCGAAAGTCTCAGGGTAATCGCCATACCTTCGCTTCTGATACGAGCCTCGCCTTTTCGCCCACAAGGCCCACATGAGTTTTGCGCGCACTATCAATCATATCATCCAAGTCCTGCTTCTTGGATTCTTCACGAGCACGGTCTTGCTTGCGCTTTGCTATATGGTCTTCGAAATTCCTCTGACGATCCAAGAGCTCCTCATCAGTGTCTGTCATATATATAACACTTTAGTTTAGTTGATAAGGCCGGGCTGAAGAGGGACCTTACCACTGAGCTCTGTCACGGTGGCTTTCCGTCCAGCAAGCAACTGCTGATCCCGGTCTCTCTGCTGCTCCAGAACCTCAATTTTGACGTACATTTCTCGAAACTTGGTGGCAGAGTCTAGAAACGCTTTATTCGCCAACACCAGCCGCTCATAGGCATCCTTTGTCTCTTCGTACGAGACCTCTTTGGAAGCTATATCGGCAGTAAGATCCAATATTCGGCTCTTAAGCTTATCTGAGTGCTTTTTTTGAAGCGAGAGCGACTCTAGGCGCTCTTTTTCGGCTTTGAGTTCCGCCGCACGATCTTTTCGAAGGGCCTTGATGGAGTCAAGAGCTTTGGTGTACCTCGAAAAAGCCTCAGACAACTAGATGGATTGACAACCCCAAATTTACCTTGTTGCTTCAAATATATCGTCGAATTTCTTCTTCAACGCAGCAGGCTCAGCGAGAGGCCAATAAGAATCCTCTTGATGGCAGAAAATCACGTTCTCCAGCACAGACTTTGAGACACCCAATAGATGGGGAATCTCTGTATCCATCTCTGCACATTTAGTTGAAATAACAGCACGCTTCGAATAATCGTTAACTGTATCCTACGTTATAGATCCAGATAACGTACCTTGCCTCCGTTCTCTGTGTTATTGTCGAGGGCCAGAATGCTCTCCAGTGTCTTCATGGTAAGAGCGGCATTCTTCTTCATCGTAACAGAGAGATTACGAACGGCCAACATGCGTGTCCCGTTGGCAGCGTGGAACCTGAGCTTTACCTGGGCTTTGACCTCTTTTTCGTTCGCCATCTTAGGGTCATGCACGAATGCGCCTCCTCTTGTATTTGGAGGCTGGTCTCCTGTGGTTGCGTACTTCAAACATTCAATGACAGTCGTTTTGCCACTGCCATTATGGCCGACGATGACGGTGACGGGGGAGAAGAATTCGATTACGGAGACCTGTTTATCGTCGAAAGAGCGGATCCCACGGATGGCAAGCTTGTTGAGACTCGACATGGTATGTTTGAAAACTGCCTTCGAGCGTTTTCTCGAGGCCAGGCAGAGCGTTGGAATGCAGCGTCAACGTTGAATGAACAAAGACGCGACGGGGTCCAAACGCGATTGGTCACGCGTGACGCTTCGTGCGCTCGCTGCCAGCGGCAATTACAGGCTTGTATGTGAACAATGCTGTATTGATTACGCTCAGAGCAAGAACACTGACATTGAGAAATGTAAACTTCGCAATTGTTTAGAAAACACACACTAGGATATACTCAAAAAAAGAACCAAAATCGTATCAGTCCTGGGGTTCACAGAGTGAATCAACTGAACCGTTTACCATATCATGTACCATGTGTCTGAACCTTCGTGCCTCGAACTAGGTCTCAGGCACGACGATGGATCGAGTATGTAAGACTCCCAATCGCGACTCATGTCAAGTTCGATTCAACTCGAGCGCTCTGCTGAGCCGACGTCCCCGAACATTTGTAGGGTCCAGATGCTGTCCCTGTGGGCAACGCGAAACAACTCCATTGTCAATGGACAGGCGGACGTTCAATTCTGCCGAGTTCCCTGATCTTCCTCGACCGGCGTCTGGTCACAGCTGGTTACACGAATGACGAGAGCCGCTGTAAGGCGGCTGTAAAGACCTCGGAAATCAATCTCGTAAGTAGATGGTCGTCGATCAAGGATTCCACGGCTTGCTGTCAAACCTTCATGCTGCTGATCCCTCTTTAATACTAAAAACTCGGCGGATCATGACACTTTGAAAGGCTAGAGAACAGTTTCATGCCGTCAAAACATCTTATGATTTGGAAGGAACCATAGGGGTGAGAAGCTTAATGGACCACAACTGTCCAGTAACTGTCCCCGAAGTCAGCGATACGTACTGTATCACCCTTGTTCACCGACTTGCACCGCGGCATAATACATGATTGATTGATGAGCAGCTCGTCGAGACTAGAAGTACGCCCCACAAGCCACGTCCGATCCCAAAGATGACGAGATGAATCCACGAGTCTCTGAGCGTCCGAAATCCCCACGAACATAGGCGAGACGCACATGTCACTGAAGCTATGAGTTGAACGCATTAGGCATAGACAAGTATCAGTACACATGCGAGACGCATGCTAGCACATGCTCTCTGATATCGATTACAATCCGCCTAAGAGCGGTGTCGACGAGAAGTCGGTCAAGATCGCACGCCGCGTGAGCAGAATGCACTCACGTTCTGATTCGAAAACATCTCGCCGAAGCCCTTCGACTGACGCCATACATGCACGCAAGAGCTTGCAGTCGCGCAAGATGTCCATACGCGTCAACGACGCTTCGCCATCTGCATAGTCAAATTGTCTATGTACATCTGCAATGTAGCGTTTCCCGAAGACAGTTTTTCAATGTCAGCTTCCACGCTCTTCACGCGATCAAGCAGTACTGAACGATACGTTAGTAGAGTGCGGCGGGTGACGTGATGAGGCATATTGTCGTAAGACATACCACGAAGGTCATCTTGAGCCGCTGTGATGCTCCTGGCACAATAGAGAAGAGAGTATTGAGCGCTGAGAATGAGGCTGTAAGCCTTCGACGCACTGAATGATTTGCTCCTTTTTCATGGCGTCCCTGACGATGTCACCAGAAGAGGTTTCGATGGGCGCACTCCACGCAGCGCCATCGTCAAAATTAAGATAAGACATTGTGTAGACGGTTGGCTGTGCGGTGAGCGACGCTCAACCGTCGTTGCAATAACTTGAAGGCAAGTTGCTCTGCAAGTCTGCCAAGCGGACACATGAATATCTAGCGCCACCGGCGAGGGCGGACCGCCACATCTGAGTGACGCGTCGCGTTCTTGCCCGACTCCAATCCGAACTTTTCAATTGCCCCACTCTCCCACCCCACGTTATGTCTCTAACAGACTTGCATACGATACTCGCTTTCAAGGCGGGTCGCGCAGTGAGGCGTGAGGGGACGAACACCGTCGAACCGACTCTTACCAAGGGCGCAATCGTCGTCGAGCGCGAGCACGATGATCTCCTCCATTTCATGTGGAAAAACCGGGAGACAAATGAAACTGAAGAGGTATGCAAGATCCCTTCAAAATCCTGACACATATATGGTGCTTTTTCATGTTTCGCACAGAGCTAATGGGCTCTGCGTGTTGCCCGCACAGGATCTTTTGTTGTTCCCGTCAGACGCGACTTTCGAGCGCGTCACGCAAGCCGACGGACGGGTCTTCGTACTCAAGTTCTCCTCTTCAGACCAGAGGCATTTTGTGAGCTTTTCATCACCTTTCATTGTTGGCAGACTCTGATGGAGATCGTCAGTTTTGGATTCAGGTAGCTGCATCACGTCGCTCTCATCATTCGGCATGGAGAGATGCTGAACAATACTTACTGAGGATAGAATGGATCTTCCGACCGAGACGCTGAATTCGTCCGTCACATCAACAATCTCCTACGCATTCCCGGATACATCCCCGTCTGGGATGCTCGGACCCCTGCGCAAAGGGCGGCCCAGGAAGCAGCCAATGCACAAGCATCGTCCTCGTCTTCTCAACCCCAACCGTATGTGTCCGGATTCGTTTTCGAGTTTTCTTTTGTTAGCCACTGGACTTATATCTTCCCGGAGAATTTAGAACACAAAGTACGGGTGCTGATGCTGGTGTGAGTACGAGAGTAGGCGCAAGCAACGCACAGCCTACTCCGGAGCAGCTCGCTCAGCTTCAATCCTTGGTAGCCCAAATGTCTAGTGCCACTAGTACCAATGTTGAACTAGGTCTGTATCCCGTCTGGTAGATTTGCCTTCACGATACTCAAAGGCATTTCAGAACTCTCTCTGACCGACATCCTTACTCCTGCGGTTCTCACGCCCCTTTTCAATACGCGCCCGAACCTAATTCCGGCCATTTTCCCTTACCTACCCCCCGACCTTCCGACGCCTCCCACACCCGAAGTGCTCTCTGGCATCGTAGCATCCCCACAGTTCCGGGGCGCCGTCATCAGCTTTGACCGTGCACTGCGTACTGGTATGCTTGGCGGACTTGTCAGGCAGCTCGGACTGCCGGAAGAGGCAGGCACGAGTGTGGAAGCATTCTTAAGGGCCATTGGGGAGCAAGCGCGAGAGAGCGGGGAGAGTATGGACACGGATTGAGCAGTATCAAGTGTGTTTCACTTGGAGTGTAAATGATTGCAGCGTTGTCGGTGAACTTAGTGCAGCAGCTTTGCTGGCAACATATAGGCAAGTGGCGTAGTATACATACAAATGGTCAACAACACTTAAGAAAGGTATAAGATCTTCAGAAGAGGTCAATGGCTGCGTCCTGCTAGCCATTGAAGGATTATATCCCTATGGTCAAAGTGAGAAAGAGATTACAAGTCTGTATACCTATAGGGGCGTACAAGTTATGTTGAGATTTCATCGAGCACTAAGAATTTATGAGCACAATACGACTTCAGTTGGATAGAAGTTTTTTGCCAGATTCAAATTTCACATACCGAATAGCACTGGACGAGGAACGCTCAGCTACAACAATGCATTTAATTGCAGATTATATACTCACCGATACGGGCCTTCCTTGTATCTTGTCCAATTCCCTGAAAGCCGTGACTATGTTTGAATGGATGCAAAAATCAGTAGTATGATGACGGACTTACAGTGCTTTGATCAGTTCATTGACCGGTGCATGTCCGTCGATATCATTCTTGTTTCCGAGCTGTAGATTGAAGCATTAGGGCAGGTCGGAATGCACGAAGAAAGTGGCTTACGACGAGCAGTGGCACGCCGTGAAGACTCGGCTGGTTCAGAAGAGTGTGCAACTCAAACCGTGCTGTTTCAAATTTCTCTTTCTAGGTGTGATGTCATTACCAAAATAGTGTATGAGGCAAAAAGACACTTACATCATTTGAATCTACTACAAAGCTGACATCAGGGGTGAGCACATCGCGCGGCCAGAAACGTACATGGTTCTTACACCACTGCATCAACACCATTGCAATATCTCTCCCACATGGAACGAAACTTTGGTTGCCCTGGGTATATTTTGAGTATATGTAGAGACGACACAGATCAAGAGGCACACACCGGCAACATCCCAGATCCTGAGTGTCACATTTCCTTTCCGAACTTTACGAAAGTTGAAGGCAACTGTTGGAACGACGTCTTCACTCCACTACATTGATCCAGATTGAGGAATCACGTTGCCAAAAGTGAGCATAGACAACGTGCATACCTGACCGGAGCCAATAACATTGACGAATGAAGTCTTCCCCGAAGCCTTTGCATACACCGAGCAGGTCAGGAATTCGACCTGCGGCATGTGGATACTACCTACCTGCAAACCGACGACAGACAACTCTGCTGCCTTAGAAAAGAATATCCTGATTGATGAGATAAGTAGAGAAGGTTTAATAGCATGATATGATAACGGCTCACCCGCTAAACCACTGAAATAATGAAGAGAAGAAGCCAGGCATCTGGCAAGTCTGAGGGTGGGAGCTATGCGCGGCGCAAGGTTACGGCTGAACGGGGACAGAGTATAAGGTTAGGGCTGCTGACTCACGGGTGCTGAAATCCTCAGCTCGAACTTGATCATTCCCGTCGCTGGCGTTGCCCGGATGAACGTCTTGCGCTATCATCGTCTACGTCTTAACCTCACTCCCAAAAGATGGCTCTCGACGGTTAATGGAGGCAAACTCTCAGAGCGTCTCCTCGAACGCCTGAAAAGCTCCGAACCAGAGGTAATATCCTCGTCGGGTGAGGCTCTCGGCCGGCGCCAAGTTGCTTCCTCCAATCTTCTTGACACTCTCAATCTTGTTGTGACAGATCAAAAGCATTCTCATAAAGGCCGCGAAAATCAGAAACAGAGATACAAGAAACGAAAGGAGAAACAAAAGCAGCGGAAATCTCCTCGAAACAATGAGCCAACGTCAGCACCTAGCGAGGTTGTTACGCCAGACCAAATAGCCGGAATACTTTCGAATATTCCTTTGGTGCAAGACGTAGCAGAAGCTAGTGATGGTGTGCTGTTCCTGACTCTCCTCATTTTTACTTCACTTATCTTGATAATGTTGTATAGACGTCATCGAGTCACACATCGATTACAACGACAGAGATGGTGCTCCTCATATTCCACGAACACTTCTCTATACACGACGCGTCGAAGGAGTTCTTCACTCTTTAAAAGATCCAATATTAAAAGGCATGTGAACGCAAGCACCAGACTTCGCTATCATTTCATAACTGGTACATCTAGACCTTGAACCGCCATCGCCGCAACAGCCCATTGCACAACTTGCACACGGTCTCGATCGTGTCCTTTTTAAGTCCGTTATTTAACTCAAACGCACCTCCTTCCATCTGTGCTTCTTGGTCTAATTACGTCCACCTTGTGTCTTAAGTCCTGGAGTCAGTTGGTTGCAAGACCCGCGTTCAAATGTTTATAACTACACGACGTGGCTAGAAAACGTCCCATCGGTCAAGGACTTCGCTTTCGAGCGTTTGGGAGGTTTCATCAGCAGTTCTCGAGATCAAGTAAGTTCGTTCGAACCGATACATGTTAGAGAAGGCGATTGAGGTACAAGCGGGCATGATTCAAGGATCTTTGGTCGCTAGCAAGGAGCGAAAAGCGAACATTCGCAGGATCAACCTCGTCTCTTTCTGGCCTGCTGAGCCATATCTATTTCTTGATCTCGGGAGACAAGCGTGTCAACACGACATCGCTGAGTCGACATTTCCAGTACGAGGTAACGAGCGTTCGGGTCCCACCTTGAAATATGTACAGAGGCTCATGGTACTGTTTGATAGCCAACGAACTTCACTCCTGGTCAACGTATGCCTGCGTCAGTCGTGTTAAAGCACAGCGATGGCGTGTATGCGATCGATTCCTTAAGTCTAATTCCCGGAAGTTCGGAGAAGAATGTATTGACGTGGATGGTCAGCCCAATTCAACAGGTCAATTTTTCCAATTTTCATGCTCTTGTCACACCAGGGCACTGTCCTCGAGAAATTCCTCACGATGCCCAAAGAGCAATTCTCTCGACTGTTACGTTCATCTCCTGATCCTACAGAAGAACCCGAGTCTAAGCGCGAGGCATATCGATATTCAAAGGTATACATCTCTTACACAATCCTAGTACCTACTGACTGACTGTTTGTATTTTATCTGGGTTGTGCTTTCAGTCGGACAAATTCGTCATGCGCTCCCAGCTAGATTGTTACGATTCCCGTTTACCGGGCACAGGAGTGTTTGATATCAAGACCCGCGCTGCGGTTCCCATTCGTTTAGACCTAATGAACTACGAGGAGAATTCCGGATACATCATTCGCACACTTCAGGGCCCACTCGAGAGCTTTGAGAAGGAGTATTACGATCTTATCAGATCGGCCTTTCTCAAGTATAGGTATGTGGAATTGCTCTCCGTGTCTTTTATTGTGGTTCATTGTAACTTTTCGTTGTCTCGTCTTTTTTGTGACGGATCAGCTTTCAGGCACGCATAGGGAATATGGACGGTGTCCTCGTCGCGTATCATAACACAGCACGTATCTTTGGATTCCAGTACGTCCCCCTTTCGGAGATGGACTCATGCATTTTTGGAAGTGAAGGTCGCGGAGATCGCGTCTTCGAGAAGTGTGTTCAAATGATGGAGGCTATCATGACCGAGGCAGTACATCAATTCCCGGACCAGGTATGTTTAGCTCCTCGTCTGACCTCTGTCGTCTGCCCTGAATTGACCATGCCATTTCTGAAATGGCACAGTCCATTAGATGCGTCACAGAAAAGAAAGAGGGCAGCGACGTGTTGCAGGTTTTCCTTGAACCTGCCGACTGGAACGAGGAAACTCAGGGCCCTACGCCCATCGTTCAGTTGGACGTCACGGTTGTGAACTACGCCGGCGACACGGAGGTGCGGGGATCTACGGCCGTTGCGAGATCAGACCTTCCTTGTATGTTTACAAATCGCCTATTCCTATCATGTCTGATCTTGACAATGTTGGCATCCAACACCCAGGGACAATTCTATACTCCATATCCATTCCATCGCTCTCGCTGCGCGAGATTCGCGGGAACCTGAGCGAGGTCATCAGCCGACAGTTCTTTGCATATAATCTCCCGTCTGGTGTCAGCGTGCAAGATATGGAGACACGGTGGAACGAGATGAAGTTTAACCCCTCATCCACGACACCGCCCGCGGTTTATGATCCGGCGTTCTTCAAGAACGCGGGCAGAAATGTGCTAGCCTTACGGGCCCTCGCGCGGGCGGGCAAGGACGAGCTCGAAAAGCGCGATGAGGAATGGCGAAAAAGCGGAAGAAAAAAAATCGTTTTGGAGCCGGGTGAGATAACGATTGCGAAGCTGCAAGGGGCTACCACCCAGAGCATGTCGGACTCGGACTCGCCGTTTGGACCTGCACTTGCAGCCTTTTTGCAACCCCTCTTAGGTGCAACTTTGGATAAGGTGATGCCGACGCTGGAGAGTCAGTCGAAGACAGATGATGATAAAGGAGAGGACGCTGATCCGTCTAGTGATAACCCACGGACGCTCGACGGGCACGATGCTGATGCCATCTCTGCATCGTCTTCCTCCATCGAGCAGAGCCAGCCGTCGTCGCTCCCTGAGGCACCTCGCCTTGGAGATGAATCTTGGAGATCACTAGCAAATATACGCTTGCGAGGGGGAGCGCCTGCAGCTGATTCGGACACGCCGCTCCCACTGGAATCTTCAGTTGCGCAGGATGACATGGTCCCGTCCTCGGACTCCTCAGATCCCGGCTCCTTGGCTGACAGCGACTCGACGCTTTCGCCACCTCCGTCACCTTCACCATCCGCAGATAACGATGCGCACGGTGCTCCCTCTGACGACCCGGCGCCATCATCCCCCCCGCCACCGTCGACGCCAGGACCCCATTCCTCATAAAATACGGCATCTACACATGTAATGACACATCTTATTTCCCTCCCGTCTTTAGGTTCGACGCGGCGAAGGGTAGCTGACATGCAATGAGCCTATAACTTATATTCTATACGTAGCTTAATTTGACAAGAGAACCCGCTCACAACTGTATCCCGCTGGTGGAAATGCCCAAACTGAGCTTGTCCTTGTGAAGTACGCTTGAAGAGGTTGACGGGCGCCGCCTACACTCCAGCGCCTGCAGCATGCCTCGATTGTCGCCTAGTACAGGGAACACCAGATCACGAAAAAATCACACAATATATCAAGACGACTGCTGAGAAGGTCGAAAAATCGCGGACGAGAGAAGGCTTGGTCCTACAGTATGGTACGGATCATATTCACGAGCAAAAACAAAACATTGCCACATGCAAAATAAACACAACAAGCACAGCAGGCATGGACGACCCGCCGTACCCTACGAGAGCCCACAACTACTCACGCCAGCGGGCGGTCCAGGTCAAACTGCCCAAACAGCCTCTCGGAGAAATACCGCGCCCTGACCGAGCGTCCTCCGAAAAACCGCCCGTCGAGCTCCCGCACGGTCTTCCACGCGCCCGCGGGGCCCGCGAACACGACGAAGATCCGCACGGCGTCCTCCGCGCTTGGCGGCGGCGGCTGCACGACATGCACGACGACGCGTTCGACGGTGCCGTTCTTCGAGCACTCGTCGCCTGTCGTTCAAAGAGAGGGCGACCGGTCAGTTCTCGTGCGCTTGGCACGTACCGAGAAAGAACGAGCTGCCGCGTACCTATCTCGGCGCGCAGATCGTCATCCGCGGCGTCCTCGATGCCTACCATATTCTGCAACACGATGACCCGGCTCGGCTCCCCAAACCGCTCTCTGTCCTCCCGTGCCTTGGCATCCTCGTTTGCGTTGATGATCTTTCCCATCTTCGACCCGCCCAGCGCGGGGCCCTTTCCCTTGTTCTCACTCTGCCCGCCTTTATTTTTATTACCCTTACCACCTTTGCCCGCCTTGATCTGCTCGACGGTCAGCGCGTGGACGATACCCGATCCATCCGCGCCGAGGCCTTGCCCTTCCTTGTGGCCCCACTTCGCCATCAAGCGCGCGGCGAACCCGTGCGGATCGGGCCTGTTCACGGTGTCCAAGATGAGCGCCGTGATAAGATCAGGAGGCGGAAAAGGATCAACGTACCTCTGAGAGGGTCCTGCTTCTTCTGGTGCTGGATTCGGGGGGACGAAAGAAGGTGCAGGCGCCTGCGCAGGCTCTGCACCCTCAGGCGGCGCCAGAGCCTTCAACTTGGCGGCGATGGCAGCAGCCGCGTTACGGCTGTTCCGCATGCGTTCCTCAAAGTCAATGCTCTTCGCAAAGGTGTTCTCAGGCGGTGCTGGTGCGGGCGGCGGCGCAAACGGATTGTACTTGAGGGGCTCGGGTGATCTGGAATACCCTTCGGGAAGCGGGCGGTGGAAGTAAGGATCTTCAGTCGGTTCTGGTGAGAACGGCGGTGGAAACGGGGGCGGGGCCGCGACTGGCTGTTGTTGAGACATTTCCAGGCGACGGAGATAAGCCTCTTCGCCAGATTCAGCCTGTACATGCGAGGCAGCTGGGGGAGGAGTGGCAGTGCCTGGAATGCCGGTGTCTTCGACAGGTGGTGGCGGAGAGAACGTGGCTCTGACAGGAGGGGTTGCGCTTTCTTGAGCGGGTTTGAATCCGGCTGACAAGGCGAGGCGGCGCTGGTACGCTTCTTCGCCTGACATGTCGGGTTTCGCTGCCGCGACGGGAGGGTTGTGCGAGGTGCTGCCCAACCCGCCGCGCGGCCGATCGTCATCCTCGCGAGACCAACGGTCATCGGGTTCATCGAACCGCCCTACACGAGCACATGAAATCAGTGACCAGTTATATGCAACATTGGAATGCGCAACGATACTTGCCTGCTTTGCGAGGCCGTTCGTCCTCGGATCCTGTGTCGCTGTAGTCAGTGTAGCTTGTGCTGCGCCGAAGGCGTTTTCTGTCCTCGAGGCGGCGCTGCTCGGCCAAGCGCTCGCGTCGCTCCTCACGATCGCGACGCCTCCACACTTTGTACTCGTTGTAGTCGTTTGGTCTCATGGGGTCGTACTGCTCGGTCGGATCCCAAGCGGCCACTTGCTGCAGCGCCTTGTGCTGGTTGAAAATAAGAATAAAACGACAATGAAGCTACATCGAGGGAGCCATGACGAGGGATGCTCACTCTCTTGTTTTTCTTGCCTCCGCCTCCGCCGCCTCTCCTCTTGTTTGAGCCCTTGAATCCGTTGACGTCGTCATCGAGGACCATGGACGGGGGCTTGACCTTCTTCCCCCACCCGCTTTTCGCGGCGGAGGCGGCCTGCTGCGGCTCCTCGCTGGGCCCCGCGCTCAGCAAGACGGGCGGCGCGACGAGCACGGCACTCGCGGACACCGTCGGCGGGGCGCTGATGACGGCAGACTGGGAGAACGCGGCGAGGGCGGCGCCGGTGGGGATGCGGGGCGCGACGGCCTTCGGGACGGTCTTCTTCCTGACGGGGGCGAAGGCGAGGGCCGCGGACCAGCCTTTTTTTCGTGCGCGCGTTCGTTCGATCGTATCGAGCGTGGAGGGGAGGGTGTTTCAATAAGTCTGTGTCTCGGGCGCAACTCGTGCAGCAGTAGAATTAGATACCGGCTGTGGCCTTGCCTGGACCCGCAAACGCAGCGCCTGCATCCGAGGAGGCGCCAGGTGGACCGCCCGCTGCTCCCGCTGCTGCTCCTGCTCCTGCGGGCTGGGCGGTCGGCGGAGCAGAGTAGTGTGTCGACGAAGGATGTTTTTCCGGGTGTGCGGAGGATGAGGGATCTGTGGAGACGGAAGGGACGAAGCCTGAAGAAAACTGGATGCCTCCATAGAGGCCGCCTGCTCTGCTCGACATGGTGCAACTCCAACGTGCAGACGTGGGAACACTCGGTCGCGGGATCATCAGCCACCGCGCGGTGGCTGCAGCTGGTTTCGCAAAAGGATGCGCAACAGCGCGAGTGATAAATAATGCAGCAGTCCACACAAGTAGGTAATAGAGTAGCGCCTATCGCGGTGAGGTAGAAAATAAAAAAGGGTACTTAGGATAACCGACCGAGCCCACGAGATCCCTCATTCAACCCTATGCACCCTGGTCCCTGTTCTGCAACGTACAACCCCAGTTCAACCCATTATCTCCTGCCGATCTACACATCGCACCCGCTCAGCCTGCAACCTTCGTCCCCGCAGGCGGGTCTCCCTCGACCTCCGTGTCCGGGTCGTTATCATCCTCTCCTTGGTCCTCCGCCCCGCGCATGCCCTCCTGCTTGTCCGCGCGCTCGATCTCATCCCGCATCTGCGCAACGTCCTCGTCTACGCGCGGCGTGACGCGTTCGATGCCTGCCGCCTCCGCCAACGAGACGCGCGCACGGTGCTTCGCAAGGTGCGCCGAGCGGCGCGGCGGCCGCTTCAGGCGGCGCCGAGCGACCATCACCGGAACCGAGCATTTCTATCAAGAGCGTTGAGCCACAAAGTACGGTAGATATATGGATGGTGCACCGACCTGAATGAGATAGTGCGAGGTGGAGCCCAGGAGAATGCTGGGGAAAGTAGATTAGACAGCTATATGCGCACGCAGACACGGGCGTCTCACCCCTTGAGCTGGCCAAGGCCGCGAGAACCGACGATGAGCATCACGGGCTCGACAAAGTCGATGATGTCTTGAGCAATGCCATCAGAATATACTTCGAGAAGAGATCGGGGCAGAGCAACTACGCACCCAGCAGCATGTGCCGCGCATGCTTGGCATGCCACGCCTCGCACGAGATCCTGACATGCAGTCGAGTGCGCTGGAGGAGGCTCGTGGCCTGGCGACAGAGAATATATGCAAGGCCTTGACGCTAGGAGTGGAACAGCGAGGCTCAGCGCCAAGCCCAAGTCGAGATCAAGCAAGGCTCCAACGCACCTCCTGCTGGGCACGGAGTTTGGCCGCACGATCGGCGGCGTTAGGTACGGGCGGGTCGACTGCAAGGCCCGCATCAGCATATGCAGCGATAAAAATCAAACGAGGGGGGCTCAGCGCGGCTCACTCTTGCTCTCGTTCTCCACGACCGTCACAATCAACCTGGCCGCCGCGTTCATCAGCGTCCACTCATCAACCAGCATGTAGAGATCGACACTCACAGCTCGTCTCCGTCTCGCAGCACCGTCCCAATGGCCCACTCCAGCGCATACCGGCTCTCGTCGCTCATATCGCTGCCGACCATGTACCGCCGGCTGCGCCTTCCTGACTCCGCGAGCGCACGCGCGGGGTCTCCGTTCGTGACCGTGATGGTGCACCGATCGCGCTGGAAGACGGGACGGGACGTGTTCAGCGGCAGCGGCTCGTGGCGCGTGGACTTGCGCCTGCGGGGGTTCCGCCCACCGGAGTGGTTGAGCGTGCTTGGGAAGTAGGGCTCGGGTGGCACGACCACGTTGACGCCCTCGCCGAGGGGGTCCGGCATCTCGAGCGCGTCCGCGTCGGGGAGGTCGGCGGGGACGACGAGCGCGTTGCGCTCCGTGTTGCGCTCCGTGACGGGGTCGAACTGGTCGTCGCTCCAGTCGTCCTCGGAGCCGCTCTCCGAGTCGAGGTCGCCCTGCGACTCGTCGTCCGAGAGCGCGGAGGGGATGAACGCGCTGCGCGGGCGCACGCGCGAGGACTCGGTGTCGGACTCGACGTCGGACTGGGTGAGGGCGTCGATGTTGGGGGAGGAGTCGCGCGCCGCGCGGTGGCGGCGGAGGCGGAAGGGCGATGTGCTACGGGAGCGCGCGGAGGCGGTGGCATCGGCGTCCTGTGCGCGGGAAGTGGACGAGGAGCGCGCGCGCTGGTTGTCGTCGCCCTTGGCCTTGCTGCTGGAGATGGAGCGACCTCGCTCCTTGTCGTCGGTGCTGCCGCGGCTGAGGCTGAGGCTGGTGAGGCCGCCCATCATGGAGCTGAAGGACATGCGGCCGAAGGAGCCTGAGCTGCGGGAGGAGAGGTCGGGGACGGCAGAGGGTGGCTTGAGGGGCTCTGTCCTGGAGGCGGTGCGCTCGAGGGCGGCTGCGGAATTCTGTTGGTCAATCTGGCTCCTTGTCAGTACGGTGGGACTGCTGGACCATCTGGTGAAGAGGGGGGTGGTTGGGCGGGAGGAGGCCGGGGAGGACGTCTCTGAGACGGAGTCAGTGCGGGAAAGGGCGGGACCCGGGAGGGTGGAGACTGTGGGGTAAGCGTCGGGGTTGGAGGAGTAAGAGGTGAGCTCGACGCCCTCCCTGGGGGTGACGAGGCTGTTCTCCTTCTCGCGAGTGGAGAGGCCGTAGACGTTGCGCCAGCTGAGCCTGCGGGGCGCGGAGGGACGTTCCTTGGGCATGGAGTGTGGGGAGTAGTCGTTGCTCACCTGAGAGTTGTAGTCCTGGTGGCAAACAAGGGCACGCGGAGATCAGCATCGTTCTGTGAACCCGAACCCGTCCACACAACCGCGCTTGCCTCGCCAGCGCCTCCGGCGTGCATTCGTGAACCCTCACCCGCCCCCGCCACAGCCAAGCCGCGTGGACACTCACATCTGGTACACCGTCCCCCCGCCGCCTCTTGCCCCACCCGCCGTGGTCTGCGTCGCTGGACATGGGCTCGCACTTTCTGCTTTTCGCACGCCTGTGGTGCGGTTCAGGCCTGCGATAGGCTCCCCGTGCCAAGCCCGCCCGGGAACACATCACGTTCCTCTTCTCGGCGTTTGCCAGCAGTGCCTCCATCTTGGCTCTCCTTGGCGACCCCGCCCTCTCACACACCCCAGTCCTACGTAGGAACACCCCTAAGATAATGTCCTTGTTCCCATACAAAATGCCACGCAATTCTACCGCTCCCCCACTCACAAATTCGCACTCGCCCCAGAGCTCCCAAACAGCTCCTTCAAGAACGCATCCGAGTTCGATGGCCGTCCGAGGAACTCCTGTATCGATCATCGCCACCCCACAGATCAGCGCCCATTCTTCCCCGTCTAGAACGCAACAGCCCACCTTTAATGAGTCCGTCTCCTCCCTGCTCCCTCCAGGCTTCAGGATGCTCTCCCGGTAGCGCTGCCCGAGGGCAGGGTCCAGCGGATCCTGTTTGAACACGGTGGCGTACATATCCGCGGCGAACACGAGCGAGTAAGTGTACCTGAGGGGGGCAAGCCGAGTTAATTTTAATGTCGGTTCTCCGCGGACGCAAGGCACATGACGGGGGCGAAAGGGGACACAGACCCATAGTACCCGGCGTCGTACCCGCCCACGATGTGACCGAAACTGCCCTGGCCCGCCCCTTGCTTGCCACCTTTCACAAGCGACACGGCCGTGCGCAGGTCGTTCCATAGCGCCGTGTAATCCGTCGCGTCTACGATACGCCCATATGAGCACGGTCGCGACGAACAAAGTACAAGCTCCGGCTCACCCTTGTCTGTATGCACTTTGAGGTCGAACTTGGCGAAGAAGAGCTGCCGTAGGTAGAACAAGCCCACGTTGACGTAGCGGCTGAAAAGCATCGTTTAGGCTTTTCAGGGTCAGACATCGCTTCACAAAGACATCGGCGAACCTTTTCACGATCTTCTCGATCAGCTCATCTGACAAAGGCTTCTTCGTCTCATAATGGCTCGACATCTTCGCGAGCACCTTCGGTTCCCAGCACCTGCACGCCAGGCATCAACAGACCATCTACGAAGCGATTTTCTCCGAGAGAGGCATGCGTACCAGTTCTCCAGCATCTGCGACGGCGCCTCGACAAAGTCACGCGCGACGCTCGTCCCGTGGAACCGCGCGAACCGCGTGCTGCTAAGCAGGCCGTGGAAAACATGCCCCATCTCGTGGAAGAACGTGACGACGTCGTCGTGCCGCATAAGCGCGGGGCGCTCGGGCGTCGACTTGGCGAGGTTCGCGACCATCGCCGCGAGCGGGTAGCTGCGCTTGCCGTCGGGCAGCGTGTAGCCCGGGAGCAGTCCCCAGACCGCCGCGTGCGAGTACTTCGATGCTGGGCGCCGGAGGTCAGCCTCCTTTGAGCGCTCGCACCGGGTGCAGATCGGACGGGGACGTACCGCGCGGGAAGAGGTCGAGGTAGCAGTAGCCCACGAACCCGCTCTCGTCTTTCGCGCCTTGCTCCCACACCGCGAACATCTGCACCTCGGGGTGCCATGTATCGCCCTTGACCTCTTCAAAGCGGACACCGAGCAGGTTCTGGTAGATCTCGAGGATGGTGGGCACGACGACCCCGACGGGGAAGTATTCCTTGACGAGCGAGTCGTCGAGGGCGAGGCTCTCCTCGATGAACTTGCGGTCGTAGTACCGGTAGTCCCAGATGTAAAACTCGCCGTCAAACGGCAGGCCCTTGGCCTTGCACTCCTCTTGCTTGAGCCCGAGTAATGTTAGGCGCTCCTTTGTGCCGACAGGACGCAACTTTTGTTCGAGATCAGCCAGGAACTGTCCGTGGAATATATCAGCTCAGCTGGATCGCGCAGAACGAGAGAAGCGAGGGGTATACGAACAGATTCAATACCAGCACCACTCTTGATCATTTTCACCTCCGTAATGTAGTCTGCCCAGTTCCTGTACCCGAGGAGAGCCGCAATCTTGCGGCGCAGATCGAGGGCGCGAGTCAGGAGCGGAGCGTTGATTTCCAACCGAGCCTCATAGCTCTCGTGAGCGCGTCTGCGTGTGTCAGGGTTCTCTGCGTATTTGAACTGTAAGAATAAAGGTCTGGATCAGACAAAAGCTGGAGCAAACATTGCAGTCTACGAACGAGGGGGAAGATGTCGGGCGTCTTGTGCGTCACGTCATACAGCTCTTTGCCATCTTCAGTGCGCTTCGTGTAGCCGGAGACAACATCCGCCGGTACACCTTTTAATTCTTCAAGGGTGAAGCCAATAGAACCCTGAAGAATATGTCAACGATGATCGACGGTCGCTGTTGCGAGGAAGAACATACGTTTTCCTCGTTAAAGTTTTTCTATATTCTGACATGTCAGCGGCCATGATCCGTGCACGGAACGTTGATGACCACTTACGCTAAATTCCAAACAGACCTGCGAGAGCTCCTTCTTCAGCTCGGTCAGCTCGGTGCGCTCCTTCTCCTCGAGGGCGAGGCCCGCGCGCTTGCCGTCCAAGAGCATCTTGTCTACCAGACGTTGCTCCTCCGCGGCGAGCGTGCGCCCAGAAGCCCTGATGTTTTTCTCCGCGGCGACCTTGGCCTGGAAGACATCGAGACGCATCGAAGACTCGACGCCGTAGTCGCGCACTTGGACTTCCGCGTCGTTCGAGGCATCGCGGAGCTCTTTGGACGGGGAGACGTTTTGGTAGAAGGACAGCGGCTCTGTGACGGCCTCGAATTCGGCTTCGCCGTGGGCTAGAGGGAGCTATATAACGTGTGATGTCAACATCCGGATGCATTCGCGTGGCGCAGACTCCTATGACTCACGAATACCTGTGAAGGATGAGGCCTGAGGTTAGAAGTGGTGGATACAATTATGAACAGGTTGCCCACCGACTCGAAATTGCACTGTTCATGCGGGAGAGCTGCGATCTTATCCTCGAGCTTGCGATCCTTCTCGATCGCCTCCTTTGTGAGCCTCGCGATGTCCCCCGCGGTGTGGTTCCACGCAGGCGGGGGCTGCGGCGGGGTGAGTGTGGGCATGTCGTGGGGTTTGGTGAACGCAAAAGTTGAGCGTGGGGTCGAAGATGAAGAGAAGGCGCGGATAACCCGAGATGCGGCTGTCGGTGGGGGACGAAGCGTGACCGCAGGCCTCGTGCTATATCCAGCAATCGATCTCCAGGTGGTGGTGACGCCATGGCTGACCGCGCCGGGCGAGGTGTAGTGCGCGGCGAGGCCGATAGCGAGGGCGCCCCAGCCAAAGAGGGTGCGACGTCGAGCGAGCAGGGAGAGACGCAGCGTGCCTGCGCGTGCGGCCAGCGACATGAGCTCTGCAGCGTGTCCCAGAATGCCCTCCGAGCTGCACCTCGCACCTCTCGGCCCGCTCGGCCCCAAGCGCGTCCGTCTCTTCTGAGCTGTTCTGTCATCATCCCCATCGACGGTGACGGTAAAGCTGGAACGGCTGCCTCTCATGTGCTCTCTCTGTCTGTGCATAATCTGGTCACAGTCCTGGACACACAATGATTTTTCTACTTCATCAGCCTGGGCTTTTATGCAGCAACACCTACGACACAGACGACGCTATCGTTCATGATTCTTCCCAGCAAATGTCTCTATGATTGTGGCTAGCCAGCATCTTCTACCACTCCTATAACCACAAGCCAACTACTCTCATACGCATATGGAGCGGGAATCTGTGCTCTTGTGTTCTTGCACCAATTCTTGCTAACCATGTCTCCCGGCTCGCCAAATTCGTCGCGATATCCCCGACCATGGTGGGAGCAGGAGCCGGCTAACGAATGACACCTGTTCCTCCATTAATCAAGCTACACCATCTTTCCCCTCCCCTACGTCGGTTCTATCGTGCACTGCATCAGCACGGATAGTGTCTTGCTAGGTTTTTATCCACAGACAATATCAGGTACAATTTGCAATCGAAATTCGCTTTTGTTGACTCGTTGTTCGCTAAGTTAGATATTGCCTCATTCATGCTAAAGAGTATATATCACGCCCATAGTTTTCTGCTCTCCCATCCCGGAGACCCAGCGAAGCTGTTCGAGTCAGGGCCGCAATGCGTTCTCCGACGTTCGATCCACAGGTCAGCCCATATGGAAGAGCTGAACCGATACCTTCAGGATGTGGGGTCAAGCTCACGGAAAGTAGCCACGCTCTTGCATACGACTTTGCTGATGACGGCCTTCCTTCATTCGCTGTCTACCATCGTGTCAGTTTCCTCAACCACGTCTAATCTGGAACGATCTCACATATACATGGATTCTCTTAGATTATTGTTGCTTTGATGGCTTCAATTGACGGCCTCTTTACATGACCACACTCTCATCCACTGGGATGATTCAAAATCTGATGAGTTAATGATTATGCTCAAAGTTAATGACTATATTCATAGCACAACAAATTGAGCGAACGAGCTATACAGAAAGTCGACCTTGTTTTCGTGCTAGAAGTAGCTGGTTTGTCTCATACCACAGCACTCGTTCAAATTATAAAACTGAACCTCGAGCCCATTTTCATCACAACGGCATCGGATGAGATGGCGAGACCTGCGGACTGTTACTACCAAAGTAGGATGGGAAGGAAATGCAACGCACCATCCTGTATTTCCAAAGTTCGTGAATGTCGTCGTATGTTCCGCCTTCTTCCAATTCAACAGCATCTCATAGAACTCGGCTAGGAAGACATTATGGCTGACGAGCACAATGTGTGGAATACCGTCAGGAAGTTTTTCTGGGTCGCTTTCAAGCTTGGATCCGAGATTGTGTAAGTCTTCGACACGATACTCTTCAGGAACGGTGTCAATGTTGGCACCATGCTGGTCCATTATGCGGAGCAACATCGATTTTGCCCGTAGATTCACCACATTCAGACTCTCTCCACCACCCGGAGGGACATAGGCCCGGTCAACGTAGGGGTGGTTGGCGCCGTTGTTGACCGCTTGTATGTACGCATCACGCTGTCCGGTGCCAAGGTAAAGTTGAGCTCGAGACCCTATGCAGCGTTCCCCAATTAAAGACGATTCTTCAAACTCGTGAACCGATGTGTTGGCACCAGCGAGGGCTTGAGCTGTGTCCTTCGCGCGCCTGAATTTGGAGGCGTACAGCGCGTTGATGCGGACGTTCGCCCAGCGTGAACCGAGCCTTTCAGCTTGTCCCTTTCCGATGTCTGTCAACTCGAGAGTTTCATCCTGACGGTGGGCTGTACCCTGTGGATTGCTGTTTCCAACACTCTAGAATACGCGTAAGGCAGCAAGGAGCTTGTCATGGATATCTACCATACCTGAGCGTGTCTGATGAGAGACAAGGTCACATACTTCCAATCCCAGCGCCGAGGGGCGGGGGCTTGGGACTGCATGTTTTGGGACGTGGAGTTCTCAGAGTCCATGTTCCGATCGTTGGGGGTGATGGGGTAGCGATGTCTTGAACAGCGAGAGGAGTCTCTTTTTATGCTGCAGTCAGGCTGTGACAGGCAGATAGGTTTGCGTTACAGTGATAACAGTATTTCTATTTATTCGAGTCAGGTATAGACACGCCGTCGCGAAAACCTGCGCCTACGGTGCCGTTCACTTAGTCACCGCATGTTTCGAACACCGAGTATAGGGTCACGAATTGAGGCCCAATTGACTATCTCTCTTGCCAATCGACGTCTTTTCACGAGAAGAGATCCCCAAGACAGATTTTCAATATCTTCAAAAATAGGCGAGCTCCAAAACAGGAAGTGACTCGATTTGGCGAAATAGTTACATAATGCAGTGAAAATAGCCAGAAATAATACAATCAATCAACAGCTGCTGCCACACCTAGTCTCCGTGGCCGACCAACACAGAAGATTACGGTCGTTCTGTGTATGCCACACCCTCCAGAATTAAGTTCGTGAACGAGTTAAAAATTCAAATTAGTCTCAACTTGCCTCATAACACCACCTTTCGACACCACTCGTCACGTTTGAATCGAGCCAAAATTGGATTTTTTTTCGAAATCTCATAACCTTATTTTTCAAGACATGCTCAGGAATTTCTTCTCAATAAACTGTATTTTGGGCCTAGAACCACCAAATTTGGCGGTTGTTTATTATTGGTGGTGACTAAGTGAACGGCACCATACAACTTTTTGCAAACAAAACGCGGTCCCGGAATCAAAACACGGTCACGCCCCTCGCGCCGTGTGTCTCGTGACGAGACATCACGATCTGATTGGATGAGACCGTTTGAACGTTATTGCTCATTATCAAAAATGACTCTGCCTGAGTCAAGGCTACCAACTGCTATCAAGCATTGGTCATACAGTATGCTCTCGTATACATCAGCTGTACATCCTGCGTATCGGAAGCGATTGGGACACATCGGAATCGGTCCACGGGGCGCACGTGAGGATTTGTAACGCGCGCCTGTATGTTTGCCCGAGCGTGGTCGTCGTGTTGTTTGTCCGAGACCGCCACCTCTATTACTGCCCAGCCCCCCGACTCTTGCTTTCCCGCGTGTTGAGCGACACTTTGAAGAGTCTATCCACTCTTTTCGTTGCTTCTTGAATGCCTGACAAGCTGGCGGGTGCTTCACTGTAATCCAGGGACCGGCATTTGCCAAGTCTGACGTTGTGAAGTCTCCAAGGCTTTACCTCAAGATGAAGCCTAAAGAGAATATAGCCTTGAAACAAAAGCGCCTTCCTCTGGTGGACATCACCAACTACGATCTTAGGAAACACTTGCGGGATGAACTGTCGCTCCCTTCTGCCTCTGCCCCGAATAGACAAGCATCTGCTCCGGCCTCCAGAAAAAAGAAACCTTCTCAAGATAAGGAGAACTCCGATTCTACCGCTAAGGATACCTCTACTCGACCCTCTTTCCTTCGTTATAGGGCACCTGTGACAACGCCATCATTGACTTCCGACACCTCAATCGATCATGAGCGTCTTCTTTCTCTGCCTACAGTCACCCACGAACCACTGGTTTTTCCAGCGCATCCGCAGGCCATCTCGCTGAAGCCTCTCCAGGGCGGTAGAGCAAAGAGTTTGGTGGCTTCTACTAGCAGCAATGATCGCGTTGCTCCAGCTTTGAATATTTTTCAGTCAGATCCCATGTTTGGTTCCAACATACCGATCGGGGCGTGCAGGCCTACACCTCTGACAACGAATCAAATGACCGTCAAGACATATAAGACTGCTCAAGGACAGGTCGTTGTTCTTCCTTCCAGATCCTTGCTAGTCGATTTCCGTGAAAGGGAACGCCGCAATGGGAACGCAGGCGATGAGGTTCTGATTATATCTGCTGATGGAGCCAGGGTAACGTCTGTGGGATCAAGTCCCTTCTGCAATTGACTGATTGAGTTTTGTGCTTGAAGGTACAAGTCTTCAATGCACCTCACTTGAGCACACCTTGCTGCCTTGCGGAACCCGACAACATGTATACTCTGGAAACACTTCCAGTAAGGTACTGGAAATCATACGATCGAGCCAGTCGAGTGGTTGAGCACGTTAAAAAGAAAATGGCAAAAGTTAGTGACTTCACTATGAATTGATCGGTCCTCACGCTGAATACTGGATTAATAGCTGTCACTTTATCAACCGTCGGCGACGTGTACACTCATGTCTAATGAGCCTTGCGCTGACATTGAAGTTCTCTTTGACTCTACAGCTCCATATCCTGATTCCCTCGATCGGCACAGCGCTGGACGTTCTGAAGGGAACAGGACAGCCGGCATGCGTGTCAGACTTTCTCGTAAAGGACACACACTGGAAATTTCAACTTTCGTTTCTGCAGCGTCTGGATCTACTGGCGAATGGAAGAAAAAAATCTTAGCTTGGATAGGTAGCTCTCTTGGTCTCAGCCCCCAGGATCTGGCCTCGCTGACTGCTCAAGAGAAGGAAGGTCTGGATACTCTGGCCGAGTTCGTACGAGTAGCTGAAGCCTTTGAGGCGCTGGGCCCTCCACTTCATGACTCTCCAAAGAATGACTCGTCTGGCAATCCAGATAAGCTTGCTGGTCGCTTGGCTTCGCTAGAGTCTATCTTGGACAGACCTCTTCGACAGAAAAAGCCTTGTATTCTCCCTAGCAATCTCCATCAGCAGCAGACCGATGATTCTGCAAGCGATATATCAACAGGCGCCACGGCAGCAACAGAATCACCTCAGGCATTACCAAGGTCATTTTCCGACGTTAGTGTTACCCCGCGCCCCAAACTCTCTCCCCCTCACCTTCGGTTCACCAACGAGACGGCTCGTCGTGCGAGCAGTACCGTCGTGGACCCCCCTGTGTCTTCGAACCACCTGAGGAGCTCACACGACCACCCACAGAGTGCAATCTCGATCATACCCGAATGGCAGTCTACGTCTGTTTCCGGAATGACGATACAAACGCGTTTCATCCCATCAGTCGGATGGTGCATCAGGTATGGAACCTCCGCTGGCGGGAGGTATCGAATCATGTTCCTCGATGGGGCGACACTCGAGGTCGATGTCGACGAGGAAATGATCAAGTTTACCAGCCAAGATGGAAAGGTCGTTAAGTGTGTTGCTTTAATAATTTCTATCCGTTCAGATTACTGACGACAATTGTGGAATTAGTTATTCCGTTCGGGAGTGCCATTCGCAGCGGCTAGTAGGTGAGCGTATGAAAGTGTTCGAAGATTTTGTATCCTTGTTCGATGAGCGTTCTTTTGAATGAATCCTGTCCATAGAATCAGTCCAAAAAATTCTGTACATAGATATGAATTAAATGGCGAACAGGCAAACTGTAAGAGAATCATCAGAACAGTTCGTCCAAGATAACATCAGTATAAGTACAATCTATTCGAAAAGCTGGCATGCAAGAAAGGGTCCGGATATATGGAAAGCCATCTAACTTGATCACGCATGCTTTAGCTGCAATCCATGCTGCCCAGTTGTCTTGCCAGCCTCAACTTCGTCTACGGCGTATTTTATAATCTGGGCAGTCTGCCACTGCGGCCGATAGCTATTGAAGGGGTGTCAAAAACCTGAAGTATAAAGAAGATTTGGTGCATACCCAATCAGGTTCCGCGCTCTGGAATCGTCGATAACAACATCACGCATATACTCAAGGGTGGTGGGCTGAAGATATATGAGATGGCCCATCCATGAGGGTGTGAGGGCCGGACGCAAACCAAAAACTGCAAAAAAAGGAAGCAGAAAATAATATCGGAAAAAGAGGAATCCTTCCACGAGGTGTGCCAGAATAAAAATGACTAAGGGATTAACATCATCAAAGACCAGCGGCTTGGAAGAGTAGTGCTTTTTCGCAGGTCACTCAAATGTCAATGAGTGGAAAGAGTTGTGAAAACACTCACTTGCACAGCGTGTCGAATATCTTGCATCTTCCAAGCCGGACCATTTCCAGTGATCAAAAATGCCTCACCACTGACTTCTTCAGGTCTGCGCCGCAGCGCATCTTCGAGTGCCAAGTGTGCAGCCGCAACATCCCAGACACATACGTCTGTGTGACTCCAATTTTTATCGAAGATAGGGACGCGAGGCAACGTGAGAGTGCTAGTTAACATTCGATCATTGGGACCTATGATAGTCCTGCCAATCCAAAGGTATAATTAGAAGCGTGAAGGGACAGACTACTCTGTTAAAAACATACTGTCCAGGGCGAAGTATCCCAGTAGCAAGGCCTTCACATTCGTTGGCCTCGTATATAATCTGCTCGGCCAATTTCTTAGACTTTGTGTAGCAACTCTGCGAAAATTGTGCGTTGGCCAAGGGCGGGTCTTGGTCACTGACGATAACCCTGTTCCATGGTGGGGTGTCATAGTCCTTTCCCATCTGTAAGAATTTGGGACAAGGAAGCACGACGTCCGAGGTTGATGTGTATATCAATATAGTTCCACCAGGCATGTCCTTGGCCACCGCTACCACGTTGTCCGTCCCGCAGACATTCACGTTGTATGATGGCATCCAAGAATAAGCAACGCGTTCCCAGAAGCGAATGATTGCTGCTGTATGAAAGATAACTGTGGGTGGGGCATTCGTGGATGAGAACTGTGACATGAGGCCGGTACGAACGGAAGCGAGAGAAGTGATGTCTGTTCTCACGAACGAAACAGACGGATGTTTCGCAATGTCGGGGGGAGGAGGATCAAGATCCAAAATACGGATATTTGTTTCGCCTCTCATGATGAGGAGCCGTATGATATACCTATGAAATATGTGGTCGATATGCGCTCAGCCAAATGAATGGGAGCATTCGGTATGCAAACGTACGTTCCGACAAATCCTGACCCTCCTATGACCGCGTATCCAATATGTGTTGGCTCTCGTGGAATGGCTTTTAACATGTTTATGTCTTCGTACGACACTTTGTCCAGCTCATCATTAGTCAATGACTCTGGAGACGCCAGAGGATGAGGGCCTTGCAAACGATTTGATAATTGTAATAGGAGACCGATGATCTGACCAGCAGGAGAGGCAGCAAATGCGACGATCCCATTCAAGACAAGTTGCTGAACAAAAGGAGGGGTACGCGCAAGATGTCGCTGAAGAATAGAGACATCCATGGTCAGGAGTAACTTTCTTCAAATATCAATCAGGCTTCTCGCCTAGACTGTCGACGGGCCGTTGCAGTGCCGTTGCAAGCCGACTATTACAAGAAGCGCCCAAGCATCATTTTGGTCTGCCATAATGAAGCCTGTGCGGGCTTTCTCCCTGTCTTACAGTTTGAGTTGCACAGCGCATTCATCACGGAATCCTGCTTTCAAAGCTCCAACTGTCCACTGCTAGGCTATTATTTACACCGATGTAGGATATTATAGCAACAAAAATGGGGTATTGTCGTAAGTGCAAGCATGAAGGCGCGTTGCGGCATACGCCGCTTTTAATTCATGATGACTTTAACTGCTCCGCCTTCAGCCACTGTTCGAGTCATGTTAGCCTCAATGATAGTGAGTGTGCTCGTCAAACGTACCTCCACTGTCCTCCTCATGCCCTCTTCCAGCCCGACCTGAGGCTCGTACCCCAGCACTCTCCGAGCCTTCTCGATGTTATGCCATCTGTTGGCACATGTGAACGTGACCCTGAACCGCGTGAACGTTGGTTCCTTTCCGGTCACCCAACCCCACCATTCCGATAGCGTCGCCAGCACAAGCCCAACCGTTCTCGGGAGAACGAGATTTTTGCGCGAGGGATACACGTCAGGTGCAAGCATGCGCCAGAGACCACGCGGGAAATCCCAGAAGTATATTGGCTCGCCGTTGGTGATGAAGAAGGCCTGTCCAGCAACCTGTAGTGAGTTATATGCATCCCGTTCCAACGAGGAGTCGGAGAGAGGGTCGAAACGAGAGCGGACAACAGGTCGGTCATCGTCTGGTTCCGACTCGAAAGCGGCGATGAGCGCATCTCCGTTTGCGGGTCGCTCAACATAGGGACCGAGAGGACGGGCCTCCGACGTAGGGATACGATGTTTGCCCGTGGTACGATCGAGGGATGGGAGAGCGCGACCAAGCAGTTCCTCCCGTTTCTCCTCATCCAACTTAGTTGGAGGAACCAATTTTTCGGCTGCAAGGATATGCGCGTAGGCGACGTTGCCGACATATGTCCAGTCGAAGAGGTTCTTGTTATCACCGATTTGAAAGTGTGCCTTCCCTTCGGCGAGTACAGCGGCAAATCCGGGAACAGCTTGACGATCGCCTGGACTATACAAGACGATAGAGATGAGTTTTATATGAAGGGGCGAAGTGAAGGTGAGCAGAAATGCACCCAAAAATTCCTGCCGGCCTCAGAGCAACAGTTAAAAGCCCATCTTTCCCATTGGCTGCTAACACTATTTCCTCTGCCTTCGCCTTGGACTCATTATAGGCATCCAGAGGCTTCTCCGGGGGAGGTAAGCGTTCGTCCACGTCAATCAGATCTTCGCCGTTGAATACGACGCCTGCCGAGCTGGTGTATACAAGCTTAGGGATTTTGTTGGCAACGGCCGCTGCAATAATGGCTTTGGTGCCCTCCACGTTAACTTTCCAGTAGAGAGCAGGGTCTTCAACGCCATGAGGTGGTGATGCAGTATGAATGATGCACGTTGCGCCGCTCTAGGTAGAGATTGTTACAGACATGCCATGGAGAGAAGTCAAAGGAACGCGTACCTTCTGTAAAGCCACAGAAACCTGAACCTCGTCACTGATGTCGCCAGAGTAGAATTGGACATCATCATGTCTTTGGACGATATCAAATACGGCTACTGACTCCCCACGCTCGAGGAGAGCTTGGACGATATGTCTACCAAGGAAGCCGCTACCACCAATGACTATGAAAATATCACGAGTTGAGGACATGCTGAACGATGAGAGGAGGTGCCAAATCACCTGGGCCCAATCATACGATTTTCTGCTGGCCAATAAGTAGCTCTTACCGAATCGGGAAACCCGGATTGTCACTCATTTCCCTGGTTTGCTGCACTTGCTGGAGGGGTTTGGAGACAGTGACACTTCAAGATCACAGATACAACATATTCTCACTGTTCCGAAATCTTACTGACCAGGACTAGGTATGTAAACGAGCTGCATGCAACTTCATGAACACGCAGACGCTCGTTTGTGCCCACGTGATGCCGCGTTTTAGTAGCTTGGTGCTCTCGCGCTGCTCTCCGCCGCTGTTCGTATGACACAAGCCCCGTGTTCGTTGTCCCTCATTTCTTCTGAGCTGGCATACGCATATATAGAGTATAATCGCAATGCAAAAGGCTTCAATCCGAAGATACACTGCGGAAGAAAAGCAACAGCTTCTGGCCAATCTTGATATCGAAGGTCTTCATACATGTTCTCATCGAATTGTTCTGCTCGGCTGACACTCCACCCTCAGTCGCACACCGCACACGACAATTTGAAGCATGGCTCACAGATACACTCGCGAACTTTCGTACCCGTCAAGAAGGCCAGATCTTGCGTATCCCCCATCTTGTGCGAGGAATCACAATGGCAGAATTGGCGGACAAATACGATGGTGATATACAAGGATGCCTCAGAGATCTCCGGAAAGAGAAAATTGGTGTGGATACCGCCCCGATCGATAGGGGTGCTATGAAGAGGAAGTGGGTTACGTCTCAGGAAACCGACGCTGACGGACGCCCTACGAGTCCCAGCAAGGCCAGGGCTGCCAAGAATCGTGAGGATCTTCTTTAGTTGTCTGCATCGTGTCTCTTGATGATGGTGTTTATCTGGAAGCTCGTATAATGGCCGCCACCCCGCAGAAAAAGCCACCTTTCGCGACTGGTTCACGCCTACCGAAGACTCCCGGCACGGTACGTCCTTCCCGTTAGATGGTATTAGACGGAATCCGAACTATAACGCCACGGAATAAGGCTCGGACCATGCGCCGCATACCTTCGGCCGCACCATCTCCTAGTCCGCACAAGGGTTTGCGTCCACCAATCCTGATGCCCCACTCGCGTCCGCCGTCACGCCCCGTTTCCCCCGCGAAACCATCGACATCGACAACAGCCCACAGTCGTTCTGTGCGACCTCCATCCACCGCCATTTTCAACCCCGCCATTCCCAAAACTCTACCCTATCCCCCTCGTTGGCCACGCAAAGACGAGAGCATGCTTAGCATCAACGGCTCACCCCTTGCCAACCCATTCGAGCTGGGTCTCACTTGGTTGGCAGATGGTCCACCTCTGCGAGAGGTAGATGAGGAAAATAAGGGATTTCGCCCTGTGAGTAAAACTCAGAGCAGAAGCAACAGCAATATTGTCATCCGACGAGATCCATCGCATATTTCCTTGATCACATCGTCTACCAGCCATACCACCAATGGAACGCATTCACGCACCGATTCTCAGTCAGATCTCGCCCCTTCCTCATCGTATACGGCTAGCCATTCACGCCCCAATTCTCGCAATGACAAGTCACTCTCCTATTTCCCGAGTTCCTCCTCCGGTGGGTTTTCTGCTCGCGTCGCCGTACCCACGAAGGATGGACATCTTCTGGAGTTCGATCCATTGCAGACCTCGCCCAGTGCTCTGGACAAATTGGAGGGTATCACTGACAGCGCGAAGAAGCAGGCCAAAGATGATATGTCAAAGCTGATGAAAGCAGCTGTGGCCAAGTGGAATATCACTTGACGACCCTGATCGATGTTACCTTTATTTGTTCTTCATACGTGTTATCGAGGAAAGCGAACTTTTTTATTGTCTCTCTTATCTTTATCGTGCTCTGACATACATTCGGGTTACCTACCGCACGCTGTTTTGCTATATATCATCATTGGGGATTGAGCGGTGTGTATCATGGGGCCTTTGACTAATGGACTGCCTTAGCCTACGCTTCTGAAGCAGCATGCATGCCCCATGAAGCTTTCCGGCGATGCCACCTCGTTGAGAATTTGGGTAACATCCTCTATAATCATTCTAGCTGTCCAAGATTTCAATGTAGGCTGCGCGGCAGATAACCCCGTCTCGATTACGGAGCTTTACAAGGGACCCAACGAGTTGAAGCCTGTGAAAACGGGTCAGAGGTGTGCTGGGTGATTGCAAAAGGGCCTACAGGACCTTTTTGATTGCTCTATTATCTGACATAGCTTCGCTAATGAGATGGCACCGATGGCATAGCCTTGTCCGCGCGAAAGTGAATAGTTGCCACTTGTCACATAGCCTACAATATCATCCTGCGACGGGATAATCTGGGTAAGCTTTTCCAAGGATGCATTAGACCAGACCTTCAAATCATCGTAGCTGCGAGACACACCTCGACCTCTCCGCCTGTGTGCTCTGGAGTGCATTGCAGACCAAAATCCTTTCTGCCACCAAAAGCTTTCCATCTCAGAGCTTCCTGGTCGTCAACAAGGTAAACGGCTGCGAGGTCATCAGGCGATCCTCGACTGATGAGCTTTGCTCGGATCTGAACTAACGCCCTCTTAAACAAGTCATCCCCATTGATGGTGGAACCAAGAACTTCCATGTTGCGCTTGAGCCGTAGTTGATTGATCTTGTGGAGCACAGCAGTACTAGGAATCAGTAATTTGGATGCAGAATCCACGATTGAAGGAGCGTCCGGCCCTCTAAGGAGCCACAGTTTATCGAGCTCCTCCTTCTCCCCCTGATTGTCTCGCTGCGTTGATATCAGGACCTCTTGATCGGCTCCGACTACTCCTCCAGCGACTGATTTGATCCCGGCGACTGATCCCCAGTCAGGCTTCCAAGGACTACGTGTTCCCAGCTTTCCCCAATTTGGCCGCTTGGCGGGTGGCTTGAGGCACCAGCGTTCCAAATCTTTCCTTGCTCGGGTGTCAGCATAAGATTCGTACGCTGTAGTGGAGGGGAAGTCGCGTGGGAAGTATGGTACACCGGATTCGAAAGACTGATGCTGGCGTTCGCGTTGACCACCCACCCGGGTGCCTGTGTAGATCAGAGAGCTGAGAAAAGCCATTGACCATCCCTTCGGCAAGATGAGAGTCCAACCGTGCAAAGAGGGGTCTCCAGCGAGGCGATCATTGGCCGTAGAGGAGCGGTCCAGTAGGGGGTATGACTGCGTCGAACGCTGAATCAAAAGGACCGGTATTTGGTCATCGTCTTTGGTGGGCTTCAGGTGTGATCCTGGAATGACATTCTGAAGACTGAGTTCAGCGAGAAAGGTTCCTATGTACTTGGAAGGATACGGACTTGTCCCTTACGAGCATCAATTGATTTTTTTTTATGGCGTGGAGTCTTCAACTTGGCGCGCAAAGTCTCGTTCCAAATGTCACTTTGAGCTAGCGTCGACGATGGGAAAGATGTACAAGGCGGAGGAATGCTTAGTAGCTGAGTTCTGCTGACTTGAGCCTTGGCATTCTTCGGTGGGAAACTGTTCATTGCGCAGGGAATCATAAGACTTCGACCGCTACATAAGATTGCTGCACTTACCTTAGCCGAGGGTCAAGGGTCGTAAAGCCAATGACCATGTTGCGAGGTACTGACCCGGCTGTTTGCAAGTTTGTAAGCGAATCCCAGAACTGAGGATGTCATCTAATCAGAGTGGCCAAATGCAAGAGTATTATGTCCTCACTTTTGTGAACTCGTTTCTCTGACCCTCCGGAATAGGACTCAGAGCACCCTTGATCACTTGACTGGATTTTGGTCCCATGATTTCGAAAATATTGAATTCACCCCTCAAATCAGTCACCTCCACGGTGTAAGACTTGTCCTTATGCTGCTTCGATATATTGAAAGCCTCGACGGTCAGAGATACGGCCTTTTTCAAAGCTACAATAGCTTCCTTGGCAAATAGTGGGTGACAACGAATCCAGACCACCCGGATCCGTTCGCTATCTGTCACCTGTGTGGGAGCGGCAGAGGGTACTAGAGAGATGCAATGAATACATTAGTCACATCAGTGACAATCATAAACTTGCACTCGCTTTTCTTTTTCACTGCACGTTTCCGTTTCCGGTTGTTCGTTTCTGAAACTGTGGTTTCTGGTTGAGATGTGCTCGGCATCGGAGCAAAGGGCAAAGGTTGCCAAAGTATAGTGACTGGACCGATGAGAGCAAACGGGTAGGAGTTTGGTTGGTAGAATTCTGTATCGCATGCTATCGCACCAGTCAAATACCTATAGACGTAAGCATTTTGCCCTTCATCTCAGGCTGGAATCCCTCACCTTTGGGCACCAGGCCCACAGAGCTGAGGATCGCAACAACGTTCTAGCAACGCTTTCAGGACAACTTCCGGACCATTCAGTTGAATCAAAGAATAGTATGACGCGTCGTGGAGGATGGACCCATGGACCGATGCGCGATGAGATGGACGAAATGACTTTTCCGTTGGTTCCATGGCCTGTGAGAGGCGCATGAACAACGGTAACATGAGAGACTCGAGATTATACAAACCAAACGGTAGCCCCACATATCTTCCATGATCATGCGCTTTGCGTGCCATAAATGGGATTCGAGCCACGTCTTATTGGCTGTGTAAAATATGAGAAAGTCAAGTTTGACACGAAGCTATGCGTTTTTGAATACGTACCTTGCCGTTTCTCGAACTTGCTAAGGGCAGGTTCACGCCTTGATTTACCTCGCTTCGGCAGGGTTCTACCAAGTATCTTGCGACGCATAGGATCCATCTGTCACCAAAGATGAGATATAGTGTCCGGGGTATTCAAAGAGCTATGTACCTCTGCTCGTGCCTTCTGCCGTAGACGTATAGGGACTCGTGAAACATCATGGCTTGCGGCCCTTCGACGAAGATGCCGGGGAAGTTCCTGCCAGGCTCGGGTTGTCGAGCTGGAGCTGTTGTGCATTGTTGTACAGATCAGTCAATTAACCAATGAATAGAGCTTGTAGCAGATACTCGAACCTAGCAGACTTCATAGCCTCTTGCATGGCGCGTATTTCGAACGCTCGAGCCTAGAGTCAGGTTTGCAAGTTTATAGTCACGACAAGTCTTAAAAGCTCATACCTCGGTAAACCTCTCTACATTCACGGATGAGGGCAAACCTTTCATACCTTCAACAGACAGACTGTCAGCATCCATAGCTCCATGGCATACCTGTGCACTCACTATCAAGTCTAACGACCTTAGATGAGCCAGCAGAAGCGTTCCCAGCCGAGCTCGGATCCCGTTGAACAGCTATGGTACGAGCAGCAGTGATCTTCTGTTTCTTCTTTTCACGACCAGTCAGGTCCTCGCCGCCGGCTGACTGGTAGATATGTCGTTTGGGTGGCATACTGCACTGATAGAGCGGTGAAAACGACGTGTCAAATTTGAGATTCTGACAGCTCGCTAGTAGAGTAGTAAATCTGCACAGCAATACATGAAACTGGCAATACGTTGAGCTTGCCCAAAGTCACCCTCACCGACAAGCACAGAAGCTGCCGTGCCACGTGCTGAGAACTTTCATCCATATGTGGATGTCCGCCTCCGTTTGGAGACCACTAGCTTCGAGGCCAGCCTAGTATAACTTACGACAATGGCCACACCAACGCGTTTCTTGTCCACTGGACGACATGCATCTTCGTTAGTATGGGCCCGGAGTTTCTCCACGAGTCGAGCACTCCGAGAAGGATCCACAGCAAACCTTGGGGCCCCTCCGGTGCAGAAGAAACCTGTTGGCGGCATTCGTGGAGGGTATGTTCCATAGCTGCAATCGAAGAAACCCACTCACAGAAGTGCCTGCCTCCGTGCAGTGTAATCGGGTTTCTTTTTGGTTTCTCCCTTGCGTCTTCATTCGCTGCATACCGGTTGCTAGATGAGTACAAGCAGGCCTCTGCTGCTCTTCAAGCGAGTGTAGAGGAACTGCAGCGCAGCACTGAACAGGCATGTTCGACGTATTGTCATCAGACTGACTCTCACAGTATCATCTAAGATCTCAGCCCATGTCAAACGCATAGAGGCAGTCGAGAAGGACTTGAAGGCCTTGTCAGGATCGTCCGCGAGTAAGGACGACGTGTCGCGCGTTCGTGGAGAAATGAAGAAGATCTACGACGGACTCCACATTGGTGCGTTGCCATAAGATCGTTTTTGCATCGGTCCGCTCATAGCGTGCTACGAGTACAGAGTTCCTCGACTTGCGTGCATTTGTGTGGGGAATGCGTGAGTCTACATTATCCACAACATATAGACAGTCATGCTCATGTCCAACAATAGAGCAAGATGTCCACGCTCTTGCCAAAAAGGAATCGACATCTGTACGTGTCTGATATCGACGCCGACGGTCGTCGCTGCTTGTACAGGCTTATACACTTCGGCCAAATAGACTGCCTAGACTGCTCGAAGTCAGAACGTCTCCCCTTGATACATTCCCGGTCCATACATATCGAGGACTACGCAACCTTTGCAGATCCTCCCGCGAATCTTCCCGTGAATCTTATACAGCAAGCCCGTTGACGTCTCGTACTGTAGTCACAGGTCGGTGCTCTTTCGCTTCGTGTCTCAGTTTCGGCTTTCTCTCGATGATGCTCTTTGCTGTGTTTGAGCTGGTGGGGTAGCAGTATGCCATCGCTAAGGCCCCAGAGCCCGTGTGTTTCAGTTGAGGTTTTGGTCTCCTTCCTTCTTTTCCTTGCGTAGAGAAGCAAGTGTTGCGCAAAGTTTATGGTTTCAGCACCACAGAACAGCGGAATCACCTCTTGTGTATGTCCCATCGTCCGCTCAACGGAGTCAGAAGCACTAAAGTGGCTGCTGGTGGCATAGCGAGTGACCGTTCTCACTCACTTCGTGCCATTTATGGAACATTTTCTGAATCCGAAGGAATCGCTCGGTACAGAACTGTCATGGTGATTATCACTGCATTGTTGCCGCCGGTCCTCCCACCACCTGTTCTCAGGCTGTAAATAACAACACCATGCATGCGAGGTGAGCCTGTTGACGTAAGTACTTAACGAATCACAAAGGCTCGATGAGTAGCTTACGCGTCAGGTATTTATAAGCTTAATGAAAGGATTGCCATAGCTCCGCCGAGAAAATGGATAAGTTCTTCGCAGCTCTTTACTAGGTGTACAACCTGACTGGACGGGGAACACAAACTGCTGGTCTGGAAAATATGGCCTGAGGCGGCACTGTTGGCCGAAATTTTCGGAATGAAAATGTGCCTCATCCGGATGCAACTGGTGCAACTGAGGGAAACAAACCAAATTTCCACATCCAACGGACTGTGGACTTCTGCAGACGTGTGACCATCTTAGTCGTAAAACTGCTAACAACCTCTAACAACATGGCTCGGACTGGCTCGGATCTCTTCGGATAGGTATCATACCGACGCCAAGGCTGACAGTAGGCTAGCATCATGGAGCCAAGGCTAATTTTGGCTAATTGCTGCTAATCTTCACCAATTCCGCCTCGAGCATCGTGCCTGGAGACATGAGGTTGGCAACATGACCTGGCCTGATCTCGTCTTGCACGAGCTTGCACGCAGACAAGGCCCGTAACCAATGCTGCCGGAAAAACACCGAACCCGGGTTGTATAAATACCTCGAGCTCGGACCTGCGGTAACATACGTTTTATTTCCCAGTTTCTCTCTCTTGTGTCGGCCAAGACAGGTTCTTGCTGTTCTTCCATTGAATTTTCAAGTTCTTTGGTGAGCCTTTTATGCTGAGTTTCTACGCGAGACATGGCTGATGCAACTGATTCCCTCATATTTTGGCTGATATCGATGGTAGTCCCTGGCGGTCTATCTGAAGCAATTCCATTCATTCATTTGCGTTTGATACATCCACGTTCTCTTCCTAAAAGCCATCGAAATGTTGTCCTACAAGACTGTCCTTCTTGCTCTCCTGTCTTTGTCTGCTACCTCGAGCGCCCTGCCGATCAGGCTGTCCCAGCGTGAGGTTCCCCAGGGTATGTTTTCGTCTCGACCCTTTTATATATCCTTCTGACATGGATGACCATTCAGAGCACTCGCACGAGAGCATCCTTAGTGCTGTTCGCACGACCTTGAACCTCAACAACCCTGATGGAATTGTTGACCCCGTTTTCGCGCTCCTTGGTAATGCCGCCGCCAAACAGGGCCTGGGGAAGATCACCGTGTGTCCATACCTGCCAAAAACATATTATCACTTTCCTGATGTGGTGACCCTTTTTGAACTAGGACCCTGACTGCTTGCAACAGGCTGTCGCCGACCAGGCTTTCACGAATGCCAAGGCCGCTGGGGACGTTAATGCCCAAGTCAACGCACTGATCTTCCGTGCTTTGGAGCGTAACTCTGGCTCGGTCGGCGCAGCAAGCGCTGCTTGCACGAGCATTAAGGCCGTCAACCCTGAGATCGCCGCGATCCAGCAGCACCAGGACCCTGCCTCTTCTGGCGCGGCCGCCACGAACAAGGCCGTTGTCCTCGAGCTCGCGAAGCAGATCGCATCCGTCGGTGGCGACCCGCAGCTTGCACTCAAATCCGGCACGTTTGCTCCTGGCACCATTGGCGATCCGACCGCCAAGGGCAACAGCTGCGACGACGCCAACGACGCGCAGGGGTGCATCTTCACACAGAACCTGCTCGTTGATGACGCGACCGCGGCTGAAATCAGCGCTGCTGTTGCTGGTGTCTCTACAGCCTCTGGTTCTTCATCGAGCTCGGGTTCCAACAACGCTGGCTCTTCTGACGCGAGCACTGCTGCTGGTTAGTCTATATCTTCTTGTTGACGGAACTGTCCCTGATGTGACTTTTTAGCCACTTCGTGTGCTCCCGCTGCAACTGTGACCGTCACTGCTACTGCAGCTGCAACTCCGGCGTCTGGAGCGAACAATGCTGCCGCTACCGCGTCTTCTGCGTAAGTTCTTAGCGCAATCCGCGAAATTTCCCAAAACTGACGTGCTTCTGCTAGTGCTGCCGCCTCGACTGCTGCTGCTGCTGGAGGTAACTTGCAGACCTTCACTGGAAAGCGTACGCATGACTCTGCTGTGCACTTCTACATACATTGACACGCTTCCGATGCAGTCGGAGGCTCTCTTCCCCCTGCTGTGACTGCAGGCGGTCGTGGCTTCGTCGTTGCGGGTTCTGATGACTTCCTCAACATCGGTGCTGCCCTTCAGCGATCGTGCGACATTCAGCACAACGCCTGTGCTAACTCTGCCAACTCTGCTGCGGGTCGTAGCAGCGGTTTGACTGTGAGCCAGTGCGATCAGCAGGACACCCAGTGCACTGCTGCTGGCAAGCGCTAAACGCGTGGACAGATAGCGGCAACGTCGTTTATAGCCGTTTCGCCGCTTCTAGGTTATCTAGTCAGATGAACGTTAGTTTCAATATATGTATCAACAGATTCGCGGCCTCTCCTTATTGTGTGCACTGTTTGAGGAAATATACCCACATGCGAGATGTTTGACTGAGTATGAAACCTGACGTGCTGAAAGTGAAATACGAGGGCAGGTGGGACGGGAAGTCGTGGTGCTGAATCTTGCTCAATGCCCTCGGTCGATGTGGTGAAGTTGTGGTGACAGCGGGATAGACCCTGGACCTGATCGACTGACATCCATGGCAACCGACGCGCGTTGACAAGTCAGCGCGGTACTTGCGGTAGCACTGCGGTAGCTTGCGGTCCCGGCAGTAGAACCTGATGGAAGCGATCCCGCACGTGTGTGGTCATTGAAATGCCGAGGACCCAAAAAACACAACCACTGAACAGCCCAAGCGCGACTTGGCGGCCCTGCTTGGAGAATTTATTCGAACGTTGCGTTTTTTTCCAGAGTTTCCATGCGGCTTCGTCCTTGGCGCCATCCTGACGATAGCAAAACCTAACCCTCGACTAAGGTCACAGCGTCGCCCACAGGCGTCCACAAATGTCCATTAGCGTTTGCTTCATACCCAAGGCAACTTTCGACGCCCTCATGACATGTCCACCCATGTAGTCGCACGTTATAATAAACTCGCGAATTCAGAAGAGGAACATGAACGTGGTACGTGAACGGTGTCTGCGCGTGCCTTGATAACTGCATCCATCGCCAACTTTTACCACACCGTCCATGTGCATATCCAACAGGTACGAGTGCTATATCCGATAGGCCTCACGTTTGGAATCGTCTTGTGTGTATAAAGAGATTTAAAACATGGGAGTGACTCGTCCGCCGTAGTTGGACCTTGCGTGGTGCTTACCAGACCGTGTTCAAGCAGCTATGGTTCTCGTCTCTCTCGCCGCCCTGCTCCTCGTGTCTTGGCCAACTACATCATCTGCTGTCACGATTAGCGAAATACAGGGTGTTGCTTTCAAGTCTGCATTCACAGGGCAGACTTTGTCGAACATCACTGGCGTAGTTTCCGCAAAGGTGCGCCGGTCCTGGCCAATGGAAAGTGCATAGGTTCGGGGTATACTCATATTCGCCTAGGGTTCCAGCGGATTTTGGCTCGCAGGAAAGACCTCATGGGACACTCGACACTCTTCGGGCCTGAGTGTATTTACTTCTTCAGCCAGTGTCCTCTCCTCGGTCGCAGTTGGGGACTCCATCTCTCTTACCGCTCGGGTCACTGAATTCCGCTCTTCCTCTTCTCCAAACAACCTCTTCGGTACTGAGCTCACATCTCCAGTCAATATCACGCTCATCTCGTCAAACAACACTGTCAGACCCATCGTGATTGGCCGCGACCGCTCCCCGCCAACGCAAGCTCTTAGTGCGCTTGATGCAGGTGCAGATGGCTGGTTAGGGGTGCCGAACAATGTTTCTAGGATCGATGTCGTCAATGCAACCCTCAGACCAGAGAAATATGGCTTGGACTTCTGGGAGAGCCTGGAGGGCGCGCTCGTCACTGTCCCCAAACCGGTTGCAATAGATTTCCAGAATAGTTTTGGAGAGTTTTGGGTGCGTGGCGCATGGAAGGCGACAGGCGTTAACTCTCGTGGTGGATTGACCATTACAATCGGTGAGGGCTGGCTGGCATCGTTGAGTCTTTATGGTCGTGACCCTGACTATTTCCCATTCCGCACAGGACCCGATGGCATTCCGGACGCCAATCCTGAGGCAATCATTATCGGAAGTCCACTTGACGGTGCAAAAAATCCCAAAGTCGCTGTCGGGACAAAACTTTCTGATATCACAGGTGTGATTCAATATCAGTAAGTGCAAACAAATGATGGCCTATGGAAGATGAACCGAATTGTCGCAGGTTTGGGTTCTTCTATCTTTTGCCTACCACTGCGCCTACGATCGTTTCCTCGCCGGACCCCACTGTTCCACCAACCACTCTTAAGTCTAGCAACAGTTCTTGCGTACTTACGCTTGGAGATTACAACGTACGTGTTGCCCCCACTTCATCCGGTGCCTCTTGCTCTGCTCACATCTTCCGCGATGGAACACTCTCAGATTGAGAACATGATGCCTACGTCGGCGCACATGCCCATCGTTGCTGGGCACATTGCCAACCAGCTCCTTACGCCCGACATACTCTTCGTGCAAGAAGTGCAGGATAATTCTGGCGCAACGAATGACGGCGTAGTCAACTCGAACGTCACCCTTACTGCGATCTCGAACTCCATATTGAACGCGAGTAGCAGTCACGTCAAGTACGACTTCGTTGCCATCGACCCTGTCAATAATAAAGACGGTGGCCAACCTGGTGGTAACATTCGACAGGCATATTTGTGCGCCAGATTCTTCGATTCTTCGATGAAGAAATCATCTCTAACTTATTCTATCAGGTACAAGCCGACTAAAATGAGCCTCGTCTCAGGCGCCCCTGCTGGTGGGGCGCTCGACGCAACAAATGTCACTATCAGTGCGAATGGAGAGATCGAATTAACGTACGTCTTCTACAGTGATTGAACGTCACGGAGTCTAGACAGTCATCTCCCTGCACAGTTTCAATCCCGGCCGCATCGATCCAACCAACAGCTGTTGGGACGACTCACGCAAGCCGCTTGTAGCACAATGGGAGACACCTTCTGGCCACCGATTTTTTACGATCAATCATCATGGTACTTCTAAAGGTGGCAGTTCTTCGACGGGTGGTGACGCGCGCCCTCCAGTCAACTTCAACGTCGCTAAGCGCACCGCCCAAGTCGAGACCATAAGTGTATGTCCCCCACACTGTTTTCTCAAGTCTAACTAAATGTTAATATTCATGTTCCCAGGCCTTTGTGAAAAGCATTCTCAACCTGGACCCGCGTGCTTCTATCCTCCTCGCTGGCGACTTCAACGAGTATGCCCAAACCCGCTCCGTGTTTTCCGCCTTTGATGGCGTCCTGTTCGAAGCGGATGAACTGGCCAACGTCCCACTTGTCGAGCGATACACGTACGTTTTCGATCAGAACAGCGAGGCGCTGGACCATGTTTTCGTCAGCGCGGCAGTAGCAAGAAGGGGTATCAAAGTTGAACATGTTCACGTGAACAATTGGTCACCAAGTCTCGATGCAAGAGCGAGCGACCATGACCCCAGTGTTGCGCGAGTCCGGATTTGTTGATTTCGCATTATTTGCTTCCTCTACCCCTTGTGCTGTACATTTACTTTTTGACCTGGTTTGAGTCGCAGATTGCGCTTCATTATATTTATATAATGTATACCATTCAAATACGAAACGACACTTGACGAAAAGGGATTCGGGTGTCGATCGTGGCGTAGCGAAAAACATGCAATCTGATGGTTGAGACCTGGGAGGGCATGCGTTCGACGCCGACTCTTGTAAAACACTTCTCAATTGCAGGGGTCTTCCGCATGAGTTTACATTTCAATCGACTAAACTTCCTTTGTCATAATCCTCATCATCGCTTTCGTCCATTCCCTTCTTGATCTCATCTTCCCAAATCTTCCTGAAGCTGTCTACATCACGGCCTTCGCTCAGACTGAGCGCCTCGAACGGGACCATGTTGTGCTGGTGCGCGGGCGTATTGCGAGTCGCGACGGGATGCGCAGGCGAATCGATTACGCGGAGGTGTGGGATAATTTCGTCGGAGTCCCTGATGTGGGTGGAGATGTCGCACAGTTCTTCGTACGTGAATAAGAGCGGATCGGTGCGTGGTGCGTAGGGATTGAAATCGAGGATGTGGAAGCGTGTGAGGTCCCGCGTGAGGAGTACATCGAAGACATCTGGACCAAATTCGGTCAGATGGGTGGAAACGCATCGCATGGATATCAACGAGCTTGCTTGTAAGAAAACGTACAGGAATCCGGTCCTGTCCATTTAGACTTAACGTGTGTTTCCCAGTAAGTTCTCACAGATGTCACGATTGTTGTCTGCGTCCCGGTCTCGGCCAAGAAATCATAAAAATTTGTGTCACGCTGGGACAGGCCTGACACCGGTCAGATGAGCGCATGCGCAAAGCATATTCCCTAGATATGCAATCATACCAATTAAAGCCCCATTGCGCACAAAGCAGCGTATTTCTCTGCTTCGATCGATGGCATACCACTTTCTGAGAACCAGTTCCAGTTCATAGGGGGTCTCTTGCGCTCGACCGGTCGTTACGGCATCGAGTGACGTCTCTTCACAACCTTCAAAGACAATGTCCATACTAAGGTCATGCGTGATAAAGTCGGAAGATTTCAGCAGAATGTAGACATCTGCAGGCGCAGTGCATTTGAGAGGGGAGGACGAAGGTAAGAGCCATGATGCATCCTTTGAAAACAACGAGAAGGTCAAGAGCCACCATAGATCAGTTCAAAAAGTTGTGTATAGAGGGAAGGCATGATCGACCTTAGGTGAGGAGAAATTCAGTTTCGGGAAGACAGCACCATACTCCCGCACTGCTTCCCTGATCCGAGCATCCAACTCTGGGAACGCGAACTCCTGGCGATCGTCCTCATCTTCGTTGCCCTCGTCTTCATCGGCCTCGTCTTCGAGTGTGCTGCGCGCTGGTCTGTCGAGCGGCACACGTCACATCGGATCTGCAAGGCTAGAGGAGTAGATAGAACGAAGTAGACACACGAACACGTCTTCGGATCCTTTGGGCACAAAAACGCTGTCTGCGTCCAAGTAGTCCCGAAAGTCAGCACCTAACGGACGAATGACAGTCGATTTGATGGAAAGTCCAGAGAACGTCGGGTACCAGGCTGAGAACTGAAATGCAAGGATGTCGGAATGTGAGAGAGGGGGAAAAAGTGTGTTTGAGGATGTGGACATGGGTGTAGATTTCAAGATGAAGGAAATCGATAGTTCACGGAGTTTAAAAAAACCCTATAATGTGTCGCTCCACCAGGCCTGCAGACTGCCTGCAGTGAGTGGCGCTGACGGTCCGACGCGAGAATGAGGCAGGCTGGTCTGCCTTATAGTCGGATTCGCGTGCACATAATTGGCCCATGTAGGTTGCTTGTGTTTTGGCTAGTATTGGGGCAACTGTCCTACTTACTCACCCTCGTTCATGAGAGGTGCAAATGTCATAACATTTCATTACTTTCTATCAGCGACGTACTATACCACTACTCCACCCACATTCTACCGACCACATCAGTCAGTCATCACCCCATCGTAAGTGACTCAACCGTCTCCAGATCGGACGGTAAGCCACCGAATGTGCACTACATTCTCCCCTGCGACCGTGTTCTAGTATACCATGCAGTCAAAGCGTAAATGTGCAACGCGGGAACCGTGATGAAAACGGGAAACGGGAAACTGGAACCACTCTACTTCTCAACCTCAATGCCGGAATCGCTGGCACTACCCTCGTGGAGAATCGGGCGCGAAGCAGCGAGACCCAAGTAGTTCTTGTAGAAGACAATGTCGCCCTCGTCCTCAACGAACTGAAAGATATAAACAGAAGATATGAATAAGATCTGAGTACTAGGTGCAGAGTACTGACCTTGCACTCCTGGAAGACACGGTAGACCTCTGCCCATCCACCAGGGGGGCCCTGTAACTGAATGCCAGCCTGGTCGAGGCGCTTGCGGAGAGCATACGTAGCTTCCCAACTATCCACGCAATTAGATATAACGAATGAGGATATAGTCGCACCTGAACTCACGCGTTGTAGTGGGGGATTTTGCTGGCGACATGATGGGCCACGTGTGTCTCGGAGATACCGTGGGTAGCACAAGCGCCTATCCAGCCCATGAATGAACCTAAGTCGCCCAGAAGATTCCGGTCAAGCGTAGCGAGGGCACCACGGGGGAACGTGAACTCCGGTGCACGATAGTGAGGAAGAATGGGGTCGGTGTGCTGGAGGAACGTGATAAGAACGAGCCAGTGGTTGACCCTGTGTACAAATGAACAATTACATCCATGAGTCTCATCTCCCAGAGTCAAACATGAAAGCACGTGCCATAGGTAAGGAACGAGATATAGGCGAAGAACCTCGGCGAAGCCACTCTTGTAGCTCCACGCAATCAGGGTGCCGATCCAGAAAAGGATTCCGATGTCTGAGATGATAATCTGCCCGTACTGGTGGGGGCCGAAAATCACGGAGTTGGGATTCAGGTCTAGGAAAGGAATGTAATGTCATCTCATAGGAAGCCGAAGAGAAGGAAAAAACTCACGGTTCGTGCCCGCAGGGTAACGCTTCTGACCGGAAGCGTTCGTGAACAGATACATGGGCCAACCAAAAAGCTGGCAAGGTATTAATCAGATACGCTCGACACGAAACGAAACGCGAGACAAGATGGAATGCCGGTTCCGAACTGATGATAGATACAAGTTATGTCCACGTCATAGAAGTACATACCAGATATGAGCCTGCACCAAACAATGCACCAATAGGTGAGTCGCCGAGAGCATCATAGAGTTCCTTCATAACCTCATTGGAAATGCTTGCACCCCAGATATCTTCTTTTGTGGAGTCAAATGCAGGTAGCTTCACCTGAGACCTGGTCTTGGGTACAAACACCTGGTCTTGGGTCATGTGTCCGGTGGAGGCGTGATGCTTAGCGTGAGAGATGCGCCAAGAATGGTACGGAACACCAAGACTGACGGGACACGATTAGATAAACGGCCTTGTTGAGAATCGGGGGAATAGAAGCTTACCCGGAATGGAGGACCCAACCAACCACATTGTTGATGAACTTGGACTCGGAGAATGCTTGGTGACCACACTCATGAGCGATGACCCATAGCCCGGTAGCAACAAGGCCTGTCGCAAACCCATACAGTGACCAGAGGGCCAAGCGGGCGAAAGGGTACAAGAGAGGGTGCGGGAGGGCGAGTGTTTCGGGGTTGATCAAGGTGTCAAGGTACGTAGCGCTTTTGTAGATGCCAGCGATAAGGAAAAAGTCCCAAAACCTATGGGGATAGGTAAGCGCCAGCAAGGGCGTCGAACATATTCGTTGGGGTACTTACATGTATAGGGACGAGCGGAAAGCCGACCGCTTGAAGCATCGGGAGCTACGGCAGCGACGAGTGAATAATGGAGGGAAGCTGCACATACGACGAGGGGGGACTCACGGAATGGCTGACAGGAGGTCCTTGACAGTAAGGTCGGGGATGACGACCTGTGCTTGGTCGACAACGGTGGTGACACCGTCCTTCGAGAGAGTCTTCATGATGGACGAGAGAAAGAAAGACGCGGGGGGTCGAAACCAAGAGGGCCGTCTATTTGAAAGGAAGGAGAGAAGTGTGACCCGCCCTGTTCGGTGGTCTGAAGAAAGGGAAAACCCAACATTCGATTTTATGGGGTTTTCGGGAACTGCCGACACCACAAATGACAACTCCATTACCGCATCCCGCACTCGCGGCTGCTCTGGAACGTAGTCCAGCGTAGTCCTGACCCTTGGCCGCACCGCTCTATTGCATGATGGCGCCACAAGATTCAGTCCGGCTGCGCCATTTTCACTGTCTCGAAACTCTGTAGAGATGTCTTTGATTTGGACCTGTGTGGTGATCGGACACAAGTTTTTCTCTGGTTTTCAGTGTTTGTGCCCCACCCTGATCACCGCGGTTCTTCCCTCTCTGGCCAAAGCCAAGTCCGTGAACACAACCAGGATCACGCCCATACCAAAACACATGTACAGAGTCAGTTGATCACGATCACGTATACGCCCAAGGCATCACGCCAGAACTCCTATAGCATGTTTATCTACGCACCAGGATTCTCGGAGACAGGGCATAGTCTACTAACGCTATATAAGCACAACAACGGGAACGTTGGTCAATCAAAATCAACAAAACAAAGTAAATGAGTACAGTATACCGCAAGTCCATGAGCAGTCCGTGCGCATAGCTCGATCACCATGATGAGCAACAACTCGGGGGCTGACTAGTCCTCATTGCACGACCTTCAATCGCTCTGCCATGCCCTCCAAGAAGGCGAACCCGTCCTTTGTCACGTTCCGCCCCGCAGTTTTATCCGTGAGCGAGCCGAACTCGGCCACCAAGGCCGCAAGCGCCTTGTTATCCTGCGCCTTACCCACGCCCTGACGCAACTGCCACAGCTTGTTCAGCCGCTCACGGCCCTGCTGTAGGGGCTGCGTGTTCTCCGCGCTATCGATTGAGGCTTTGGTCTTGCCTGTCTTCGTGCGCGACGTGCGGAGGGGGACGATGAACACGGACGGATCCACGAGCTGCTTGTGTAGTGCATCGAGGAACGCAAAGCCTTCTCGCGTGAGCGTCCGCGAGGTGTTGCTCTTCAAAAGCGTCACGAATTCGATGACAAGCCGAGCGAGTGCTTTGTTGTCCATCGCATTCGATGCTTCTCTGGTGAGCTTGTCTAGCTTTTCCGCTTTGGCATAGCGGCGGGCAATGGGAGGGATGTCCGAGCTGTCGCTGATGACGATCACGTTTGTCGTATCCAACGCCGGTTTCTTTATTGGTTGCGCAGCTTTTGGGAGACCATTGGGTTTTGGTTGCAGGTGGGACAGTTGTATGTTCTTCTTATCTCCCAGCACAGGTCGGTTCTCCAACTTGAGACCCGCGAGATCCTGAAGGACCTTTTCGATCGCGTTGGAGTCATGCGCGCGAGCACGCGCTGGCGGCTGCAATGATATTGGATGAGGCACATCCGTCAATGTCGATGAAAACAATCCTCTATGGGCGACCCTCAAACGGCATTTAACACTGAGACATACCTTGACAATGGTTTCGGAAAGAGGCCAGATGAACGACTCTATGTCATGATATCCTGATTCTTGGGCGAGGTCGAGGAAGAGGTCTCTGCAATATGCGTAGTCTGGCTTCGCAGCAAATGTCAACCGGCGGCAGTGCCGCAAGAAGTCCTCGAATTCGATCGGCAGTCCGCGACAGACGTCCTCCGGCAGTGCAGCGCGCTTCTGCCGCTTCAAGCGAGCATGTGCTGTCTCGTCTCTGGGTATACCGTCTCGGGTCCAAGAGAGTCCGTTGGGTGTCAAAAGGTGGATTAGAAGCAGAGCTGCAGCCTCGAGGTCGTCTCTCCGAGATGCAGCTAATACAAGCTGTCAGCAAAATTGATGTCCGTGCACATTGGGCTTCAAACCTCACCTTTGCCACGACAGTGCACGTTGACGCTGGAAAACCAATAATTACCAATAAAAGCGTCGGGTTTGATATTTGTTATATGCTTTCTGGTCCTTAGATCGATATACGTCGTTGAGAATCCAAAGTCAATCATGTAGAGGATTTTTTCGTTCGGTTTGAGTCCCAGAGCAATATTTCCGAGCTGAATGTCGCGGTGCAAGACTCCGCGCGAGTGCATGAATTCCAATCGGGTGATCTTCACCAGAGCACAGCGTGTCAGCCAAGCAAAACGTGACGCAAAACGAACAGGATGGGGATGGACATATACCGAAGATGAAAGGTAAGGAGAATGACGCCCAGAAGACTGACCAGCTGTACAGCGATTGAACACACAGTCCGCATATCCATGGTGGCCTTCCCATTCTTCCGATATATCTTGTCTAAGCTGTCTCCCAGTAAGTCGATGGCGAGGTAGTCATATTTTCCTTGTACACCCGCTGTCCAGAGTCTCGGCATGCCAATGCCGCCCTGGAGAAGTGGATAGATGGCGCGCTCGCGGCAGTTGGTAGGGTACTCGATGTCACGATCTTGGATTTTGAGGGCCACAGTGTGTCCAGATGTGTCATAAATATTTCGCGCTTCCCACGTCGCGCCTGCAAAACGAATCAACCTGGACACGAGGATCATGGTGATGGAAATAAAACACACCAGACACGCCCGAACCGAGTGGACGAATGAGGGCATAGTTGGCTATGCAATCCGGAAACGTCATCGTATTCTAGGAGTAGGATAGTTACAAACAAAAATTTCGATAGTGCGATACGGGAGTAGGATGTTCTCATAGGCTCGAGTCTGCACGACGTTTGAGAGAGGCGTTCGCGCGCGTGTAGGAGAATGTGTGGGGCGTCGAAGGAAGCCCTCAGTCTTTTCGGGGAAATACTCTGTATTTTTGACCAGGTCGAGCTCTTCGAAGTGGCGACGTCGATTGAGCGATCAGTATGGTAGTGGTTGGGGGTGTGGAGGTTTGCAGCTCGAAAGCAAAGAGGCCGAGGTAAATGATCACGGGATGTTCAAAGTGAGGGGCGTGATCGCGTTCTGTATTCGGAGCCGACGAATCGGCTCTTCTGCCACAAGCGGACGCCGTCGAAAAGACGCTGTAAAGCAGTGTAAAGCCAGAATCTGACTCCTATATAGTTATAGGCCCCATATCCCCTCGGAGGATGGGAGAGCTTTTGTGATGCCAAGAATCATGCTACTGAGATACTCCTCCGTGTGTTTGTCCATTGCGGTCGTGTCCGCGCCTTTGCCGTATCAACACTGCACGACGACGGAGTTGAAGGATTTATTCATCCCAGATATTCACTGGGCGATGTCAAACAGCTCACAGTGAAAGCATCTTCTTCGCCGAGAAGCTCTACGAGATACAGTTGGATCCGCCTGAAGGATGCAATCACTTTCCAACATGCAAAAACACCAATTGGTAAGTATCTCTCTATGTCTTTATTAATATTAGGACGCGGTGATCAACGTTGATGTCCTGGCATGATCGCATTAAACATCATTGCTACATGAACAATAGTTTAATTTTGAGCGTCTGTTTCCGAAACTGAGATAGGTGAGCTTCCCGGGGCCTATTGGGATGCGCCTCGAGGTAGCTGAAGGTGCTTAGGGTTCACTTTGAAATTTGTTTTTGTCCGGGTCAACTGTCAAATCTCGGACGATACTTGTGTCGTACGCTTCGAGACATTCTTGGGCCTTTACATGCTCACTCATATGTATACGTCGGGATGGGGCCGAGAAGTCACTACTACAGTCACATGCCCCAAGTCGCCGAAGGAAAACTACACCAGAGTGAAGGGGCTGTATTTACTTCCTGGTTTTCATACAAGATCTACTATTGTCCTACCGATACAGAGCCAAAAAAAGACACAAACACAACATCTCAAGCTTGATACACAGTAGGCAGACCCACAGCTCTAAACGTAATCCCCAACGTACTGGTTCGTCTTACCACTCAGCTCCGCTTGCCTTTGGAGTGCCTGAGGCGCATCGAATTGGTCCATCATGACCTCGACAAGCTGAATCGTCTCGGCCGCCGCGAACGTCTTGTCGTCTAACAAGTTGGACAACTCGGTCTTGTTATGGACAGTGTATGACTTGGGTGCGGGCTTGAGATCGGCAGGCGCAAAGACAGTCAAAAGCTCGGTCCATTTCCTATTCCCATCGGAGAAACAGATTGTGATGTTAATAAAGGTGCTTGCGGAACAAGGTGAATCTTCACGAACCAATTGACGATGTCGTTGTACTTGCGCACTTTGCCGTGAAGCCAGCGCTCGATGGTATAACCGCTATTATTGAGCACGAATATGATGGGCTTGAGCCTGAGGCGCATCATCGTAGAAAGCTCCTGCACCGTCAGCTGCAAGCTCCCATCACCAATGAACAGGATCGTGCGGCCCAGCTGCATATCGCGCGCCGCAAGAGCAGCCCCAAGGGTGCTCCCTATCATACAACGCTTAAGCATCTCCATCAGATGCAGAGGTTGTTAAGAAAGACACGTACCGACAGTCCACCCAATGCTCCCCCACAGGATTTGGCTCACGAATATGCTGTCACGAGGCAGCGGTACGTCAAGCACGCCAAAGCTCGATGTGCCAGTTTCGGATACGATAACATCCTTCTCTTTGAAAAAAGCAGCCATGCGCGGCCAGAGCCAAGCCTGCGAGATGATCTCACCCATCGGGTCATCCGTGGGGAGCACAGCGCTAAAGCGCGGCACATGGAGGGCTCGCGCGTCGTCTGAGAATGGATGCAAGCGCGCGGTCAACTTCGGCAGTAGCTGCTTCATCCCGATGTTAGCGAAGCGAGCGTATTGCACCATGGTGTGGTCAGAATGGAGCTACAAGGTCGGTGTGCTTCAGTTGAGGGTAGGTTGCGTGATGAAGATGGGAGTCGGAGACTTACCTCGATAGTAGAGACTTGAGGGATGCGGTAAGTGAAGTTGCCGGTGTTGAAATCGGACTTGAGGCCACCGACGGAGAGAATGAGTTTAGCAGATTCGACTTTCTCCTTGATCTCGGGATGCGAGATGGAGCCGACATAGATCTAGCGACAGTCCGATGAGAAATTGTCGCTGCGCCTGATATTAGAGATACTCACACCGCCGTATCGCTCGTAGCCCTCCCACACTGCTGTCTTTCCCATCGGGGCCGAGTATACGGGGAACCCAGTCTTCTCGATAAGCTCCCACGCCTCGTCCTTCACACGGTGCCGGATCGCACAGGCGTCGATGAGAATGATCACGTCGGAGCCTGCCTGCTCAACGAGCTTGATGATCTCATTGAGTACAAATTCTTCGACCTCCGGATCATTCTGTGGTGGCCTGGGCGCAAGAGGCGTGTCAAGTTGACCACGCGGGATCTTCTGATAGACAAGATCGGTGGGAAGCATCAGGTAGACTGGGCGGGCCTGTACCAAATTGATTTAATGTTTGAAATATGAGAATAAGGTGAATGAGAATTCATTTACCACTGTAATACAGTCGGTGAGAATACGATCGATCTCAGAGGCTGCGCTCAACTTGTCCATGAGCCGAGCATGAGACCAAGTGAATTGTTTGGAGACCTCAAGGTACGCATCGTATCTAGTTTCGAGACGTAAGCGTTCGATAGTCAACTGCGAACTAAAAGATTGTATACATACCTGCCATCGCCCAACGTGTGATGCAACATTGGCTTGTTCTTCTGTTGCGAAGTGCTCGGGACACCGGCAATGTGAAGTACGGGGACCATTTCAGAGAAAGCCCCCGCAATACCGTTGATGGCGCTCAGTTCACCGACACCGAATCTGCAAACTTCGTTCAGCATCTGGGCACATGCAGAGCCCTGGGCTCTTGGAGTGGGTTTTCAGAAGGAGAGGGGAACGTACGTAGTGAGCACAACCCCGAGGCTGTTTTGTTTGACGCGAGCGTAGCCATCTGCAGCATAAGCAGCGTTCAACTCGTTACTGGATTGTCAAGCCAGTGAGGACTGGATGTTAAGATATAATTGACAGTGAACTTACCAGTTGCCGATCCACTCGATCTTTTCGTGATCTTCTACCAAGTCCTGTATAGATAATCGGCATCGGAGGTTACCACGCTCGGAATATCAAGACATACGAGAAATCCTGAAAATAATTCAGTGCGCAAAACCAACGGCACGAGCAGAAAAGTACTGACCTAGATTGAAGTCACCGGGGACTCCAAACATGGACTGCAGCAAAACGATCGCACTCAGATAAGATTCTACGGAGGGATCCAAAGAGACTGACGGTAACGCCAAGTTGGGCTAATCTCTCAAGAAGATAGGAACCGATAGTTATTTCTTCAGACATCTTGTACGTCGAGTAGATTGAGATGAGGGGTGATGAGGAGATGGGATGAGGGAGGGGCGGTATTTATATGGAAGATGTCGTCGGGAGGAATGGGATGACCACCGGGATGAGCAGGACCTCCAGACTGGGCGAAAATGGGTCGAAAGCCGCGGCCTGTGCAGACGAGGCGTAGATCATCGTGCATTTTGGGAGGGTCAGGGCCTCGAATCCGATTAACCTGGCCACGACGTCACTCGGCTCACGTGTCGCTCCAACGCCAGCCGTCTTGGTTCCCTCGACGCACTGATCGTCGCAGCTCGTCGCAGACCCTCGGTGCGTCTCGATGGAATATGCTCACTCTTATAGGACACAACACTTTGCTTCGGTTGAAGTAGTGAAAAGACAAAATCGTGACATGGCCTCGTGTGGGAACCGCAGATTGCACCTTCAACTATCTGCGGGCTAATTATGGCGCAGGTTCTGGATGATACTGGGACATTCTGGTAACATTAAAACTTAGGATCCCTCCCATCTTACAACATTACGATGTAAGCTACATCGTCGAGACCGCCGCAAATTTATTTGAGTCCGACATCGTGAGATCATCCGGCCACAACCAATCTATCACATCCTATCTACCCCCTTCTGCGACTTCGAGTATGACCTATGAAACACTCTCCGCTATCACCATCAAGATAACACTGGGCCATCCATCATCACATCAACTCGGCCGGCCCTCCAACCCCTCCGCACACTCTCCCACAGGAGTTATCAAAATATATCCTTGACAGATAGTCGTTCGCTTCTAACAAGATCATCACGGCGTTTCGGTTGTTCGTGCCCATACCCAGCTGAATCCGTTCAATATTCGCTCTGCTAGCCCACATTGAACGACCCACCGCATGATCTCAGGCATATAATCATTGTTCCAACACGGCTTACTCATCGCAATGCCTGACGAACGCCCGCACACCTCGTCTTTGACGGACACGCACACCAGTTGCAGATCATTGCTTTCTGCTCAATCGTGGAATGGTTGTGGGACGATGTCGTCTATCGCGCGCCGCTTGACACTGGTCTCGCCTTTTTGTTGCAGGGTCCTCTCTTCCCTCTGTGAAAGTAAGACATTGTTCAGATGGATTTCCCATCGCCCCCTTTCTCTAAGGGGGATGCGCGATATCTCAAGTGACCGCTCGGAAATTTGACCTCAGTTCTTTTTTGAAGACAACGGTGAAGTCGGTAATGTGTTTCAGCATATTTTCCGAATGTATGAAATACAAGTACAGTGCATCATATACAGTGCCTCAACTGTAGACTTTAAGGCCGTTGTCCGTGTGTAAGGAGACTAGATATCATGCAAAGATAGACACAACAGCCAGAGCTAATAGATATCATGCAAAGATAGACACAACAGCCAGAGCTAAGACCCGTAAAGGAGGATAACAAGCTACATGCGGAGATGAAAGGGGCATATTCGACGAGAAAAAATACAAAGTTCAGCATATAATAACAACCAAAGATAAAAAGGCCCTAATTGAACCTCAACCGATCCCCCAACGCGTCCGACAACTCGATTTCATGATCGTTAATAAAGTTCGCACACCCGACGATAGCGACATCGTCCATAGACGATCCGTCGAAGACACCCCTGCCGACCGCGTCGTCCGTAGCGACAACTCTAGATCGCAAGGCGGATACGATCGCTTTCCCACTCAGCCTTTGACAGTTGTACAGCTCGAGGCTCTTCAGCTGCGGCAACGCGACAGAGCACCGATACCGTGGGGTCCCGCTCTCCTCGTCCCAACCCATAGGCCACCCGCCATTATCCTCATCTGACCACGGTGTAGTCCAGGGTGAAAGCATCTGCACGACGCAATCCGCCATGTCCGATGCGACAATGCGAAATTCTTCGAGAGAGGATGCGCGCTCGAACAACCATCGGAAATCCTTCGTCCGCATATCGGCGTAATCCATCTCGAGTACGCGGAGGGGTGGATCACAGCGCTGGAAGAGGCTGCGCAGTCCCATGCCTGTCGCGTGGTCGCTGTATGGTGACTGAGAAAAGTCGCCTTCGTCGTCGCTATCGCCGTCTTCATGGACCTCATCGTATTCGCCCTCGTCAGTGTCGGGATGAAGAATGATAGTATGCATGGGTATAGGTGAGAGAGGCTCTATATCAAAGGAGGCGGTTGAAGTGGACTGCCATGTCCGCCGATGCGATTCGGTCGCTGGTGCCAAGGTGCTTCGCTTTCGTCGCCGACGTGAAGAGTATAGATTATAGATAGGGAAACTGAAGTCAACATTCAGGTGTTCGAGGTAAAGTTCCTTCAGATTTGGCGTGTCAATGTACGATAGGATAGTGCGCGTGCAGAGCGTGCTGTGTAATACGAGAGAGCGAAGGCGAGGAAGAAAAGGGACCGGTGGTGGTCGCTCAAAGTCTTCGGGTCGTATCGCGGCCTGAAACATGCTACCCGTGAAAGAGAGGAACTCGAGCACTGGACATGCAGTCAGAAACTGGAGGAAATCGATAGGATGGATCTTCAAGACAAAGGGGGATGTAGGCTTCTCCTGAATGAACAGGGATACGAAGCGGAGGGGCTCGAACAGGGCTAGCGGTAGCCGCGAGAGCGAGACGTCCATGAAGAGGAGATTCGACTTCAGCGGAGTGGGGTGTGATTTGAAAGTGTGAAATATGATTTGATCTTCTGTAGATACCTGACCACCCACAAGGGCCTGCTGCCCTGGATCTACGCTGATATCCAACTGTTCAAGTCTCGGCTCGCCAGTCCCTGCTGTCCAAAACTCACGAAAATGAACATGCTCTACTCTGTTCCCCTCAATAGTGCAGGACCTCCATCGATTCAGATGGGGAAGAAATGGCGAGAGAAATGGTAAAACATTATCTCGGTTAGAAATAGAGATGTCAACATCGAACTGCAGGCTCCGTGATCGAAGAAGGAACGTCTGAGAAAGACCAGTAGAGCGCTCCGTCGTTACTTGTGAGTCATCGAGGACAATCCATTGAAAGATACGTGGCGAGAAGTTAGTGATCTCCTCCCATCGGCGGCATATCCTCCCGAGAATGATGGGAGTCAGAGCAGTTTCATGCGCGCAGTAGACAAAGATTTCGATGAGTATCTCGACTGGGAGGCGATCAATTGGCGAAGTGTTCTCGCGAGTCTTGAGCCAGTAAATCTGGGACCGGAGGGCATCCATAGGAGCAAGACTAAGGACAACAAGCGACGAACCCTACGGCGTGTGTGTTATGTGGGGTACTTGTGGGGTGTGCAGCGTGAGCATCGTGAGAAAATCGGTAGCCTCACGCCTGGAGGAGTTAGATGAAACATGTTGAAATTGTAGCCAGTGGAACAGAAGAACATTGTCCAACTTTGCGGACGGTCGAAGCGAGGTAGAGCACAGAGATGCGTCTTCCCAAATTCACAGCCGGACCAGTTTCTAAGACCAGAAGGGATCGCAATGTAAGTGCATATGAGTCCCTAGAGGCGAATAGAAACACCGATCCCAGATTGTTTCAATAATCCGACTCCCACTTTTCAGTGTGATGTACATTTATTTCACTTGTATGCCGGAAGGGCGATGAACTCGCCTTCATAAGCCTTCATAAGTATCGGTTTCTCCAGGTCTTTCCAACGCGTAACTGCAACATGCAGCCGAATCTCCAAAGCTATTAGTCATCTACCATTCTCCCACGCGCCAACAGACGCGAACCCGGTGCACAACCGTCCGCAGATCTTGAAAACCACCGATGTCGCGCTATATGCTCGCATCCAATGGTCCTGGGTTTGAGAATGTCATGGTGAACCCAAAATATGCAAAACTGTGTTGGCGCTGGCCCAGTCGTGAGCGTCATCTTCATGAAGCACAAACTATCAATTACATAATTTAAGAACTGCATAGGAGCGGCTGCTGACTTTGAACCCAGTTTTGAACTCTAATCGCCCATACCGCACATCGCCCTCATCGTCGCGCCCGCCGCTCTCCGCCCTCATCCTCAAGATCCCCATTCTCACCATTCAAAATGCCTGGTGTACGTGATATCAGGTCAGTATGGCTGAAGATTCTTCAGATTTCGTTTCACATGGATGTCTGCAGCGCAGAAGCTTTCATTACCGCATACGCCTCCCACCTCAAGCGTTCGGGCAAGCTCGAGGTGCCCACTTGGGTTGACATTGTCAAGACAGGTGCCTACAAAGAACTCGCTCCCTACGACCCCGACTGGTACTACGTCCGCTCAGGTTTGGCTTTTCGTCCATCACACGTCGCAGGCTTTGATTTAACACTTCAGTATATTCTTTTTAGCCGCTGTCGCACGGCATATCTACCTTCGCAAAGATGTCGGGATCGGTGCCCTGACAAAGCTCCATGGTGGCCGAAACCGTCGCGGAAACCGTCCCTCACACCACGGCGATGCGTCTGCCTCTGTGCAGCGCAAGGTTTGTCAGTCTCTCGAGAAGATTGGTGTCCTCGAGAAGTCCGCAAACGGTGGCCGGAGAATTAGCCAGGACGGTCAGCGGGACTTAGACCGGATTGCGACCGCTGTTGTTGAGGCAGAGCGGGAGGAGGCTGATGAAGATGAGGAGGTTGAGGAGGAGGATGAAGAATAGAGTTCGAGCGGCTCGTTCGGGCATGGGTCACCAGGTGGTGTATGGTTTTAAACGGCCCTCTCATCTTTTTTATCATTGTATGACCACATGCGCCTCACACAAAATATGGCATCAGCTCTCTCTATCCATCAGGACCATCTCTCCGTCTGACGCCCAGGTAGGCTGCCCACCGTTCACTGGCCTTCCGGGGAGAATCCAATCTTGTCACAGCCGATTGGACACACCTATCTCACTCGGATTCGCAGTGGGTTTTGGTATCGTAAAGTAGCCGGTGAACATGTTATAGAACCATGGCATCCATTCGGCCATTCTTTTCTTAGATATGGCGTTCATTACAAGGAGAGGAACTTTTTTCAAAACGAGCTAACATTGACCTTATCTTTTGGGGTTGTCCTCATTGAAAGGCTCCGGATCCTCTCTTTCTCTTGGCTCCGAATTTCATTCCATCATCTAGGTACTAGTCCAGGCTGTTCACAAGGATTCACAGACACCCACCTGTACCCAATAGACCACAACAAGCACTTTCACCAACGAAACTGGCTTTTCTCGTGCTCAACAGTTCTGATGTTCTCGAAAATTTCCCCCAAAGCAATCCATCCAAAACTCTTCGCTCCAAACGATGTCTCTTCTGATCGCGATACCATCCATGCCGCCCATGCACGATACAGCGATTCTCCATCTGTGGTGCTTTCCTCTCCCTCCAGTCGCTGCTTGGTTTCTTTGACGAGGACACTCGTTTGTTCGCGCAGATTTGCCATCGCATCCTTCCTTCTCTTCTTTTGTGAACACTTCGCTACGATAGTCCCAACCACCGCTTCTTCCTCTGTCAACGTAGCCCCGCGATGATTTGAAACGGTGTTAGCAGCACATATACTTTGCAAATCCCGGGCGTAAGTGTTGAAGATTTCGATCGCAGACTCTAGATAGTTGCGATCGGGCTCGATGCTATCGATGAATGGGGTGATTCGATTTACTATCGCAAGATGGAGATGATCTTCATGGTCTTGGAGGGACAGTTGCTCGAGGACTGTCTCCAACGATATCTCGCGGTCAGGGTCCAAATGCCGTCGCGCCAAACGTCCTGCTTGCTTTGCGTCCTCTAAAGCCGGCAGGTCAATCTTGCGGAACAACTTGCCAATAGCTTTTTGGCTGAGGTAGAAATCCGCCGAGGATTCTGCGTCAACTGTCTCCGGTGCGTTCCAGTCTGGCCTTGCATTGAATAAATACCTTGGGATTTTGTCGAGGGGGACTGGCTTTCCGCTCTTCGGAAAATCCACTGCATCGCTGTGGATTTGACCCAGTTGTAGGCATGCAGGATGGAAGATGCTTTTCTCGCTTTGATCAGCAATCACTAGCCAAGTCACCGCGACTAGACCAAGAACCTAACGAAACGAAGCTCGACAATGAGAATCTGAGTGGACGGAGAGATCGGAGACGTACGTCGCTGTTCACGTAGTCGGCCACAAAGTCAGCAATATCGTCTATCGTACTCGGGCGATCGAGCAGCTTTTTGGGTGCGGGGTTGTAAGCCGCTGGCTCATAATTAACACGAGGCAGTAGCTCTGGCATTGCTGTAACGTTGTACAAGTCACCATCCAGATCGCCACCTCCTAGGTAGGAAGGCAAAGGTCGGTCGCCTTATATATATCGGAATGTATGAATATCTGACCGTCAATTAATTAAGGCAGAAGTACACACCTTTAACAGAGAAGACAACAGTGTTCGGGAGCGATTCCTTCTCGAACGGGGATCCTGGTGGGGGGCGGCCAATGGCCCTCACAATCTGTACATCGCCAGGATGGATGGTGGGTGATCTTGAGATGAGAACTGGTCCATCCAGGTAGAACTTGGAGCCATCTTGAGGATGTATGCAAACGAACACTTCCTTTTCCTCAAGGTACCCGTCAATGTCAGCCACACCGACCAAGGTATAGCCGTTTGGAACAGGGATCCTCGCGTGTTGTTTCAAGTCACGCAGAATGTGATGCTTCCCGAATTCCAGCATCTGCTGATAAAACCCATCGTCGCTGAGCTGATCTATGCCGAGTTTCGAGAGACTGCGAAGGATAGAAGTAAAGCGATAACTTGTTCCCAGGCCGAACTGATCAAACATTTTCGCCGATGCCTCCAGTGATTCTGTGGACTGTTCGACATAGTCGACAGCATCATTCTGCAGATTTTCAAAGACGGAGTATGGGACACCCAGGCTCTCGAGTATCATGATCAGGGGTCGATTGAGGTAATATTTACTCGGCTGTGTAAACGAGGAGGCGATCTCGACTTCGAGACTGTTCGGGGCTTCAAATTTGATCATGGAATGGCGCAGGCAGATAGCACGCCCAGAGAGCCTGTGGTCGATACTGATCATTCCCTTTGATCCTTGGAAGCGGATTTGGAACGCAGACGGGTAAGGCACGGCACGATGCGCAGACCGTTTTCGTCGCCGTTGTAGCTCCTTCCAGATTCCGCGGGCCAGTTCCTTGGACATTGTTCCAACACCGTCCGTAAAGCACCATTTTCCCACCTTGATATCGTCTATCGTCATGATTTCTTCCACCTCTACCAGCACGGAAGGATCGGTGGCTGTGAATGCCTGCGAGATCCTGGCTCCGTAGCGAGCTGGGCACCTGATCAAATCCTGATCGAAAGAAAGGTTGTCGAACTTTCCTATGCGGTCGATGATGGTTTGGGGGTGAAGTCGCGTGCTAATTGGGTCGTGACGCACAAACCACACCGTGTGAGATTTCAGTGCGGATTGAGAATATCCAAGGAAACGAAAGTCGCGACCCGCGACCGAAAGTCCTTGATGCAGAATTTTGTTTATCCATATGTTAATGAACGCTGACCCGTCTACCTCCCTGTCATGCTGGTATTGAAGTCCATTTTCGTCAATAAAACTGACGCGAATGAAGTTGTCGTGGTCCTGGGAATACATTCGCATGATCCGGTTCGAGCGGTCTGGTAAAGGCCCTATGAGCTGTATAGTGGTTGGTGTCACGGAGACATTGTAGCTGTAGAAAAGGTCATCGGAGGGAGGTCGTTGCGATGACAGAGGCCGAGTGGATGTCAGGAATTCGCGTTCGCAGCGAATATATAAGTCTTTAAATGTTGCGCCAGTATCATAGCTGCCTTCTGGATTCCATAAATACTGCTTGGCCTGGACACCGAAATATTGCAACACATCGGCAGCAAGAGCATCGCCACTCGAATCGACGAGGTGGTCGACGCGGTGCCGAATTGACAAGATTTCCTGTAAGTCGGCGGAAAGCGCTCGTGAGATAGCCTCCACCTGAAATGCTACTTTCCAATCCAGTCCCCGTATCCAAGAATAATAAGAGTCCAGCCTGTCTTGGGAAAATAGATCACGGTGAACCACCATGGGCAGAACATCCTTCGGGGCGCGAAGATGGACAAGCCTAGCAAGACGCCTGAAGTCCTGCAATGCATGCCGGCTGTGACAAACAACACGTATAGCCAAGGACGCGTAGGGAAGAACGCGCCTATAATCCGGGTCATCAAATAGATAAAGACTCCGCTTTCGCTTAGTCTTTGTCTGCCCCAAGAGTTCTTCCATCGCAGATATTAGTTCGTATTCGAATTTCGGATGGGATAGCAAGGAAAAAAAGATGGCGGGTTCGTTGACATTATCGATACCAGTTGCAATCCAGGAGACCTGAGAAATGTGGATTACTAGTGAATTTTCGGTGAAAAACTCCGCGGCCTTGATGCGGATCTGTCGGTTTTGTGCCGAGAAATTGAGTTCGCAACAGTCTGAAAAAGTCTTCTCCCATTCGACGGACAAACACCCGTCTCGTGTTTCCCAACCGAATTGTATGCTTTTGATGGGAATTGAACTTTTCTGCAGCTCGTTCGTCAAAGATTGCCTCTCTTGCAAGACAACAGGGTCTTGATATGGAAGGCGCTGAATCTTTTCGAGGACGTGGGTTTGGACTTCATACTTGCTCGGCGAGAAATTGAGTGTTTTCCCGAGCAAGCGAATGGGCCATTGAGGAAACTGGCCTCCACAATCCTGTAGGAATTTTTGGCCTATGTCCACTGTCGGGACGGTCAATGCGCCTATTCCGCGATGGCTTTGCCGAGAAACCCCGTTTCTTGACGGAAATAATCGGACGTCGAAATTAGCGTACGACGCAGAATAACGCTCGTATGAGCTACTGTGGAGCACTTCAGCAATTGCTTTTCGCAACTGAGTTTCTGTGGTATTGATATGAACATTGGCAATGAAAATCTCCATGCCGCTGCGAGCGGTCACCCGTGGATGTCTTATATGATGCTATACACAGAACGACTGTCTTCCGTGTAAGGTCAGCCACGGAGACCAATATGATGCGAAAGATGAGAGCGGATGGCACTCACTCTGCCGGAGCAGACGAATGTATTTGTAGGTGTACGGGGCGCGATGTGGAGGGATTCCGTAGGTTTAACTTTGAGGCCTTGAGAGACAGTACTTAGGCAAGCTGAGCACCTGCGTAGGGAAGCCCCCAGTGTCACACTTATTCTTTTCTCTCCCTCTCATCAGCTGCGACCATACACATGTCTCCGGCTAATCATAGAACCAGATATGTCTCCTGCGGTCTATACAAAAAGGGAAGGAACCGTCGAGACTGAAGCGGAACGCTGGAATGGACAGCCTCGACCACGATAGCAGGTACCCATGATCAAAGTACAGCTGCGAGCGTGTGAGCCTGTGAGACGGAACAGGGAACAAAATACACTCACGCAGAGCTGCGCGAGGCTGTCTACGGACGAGGCGTTACAGCTGCCTTCGTTGATCGATCGCGCTGCGCGACTTCATGGACATCTGACGTTATAGGGCTGTGGCAGTATTGACTGCGTTTGGCTTGACCTTATCGTGCCAGCGCCAAGATGCTGCGAACTGCTTATACCACGGCCCAACGCGCATCGCCTAGTCCCGTTCTTGTCAAGTTGCCACAGTCGATATCTCAGAGTTCGTACTATGCGGTCAGTGACATGAATTGTGCGCGTGATGGCTTGATTTTGGCGACAAGTCGGCATCACTAAATCTCGAAATGACTCCATCCTGAGGACTAGAAATCAGACACCGTGAAGACAGAGTTGGTCCGGTCACGAGGGAGCCTTGGCATGCCTCGGCGAGACACTGAAGTTGCCGCAATGGAAGGTCACGAACGTGATGCGCTGACTCATGATGCATTCAAGGTGCATGATGGCAAGGCGAACTTGTTGCTACATGTTGCTGGATGTTCCCAACCAGTTTCCCGAAGACACGAATTGACCAAATGATACTATAAATATAAGTAACCGGCATCATGAAAGAGGGGCGCAAGAAGTTGCTCAGTAGAAACGGAGTTCTAAAGACGTAAGTAGGATATTTTCCAAAGATGGGAGGACGGTTAGAAAGTGCCAAAACTGTACATGATTCTCAGTATCATCATACCAGATACAGCGTACATGGAACAACAACAGTGAGGTAGATCATCAAAAAATCATCAGGCGGAAGTGAAGGGGCGGCGCTTCGACCAGACATATATCACATCACTTGGTATGAGGGGTATACTCCGCCACCTCAGTGTCGACCGTGATCTTGACACCGAGACCGGGTGTCTGCATATCAGCGCGCGCGTCCAAAGGCGCGACGACCTCCTTGGTATCACCCTCGTGCACGCTGCTCTTGTTGTCGCCGGCGTCGATCCAGTGCTCGGCCTTTTGTGCGATGCCGTCGAGCGTGTAGGTCGGCGCGACGCTCTGGGAATTGATTTGGAGAACGTTGGGGCCATATGCGCTCGGGTGCGTGCGCGAGACGTTGCCGCGGGAGGCCGAGTTGGAGTTGGAGCTAGCAGTGACCGAGGCACCCGCGAAAGAGCCGCCCGAGTGGAGCGAGCCACGAACGGAGAGAATGATGCGAAGGGTCATGGTTGTCGTGATGACAGCGGTCATGCTGGGTACGAATACATTTGTAAACGCCAATAGAAGCTTGCGTGACTGGACTTACCTAGTGACTATGGTCTTGACGCTGTCATCAATACCAGTGGGAGTGATGATGAACCAAAATAGCATGTTGACCATGTTCACGATCCAAATTGCCTAGGCCGAAGGCGTCAGGATCGCGCACCTTCTACGGAACTTTCGCACTTACGGCATACAGATTGAGACCGTCACGTAGCATCAACTTCCACGGACTGAGCGGTTTGACTTGGAGAGACTGCATCGAACGTGAAATTGCCAAGGCAAACTGATATGGCATCATCAGCCAAAATCGTTAATCATGACGCGTGTGAAACACATACCGACGTGGTATACAAGAGAGTGGCGGAGACCCAGTAGATACCGACCCAGTTGTGTTTGGGTCCGGCGATGCAGCCCTGGCCATCCTCCAAGGGAACAGCTAATGGAGTTCATGAGTGTGATGTGCTGCGGGCAGGAAAGCAAGACGTACAACGGAAGAAACCACAAGAAATGGCGGTTATGACAATTTGAACGCCGAGGAGCGCGCCCATGACTCCCAAGACTGAACGGCTCTTGTCATGGATAGCATGCACCCGAATGACATGGACAGCTGGACGAGAAACGAAAGTGAGAAACTGGAGCGCGATGCCTGACTGACGGGAATACCACGCACTCGAACAAGCGGCAAGAAGGAAGGCGGTACAGATAGGCTCGAAAAGGAAGAACTTTTGGCACATCTGGACGCATGGTCAAGCGTGTGAGACTCGGTGAGAGTACCGAAAACATGATATCAGAGACTTACCGATCGCGACCAGCTCGAATCGAAGAATGCGACACCTGATGGTCACTATACGCGTCAGACAATACGGTCGTTGAAGCTTTTGCGGACCGGATGCAACGCACCAACGATGATGAACTCAACGGGCATGAAGAACCGCAGGAAGTAGTAGATGATCTTGAGGACAGGCCATCCCTCCACCCTGAGAAGCTTCCAGCTCCTAGGACTGAGAACAAGGGTGTCCCATGCCGCGACGGTCAGAGTGCACACGAAGAAATACTTGTGTGCAGAGAGATGAGGGGAGAGGTTGAGGTAGGGAGGGAGGTCGCTGGGGGAGATAGACATGGGGGAGGTCGTGGGGAGGCAGACAACGATGGGCGTCTTGAGGGGGTCAATAAGAGGGTCGCCTGAGCGGGCACTTACCGGTATCTGTCACCGTGGAACAAGATCAAAAAGATCGCGCTCGGAGTAGGCAGAACAAGCACGCGGTCCAGCGGGGTCCCCCCTTTACATTCTCCCACCCATACCATCCCGTCTCCACTCCGAGCCTCTACCCTTTCCCTCCCTCCCACTCACCCCATCTCCATCTCAATGGTCTCCAGTCTCTTTTCTCGTCCTGTGGCCTGCCGCCACCCTTCAAGTTTACCAGACATTCGTGCCCCGAAATAGCCTCAAGCATCAGCGCCTGGATTGCGGCTGCACCGCTATATATCACTTCATCATGTATCGTTCCATGATGATCTTCTCAACAAGTGATTCAGAGAAAATGTAGACGCAATTGCTTCCCGCACGCATCGCCTGCACAGGTTTCAGAACCCTTCCGTGTGGGCCAGCTCGGAACTGTCGGTAGTCGTCTCTGCCCCTCCCTCACGAGCAAACGCCGGATGCAGCGCTCAGATCTAGCTCGACCACGCCTTTCAGCCGCTCTACAACCGGCTATTCTCAAGTCCGTGAAAGCCAGTTTCCCAAAGCTCTTATGGACTCTCCCCAAGGTAAACGTAGGGTAGATCTAAGACGGAAGTCAAGTTTCGAAGGCAAATCAGTCGCCTGATATAAGTATCGTCGTGAAATTGCCCATCAACGATCCATATATACATACGTGCATCGATGTAACGAGGGCGCAGATACGGCGCTTACAGCGGCGGTCAGCTATTGGCCGAACAACTTTGATAGGAACAAGGACGTCAATTCAGCGGCGCGCGTTCCAAAGACGGAGAGGACTTGACAACTTCGATGGACGTCAAGTTGGGGATTCCCTCGTTTGTTCACCCTGTATTGTTATTACTCTGATCTGACACAGACGGCAGTCGTTCTGTGTACACAATCGTGCAAGCTATATGTGGGTAGCATCGTTTCCGCCCAGTGGTAAAAACATCTGTTGGCGAAGTGAGAATAGGACAGATTTCGCCAGCGATGTCATTGATTGTAGCTAACTGGAGTGTGGAACACCACCCATGGCCTCACAGCAGCAGGTCTCTTAGAGATAAGTATTCTTGGTCTAATATCAGACAAAACGAAACGTCGACGGGTCGTTCAAAAAAAGTAGGAATTGTGCTAACCTCGCACGACTCTGGTCGCGGGCTGTACAGAATAAGTATGACAATTATTGCGATAAACAACAAGGTGAGGACTAGATGGGGGAGTTCAGTAGAGATACGATACAGCCAAAACTTTCTGTAGCGAGGTATGCAAAGCGATGGACATCCAGCAGCGTGAGAGCAACAGAAGGAGGAGAAATAGCGACGATGGCGCGCAACATAAGAGGAGAGAAGAGAAGATCGAGCGTATGAAACACATTTGAGAGAGGCATGTGAAAGACGGTAAGGAGCGTGGACATGGGGGAGGTAGTGTTGACAAAATGGAGTGCATGAATCTGGATACGCCCGACGCCCACAGTCCGCATAAGTTCCTATCTTAGCAGCGATACATATATCTGACGGACGAGCCAGGACAGTGATCCTAAAGCCAGGTCTCTTCCGGCTCGTCATCAGGTCTCTTCGGCGTCAAGGACGCATGCTGGACCGATTGCAGCTCGCGCACCAAACGCTATGGGGCGGCGATATCAACGGTTCATTTTCACCAAGCAAACAGTCGCAGAGACGCACCGCGGCCTCGCCTAGCATATCATTCATGTCGATCGGGTTGTTATTCGAGCGCCCGAGCTCGATCCCATACTTCAGCAGTTGCCGCATGAAGAACGGGTTGATGACGACTTCGTCCCCTGATGACGGATCACCGGTTCAACGTCTCTGCACGGGGCAAAGAAAGGCGCGACTACGTACTGTCTTGTATGTTGATCCAGTCTTGCTTCAACAGGACCTCGATGGGCGTCCGTTTCTTCGGATTCCGGCACAAGCACGCCTTCATGCACGCAATGGCGTCCGATTTGACCTTTCGCTTCAAATGCTCGATTCGCTTGGGAGGCGTTCCTTGCCCAGTTGGCTGGGATCGCGACGGCGGCGCGATGGGCGCCGAATACGCAGGAAAGTCAATTTCATACGACATGTCGGGGATGGCCTTCATCTTCTGATAGACAGATAGGTGTTGAAAGGGTGTCTGGAAGTAGATCATCTGGTAGAGGATGCAGCCTAACGACCAGACGTCGCTCGAACGCCCCACTTTCAGGCGACGCTGGCCATCAGGAAGCTCGATCGCTTCCGGGCTCATGTAGTTGACGGTGCCGATCTGGATGACGGAAGCTCAGTCGGCGCCGCATCTATAGCCCAGAATACTTACTTGATGGTCCCGCTGGATGTTGGTCGTGTCGTTGGCGATGGCGTTGGCAATCCCAAAGTCGATCAACTTGAGCTGTCCGCGGACTAACACAAAGTTGGCCGGCTTAAGGTCCGAATGCACGATTTTCTCATGGTGAATGACTAGGACAGCTTCCAGCATCTAGGAATGAATGGAAAAATGTTGATCAGGCGACGGTTGTCGAGGCGTTGGCATGAAGTGCATGCCTGCTGCCAATAATATGCCACCCAGACTAGATTTAATGGTTCCTTTTGTCGCTCCTGAAGCAGTCGAGCCAAGTCTGAGGGAAAATATAAGACAGCCTGCTGACTCCAAACATATGAAGCACTCACCAATTTCTCCACACTCCATGACCAACATCAGATAGCCTCTCGACCCACCGGGACCACGTCGAACCTCACTGTCAATTAACCTGATGATCCTCGAATTCCCTTCCAGCCGCTTGAGGAGAGCAATTTCGTTCATATACCCACTCATAGTTTCCGGATCGGTCTTGTCGAGAGAAACGCGTTTGATGGCATAGATCTCATTCGCGTTGTTCATGACTCGATAGACTCGAGATGAGCCGCCCTTGCCGATCATGTCCAATCGAGCATACGCTTTCTTGTTGACCTATCGTCGGAACAGCGTCGCGTTAGCGTAAGCAGACAACGCCACTACAAAAAAAAGACGTACGACAAGGTTGCGCGTTTTGACCTCACCCACCTGGTTTGAAGGATGTATAGGAGGAAGTGCCGGAGCAAGAGATCTCTGCGAGGCTGGCGGCTGTTGTTGCCCATGCGAGTTTTTGACCTTGGGTTTGACCTCTTCCTCGTCTCTCACATCCCCTGCAGCCCAGGTTTTTCCCACACCATTCCCATTCGCTAGTCCGGGCGGAGCCAGCAGCCCACTGGTCGTCGGAGGTTCCGGTGCTGTTGGACTTCGCTTGTGCCGCGCGGTCGGCGACACCCCATTGGACGACGATGATGGAAGGTCGCGTGTGGAGGGGGACATACGGGAAGGCATCCCATCGACGATTGTCGGTGAAGAGGAGGTCCTGGCTAACTGGGTGGCAGGCGTTTGCGCTTGTAGATGAGGAATCGAGCGCAAGGTGTCAGAGTCTCTGCGTTGATGTCCAAGCTGCGCCCGCAGATGAGAGTGAGATGGATTGGTTGGCGACGGCGTTTGTCGCCGCTGCTGATGTGTCGCTTTAGCCTGTGCTTCCGCAAGTTCAACTACTCTCCCTATTTGGAAGGAGACTGTCAGTCGTTCCACGAGGAAGAAGCATTGAAGCTGCACTGACGTTCCATCTCGACATGGGCCACGTTGTCTAGAGATACCCATGCGATGTTGAGCAAACACGCCAAATACGTGAATGTGAAGATTTCTGACCGTTATCTACAACTCGATCTGGTCTCGCATTGTCTTCAAGAGTACCTCTCCTTACACGGCTCGACGCCAAACCAAGGCTGGAACCCGGTCTTGTCTGTTGAGCTCCGTAGTTACGCGGCGGTACATACGCATGGTTCGAAGAAAAATTATCTTCAGGTGCTGTCAGGGCAACTTGTAAGCTTCATGAGCAGTATATCATTATCGAACGCCGCCGCTGTCAAGCAATGGTGAAGAAAGTAGACAGGCAAGAGAAACATACTAGCAGCTTCACTTAAACTAGCCGATCGCCGTGGACGGCTCGAAGAAGTAATTTGTGATGAAGCGAGAGCACTTGGTTGGCGTACAAAACCATCGATGTGGCGCCCAGCGTCTGACCAGGCTTGATCCTCCGCTCCTGTATCCGTCTCCGACCCGTTGTCCAAATGGTCGGACTCTCCTGCTTCCACCTCTGCTATCTTGTTTATCCCGAAACTACTCTGAAATTTTCGCAGCACGCGCCCAGGGCGGCTTGGTCCGGGCATGATGGATCGGCCAACAGAGGGCCCTGTAGGGAAGGCCAGCGGGGCTCGTTGTGGCACCGGAACGACATCTACTAGAGCGCGGGAGTTGGATGAGGTGGATGGAGGCTGATGTCCAGCACTGAATGAACGCGTGGGAAAGGAGGGAGCCTGAGCGGTAAAATGTGGAGGGTCACCTATGGGGGAAGGTCGAGGGGGCGATTGTCTCCCTGATGGTCCGCCCACACCGACACCATTGGTAGGACTCTCGTGCGACTGCTGCTCGCCCTCAAAATTCTCCTTCTCCTCCTGTAATTCGCGTTCCATTGCGCGGAGTTTTGCGCGGTTCTGTTGAGCCTGTTCTCTGTATTCTTCCATTGTCACGCGACGAGGGCCTCCTGGTTTTGAGAGCGAGGCGCGAGCGCCATCGGGAAGACTTGGACGAACGGAAGACGAGGAGGAGGAGATGGCGGCCGAAGGGGTATGGTTCGGGAGAAGCACGGAGGGGCCGGATGTGACGCGCTGGAATGGGCGAAGGGTAGACACGGACGACATGGTGGCAGGAGAACGACGTTCGGGAGGTTCAGAGCGGTCAGCTCCTGACGGAGAGGCTCCCGGCAAGCTCTCTGAGCGTGATAGAGACACGCGTCGATGGGGATAACTTGATGACACGGGCGGCGACGAAGACATGCGATCATCAGTTATTGATAGCGTCGGCATTTTGGGCAGTTCGGGGGAGTCCACCGGAGTCGGAGGGGACGACACCTGCGAGTTCGTGGACCCGCGGGAGATGCGGACGTACTCGCCGTTTGTCCACTCATAGTCGAAAGAGAGCTCTGGCGGCTCGTCTGATGTAGTGAGGACGGATATCATGGAGGCGGAGAGGGCGGGATCAGCATTGATGTTCGGGGGAGTGGAGAGGGGGGATATGTGTGGGGAGGCGGAGAAGGGCGAGGAGGGGCGGGGGGACGCGGCGGGCATGGTGTGTCTGGTCTACGCGGAGAAAGGGTCAGTTCCCTGCAACGTCCTGTCGAACACGAGGCTGCCACACAGCCCTCGTGACCGCGTTCCCTCCTTTCTCGGCCCACCTTCCCACGCCCTCACGCGTCGCACCCCCGCCCGGCGCGTGTTTCCCTGCCACACCCACCCACTGCCCCATGGCAAAACGACGCGCCGCAGTCGACAGCGACGACGAAGAGCCCCAGGAGGAGGGCCTGGCCGCGCAGAAACGTGCACGCTTCGACCACCACCCCCCCGAAATCGTCGCGTACCAGCCCGAGCCCGAGGCAGGGCCCACCAGACCGACGCGGTCGGCGCGCAGGCGCAAGAACAACCACGACGATGGAGACGATGTGGAGCAAGACGACGAGGACGAGGACGAGCCCCTTGACATGATTCGAGATCAGAACGCCGCAGAAGACTCGGCAGAGCAAGCACGGTTCGAAGAGGAAAATGAAGAACGCATTCGCGAGTCCATCAGGGCAAGGAGTAAACTTGAAGGTGTACGTTTACGAGACATCTCTTACAGCCCCTCCCATTACTCACATAGAGCTTCCTAGGGCATCGCAAAGTTTGGCATTATTGAGGGCGTGGAGATGCACCAGTTCATGTGTCACAAGTATCTCACTTTCAAGTTCGGCCCACAAATCAATTTCATTATAGGTTCGTCTTCTCCTCCCGTCTCAGTCTCGCCGCATTGTCAACTCACCACAATCAGGTCATAACGGAAGTAAGTCGGACAAGCTGTCTTTGTAATCGCTCCGATAGCACACCAAGCCCTGTCTCTCTTGGCTACGCTGCATATTGACTCGATTTCAGGTGGTAAGAGTGCGGTCCTCTCAGCCATCACCGTTGCCTTAGGTGGTAAGGCAACCGCCACTGGTCGTGGAAATGGCCTCAAATCCTTCATTCGCGAAGGCCAAAAGTATGTGGCTCTCGACTCCGCGTTGAATACTACATGGCCATGGGCTTACCTTTGTCCCCAGCGTTTCTGAAGTGACTATCCAACTGAAGAATACTGGCGAAGAAGCCTATCGGCACGATGAATACGGTGACAGCATCGTCGTCACTCGCCACTTTACGAAGGAAGGTTCCTCTTCGTATAAGATCAAGAGCAAAGACGGAAGAGTTGTATCGACCAAGCGTGAAGAGCTATCCGCGATCTGTGATCATATGAATATTCAAGTCGACAACCCCATGAACGTCCTGACTCAAGGTATGTCTTGAATGTCTTTTTGTGTCGTGATTTACCCAAACAGGGCGGGAGATTCCGCAAGGCAATTCTTGAGTGCCTCTCACCCGACTGATAAGTATCGGGTATGCGATATGCGCTTATCTCGTGTTTCGTGGCTCATTTCATTTTCCTTAGTTCTTCCTTCGTGGAACACAGCTGAGCCAGTTGAGCGAGGAGTATGAGACGTGCATGGAGAATGTGTCACAAATGTCGAAGGTCCTGTTGCGCAAGAAGGAGGCTCTGCCAGATCTGGAACAGCAATTCAAGGAGGCGTCGGCACGGTTCCAGGAGGCATCAAAAGCCAGACAGCAGAAATACCTTGCGGATGAGCTCAAGAGAGAGCTCGCGTGGGCCCACGTCGCCGTGAAGGCCGAGGTATGTACATCGCGTTTACGGTGCATTCACGGCTGCTGATATGTTGATCATCTATCGTCCAGGAATTGCAAGGGAAGATGGAGGAGCATGCTAAGCTGGCGCGTCGATTGCCAAAGATTCAAGACAGTCTGAAGAAAGCCGAGGTTTGAGTTTTGTTTCCTATTTGGAAGTGAGGAGTACTGATGCAGGTCGCTTTTCAGGAGGAGTTGGAGGCTGCAACCGAAGAAGTTAAGAAATACGAAGAAGAGCATCGGTCTCTGGGGAATATCGACCATCTGCATCAAAGGAAACGCGAGCTTGATGAAAAACTCCGCGCCAACAAGAATAAACTCCTGGATATCAAGGTGTGCCATCATCCTTTCCTCAGATGAACCGCCTGACGAGCCTCGGATCCCGTGAATCCCAGAATGATCAACAGGAGATTGGGCGTAACTTGGCAGCTTCTCGACGGATGATTGCCAACCTGGAGACACAGATTGAGGAGCAGACACAGAAGAGCGCCGCGCACACGCAATCGAAACAAGACGAACTCAACCAGAAGCTGGCGAACGCTCAACAGGATGTCCATGCTGCCCAAGCCCGCCTCAAGGACATCGAGCAACAGCATCGCGAACGGCAAGAAGAGTCCGACTCGTTGAAGCCTCACGCCGATCAAGTGAATCGGGAGCTCCAAGAAATCCGGACGCGGCTCGACGGGTACAAGGAGCAGGTCGCCAGGTGTCGAGAGCAGCAGAACAATCAACTCGCGCCTTTTGGAAACAGGATGAAGGAGGTCTTGGAACAGATCAATCGGCTGAACTGGCATGGTCAGAGGCCGGTGGGTCCGCTAGGCGTGTATGTGAAGGTCAAAGACCCCCAGAAATGGGCAGGTCTTTTGAGTAACGTGCTTGGTGGCTATATGTCCGCGTTTGCGGTGACAGACGCACGAGATCTGGCGCAGATGAGAAAGCTGCTCAAGGACAGCCGAAAGTAGGCGCTTTGTGTGATGATCATTTCGAGCACTGTGCTGATCATGTTTGTGGCTCAGCCCTCATTCGCAAGTGTTCGTCGGCGAAGTCGATCTCTTCGACTACAGTCGTGGCGAGCCTGCACCTCAATACTTGACTGTTTTGAGGGCAACTGAAGTACGTCAGACTCGTCCACATCGCGCCATTTTGATCGCTGACGGGCCACAGTGCTCCAACGAGTATGTCCTCCGTGTGCTCATCAATCAAGCAAGGATCGAACGGACGCTCCTCGGGGAGACCCGTGCGCATGTTGATGACTTGCTGAAAGGGATGCCAGGAGGCGGTACCGGTTTGAGTACTGATCTTTATAGGGTCATCAGATACCCGTGCGTGTTTCGTCTCATTGGCGCCTTAGTTTGCCTTCTGCAGGATATTGAGGTGCCAATTACGAACTCAGTGAGGGTGGTGGATCTTCGCAGCCATTGCCAAAGTTGCGACCCAACGACCCACGCAACCTCCTCTTCACTGGCAAAGACCCTGCCGAACAATTGAGGTACGTAGATAGCCTTTCTCTTCTGGATGAGCCCGATAACAATCCATTCACAGACACTGGCAAGAGCAAGGGAGTGCCGCTGAAGCTCGTTTCAACGAATTGACTCAACAGGTCAATGAAAGCCGTCAAAGATTCGGCGAGCTGCAACGCGCCATTGAGGATCTGAAGGTATGGCTTTCTCAGATTCAAAGTCTGGCAGAATAGGCATTGATTTACCTGTTGATCTTTAGAGACAAGAGCGGGCTGCTGCGCGCGCTGTAGCAGATGCGAAGAGCTTGCGAGATGACCTGCAGAACGAAGCTAACGAGAGTGTACCTCTGGAGACCGCCGGATTAGAGCATGCAAAGCAGGTCAGCCTCACCTCACAACAAGGGGGTCTCAATGAGCTAACGCATGTATGAATGACAGGAACAAGAGCGAGAGCGAGACTCCTTGCTTGCACAGTTCGAGTCTTCGGCCGCGAGCAAAGTCAAGATCGACGAAGCACAGGTTCCTCTACTTGAAGAGTTGAAGGGCGTCAAGACTGAGATTGAAAATTTCGACGCGATGCAACGACAGTTTGTTGTAAGCCCCCGAACGATCACGCTGTATATCGCATCGAGCTCACGCGATCACTCCTTACAGGAAAAAACAGAGGCAGCTGCTGAGCGACACATGGCTACTCAGTCCGCCACTCAGCACTGGGCGAAAAAACTCAAGGAAGAGCTGACGAAAGTCAATGAAGCAGACGAGCGAGCTCAGTTGGTCCAGAAGGAGTTCGAGGTAGTCACTCATGTTAACTTACTCGTCATTTCTCGCTGATCAGCAGCCCAGAACTGGACGGAGAAAGCCGAGGAGTATTGCGCGAGGGTGGAGAATCCGCGCAAACCTGATGAAGTCCAACGTCAGCTGGAGAGTGTGCAGAGGGCGCTGAAGGAGCGAGAGAAGAGGTAAGCGTCTCTCGAGACTTGATCCAAGCGTGAGCTCACCGTGCCTTATTAGACACGGCGCGACGGTTGAAGAGATGACTATTGAGGTCAACAGAACCCAGGCGGCCTATGAGACGGCCAAGAAAGACTTGAAGAGTATGTACACCTTGAATAAAGTAAGCAATTGTCGAGCCGCTCCACGTCATCCTGCTCACCGTTTTATTAGGCTCTAAAGAAAGCCCTTCGCCTTCGCTTCAACAAATGGTACGACTTCCGCCGTCACATCGCATTCCGATGCAAGGTTGTATTCCAGTACCATCTTTCCAACCGTGGGTACTTCGGAAAGGTGCTCTTTAACCATCAGGACGGGACGTTGCAACTCAAGGTATCGTCGACTCGTATTGATAGGGCTTCGGCTTTGCTGACAGAAATTGCAGGTCCAAACGGATGAACAGCATGGCACGCAGCAGGGCAGCAGGGACAAGGATCCGCGCTCCTTGAGCGGAGGAGAGAAGTCTTTCGCCACCATTTGCCTACTACTCGCCATGTGGGAGTCCATCGGCAGTCCTATTCGATGCCTCGGTGAGCCGCTAGCCATCTCTGTTGCACCATTGTGCTCACATCTTCCTTAGACGAATTCGATGTTTTCATGGACGCTGTCAATCGCCGTATCAGCATGAAAATGATGGTGAGCATAGCGTCTTTATCCTACTGGAATGCTTATCAACCTATCTGCTGCAGATCGACACCGCCAATTCTTCCGACGGCAAGCAGTACGTTCTCATTACCCCGCAGAACATGCAGAGCATACATCTCGGCAACACTGTACGTGTGCATCGCATGTCTGATCCGGAGCGCGGTCAAGGTGTTTTGGCGTATGGCCAAACAGTCGCTTGATCAGTTGCCTGTGTCGTGATTCTCTTGTCTTGGTTTGTATGTTATTTTTTGTTATATGCGTATGTATGCTACAGGTTGAGTCTAATGCACTTGCATGCTTCCTATGATACACATCGCATTTATCTTATCATTGCTCTGTCTGGTGACTAGTCCTGAGACCTTCTACCGACGATGTAGCAAGGCAGAACAGCGTACGCCTTCTTTGGGTGCCCATCTCTCCGAAGAGCCGTTACGTTGAAGCATTCCATCTATATTATCTGTCTTGATATCCTTCAGGAGGAGGGAGAAGGTTGACTATGGAAAGGCGCTTTATCCGATCGTGAAGTGGACGTCTGCATTGAATCCAAGAGAAATGATCTGATATCGTGGTTCTTCATTCTACCTACAGCCGTTCGAAGCCTTCACACGCGTGCAACGTCTTGCCGCGATCCGTAAATGACCTGCATGGCGGGCCGCCGATGTTCAGGCTGCTCCTTCACGTATACATTACTACGCTCTTGGGAGCAATGTCACAGCGCGTGTGTATATGTGAACAATGCATACTGAACTCAACTCAGTAGAGTTTAATGAGAGGATTCCATCAAGGAAGCATGATCACGCATCGCTCAGGATGATTGGATGATTGGAGAAGTGTGAAGATTCGTCTCGGTTTGTTTGCTCCTTTCATGTTCAACCCCTAAGACTTCTCTAGAACATCATTCGATCACTTGGAAGGTAAACAGAACGCTTACTGATGTAAGTCCGCTATGAATTTCGACGGAACCTGTCAACTTTGACGAGCGGGGACGAAATGAACTTGTTCCGTAGCGTCGTATCGTGTTTGACATATCCGGTATCTTGAAGATTGGCCAATCGGTGAGAAGGAGTCTTCCTTTGCATCCGATTTCTATCAATAAGAACCCGAATATTACCCTTCCAGGACCGCTGTACCCTGTAGTGGTACCTCATATGTATGTACATCTGCCCTGAGGTAATGTACTAATCAGCTCGAAATAATCGGATGATGTCAACAGGTCCCCCCTCAGACGCCTGAAAAAACGATCACAGGATAGACAGAGAGTTCATTCGATCTTTCCATGGTCTCGTGTGAGTTCTTCGCCATTGCCCTTGAACTTTCTTAATTCCGACCGCCACGGCTCCCACGTCTGCCCATACTTCTTGAGCAACCCTGCAAGTTCCTGTCTTTGTTCCTTCTGCAAGGAGAAAGCGGTCAATACTTACGCGAGGCACAAATGTATAAGATCTTACAATATTCCAAGGTTCCTCACCGCCATACACATCAGTGAACATCTCCTTGAGTTCATGTCGCTTTAGCCCTTCAGCACGTTTGAAAGCCTGCATTATGTCTTTCTTCAACCTCGCTTTGAGTTCTTCTTCGTCGTCGCCGGACCACCAGCCGCGAGTCTGCAAAAACAGGCGGAAGCGCGATATGGGATTATCTATCCGCTTTCGGTCCTCGACTTCCTGCCTTGCCCGATACGCAAAAGAATCGTCGGAAGTGGAGTGGTGGCCGACACTGTGAGAATAAGTCAGGCTTCCATTTTCACTGCTGCGTTTCAATTATAAAGAAGCAGCGTTAGCCTAGGCCTGAACCTACCGATAGGTCATAGCTTCGATGAGAACACCTCGTCCGCTCTCAACGCAGCGTCGCCTCGCTTCTCTAGTAGCGCTCAATACAGCAAGAACGTCATTCCCATCAACCCGGATGGTGTCCATGCCGTACGCAGGTCCCCGTGCTGCAATACCGTCGCCATAGTACTGCTCTGTTGAGGGTGTAGAGATCGCAAAGCCGTTATTTCGCGCGATGAATAGCGTCGGAGATGGCAGGGTCGATGCGAATAACATTCCGGCGTGGAAATCGCCTTCAGAAGCCGCGCCCTCGCCGAAGTAGACGACGGCGCAATTCTTTCCCCGACGTCGGGGATCGCGGCGGAGGGCGTAGGCAACGCCAGCCGCTTGCGGTATCTGTGTAGCCAGAGGTGAAGATATGGTATGGAAGTGGTATTCGGGAGAGCCCCAATGCTGCGAAAGGCTACAGTTACCTACAAGGAGAAAGGAGATCACAGTTGTATGCACTCACTACTGGCATCTGTTTACCCTTGCTAGAGAAATCTTCCTCGTTGCCAAAACACTGAGACATGGCGGCGTCGATGCCCCAGCCACGCCAGAGAAGTACACCCATTTCACGATATTGACCTGACGAGTACTCATCTGCATTGTTGCTCTTACGCCAACGTCCACAAGATAAACCACGCACCCAGAACTCTGTCAAAGGACAATGTTCAGAATTATGAGCCCGAAGGTGGATTTAACACCTACTCGTCGTCTGGGGCTAGAGCAGCAGCAGAGCCGATGATCGTTGCCTCTTCTCCGTACTGGGCAAAATGAGCTTATGTATGAACGAATGTTCTATGAACCTACTAACAGCTGTCATCTGACCCAGGGTTAACGAAGAGGTCATCTCACTTGCACGCGACGAGAACATACATAGAAGGATATTTTCCCTTGACGTTGAACGTTATATAACAAGTTGTCCATGGTGGGTAGTAGCACCATATTCTCGTATCTGAGGATATCAGCTTCCAAGCCTCTGCATAGATGCGAGGGGTAACAAACATCTTCCGTGCATGGTCCCGGTCAATCTGTGGCGTATGGGTACTATGAGCCATTTGTGAAGCGTCATTTATGAGGGACGGTGTACCTCAGGAAGCTCAGCACCTTCTATCAGATGGCCAATGCCGTCCAAAACGCGATATGTTGGAATCTGCTTCCCTTCCTCAGTGATTGAATTGAAGAACCGCAACTTGGGAGTGATTGGGGATTGAGAGTTTGGAAGATGCGCAGGGCCTTCGGAAGAGAAATTTGCCGTGAGTTTGAGGAACGGCGTGCGTCTGAGATGCGTTCGAAGTGCGAGAGCGCTGGGAGAGAAGGTACGGATCATGGTCAATGTTGTGAGTGTGCAATGAGCGAATGCGGGGGTGGCTGAAGGACGCCAAAGTCCACACTGCACGTGATGGGACGCCGAAGATCAAAAATCAACCAACAGAGTTCTCGAGCTTGTTCGCATCCGGCTGCGTCAATCCAGAATCCCTCACTTGCGACGGGGTCTGTCGTGGCCATAGTCTTCGGATATCGGAATCTTCATGCTCGTAGACCGGCGTAGAGCGATAGTCATCACCTTACGGACTCGATCGCTAGATGTATGGGTGAGGCAGTTCCAGACGGTGCGTCGATGGACGAGGCAAAAGGGAGGGCCGATGAGCATGTGGCGGATTCCGACACGGTCGTTACTGTGACGACGGCATGGTAGATCTTTACACTGTTGGCGGGAGAAATCATTGGCTGCGGTTGGTGATAGCAACCGTGGAAAAGGAAGGGCAGATTGCCAGGGAGTCGGTCTGATCATATGCACGGCCTGAAGGCCTGACGGGGCGCAATTGCAAGTTGAGCAGAAGGCACAGTCTTCAGTCTCGCGGCGCGCGCGGCGAGGGGACATCGGCATACTTTTCTTTCTAATACCCCTTCCTTCTTCCTCTTCCGCCGGCGCTTTTTCTCTCTCGTCGCCTGCATGTCCACATCTCTCTGGCATTAGCAGCTCCGCATTGCCCCTTCGCGTGGTCATGTTCGTCGCCGCGTTCTTTCTAATCGCCTCTCTGGCTATAGGACCGCAGGCCGTCCTCGCAAAATTCAACTCCATCTTATTTTCTTCCATCCAGCAGTGCGGGCCCTTTAATGTTACCTTCAATGGAGGCTCTATGCCAGCAGCCCTCCCCCTCACGCTGACCGTCATTCCTTTCGATTCTGTTCCTATTTCTATTCCCATTCCACAGGCTTCATGGAATACTACCACTGGCTCTGGTGCTGTTATCACTTTTCTCCCGTTAGCCGCTGATTCGAGGTTTATCGCATTGCTGGAGGACGGGAACGGAACCGCAATGGGCGCCATTTCGGATGTGATCGGTGTTGACACCTCCGCTGACACTTCATGTCTTCCCTCCGCGACAGCTCAATCCGCGGCTCCCTTCATCCTGAAGGAAATCCCTTCGCAGTGCGAGTCTTTCAACGTCACATTCAACGCAACTCAGCACCGAGCGCCGACCATTCAAGCATTTGTCCCTCGCGGCCGACCTTTCACCGTCAAACAAGACCCGGGGGCAGACAGCACTGGGTCTGCTTCCTACCTCATGAACCTCACGCGGGGATTTCAAGTAGCTTTACTTTTCAATGACAACGGCACGCGCCAGACGTCAGATCTGTTGACTGTTGGTGGCGATTCGACCAGCAGTTCATCGTGTCTGCCCAAATTCAATGCTACTTCGGCGGCTCCTTCAAAACCCTCGGGCGGTTTGTCCAGGTATGTTCGTATACTTCTTTTTTATACGTTCCTTTCTCAATAAGAGGATTTCTCGATGGCAGTGGTGGAGCCGTCGCAATTGGCGTCGTTTCCGGGACCATTGTAGGCGCAATGCTTATTCTCCTTGCTCTATTCCTCTATCGGGAGCGCCGTAGGCACCTTGCGCGATTGGATGAGACTATGAGGAAGATGGACATGGAGTCTGCGACGAAGGATCCTAAGGCCTTCGACTCACCATCCATCTCTCCTACGAAATTTTCACAGGAGCAAGCAATCGGCCGGCAAAACATCCCTCGGTCCAACTATCTCTCGAAGCCGCCGGATCAGACCTATGGTACCTCTCCTGTAACCCCCGAATTCATCCAACGACGCCCACCTTCACCACAATTCCGCACAGTTGAACTTGGGGATGGTTTTGTGGAGGTCCTGCCTCCCGGGTATCCGCCCCGTCGCTCCGAAGACCGTATGACCCAGTCAGACGTGCGCTCAATATCCTCCCTTGACATCGAAGGAATCCTTGAGGCGGCGACAATCGGCACCATGCCCAGAAACCCAACAACGCGTGACGACGCAAGCTCGATTCGCAGTTCAGGCCGTCGATCCACACGTCCCTCTGTCAACCAACTTCGCCTCATGGACAGTTCAGGGATTCTCAGGACGAAACGTAGCCAGGAAAATCTAGACGTCCCGATGTCCGCCACGCCGTACGGTCGATTTTCCGGACTATCTACTCTGGAGGTCCAGCGACGAGATCCTACACTGGGCCCAGACTCAGCCATTTCGCTCGGTACCATTTCGCCCATGAGGGGTAATCTCGTGAAGAAGAGCACGACGGACTATATGAGCGAGGTGGGAAGCATACGGTCGGGCCGAGTATCGGACAGATATACGCAGCGTTTCCAGGGTCGGACTAGTGGGGATTGGCATGTAGGAGGGCCGGTTGGTATAGGACGAGGATCAGATCCGTCAAGGATATAGTGTTCGATTTGTTTCTCTTTGCTTGGGTTCGTATAACTGAACATGCACGGCCCTTGAGCAGCTTGTGGTCTCCGCTGTATCATAGTCACGCGTTGCTTTTTCCTTTTCCTTTTGTCAAGCAGGTCTTACCATACGTCGAAAAGCTTCGCGCCCATCACTGCCCCCTGTGTTTTACCTGGTTTTGTGCTTCCGCTCTGTGTATCAGTACGTGCTGCATATCTAGACGTTGATCCAGTCCGCTCACTATCGTGTATGCACGGGTCGTATATGTTCATTCATGATCATAGGCAAATACTGCACGATAGATTAGAACCGCGAGATTGCTCCGTGTACTATACTTTTCGATCAGACTTCGAATGTCTGAGGACAGAAATGGCGTTTCAAAGCCTGCAAACCAAGACAATGTCCTGGTGCTGTCCGGGGTGCCATGTGTCTTGTTGTGGAATTTAATTGTAATACTTGAGACTCATCACCGACGGAACCTAGCCGACGGAATCGTAAAAAGCAAACAGCCTCACGCGGGGCTATCACTCACCAGAGAGTCCTATTCTAGCACCCAGAGACCTGATGATGATTCACGCACTGCTTGTCAGGAAGTGGTTTTTGGTAAAAGGTACGAAGGAAGGGGCAGGGCGCACGGATTCGCTCAGAAACATCTCAACCTGAAACAACAGCGGCACAGAAGTTGGCAACTCACCTGCTGAATATTCCTGCCTTCCACGCGGCATGACTGAGGAATGTTTGAGCTCTCAGTCATCTTGAGGCAGCTTCGTCGCCGCCTGCCGCGCCCTGCGCCTGCCGCCCATCATGATATCCACATAATCCGCGCCTCCTAGGACATGGCCTTCCGATTCAGGCTTGCGATTACCCGTCTTGCCCTTGAGCGCAGCCTTTTTCTTAGCGGTCATGATAGTGGCGGATTGCTCGGAATGCGCGTTCCCACCGGTCTTGGTTACTAGGCTCGTGGTTGTCTTTTTCTGCTCGCGTAGCGATCGAAAGGTAGAGAGAAGCCCCAGTTTGAGTTTGCGATGATGTTCCTAGCGGATCAGGGGAGGAACAGGGGACATACCGTGCGCTTGTGGAGTTTGGCGCTTTTGCCCATGTTCAATGCAGCGTGTGCAGAGGAAACACGACTGCCTTCTGCGTGAGACCGCGATATCGTTGTCTGAATGGGGTACAGGGTCTTCCGCCCAGAAGGGTCGAACACGACTAAGTATATCTTAGTATACTACGGTCCTACCGGGCATCCCCACCTGATGCCTTGATCCGAAAACTGGCTGTGGGCGACTAGCAAGACTCTGAAGAATTTCTGCATCGAATCAACAACGGTGCCCATACGAGGTTAGTCTGAAGTCAATCACGACAATTGAACATTTCTTATTTCTTACATATGGGCTGGAAAAGGTTGAAAGCCTGCTGGTCATAGAGCGAACATATATTTCATATCCTTGTGCATGAAGATAGTACGAGACATCTAGTGTGATAAACGCACAAGCATATGGAGTACCGTGCCAATCCAAAGCAATGGACGATATGGGCGTCTAAAAGTACGACCTAAGTAGCATTTACATGCATGTCTATTGGACAGAAATAGTCGCAAGCAAGTCCAACCGACAATAATACATTAAAGTACAAGGCATACGCGAATCTATCGCAGACCTTATGATGAACGTGCACAAGAAGATCTAGTTCTCCTTGATCTCACTCCCGGCATTGATGCCTCGCGCTGCTTTCCAGACTGCGTTACGGCGGCCCCGGACACCCTCCCGCAATCTGTCCAGGACAGGGACAGTGGCCTCCCAAGAGATGCATGCATCAGTAACCGATTGGCCGTATTTGAGCCCGACAGGACCGGCAGCAGGGATATCTTGGCGACCTTCGACAATATTTGATTCGAGCATCACACCCATGATGAATGATCCAGTATCTCCGGATTCGAGTTGTTGGGCCTAAAGAAGACCTGTCAATAGGATATCACCAAGGGGGTGGAATGCCCTTACGATGTCCTCTGCAACATCAATTTGACGGCGATGTTGTTTGGAGCTATTTCCGTGGCTGCAGTCAATCTACGGGGAGCGGCAATAAGCACCCAAAAGCTGGAGAAGGAAGGAGAGAAAACCTACCATAATCTTTTGAGGAAGACCAGCCTTTGCGAGTTTCTCGCCGCAATCTCGAACATACTCTGCAGCATAGTTCGGTCCCTTCGCACCGCCACGAAGAATTACGTGCACATCCGGATTACCCTAATATGATGTCGGCTTTACAATCTTGATGGGGATATCAATGGCTGCCGAAGACTTACCTCAGTTTCGACAATACTGCTCAAACCCTCCTTTCCAACAGAAAGGAAGACATGTCCCGAGCGCGCAGCTCGGCAAGCATCAATGGCAACACCAACAGCGCCATCAGTTGAATTTTTGAAGCCCGTGGGCATCGACAGTGCTGAAGTAAGTTCCCGGTGTACCTGCGACTCCGTGGTGCGCGCGCCAATCGCGCCCCACGATACCAAATCTGCGGTATATTGCGGGCTAATTGTGTCGAGGAATTCACAGCCTGCAGGCAGGCCCAATTTCGCGACATCAAGAAGAAGCGTGCGGGCCATCCGGAGGCCTCTGTTAATTTGGAAGCTACCGTTCATGTCGGGGTCATTGATGAGGCCTTTCCAACCGACAGTTGTTCGGGGCTTTTCGAAGTAGACGCGCATAATGATGTGAAGATCTTCTTTCGCCTCGTCTGCGTAGGCGCGCAGTTTGTGCGCGTAATCAAGGGCGGCATCGATATTGTGAACCGAGCACGGACTAAAGCGGAGGATGAGAATAATATCTGATAGACAGTCGTAATGACATACCCCACGACTACAATAAGACGGTCATCAGTGCCGCGCAGGATGGCCTCTGTCGCCTTACGGCCTTCAAGAACCGTCTGGGCCGCAGAAAGTGTTCTGTTGACGCGTTAAATCAATCGGCGGCGGCACGGTGAAAGATGCATACAGTGGGAGATCCTCTTGCAGGATCTGAGGGGGGATGAGGGGCCGCGTCGATTTGACGCGACGGTTCTCGAGACGCAAAAGAGCCTCCTTGAAAGGAATAGCCATGTTAAGATCGATGGTAGGGATAGTAGTAGTAGACACTGAGTGGTCGAGAAAAGATGTCAGTGAAACTAGCGTCGCGGATGAGAGGAGTGGGGTGAGTTGGGGTGGGTGAGGGAAAGTGAAGGCCAGTTGATCGAGCGAGGGGGTTTATATATCGCGGGACTTACTTGTAGTTTTGTCAAAGGCCCACTGCTTACGGTCAAAAATTTGCAGTCAGAGAAGGGGATGGCAGTCATATCCAGCGAGGCCCCCGAGCACCTCTCACACTGTCGATCCTTTCCAAATTGATCTTGATATTTCCGGTGATGTCGCAGCTATGCCATTCCCTAATCAGTAGACGCCTGTAGACGCTGCCAGCTACCAGCGGAGGCTTAGGAAACTTGACAATTTCATGTATGTTGTACATACGGTGCGGAGGACCTCCGATGCGGTCGCTAGACAACTTCCCTGCTAGCGCCTGCCTCGGCTTTGCGATGTCTTGCACTCGTGGCCATTATCGCTTCGATGGCCCTCGAGCAGCATTTGTGAGTTGATGGTGCTCGTGTAATAATCACAATAGTAAGGGTCTCCGAGGTCTTCCGCACGTGTATCTTCACGTTCGAATTCCTGCGAAGAACTGGCAGCTCGCGCATCAGTGACGGGTTTGCTTTCGACCCTTATTTTCCAACATGGACTTCTCACAATTCAATGCGGCGGAGCAGGCACACATGAGCAAAGTCATCGAGAAGAAGCAGGTATGTGGATTGAGTGGCTGTCTGTCAGTTCTTATGGCTTGGCTGATTGCCACCTCTGCCGGCGACAGATGCAAGACTTTATGCGAATGTATTCAAGTCTTGTGGAGAGGTGTTTCAATTCCTGTTGCAATGACTTTACGAGCAAGGCATTGTCTACAAAAGAGGTCCGCTCCTTTGATGTCTCCCACACGCCCAGAGCTCCGTTGATACGTTTGGTTCAGGAGCAGTGCATGCTGAATTGCGCAGACAAGTTCTTGAAGCATTCGGAAAGGGTCGGGGCGCGCTTTGCAGAGCAGAATGCAGGTCAGTGTGCAGATTGGCAGGTCATCCTTGTATCGAAGTTTACAATAGTCCACAGAGGCCATGAACGCTTTACAAAAGTAATCTCACATCTCGTTAAGGCTTTTGACCCTGTATCGTATCTTTGCGTAATACCATCTCTCCCCGTTTGATGGCTGCCTAGCCGTTTTTAGAGCGCGCCCGAGCCCGAGAGCCGACCTCGAAGTCTCAACTATATCCCGTCTTGCAGTCCAACAGGCCTGGTCCATTCACGACACTCTCCCTCATTCTGATACGCACCGAGCACTCAAAGGTGCTTCATGTGGTTTCTTTCCGCATGCGGCTATCTCATCCTGATACGTACACCTTGTGTATGAAGTGCACGCTAGTGCACGGAGTATCCGACCGCCCATATGTACGTCCAGTCATCTGGTTCTTTTCGCTCTCTTCCCGAACTGCTTGCGCCAAAGAACGTGGATCTGATTCAGCTGATGTGAGCTTTTTGCAATACGATGCTGGGCAAGCAATCGTGCAGTTTGCGTAGCACACAATTCCGACTCGAAGCGTCCTTTGCTCATGCGTGAGGATTCGAGATGCAGATGCGGAGACTGGTGCCAAGTTATGAAAGTAAGATGCTTATAGTCCAAGACGACGCTCGAGCTCCAGTGTTCGCTAATATTCGTCGCGCCCACCAAAAGCATAGCACGGATCTGGGTCGGTTGCTCCTGATTGTGGCTCATCTTGGCTCATCGCTTAGCTAGTAGTACATATACTCGACATACACAATGAGAACACGAACAACGAGAACGCGACCTATCGGACGTGTGTCAGTCACATGTTTTTCTGTCAGCGACATTGACAGGCAGTGCCCGAGCTCCCCGAGTTACAACATCCAGAACGAGCCGCTCATTCTCAGTCGCAATGTGAATCGTCATTATAAACCACTCCACTTGCTGAGCCCCACAAGAAACATTTCTCACAACCATGGCTAAGCATCCCCTCGTTGGAAAGCCCGCCCCGTCTCTGTCGCTCTTCAATAACAAAGGGGAGACGTACAACTTCACCCCTGGTACGCAAGGCGCACCAGTGGCACTCTTTTTCTTTCCTAAGGCTGGTGAGCCCAATGAGCCCAATGACAGAGCTCGGTGATGGCTCTCACCATCACTGTCTCTTCGACAGTATGACAGACAATTGAATGTATTGGCTTGCCAGGGACGTATGGGTGTACCCGTGAAGTGTGTCAGTTCCGCGATGCTTTAGTTGGTATGCACTTTCCTTGCGCTTTTCTGGGTGCGCTCTTTGTGTGGGTACTGTGGGGTACCTTTACTGCGTCAGAGGCCTTACAGCGGCCATAGAGCATCATGGCATAACTCAAACTGTCTTATGGCTGCACAGATCAAGACACGTTCAAGCGCTCCAACATCATAATCGTGGGCGTCAGTCCCGATTCTGTTGACACGCTCAAAGATTTCGCCGCCAAGCAGAAGGTCACGGTACGCACTTCCGTTGTATTAAGCGATACATCGCTGGCGCCGCTGACGCCATCTCTACACAGTACCCTATTTTGAGCGATCCCAATGGAGAGGCACGCAACGTGTACAGCGTTGGCAAAGGCCTATTTGGTCTCTCGGAGGCACGCGTCACGTACTTCATCGACCAGAATGGCATCGTTCGGTACGTGGTCATCTCGCGGTCTCACCCCCGATTTTTTCTGCACATGCTACGCGTTCAACAAGCTCAACCATGACTACTCGGATGTCAACTCTGTCACAGAAACGCCCTTGATGCGACTCTGAATTTCGGCGCACATGTGAAGTTTGTGCAGGATTGCATCGAAGAGCTCGAAGCTGCGGTTGATGTACCTCAGAAGGAGAATCCTGAGCCTATCGCCGCTACAGCAGCCTAAGCAGGACAACGGTGGGGAGTACAAGGGTTGCCAATCGTAGGGTGGGGTGGAACATATCCTCACGGATTTATGAAGGAGCCTATGAAGATGTAATCGTTAATACATAAATACCAGTATTGCTGTCATGAAATCAATCGATGCGTGATGTTAATGATGAAAATCAATTTCGATTATAGACCAAGGATCATCGACAAATCCCGAGATTCTGCTTCACAGTTAGTATGTACTTTAGTCTCCAGTGCTGACCTCAACGCCCTCCAGTTTGTTTTCTCGAAGCTTGGCCTGTGAATCCATTATGGATTAATCACATGCACCTTTCGGCCACCATCACTGCCTGCATTGTCAAAGCAATGCATTTATTACCGGTCCCAGCGTTCTTCTTCTCCTTCCAACTTGACTTTTCCTGGCCCACGTCCTGTCCATCTTTTTGAACTCTCGACCATGATTGAAACTGCATTAACGAAACTTTTGAGTATCCGCGTGTGAGTGTCTAGTATAGTACACTACTCCGTCGATGTTCTGGAACACGGTCATATCGAGTGCTGAATCTATCTTCCAGGCCTGTTGTCCAAGGGGGTATGCAATGGTGCGTCTTCACCGCGTAGAACATATCATAGTATGTTCTCAACTGGGGAACAGGGTTGGCCTTCCTGCATTGGCTGCAGCGGTGTCGAATGCGGGTGGCCTGGGTAGGTTCCATCTATGCGCGTTCCTCTGCATCATGCCTCACAGACAGACGCTATGTCAGGTGTCTTGACGGCCCTTACACAACCCTCACCTACCGCGCTTCGTGAGGCCATCCGTCAAACGCGCAAATTGACGTCAAAGCCCTTCGGAGTCAACATCACCCTCCTCCCGAGCATCAATCCGCCGGACTATGAGGGGTACGCACGGAGCGCAGTGGAGGAGGGCGTCAGGATCTTCGAAACTGCGGGGAACAACCGTGAGTAGCCTGAACAATTATCCGTCTCGGCATACTATCAATAACGAGGATTCACGGTGCAGCGGGCCCGTTGATTAAGTACTTCAAATCTCAAGGATGCATCGTAATCCACAAATGCACTACAATTCGCCATGCCAAGGTTGGCTCATGGTTGTCTGTGAATGCAACCCCGCTGACAGGACTACGTCCCCGGACAGTCTGCTGCAAAACTCGGTGTTGATGTTTTGAGCATCGATGGCTTCGAATGTAAGCCTTTTGCAGCGCATGCCTCTCAACCCCTGTCAAACAATCCAATCAGGTGCCGGACATCCTGGCGAGGAAGACATCGGAGGATTGACTTTGGTGAACCGGCGAACGTGTCTCCCTTATGTTATGATATCCTGATGAGGTTCATATATGCAGCTTGCACGCGCCGCGCAGGAGCTCGATATACCTTACATTGCTTCCGGAGGCATTGCTGATAGCCGCGGATTTGTGGCTGCCTTAGCCCTTGGAGCTTCGGTATGTCGTAACTTTATTTTCCGTTCTCGAGCTCACTGTCGTCAAACTCCCAATCAGGGCGTCAACATGGGTGAGCCGCTGTGTCGCTGTCGATGGCGGTACATGTCTAAACCGACTGACTTGATGATTCATCTAGGCACGCGATTTATGTGCACCGTTGAGAGGCAAGTCTATTCCCTTTACGATATCGAAAGCGCCCCGTATCCTGTTTCTGACATCAAAGATAGCCCGATCCATCAGAACATCAAGGAGAAGATAGTTCAGTCCACCGAGCAAGACACTGTACACATCTTCCGTACTCTGAGGAACACTGCTCGGGTGTTCAAGAACAAAGTTTCCCAGGAAGTCGTGGCGTTGGAGCGGCGGCCTGGCGGTGCGAAATTCGAGGACCTTAGGGAGTTGGTCTCTGGTGCAAGGGGGCGGGTGGTATACGAAAATGGTGACCCCGACTATGGGATCTGGAGCGCCGGCGTAACGGTGGGGTTGATCAAGGACATACCAACGTGCGAGGAGTTGGTTTCCACTATCGAGAGAGAGGCCGAGGCGATTATTGACGGATTGGGGAAATTGAAGGTCCCAGTGAAAGCCAAGCTATGATTTCATGTAAAATACAATGGAGCCCCTCCTGAAGGAAACTGAGCTCTATTTTTCCTCGGTGCTACACGAGTTGAGTCGAGAATGCAGTGTCATCCACGGGTTTCACCTGTGGTCGACTTTTGAATTACAAGTTTCCTGTCTCCGCGCTAATGGACTTGAACTAGACAATTAGGTCAATCAGGATTCAGTAGAGCACTGTACATACTCGGGAGAGCTAGTAACGGAGAACTTTGTAGGTATCGAGGGCAGTACCGTTTTGGGTAACAATGATGATTAGCCGAGAGAAACAAGGGTTGGTCGCTTCTGCCAGAGCGGTTGTCGTCGTCTACACATTCTTCTTCACTTCACTTTCCGAGGGCAACCTTTGCTCTTTTTTGTTTGCGGCCTTGGACTCCTGAGGCGTCCTTTCCTTCCTGGATTATTACTGTCTTTACTAAGCTCCTTTCTGGGTCTTACTGCCTCGAGCTATCTATCGATAAATGGCCCAACCCATCTACTATCCCAACCCTCCTCTCGCCGGTCGGCCCCCCTTTGCCACGGATGAGCCCGACTCTGTCTACGCGCAACCCAGGCAACAACAGACGTGGATGAGAGAGCCCCAGGTAGATCCAAACGCGAGATCGTCCGCCTATAACCAGTATGTATCTACTTCGACATGACTGCACGCCGTTGCTGATCCGGCTCCTCTAAAAAAAGTTATGATCAATACCTTGATGGCAATCAGTCAAACCACAACTTAAACTACAACGAAGATGACCGACAGCATAACAAGCATGCAGCGTTGGCTGCCGCCACCCAACAACAGCAATCTGTTCCTCTTGCTGCTCCACGCCCGGGATATCCAGCTCCCATCGCTGCTCTGAACTTGTCGCGTCCATCTCCTACAGCCACTCCCGACGGTCGTCAAGCCGCGAACTCCGACATGCCTCATCTTCCTCCTGGGCTACGTCCCTCAGGAGGAGCGAATGGTGCATCGCGTCCCCAACCTGCTTTACTAGCGATCCCCCCTCCGGCGCCTATCTCTGTCCCCAGCACACCTCACCCCCTCCCTCCAACCATGACCCCTATTCAGCCAATCTTCGCTCGCCCCGCGAAGGGCTCGGCCCCTCGCGATGTAAAGTGGGGTGCTGAACCCATCATTCGTGGGAACTCGGAGGAGACGCTCCTTCCTAAGCGTGGTGAGAAAGGCGATGATTTTTGGCGTCGTTTCAGCATGATTGCAAATGAAGAGAACAAGAAACCGTCCACTCAAAAAAAGAGGTGAGGGCACATATCCATCTGTAAGATTTCGTAAATTCAATCTTTTCAATAGTGCATGGTTGCGCAAGACAGAGAATGGCACAAGCCGCTTGTCTCGCTGGGTCTGGGTCATTGGTTTTTTCCTTCTCGTGGCAAGTGTTCAGCTGTCTTGTCAAGACACAATTCTGATTTTTTTTGATGATTTAGTGTATAGGTCTTGGAGTCGGTCTGGGCTGGTACCTGTCACATAACAAGCCCGCGCATCAACTTCCCAAAGCCTTTGGCGGAAGCGCAAACGAGACATTGACAGCGGGAACCGCACCTGCGACCGTTGCAGGCGGTGCAAAATCGGCCTCCTCCCTTCACGTATCGCCTACACATACTGTCGCCCGCCGAGACGCCTTCCCCGGTCCTATGCCCACCGGCTCAACCATGCAGCTCATTCACATTACTCACAACTTCGGCGAGTCCCACAACACCACTAACAGGCATGCAAGACGACATCTCAGCCGCATGGATCTGCATTGAGGACTGCTTCAATGCGAGGCTGTCTGTGACCAAATCTATTGGGAATGGTATCCAACTAGATTCTCATCCCGTCCGCTCATTACCACGATAATTTATCTCTTTTGATCTTAGCCTCGTCCCCCTTGCATTCACCACGCTTCTCTAGATCTTGCACTTGCACTTTGGATACCCATATAGGCTTCGGTCGACATCTTGACCGAGTTGCTGCCATTTCACGCTGACATTCACACTACTCCCCTTTGACGCCATTAATGCGCGCAGAACTTTCCCCATACCCGAGCCTGCAGTTTGCCTTACGCTCCTTTCCCGTTCTAGCACATCGTCTGACACCGGGAATTGGATTCTAATCTTTCTCGCTCGTCTGCATTTCTGGTCAACGTTCTATTATTTGCTTTCCTGTGTAGTTATAACGTGGTGGTTCGCTTTAGTACTGGAGTTGTACTAGTTCAATTGCTCTATACACTGTCGTATGCAGTGAAGTGCGTTAAGCTAAGAGTATTCTGAGATCTGAGAGAATATGTAGTAACTATAATGGTATATGATTGGATGGATGACTGGAGAGCGATGCAGGTGAGGATATGCAGATTGAGTACTGATCAAGAATCAGTAAGAGTTCTAACAACAAAACCAGTTTGAAATCATGGTAAGCGCGCGTGTTGAGTATTGAGCCTCGACGCAACCAGGGGAATGAACATAAGGTATGACAGGAAAAGCATCTAGGAAAAAGCATTAAATCGTCTATCAGCGCAGACGAGTCGCACGATTGGCCTTCTTGATCCCGCCCTTCTTTGTATTCGTAGACATTTCCGGGCCTACCTCAACGATGATATCTGAATCCGAATCCGAATCTGCCGACACTGCGCGCGACTCCGGGCGACCTTCCATCTTCTTCAATGTTTCCTTCTCTTCCTTGTCCTTCTTCCATGCTTCAGATTGTGCTTGTATGGTCACCGAAAATTTCTCACGAAACTCTTTAATCGACCCATCATTCCAATAATCCCCTCGGGGATTGGCCTTAGGTTTTTGGGACTGAATGACACGACAAAGGGTTGATGAGTTCAATACTTAGGCTTGTTGGGATGATAGACATTGGGCTTACGGCGAGAACTTCATACGATCGCTGTGGATCTCTGATGAAGGTCAGGGCGAAATGTAGCAGGTAAATCCCACAGTCACAATAGTTAGGCTGCTTGGGCACCTATGATTGAATGTGAATTCGTTGCATCTATCCGATAACAAGCCAGTTGCCAGCTTACCCTCGCATTCGTCCCGGTAGGCGTTATTGTGTTTGTTGTTCCCTTTTTATCGGCAGCCTCCATTTGAAGGTATTTGCCAAGTCTTCGGATTGCTTGTGGATGTTTCGACCCGAGGGAATCGAATGTATATATGCGAGTACTGAAAAAAAAATGAGATAACACAATTTGAATACAATGAATTGATGTCTGACCCCGCATAATCTGTATCGTTCTGCTCGGAATCAGAGATATATATCGAGTCTTGCGCATCTGGGTCATCCTCGATGACGTGGATTGGGCCAGCACTTTGAGCGGAAGAAACTTTCCGTTTCCCTCTCATAGTCTCCGATCGTGCATAAAATGTAGATGGTGGGACAAACGATGAAAATACGGAGCTGCTCTTGGATCCTGTGCTAGCGACTACGTGCTGACCTAACTTCGAGCCTTCAGGTTGCCTGTCGGATGATGGTAGCTCAACGGCTCTTCCTCGGGGCGAGGACATGGGATATTGCAGCTCCAGCTCATCGAATTCATTGTCAGGATCGTCATGAGAAAGCTCAGCCATTGAATGGTCTAGCTCATCCATATGCACGTCAGACGCAGTTGGGCTGCCGCTTGGCAGGGAGATGGTCATGGCGACTTCATTAGGGAGGGTGATATTGTGGTGGTTGACGAACTGCTGGCGCTTAGAAAGGACGAGAGATGCAGGATCATTGACAATTATCTCTTCGACGTTTGAGCTACCGCTCGGAAGGAAGATAGCTGAGTCGCTTTCAAGGGCGATGCGATTGGTGAGGCTGTGAGACGCAGAATATTCAACGAGCAGGTTTTCGACGTCTTGTTCCTCTCTTTGATCTCCATGGTCGGGGCCTTCACTTGTAGAATCGGGGACAATAGATATCGAACGACTTCTTGCGTGGCTTTCAGACGCTGACTCCTGTTGAGCCGGGTCCGAAGCGGTCGCGGATGATATTGACACATCATTTATCACGGCGGACGATTCGCCCATCTGCGACGCAGCTTCGCCTTGTGACCTGGAGATTCTTCCTGATCGTCGAGTGGCCTTGGATAGCGGATTCGAAGCAGGTGGCTGCAGCACATATTCAGGATTACAGATTATGACGAGATACCAATGAAGACTATAGAAACGACACGATCAGGATGACGTTTCGTGAGACCAGAAACAACTCACTGCTCGTTAATAGGCACAATGAGGTATTTCTTTTTAAACAGATCAAATTTGGATGTCCATTTTCGAACACTTTGAAAGCCGTCCTCCGGGCTGTGACATGCCTCAGTAAGTAAAAGCACAAGCGGTATATCTAACAAAGGACAGACTTTTTCGTAGAGAGCTTTTTGTAGAAAAATGAGCTAAAAACGTGAATCTGGTCAGCCAGCTCTGGCTTTTGCGCGCGCAAGTCGTCCATGAAAATCCTGCATTTGAAAGTTAAAACTAGCAATTTTCAGAGCAAAACGGAGGACTTGCTTCAACCCAAGCTCGATCAGCGTGTCATTCAGGAACTCGTCAGGTTTGAGTCGAGCAAGATCCGACTTTGTCACATTCAGGGCACCCGGCCCAGAGAATGGATAGACCAGAATTCTGACAGAGACATTTGAACACGAGATATGCTTGCGTGACCCAATAGAATTACACACAGTTCATCAGGATCAAGAGGTGGTGAAGTCGGCTTGTCCAACTCGTCGTTATTTGACCCATTCTCCGGACCAGACAAGCGATTGGAACGACGAGGGCCATATCTATGGTTTCACTTAATAAAGTTAAGTCAGACGAAGATCATAGCCAATACGAACGTTGCCGTCTTAGGCCTAGATAGGGTCATTGAAGTTGTTTCCAAAGGACTCGTGAAAGTCTCGGGAACAACCTTTGTAGCCGTGCTTTGGGAGACTGTGTCTTCACGTGCTTGCGCACGGACGGCCATTTCAGCAGCTCTTGTTATGACTTCCCACACGCTCAAGGACCTTCAAAACAAAGATCAGTCTAGGATGAATGCGTCTTTATGCTGGCTCAGAAGAGCCTTACCCATGGTGAAAGGCCTTCACTCGGGCCGACCGAGACAAGTACCTTTGCAGAACTTGATACTGATTCTCGTCCCAATCTCTATGCTTTCTCGTCATTTTCAATGACAAGAGTCCATTTGCATGACCTGAACCTTTTGACTCAGATTGTTAGAGGTAAAGTTTGGAAGCAGGCAAGACATCTCACCTAGCATGAGGTGGCGGGAAAGGGTACCCTTCACACTGGTATCTACCGAGGGTTTGATCTTTATGATAGGGCTGTTATGTGACTCTTTAGGGTTCGACATCTGTAAATTGGACTTATCGTCTATATATGCCTTAATACCAAGGAGATGTGATTACCTCGAGACTCTCCAGATTACTACCCAGATGTATCTCAAGTAGGCGTTCGCTATTGTCTTCCGGGAGATGCTCCATCAAAAGAAATGTCGCTTTACCGTCCCAAATGAGCCAACAAGGGTTCGCATAGGCTTGTTCCACGACCGAAGAACAGTGGCAACCGATGGACCAATCTTGTAACGGAAATCTCTGTAACCGTGGCACTGGTTCCGTTTTAAAACCAGACGGTAGGGTCGCGATGTAATCCTGTCTACCAGGGTTGCTGATACGTAACCTCTGCTGTAAGGTTTTCAGCAGTAGGTCCATCTCAATATTCAGTAGACAGAGAATACCTTTCCTTTCATTCGGTTCTTGATACCCTGCTGCTTCTGCCTTTGACGCAGGTCAACAGCGCGTGTTTCGGCCTTGTCCATGCTCTCGTATAGCTTGACCTTGGAAGCCACTATGCTTCCTACAGGTTTCTGCCGAGAGGGTGGACTGGTAAATGAGCTTATATCGCTTTCTTCACTGCTATCCAAATTCACGACTTCCGGTCCCTTTCCTTTACCCATTTCATCTCGCACCCGCTTGGTGCTATCTCCGTCGCCGACTAGTAATCCAAGACGCGCCACAGGCCGACGTTTGCTCGAGTCCCTCGTAGAAAAATGATTGGACGGATGGATAGACGGTTGTATAGATGCGTCGCGCTGGCGTTTGCGGCTTGTTGGCGGTAGGCAGTCGAGAGGATCGGCCGAGTCAGAAGATTGTCGCGTTTGAGGAGCGACTTCTGCTTTGTCGTCCCCATCAGACACGGTTTCAAAAGTAGGCTGTACATCTTTCCTGTCGGTAGTCGATGAAAAGAAGGGTGAACTCTGCTCCCGATCCATCCCAGACCTGTTGAAGGTTCCGTTGTGAATTGAAGATCTTGGTTTCACTTGGGTTCGACTTCCGAGTGCTCCACCGATGCTGCTACCACCAGGAAATGATTTTTGATCCGCACCATATAGAGAACTGTTCCCGTTGTGTTTTGGGAGACCAGGTACAGCAGGAGACGGATCCACCTTCTGACGCTTCGGCTTTCGATCGAAAGTTTCGTCGTGGGATTGGTTGAGGATTGTCCTCCTAACAGTTGGATTGCCTATTGGGCTGTAGAGGTTGTTGCTAATTCGCCCGGTCAAAGGATTCGTATGACGGCGTGCTTGCTGCTGCTGCGAAGGGTGGCGTCGCAGGCTGTTACACGGCAATCGAGGGGAATGCACGTACGGAAGTACTCACCGCAGGTGTTTGTATTGGTGTCGCTTCATGCTTCCATAGACTTGGGAAGAATAATCAATAAGATATAAATCGCTGTAGTCAGTAAACTCACGTCGTTGTGGAAGACGAAGCGTCTCTGCGATTTCGTGGCCCAGAATACCCATGCAAGTGGCTGATCTGTTCTCTATCCCTCGAGTCCATGCCTGGTGTAATGTTGCCTATCGCTATGCGGAAGATCCGTTCACTGGCAGCAGACATTCGACTGTCCAACGTACCCTGGGGCACAGTGCACAGAAATACGGAGAAGCCTCATGGGTCCCAAAAAGGTATTGTCGATGGCGTAGCGGCGCTAAAATATTTGCCAATCGGGGACATATATTACGGAGAAATTATGACTATGATTAGATGTTTTCCTTCAGCAGTCGGTACAGATCTGCCACAAGATACAGACTGCCTGCTAATACTACGAATGCCGCCTGCGGATGTCTCTTCTGAGATACCCACCGCAAAGCCTGCTTCAGCTCTTGGGTCGAATCCTGACCATCCGGCGGTGACCATACATCTGCGTCTGGTGCAAGATCCTTGATGACTTGTGCGAGTGTCGATGGAGGTACGGATTGGACCCAAGGCATCCCTGCAACTGGAGAAAACCGTGTTACGGCAGCGCTGTAATGGATTTGTGTGTTGACTGGAGGAGAAAGTGAAAACAAAGGGGATAACGTTTGTAATGGTGTCTTTGGCGGTGAATGGGACAACGCTAAGATGTATGTCAGATACACGCTACTGTCAGCACCCTTGGTCCTGACGAGTTGCGAGATGTAAGTGGCAAGAGTGGATGCGGAGGCTGGATTATGAGCACCATCAGCTAAAACAACCAATTTTGGGTTCGTACCCCAGACAGGCCTATCCTCTACGGGTAACAGACGTCTGGGGATGGTATGGAAGGATAAACGGCCAGGCCAGACGGTTGCACGAATGCCACGAGATACCAAGTTAGAAGTGAGTTTATTCCTGAGTGATAACCGTTGTGCGCAAGGGTGAACGATGAGAGTATCGATGATCGTCGCAGCAGTGCCCAGGTTGTCGAGCTGATGAGAGCCGAACAGCGGCAATTGAGACAGCACAGGCTGCTCGAAACAAGTCATAATAAACTCCACGGGCTGATATGGAGGTCCTTGAAATTCTTCGTCCGCACCATGTAAGGAGTCCAGGGAGAACACAGGGGGCTGAGGGCCATCAACCACAGTATTCCAAGCTCGTGTCCTCGCAGCGACAGCGGTAACAAGATACGCTCCAACATCACCAACTACTTGCTTCACGACAAGCCCGACTTCGTCATGCTTTTGAGGACCCAACACAAACGTTTTGCCTTTCCTGGCAATGCCTGCCTTCTCTCGCGAGATCTGCCCTATTGTGCTTCCAAGAAATGCTTGGTGATCGAGATCCACCGCCGTCAACGCTGAGACGAGCACACATGTGTCAGGGATAGCGTTCGTAGCGTCCAGTCTGCCGCCCATCCCTGCCTCTAATACAACGATATCGACCTTTGTGCGCTCAAAGATGGTTAGAGCTGTGCATGTGAGGACCTCAAAGTTGCTCGCTTCGATGCTATATTTCTCGTTCACGGCTTCAACCGACGCCCTGGCGGAGCCGTATACATCATCACTGACGGACTGACCATCCACAGTGATAGAGTCGACGATAGAAACGAGATGCGGGCTATTGAACTTGCCGACAGATATGGAGGCTGCGAGGAGGATCGATGAGACGAATGACGATACGCTGCCTTTTCCATTAGTGCCGGCGATGTGAACAGTGGGTCGTGTGTAAGGAAAATAGCGAAGGAGAGTGTGAATCCGGTCGAGGGACAAGTCGATAGACATACTGAACCGTTAATTTGGATTCTGGGAAGTCTTGTGAGAGGAAGAGCCGCAGTGCCAGACGCGCAACGGGCCGCCGCTCTGCCAGTCATGTGGGCATCCAAAAAGGAAGGTCCTCAAGATTCAAGATCGCTCCGAATTTGAGAAGGCTCTATAGGTAAATCTCAACGTTCAACGTTTCAACCCAGAGCGAGTCATCAATGCATCAAGGATAGCAAAACAGGGACTATACTGAGTGCATGGTAGTGATCTACATAAAAAAGGAATCCAACGCGACAGCATTTATCACAGTCATTATGAACGGAAAACCGAACAACATGAAGGGAAGTCCCAAAATCATCGCAGAAATGGTAGGGTACGGTCAAAAGGCAGCGGACGTAGCGATGCGTATCAGAAAGTCCATCAATAGGAAGGGTAACAGATAGGTAGATACGAGATCATCGCGCGTCGTTAAATAGTTCTGTGCGCTGTGGAAGATGATAGAAGATCGTACGCGCAGTGAGCTCTTGCCTTCGCTTCAGCTCAAGGGCAGGATAGGTAGGAGATACACAATTAAACTGTACACCGCGGTCTGCGTGCGGTGGTCATCAAAGGCCATTAGCACCCATCGTATTCAGAGTTCCGAGGGAATGAGTATCCCGCCTGGGCCCATGTCGTCAAATTGGGGTTGCTATATGCGTTGAGGTGGCTAGAGTAGCACGAATGCACATAAGGGAGCCATACAGGAGAAGGGATGAACGGATAGGAAGGAGTATCGGAGCGTACTTTTGGATATAATCAGCAGTAGGGTGACTTGACGGATCACACCCAACACCGTTCTTCACGTCGGCTCGCTGATAAACGCGTACATAGTCAATGTACATGTGGGCCGGGAACACCATATGCTTGAAATCTTGATGCTGGAAGGACGCTACATATGGCAGATGGTTAGCAAAACAATCAGGCTACTATCCTTGTACTACTTACGGGACATCCCCAAATTGAGAATGATGTACTATGGCAACAAAAGAGTCAGTTTCGATTCTGTGGGATTGTGAAATCATCAAATTTACCATGGGTTCTTCAGGAATGACCCTTTTGCTAATTTGAGTTTCTGAGTCCCCAGCGATGGTGGCGGCGGTAGCTCGCCAAGTTTCTTGCCCGTTACTTGTCCAAGCAATGTATCCCTGGTCCCGATGGCTGGGGTCCGACCACCACTCGAAAGAGTATGGCGCATATCCGTTGTCGTTGTAATTCTGTGAGTCGATGTATGTTACTGCCGAAACCGCCTGCTGGAACTGGCCGCCCTTGTAAGAATTGAAACTGGTGATGGAAGAATTCTGGATTGGGGTAACGGAAGAAGCGTTGTTGAACTGGTACTTATAGTTGAAAGGAGCGACTTGAAGCGACTGGGAAACCTGCCCTTGAAAGACGGAAACATCGACTTGAGCCTCGATGATATCGATCTCAGGTACGTTGCGGCCAGTGCTTGTACTGGGACCCGGGTGGTCGGAGCCCGGGCATGTACAGGCAGAGACACGTTGACCAGGGAGAAAAGATAGTTCACCATCGGAAGGGGAACCAGTAAGGGCTGCCTGAGGTGTTTGACCGTCCTTGTTCGTTTGATTGGGGAAGGTGCCAACGTCACAATCAACGTAACTGTACGGCCACATTCCTGCGTACATTAGATTCAACGGGAGAATATTTGTCATTGGATGGAAATAAGGAACCTTCTGTGGTTGCACCGTAGCCTGCGCGACCCTAAGCCAAGCATTATTACCGTGAGTATCAAAGTATATAGCTATTGAGCCATCGACGCTCACCAGGTTGCCCATGGTCCACGCGCCTGTTCAAGATGAGTTTAAACACGCCCATAATGTAAGGATGAGCTCACCCGGCCAGAATCCAGGGGTCTGAGGACTCCCAGGCAGACTGACGGAAACCTCCACGATGCCGGTTGTGAAACAAAATTTATTCCATGATTGCAGCATGCCTATGGAACATTAGCACGTATAAACTAGAGGCCGAAAACTCGGAACTGACCACTCTGGAAGTTCAAATCGTGCGTGTTCTGTTCAGTCATGGTGATCACAAGCTTTCCGTCCTTGGTTGTGATAGCCTATAAAACATTTCTGGCAAAACTCTCACTACATATCCAAAGCATGGCATACCTGAGGATCATACCACTCTAGATCGCCCGTAGGCCTAGATTACGAGGCAGTGAGGCCCGAATCCAGAAGACAATTCGAAGATGAGACTCACCAGTAGTTGAAATTCACGGCTTCCCAGAAAGGGTCATCTCCCGGCCAAAAGGTTCGCCCATCAATGTTGAATTCGTCGCTAAACACCAAATTGTATGTCTTCCCGTCACTCCCAGTCTTGGTATAGAAAGATTGATCCGTTTGTGGATCGATGAGCTGCGGAAGATTAGGGAAATTCGGGATCTGCCCTGTGCCGTTGGTACCTCCAAAGTTCTGGCCAATCGTCTGCAGTTCTGTTCGGTTGTAAACAACGATGATTGGGTATCCAGCGAAGAGCGTAATGAGCCCTGCAACGAGGATGACAAGCACGCCGACATTCGCCCAACCTCGAGCCGAAAGTAACGTGAATGACCGATCAAGCTTTGCGTCGCGAATAGGGTCGGGATTGTGGAGTGCATCATCAAGGTCAGGATCCTTAGTGTCCCATAGGTATGGAGGGACGGTCGAGGATGAGATCATAGGGGCAGGCTTCTCGCCTGTGGTCCCGGAGGATATGTCTGATGGCGCAGCGCTAAAACGTGACGCTGTGTACATTCCATTATCTCTCGTTGATGGGTTATACTGCAGAAAGTGAATAATGAAGGATGAAGGGTGGAAAGGAGGAACGAACCGCATATGGCCCATAACCAGCGCCAATCGACCCCGAGGCGACACCCTGCGCTACATCTCCAGCTCGCCCTTGCTGCATGCGTGGGGGTTGGCTGTTTGTTGATGACGAGCGCACTGGGTGAGAGGAGGCTGGAAGCGGCTGCTGGTTGTATGAGCTCGATCCGCCACGGCTGGGTGGACTCTGCGGAACAGCGTAGTATTGAGAGGAATTTGTTGGGGGTATTCGTCTAGGGGGGTTTGCCATCGTGGGAGGGTGAAAAGATGGAGAAACGACAACAGACGCTGAGGGAGAGTGGCAAACAGAGATGAAAACCCACTGCGACTGTGCACTGCTCACGACGTGCGGCCTTTGGAACCCGGCGCTCAGCCTGGCACCCATGATCTCACAACTCTCCCATCACGTGCATGGTCCTGCGTTGGAGTTTGGGCCGACCTTGCACCGTCTGCATCAATTCATGACCTCACAGCGATCAGCCTAGGTGCACACAGTTTATATCATAATCTGTAGATTTTTGGTGCCTTTTCCATGGCGTGCGGTCGAGGGCGTTTGACCCTGGTTGGTTTCGCATGTGATCATCCCATTTTGGACCCCCTTAGCCATGGTGCTCTAGCTCTCACAGCACTGCCTGAGACGGCCTGGGTGCAGTTGCGGATGAAATATGTAAAGACCTTCTCAGAGCATTGCGAATAGGTCCGAGGATTAAAATATCAGGTGAGAGTAGCGAGGGACAAAACAGCACGATATTCAGGGCATGTTCATTCGGACGACTGTGCCACCACCTGTGTGTCCATCGAATGTGAAAAAGTTGGCTATCGGTGCTTCTCGAGCGCCTAGGGCCTTCAAGATATCTTGAGCGAGCATCCCGCCTACCACCGCACAGACTGGCGCAAACTCGTGTGCAGCAGTGGGTGCGACGGTCCTGATGGAAAACCGCGGCGTTAGCAGCAGCGCGCCCGTCGGGACAGATCTGTAAAATCTCACTCCATCAAATCCCGAGGAACTTGGGCGATGATCTGTCTGTTGACTTCTGCTTCCGCAAGCAATTTGTTGGCTATCGTCTCCAGCTCATCGACATCAGAAGGGCCGCCTGGAAGACTGCCTCCGTGCAATGACTGAAACTCCCAAATCGCTGGCCATCGACGGATAAGATCAGCACATGGATGACGGTAGAAAAGGGGCAGATTCACCGAGGATAGTAAACGGGATGGCCGGATTGACTTCTTTCGTCTGACGTCGCGTGAGGCCTGACCATCGGTATTTTAGAGCGTCCTTCAGTGGACTATAGCTCAACGAGGCCAGCATATTTTTGGCGGAGTCTTTGATAGAGCCCGAGCGATCTCTGTGTCATAATCAGCAGAGTGGAATCAGACACCCGAGATCTATCATTTTGCCCAAGTAAACATACGGAACAATGTATTCATGATCAAGCAGGTCACAGAAGATATAGCCCAATAAGCCATAGGTGCCTCCGAAGTAAAGCGGCTTGTGCAACCGCCGACAAGCCTCATTGATGCGGACCTGCAAGATCCCCGATAAGTAACGTCAGGATCCATGGACGAGCTAGCGACCAAGGAAATTAGAGAGCTTACAATATCGTCTTTGTTCCAATCGGTCATACAGACTAGGTCCACGCCTTGTATCAGTTCGTTCAGCCCGTCTCGCTCTAACACCGAGGCGGTCGATATCATGTCGATGGTCACAAGTGGATTCAGGCCCTGTATTCTTGCTTTGGCCACGTCAACCCTCTAGGACTCAGTGAGCCACATTACCACCGGCATCATGACGAGACGCTGGCCCCTCCTCACCCTCCGAGGTGACTGGCGCCTGAACGAAGTTAAAAACATACTTTCTTGCCGACATCTTCATCCCGAAAAAAAAAACCGGCGCCCAGGTCTTCTTGCGTGACATTCTCGCTGTCAACGATGACAAGCCTGCCAATACCCGCTAAAACGATGTTCTTGATCGTCTCGGTGGCCACGCCTCTCAGTTTGACCACGAGGATCGTGGCATTCCGCATCCTATCCCGTCCCATCGATGCATCGATGTCCGTTTCATTCGAACGGCACAAATCCGAACGCGTCAGCTGCAGCTCTCCTGCGCGTCTTGACTAAGTTAAACACGGACCTTTGCTGCGCCTCGAGGCCCCACAGGCGAATCTGCCGGTCGTATACCGCCGCCTCATCTATGGAAACCACTCCGGTCAGAAAAAGCACGATACTCCACCAACGTGGAAGGCAGGGATTAGTATAATACGCGTTCGCACCTTCTGTGATCTGGACGGGGGCTCCCTTCGAACCAGGCTCATGAAGCGACATGGTGACGGTTTGAGTTCAGGAACTGTTCGAGAGCGCACAATGACAAATATGGGACTCAAAGCTTGATCGCGGCGGTGGTTCTGGGTTCTGGCTGGTTCACAAAATTGAAAGAACTCTTCAGGGACACGTTGGTACGCGACGCTACTGCGACGCTGCGACGCGATTGCTTCGAATTCCATTTTCGGGCACAGCGAGCTTTCTTGCGCATCTTGCCGAAGAGCTTCGAAATTCAGATGCGGGAGCGCGGTGCACTCAATGGTCGAAGCGTTCAACGTTCAGACTCGGGATATGGTCAAGGTATCAATACACGGGGAAACCTCGATAGCTATCGTGGTACGATGGAAGGAGCAAAATAATACAGCAACAAATAAACAGTATAGCAGATGTAGCCCATGCATATTTGGTTGCACGTTGGGTATAGGCAGGAAAGCATAGCAGTCATAAGAAACTTTGAACCCAGAAGAAAAAAAAATCAACACATTGAAGGATTGGTCAACGTCTGGCCTAGTTGCCCCCCATCAATGGCATGCCGTCCCCGCTAGATGTGCCATCCCTGTCATCGTCCAATCTAAAAGCCAAGCTAATCAATCACTTTTGTCCGGGTAACAATATACCGGTAATCCTCACAGGTAATTCCGTTCAATCTCGGACAAGATAGACAAAAAGTCCCCTAAGGATCGAAGTCAGTTCAACACGGTGATGAGTCGGACATAAGAAAGTATAGACTTACAGAGGAACGCATGGGCTCGTGCTGCCGTTGCAGGCGCCGTCTCTGCCTTCCGCACAGCGTCTAGCAGTGTGGAGGCGACGAACCGAACTTTATGGACCTTACACACCGGGTTCCAGTCAAAGGCAGGACATACGTTACTCAGGGACTCACAAGTGAAGGGCCGTTGGTCGCAATAGATTGAATGGGGATGCTGGAGAGAAAAGAAGTGCCAAAAACACGCTGGGAACACGATCACCCGAAAAAGAAAGGGGTAACGTACTTGTGGAGTATGTTAAGAAGATCACTGGCTACGGCCTCCCGGTCTTCAGAGATGCGTTGTTCGTGATTGTTCCCTCGGATGGCAGTCACAAGCTCGTCTCGATACTGCTCGATCACGAATCGGACGAGTTGCTGATGTATAGCCGGTTCAGCTAAGAATCAGGCTCACGTCACCAGGTCATTGTGGCTTACCTGAGTCACATATAGGTTTGCTTGCATGACGAGGAAGGGATTGAGGGCGTTCGCCCGAGAAGCGTTCGGGTTATCGAAGAAGTCCTTGACTTCCGCGAAAGTCGCCTGCCTGAACCCTGCTCCACCGTAGTCCGAAGACAGATGCGATTGAGCATGGGTTTGTTTCAATCGAAGTGGCTCTGGCGCATGAATGAGGGCCCCTAGGATCCGGCCGTGTAGGGATTGAACTTCCTCGAGACGTGCGGTCGCGTATTGTCCTTGCGGCGGAGAGCGCTTGTCCACTCGAATTCGAACCAGTATCTCGCCAAGCAAAGCAAAGATCCGGGTAATATAGTTGAGTCCCGACACCAAAGACGTCTTCCCGTGGGGCTGTGGGAGGTACGCACTCGGCGTGATGCTACGTCGACGCCACCAGGAAAAAACAGACGGCGATACTCAGGAACAACCTCGGGTAGAGTTTGGGAGATCGTGCTCACTATTCGTCATCGAGCTCCTTTGGAAAGTGGACAGTACAGTCCTCATCCCTAAGACAGATTGGTCGACCGAGGAGGATGGACATGGACTTGTCCGCTGCAAAATGAAAGAAGCATTACGTCAAAGGGGAGATCGGCTTCGTTGATCATGTTTCGCGCACCTCCGAACAGCAACCAAAAGGTACGCCGGCGGACCTCACATTCCACGAAATCTAGACCCTCGTACGAGGCTTCCTCGTGCATGCGAAGGGTGACAGCGATGTGAGCAGCCTCTCCAAATGCCGCGTGCTGTGTTGCATCGTGTCCTTCACAGAAGTGATAGACACAATCACTAAAAAGCATGGATTAAGGAACCCGCGGAGAGAAGAACCAGCATCGAAATACAGCCATCACTCACAAATAACGGATAACCACATGCATAGATGTTGGAGGGTCATAAGAAGCAACCGAAATGTGCCTGCTTGCTTCATGACATGTTTGAGCAAGCTTCCGAACGGTATGCCGCTCCATTGGTAGATACGATCGCGGCAATTGGACGAGTGTAGATGCCACAGTTGACATGACTAAAGCGAAGAAGAGAGGATCCCGTTCTTCTCGACGGGCATGAAGATCGGCCATAAAAGAAGGTTTGTGTACGCATGGAGTCAAGGGGTAGACAAAGTCGAAGAAAAGAGCTACGATTAGCAAGATCGTATCGCGGGGGGCTACGTCCTCTAGTCGGTGAGGTCGATAATAATAGGAAAGGGCAGGTAGGGCTGTGGGTGCTGGTATGACCTGATGCTGTCGATACGACCAGTTGTATAATGGATAGGTGCTGAATTGTTCTGTCGGAGACGGGAACGTGGGGGTTTCATCAATAGTAACAGAACGTGACCGATCAGGAAGGCGAGAAGCGCTGAACGCAGTTGAGTTCAGAGTAGGCGAAGTTAGTGAGGGGAAATTCGGATGAAACGTATCAGCAGTGATGGTGAAGCGGGATGGGGGTAACGACGCGGTTGGAGAGAGGGCTGAGATACCACCCAAGGATTGTTCGAGGAATCCGGAAGTGGGAGTTGACTGAGCCGAAAGCGTGGGGGCAGATGCCTGGCTAGGGCTGCTAATACTGTGACGGGAGGAAATGGGAGAGGCGGTATCGCCCGACTCCCGATTTTCCTGTTGAGCGGCGGCGGCGGCAGCGGCCTCTTGCAAGCGACGCAGGTAGCTTTAGATAATGTGGTCAAGGGGTGATTGCTATCCCGAGAGCGAAACTTACAGGTTGGGCGGACCTCGCTTTTTCGGCTGATAATCATAAGTGCACGGTATTCCAAGGGCAATGCAATGTTTGCACGACGATTGGGGATCGTCCGAGTTCTCTCTGGCGCATCTTACCTTGCGCGCGCGGCACGCATCACAGCCTTTTAAACGCGTCAATTGATCGTGTACAAGGCAGAGGGACCTAAAGACTCGCTTTGGGACTGCCGCCTGTTGACAAGGGCAGGTACGTCAGTGAGAAGTGAATCAACGAGGAGAGATAAAGAAAAAAAAATAACATGTGAGATCCAAGTTCAGGGGATATACGCCGTTCGCCTGATGCGAGCCGACGCTGGAGGGACTTATAGTACGGTAAGGAGGAGAAGGATGGTGTGTGGAGGACGCAGGGGAAGTAGAAAGCAGAGACGGAGAAAGCTCGGACATCCTGGGACTTACTTTCTCTTGATCTTGCTGTTTTCGGAGCGACCTTCCTTGGGTGTCATGTCGTCAGAACCGGAATCGGTCTCTTTCTTCGGACGTGCGGCAGGCATCAGGACGGCAAGGGGCGAACAGACGGGGGGCGATGGGGGGCGATGGGGGACCGAGGTGGGGGAGAGCAGAGGCTAGCGAGGTCTTGATTTTGAGGAAAACGGAGTCTGTTTGGTGTTCCCGTGGTGTTTGCAACCTGAGGTTCTTCTCAGATATTATAATCAGAGCCAGATCCGGACGAAGCACTGGCCCAGAGGAGAGTTGTAACCCGATGAAATTGCAAACTCAGACGGGATGCGCGATGGACATGCGTTCAACCCGAACCAGTCTGTCACGGGAACCGCTCCCCGTCGTCTCCCGCTCGGCCCTTCTCCGGCTATTCCAGACACCACCCACCGTTCTCCTGGCCCTCAGCCCCGACCACGTGCTCCTGCACACCTTCCCTGCCTCCAACCCCTCCCTTGCACCTCCTCGACCTCTATCTCTCCACGTAACAACTCCTCGCTCCGACCCCCTTGTTCAAACATCTTCTCAACGGCACGACCGACTTCTCCGATGTCGCCGCGGTGTCCGGAGGTCCGGAAGCATTTCCAGCGGTGCCTCTCCAAGTCTGCCACTGCATCCCGTGTTCTATGTCTCATTATGCTCTCCCGCGATGAAATAAATTACTAGCGATGTACATGTAAACTACCCCTGGCCTCGAATTCTAATATGATTATTGCTTCAGCTCGCTCAACATGCCTCGTGCTTCGTCTCCGCCTAACATCGCGTCTGCGTGGTGTCGGCGGATCGCCTTCGCAATGAAACTTCGCAGCGCCCTCTGCTCCCCGTCGTTCCATTCCGCCTTTTCTTTCACAACCAAACGCCAGAACCTGAATGCCAACACCGGCTCGTCCGCGCGCAACGCCTCGATCGCGCAAAACTTTCCCATGTTCGGTGAGGGCAAGTGAGGCGCCTCGAGGTTTGCCTCGATGACCGAGACGCAAAGCTGCAGATTCTCCTTCAAGGCTGCCGGGTCGTCCCGGCTAAGAATGATGCTCGCTCGAATAAGACTTGTCATCGTCTTGTGCGTTAATTGTTGGCCGAGCATCCGCACAAGTTCGAATAATTGTCCAATGATCTGCGTGTCCTTTTTCAGGAGTGCGTGATGGATGACAGTCCCAAAGGTGACATTATCCGGCACAATGCCGCGCACGATCATCCGCCGCATCATGCGCACAGCGCTGCGACAGTTGTACTGGGCCATGACACTCAGGGCGACACTGACATCATGAGCATCGGGAATTTCGAGGCGGTCGAGTAGAACCTGGAATGCATCAAATCCAACAGCGACGTTTCCGAGGAGGAAGTTGGAGCGTGCGAGGGCATTCAGGGAATGATGGGATGCTTCGCCTAAAGGCTCCAGGGTCTCTCGATAATTGTCCAGTACACGCTTTGAGAACGTAACGAGGTCATCCAGTTGCTTTTGCTCTGCGTCTCGATCCTCCCAGATTTCTCGGACTTGGTTCTCCTCCTCCTCCTGGGTTTCGGGGTCAGTCTCAGAGTGCTCCCGCTGCGGTGATGAGGGACCCGATGCTTCGAGCTCTTGTTCCATAATGGGAAGCCCCAACGACGACGACAACCGTCGAATGAGGCTTCCATAGAGGCTGGACATTCGGACAACCAACGCAGCATTTCCCACGACCAACGCCCTATGCTTCCCTACAGAGTACCGCTCGTAAAGAGTCCTCGCCTGGGTAGCGTAGCCATGTTCGGCAGCAAGTGCGATGACCGGTGCACGGTCACGAGGAGAGATGGGCTCGCCGCTGCGAACCACCTGTTTGATCAGTGTACGACCGAGATGCGCGTCCTTCTTTATCGTTGTGAGGTGATGAAGCAGCCACGGTAAAGCGGCGCCATTGGGTGGGGGATACTCGTGTTGGGATAATATCGTTTTTCTGCGCATAGCAGCATAGAACTGCGCGGCGGCTGAAGATCGATGCAAACGTGCGGCAACATCATAGAGCTGTCGAATCAGGCCGTGAGAGACAAACGTCCCGACACGGTGATACGCAAGGTCATTGACAAGAGTAAAGCAAAGGGTCAGGTCCACGTGCGTGGGGAACTCTAGCATCGCGTACAAAGTGTCATTGAACAAATCAAACGTCGGAGGGTCGAGAGCGTCTTGAGTCTTCAGCAGCCCTCGCAGGAAAAGGACGGCTTTGCCACGCCAATGCCAGAACAGACAAGAGCGAACAAGAGCTGATGTGACAATGAACTGAAAGTTTTGCGTTGACATGTCGACGTGGCGAATAGCCTCAGGAGGAATATATTGTGCGTCCACTAGTGATTGGAAGATCGTAAGCGCATGGGATTCCTGGTTGGCTTTCGCGAGCTGGATTATATATGAAAACAAGGACCCAATAACAGCAGAAGGAAGCCTCCGCTGTTGATGTGCATCTATCCCGCGACAGAGGGTGGAGACCAAACGATAAGACAGCTCCTTACAATCCGGAGGGTCCGCCTGCAGGACTGCAAGGGCTACTTCAGCCACGATGTCCATAGTAAGGATGGAGTGCATGGAGGTAGGGAGTGAACGAAACAGTGCGACAAGAGTAGACGGTCGGAAGTGGGGACAATTGTGTGCTGTCAAGAGAGAGCTGACGAAGTTGCGACAACGTGGCGCTGGCACGTACTCCAGAATGTCTCCTGCAAGATTATCCAGTAGATCTGGCAGTCGGAATTTTCTCGCCGCCTTCGCGAGAAGTGCAACGTCTCTAGGCTGCAGCTCCATGACGGACGTCTTGTCTTTGGTTCTCGACTGTGTGTATGTGTGCACGAGAGTGCGCAAGAGCGCGTTCTCGGCGTTGGTCGCAGGCGTTTTGCTCGATTCGGTCGTAATTTCTTCGAGTTCGTCTTCAAAAGGAGTTCCCCCGCTGACTGAATGAAGGCTGCCCAGTGACGCACGTAACTCCATAGATATCGCGTGTCGATTCGTGTTTTGCAGCGGCATAACACGGGAAACATGAGGGCTAGTACTATTGGACGCAAGTGAGGCGCGTGTTTGGGTAAACCTGTGTACATTGCAGGCGCGGGTTGGCGGTAGTCGTATGTGTCCTCGGAGGAGTTGAGAGCGACAAATCAACATAAGTCAGCTGCAGCAGGTCACACAATAACGAGTTTAGTTAAATCCAGAGGCTACATTGAACCAACTCACTCACCGCATGCCGCAAAGACGCCCTAATGCCTGTGGAATTGTCGCCGGTCAACAAGTGCAGTGACGGATGCGTGCCTTCGCAAAAATTGGGAGTGAAAGCGGCGGATAAATACGGACAAACACAAGCTCAAATAGAAGCGCACCATTGGGTGTTGCCTCCTACCACTGTACCAGCTCTTACGTGCCTTCTCATTTAAGAATCTGGCAATGATTCCGTCACTATCTGGGCATGATTCAGAACAACAAGACGAGTGCCATAGTTTATTGAGGCCTGTATGCACAGAGTGTCTTGAGCAGTCAGATTCGAGGTCAGTGGCAATTCTATGGCGCTCATTAATTCATATTTCTGCAGATGATCTTCTGATTTAAGTGAGCTAGCAAGTATCCATCTATGCAACTTATCGGCCTCATTGGTTCTCTTCACGAGTGAACAGACTTAGGCTATCTCCGCCTCATCGGATCCACGAGCTCCCTTTTCTGTTCCATCTAAACAATTTGTTTGCGACGAGTTCCTATTCGAGACAGTTCCACTTACATACCGGGAGACAGTGTACTTCCCGCCAAAGATATTAAGTTGCGCCCGGATACGACGCCCACACACGTGTACATCCGGTGGGTGATGCGGTTCCATTGAGTCCTTGGTCAGTTTCGTTCTAGCGCTCCGGGGAGAGTTTTGTACCTCGAGGTACCTTGGTTCCATTCATATTGGCGGACAGTATACATCAACCAAACAGACATTCTGACCAACCTCCTATTTTGCATTCTTGCAGATAGTCAAGAGACACTCATGAATTATCGTCTCTCGAGTGAGGGTCCGGTTCTGAAGCCGTTATTCGCGTTGTTGCTCGCCATCTTTCATCATATTTAAACAATGCCTCGTCCTATCTCTTGGCGAGTCTCGTGGTTAGTCACCACATAGCGTAGCGTTCACGTTTTCGCTAGAAGTTCCTCTCCTCGTCAGGCTTCATAGCAGTTAACACAAATCGTTGGACCGCTCGTTTGCGTGAATGGACGGTGCACAGGGTCCCAGCATCCGAAGTAATATCCGCCGGGGAAGTTGCCATTCAAAGTTATGACACCTTGGCTGTTCGCGTCCTGAGAACCGCCCCCACCGAAGTCGAAGGGCCCCACACGCATCTCACAGCGGCCGTCTTACCTGCTAGTTGGCGGAGCATCGTCGGATATATGTTGGTTACTTTACGGGAGTACACAATTTAAACACCTCACGGGTCCGCTCGAACTGCCTCCCCACGGGGTATTAGCTGGTAAAGTCCAAAGCTCCCGGTTGTCTTCCATTCCGTTCCTCTCTGCTACAAGCCCGTAAACTGACGCAGACCGCACCGCTTCTTCGAAGTCTTCTAGACAATTGCACCGGAGCCGAACAGAGGAGTAAACCGATGATCAATGTCATGGCGCTCAAGTGATGAGATAACCATTTACTTGGTAGTTTAACAATTTCGTAGATAGATCCTGACATAGCAAGTTGAATTGCCCGTAGTCGTACCACTGAGGTCGACAAGGCGTCCCAATCACGCACTTGTCCCGTGAGCGAGTGCGAGTGCCACGTGCATGGAGGACGTCACGAGCGGTAGGAGTATGAGGGCTGGCCTTGGCTCTGTTTCGCCTTCACACTACCTGCAACCTCACCCGCGTCTGTATCATCCTCCAGAGGTCTCAACGGCTTTCTGAGTCTACCCATGGGTGCAGGTCAATCCACGACTGCTCATGCTCAGCTGCCGTCGCGTGCTCTTCATGTCCTGCGTGTGACGCCATCGTCTCCCGCTTCACAGACCAATATCGAGCCATTCTTTGATTTTGTTGTTGGGTATGAGGGCGACTCTTTGTCGTCGCGTAAAAATATCGATGCCGCTGAACTGGAGAGAATTGTCGAAAGTCACGAAGGCAAGAGCTTGAATTTGTTGGTTTGGAATAATAAGACCCAAGCAACACGAGGTATGTCGCTCTGAACGGTTCATCTCTCCGTCGCTTTTCATCTGTCCACCAGTGATATCAATCACACCTTCTCGAGCATGGTCACAACCATACCCCCATGCCCCTAACCCACGAGAACAGGAGGCGGAACCTCAACCATCGTTATTGGGTCTCAGTATGCGGATGTGTGAGCCCGAATTCGCGGTGGACAATGTCTGGCATGTTCTGGATGTGCTAGAAGGAAGTCCTGCCGAAAGTGCAGGACTTGTTCCGTACGGGGATTGGATCATCGGTTGGTCTGGGGGTGTCCTTAGCGCAGAGGGAGATTTTTACGATGTCGTGGAAGCTGTAAGCACAGTGAATCATACTGGTACAACTCATGCTGACAGACCACGATGATACAAGCACGTAGACAAACCTCTGAGGGTCTATGTTTATTCTTACGACTTTGAGTACGCGCGATCCAATTTCACGCTGCTCTCATTCTGACGACTCTTTAGCACTATTCGAGAAGTTGTTTTGGTACCTAACCGTCAATGGGGAGGAGAGGGCCTCTTGGGCTGTGTTTTTGGGTTCGTCTCTTATTCGCATCACCGAGCCATGGGCGTCTCACTTTCAAACCTTCAGATTTGGGCTCCTACATCGCATTCCTGCACTGCCTACGGACCGGCAACCTGGGGCCATCCCACTTGAACTTCATGACGATGTGAACGAGTATGAGGAGCAGGACCTCTTCGTACCCGCTGATGCGACAGGGCATGATTTGCATGGTACCAGCAGACCGAACCATGATCACGATTCGTTTGCCATCGATTATTCCGGGTCAAGATTCGGGCAAGATTATAGCTACACCTTCTCTAACCGTGGTATAGCTACTCAACCCAGTCAAAACCGACACTTTGTGTCATCTACTATCCAAGAAGAGCAAGAGCCTGCTGGTGTTCCAGTTGCATCAGCGTCTGAATTGTCGGGGCCTCCCCGTCATGCACATCGTCATTCTTCGTCTAGACAGCCCGTTGAAACACCGGATACTCATATGCGGCGGGCTCCTACTCCAACATCAGCACCTCCTTCGACGAACGGTAACCCAGCATTATTTTGACCATATCTGCGTTGCGCTCAACTCTAGGTCTGTATCAAGGTTTCTTGCCTCATGAAACATCTCACTCGGCTCCAGGAACCTTTAACGGACCGGAGGATAGGATGGGCTTGGGCTCCCATGCCAACGGAATCAACGACACTGACGAGACTGATGACGACTTCGATGGACAAGAGAGCATCGCGGGAACAGAGAGTACCGAAGTTGAGAGCGAGATAACTTCTGACCACGGCAGCCTGACTAGCGTCGAATAGCATTCGATCAGAGCTCTGCGAATACTCACGTCGAATATTATGATCAGGTCAAATGATCGTATGGGTGTTGTTAGTTAGTAGTTCGGGGTTATTTCAACGTTAATGCACTCGGGTGATTTGACCCCCAATGGTATGTATACCACTGAGTCCTCTCGTGACATACCAGTATGCACCTTGGCGGGCCGCTCGTAGGAATGGGCATTGACAGAAACCGAAGTGAGTTTATCATATGTTGTCACTGCTGATCATGTAACACAATCGTAAATCTTAACACAGTGCATCCGTCACACGCGTCAAGATGTCCATGTGCCAGCTCCGCAGCAATGAACAAGCCTGAACAAAGCTCAAACTTAAGGTTACCTTACTACCGGAGATCATCCTAGATCATCCTTGACCTATATTGACGGACTCGTCGGTGGCTCAAGAAGTGTCAATTGTCACCGTATGCACCGTCGTTGCCAGGTCCTTTTTTTTTTTTAGCGATGACCATTTGTTTAGGCTGCCATCAGATTTTCGAACTTGTAAGGTCTCCTCGATCCCAGGGGAACTTCAGAAATTGACCTTGTTCTCTTCGATCTACTAGCCTTCAATCAAAACCTATCGAATCTTGTCCGCGGACATGAGGATTGGCTATTTGAAAAAATAATCAGGAACATCCAAGACAGAATCTAGGATGATGATGCTCGCAAACTTCCTTCGAAGTCCATTTAGCGAGCAATTCGCCAAGGATGGCGCGCGGCCCGGCTGAATACTAAGTCTCGACTTGTGGATGCGCAGAAGCATCCGCCACGCTTGTCGTCTCTCCGACCCTCACTACGCATGACCAGGTATTCATGCACGACGATTGTCCGTTCAGGTTACACATGACGCGATTTAGGGTGATGCAAGGTGTGACGGACAGGGCGGTCCCGTACATATAAGTGAAGGTACCTACCTCTCGTTGAGATGCATCCTACCAGTGATACCGCTGTCTAAGGATGGTACAATTCTGGACGTCAATTATCTCCTTACTTTCTGCTCTACCTCTAGCGTTCGCGGCATTCGGGGTAACCACGTCAGGAAGTAATCTTGTCGTAGACTCGGGCGCTGGTCTTGTTACGACAAGTATGTCCACTTGCCACATGATTTTGGAACAAATTATGACCATCTCGCTTTCACAGTCAACACGGCAAACGGCGATATCACTTCTCTAAAATTCAATTCGATACAGTTGCAAGATTCGTCCAAGTTTACGCAACTTAGCTCTGGACTTGGATCTGCTACTGTCACATCGTCTGTGGCGAATAACATTGCAGTGGTTACTATCAAAACGAGCACTATTGTATGTGTCTTCTGTTCCTATTGAGCTTGCGTTAAGTTTGATCGCTTCTCGGTTTCAAGACGCATTATTACATCGTCCGCTCTGGGGTCAACACTCTTTACATTGGAACATATGCCTCTGCTGAGCCCTCAGTTGGAGAGTTGCGCTTCATTGCTCGTCTTTCCAAGTCCACTCTTCCCAACGGACCCACTCATTCTGAGGTGAATGGCGGCACGGCGATCGAAGGTTCCGATGTCTTTTCATTGGACGGTGAAACCAGATCCAAATTTTATTCCAGTGTGGGTCTTGGAACGTAACACTGCATCCATTTTAGTCAATATTGACTGTGCTGCCAGGTGAGATTCATTGAAGACACTGTCCACGGAGTTACAGGTGAGGTAGATTATTGAATCTTTACCTTCAACCGCGGTGACACTAATATGTTATCTTCCATTGTGTTGCAACGATCAAATAGGTTCGAGTGTAGGTGCCTATATCATTATTCCTGGAACTGGATATGAGACATCCTCTGGCGGCCCTTTCTTCCGTGGTACGGTTGTACACGAACTTTGGATTCCTTGCCATTTGTGACTAGAAATATTTCCAGATATCGACAATCAAGGAACTGCTCAGCAGGAAGTATACTTCTACATGAATAGCAACCACGAACAAAGTCAGACGGGCTGTCATACATGAAACGATGGTATTCTGACCTTCCTCGAAATAGCGGAAACCTATCGCACCGGATTCTTTGGGCCTTATGCCTTAGCAATTACCACTGGAACGGCCCCCTCTGGTAGTTTAGACACATCATTCATGGATTCCTTGGGCCTGCAAGGCTACGTTGCAGCCTCAGGGCGTGGAGCAGTCTCAGGTTCTTACTCTGGCACTCTATCCGGTGTCGCTGTTACCATTGGGTTTAAGGTGTGTCCAGTCGTTGATTGATGATTAGAGTGTCGATTGAAAATCAATCATAGAATAGCGCTGCACAGTACTGGGCATCTGGGTCAGGGTACGATATTTTCCTTATTAATGACCACTGCTCCTAATGAGCCACCGCGACAGTGGATCGTTCGCCAGTCCAAAGATGAAGCCAGGAACATACACAGTAACACTCTACCAAGGAGAACTTGAAGCTGGTACCGGTAGTGTAAGTGCACATGTTGTATCCGCTGAGACATCTGTTCTCATTAAATTCACTGTTCATAGGTTACTATTTCCGCAGGAAAGATATCTTCTCTGACCCTCACCTCAAGTTTAAGCACACCCTCAACAATTTGGAGCATCGGTATGTGCTGTCAACTTGTTTCATTTTAGAGTGATGTGTACCCTGATTGTTTTCTAAGGTACCGTCGACGGGACCCCTTCAGGATTCCTGAATGCTGATAAGATCGAGACGATGCACCCGTGCGTAATCTGAGGTTTCATGCTGTGCGAAGATCAGTTACCTCAACTGCGCATGATAGATCGGACTCGCGGATGAGTTCGTGGGGCCCCGTAACATTCACAATCGGGAGCTCCTCCACATCTTCTTTCCCAATGGCACAATTCAAAGACGTTAACAGTCCAACGACAATCAAGTGGACAGCCACTTCGTCTCAAATTGGTGCTAGAACCCTGCGTATCAGGACCACGGAGGCATTCGCAGGCGGACGTCCTCAAATTATGGTCAACTCTTGGACATCTTCCGCTCCTGCTGGTCAGTATCTTGCATCCAACATCCTCATTGAGATGGAAACGCTGAAAGGCATACTGCGGTTCATAAAGCACCGACCGCTGTCGACTCCCGTGGCGTCACTCGTGGTACCTGGCGTGGTCTCAATCAAGTGTACGACTTCGCCATCCCAAGTGGCACCCTTGTTGCTGGTTCAAACACAATTCAGATCAATGTTATTTCAGGGAGCAGTGGGGATGATTTCTTGAGTCCGAACGTTGTCTTCGATTCTGTTGAACTGTTCTAGTACTGAATCTGGTCGATCCTCGATGTCACACCTGTGATCGCCGCGTTTGAGCCCAATTTCTTGAGGCTTCAACGATCTCCGGACTGAAGCATGGGACGCAATGCATATTATCTGGGCTCAAGCGCATCAAAATATATCTTACAAAACACAGTCGCCCCATATCAAGTCAAATACACAGTCTGAGAAATTAGACGCTATTAGACTCCTCACGATCCAATCCAGTCTTCTCCTTGACTTGGGGCTTGAATTCCAGATTAGTCGCAATCACGGGCCATACTTGTAAGAAGGACATTTAGCGAAGGATTGCTGAAGTGCTCAAGCGCTGAACAAATTATTCAAGGCTTACCTTCTTCAAAGCCAGGATGCCTGCCAATACGAATCTGCTGCCACACATTTCGCATCGCGTCTGATGATCTAATATCTGACCAGTGATCCAAGAAAAACTTGACTTGAACCTAATATATTAGTTAAGCCGCGGAAATGATCCTTTATAAAAACACGGGGAACAGTACCTTTCTGACGGTTTCAAATATGCCAGAGAACGTGGAGAATACCTCGTACGGTACATTCTCGACAGTGAGGGAGTTTGTAATGTGCTATCGACGCGAAAATCAGAATATGGTCGAGACATGGCAACCAACGCTCCCTTACTTGGAAAGCGCGCTCCCTGAGTTCGCGCAGGTCAAGCTCTGATACACATTAAGCATAGCCAGAGGTGTATCCCGAGGAGACAAACTCACTGTCCGCAAGTCTGTAGACAGCCTTTGCCGAACACGGTAGTGCTATCTTTCCAGCATTATCACGCTCCCATTGTTGCAGCCATTCTCTTCGTGATCGCGCGGCGACACTGGTTGACGGCTCTCCCTGGGATTGGGCGGTGCGCAACGTAGCTCCCAAATTGGCTTGACTCTCGTTTGGAGTCTGAGTTGATGTAGTTGAGATTGTGACATGCGGCGTCGTGTTGAAAGAGGAAGACAGTGGCGCGAATCGTATTGTATCCGTGTACAACTAAGAGAATTTATAAGCTTGGGATAAAACAGATCGGGAAATGTTGAAGACACTGAACGTAGTGGAGAACGGCAAAATAAGTCGAATAAGCAACGTCTTTGACAACCACACGCATTTTGGATGGACCTGCTAATGTGTTGGGATATTCAGAGGCGAGTGCCAGTGGAGAGTCGTGGCTTCTAGGGCTTGAGGGATGTGATAGCTTGGCCCGAACATTGCGACGATCTTCGCCTTCGTCTGCCTTGTCTGTATCATCTGTAAAGTCTATATTGGATGTGAACGGCTCTGCAGGGGGTTTCGGTGCAGCCTCCTCATCATTGTTCGTATCTTCGGGCAATAAAGTTCTGTCTTCAAATTCCAATTGCGAGATGTCGGCGCTTGCGTTGTCCAGTATGTCCTCGTCTTCCTCATCAGAGTCTTCAAAGTTGCCACTGAATGCTGTCACTTCAGAAGCTCTATCGTTAGTTTCTGACGGTGAAGCGATGTTTGCGATAGTGAGGGGAGTATCATCGTGTGATGCTTCAGCAAAACCAGAGTTGAACACTGAAATAATGGGGTAAGTTTTCACCAGAAAAGAGATTGTTGAGGGTAAGTACTTGTCGCAAAATAATCAGCACGGCCGAGTAGCTTCTTGGCAGCATATATTCTTTTGGCATTCTTCAAACCCGTACCTCGCCGAGGTAAGACGAACTCAACATCTGAGTAAAGTGGATCGTCTAAAAGAGATCCAACTGAGTCAAGCAGGTCTTTCGGCACAGCTGTTCTTGGAATTGGAGGCGGTGGCTTGGGAGTCGTGGGAGTCGAAGTAATAGTGCATACAATGACGAATGCGTCGGCGGTCTGATGAGACAGCTCAGCGGACCGATCAGGTAGATAAAAATCGTCAGCTTACCTTGACACTATGACGTTGATAGTATACAGCGTCTCTACGTGCGAATTGTGCCCTACAAGACATTTAGCGCACTGATACGGTGCCGGTCTGGAAAAGGCACTAGTACCATCCCCAGTTTGCGGTCTGTATCCCAGTTGAGCTTTGTGTATGGAGAAAGAAGAAGTAACACTCGCTTTGTATGAGAATGAGTGGTTGTGTGCTTCCTTCATGTTGAAGAGTTCTTGTTTAGATAGGCTACGTGGATGTATGCGTGTATGTTCGTATCAAGACAAACTCGGATAGCTCAACTTGCGAAGCTCAAATGTGAATCGAAACAACCCTTCGCGAACCCACCTGTTTGCATTAGTTTACTGCATCTAGGGATCTAGGTACGTATGGCATCTAGCGAATGTACTCACTTTCCATTCAAAGAGTTGTCCTTTTCTTCTTGCGTAGGCTTCACGAAGTCAAAATTAGATCATAGTGAGATATGAGATTGAGACACACTTCGCATGAAAGAAACAAGCTGATATGGCTGCTAGCATCATTGGCATTGCCCGTCCCAGCGTTCGCATAGAATAGGATCTAATTATCAATGAAACGGTGGTCAGTCTAAAGCTTCCGGAAAATTAGTGTCAACATACTTGCCACTGACCGCTCCCGAACTTCACTGACTTGGTCACCTTGGATTTAGCCTCACCTTTGCTAGGTGGATATAAGTAGACGCTGTGAGTATACTCGACGACAGTTAGATGATCACACACCTCGACTCAAATAAGTGCCGTAGCCCCTTCACAGTCCATTCGAACGTGATAGAGTTACTCTCCTGAAACTCTTCAACATCCATCCTTTCCGAAGTGTTTAGCAAGTTGTTGGCACGCCTAGGGTCAGTACTGGTGTGACAACGATTGAAGTGACGAATCGCTGAAAGTTGGTCCAAGTCGTGAGGTTGCGATTACATCACACATCCATTTAGGGGTAGAGGGACTATCGCTGTTTGTACTAAGTTACAGCAGGTGCAGTATGACAAACTACAGTACATATCAATGCAAAAACTCAATCACTTTCCGCTAGCCAGCATCTTCCTGAAATCGTCTTGCCCTTTCTTCGACTGAGAATCTGACAATGTGGGAACTTCTGATGACGTGGGAGCGACAAGTTTTCGCATCTGCCCCAATTTCGCCTTCGGTCTTGATTTCGCAGCCCTTGGTACAAATAATCCGCTGGGTGCAGCGCCAGAATGTGAAGTACCCTCTTCAGAGAGCTTTAACGTGACCCCTTTGAACACGATTGGTTCTGGGTCCAATAGCAGCTTTCCAGCATCCTGAAAGTGCATGAGCCACGGATATATATACTTTGACTAAGTACTTACCGCGACATTTTGAAATTCAACCACAGCCTCGTTCTTCTCCACGAGAACTTCCACTCGAGAGATTTGGGCACGCTTCTCGAGGACTTGTTGGAGGAGGCCTTCTTGTGTTCCTGGAGGTAAATTGTGGATGCGTAGAGATCGAGTACGCATATCTGCACGCTTCCCCAAACCGCTTTCAGGCTCGCTGGTAAAAATTAAGGATCAACCTTCTTGGACAACCTTACCATATTTGACGCACCGTTTGCGAGACCGCACTCGAGTATCTGCTAATGTCACTGCAATCCTCCGCTTTTTCAACTCGTAGTTGTTCGCATCCAGTGCAGTGATTGCATCTTTCTTCATTGGCAAAAACCTGTCATTATGTGCACTCTTGACGGGTCACGAATGAACTCACTTCTTCTTCGAATTCCACAAACGCGAAGCCTTTTGAGTGGCCCTCAGGATCTGTTGCCATTCGAATATCTTTGATAGGCCCATACTGTAGTGAAAATAAGCGAGTCCTCGATACCATGCACAAAGCACAAGGAGCGTACAGCTTTGAAGAATTTCTTGAGATCTTCATCTGTTACAAATCTGCTCAGACCTGCCACGTAGACCTCTCTCGCGTTTGCACTGACGTCGCTGCGATCCTTCTTCCGCTCTGGATTAGAGATGTAAACGTTTAATTTCAGATCTGGTTCTAACTCGTGATTATGAAGAGTCAGTGCGTCGTTGGCCGATGCCTGATGCAGCAGAGGCAATAAACGTGAATACTCATTTTGATACTCAAGATATGGGCTTACTGGCGAAGTAAACTGAACATAGCAGAACCGTCGAGTACTCTTAAACTTCTTACTCGGCCAGCGGACATCGAAGACAAGACCATACTGAAAAGTGGCTGGTGAATGACAGAATGGATTATCCTCAGCCTGCATATACTCACCTTTCCAAACAAGTTTCGGATGAATTCGTCGTCAACTTTTTCCGGAAAGTTCGTCACGTATAATGTTGACTGCCAAGCAAGATGAACTGCAATCTCTACGTCATGCAGGCGTTTCTTATCCTTAGTTAGTGCAGCTGGAACGCTTTCTCGGTTGATGAACTCGATAGTTGCCACAAGCATATTCGGCAAATGAGTGGTCTTCACCTCACGAACGTTACCGCACTTGTAATGAAGATTGAAAACGGCTGAGTGTGAGAAACGAAAGATGATACGTACGTCCTTGAACAACTTTACGAGATCATCCTCTGTTGTCTCTACAGGTAGATTTGCAACAAAGACAGTGCTGTTTTCTCGGTCTCTGAGATGAAGAGCGCTGTTATGGTTCGATGTTGTGAGGTAGAAAAGATTAACGCCCACCTTTTGAGTGCTTGCGAGGATTCTAATCTGTACGATTAACTCGGCTCTAATGATACTCATCATCTACCACTTACCGATCTTGGTTTTCTTGCTCCCCTCGGCACTGATTACGTCTTCAGCCTTTCTTTTCAAACTTGTCGTAGCTGATGGTATACTGTCGACATCCATGGGAGCTTCATGATCTCCATTCTGTCTCGACACCGGAATATGGGTATCTGTCGCATGCTGTTCCGCGGCCATCTGCATGGACTGTTTCTGCGCCTTTTGTGCTTCCTGTGCAGAGACATCAGATTGCTTGATGAGCATGTAAGAATCGGCAATGAAGTCACCTTCACACGCTTTGTATTCACTTGCGTGCGCGCTGTGGCTACCTTATCAAGACATTTTTCCAGAGAGAATACTGAACCGCGAGCGTGCTCCATAGATTCCCAAGCTTCCCAAACAGCTTCTGGCCAATCAATATTAGAAGTAGATATGCGATCGAACACAGTCCGTGCAGTTGCATAGTCGCTTTGTTTTCTAGAATTTTAGGCATCAATGTATACTACTCATGAGATTAGGATGAGATGTCGCACATTAACTCGTCTGTGTAAGCTGTCCAAGCCAGATAGCTTGTTTTGTAGTGCTTTGCAGTCTCTGCCCAGACGTTTATCGCATCCTTATGATCACCAACATCATTTCGCTGATGATAGGAGGCTCATTAGGAGGCTCATGATGATATGACGCACAAAGATAAACACAGGTTGAACGCACCAGCTCCACTAGGAATTTCTCAATCCTGAATCGAGGATCACCAGCTTCTGATGCTATGATTGTGCATTACAGCACGACGAGAACGCTAAGCAATCGTCCGTACTCAAACGAATAGTTTCCCCCACTCACCAGTCCTGACAGATTGTATACCAGATTCCAAGATTTGGAATAGATTAGATAGAGCTTCTGCACCGTCCTCTGCTATTTACAAGTGTAGTGTCAGTGCCTCGATGTTATTGAGATCTTGTGCAACGCACAAGCTTCCAAAGATGTTATGCTCCGTTTTTCATACCCGGCTCGTGCCAACACGAGTGGGACAAATTGCTCAGGGTCCGTCTGGAACAAACCTGTTGCAATGGCCTTGTCATACAAAGCTTGGATTGGGATGAGGAGATGGTTTTGGGAAAGACATGACCATGATTCACCTGCAACCGGCTCGGCCTCACCATTGTCGATCAACTCTTCGTTAGATTCCTGATATAGCTCTGATTCAAATCTAGCACCGAGAGCATGATAAGGTCTTGTACGCACCAAGAAACGGATGTAGCGAGCCCATATCTCTCCCGAGCGTGGGACGCTCTTCACGGCGCGCTGAAAGATCTTCAATTGCAGGCGGTCATCCCCGTGGTGTTGACGCTGTATGACAGATACATTATATCAATGTCATGGAAGGTGAGTATACAGGCTAGATTGCTGACAGTAGTGTCAATATATCCAATCCAGAATGTGACGAGGGCTGGTTCAGCGTCCGCTACTCCAGCAAAACGCTGTTTGGCGGCGTCCGCAATTGCTCTTTCACATATCCCTGAGAACATCGCTAAATCAGGTTTCCTGGGCCGGCGTTCATAGTCGATGTAGTAATTATAAGCTGCAAGCGAATAGCCGGCTTGAGACTGTCGGTATTGGTGAATCGCTGATGTGATCTTTTTGGTGCATATGACCTACCAATGATGTCTCATACTTTTCTCTCCACTCGTAAGCTTTAACGGCCTTGGAACGATATTTAGATGCGGATACGAGAAGTGATTCATACTCTGATGGTGGCTTTTGGTTAGTAGTGAAGGAGGAGTATGATTGAAAAGTCTCTTCGTGATCTAGGAGGGGATTAGGGATAGTGAGGATGATTACTTCGATTTGACACACTTGAATGGGGTTGTTGCAGGTGCTTCAGATGCAATTCGTCAATCCACGCGACCAAAGCCGGCCTTGCACAATGGAAATAGGTGAGTTCACGACAAACGATAGTTTGTGAACAATGTTACCGCTCCTCCGCAGGCGCGACCTCTAGCATTTCGAGTTCCCAGTCACGTTGAGCCTCCCATAATTCGTGACCCTGGCGAAAATTCAGATATCCGTCGATCATGCACAAAAGAACGAACCTTGGTAAGGTGAGCCGAACCTTTGGAGACCACTGAAGCGAGAGATTTGCGCGTCCATGACGTGGAAAGTAACTCATCCTCGTCCTGACCATCGCTTAGCTTCACACCAGACTCAGAAAGAGAGGCATGTTGTTCGATGAGAAAGCCAATATGTTTGCGAAGGAGGGGTATAGCTAGAATACAAATAAACAAAGCCACAACAATCTAAAGGTGAAAAACGCACACAAATAATCGTCCTCTGCCTTGTTATACAAATCTAGCACCTCTTGCACCCCTTCCCGAGACCCCAAATCAACAGTTTTCTCCTTGGCTTCTATGAGAGGAAGCCAAACTTCATCCCCGGCAGCCCAATAAGCCACCATCATTTCGCGAGCCAGGTGCTCCTGATCCTCCATGCTTGCTGCGGACGCCAAGCCAATATGGCGAGCATGGAGGGAGATATCATAGGGATTTGCGGAAAGGTCAGTGAGCAGATTTGACAAAGCCTCTAGCGCTTCTGTCTCGTCCATATCGGCCAGTGTCGTAGGACGATATGTAGCGAGTGTGTTGAGGGCCGAGGTGCGTGGCGCGGACTCGATGGTTCTGAATGACCGTGTGCCGCCCACATACTTGGGAACATAATCCCACGGCCCTCATTCAGGAACTGCCGGGCCGCTGCAATCGTTTGTGCAGTCACGATGGGAATGAGAGGCAAAACATGAATTCCCCCGATAATCTATCGCTCTTACTCTCCGTGTCGTTTACACATCTTCAGACATAGTAACCGAAATGTCTTCGTCCATTCTTAGGTCTGAGACGATTTTCGATCTCACTGGTCGTGTTGCGCTTGTCACTGGAGGTGGAACTGGCATCGGTTTGATGATAGCGAGCGGACTGGCGACAAACGGTGCCAAGGCATGAAGAATCATTGAAAATAGTCGTAGTTTCTTACATATGCTTACAGGTTTATATTGCGAGCCGTCGTAAGGACGTTGTACAGAAGGTTGCAGACGAGTGGAGGTCTCAGGGTCCGGGCACTATCATCGCGTACGTCTAATGCTCATGTTAGTGTACATAACTTCTGATACTTGAAAAAAGACTGTCGATGGATGTGACAGATCGGGATAGCATTTTGGAGGCCAAGAAAGTCATCCAGCAAGCCGATGGCAAACTTCACATCTTGGTCAACAAGTAAGGAGTCACGCAGACATCACGAACAGCTACTTCATTTTACGCAGTGCTGGTGCAGTAGGGCCCACCACACCCTTCCTTAACAATCTTCAAGCCCCAGAGCACAAGGACGCGGAAACTTTGGGAAATGCTCTCTTCAATGATGCCGGATTTAACGCATGGAGTTCGCTCTATAGCATCAACACCTCCTCTGTCTACTATGTGACAACCGCCTTCCTTGGTCTGCTTGACAATGGCAGCAAAGATATCCCAGGTTATACTGCCAGCGTGATCAACATCACAAGCATAAGCGGCGTCATCAGCCTAGCTCAGGGCCATGTCAGTCAGCATTTACATGACTTTCATTCTTGTAAATTGACTTCTGCCCTCCTTGCGTGAAAAGTTCTGCTATAACAGTTCTAAAGCAGCCGCATCTCATCTCACCAAGATGATGGCCACTGAATTTGCGCTGAAGGGCATTCCTGTCCGCGTGAACGCTATTGCTCCAGGTGTATACGCCTCCGAGATGACGTTCGACGCCATTGAAGGTCCTGAGGCAGTCGCAAAGATTGCGCAGAGTGTTGTGCCTGTACCTGCTGCTAGATCTGGGACGTAAGTCTGTCGTTAATAAGATTCGTTTGTCGTGAGATATTGATCACAACCGCAGGCCTGGCGAGATAGCTGGAACAGTCATCTATTTATCCTCTCTTGCTGGGTGCTACACAAACGGCCAGGAGATTGTAGTTGACGGTGGTTACGTAGCCGTGAACCCTTGAACACGGTCTGTAGAGTTATAGAATACCTTGGTCAAGAAGCAGTGGCACTGCCAATGGGATACCCTAGACGAACGAACACAAACACTCTGTGTGCGATTGAAAATGGAGTGTATAAGTCTCTTCCTTCCAGATGAACGGCCCAATTTGAAACGATAATTGCGGCAAATGAGCAGCTGCCCGATTGGTAGCAAATGACGTCAGCCGCACCTGGGCAGCCGTCATTTTTTATACTGATCTGGACGCTTCTGGACACCTAAAGATCCGTATACGAATTTTTGTCATCTAACAGCCTTTCTCGAAACTATTAAATCAAAATTGTGACCACTCAACTGGAATACAAAGACCATCTGACTTGCCCAGAAACAAATGACTCGTGCGCACACCTACCACATATAAAGACAGTCGATGGTGACCGTGGTGAGTTTCGGTTCCTTCCCATTGCACCCACCCGTATCTGAATGTCTCCAATAACTTTCGACTGCATCGTCATCGGCTCAGGCAATGCGGGCTGCTGTGCAGCGCTTTCTGCTGTCGAGCATGGCTGCAAGCGTGTGGTCGTGATAGACAAATGTCCCGAGGAATGGGCTGGCGGTAACGGGTACTTCACCGCAGGAGCTTTTCGTACCGTTCACGGTGGCCTTTCCGATCTCCTCTCCGTCGTCCCTGGTGTTTCTCCAGAATTGGCGTTGAGGACAGACATTGACCCTTACTCCGAGGAGGACTTTGCCAACGACATCGTCAGAATATCAGACGGGAAAAGTGACATGCAGTTGGTGAAAGCGGTGGTCGATGGTTCGAGAGATGCCATCACTTGGTTGGCAAAATTTGGAATCCCGTTCACTTTATCGTTCAATCGACAGGCGTACGAAGTGAATGGGAGGCAAAAGTTTTGGGGTGGGATGGCTTTGAGCACAGACGATGGAGGAAAGGGCCTGATTCGAGCACATCAGACAGCTCTCCGAAATGCGGGGGTGGAATCCTGGTTTGAGACGCCTGCTTTGAAGCTTCTGATTGAAGATAGTATAGTCAAGGGGGTGGAGGTGGAGAGAAGTGGAGAGAAGCAAATTCTGAAATCAAAGGCAGTAATACTAGCGTCAGGAGGGTATGAATCGAGTGCACAACTGCGCGCGAAGCATCTTGGTCACGGTTGGGATAACGCGAGGGTGAGTCGGCTAGATCTATCCATGGCTTGTTTCACGTTTCATCCTTTCTCTCAGGTGCGTGGAACTCCATACAACACCGGCGATGGTATCTTTATGGCAAAAGCGGTAGGCGCAAAACTTTCCGGCGACTGGCAAGGTTGTCACAGCACCTGCTGGGATGCCAACGCGAGTCCTGACGCTGGTGATCGAGTGCTCAGTAATCAATTCACAAAGTCTGGATATCCGCTCGGTCTCATGATCAACTCCCTTGGACGTCGCTTCGTCAACGAAGGAGAAGACCTTCGCAATTTTACTTACGCCAAGTTCGGGAAAGAGATCCTTCGCCAGCCAGGTGGATATGCGTTCCAAGTTTGGGACTCTCAGGTCACCAACTGGTTGAGGAAAGAAGAATATAGCGACGGCATTGTCGAGAAGATTTGGGCGGATTCGCTGGAGGAACTAGCGGCGAAGTTGGAAGTAAAGGGCTTGGAGGACGTGCAGTCGTTCGTTCACACAGTGCGCTCATACAATGCCTCGGTGACAGCCTTCCGATCATTGCATGCTGTCCCCGAATGGAATCCTGCCGCGAAGGACGGTCTATCGACAAAGGACCTTCCGCTTCCGAAGTCCAACTGGGCATTGACCATTGACAAAGCGCCATTCCTGGCGGTCAAAGTTGCTTGTGGCATCACCTTCACCTTCGGCGGCGTAGCTATTGATTCTACGACTGCGGGTGTTCTTGACGATACTGGTAAGGAGATCGAAGGTCTATTTTGTACGGGAGAAATGGTAGGGGGTTTATGGTATGGTAATTATCCTGGTGGCAGTGGTTTGACTGCTGGTGCAGTATTCGGAAGGAAGGCAGGGCGAGCAGCAGCCGAGTTAGTCAAGCGTGTTTGATCAATGCTCAATGTACGTACGTCTTCTGTGATTGACTTGCCCCGCAAACAAGTATCTGCGCGATATCGCTCGATGATCCGATCTCTCAATCCAGCAGGTATATTCTTTCTGGGTTGAATTCATGGAGGTTTATACGGAGACAAAGTACATTGGCGGACAAATTGTCTGGCGTGGTGTGATCAAATTATTCAAGCCAGGGAGCCTGGTAGGAATCCTTATACTTTTGCGGCTTTTCTGTTTCTGCTGTATGTTTCTCTACGATATCGCCCCAGGATTAACTTCCGCGATCAGTTCCGACCCTCGTACCCTCGTTGATCATTCTAGCGTCTGCGCTACTACGAAACTGATCCAATGGGGCTTGTAAGTAGTCTGAAATACACGTCTCCTCAGTCGTCATCGCGCAGGCGAGCTACATCCTGCAGATTTGGTGTTTACCAGTGCAGCATTCTGGGAAAGTCTCGGGGGCAGCCTGTTGGCATACCTGGGCTGGGTGATGACTTCGCCGCACGCAAGGTAGCTATTGACCAAGTTCGAGAATGGATTGACCTCGATTTTGCTCACTGCACAGGGTCTGACCCGGTTTTTGTTGGTGATGTGCTTTGGTGATACCGCTTGTCGTGAGCACCCCGTCTGGATCCGACGAGCTATCTTGCTGATTCATTGAAGGAGTTTGCGAAAGTCACCTTCATCACGATTATGACAACTTCATCAAATCTCGCGGCGACCGCTCAATGACATGATAGTGATAAAAAGCTTGTACTGTATTCTGCGTTCTCAGCCCTCTTGCCGAGAGCTCTCCTTGCTGAGTTCCTTAACAATATGGAAGCACCAGAGAAAAGTATGGCACCGTCTGTATTTCACGCCAAGGCCGACAACTTTCTCCCTCGGGGAGCTCGAACGGATCGACAATGTATCGTAGGCCTCAGACCTGTGGAAACTCCCCCCGCAGGTCTTCGTGACAAAGTGATCGGCAGTATGAAACATAGGCCAGAGACAGACGGTTGGCTGGCTGGTAAACAGAAAAACGTCAGACATTGTTCGCTTGCGAAAAAGCCGGACCCTATGTGCTCCAGGTGCACAACTTCATGTTTATTTGCGATCGAGTGTCCTTGTGATTTCCCATTCGAGCCCAGGTTCGAACTAGCTCGTTACTGTGATGCAAGATAGTTGGTCCCCCGCGCTTCATTGAGCCCCTCTCATTCACGTTTTCATATACAGCCAACACACAAGCCTACTTGTAAGAAAAAGCTAACTTGAACACTAACCTGATTTGAGTTCGGGGACAGAGCACAGCGGAGCTCGCGCAAGGTGTGTATACGCGAACGACAGTTTTATGTAGATGTGTACGCACTGCGATAGAGCTTCATTGAAGAATTGTAGGTCGGTTTTGAGCGCTTTGAGCAGAGCGGCAGTTCAAAATCCGAATGACAATGACGTCGCCAAATCGCGCTTGCGGGGAAACCACTTTACCACACTTACTTCCAACACCCTCTTTCAGCGTCCATCGTATTTTCATCTAGTCTCGTCACTCCTTCCACCCCTTTGTACTCTACCTCACTCTTCCCTTCTGCGTTCAGGCAATATTCATGCCTTCTCCGTTGGGCGACGTTGTTCATGACGTCGCTGCACCCGACAGCAGACGTGAGCCCCATTCTCCGAAGGTTACTGCACAGGACGCCTCGCCAAACAGCGGCGCTGCTCCCGTATCCCCTATCATTAGCTCCCCCGGATCTCCCAACATAAATTCTCGCAAATCGGTACACTCCCGTAGATCAACCCACTCTTATAAGGGCTCACCCGCTCTCACCCCCGCCACGAGGACAGGTCCCCCTCGTTCCCTCTCGTACACATACAATCAACCCCGCCCGACCTCTTCATCTCGCTCAAACTCTGGGTACGAAAATGGTGAGATCCAGGAAGTTCCTATTACTTCACCTCAGCACGCAGACGAGGAAGACCCTTATGCATATGACTATACTCCCAGAGAGTCACACTTTCGTGGTGCGCTAGAATACACAGAGGCAGAAAAGAAAGAGCGCGAAAAGGACATCGCTGAGAGAAGAGGAAAGAGGAAAGATACTAGTATCTGGGATGACTGGAAGTCCAAATGGCGTCCAGAGCATCTGACTGACTCACCTTACGAGGAGAAGCAGACCTTTAGCTGGGAATCGCAGGAGGGTCGCAAGGGCTCACAGGTTTCCGCAGATGATTCTGACAGACTAGTGGGGCTGCGCTCTGCGTCGCCTTCGTACCAGCAGCCTTCATCCGGATCTCGTATCGTGCGTAGCATATCTTTGCCGCACAAGAATTCTGGAGGTACGGAAAAAGAGAAGGACGATGGCACAAGCAAGTCGGGTAGTACGACGGCCAAATGGAACCGTTTGCGTTTCTTGATCCCCACCGTAACTTCACAGGCGCAGAAAGAAGCTCAATCCTCCACTGTTGCACCCACAGGTGTAAACATCACCGACGAGCTAATCGCAGGTGGACTTTCTACTCTTATGTTACGGCTCTGGTTTGAGCGCGACGAGAAGGATCGTAGGCGTGTCCCAGTGCTCTTGCATAGGTTACGCATCCGAATCAGCGACAGTCTTCATCCTTTACACGGTACCCAAAGTGTGTTCCGCATAGAATGTGAATACGCCAATGGCGCCGCGCGGTGGGTTGTTTATCGCCAACTGCGCGACTTTCTCTCTTTACACACGCACTATGCGGTTTCGAATGCCTACAATCGCAATGTGGACAATCTCCCTGAGTTCCCTCGCACAAGTATGTATATTGGTCTGTTCATAGATGGCCAAGTTAATCATACTCCGTCAGGTCTGCCGTACTTTAAATTCCTGAAAAAGGAGAGCCGCGAGAAAGGCGGGGAAGTCAAGCGAGCTGATTTTGCTCGTCTCCAGAGAGAGGCACTGGAAGACTACCTTATTAGTCTAGTCAGAGCTGTCGTAAATACATCTGCTTCATCTGTTGCATTACTTCATTGATCCTCCTTTATTATAGATGTTTCATCCAGCTTCAAACAGGTTAGCTGGTTTTCTGGAGATCAGTGCTTTGTCTATCTCTCTGGCGCAGTCTGGAGGCGCACAGTACAAGGCTGGATATCTCCGGGTCGAGGCAGTGACTAGTAATAAGCCTTCGGGCTTTGGACGCAGAGCGGCAAGCCGGCGCGAGAAAAGAGAGCAGAAGTGGTGCTCTATCAGGGAGAGCTATCTCGTCGCCGTGGAAGAACCAGGACAGGTGCGAACAGCTCATGACTTGTGTTTGTTTTATATGCACTAACATCGTAATCAGACTTCTGTCTGGGATGTGTTCATGTTGGATCCCGACTTCAAGATCGAACGGCCTATGCGATACTATCGTCAAGGCTTGCACCTTCTTCAAGGGGAACAACACGAGCGACAGTCTGAGGAGGTCAAGGATAAGGGTGACGGCGAAGAACACGCAACTAGTGATCGCGTGTCTCTATTGGGCTCTATCAGATCTCGCTTTTCCAAGGTCCTTCATCCTCACCACGCCAACGGCACTGTGGAACGCTCAAGCGCATCTACACGGCCTAGCGATCTCACACGGCCAAGCGACGTCACCCGTCCAAGGTCAAACTCTACAGCTTCATCCTCGTCATCTACATCGTCGCGTCCCCCAACCCCCATGTTAGACCCATCCACAAATACCAATCCCTTGATGGAAGCACCAAGCAAAAACCAGGCACAAGACGAAGACGAGAAGACAAAGAAGAAGAAATCTAGTGATGTTTCAAAGCATACTTTCTACGTCGAAAATTCACAAACGAGGCTCAAGTTGTATGCGAAAAGCGAAGTACGTCACAGGAATGTCGTTACGCGCACGAATTGACTTCCGTGGATAGCGACAAATGCTGCAATGGATCGCGGCGCTTGAGAGGGTTGCTGCGACATCGCACTACACCGGACGTAATCGGTTTGACAGCTTCTCCCCCATTCGATTGAATGTTGCGGCTCAGTGGCTCGTTGATGGTGTACGCATGAACTCCAAACACTCAACAATGAGGTTACTGACTTTCCTCATAAGCGTGACTACTTTTGGAATCTTTCTCGTGCTATTCTTCTGGCAAGGGATGTAATCTATATCCACGATTGGTGGTTGTCTCCTGGTATATTTTTATCATATCAGCCTCAGAATCTTCATTGACATCAACCTAGAGTTGCAGCTGCGTCGTCCCGGGAAGCCTAAATATCGATTGGATCGATTATTAGAAAGGAAGGCCAAGGAAGGCATTAAAGTGTACATCATTGTCTAGTCAGTGGATACGCCGCCATCATTTTGGCGTATTGTTGACAATGAGTAGTCAGGAGGTGTCTAATCGAACGACACCTACGGATAGCAAGTAAGCAGCTCTTATCTAAGTACATACGGCGATTCAGCAAACTGACTAGTTCGTAGCTACACCAAGCAGCGGATGACATCGTTACATCCGAACATCATGGTCCAGCGATCTCCGTCCCATTTCCAGACAGGTACCTTCTATTGGGCCCATGTAAGGCAATCACGCTCGTCGTTTGGTGTTCTTGCTTAAAGACCATGTGAACTCCGATTTTGCCAGCATGAGAAGCTCTGTGTCATTGATGAGACTATCGCCTTCATGGGAGGCCTGGATCTATGCTTTGGACGGTAAGTACGCAAAGCTGTTCCCAAGTGCTTCACTTTATAAGGTAATGTACACTTCAGATGGGATACGTCACAACACGTCCTCACAGACGACCCAGGAGATGAGGGCGCAGAAGAAATTTGGCCTGGTGAGTGACTTGTCATAACATTCGTTTGAATTTTATCATAAATCATTGTCAGGCAAGGATTACAGTAACGGTCGCATGAATGACTTCCACACACTCAATAAGCCTGAAGAAGATATGCACGATCGCACCAGAATTCCTCGCATGCCATGGTTGGTGGTCTATCTGGAGTCAGAGGCACATGAGATTGAAAGCACATATTTAGGCACGATGTGGGGTTACAAGTTCTTGGGCAACCAGCGCGAGACGTAGCACGTCATTTTGTGCAAAGGTGATTGTTTGTTGACTGCGCGAGACGTGTTTCTAATCAGTCGTTCTGCAGATGGAATTATCTACTCCGCATCAAGAACCATTCACGCGTCATGCCATTCCTCCTTCCACCCCCTGAGTTCAAGCCTGGAGAGTTGGGCCAGTTGGGTCTTACTGGAACATGCGAAATGCAGATCTGCCGTTCTGCTGGTCCATGGTCATTGGGCACGCCGGACAGAATTGAACATTCGATACAAAATGCCTACTTGAAAGGTTTGTTCATTTGCGGATGTGGTCAGAACTGTGCTCATGAAATCATAGCTATCCAGATGTCTGAGCATTTCGTTTATATTGAGAATCAGTTCTTCATCTCGTCGTACGTTGAAATGATCTCCGAATGTACTTATCATTCATTGCTGACCGTGGAACAGGACCGTGGTGGGTGATGTGACCGTCGAAAACAAGATTGGCGACGCTATAGTGCATCGCATCATTCGTGCCCATCGCGAGGGTATTCCATGGAAATGCTGTGTCGTCATTCCACTTCTACCCGGATTCCCCTTTCCTGTCGACCATACTGATGCGAGTTCCGTAAGTAGCTTTCAATCTCGTCACTGTGATTGAAGCTCACCGTTGTCTGACCCTTAGGTTCGTATCATCCTTGAATGCCAAAACCGAACTATATGTCGCGGCCCCAATTCAATTTTTGCTCGCTTGCGTCGAGAAAACATCGATGTATGCTTTGTTCCTTGCTCCAGTCATGGTCGATTGACAAATGCAACGTCTTTAGCCGGACAACTACTTCACTGTATTTTCGCTTCGTAACTGGGGAAAGCTCCGCGGAGATGTCTTAACCTCAGAACTTGTTCGTGTTTCCGTCCTTTCACTAAAACACCACCCTAAACAGGATTCGACACAAGGTTTACATCCACGGCAAAGTCTGCATTGTCGACGACCGTTTGGTCATCATCGGAAGTGCGAACATCAATGAACGATCTCAGCGGGGGGATCGTGACTCTGAAATAGCTGCTATTATTAGAGATACTGACATGATAGACGGGTGAGTTACCACTTCATTCCCTTTTCTCTGTGCTCAATCCTGGTAGTTCAATGGCTGGTAAACCTTTCAAAGTTGGGCGGTTTGCTCATACACTTCGTGTGCGCTTAATGCGTGAGCACGTTGGCGTAGACGTGGACGCTATTGACGAGCAAGATATGCTAGCGAAAGATCCTCCCAAGGAGGAGCACCAGCAGCACGAATGGGACCCCGATGCAGAGCAGGAATATGGACGGGAGGATGTCACAGCAAAGAAGTCAGCACGCGAGGGTCGTGCCATGAACTTTCTTCGTTTTGGTGGAGAGGGAGTCAAGCAAGGTAAGCGGCTATGCTCTTCCTAAGCCAAATATTAACATACTATGCGAAGTTGTACACGGTTCGAGCGATATTGGTTCTAAGGATCTCGCCGAGGTTTTGCAAAGAACCAGCATATCACGTCGTCCTCCTGAAGGCTTTCCTGATGCTAGGGCAGGAAACAAGTCCCTGCAAGATGAGCGCCAAACTTTCACGCGCGACGGGGAAAAGGTTCCAGGATTTACGAGCTCCGTCGTTCCAACTCTCGAAGAGCAGATGATCATGGAACACCGGCCTTCCGCCGAACATGCTTATGGGAGTCCTATTGAGGAAGACATTGAGAAGGAGGCGAAGGAAGATGCAGGTGCTTCGTCGGGTGATCTGCGCGATGAGACTGGACTGCTGTGTGGTGCTCCTGCCGATGCCCAACCGGAGGCGGACGATCAACCCCCGCATGCGAGTGAAGTCAAGAGTGATGCTGATACTGAAGAAAAGCGGGCACCTCATGTGCGTTCAATCTTGAGGAGGCACCTTGGAGCGAAGCTTGGACATAACCCATGGACTTTGCCTACACCAACGCCAAAGATCGACCCGGACGGTTTTGAAGATCCAGTCTGCGACGCCTTTTGGAAAGATGTCTGGGTGGCATCCGCTGTGCACAATGTTTGTCTTTGTATTTTTTTCCTCGCTGCGTGTGTCTAACGGCGCACCAGACGGAAATCTTCCGCAGAGTCTTCCATGCAATTCCAGACGATCTCGTCGCTACGTGGAAACAATACACCGAGTTCGTTGCTCACCACGAGCGCTTGAACAAACCGGTTAGCGCATTTCCGTTATTCTATTGCAATTATTCTTATTTCATTCCAAAGGCCAGAGACGGCGCCTCTTCAGATCCTGTTGCCCGTGTTCCTTCAGAAGCGGGTGATATGGACGCGCCTGAAGAGGAAGGAGAAGATAAGGCTCCACATGACGATGATGCAGCCTGTTCCAAGACGGGGTCTAGCGGAGACGACAAGGAGCCCTCCGTACCAAACGGTCAGGGGCCTTCTGAGAAGGTGAAGAAACCTGAGAAAGGGGAACCACCTTTCACGCGGCAGGAAAGAGAGGAGATGGAATCTCTACTCCGTGAACTATGTGGCCATCTTGGTAAGCAAAAACTGACATATAAAATGGCACCTCGTACTGAAGTCATATGTCTCCTAGTGCTGTATCCTACGCGGTTCCTAGAGGGCGAAGATATCGCCAACAATTTCTTGTTCAATGCTGACAGACTGATGCCTATGCCTATCTACGATTAATATTATCGTGTGCATTGGACGGTCTATCTTATTTCCTTCTTAATGCTACAGCTCTTCATCTTGTATACACGCATCCCACCGCGCACCCCCCATACCCTCGTTGACTCGGCATTTCCATCGCTATCGTGACCCTGTTAGGACATTATTTCTTGTACTGCGTTTGTGCCCTCGAAATGAGACTTTTCTTGCCACTGGCCATGATCTACATTTCATATTGACTTTGCTCACTGCAAGTATAAGTTGGAGGGACGTTCAACCCTAACCTTATCACTGAGGTCCGGTATTCGAGCTCCGAATGAAAGTAGTGGCGGACGTGCCACTCAACTCATCATTAGTCATCCTCACGTCTGTATCCTTTCCTTCGTCCGTGCCGTCAACATCGACGACGACGATGAGTTTCCCTCCCCCTCCTCCAGGCATGCCCATGCCCCCACCCGGCTTCCAAGCACCTCCTCCAGGAATGCCGCACGCTGGCTCAAGCAGTCCCTCTGGTTCAAGAATGCCTCCCGAGATGCTGGCGTTGAAGTCACAGAAATGGATTCAAATGCAGCGGAAGCGATACGGGGAAAAACGTCGAGGAGGCTTCGTAGATATGGGGAAGCAGGTGTGTCTCATATCCCCATTCCATTATTACAATTCCTCATGTTGCACAGGACCTGCCTCCTGAGCATGTGCGAAAAATCATCAAGGATCACGGCGACATGAGCAATCGCAAGTTCAGAAATGACAAGCGCGTTCATTTGGGCGCTCTCAAATACGTTCCCCATGCTGTCATGAAACTGCTCGAAAACATCCCATTTCCTTGGGAGCAGGTCCGCGAGGTCCCCGTTCTATATCACATCACTGGCGCCATTACGTTCGTCAACGAAATTCCTCGTGTTGCAGAACCGGTATATCACGCTCAGTGGAGTAGTATGTGGTTGGCTATGCGTCGAGAGAAGCGCGACCGCAGGCATTTCAAGCGCATGCGCTTCCCCCCTTTTGATGACGAGGAGCCGCCGTTGGATTACGGTGACAACGTCCTAGATGTCGAGCCGTTGGAAGCAATTCAACTCGACCTTGATCCTGACGAGGACGCGCCTATTCTAGACTGGTTCTACGATCCCAAGCCCCTCATTGACACGCCTCATGTCAACGGCTCCTCTTACAAGTACTGGTCTCTGACCCTGCCGGTCATGGCCAACCTGTATCGCCTTGGCCGCACTCTCCTCTCTGACCACACCGACATCAACTCCAGCTATCTCTTTGACAAAAAGTCTTTCTTCTCGGCGAAGGCGCTTAACCTCGCGATACCGGGCGGTCCTAAGTTCGAGCCGTTGTACCGCGATATGGATAACTTTGATGAGGACTGGAACGAGTTTAACGATATTAACAAGGTCATCATTCGGCAACAGATTCGTACCGAGTATAAAGTTGCCTTCCCCCATCTTTACAACTCCCTACCGCGCTCCGTACAGATTGCACCTTACCACACCCCCAAGAATGTCTACATTCGGACTGATGATCCCGACCTCCCTGCGTTCTACTTCGATCCCCTCATTAACCCAATCTCGTTGCGTGGGGCAGTTTCCAAGAATATGCCCCTCGTCTCTCATGAAGACGAGATTTTTGGTCCAAATGGTGCTGATGACGACGAGTTCGAGCTTCCTGAAGACGTTACGCCAATCTTGAGCGAGAAGCCGCTTGAGAATGATTTGACCGCTGATGCCATCGCCCTTTGGTGGGCCCCTGAACCGTACAATAGACGGTCTGGGCGTATGCGGCGAGCCCAGGACATTCCCCTTGTGAAGGGTTGGTATCTAGAGCACTGTCCCCCGAACCAGCCTGTCAAAGTCCGCGTTTCCTACCAGAAGCTCCTCAAGTGCTACGTCCTCAACGAATTGAAGACGCGTCCAGAGAAGGCGATGACCAAGAAGAACTTATTCAGGCAGCTGAAGGCGACGAAGTTTTTTCAGACCACCAAGTTGGACTGGGTGGAGGCTGGCCTGCAGGTCTGCCGACAGGGTTATAACATGCTGAACCTGCTTATCCATCGGAAGGTCCGTGCTTGCTATGTCTATTTTTTCTCTGTATGATACTGATTCCTGAAATCTCAGAACTTAAACTATCTGCATCTTGACTACAACATGAACCTGAAGCCTGTCAAGTAGGTTTTGTGTCCATATCTTCACTGTCCTATTGCTGACCGATCGCAAACCTAGAACACTAACCACCAAAGAGCGGAAGAAGTCGCGTTTTGGAAACGCCTTCCACTTGTGTCGTGAAATTCTTCGTCTGACCAAACTAGTTGTCGACGCACATGTTCAGTACCGTTTGGGTAATGTCGACGCCTTCCAGCTCGCGGACGCTCTCCAGTACATATTCGGGCATGTCGGCGCTCTGACTGGCATGTATCGGTACAAGTACAAGCTCATGAGACAGGTCCGGATGACGAAGGATCTCAAGCATCTGATCTACTACCGCTTCAATACGGGACCGGTCGGAAAAGGCCCTGGTGTCGGTTTCTGGGCTCCCGGCTGGCGAGTTTGGCTATTCTTCATGCGAGGCATTGTTCCTTTACTCGAACGCTGGTTGGGTAACCTTCTGGCGCGTCAGTTCGAAGGTCGTAATAGCAAGGGAATTGCGAAAACGGTCACCAAGCAGCGCGTTGAGTCACACTACGACTTAGAATTACGAGCAGCTGTCATGCACGATATCCTGGACATGATGCCCGAGTCGATCAAGCAGAACAAGGCGAAGACCATTTTGCAGCATCTCTCGGAGGCTTGGCGGTGCTGGAAGGCTAACATCCCATGGAAGGTGCCTGGTATGCCTACGGCCATTGAGAACATTATTCTTCGTTACATTAAGAGCAAGGCCGATTGGTGGACATCGTAAGTGTTCCATTCTTTAAAACCCCAGTCTTTGTTCATTGTTTTTCCAGGGTTGCGCATTACAATCGAGAGCGTATCCGACGCGGTGCCACTGTTGATAAGGCAGTTGTAAAGAAGAACCTTGGCCGTCTAACTCGCCTTTACCTGAAGGCAGAACAAGAGCGGCAGCATGGATATCTCAAGGATGGACCGTACATTAGCGCTGAAGAAGCCGTTGCGATTTATACTGCAACTGTGCATTGGTTAGAAAGCCGGAAATTTGCACCCATTCCTTTCCCGTAAGTCATATTTTTCGTAACCTCAACGAGTCTTACGTTTTTCCAGGCCACTCTCGTACAAGCATGACACGAAATTGCTGGTCTTGGCACTGGAGAAACTGAAAGAGGCGTACTCTGTGAAGGGTCGTCTTAATCAGTCCCAGCGAGAGGAACTGGCACTCATCGAGCAGGCCTACGACAACCCTCATGAGTGCTTGTCGCGAATCAAACGCCTCCTCCTGACTCAGCGTGCGTTCAAGGAATCTGGAATCGAGTTTTTCGACACGTACGACAAGCTAATTCCCTGCTACGATATTGAGCCTGTCGAGAAGATCACGGACGCGTACCTTGACCAGTTTTTGTTCTTCGAGGCAGACAAGCGTGGATTGTTCCCTGCTTGGATCAAGCCCGCAGACACGGAACCTCCTCCTCTTCTGGTTTACAAATGGTGTCAAGGCATCAACAACCTCACAGATATTTGGGAGACCAGCGAAGGTGAATGCAACGTGATGATGGAGACAGTTTTGTCCAAGGTTTACGACAAAATCGATCTCACTCTCCTCAATCGGCTCTTGCGTCTCATTCTCGACCACAACCTTGCCGATTATATCACCGCGAAGAATAATACGGTCCTCACCTACAAGGACATGGCGCACACAAATGCGTATGGCCTGATCCGTGGATTGCAGTTCTCTGCTTTCGTTTTCCAGTACTATGGTCTTGTGCTCGATATTTTGATCCTCGGCTTGCAGCGTGCTAGTGAAATGGCAGGCCCTCCTCAAATGCCGAACAACTTCCTCCAGTACCGCGACTCTGCAACGGAGACCCGCCACCCTATTCGCCTATACTCCCGTTATGTCGACCGCTTGCATGTCCTATTCCGCTTTACAGCGGATGAGGCTCGTGATCTCATCCAACGTTACCTCAGTGCGAACCCTGATCCCACCAACAACAACGTCATCGGCTACAACAATAAACGTTGCTGGCCAAGGGACTGTCGCATGCGTCTCATCAAGCACGATGTCAACCTCGGTCGCGCGGTATTTTGGAATGTCAAACAAAGTTTGCCAAGATCTCTCACGACGATTGAATGGGAAGATACATTCGTTAGCGTCTATTCGAAGAATAACCCTCAGCTTCTGTTCTCCATGTGTGGCTTTGAGGTTCGTATCCTCCCGAAGATCAGGACGATGGGAGGAGAGCAGTTTTCGTTGAAGGATGCTGTATGGAACTTGACGAATGAGCAGACGAAAGAGAGGACGGCACAGGCCTTCCTGCGTGTTTCCGATGATGGCAAGTGTCCTAGTCTCTCTGCAACTCATATGCATCTCACACGCTTTTAGGTGTCCAACAATTTAACAACCGTATCCGACAAGTCCTGATGAGTTCCGGATCCACGACGTTCTCCAAGATCGTCAACAAGTGGAATACGGCGCTTATAGGTCTAATGACTTATTACCGGGAGGCCGTCATTCACACCAATGAGCTCCTAGATGCGCTCGTCAAGTCCGAGAATAAGATTCAAACTCGTGTCAAGATCGGTTTGAACAGTAAGATGCCCTCTCGCTTCCCACCAGTCGTCTTCTACACTCCGAAGGTTTGGTTGTGTTCTCTCTTTGCCATACGACTTTAATAATTGGTTTGTAAAGGAATTGGGTGGCTTGGGCATGCTCTCGATGGGCCACGTGCTCATTCCCCAGAGTGACCTACGGTGGTCGAAACAGACAGACGTTGGAGGTCAGCATCTTACTTCATTTCTTCACCATTTTACTAATTTGGGCTATGAAATAGTCACCCATTTCCGCGCTGGTATGACGCATGAGGAAGATCAGCTGATCCCTAACCTTTACCGGTACTTGCAACCTTGGGAAGCAGAATTCTTGGACTCTGCTCGTGTCTGGTCCGAGTATTCGATGAAGAGAAAAGAAGCGAACGCTCAAAATCGCCGGTTGACATTGGAAGATCTCGAGGATAGCTGGGACCGTGGTATACCTCGTATCAATACTCTCTTCCAGAAGGATCGTCACACGTAAGTTATCTCAAGCAAGTCGACTACTACCATTCTCACTACGGACAACAGTCTTGCATATGACCGCGGTTGGCGTGTACGAACGGATTGGAAACAGTATCAGTTGCTCAAACAGTGCGTCCACATCATTGCCTGCGACGTCCTGTAGCTGACATCCATCTACGAACAGCAATCCTTTCTGGTGGACGTCGCAACGCCATGATGGTAAACTGTGGCAATTGAACAACTATCGTGTTGATGTCATTGCAGCACTGGGTGGTGTCGAAGGAATCTTGGAGCACACACTCTTCAAGGGGACGTATTTCCCGACCTGGGAGGGTCTGTTCTGGGAGAAAGCATCTGGCTTTGAGGAATCTATGCGATACAAGAAGCTCACGAATGCACAGCGATCTGGTCTCAATCAGATCCCTAATCGTCGTTTCACATTGTGGTGGAGTCCTACAATCAATCGCGCCAATGTCTATGTCGGTTTCCAGGTGCAATTGGATCTAACTGGTATCTTTATGTGAGTGATGGGACTGTTTCTATTACTTATAGGAGTTCCTGATGGTTTTGATAGGCACGGTAAAATCCCGACCTTGAAGATCAGTTTGATTCAAATCTTCCGTGCTCATTTGTGGCAGAAGAGTAAGCATTTATTTTGTCAATTCAACATGTTGCTGATTTTCTTACCAAACACAGTTCACGAGAGTGTTGTCATGGATCTAGTGAGAAAATGTCCTTGATGTCCGTGTTGTCGTATTCATATCATCCATTCTAGTGTCAAGTGTTCGATCAAGAGTTAGAGCCGCTTCAAATTGAAACGGTGCAGAAGGAAACGATTCACCCTCGAAAGAGTTACAAGATGAATTCGTCGTGTGCGGATATCCTCTTGTTCTCTGCGTACAAGGTACCTCATTACCATACATTCCCTTCCTTTCGTCTACTAACATGCTGATTGTAGTGGAACATATCTCGACCCTCTCTCGCTACGGATGTGAGTTGTCTCTTGGTGACTGATGAAATATTCAATTCATGACCGCGATCTTACAGAACAAAGATGTCATGGATGGCACCACCAGCAACAAGTATTGGATTGATGTCCAATTGAGGTGGGGTGATTTCGACACACACGATATTGAGCGATACACTCGTGCCAAGTTCTTGGATTATGCAAGTTGCCCTTCCTTTTTGCAGCTGTCCTTCACGCAGTAATCATTATTTTTTTCAGGTTTCTGATTCGATGAGTATCTACCCTTCGCCAACTGGTGTCATGATTGGCATAGATCTCGCATACAATCTGTGGTCTGCATACGGTAACTGGTTCCCTGGGATGAAGCCCCTTGTTCAGCAAGCAATGGCGAAGATCATGAAAGCGAACCCGGCTTGTCATGTTCTACGTGAGCGCATACGGAAGGGTTTGCAGTTGTATTCTTCAGAGCCTACGGAACCGTATCTAAACAGCCAGGTTGGTTTCGTTTCCCTCAGTGTTTTGTATTCATTTTGTCTGATATATCCCTCACAGAATTACTCAGAGTTGTTCTCGAACCAAATCATCTGTAAGTCTCGATGCTCACTGTAACGGACGAGTATTCATTTCCTAATCCAGGGTTTGTTGATGACACTAATGTCTACCGTGTGACTATGTAAGTTCACGATTTGTTGAAAAGGGCATGTCAACTTATCATCTCACACAGCCACAAGACATTTGAGGGGAATTTGACAACGAAGCCCATCAGTACGTTGACCACGATATCGACGGTGGCTCTTGCTGACCTCTGCTCTAGACGGTGCCATCTTCATCTTCAACCCCCGCTCTGGTCAGCTATTCCTCAAGATCATTCACACCAGTGTATGGGCGGGTCAGAAGCGTTTGGGTCAACTTGCCAAGTGGAAGACGGCAGAAGAAGTTGCTGCTTTGGTCAGATCATTACCCGTTGAAGAACAGCCGAAGCAAGTCATCGTGACCCGCAAGGGAATGTTGGGTGTGTTATACATGCATAAATTGACATATCTCCATTTGCTGATATTATCTCGGCAGATCCCCTCGAGGTGCACTTGTTGGACTTCCCCAACATCGTCATCAAAGGTAGTGAGCTCCAGTTACCGTTCCAAGCCTGCATGAAGATGGAGAAGTTCGGTGATCTCATCCTGGTTCGTTCTCTTGACTTTGTGACCATGATTGTTCATTGACATGATTTCCATTTGTAGCGTGCTACACAACCCCAGATGGTGCTGTTCAGTCTTTACGGTATAAACTTTACTTGTGACCGAAACAACGTGAATCTGACTAGCTTTCAGATGACTGGCTCAAGTCTATCTCGAGCTACACTGCATTTTCACGGTTGATCCTTCTTCTCCGTGGTCTACATGTGAACAATGAGAAGGCGAAGATCATCCTTCACCCAGACAAGAATACTATCACGGAGCCTCACTTTGTGTGGCCGTCGCTGTCTGACGAGGAGTGGATCAAGGTTGAGGTGGCTATGAAGGATCTGATTCTAGCGGTATGCATATCTTATTCTCCATTTCAAAGAGTTTCTTGTCCCATATCGTCTTGAACCTTAGGATTTCGGAAAGCGGAATAGCGTCAACATTGCCTCTTTGACAGCAAGTGAAATCCGGGACATCATTCTTGGTCAGGAGATCGCAGCCCCATCCGTTCAGCGTCAGCAGATGGCTGAGTTGGAGAAGAGCACCGAAGCCCAGAGTCAGGTTACAGCCGTTCAGACGTACGTCTACGTATTCTGATACAATGCTCGTTTTACTGACGTAAGTTTTAAAGACAAACCACCAACATCCATGGTGATACGATCCAAACTGTTACAAGTAAGTCGAGCCGTCTTCCGCCTGTCGACATCGACTCATTGCTCATCGTGCCCATTTCTACTCAGCCACCAATTACGAGCAGCAGGTCTTCAGCAGTAAATCTGACTGGCGTGTGCGTGCCATTTCGGCAACACATCTCTCTCTTCGATTGCAACACATATATGTCTCCAACGACGATGTCAAGGACGATGCCGCTTCGTTCACATACGTCCTTCCAAGAAATATCCTTCGTGCGTTTATCATAGCAGCAGACCTCCGAACACAAGTGGCTGCGTTCTTGTATGGTACTTCTCCGCCAGATAACAAACAAGTCAAAGAGATCAAGGTCCGTTCCAACATTTGTAGTCTTATCACATGTTAGACTGATATCTTCCGCAGGCCGTCGCTTGGGTGCCACAACGAGGCAACAATAACTCTGTGGAGCTGCCTTCACAACTCCCTAAAGACGACTATCTCTTGAAGGACTTGGAGCCGCTCGGGTGGATCAAGACCCAAGCCCTTGAGCTCTCTCACCTGTCGCCAACGGATATCACATCCCAGGCGAAGTTGATGGCGGACCATCCCGAGTGGGGCACTTCGTCAATATGCATCACGGCAGCGTTCACTCCAGGATCGGTATCTCTGTCGGCGCATTCCTTGTCAGTTGCTGGCTTCGAGTGGGGAAGGAAGAACCAGGACACGTCGCCGAACCCTCCGGTAAGTACCGTGCCATATCCTGCTCTGCGCACCTCGCACATTCCCTGCTCACGAAGCCTCTGTATTCGTCCTCGTATAGGGTTTCAATCCCAACATGTCCGAGCGCGTGCAGCTGCTCCTATCCGAGCGTATCCTCGGGATGACGCTGGTCCCCGAGGGCCGGGTATGGAACTACGGCATCGGCTTGACACAGCTGTGGTCTCCCAACCTTGGCTACTCGATGACGCTCGACACGCCTCTGCTCTTCTGGGCCGAGGAGCACCGTCCGGCTGCGTTCTTGACCGTGAGTCTACGATGTCCATCAGTTTACCCGCCCGTGCCAGTGCTAATCTACCCTTCCCGACCTAGTTCGCGAACCTCGAGACGGGCGACGACAGCGCGGATGTTGAAAATAGCTTTGCGTGATCTCCTCTTGTTCTATCGGTACTTTTTATAATGTTTCTCTACGCAACGTGTATTTGTATGGCATTGCAGTGTTCTGAATGGCATGGTGGTGTGTGTGTGGCCGCGGCAACCTTTTCCTGCATGGACTTTGAGAATATTCTAACCCCTGCGGGTCGTTCGCTTAAGACCGATCGCTCTGGCGGCCTCCGACGAGCTGAGTACAGCACTGGGAGACCCGTCGGGCGGTCGTCGGTAGCGCTTGTTCTAGATGGCCGCCACGGATCCTGTCAAGCAAGGGCCTTGACTGCTCACTACCGCATTAGCAGCCGCGTCTTCTTAGCACCATGTAAGCAAGGCTCGACATCCGCATCCGCGCTAACTACGCTAACGAGCAAGCGGGCTCCGCCGCCGACACCTCGACACGACATCATGCCGGCACCAAGTCAATCGCGGCGTGTCGACATCGACATGGCACGCACGCGTGCTCCCGTCCATGCTGGCGCGCTGAGAGACGATAGCCACTTGGATAGCCAATTGCGGGCTCTGTGTATATGTGGACGGCAGGTGCTACCGGCATGTTATGTGCCGTGTACTAGGATCTGGTGTGCCTGGGTGTTCTACAGGTATGCTGGCGAGTATGTACTGTGCGGTGCTATGTACGGTATGTGCGGTATATGCGAGTATATACGGCGGCGGAGGGCTGTCAGATAGTACGTACGTATGTGTGGTATGCGTGCGGCTCGTGAGTGGAACGTGTAAGTACCAAAAGTAAGTGACGTGAACATCGATCGAACGGTCGTGGCCGGCTTCTACGTAACGGACGGATACTACTAATACCAACCAGCGCTACTACCTACTATTACCACTGCTACTACTACTGCTGATGCTAGGACTGACTGCTGCTGTTATTACTGTGCGATGCGGGGTGCGTTTCGGCGGTGCGTGAGGAACTCGTGAACCAAGGATCCTGGTAGAGCGTTTGGGATCACGTAGACGTTTCGAGCAGCGTGAGCGAGCGATTCATTAGAAATTCTGATTAGCGAAGATAGATGCGGTGACGGCGGGGGTGAGGGAGGGGAGGGGGAGGGGAGAGACGACTGAGGGCGACGATGGCCTATATCAGTGCCGTGACTCGGGGCATGAGTGATGGTGGTGAGGGGGCGGTGGAGGGGGAAAGGGGGAGGGGGAAGAGCTAACAAGTACACGTGATCCAAAGGCATTCCCAAGACGAGAGTCACAAACGAGGACATGGACGCGATAGAACAGACGAACGAAACAAGTGAGGTGAGAGAGACGTGAGACGATGGGCGAGACGAATGAAAACAAACAATCAAACAGACAGGTGTGAAAATAAGGTGGGAGAGACGGGCTGAGAAGCAAAAAAAAACAAAGAGAATAAATCACATGGCAGCGCATCGCTGCGCCGAAACGACATAAGAAAGCGAAGAATATGGAGGCAGTACGATGGGATCGGTCGGGCAAATAGAGGAGATGCACAGGGCGGGACATTACGGGTCGATGCAGGGAGCGCGAGTGAAACGAATAAATAAAGCGCTATCATGACAAGGGCGAAGACAACGAGGACGAGGACGAGGACGAGGCCTTGGACGGCGTCGGGGATGGTGGCTGTCGTTGTACCCGGGACACGTTGCTGACGATGTCCAGCGAAAGCGTCGACGCGGTGCGCGAAAGACCTAGGGATGTGCGTTTCCCGATTTCGTCCGCATCGCCAAGCTCCGCGGCCGTGTCATCGGTGAAGAGGAGCGGGACCTCCGCCTTGGGTTCCTTGTCACCATTCGGGATCTGGCGCGAGCCGCGGCGCGGCGGTGGCGAGAGAGAGGTCATCTCAGGGCCGGGTGGCGAGCGCTCCGGGGGTGGAGGACGAAAGGGGCTGCGCGGGGGAAGCTGGGGGGGAAGCGGCAACGGGGCGGCGGAGGTAGGGGTGACAGGTGTCGCAAGCAGCAAGAAGTTGGGATCGTTCTGCATGGTGGTAATGCGCTCGGCGATGGGGGTGGCGGGGGGCGAGTACGCGTTGCTCGCTGGGATGAAGTGAGCGTCGGCAGAGGGAGTAAGCGGGGGCGGCGACGGCGCACTGCGAAGGCGCAGGCGTTGCTTGAACGACGATGTGAGGCGCGGAGAGGAGGGCGGGGGTGGCAGGGGACCCGTGGGGGCGGGATAGGGGGGCTCTGTGGATGCGTGCGCTGCGTCCGGAAGAGGATTGCTGTCTGCGCTGGTGCTTCGGCGGTGATGGCGTCGAATCGAGGGCTCGTCGGGCCGGGGCGGGAGCACGTGGGAAGGCGGGCTGGTGGGAGGGAGCATCGAGAGCCGCATGGCGCGGTGGGCGAGGCTGTCTCGGAAGGCCGATTTGGGGACGGGCGCCGAGTCGGGTCGCTTGAGCGAGGCCGCCCTCTTGGCGCTCGCGTTGGGCACGGCGGTGTTCGGAGGCGTCGGGGGCAGAGCGCTGCTCGGCGCAGGCCGCTGGGGTGGCGGCACAGAGAGGCGATGCATGTTGGCCTGTCTCGGCGGATGCGACGACGTGCTCGTGCGCGAGGGCACCGAGTGGTTCGAGGCGACGCTGTACACGGACGACGAGCCCGACGCACGCTTCGAGAAGAGCGGCAGGCCAGCAGACGTGTTTCTGTGCGAGTGCGTGGAGGACGACTCTCGGCTGGGCGGGCGCTCGCCTAAGCGGTCGGCGGCGTAGGGATGGGAAATCCGATGGTTGAAGGACAGGGTGCTCTGCCACGACTGCGTCATCGGCACCGGCGGAGGGGACCCCGACGGCGGCGTCATTCTTTTGGGCAGCACGATGTGTCGCGACCATCGCCGATGGCTCGAATGGGACCGATCCAGCGCGGGCTCCCCTCTGTCGGCCGATCCAATGGTCGACACCGAGGACACCGAGGGCGCGCGAGACTTTTGCACGGGCGTGCCGCTGTGTGCCGACCCGGCGTAGTCGAAGCTCCCTCTCGAGGTCGCGGTGGGCGTCGTGGCCTCGGTACCAAACGCGATTCCGAAGCTGCCGGCGGTGCTCGAGTTGGCATGCGTATACACCAACGGCCCGGGCGACTGCTGCTTGGCGGGGACGGGCTCCGTCGTCGTCCAAGCACGCTTGCGGGGCGGTGGCGGCTGGAGCGGCAGGGAAGGGGACAGTGCGCGGGCAGGCTGTTCCCTCTTCGCTGCCGGCGGGTCGCCTGGCGCCGGTGCCCAATCGAGACTGGTTCGATTCTGGACAATCTTCCGCGATAGGTGCGACTCCGGCGATCCCAGGGTCGACATCGGGGAGGGAAGCATCGCCCGGGGCTTGAGGATCGGCGAAGGCGCGGCGGGAGACATGGCCCGCTCCCCCAACACGCTGCCAGACGACTTGAGCATGCCCAGGAGGTTGCTGCCCACGCTGCCGAATGAGTCCCCCGGCGACTCGTAGCCTGGCTCGGGCGACGCCGTGCGCGACGGGGACCGCGGACGGCTGCCGGTGAAGAGGCCCTTGAGAGCCGAGACGGTGGAGGACCGAGGTGAGGACGGCAGGGAGCGGACTGTGCCTGGCCCCAGCGGGGTGACGGGCTGGTCGTAGGAGCTGTCTGTGCCGTTGGAAGAGGAGGCGCCATAGTCGGACGTCTGGAAGGAGCTGGGGGCGGGGGAGGAGAGGATGCCCTGCATGCGCATGGACAGCATGACGTCCATGTCCCCTCTGGGCTCGGGACCTGCCATATTTAGCGAGGGAAGCCCGAGGCCTGCGCGAATCGACCTAATAAGCGGGGTCAGCACCGCGCGTCGACAGCCGGACAGGGAAGGCCACACACCTCTGCCCCAAAACGGCATTCTTGATCGCATTTATCCATCGCCGCGACTCTGCGCCGTCGACGATCTGCAGCAGCAGCATCGTCTGTCCGTTTTCCTCGCTGTTCAGCTCCCGCCGGAGGACCCCGACGTCCCCGCCCCCGACCTTGATCACGTTCCGGCGCCCTCCGACCTCCTCGTCCGTCACAAACACAACGCTCTTCTCGTTGATCTCCAGCCGCTCCAGCTCCCGCTCCTCCGCACCGCCCGACTTGAACACGTGCAGGTACGACACGCTCGGGCCCTCGGAGCGCGTCTGCCGCCCAGCCCCCGTCGGACTCGTCAGCACCACGAACCGGTTCTTCCACTGCTTCGAAAGTGCCATCATCAGAAGCGAAGGCGGCGGGTAGTGCTTCGGCAACGTCCCGGACAGGTGCACCCACGGTGTCAACGACGAATAGCTCGCTGGGAACGTCGGGACCGTCGGTGTCGGTGTCGAGTGGGTCGCCCGCGACTGCTGAAGCGACAACGACAGCGACCCGCCCCGCCGTCGGTGGCCCACGGCGTGCATCGCCAGTGGTACTGGCGACGACAGGTGATGGTTCGAGCTGACGCTGAACGTCTCCGACGTGCGCAGCTCTTCGTGCGGAGCCTCCCCCTTTTCGCCCGAGTCCGCTCCTTCGTCTTCGTAAACCGAGTCCTCGCGCGTCCGTGCGGGCTCGAGTATGTCCAGCCCAAATCCGATCGACTGCGCGGCTGCATCACGTAAGCGCTGGCGTTCCTGCTCCTCCTCGTCGCGCTTGGGCGCACGGATTTCAATGACCTCCGACAGGAGGAGCGCCTGCACGGGCAGAGGCTGTTTGACGGACTTTCGGCGCCGCCCGAAACCCAGCGCGTCTGACGCCGCAACCAGAAGGCTTCCGCGGTTCTTCCTGGGTGGAGATGGGTCTGCCGTCGCTGGGCGGTGCGAGGACGACGACGTGCGGGCCTCGTTGGGGAACGGATCCGCTGATGAGGCAACCGGGTCAGTGCGTGGACGGACGGGGGCCGCGGAGGCGAGGGCGCGCGTACTGTGGATGCTGATCGAATCAGGGGCACCTGTGGTCTCCTTTTCTTTGCCCTTTCTGCTCGCGCTGGAGGGCACGGTGGAGGGCGTGCGCGCGCGGGAGGCGGCACTCATCCAGGAGTCGCTGACTCTTCCGGATTTGGGAGTGAAAAGGCCATCGGTCTGCGCGGAGAAGCGAAAGGGGCGGACGACGGAGGGGCCTGGGGACATCGGAGGGTCGTGCACGAGAGAGGTGCCAGAGGTGGAGGGAGATGAAAAGCGCTGTGAGGGGGGAGGGCAATTAAGTGTTGTCAGCGGGCACAGAACATCAGATCTCGAAGAGTGCGAATGATAGCGCGGGGAGTGTGTTCCACACTGAGTCCGACGGCTTCTGACCGGCACTGAGGGGCTGCGGCTGTAGCAAGAGGGGTCCGCACCTTGTGCTGATGGTACTCAGGAGACGACCATTGGGGATATGAAAGAGGAGGGACGCCGATAGACATGCAGGAGAGAAGGAGAAGAGAAGAAGGAGAAGGCCAGAAGATGGAAAGAAAAGGGCAAGAGAGTGGTGAGCAAGCGGCGCTTCGCCGGTGTTGGCCTGGCCAGACACCGGCCGGCGTTAAATATGGACTGCTCCCGATCGTTCCCCTTTCATTATATCTTAATTGCCTTAGCCTCCGTTTCTTCCGTGTCCGAACGCGCTGGCCGCCGCCGTCGTTGCGAACAGCCACCGACAGACCCCGACTCGATGAGCAGCGAGCGCGCAAGTCGTCGCTCTGCTTATTATCATATATTCAGTCCAGTTCCTGGCTCTCGCGCGATCTCAGGCACTCGACCCATGCGTCGCACATTATCAGCCTGAAACCGTCAACGGTTCCGAGGTATCTAAGCAGCGCCACAAGAAATCCATCTGAAGCTAGTATTACGAACATACACATCGCGTCCTAACGTCAACTCGCCAGTGCCCTCATCCGCTTGTACGTCGCAAACGGCCCGACCGTGCCCTTCGCCCCACCAAGCTTCACGCTCTTGTCCCGCGTCGGGAACACCAGCCTCTGCCGCACCTCCTCCACCGTCAACGGCACCGGTCGCTCGTTCGCCGGCCCGTCGTCGTTCAAAGACTCGTCCCCCATCAGACGTCGCAGCAGCGCGTTCTCCTTCTCCAGGCGCGCGAGCTCTGACTCGCGCTCCAGCGCCCAGTCCGCCGCCGCGAGCGCGTTCCACTCCTCCGGCCTGTACGCGTCTTGCGCCCCCGCGGGCACCTCTGTCACGTCCTCGCCGCCCAGCGCGCGCAGCTGCTTCCGGAGCATCCGTGACATGCGCGTGAGCGATTCAGAATACGCCGAGCTCGCCGCAAGCCGCTGCGCATGCTCCTCCGTCTCGCGCGCGATCAGGCGCGTCTCGTACTCCCGGACAAGCGAGAGCTCCTGTTCTTGCACTTCGTGCTGCGTCGAGTCCGCGTCAGTCAAGCATGCACACGATCGGAGGACGAAAAGGGGTGGGGTTAGGCAGGAGACGCGTACGGCACGGTTCCGGAACTGGTTCATGACGTTTTCCAAGGTCGTTTCGTATTCTTTAATCAGCGCATTCAATTGCTTGTTGTCGTGCAGAAGAGCCTGGTTGTCGGCCGCCATGACAGTGTTCATGCGTTCCAGCTCTGCATCGTACTCTTCTGCTCATGCAAAAGTCAAGAACGTCAATCGAGACTGCTAGAATAGAACGCGAGCGGCGCCGCACCTTGTGATTTATCGAGGTTAAATCTGTGCGGAACGCAGTCAATACGTCCATTCTGCCATGCGCAAGGGACGCGGAGGGGTAGGCGCTCGGATCACACACACCGTCGCAGCACGAATCCCGTCTGAGAATGGATCGCTTGGTTCTGGGCACCGGGCGTCAGCGAGACGCCGATCAGCGAGAAAGCGATGTACAGACCTTGACGTTATTCGCCTGTGCGTGTAAGTTCGCGGTGTAGTGGCGATGGCTGTTCGTCTGCTCCGCCAGCTCCGTGAGCAGCGCCCAGAGACGCTCCAAGTCCTGTGGATCAATGATCGCCATTGCTCGAAAGTTTCTTCGGGCGTCTCGTTCAGCGTTGCGGGTGACGGAGAAAGAGAAGGGTTGAACTATTAGCGTGAAGCTGTGTGAATGGAGGAGGAAGAGCGCCGACGTGCACAGCGGCACAAATGGCGGGAAAAGCCGAACGCCGCTGTTCCTCTGCGGTAACCCTAACCCAACCGCGTTTTACCCCATGCCGCCGTCCGAGACGGTCAGCACCCCGAAGAAATGCAATCGATGCGGCGGGCAAGACACGGGCCCCGCCAATTTCCTCCTCACTTGTTCCGACTGCCACAGATCCTTCCATCACCGTCCGTGTGCACTTGGTCTATCTCTCCGTGCGGCGCTGCTGATCATGCCGCGCGTTGATCAGGATGTCACATTCCACCTGTGCCCGACAAGGATATGATCGCGATGCTAGATGCTACCATGAACAAGGATGTCGACAACGGGATCTATGGGTGGTCGTGTAAGCGATGCTCGAAGAAGAAGAGCCGGGGCGGATCTGAGCGCGCAGTGGTCGGTTCACAGGTCCGCTGGTTCCTCTTGTTCATGTCTAGTGTGTGTACGGTACTCACGATGTCGAACTCGTGTGCAACAGCCACCACAGCAGCTCCTCCCGATTGTGAACACAAACGCCATGATTGTTGAATCAGAAGATGTCGAACTAGCACCTACGCCCACGGCTGTGCCAGGACTACAGCCTGCTCAAACGCTTCTCGTGGATCGACGAGTATCAGATGATTACTTCCGAAAACATTCTCTATCACAGCGTCCTACTGCTAGTTCCGTGGTGACTCCTTCACAGCAAACGTACGCACCGCCCCTACCTGCGCTCCCACGCTCTAGCTCGTCCTCTCGCAATCCACCTCCTGCGCGCCCACAGCTTTCTCCACAACCATCGCACTCTCTTCCAGAGCCCACTGCACGCTCTTCAGGAGACCCATCGTCAGATGCATCGAGTTATCGCCCCTATGAACCTCCATCGCATCTTTCAGAAGCAGCGCGGTCAGCACGCGATGGCTTCCGACAGCCAGCACCTCCCAAGAGAGGTCGACACCCGTCTGAAACAACTGCGCTTGCGAATCGGCGGGATTCTTGGCCCCTAAACCAGGTGACTCTTTCATAAAATCATCACTGATTCTCTTGTTAATTCTCCGTATCAAAACCGGCACAGGCATCCCCCACGCGAAATATCGCAAATCAGCATCGGCTCGTTCCGCTTCACCGCCACGACGAATCTTCCCAATCTTCTCCTCCTCTTCCCGTCATACGTAAGGGCTTTCATACACAGCCTCTCGATATCGTGCCAATGGACATCGATTCTGATACCCCGCCGCCGCCCGAGATCATATCAGTGGACATGAATATACAATCGGAAATGCCACCACCACCACCTCCCCTCCCCGTTGACCGCGCTCCTCCTACCCCGGCACCATCGGCACTGCCAGACTTCCGCGCCATCACGTCCCGACTCCGCGCTGAAGGAAAACTCGACCCGCCTGACCAAGGACGCACGTTCCTCGGCCCTCCCATCGCTTCCACCTCCGCGCATGGCGACGCCCGCAAGTTGGACACCCCAGGCGACGCGGACGATGACCTCGACGACCTGTACGGCCCCCTGCCACACGAGGTGCGCTCGCGCACGATACCCCGCGAGTACACCCCGCTCCGCCCGACGCCAGACCCCTTCGAGGCCGAGGACCGCGCGTTCCGAGCGCGCCGATTCGCGCCGCTCCCGCGAATGACCACCGCCCGCCCGCGCTCGTGGTCGCCCGAGGCCTCCCTTCCCACTCCCAGGTCCATGTCTCCGCGGCCGTTTGCCACCGCCAGCGGCTCGCGCTCGCAGCGGGAGCCGAAGGACTCCGCGCTAAAGCTCGAGAAGAAATTGATACCCGCGCGGGACTGCGAGGTGTACGCGGATAGCAAGGAGATGAAGGCGTTTGAGAGGCTGATCGCGAAGCAGGTGCAGCGGGGGAAGAGGGCCGCGACCAAGGTCAAGGCGAAGAAGCGTCAAAGCGGCAGTAAAGGCCTCTTTCAGTTCGTCAAGGAGGACTGGCTGAATAAGAAGCCGATGTACCAGCCCGCCGCTCAAAAAGATGGTCGTCCTGACCGACACTAGACCAACTTGATATAATTGTTGCGCTGATACTTTGTTTGCTTTCATGTTTTCCTGCAACACACATCGCTATCCGTTTGAGTTGTTGTCATGCTGTAATAGCTTCACAGGCCATGTAGCAGTCATTTACCCATTTGTGGCTCAAGTGGATTCCTTGATTCATGCATGTGCACCGATATGATGGCCTCATGAAATGCAGGGCCAACGCCGGTGTGATGGCTCTCAGGCACCACCTAATCCTTGACCGCGTCCATCAGCGCGATCGACGCCTGCCTATAGTGGTTCACACTCGTCTTTTACGCGTGCTCTACGTCCCCTCTAGCGTCCTGCTACCGAGATTTTTTTGAATTCTGTGGCGTCAGAATGTCATCGGACCCCACTGCCGAACTTTCTAAGCTGACCGTGCCCCAGCTCAAGGCTCTTTGCAAGGAGCGTCGGATCACTGGCTACTCGAAGCAAGGCAAGGCAGCACTCTTAAAGCGACTTGGTGCGCGCGGGCCTTCGAATCAGCCTGAAGCGACTTCTCTAGAGACTACGCAGGCAACCTCGAAAGCCAGCGATGGCGTAACGACCCAAGGGGCCGTTGCCATCCCATCTGATAGGACTGGGTCGGACTTACTTGGGAGAACATCCAATCACACATCTCATGGTCGACGTGCTTATGAGGATCCGAATCTATCTTATGTGAATATTTCAACAACCTCGATATATGCGCCTTTTCCGGACCCTGGCTGCGACGACATCTCTCACCATTCGAGGGCACCGTCTCGTCCCACCGATGCATCAACCACAACTGTTTCGAAAGCGGTACTTGGTATCAAAAGATCCTCTGCTCCCATGGAACCTGCTGCTGAACCCCCGCTAAAAAAATCAAGGATCATTCAAGCCTCAAGGACATCAGACCCCGACTCTTGCGACATTGACTCTGGAACCTTGTCCACGCTCTCTGCCTTCAAGGTTCCTGCCATACCTAAAATGAACTTAGCAGCCACGGCTTCTGTAGCCATAGCTTCGCCGGTTCGAGACCGTCGACCTCGTCTTGCTTCGCCAACTGTATCCACTTTTGGAACTCAAACTCTTGCTTCGAAGTCTGGCAAGCGATTCAGACCCCTAGCTGTGACAATGCCCGCTTCGAAGTTCTCATCGGAGCCGACAAGCGCAATTAGTTGTTCAACTTCTGCGATCGAGAAGCGGACCTCATCCCGAGAATCAATGCGCAAGTCCGATAACGTGCCGCTCTACCACCTCGATTTCACCGATTCCGAAGCGTTAGTGCCGTTGCAGCCTATCTCTCTACCGCCGCCTCTCTCTCGTCGGAGACTAGTATATCGGTGGTCGGTTATTCTCAGTGGCCTCTCGGGTCAGGAGAGAAGGCAGTGTGTCCTCGTCTCGAAACTGTTTCGCTACGCAGGCCAGTGTGTGCGCGCGTCATTGTCATCTTCGCGCTGACTGCCTTTTTATCTAGTTTACTCATCAGCATGCTATCGACTCGTCCGAGAATTCACAGGTAAACGTCTGGTAGATCTGAGAGAATTGTACCCTTCTGCGACCACAAACTTCTGGCCATATCTCTGCCAACGTGAGCATGAGATGCGGGAGCGCAAAGAGAGATATTATGCATCCTTTTTAGGGTCATTCTACCGAGGCCTCACACCGATATCTGAGCGTTTGTGGAGTAGCCCTGATGACCAGCAACAACTCACCATCATCCTGAGGTATGAATGACAAGCTTGCAATGATTATGTGATTTTATTCGTTCATTTTAGGTTTTTGACAACCCGGCTGTGGTTTGCAATATCGATAGGCGGTTCGAAGCAAAACCGGTTCACATGGCTCTTAGACATTGTAGTGGATGCACAGCACGTCGTGAAGGGAGAAATATGGCGGATCACTGTTCAGTCTCCTCGATCTTCTAAAGACTGGACTACACCGCCCAGGACCAAGTCGTTTTATGTCCTACAGTCCACATGTGAAGTCATCGGCCAGGCCGCAGAACTGATCGATCCTGGGTCTCCTTCTGCCGACAGCCTTCCTGTCCGTCCTGACTGGATGCAGCACATCGAGCACCGTCTATCGTCTTCGAGCGTACGAAGCCCTGGTTCTTCTCTGCTTTCCGACCATCTGAAATGGGCGCACACCGCCGAGTATCAAGAAGGAATCAGCATTCACTGGCTTAAACGTATGACAGACAAAGGGGAAGAAGGCGTCGCTTTGCGGACAGTCGCTGAGCGATACGTTCTTGCGTGCGTGGTGGGGAACAGGTTCGTGCATTGGAGTAGCGAAGAATATCAAGCGATATGCTGAATGTTCATGACGAATCAGTGTCAGCGGGAGTTGGATGTCTGCAACACAGATGGCTCAAGACTTCGCAGGACTCTCTGAACGCGCACCCAATCCGAAACAAAAACAACACCGAATGAGCATGTTTCTCCCCGCGTACGTCTGCCGCCTTGTCTTGGTCGCTCTGCCGTAGAAAGCATATACCATCTGACATCTACAGCCATCACCATGCCGAGAGCGTGCATTTCACCGCTGCCGGCGGTAAACCACTGCACTCCGCCCTTGCTGTTGTGCAGACGCCTGGAAGAGAATATTTCATACTGAAGGATAACGGGATGCAGGTCGGATGTGAGGAAGACGGCGTTGCTGAGATATGGACGAGGATAATAGGTTGTGATGCGAGAGGTGTGCTGGTCGGTCCTCCCACGATGTTTCTTGCCGGACCTGATTATTGAAAATTGACCACACCGTATGTCTCGTGGTGTACTCGTGCATTAAAAAGGCGGAAAGCCTTCAGAATATGCGAAGAAAGGAAAAGAGAACTCTGGAATTTTACAACAAAATTATGCTTCTACATCCCGTCGGCCTGATCGCGTGTCGCTCTCTCTACTTGCAACCTTGGTCGATCTGTCCATAAGCTATGAGTTACCGAAGACGCCCTTGCTAGAGGACAGCTCGGCTCCCAGCTTGTATCCCAACACCTACGCGAGAGAGATCGGACATCCGCGCATCTAATAACGCGATCGAGAAACGCACCTTGTCCCAGTCAATCTTCTGACGCGTGAGCGGAAGCGCACGGCGCAAGCCCTTGAAGGTTTTCTCGCTCATCTCGTGGTAGGTTTCGGCCAACGAGGCCTGATACACGCCCTCCTGGTCTTCGATGAGCGCGAGGATTTTCGTTGCTGAGGGTGCGGGTGAGGAGGCTGAGATGGTGGGTGGGAGTGTGATCGAGGTGGTATGATGGGTCTCGAGCTGGACCTAGAAACGCGCCGGCGTCAATAGGAGGGTCAGCGATCCTAGGAGTGGTTAAAGGAAAGGGAATCGACGCACGTTTCCTTGCTCGTAGTAATGTACGTTGACGAGAACGCGGCCGGATATCGTGCTCGCTTCGAGGTCAACGACGTATTCCGATCGCCATCGCCCAGACCTGCGGCGCGCAGGCAATGTCAAATCGTGGGCTGGGGGCTGAACGCGAGAGAGGCGGACTTACCAGTAATTCGAGGGGTTGTATTTGTTGGCGACGATCTGGACAGTGAAGGACGTGGATGAGCGTGGTTTCGCGAAGACAGAGGCGACGCCGTCTTGGAAGTGTGCGGCGAGGTAGGAGAGGGTAGCAGACTCCAAGGCTACTCTAAATGGCATCGGCCAGGCTCAGCCCTGATAAAATTCGAAAGGGTAGAATGGAGGCGCACCGGAATGGCTCTGATTCGGTGTCTGGCTCGAAGGCTCGCGTCTCGGATGTTTCCTGCGAGCATCGGGCGACGGAGGGCACGGGGTTCAGCCATCTACTGAGCACGAAAGGACGGCGCTCACCAGCGAGATGTGGTCGAAAAGAAATGTCGTCTTCGACCGCGGATCCAAGTACCGCTCCTCCTCTCCCTCAATCTTCGCAGCATCGCTTATGATCGACTACCGCGGGATGCATGCCGGCAAGTCAGTCACGGTGTATCGCTACAATAGGTACCGTGCTCACGCACCTGGTGCTTTATACCTGGCACATCTGCAACGATGAACTGTTTGATGTTGTACTCCTGGAGGGCCGGGTACACGCCGGCCTGCAGGCTGTCGTCGTCGGATATAATGTTTCGGACATCTGTGGAATCGGGGACGAAGTCAACGATTGACACAGCAGCGACAAAAGACCGAATTGACCGTTGAGGACGTCATTGATCTCTCCTGGGGGAGATTGGAGGAGAAATTGGGAGACGGCCTGGATGCGTTCCTCGGTGTCCATCATCACCTTCACTGCAGTTGCTCAAGTCTCGGTTCGGCTCTCTCCGTCCCATGCTCCTGCCAAATTTAGTAACCGCAACTTTCCCTTTTCGACCAAGTCAGTTGTTGCGTTCACACCAAACTCATCCCGATGGTAATAGGAAATGCTACTGATGCTATTTTTCCGTGTGCGATAGAAAATCAAATGCTCGACTACAAACTGTACAATAGGCAATGTCCATACGACGATCACAACTTAGTTTTGGAGAACTGCGACTCTGTGACACCCTTCCCCATCGCTGCTGTCGACGATACACCGCCCGTGACGGTCTTCAACAACGAGTCGACATAGTCGGCACCGCTCCACTGTGATAATACGCCGACTGGTCAGCAACCCGTGCTCGGGTACAAGATAATCTCGTACCTTCTGGTGAGTGAGCATATCTGTGCCGAGATCGCGCTCTCTTCGCTGGACAAGCTCCACGTAGGCCTTCATGCCTTCCTTTGCGTAGGCTTGTGCGAACAGGTCCGAGATGTACCCGTTCGAGTGCAGGCCTCCGAGCTAGGGCATTATGCCATTCATCATCAGCAAAACACACCGCGCGATCATGGGCGTCATGACTGACCGTGATGAACTGCCACACAAAGCCGAGCTTCCCCAACTGCCATACGTAGTCCTTCATATCCTGCTGCCCGAGGCCAGCAGCATCCCAATTGAAACTCGGGCTCAAGTTGTACGCCAGCCACTGCTGAGGGTGCACGCTGTGCACGCCGTCTGCGAACTCTTTCGCCTGGGCCAAGATCGGCTTCTTGGTCTCCATCCACAACAGGTCCGCGTACCCAGCGAACGCGATCGCGCGGTTGATAGCGCACTGCGTGCCGCCCTGGTAGCGGTAGTATCCCTCAACCGTGCGAGGCAAGTCCCAGTCCCAGAAAGGTACTGTCTTGAGGCCGAATTCCTTTTGGGCGATGATGACAGCGTCAGAGTAGGCCGCATGCGCGATTCGGGCGGAAAACTTGGCAAGAATGGCTGGCGAGGCCGATGTCTGGGCCTTGAGCGCGTCGGCGAGTGTAACGGAGAAGAGCTGTAGTCCTGCCTGGGCGACCCATTCGTCCTCGACAGCTTGCAGCGCATCGCCCGTCTTCCCTGACGCCTCAGCCTCCTTCATGACACGCACGAGTGGCTGAAGAGACGAGTTTGTGGCACCGAGGATGAACGCATGGTCCCGCTCGTCGACGTTCGTTGTGATGAGCGTCGCAGCCTCCGAGTCCGTCCGCGCAACAACGAGGTTCTCAACACCCATGATATCGAACTGCAACCGGATGGCGATGAGGCGGTTGATGTGCTCCTGGATTGGTACAAGGACCTTTCCGGCCATGTGTCCGCACTTTTTTGTCCCCGCCGCCTGGTCCTCGATATGAATGCCCGCGGCGCCTTTCTCAACAAACAGTTTGGTGAGCTTCATAACCGCCGAGGTACCACCGTGTCCCGTGTCGGCATCGGCAATAATGGGTCGGAGATAGTCGACGATCGGTGTTGAGGCGAGTTCAGCGTCCGAGAGGTGGGAGCGGGCTTCGCGCTGTTTGCGGTCATGGAAGAGCTGTGCCATGAAAAGGTGCTCAACCTTGTTAGGTACGGTGTTGTATGGATAATCTGTGAAAATGTTATATGGTTGATATTGATTTAGGAAGGAGTCGTAGACGTACCGGCAAGATCGGGACCCGGTTCGTTCGTGCTCGACGCGGTACTAGACGACTGCCATCCGGAGACGTACACTGTCTCCAAATATTTGGCCATCTGAGTGACCTGCACGGGGTCTAGGCTGATGCACAAATAAGTATGGAGTACCACGCTCGGTTGTGTGATCCGACTCACGCTCCATAGGTGTGCGAGGGTGTCCCCCGCTTGAAGTGTTCCGAGAAGAGATTGAAGGCCTTCTTTCCCTGGATATCTGAAGGGTATGAGATCGGAATGGTTCCTCGCTTGGAGACGACCTGCTCGGCGGTGTAGGGGCGCTTCACCAGTGCGAAGCGTGGGCCCTGAATACTTTACTGTTGAGGGCGATGCGCGCGAGCAAAACGGGGAGAGAACCGACCTTCCACCACTGCTCGACCTGGGCGACCTCGGCCTTAAATTGTGCTCGCTCACTGAGGGACATGTTGTGTGATGGGGGGAGGGGTTGGTGGGAATATGAGTGTCGAAAGCAGGGGGGGAGTACGATTTAATGGGTTCATTGGCTTTGTGCCGGTTGGCATTGCACGTCCCGATTAGGGCATGCGGGGCGGCAACTGGCATGTGATTACGTTACCCCGCACCAGCTCGACCCCGCTCTGGCTGCCGCCCGCGTCCGAGCGGCGAAAGATGAGCCCAGGTTCTGCCAGCAGCCGTTGAGTCCTGCGCGGCTCCCCGCACTCTGCGCCAGCCGCCGTCCAATCCATGAACACATTGGCAGCGTATGTCCACCTCTTGGACCGCGCTGGTGCTTTTTCGTGTTCGTCGTTCGCAGGCTTCAGTATCTTCTTGTCTTATTACGACCGTGACTGCATGGCGACACCCTCAGCATGTGAATCATGCGCCTTTCATGCTACATCACAGCCGAGGCATGACATCACAGTTGGTCCATGAACTAGCACAAGACAAGCGTCGTCGGCTTCGCGCCGTAGCGCCCACTGCCATTCCAGACCCCTCGCCCGGATCTCCGTACTATGCCCGTATGCGGGACGGATAGGAACCACACCGCCAGGCGGAACAGCCCATCCCCGTCCGCGGTCAGTCCTGAGATTCCTGAGCGTCGGCGTTCCGTGCCTCCCCAAGCTGTCGCCGTATGTCGCAATTCAAATGTATTAAGTACCTCCAAACATGCTGCGGAAATGCTACCGACGGTCGCCATCGTACACCAAGTTCGCGAGACCGTATCGAACGGTGAACGCAACGACGCTGCCTGCCACCTGTTGCGCTTCAGGAAGACTGCTTATATCTTCGAGGATGCAGAGAGCACACACCTGAACACCGATGAGCGTCTGTGTGAGTCTCTTCTCTTGCATGGGGCCTAATTTCAACAGCAGAAAGTTGAGAATGGTCAAGTTCGTCGCTTCGAGTATGTGTCCTGTGTCTGGGTGGATCGTGAGCTCTGTAAGCCGAAGCGTCGACAGCGTGCGCAGAGTGAGCGCGGTCAATTTCGAAGGCCGCTGCAGGAATTGCACTTTTGACGGATATAGCAGGTTGGCATTCGGATCGAACCTGTTGAAAGGTCAGACAGGGGTACAGATTTCTGTCAGGGATAACGTACCGAGGCACACGGTGTCGAGGGCACGGGACGAGTCCAAATAGTTGCGGACAGGAAAGGAGAAAGTTGAAGATTTGGGGAAGGAAGAAAAGGAGGAGCGTTTTCGAGAAGTGCGCTTGGATACCAACGACTGAAAAGGCCATGCCAGTCACATAGCATAGGGTGTCTCCGGGGAACGCTCGTGCGGGATACCTGATCACAAGAATGTCATTTCACTAGTCCAAAGGCTTGACAAGAATTCGTACCAGTTATGATACAGAAACCCGAGGCATACACCTACCAAAGGCAGCATGAAATATAAACTGAATAGATGTCGCTCGACAAGTTCCTTGCTTCCGTATGCCATCCCCGCACTCCATACACCACCGACCTCAACCTCGGTCGGAGATCCAAGAAGGTGTAGGGGGATGCGAAACCCGACAGGCCACGGGAGATACAAAAGATCGTTGAGAACTACGGAGAGCGCTATCACGAGAGCTTGAGAGACCTCAGAGCCGTTGATGCCAGCGAGGATATTGATGCTATTAGTGGAGAAGGTAGAGAGAAGGGACATGTAGAGATAATAGATTGGACCTTCGAAAGGATCGGTACGCATCTAGGCAGAACATAATTCATAGGCTTACCGAGGTTGACCAGTGTACCAAAGAAGGGACGCAAAGGTAATGGTACGACTACGTGAGTGTTACCTTGCTCAGCATAGTAGACCATGAGAAGAGGTATAGAGGCGATGATCGGAATGGGGAGCTTGTGTCTCCACCGGATATCGAATACATCGTCGAGGAAGCCTAGAAGGGTCGATATGAGGAGGGACAGGAGCGATGAGAGGTAGACGGATAACTTGATGCCGGCAGGCACCACTCAACAAACAGGGCAAACTCGAGAGCATGGAATCTCACCTGGTAGTGTGGGAACTCATTGATTATAATGCCCTCGTGGACGGTGAATTGCGTATGCGACTGGGTCAGCGAGATCGAGGAGAATGCGAATGGAATGAAGATGATGAGCAGGAGGATGTATATCGAGGCACAGACGAGTCCGAGACTTTCCGGTCTATATGAGTGGTCAACGGTGAGCACTCAGACATATTGTTGATCGGGCCGGCTTACATAGGATTATAATATGTCTTCAGCAGATCTTTTCCTTTCAGATTGGCTTGGATGAATGTCGGACCCAAGGCAGGAACCAGATAGAGAGTTAACAGTAGTGCAAAGATGGACAATCCAAGTGAGACATGCAAAGCCGGCAAAGCAGGTATTGGTTCGATGAGTGGCCGTACAATAAACCAGCTGGCGATGGGCACCAGGGAGAAGAGGAGAACCGAAGGCAACGGCCTCGGTGCCAGAGGATTTGCCATTGCAAGCCACTATCCTCGAGCCCGTCGAGTCAAATATTCCGAAGGCTGGGGTGTGAGAGAAAGGGAAAGGAAAAGCGTCGTGCACAAGGACGTGGTAGACGGAAGCCACGTCGCCGACGCGTGAAACTTGATTGACGTGTCGAGGTCATGTGCCACATTCTGCGCGCGTCGGTGGCTGATGTCTGACTTCCTGTCTAACCTCGAGCAAGGGCTTGCACAAGGCTCGACAAAAATCATTAAAGCGCCGGAGCATCTGAATAGCACTGGGTGCTGCATCAAGTACTCTGATGGCAAGGGTCGAGGCGTTTTCGGTGAGTGTTATCTTCGAAAAGAGTAGCGACGGCCGATTTTTGACTCGAATTTTGGCGCCTTAGCATCACGTACAATTCCAGCGCGGACGATCGTAGAGATCAGCCCAGTCCTGCTTTTTTCTTCAGAGGAATATGAAGCCCATGGAAAGCACACAGCGTTAGATCATTATACGTTCAGACAAAGAGACGGCCGCATGGCATTAGCTCTCGGTCTTGGTGCGTCCCTCTGACTCTTTGCCATGGAATGCCTCTGAGACATATTCTAGGGTCTCTATTCAATCATTCTAGCTCGCCAAATGTCACATATACCATGGATACGACGACGGAGTCCATTCGGTTTACTACGACTAGGACTGTCGAGACAGACGAAGAGCTATGCATATTCTATGGGCACAATCTCTGGTTCAATCCGTCCGATGCCGTCGATCGTGTGTCCGATAATCAATCGGAACCAGACGACGGATGGGGAGGCTTGACCTGTATTGAAGACGAGACTGGTGCTTCAAACGTTGTAGAAGATTCATTCTACAGCGGAAACCCCAACGAGATCGTGACCGAGGAGCACCTTCCCTTTACAAGAATAAAACTGACACCAGATGAAGAAGAGGAAGAAGACATAGGTTCTATTCGTAAAGGTGTGTTCTCGTCTGACATATCCGCAACCTCTCTCTAAAGGCTCAGTTCGTCGTACCAGTCCTAGCCTGGGTGGTCGATGTTCCAAACCCTCGCCATACCACCACAATGCTGAAGTAATCGAGACCTGCTTTCCGATCTACTCTTCGCCTTACATACGTTTCTTTTTACAGATGGCTCAGGCAGTCAGGCCATGACACGCCTGCCCTTGCGCATCTCAAACGCGTTCGCAAGCTTCCCACGCACTCGACCCTCCTTGTGTCCACTGCCTCTTCTCCGCCGTCACTTCCTCGCGACCCTGATCTTGGCCTTTCCAAACTCTATCAGCTGCCCGTCCCTCGCACCGCTGCACTGACACCGAACTCCTTGCAGCTCAAAAACACCCTCTGGCCGACAGTGTTTGCACCGAGACGCAAATACGAACCGGAGCAGTGGTCGCGCGCACGGGCGCGTTGGGCGCTACAAGCGATGCGCTTTGTAGTCCAGGAGGCCCGAAAAGCTCAAGAATCAGGCGAGGTCTGCTTTACTCCCCTCCAATTTCTGGCCCGTTTCTGACAGGTATCTCTGCTTAAGCTCCCCATCGTTTCTTACGTGCCTGCACCCTTCGATAACGCAAACGCGGCGGATGCAACTCCTTCCTTTACCGCCCACGACACGCGAACATCCGCCTCTCATCCCCTTCGACATTCTGTCCTCAACGTCATTCGACAAGTTGCGGACTACCGAAGCACCAGCACGCCTCATGAGCGCCCTCCCTCCTCTGTCTCTGACGCGCCGCCCCTTCCTCCCGTTGCAGCATTGGACTCGGAAGTCCAGAACGGACAACGCTACCTCCTCACCTCGCACTCACTTTTCACTACGCACGAGCCCTGCATCATGTGCTCCATGGCGTTGCTGCACTCCCGCGTGAAAGAGGTTTTCTATCTAATTCCGATGCAGAAGACGGGGGGGTGCGGTGGGGCGGCATGTTTGCCAAGGCTGGAAGCCGTAAACCATCGGTTCATGATCGGGAAGTGGAGACTTGGGAAAGACGGTGGAGTCGATGCACAGGGCGTGGCGGTTGGGGAGGAGGTGGATGCTTGATAGATGCATCAAGGTTGTATTAGAACTCTGCAATGACACGCCAATCAAACACATTTTTGTTCGCCCGACGAGATGATGAGAATTGAACTGAACGAAGCAGCACCAAACAGCATCCTGGTAGTACATACATAGCATGTTACAGATTATTTGACAACATGACAGAGTGAAACCTTGAAGCATATTCTAACCAGTCCCCGCGAAACTTACATCCTGCTCTTCTCAAACATCTTCGGGTCCCACATCTGCTCCTTGATATACGACAGGAGTGTGTTATCCGTGACATGGCGCAGCGTCGGAGAGTTGTCCATATTCTGCAGGCGCCGATCAACAACTATCCTTGGAGTCGACATCGCGCTACTCACCGCATTCTGTGAAGCCCTGATGACAGACAGCGCGATCTGGGCACTGACGTCTCGGATTCTATCCAGCCGAGGATATACCAACTCTGCCTCGGTCTCGTCCTCGTCCAACGACCCAGCGAGCGCGAGCGACGCTTGTTCGATCATCGAGTCTGTGACCTGCGAAGATCTGGAAAGAATGGTGCCGAGGCCGATGCCAGGGAAGATGTACATGTTGTTCCCTTGGCCCGGCTCGTGAGTTTTGGAGGCGTGCATGACTGAGTGGTAGGGGGAGCCAGAAGCGAAGATGACTTTGCCATTTGTCCTGTGGGAACAAAGATTATATGAGCGATGCCGCTAGCGAACCGCACTTGTACGGAAGCTCTGACCACTCGACTGCCTCTTGGTAATCTAATTCACATAGGGCTACGGGATTCGAGAGAGGGAAGATGATCGGGCGTTCGTTGAGTGTAGCTAGGGTCGAGACAACTTCTTTGTTGAAAGCATTCTAGTGATCCAGCAATGACTGGTTAGAGCGTATCCCAACAGCACTGAGCGTAGAGACTGACGCGGATGGTACTGAGACCCAAAAGGGCTGTGGGCTTGACGTATTTGATGATATCGACCAAGTTAGTAAGAGGAGGGCCTTCATAGTCGGTCCGGGCGAAGACTAATGCATCGGAAGCGTCAACCCAATATACGATTATGTCTTGCAGGACGCCTGTCTCAACTCACATTTCTTATGTTCTTGAAGTCCTTGCCTGTCAGCCGTGATAAGACCCTTCGAGTCGACAGTCTGACAGCAACACGTATTGGTCGACATCTTTAATATTTTCAAGGATGGAGACGTACCCAGATCTGCTTCTTCGCTTCTGTCTCTGACATGCCTTGGAACTTGAAGAACGACAATAACTGCTTCGCGACACCGATACCAGCCGAGCCGGCACCGAAGAAGAGAATCCTGTGATTGGAGAGCGGGAGACCGGATGCAGCGGATGCCAGGCGAGCTGCGTTGAAAAAGCCGGAGAGGACGACCGCACCGGTCCCTTGAATCTGCATAAAGGGAAGTTCAGCACACGAGACGCCCCATGATTTCTTTTGTGGAATTCGCGAACATCGTCATTGAAGCACCGGTACTTTCTACGAAACATGTCGAGATACTTGAAGGCGTTGTCGGTGGAAAAATCTTCGAATTGAACGAGAAGGTGCGGGAAGACTTCTTTCATAGCTTCCATGAATTCCTGCATGAACTCGTCCATCTGCCATTGGTAGACAGACCGTGGTCAGAGGAGAGAAATTGTGAGCACACGAAGGTTTTACCTCGATCGCATTGGGACGTGGGCGACGGACTCCGATATAAAGTGGGTCGTTGAGGTACTTCTCAGTAGACGTACCGACGTCGAGACATATCGGGACCTAGAGGAGAAGTTAAGTCAATTAAACAACGGCATATATCAGAAAGCGAATCTCACTGTAGACGTCGGACGAACGCCCGCGCCAGCGATATAGAGATCACTGCCATAGTACGGTTAAGTACTCATGCGCAGCGCTGGACTGGGAAGACGATCTCATACAGTTTACCTATGCTGATAGGCAAGCCGTTCGCACCAAGGTCACCCAGCCCTAGGATACGAGAGCCTGCATGATACGATGAGTGGAGAATAAGTCCAAATAATTCCAACATACTGACCGTCTGTGACCACGGCGATTCTGGCTTCGCGGAGATTGGGCCATGTGGACAAGACGTCGCGGATGCGGCCCTTATCCCCAATAGACACATACAGACCCTCAGGCCGGCGCCAGATGTGTGAGTAATTTTGGCAAGCATCACCGACCTTAACATTATCCAATTAAGTACGGCTACGGAGTCGGTAGACCTAAACTCACTGTCGGTGTGTACAGGATAGGGACTATCTCCTACATGCCGATAATTATGTATTAGCAGACAACAAGACCGATATTGATACACTCACCCTCATGTTGTCATAGAGGATGCTGTAGAACAATGCAGGGTCCCGCTCCTTGAGTCCGTTGAGAAATATATACTTCTCGAGTCCATTATTTTTGGAGCGCAGCTGAGCAAGGGAACGAGAGCGATGAGTCGCTTGGCTGAAATTTGGCGGGGGAAGCCTTGTGAAAAACTTTGTCGTCGCCCTAGCTGCGGCGTTAAGCTGCATGCCGTCAGTGAGAGTATCAGTGAGGAGAGCAGGCATAGCGAGCAGCATATATATATGACTCGACGGGTGGGAAGATGTAATGAAGCGAGTTAAGATGACTCGTGAGTGATGGGGCACTGGGGTGAGAATGGGGGGGTTTCTGGTGAAACCCTGGGGCAGGCCTACCGTGCCATATAAAGCCTGTAGAGATGTCCCTTTTCTGCATCAGGAGTGTCTTTGTTGGGACGGAGCGAGGGAACGGTATCATCGGTTCCCTCGCTGGGCACGCCTACTTTTGGACAACCCATCCTGGCTTACCCGCGTCTCGCCGACATTCGGGCACCCAAATTTGCTCATCCAGGTCGCGCGACTCTGTGCGCGAGACGAATTGCGGACAGAAAGGAGGCGCTGAAGGAGACGGTCTCCTCGAAAGCGAATCATGTGCCACCGTTAGCCTGTGAAGAGGGTGTCAGACGGAAGAGCTCGGGACGCCGCTGCGCTCCTAGAGCTCCTAAAGTGCTAGACCCAGGCGGCAGCCAGTAGCATCGCATTGTCTTGCGGTCGTTTCGCGAACCTCCTCTATCGCATGCGAGGAAGACCGGGCACTCGGGGACAACGCGGAGGGAGCTCAGGGTTGAGACATGCTCATATGATTAGGTTAGACACGCGCGCAGAAAACAGACCTGCCCATCGTCGTAACGCGTAAACTCCCACTCCGCTCAACTCTAACAGCCAGCGACACCTGACCTGTGACCGCCCGATCTCTACCAAAACTCCTTTCGCTTGCTCCTGATCTCCCGAACAATCAACTTCTTCTCTCCCCACTTGTTCCGTGCCGACTCATGCTCGCGCTCACGTTTCTGCAGCGCTACGCGGTGCGCTCCTGTCGATAGCTTGGCCATGTACCCGACGAACGTCTCTGTGCAGTTGAACCGTTCTGCTAGCCGCTTCCGCGTGTAGTACGCGGGATTGATGGCTCGCAGCCGGCGCATCTCTGTGAGGTCCTTGTCAGACATCCGCGGTTTTGGCTCCGCGGCCTTGTGAAGGAGTGGAGGGAGCGAGGCGTCTGCAGAAGGCGAGGGCGATGGAGGCTTGAGTAGTGGCGATGCTGGGTTTGTGATGTATGATAGAGGAGTGGGCGCCGACGGAGGAGGGCGATGAATAAATGTCAAGTCGCCTGGCAATGTGGTCGTAGTCGCGTGAGGGTTGTTAACCAGAGGGTCTGGATGGCGCATCCGGGGCTTCTCTGGCAGGCGCGTCGAGTATGAACGACATGAAGGAAGTCGGAAAGACAATCGCGTCTTCATGGTCATCGTCAGGGATGTACTGCAGACCACTCGAGCTGGCAATTCGTCCCTCCTCTCACGCTCCCATTTTAGGCACTCAACGCCGCCACGTGCTCGCTCATCATCACTACCCGCATGCAGCGACGCCCTCTTGTAGACTTGTAGAGTAAGTTCACCAATGCCTCTCGATTTGATTCTACGCAACTGCTTGGTGTAAATCTACAGACGAATATGTGGTGGTATGAATTGAAAATGTCGATTAAATTATAATGCCCGTTGTTGGACTTGATTGTCAAATGACTTCCCCTCCAACCCTTTCCGGAGAGAAAAGGTTCGACATTAATAGTCTAAGTAAGCACTCTCGCAACATGGCATGTATATCTATGCCTTATCTCATATGGTTCACTTTCTGTCCTGATACACTGCTAGTGATCAGATCCTTTCTAGTCCTACAACCACCTCCAACGACGTCGAGCACATCATGAGCAGGCCATTCAATTCTTCTTTGGCGTAATCAAGGGCATCCAGCCGCGCTCATACTGATTCGCTGGCTTGACGGCGACGCCTAGCTGCTGAGCAGCGAGGAGCGGGAAGTGAGGTGTCCGGATGAGCTCCTTCGCGAGGAAAACAACGTCGGCTTTCCCAGCTTCGAGAATATCATTCGCCTGCTCGGCTGTGGTGATGAAACCGACAGCGCCGACAGATATGTTAGGATAGGCCTTTTTGACAGCCTCCGCGAGAGGAACCTGATACGATGACCCATGTTAGGAAACGGGTCAGGTAAATCTGGTAGAGAGAGGATGCGAACCTGGTATCCGGGTCCAACGGGGATCTTCTGTGCGGCCCAGTTGCCGGCGGAACTGACGTCGATCAAATCGACACCGATTTTCTCCAGCTCGCCAACGAAGATCTTGCTCTGCTCAATGCCCCATTGTTTCCATAAACCGTCGTCACCTTTCTCGGGGCCCTCAGCCCAGTCCGTACCGCTGATGCGCACGAAGAGCGGTTTGGACCACACAGCGCGGACGCTCTTGATCACGCTCAGCGGCCAGCGAATGCGGTTCTCCAGCGATTGTCCGCCGTAGGCGTCCTCACGGATGTTGGAGAGCGGGGATAGGAACTCGTGCAAGAGGTAACCGTGCGCACCGTGCAGCTCGATGAAATCGACTGTAGGACTGCGTCAGCTCGGTGAGCCTGCTCACGACGCAAAGAGCGCCTTACATCCGATTTCCTCTGAGCGCTTGACAGCTGCGACAAAGGCCTCCTCGACTCGATTCAAATCGGCCTCAGTCATGGCCTTCGGCTTTGGGTGAATGGGATCGTAGGCGATCGCGCTAGGTGCGTAGACTGGGCCTAGTGAACGGGACGCATAACCTCATGCGTTCAAAACCTCCGCTTACCATTGTCAGGCCAACCGCCCTCGCTCTCCTGTGCGACCCAGGTGCTCGCGCGATGTGTCTGATCAGCACTCGCGAACACCCAAGGCGCGAGAGTCGACGCCTTGCGACCGGCGTGGGCGAGCTGGATGCCGATCTTCGCGCCTTGGGAGTGCGCAAAATCGACGATGCGCTTCAAGGGCGCGATCTGGCTGTCTGTCCAGAGTCCCTGCAGGGCACGCGTCCGCCATGAGTCCTCGCCGCCGGGATAGCGTGAAAGTCACGAAGGACGTACAGCGTCCTGTGGGGAAATACGCCCTTCTGGGACGACGGCGGTCGCTTCGACAGTGATCGCACCGGCGCCGCGGGTCGCGTATCCCTGAGTACGCGCCGAGACGTTCAGCTCTGATAAGACGCGCGTCTAAATTCCAAGGTGCTCACCCCGAGATGAACAAAATGCCATTCTGTAGCATGCCCGTTATCCGAGCTGTACTGGCACATGGGCGACTAGAATAGCGGACCACCTCAGTGCGCTGAACTAGTGGCCTACTATGCGATGCCTGATGGTACTTACGACGAAGATGCGGTTGTTGAACGTGACACCTCTAATGGTGAGGGGTTGAAACAGAGCAGGGAGCTTCGCATTCTGGGGGAACGTTTCCTAAAATTCCAACGTGATCAGATGCACGAGCGAACCACCCAACGAGAGCAGCACGCACGGGCGAGAGGGTCGCGCCGATGCTAGGATTGTTCAGGGGATAGTATTCCTTCGCATTCGGGACGGCGTGGTTGACGTTGGACATGGTGTGGACGAGTTGGACTCCGTAGAAGCTGTAGCGAGAGATGCTCGGCTGGAACTTGAAACGGAGCAGGTCCCTGCAGGCGGTCTTTATAGAGCTCAGCATGGAGAATCCCAGAGAAGATGGGGGTCAATTACTCAGATCAACGGCGACGATTACGATTACGCCTTGCGAATCACCCACGCGTCGGAGAGATTTGAGAGACAAGTTGGGTGCATCATGGGATGAATCTGGCGTCCGTGGTGAGTGGGAAGAATGCCATCATTTCGTCATTGGTCACCTGAACCGGTTCCTCCATGTCAGCCACAAGGGAACCCATTTTTGAGTATGAAGTCGATGAGTGCAAATCAGATCAACGAAGCACGAAGCACTGACAAAAGGCCCCAAGGGCACCTCCTTGTCTGCGACAATTTTCAGAGCTACCGGGTTTCGCGAATCATGAGGCCAGCATATATCCAGTACGTGCCGTACGTTTTTCATTATGAGCGCCCGACGCTCTTCTATGGCCTATGATATCAACAAGCCAGCTCTTCGAGCACCTTATCGCAACATCCACCTGAACCGTAATCACTGTAATAAGCTGATCAAGACAAAAAAACATCCCCGTGTGGTTGACGAACACGGTTTGTGCCGCGAGATGAACGCATCTCAAAGGAGGTTTGTTCGTAAAACGCCACCCCGTGATGATATACCTTCTATTCATGTCCCCGAGCGCTTCCGGCGTGTTCGGTGTGCGTGGCACTGGTTCACTGGCCTCCGGGACAGCATTAGACGTTCACGTCTCAGGACGCCAAACCAGGCGCAGATCCTGACGCTTGACGTGCTGCAGCGGGCTACTGCAGGCTATCCGCGCGATACATGCCGCTGTAACCCGATCTGACGCCCACCATCGTTCGAGCTGTACTGCACAGGATTGAGTCCTGGTGCGGCCTGCCGGGCTGTGACAGAGCACGATGGGCACGCTTCCCCCCGAGCAACAAGCATGTGTTTGACGTGAGGTCAGAACGCTTGACCTTCTTTTCTGTGGCGATCATGATCTTTCAACTCAAGCCGATATTCGATCCCATGGCGTTGAGCATCATTCGGATCGCCCTCCCTTCAGATTGCCTACCATTCAGATCACACCTTATTCGTCATAAGCGTCCGGCGCAGGTACATTCCACTGCGCTCGTCATTTTCTGTCTGTCTTTCGAATTTATACCTTGCGTCACGTCGTATGTCCAGAACTGCCTGTATCCACGCATATAGTTGCTTGATTCAATGCGCTGTACCCCGCAAGGTACCTCAACAACCAGAATTCTGCAGTGTTATTACAACGAGTACAGTGGTCCTCCACACGTGAAACTTCGACCTCCAGACGAGGTATGGGAGCACAAGTCCCCCATTCGTGCGGCCTCCATAGTCAGATCCTGCAGCGGGAGTCTGCCGCCGCCGCCCTGCGACACGAAGCACCGCGCGTGGAAGTACGACGCGTGCGCGACTCCGCGAACGGCCGAGAGAAGCTCTCGAGCGCGAGCGCGGGCGCGGCCATGGGGTTGACGACGACGACGGAGCACGAGGGTTATCCCGCGCCTGTGCAGCTCGCCGCCGAGGTCCCTGACATCCTCTGCGGTCCCAAAGCAAGCGGGGGGTCCAACGCTGCGAGGCCCATCGTCCAACACCTGAATACGGCGACAGAGCGTGTGCGCGCGTGCATACATGGCACCAGCACGCGGCCGTTGTGGCCACTCGCCTGTAGTACTAGCCTGAGTGTCTCCGTACGCGGTCGCGCCCTTGAGTGTGGCAGAGCCGAGGGAGATTCATGCGGTATTGAAGCCTGTGTCCTGGGTGGAGTCCATATGGTGGGCGATGCCCTTGCCCGTCATGCCGCAGTGGCGTCAGAGATCGAGAGGCGACTCCGCGCGTCTGACGGTGTCCGTCGACTTGCGATCCACAAGCTCTCGCTCTCGAACAGTCGGCCTTCGAGCAGCAGAGCTACCTATCACCGTCGTTCTGATTCCTTTTCATCGATCTCCGGAGGCGCCCAAACGTGAGCCGTTTCGTGCGATCGACGAAGATAAGATACCGCAGGCAGTCGTTGATCGGAGAAGATCAGCATCACCCCGTCCTGAGATCAAGCTCTGCTTTGTTCCGACAGACGCTAGTCAGACGCTACATATGTTGCTCATGATCTAGTCAAGCCCAACAATTCATCGTTTGCTGCGCGCTGTTGATTTCATCTTCCAATGTCCGACGTTGGGACAGGGTCCCTCGAGGTAGGAACGCGGTTTCGCGTCGCAAGGTATCATAGAATCGGAGTTCGGACATGTCCAGGCTTTCTGTCGGTAGAACATCAACGCTTCGGTTACGTTTTCAACGCGGTAATCGTCAGTCGTCGAGCGCTCCCAGCGTGCTCAAGTCAGGTCTGGGAGCTTGAGAATCCGGATGAACTGCATAGATCCAGGTCGGTGACCTCATGTCATCGGCGCGGGCAGAAGCATCAAGAATACATGTCATGCGCTTATTCACACGAGGAGTGGCGTCCCCGAGTACATCGACGGCCAGTGGGAAAACATACAATGAGGACGACATGCGACAAGCAGTGCTTGCGAGGCACACGATAGGTGCAGTATGCAGCCTATTGCAATGAATGCGAGAGCCACAACGCGACGAACAGAGGCGGCGCGGATTGGCCTATAATCATAAGTATTAGCAGCGAAATATGAACTTGCAACCAAACGCGGCGAGTAGAGGGCCAGAAGCCTTACAAAACAACCACTCCTTCTAGAATTACGAGACCTTCCGTCCAATCGCTCCTGATGGACAGGACTCGCGTAGATAGCACGAGGCTCATCAAAGATGGGAGCTGCGCCCTCGGACGTGTCATTACATCCATGTCTATGCAGGTAGGTAGACCACGAGTGTCGACGGCGCCTCCAATGCGACGGGAGCGACCTGATATACGGGGAACAATTAGCGATCGATGCTTACGTGAACGAAGTTCACAGCGGTCGTCGCGCGTCGCGCTCAGATAAAGTTCGCTGCATTATCGTGCGCAAGGTGTTCCGTGATGCGCGTACGCGTAGGTGTGAGGAAGCTGGAGACTAGCGCCGAAGAAGGGATGCTGCAAGCACGGGGTGCTGGTGAGCAGATATAAGCATCCATGACCACCCATGCCTCCCTCCTTAACGATCGCCGTTGTAAACTTCCATCGCTCTCCGCATCATCTTCAACATAAATGGCCGCATCTTTCGATCAGACTCACCGCAACGGCGCCTATAGCTACGAGACGCTCGCCAGTGCCGCATTGTCCATGGACGATGCGGCCCACTTGTCCACACACCATGACGAAAACCTCTTTGGATTCTTCTCTTCCTCATTTCCCTCCCAACACTCGTCTCCCCTCTCCCCGCCCTCGGAGTATGGGGCCACCGACCCATATTCCGACCTCAGTGGCCCATCGTCCCGGGCCACAATCGGAATGGACCTTTACGCCGGCGCCCACTACGGCGCACAACAAGTTGACACGCCCGTCTCCCCCGAGATGGGCTACGACAGAAGACCGGCCCAGACGTGGGCACCGGCGCCGAGCCGGATGTCAGCTGCATACTGGCTGTCGGATGAATGGAACGTGAGTGCCGCGCTTGTTCTCGGTCTGTGATGATACCGCTCACTTCGATATACCTACAGGACGTGACCAACGTCGCCCATGCCCCCGCCGCACATGGATCGCCTGTTCACACAGGCGAAGCATACAACACTCTGGCGGACGGCCCAGCCGCCGAGTTCCTTCACAATTCGCTGACCGCATCAATGGTGAGTACTGGAAACGTCAATATTGCTTGCCCACCAGCTGACAACAGACTCGCACGTCCGCTCCAGGATGCGGTAGCTAACTACGTCCCTGTGCAAATGGCACAGAAGCGTCGTGCAGAAGGCGACGTGGACAAGGGCCGCATACAGAAGCGGCCAAGACATGCGGTGGATCCGACGCCCAAGGGGAAGAGGACGCCGCCAGATCCACGGACAGGTCTTGTCCCACCAGGCGAGACCTGGTCACATACCAGCAGTAAATACAAGACCGTCGACCTCGAGGATTCCCCTCGAGACCGACAAACCCTCGCAAGTGTACCACCGGCTGAAACAGGGGCTAGCACACAGCGAGGACCCAACCGTCCGATAGCGCGCGCGAGCAAGGCCGCGCCTGAGCTCGAGCCGGAGGTACCAGGTGAGGATGGGAGAAAGGTGAGGAAAAAAGCGGCCACGCCAGGCAAGAAAAAGATCATCTGCGCATGGCCAGTGTGCTTGGAGACGGGGAAGATGTGCACGAAGGGGTATGGGAGGCAGCACGACATGCTCCGGCACGTCCAATCCAAGCACCTGCGCATCCCGCGCGAGTGCCCCAATTGCGGAACGTACGTCTTTCGTGAGCTGGGCGCGCACCAGAGGCGCAGGACGTGCGTCCGGGCGGGAGAATGGTCGGCGTTGGTGAGGGAGATGAAGGCGCAGAGTTTCCTGGAGCAGAAGGAGGTGACCGGGGTTGTGGGGGGAGAGAAGCTGCTGGACAGTGAGGTGCGGTCGCTCCTGGAGGCGATCCGGGCCCTTATAGAGGCTGGCCGGTCGCAGCCAGACGACATTGAAGACGGGATCGATGGCTGGATGAAGCAGCACAGGAGGGTATGGCAAAAGGTCATGGGCAACGCACACGGCCACGCGCCGCCTTCCTGAAATTTTTATCGCCGCTTCTTTGCCATGGATCGCTATCGATCCTGATCTCTGCCTCTTTTCACCTACTCGTGGCCTCTCGTGGCTCTCTGCAACGTATTTCTCTTCGTTCTGTTCAATGTTGTGTCTATGTACTTGCTTGTTTTCACGTACCGCGGAGTTTCTGTTCCATATATACATTTCCTATCCCCTTCAGACGAGCGACGCACGACACCGGTGCGACATGCGACAAGAAAGCGATAATTTGCCCCTCGCCAGGTGCCTTTGTTCAAGGAGAACAGGAAGAGGAAGAGACATCATCGTTAGAGTTTGAGGCCTACGAGGATCTGCACTGAATATTAGATGATGAGATCCTCGGCACGTGCTATCGTTGCGCCGCCGCCGCCGCCTCCCTCCTCCTACCAGCTCCTCTCGCCTGCCGCCAAGTTGCCATCTTGACGGCTGCACAATTATCTCGCGAATCTCTTGGATTTCATTTATACCAGCCAACTACATAAGATCCGGATGACGCTCGCTTGAACAAGTTCCCTGCACCCTCGTAAACATGCACCCGGTAAACATCCCACTGCATCCGTCCAGGGGGCAGCGGAGAGGCTCGATACCGGTACCATACATAGCTCGATATACATATCTCGGAATTGCGTCAGGGCACGTCGACACATGCACACACGTTACATGCGACACGGCTGCACACGAGCACTTCCTACCAGCCGCCGATTGCGTTGCGACCATCGTCGTCCGAGTACACTGCATCGTCCCTCGAGAAATCCGCGCCAACATCGATTCGTGAGCGCCTCGAGCAGCCGCGGCACAACGTACACATCGGCATCATTCAGCAATGGCGACCTCGGCACGCTGCATACTTGCCGCCGCTGGCAGCATGGACTGTCCTGGACAGGGCAAGCACGGGCGCCGGCGGCGACGATTCCCGCGCCGCGCTAGCCTCTTCCAAGTCTGCGGTCTGAGAGTGGTCAAAGGCAGTTGGTCTGCAGATGTAGATGCTCGATCGCGTACCGCGCCAGACTGCGCCCGCATAGCTCCGCATAGGCAATATTTGCTTAGAGTTCGCCAGGGCACTCGGCGCTCTGTATACTGTGCCCGCCGGGCATAAGTCTCGAGTTGACCACCACACCGCCGAGCCTAAACTTACACAGCGCGCGATCGATATCGGTACCGCAAACGCGGCGTGGCATCATCCGGTCTCGTCTTCAGGTCTGTTCGAAATAAGGGCAGAGCAGGCGCGCTGTATGCGCGCATCGGCGACGACGCTCCTGCGTCGCGGGACCCCAGATACACTGGCCTCTGTGCCCTCTCTCAACGCGTCGGTCGGCGGGTTTCGGTTCTGACCGACACCGCGTCGCGGTACACTTTGACATGAAAAGTGACGTCTAAGAGCACATCGATAGGCCGAGAAAACGTGAAACGAGTCCATCACGCAACGAACACTGCTCGCGGAGCACGCGATAGGTGCGGTGTGAATGGTATCACAAGGAAAACGAGAACCGAAAATGAAAGAACAGACGCGGAGCGAATCGGCCTGTGATCATAAGTATCATCAGCGGACAACCAACGCGACGAGTAGAGAACCAGGGGCCTCACAAAAGAATGACTGCTTTTGGAATGACAAGACCCTGCGTGCAATCGCTCCTGATGGACAGGGCTCGCGTAGATAACACGAGGTTCATCAGAGATGGAGGCTGCGCCGCCCACCGTGTCATTCCATATAGGTAGACCACGAGTGTCAACGGCGCCTCTAATAAAAGGGGAGCGACCTGATATACGGGGAAGAACGAGCGATCGATAGCTTACATATGAGCGAAGTTTATGGTGGTCGTCGCGGGTCTTGCTGAGATAAAGGTCGCTGCATCAACGAGCGCGAGGCGTACGAGTAGGAAGGGGAAGAGGGAGACGAGCGCCGAGGACGAGATGCTGCAGACACGGGGTGCCGGTGAGCAGATATAAGCACCTACAGGCATCTACACCTCCCCCCTCAACGATCTCCCTGACTGGTCACCTGCCACTCTCCGCATCACCTCCAACAGCAACGGACACGCTCCACTGCCAAAGCGAATACGCACCCTTCCGTACTCAGTACGGCGCCACCTATGGCTACGAGACACTTCCCGGTGCCGCATTGTCCATGAATGATGCAGTACGCTCGACTGCATACCTAGGCAAGTACCTCGATAGACACTCCTTCTTTCCTCCTCTGACTCTCCAACCTCAGAGTATGGAGTCAACCACCCATATGAAGCAGGCAGTGGCCCCTCGCCGACCGCATCCACATTGAGTATCGGACCTATATGCGTGGCCCACTCACTAGCCAACCACAGACTTGCACCAAAGCAGATCTCACACCCAGGTGCGGCACCCGACCACGTCTCTGTGCAGACAGCACACCAACGTCGCGCGGGAGGCGACGAGGACGAGGACCGAGCCCCGAAGCGGCCCAGACACGCGGTGGACCCAGCGCCACCAGATCCACGGACAGACCTCGTCACGAGCCAGCAATGTCCACCAGACCACCGTTCGCGAGGAAACCCCCGAGAGACCGACAAAGCCTCGCAGGCATACGCCGGCTGAAACGAGGCCTGGCACGCGGCGGGGACCCGGCCGCCCAGCGCGCCTTGGCGAGAGTCGGAGGTCGGAGGTGAGAAGACGGGGAAGAGGAAGGCGGCGGCGGCCGATGGGGCAGGTTGCCGAGGCCACGGAGGGAAGGCGGGCTGCGCGATGGCGAGCTGCGGTCGCCCCTAGAGGCGATCCGAGGCCTTATAGAGGCTGGCCGGTCGCAGTCAGACGACATTGAGGACGGGATCGATCGCTGGGTGAAGCAGAACGAGGGGGTATGACAAAAGGTTATGGGCATCGCACCCACACGCCGCCCCCTCGAAAACGTTCATCGCCGCCTCGTATGCCATAGATCGCTATCGATCCGACCCCTTCCGCTCTCCACTTCCTCGCCGCTCTCTGCAACGCTGCTCTCGACCCTGCGATCAGTATTGTGTCCGTGTACACACTCGCCGTCACGTACCGCGGAGTTCCCATCAAGCGCGACGCCGATGGCCACAGCTACACGAATACGGCAAGAAATCGATGATTCGCCCCTCGCTATGGCGCCCTAGCTCATGGGAAGGAGGAAGAGGTCGGGAGAGAGCACATAAGTAGGGCCGATCGAGGAGCCTATGTTCATGGGCTTCACAACCATTCTCGCTGCGTGTCAAAAAATCAGGGATTCGATTCATCAATGCAGTAGTGTACCGGGCATCCCTATCCAACCAAGACGGCAAATCACCGACCACGACCAAACGGCAGCAAAAATACGAAAAAGCCAGCCAAGTCGCCATGCACGAGTAAAGTTTGAAATTCGAAGAGAACACCGTCGTTTCTGGGTTCCTCGGCGGCGCCTCGACACAGGACGCCTCAGTGACGAGACAAGATCCACCACGGCGAGCGGAAGCCTACGGCGTCGACGCGTCGCTCCAGAGTCCAGACGGACCCTGACAGACCCCATCCTCGAGGATCCGAAGCGCGCGAGGCAAACGGACGTGCCTGCCGCCACAAAGACCCCGCCGGCAGATCAGACGCGCTGCGCCCCTGCCATTCAGGCTTATCCTGGAGGCTGCTGTACGTGACGGGCACGCGCCCGAGCCTCCGCCGCGCCGTCGTGCGCATGACTATACTTACCCGATCAAACATCCCCTGCCATCCCTGCCATCCCAGCGCTCGCCGAGCAGGATCAGGCCGTAAAGAGACTCGACATAGCTCGATACAAGTACCCTATCCCAGAATCGACGGACGCGCACGCGTCAAGACGGCGGCGCGAGCACTTGCAACACCAATCGGCGACGCCAATCGCGCCGAACCGTCCGACATCGAGTTCGCGCGCGCGATCCTGGGGGGGTGCTGGCGGCGATCTCGGCAGCGCCCCTCGCCCAATCCACACCCGCCAAGTCGCCGCCGGCCCTCGACCAGGCGAGCAGTGGCGCCGGCGGTGACAGCTACTGTGCCGCGCCGCGCCGCGCCGCGCTAGCCTCTTTCATCGCGCTCGCGGCCCGAAGCGGGCGACCGGCGTGTGCGTGTGCTCGATCGCAGACCCCGCGCACATACGTCCACACAGGCGACGCTCGTCGTCCAAGCCAAGCTCCGTTCGCACAAGCAAGTCAGAAAGAAGAGAAGCAGCAGCGCCATGCACACGCGCACATCCCAGAAACGTCCATCGCGAATCCGGGGCTTTAAAGTTCTGCTCGACTCGACACAGCGCATGGACTCCGAAGCGCGGCCGGCGCAGAGCGCCCAAACGCGGCCCACGCGACGCGCGGTGGAGCTTGCTTCTGGGTGCGGAAGCGACGCGCGCGCAATAGAGTTTCTTGACGTGCGCGCGCGCGCGGGGCTAGGCGAGGCCCGAGAGGCCGTCGTGTCGCAAAGCGGTGTAATTACAGCCCGCGTGGGAAGCGCGAGGGCGTAGAGCCTGCGGCAGGAGAGGGGAGCGCGTCGCGGGACCGAGGGTGGGGAATGCGTATGCGTCCCCCGTTCGCGGGCGACGAGGACCGGCGCGGAGCGAGCGCGCGCACGCTCGGGAGAATGCAGCTTAATGGGCGCTCGCGGGGCGGAGACGCGTACGTGCGTAGGCGTGCGCGTGACGGGGCTCGGAAGTCGGAAGCAGGACGGAAGCAGGACGCTTGGGCTCGGGCTCAGGCTCGGGGCGAGCGGGCGGAGAGGCGTCAGCGGGCTCGGGCCGGACGGCGGGGGCGGCGAGCACGGGCGAGCACGGGCAGCCTGACGACCAGTGTAACACGCGCTACTTATCGTGCGTGGGCCCAGGTGTGACGATCGCGATTGCTCACGATTGGGGTTGATAAGTACGGGGCGAGCAAAGGCGATATGTAGATTGGGCGAGATAAGTGGCCGGAGATGGTGGCCAGGGGAGCGCCGCAGAAGAAGGGGCAGCAGCAGACAAGAAGGGCAGCGAGAAGGCTCGGCGGAACGGGAAGGGCTGCGCGTTTATATGGCGCGATAATGAAACGCGCGTGCTTCGATTCGATGCGGAGCGAGGGCGTCGCGGATTGTTTTTTTTTTGGGGGGGGGGACGGGATCAATGGGATGGTGAGATGATGGAGTGATGATGTTAGATGGGGGAGGGATCGGATCGCGGGCAAGGGACGGAGGGGAGGCGTGGGCGCAGGTCGGGTGGACGGGCGGCGAGGCCAGAGCGGACATAGAGTACGTATGTGCCGGCATAGGTGGGGGGAGGGGTGGATTAACAAGGCAGTCGACGGGTTTAAAGGGCGGGCATAGAGGAGGCAGGAGGGCAGTGGAGAGATCGCCGGGGCCGGAGGAGAGACAAGGGAGGACGGACCGCGGGGCGAGTGGTGAAAACGTGCGGAAGGAGGAAGGTGCGCGGCTGGACGATGATTAGATTGCGGGAACAGATGATGGTGATGGGGTGGTGTTGATGCTGGTGATGAGGATGATGACGGGCGCTAGTTTAGGGAGAGTGGGACGCGGTGCTCGGAAGCGGTGCGGTACAGCAGCAGACGAAGATTCGGGGAGCGGAGAAGGGGCGTGGACCGACAAGGTTGTTTGAAATGATGGCAAGTGCAGCGGCTAGAAGGACGTTGTGAGCGAGTGGCAGCCAGGGAAGCGCAGGGCTCGGGGAGGGAGGACGAACTGGGGACAAAACGTGGGAGTGTGGGAAAGAGTGGGAAGTTCGAGGACGAAGGAGATGGACGGATGGGGAGAGGCACCTCTCCAATGAGGAAGGGGCCATGGACGGTCGCCGCGTCCCAGCGCGCGGGGAGGGGGTGAAACGTCGAGAGAGAGAGAGCAGAGCGGAGAGGCGGTGAAACGTCGAGAGAGAGCAGCTGGGGGAGACGGAGAGAGGCGTGGAGCTGTGCGTGTCGTACGGACGATGTGCTGTGCGCTGGCGAGCGTGCAGGACGGCCCTTGGGCAAGAAACAGGGCCGTCCGGTGGAGGAGGAAGGAGGTCGGACGGCTGATGGACGAGTGGATAAGATGACGCGAGCGCGCGTATAATTCAGCCCGTCCCTTCTCCCTCCTCTCTGCCCTCCCCACCACCATGTCCGTGCGGCACGGCACAGCCGCCCCGTCCCGTCCCCAGTCGCTGCCGTCCTTCGCCCAGGCGTTCAGCAACTCGTCCCTCGACAGGCTCTCCGCCCACAACAACGCCCTCCCGCCGATCCAGCCCCCCTCGCCCTTCGACCCCGCCGCCGCCGCCGACCTCGACGCCCTTCCGCAGTCTTCCCCAGACCCCGACCCCCGGCCCCCGCGCCGCAATGGCAGAAAGCGCCCTCACCCAGACGCCGCCCCCGCCTCCCGCGACGAGCAGTCCTCCGATCCCACGTGCGTCTTTCTCGCCCCTCTCGCTCGCGCCCTTCACAGAGCACCCGTGCAGACGCCAGTCTCCCCGCCTCGTCCGCGTCAAGGAGGAGCAGGACGAGCTCATCGACGACCCTTCCCCGCCCCCCAGGCCCCCCAGATCCCACTCCAATCTCCCCCTCGACTCTTCTGCCGCCCCAGCCCCTCCCTCCTCCAAGAAACGTCGCGTCACCATCAGCGGCGCAGCTCACCCTCCCGACTCCACGCAACCCCATCCCCCCGACTCCACCCAGCCGTCCTCCATGTCCTCCATGGTCATCGGCCTCCCCATCATGCGCGACGACCCCGCCGCCCTCGAGCAGGTCCGCTCCATGCTCACAATCAAACAGAACCAAAAAGCCCTCATCGAACAACGGCGAGGAAGCCTCGCCGGCCCTTCCACCGCCCCGCTCCACCCCTCCGTCGGTGTCATCCACCCCACCAACGCCCCAAAGCCGCAGCTGGGCCCCGCGACCCGCGCCGGTCCCATCGCCCGCAGTCCAAATCTTGGCGCGCCGAGGATGCGCAGTACAATCGTAGCCAACGACCCCTCGTCCTCCGCGCGACAGCCAAGCCCAACCGGGTCCGTCGCCCCGAATCAACAACAACAACAACAACAACCCGTCCCTCCACATACCCACTCCGCCCACGCCCCCCCAGAAAATCCCGCCTCCTCACATCCCCCACATCCTCCCGCCCCGCCCCAGCCCACCCCGATCCCCAACGTCCTCCCTCCGCCCCCGATCAGCTTCAGCTTCGCCCGTCGCCGCGGCGGCGCGGCGGGGAAGAAGAAGCCCGCCGACATCGTCATCAGCCCGCGAGACGTCCAGTCCGACGCCCGCCTCCAGCCCGTCATCCAGAGCGCGCCCCCGGTCCCCCAAGGCGCCGGCGCCGGCGGCCTCGCAGCCATGAGCGGACGCTTCCCGATGGCCCTCCCGAGCCTCCCGCCGGTGCTCGGCGCCGGCCAGAGCATGCGGCGCGTGGCCCCTGGAAACGTCCCGCCCACCCCCACGCGGCTGTCCATGCGCGGGTCCATCGCCGCCGCCCCCGCACCGGCGTCCTCCCTCCTGGGGCCCTCCGCGAGCGTGCCCATCGCCACCACGCTGGTGCCCCCGACGCCCGCCGCGCTGCACCACCCCGGGTATGCCGCCGACAAGGCGTCCTTCCTCGCGCCGTTCGAGGTCTTCTACGACGCGCTGCGCGACGCGAAGGAGCTCAAGGCGTACCTCGCCGAGCAGCTCCACAAGGCCAGCGCGCTCGCGCAGTCGATGCAGGCCCAGCAGGAGCGCCTCGACCTCGCCGTCGACGCCGCCGTCGAGCGCCGCATGGGCGCCGCCGCGGAGGAGGTGGCCGCGCTGCGCAGGCGCGTCGAGGAGCTCGAGGACACGCTGCACGCCGCGCGCGGCGAGGGCGCGGGTCTCGCGCGGCGCAGGAGCCTCGCGCCGGGCGACGCCAACGCGCCGACGCAGACGCAGACGCAGACGGGCCGAGGGCGCGCGGCGCCGTTCCGCAGTAGCGCGCAGCACGCGCAGCCGCCGCCGACCCCGCAGAGCGCGTTCCTCGGCGCGGCCCCCGAGTCGTACACCTTCCCGCCCGTCGACCCCGCCGCGCGCGGCGAGGCGAGCGGCGCGTCGCCCAAAGACAGGGACAGGGACAGGGACAGGGACAGGGACCGCGACGCCGACGGGCGGAACGGGGCCGTCGGCGCGCGGATGAACGGCGGGTCGCCCGTGCCCTTGCCGTACGACCTCGGCCGCCGGCTTTCGATCTCCTCCGTGCGCATGGACCCGCCCCCGCCCCCGCCCCCGCCGCCATCCCAGCACCCCCAGTCCCAGTCTCAGCCCCAGTCCCAGCCGCAGTCCTCGCATCCCCTAGAGTCGGCGTCGGCGTCGGCATCGGCGGGCGCGAGCGGCGCCAAGGGGAGCGCGAAGGGCGGCAAGGGTGCGGCGGCGACGCAGCGGGCCGTGCGGTTTCCGGAGCGCCCGGCGCCGCCGTCGCGGCGGCCGTCGGCGCAGCATCACCAACAGCAGCAGGGGGAGGGCGAGGAGCAGGGACAGAGGGCGGAGAGGAAGTCGCCGGCGGCGGGGCGGAGGCCGAGCTCGGTGGTCGGCGCGTCGCCGAAGAGTCGACCCGAGTCGCCGATGGACGAATCCGGGGCGTGAGCTTTGGCGGGCGGGCGGGCGAGCGAGCGAGCGAGCGATCGACCGCGCCTCGCACTCGAAGGGGGCGCACGCACTTTATGAAGACGGCTTGTTTTTTTTTTTTCGAGAGGACTGTTTGGCACGTGAATTTCGCCCGATTTCTTTTCGCATCTGTGCTGCTTTCTTCTCTCTCTTTTTATTATCACGATATCTGCGGGCTTCCTTCTGCTTCCCTTCCTCATGTCTATCCGTCTGTCTGTCTCTCTGTTCGTCTCTCTGTCTGGCTGTTTTTGCTTATAGGGGTGGCCGTGGCCCGTCAGGCGCCCGTCCGGTACTGACCATACTCTGACCATGGTTGATCATGCGCACCCGACTCGCGCGGGGCGGGAGGGGGGCTCCTGTTCGCTGTTCGCTGTTTTTTTCCTTTTTCTGCTTTTTCTCGGCTCTTCTGACTCTTCGAGCACCGTTCGTCGCATTCAACCCCTTTGTAACGAATACACAGTGTAGTAGGTACCCGTCGTGCACGTTTATTTGCCAGCGTCCTGCCCTTGGAGCTGGGTTACTTTGCCTTGCCCTGCCTTGCCTTGCCTTGCTTTGTTTTGCTGTGCTGATACTGTACGAGCGCAGTCGCGCCGGACAAAACGGTACTACATAGTACATCCGTAGGCGGGTTGCTGTCTTGGGACCGGGGCCCCGACGTCACGGCGGGCAAGGACCTGCGTTAGTAGAGTACATGGACCTACTGCAGCCTGCTGCAGCCTACTGCACTGTGTAATCTGCATGTCCCTCGGGCGGGGTCGGCGTTGATAGAGCGTGGTTGATGTGCTATCGGGGTGCGTCTTGAGATTTTCGACCCCGCTGCTTCGAGTGGGCCGCCCGCTTTCGACGTCGTGCGGTACTGCGGGCGGGCGGACGGGCGGACGGGCAGGTCGGCGGGTGGGCGGCGGGTGGGCGGCTCACTTGGCGATGGCGTTTCTGCGCGAGCCGCGAGCCGCGGGCGCGCGGCGGGATTATCTTTTTTTTTGATTGCGGCGCGTTTTCGAGTGTTTGAGCTGGGGCGGCGTGCGTGAGTGAGTAAGTGCTGGCTGATCGTCGGAGGGCCGCTGAGCGCGCCGCGTCTTCCTCCCTCCCAGAGCACCGACGCAGGATAGTACAGTACCGAGTCCCGACGCCCTTCGCGAGCCGAGCCGAGCCGCGTTCTGGCGTTCTGTCGTTCTGTCCGTAGGGTTTTGATGCTTTGTTTCTTTTAATTTTAATTTTAATTTTAATTTTATTGGCCGGGCGTGAGTCGTGACCGCTCGAGGCCTCGAGGCGCTCGCGGTCCGACGTCGATGCGGCGGAATTTCTCTGGTGCTGTAGGTACAGTACTTAGGAAGGGCCCGCGGGCACCCGTGTCGATGCACGTGTGACGTGCAGATGTCGAGCTATGTATGGTACGGTCGAGCTATGTATGGTACGGGCGAGCCTCTTCTGAACGGATGCTGCGGGAGGAGTGCCGCTTCCGAGGCCACATGTTTACGAGACGGGTGCGTGCTGGGATGGTGGGGAACGCGTTCAATCGAGCATGCGTTGCAGTCAGCTGCTCGAAATTCGACGGATTCTCGAGGTAATCGCGCAGCCATCGAGGTGGCAACTCGGCGGCAGGCGAGGGTAGGAGAGGGTAGGAGCTGGTGATAGGAGGCGTCGCAATGGCACGTGCTGAGCTGTGCTGAGGATCTAATCGTCTGATATCTAGTGCAGATCCTCATCCTCGTAGGCCTCATACTCTAACAATGATGTCTCTTCCTCTTCCTGTTCTCCTTGAAAAAAAGGCATATGGCGAGGGGCGAATTGCCGCTTTCTGGTCGCACGTCGCACCGGCGTCGTGCGTCGCTCGTCCGAAGGGGATAGGAAATGTATATATGGAACAGACATTCCGCGGTACGTGAAAACAAACATGTACATGCACACAACATTGAACAGAACGAAGAAAAAAACGTTGCAGAGAGCCACAAGAGGCCACGAGTAGGTGAAAAGAGGCAGAGATCAGGATCGATAGCGATCCATAGCAAAGAAGCGGCGATAAAAACTTCAGGAAGGCGGCGCGTGGGCGTGTGCGATGCCCATGACCTTCTGCCATACCCTCATGTGCCGCTTCATCCAGCCATCGATCCCGTCTTCAATGTCGTCTGGCTGCGACCGGCCAGCCTCTATAAGGCCCCGGATCGCCTCCAGGAGCGACCGCACCTCACGATCCAGCAGCTTCTCTCCCCCCACAACCCCGGTCACCTCCTTCTGCTCCAGGAAACTCTGCGCCTTCATCTCCCTCGCCAACGCCGACCATTTTCCCGCCCGGACGCACGTCCCGCGCCTCTGGTGCGCGCTCAGCTCACGAAGGACGTACGTCCCGCAATTGGGGCACTCGCGCGGGATGCGCAGGTGCTTGGATTGGACGTGCCGGAGCATGTCGTGCTGCCTCCCATACTTCTTCGTGCACATCTTCCCCGTCTCCAAGCACACTGGCCATGCGCAGATGATCGTTTTCTTCCCTGGCGTGGCCACTTTTTTCCTCACCTTTCTCCCATCCTCACCTGGTACCTCCGGCTCGAGCTCAGGCGCGGCCTTGGTCGCGCGCGCCGTCGGACGGTTGGGTCCTCGCTGTATGTTAGCCCTTGTTTCAGCTGGTGGTACACTTGCGAGGGTTTGTCGGTCTCGAGGGGAATCCTCGAGGTCGACGGTCTTGTATTTATCTCTGGTTTGGAACAAGGTCTCGCCTGGTGGGGCAAGGCCTGTCCGTGGATCTGGTGGCGTCCTCTTCCCTTTGGGTGTAGGATCCACCGTATGTCTTGGCCGCTTCTGTATGCGGCCTTTGTCCACGTCGCCTTCTGCACGACGCTTCTGTTTCGTTCGCACAGGGGCATAGTTAGCTACCGCATCCTGGAGCGGACGTGAGAGTCTGTTGTCAGCTGGTGGGCAAGCAATATTGACGTTTCCAGTACTCACCATCGATGCGGTTAGCGAATCGTGAATGACCTCGGTGGCTGGGCCATCCGCCAGAGTGTTGTATGCTTCGCCTGTGTGAACAGGCGATTCAAATGCGGCGGGGTCATGGGCGACGGGGGCGACGTCCTGTAGGTGTGTCGAGGTGAGCGGTGTCATCACAGGCCGAGAACAAGCGCGGCACTCACGCCCCGTACCTCAGACAGCCAGTATGCTCCTTGCATCCGGCTTGGTGCTGGTGCCCACGTTTGGGCCGGTCTGCTGTCATAGCCCATCTCGGCGGCGACGGGCGTGTCGACTTGTTGTGTGCCGTAGTGGACACCGGCATACAGGTCATCCTCGGTTGCGGCCAGGGATGATGGGCCACTGAAGTCGGGATATGTGTCAGTGGCCCCATATTCTGAGGGCGGGGAGAAGGGAGACGAGTGTTGGGAGGGCAATGAGGAAGAGAAGAATCCAAAGAGGTTCTCGTCATGGTGTGTGGACAAGTGGGCCGCATCGTCCATGGGCAATGTGGCACTGGCGAGCGTCTCGTAGCTATAGGCGCCGCTGCGCTGAGTTTGATCGAAAAATGTAGCCATTTCTGCTGAAGATGATGCGGAGAGAGATGGATGTTCACAACGGCGACCGTTAAGGAGAGAGGCATGGGTGCTCACGGATGCTTATATCTGCTCACCAGCACCCCGTGCTTGCTTCTTCGGCGCTAGTCTCCAGCTTCCTCTCAGTTACGCGTACGCGCATTCCAGAACGCCTTGCGCTCGATAATGCAACGAACTTTATCTGAGCGCGACGCGCGACGACCGCTGTGAACTTCGTTCACGTAAGCCATCGATCGCTAATTGTTCCCCGTATATCAGGTCGCTCCCGTTGCATTGGAGGCGCCGTCGACACTCGTGGTCTACCTACATGCATAGACATGGATGTAATGACACGTCCGAGGGCGCAGCTCCCATCTTTGATGAGCCTCGTGCTATCTACGCGAGTCCTGTCCATCAGGAGCGATTGGACGGAAGGTCTCGTGATTCTAGAAGGAGTGGTTGTTTTGTAAGGCTTCTGGCCCTCTACTCGCCGCGTTTGGTTGCAAGTTGATACTTTGCTGGTAATAGTTATGATAACAGGCCCATTCGCGCCGCCTCTGTTCGTCGCATTGTGGCTCTCGCATTCACTGCAATAGGCTGCATACTGCACCTATCGTGTGCCTCGCAAGCACTGCTTGTCGCATGTCGTCCTCATTGTATGTTTTCCCACTGGCCGTCGATGTACTCGGGGACGCCACTCCTCGTGTGAATAAGCGCATGACATGGATTCTTGATGCTTCTGCCCGCGCGGATAACATGAGGTCACCGACTCGGACCTATGCGGCTCGTCCGGATTCTCAAGCTCCCAGACCTGAATCGAGCACCGGTGGGAGCGCTCAACGACTGACGATTACTGCGTTGAAAACGTAACCGAAGCGTTGATGTTCTACCGACAGAAAGCCTGGAGTCTGGACATGTCCGAACTCCGATCCTACGACGGTCTGCGACGCGAAACCGCGTTTTAACCTCGCGGGACCCGATCCCAATGTCGTGCCCTAGTAAATGAAGCCAACAGAGCGCAGCAAACGATGAATTGTTGGGCTTGACCGGATCATGAGCAACATATGCAGCGTCCGTCGAAACAGAGCACAGTTTGATCTCAAGACGGGATGACGCTGGCCTTATTTGATCATCGACTACCTGCGGTATCTTATCTTCGTCGAATGCACGGAACGGTTCACGTTTGGGCATCTCCGGCGATAGATGAAAAAGAAGAAAAAAAGACAGTATTAATCGGTTGCTCCGACGCTGAAAGACCGAATGTTGGAGAGCTCCAACTTGCGGATCGCAAAAGTCGGCGGGCTTCATTAAATGCGCGGAGTGGCCTCTCGATTTCTGAAGCCGACTCCAGAAGACTAAAAGAACGGCTCCACTTGGAATTGAGAACCGCCGCGCGCGTACCTCAGGCCTCAGGTGTACCCTCGAAAAAAAAACGTCGCCACTTCTTAATGAAAGCCCGATCCGCCTGTTTTGCGTCCGCGGCGGAGATTCTACTCGGTCAAAGCGGCGGCGAGGGTCCGCCAGTACACAGCGCATGCTATTGTTTTGGGCGAGCACAGTGCCCTTAGCAGCCCTTCTCCAGACGCTTCAAGATCGAATCACTGACGCGGGCGGATCATGACGGCGCGACCCGAATCCAAGCGGTTCCCATTGACAGTACGTGTAGACGTGTAGACCCACCGGCGTGGAATCATGCTAACTTACTACAGAGCAGACGCACGTCAGATTGCCTGACGCCTTGATCTTGACCAGGTCGTAACCATGACTTGTTCGAGATAGCATATACGGGCACTCGTATTCTGACGCTGGGACCACAGGCAGAGCTTCGGCAGTCTACGGGAAGAAACAGCGTCATCTGGAACAAGAACATTCGGAGACGAGAGAGCCTCTTCGTCAGGAACGCATAGATTGAACAAGAATGATGAGCCCAGCCAGGAGAAACAATCCGATGAAAGGCCGATGTCGCAAACGAGCATATCCAAGCAAAGGGTGCTTGAACAGTGGCAGGAAAAAGATGCACAAGGCACGCTGAACAGCATCCGTCGTCGAGTCGGAGACGAAGGTGGACACCCTCTATATGAATAACACTGTAAACGGCGCAATTGATGAGCACAAAGCACGGTTCTGATAGACGGAGCCTCACAGATAATCACACAGCGTGTGCCTTCAATTTAAGCAACTGCCTGATCAGGACTCCGTCTCCGTCCTCTTCTTCTTTTTCCGCACGGCTAACACGTTGACCTTTGGCTTCTGTGCCTTTGTTGAATCGGATGGATGGTCTCCCGTTGTCCCAGGAGAAAGATTTTTGGAGGCAAGGGGTGGGTTGGACACGCTTACTGAGCCGTAAATGTGGGCGTGGTACGTCTCGAGCGTCGCTTCCGGCTCGTCGAATGGGTTGGGAGAGACATTCTCTAAGCTCGGCAATGTGTTGGGTTTGCGAGGTGGCGTGCGCGGAGGAACCAGTACTCCATCTTCCGCCTGCGTATGCAGCGTGGGCGCCGCCCCACGCGAGGGGAGCGGGTGGGTAGCAAGGCCCTCGCAAAGGCCGCGTATAGCACCCTCCAGAACCTCCGTAGATTTCCGTGCGCGGTCAACAGTGGAGAACTCGTTCCCTTGCATCAGGCTGCTCAGGATCCGCTTGTTCATCGCGGCCGGAACCTGGCCTGGCTGTGGTGCCAGCGGCGAGGGTTTAGACGTCGAGTGTGGGGGGAAAGGGGAGGAGAATCCTGCAGTGAAAAAGCCAGTGACTGCTCCTGAGACGCATTCTTGGCGGAACGACATGCGCTCCCAAAATTCGTCAGGTTGGACCGTGCTGAGCTCGCCTTTGGGACGCGTGTCCTTGGTATCCTTCTGAAACTTTTCATGCTCTTTCTCGGTCACCTCGGCCTGATCCTTCCCTGCGTGGCCGCCCTCGGCCTCCGAATCTGCAGCAGGACCTGTTTGCCGAGTAACGCGAGGGCGCTTGCGAGCTGGCGACCGGACGCCATCCGACTCTCCGATCAGCGCAATCTCGTCCATGAACCTGTTTTTCGGGTCGTCATCGAATGAAGGGATGAAATGTCCCAGATTCGCGTGTCCTTCTGGGGGTGAACAAGGTAACGGGATGTCTGTCTGCGAATAGGGATGACCGTAATTCCACGCTGGCGCGTTGATCGCGTCGGCGGGCGCGTAGGCGAGACCAAGAGCTTGGTGTGCCTCGAGTTCATTGCACCCTGGCAGAAGGTAATACAGTCTGACCTTGCCTGCAGGACCGAGGGTCCCTTGCACGTCTCCCGCAACGCTTCCCAACAGACGCCGCCACCATGCACAGAGCTTGACATCACTTAGCGCGCGCTTGCCCTCGTATTCGATGGAGTTCGGAAAAAGGTATTGCCCCTGTGCGCGGGCGAAGAGGTGTAACCATAGATGCTGCGCGGGTACAGGACGCGTCGCCGGGTCGATGTGCCAACGCGCGAAAGCGGTTACGAGAGACGCCGTGGGCGATGGTGAAATACCTTGACCAGTCGAGTCGACTTTTGATATATACAGGATCGCGGCAGAGGTGGCAGGCGCATGGTATAGGCACGCCTCGACCGCCGAGACTAGAACGCGAGGATTTTCGAGCGTAGGCTGTTCAGAGAGAAGAACGAGATAATCTTGAACATATATTCGCGGGCGAGGGGTCGCATAGGGATAGAGGGTTGCATGTTTTCGGGGAGCAGTGACGAGGACGTGTACATGAAAATGTCTTGTGCCAGGAAGAGTGGACAGTGCAGCGAGCAGACTGTCTCTCAAGTTCATCGCTGTGAGACCGTGGGAACCGCCAGTGGCGCGCCTGCTCCATTTTTCACGAGGGCTGCGATCAGCTTCGACATCGAGCGCTTGCTCTTGACACCCACAGACGTGTTCATGAAGCGAGTCAAAAAGTTGATGAGACAGCATATTCTAGTGTGATGTATAAATCTATAGGTGGGGCGAGTACAGTACACGGCATAGATACATTTGTTGTTTGATGATTTTTGTGGGAATAGTCTGCGCTAGGCAGGAGATTCCCGCTCTAAGCTCGACTGACTGCGACTCCCATTTGATGGATCCGTTCCGAGTCCCTGCTAAGAAATCAATGAGAAAAGAAAAGAAGCCAGCAGTAGAGGGTAGGTCTCACCGACTTCACGTCCTCGTGCGTTGAAAAGTCAGTCTTAAATTCTGTCGTACGCTCCACAGCGACGGCTAGCGGGAGCGTAGATTGTACGACGATTTTGCGCATGTCTGGTACACCTCTGTACGTTTCGTTTCGTGAGAAGGTCGACATATTCAAGAAATTGCCAGGGTCTGGATTGCTCCTGTTCCGGAGGGCCTCCCGATTATTCAGCCTGTAAATTTCCCAACGTTGGATGGATCAGGGCAATGTAGACTTTCAAGGGGACGTACGTTGCTAGGAAAGAGTTGACGTAGCCTACGGATTGAAATATCAGCATTTTCAGGCGAAGACCCGAGCGAGAGCAATCACATTTTCCAAGCACCCAGAAACAGCTCAGCCAAACAAACGACGACGGTAAAACAGCGAACTGTCAAGGTTGTTGAACGAAAAGCCACCTGTTACTAGAAATTGGGCGTACAGTTATGACCGCCGCTGTGGCGATGATACTGGAGTGAAGTGTTAGGGTGTTCAATGAGCGGCGCGATTTAACAAGTCTCACCTAGTCAGCAATCCGGTGTTGATAGAGTATGCCATCAGTGTGGCGATTATAGAATCCGTCCTTTCCGCAAGCATGAGTTCGAGGTAAAGAGGAGAAAGCCTGGGGTTTTCTGCACTTACCCCTTGAATCCTGTTCGGCTTTTCCACAAGTACCAACACATTGATGCTGCGATGATAATATCGGTAGCTGCAGCAGATCCGAGACCCGCACAAGCAATCCACTAAGCTATGGATTAGACCCACAGATAGAATGACTATGAATATACGAGCTCACTATCAATGAAGGAAAGCGGGAAAATTCTTGAAGAATGAATCTGAAGGCAAAGTCAGGCTAAATGCAGGGAAATAGGGGCTTTCAGACTCACTCCTCGACGGTAAAGACTGAGTGGCACATCAGACTTATAAGATCGATGGGAATTAATTCTTACTCACCGATTCCAAAGACTAGACATAGTCGATTGTATGGGTGTGAGTGATTTGGAACGGATCAAATTCCCGTCTTACCGAAATGTAACAGGGACAGAATGACCTGCACGAAATTGTGAGCAAAACGTAGGGGAAAAGAGGTAGGATGCACAGACGATAGTAGCGGTGATGTATATGTTTTTTCCCACTGGTTACAGCTGATTGAGACCGGTTGCACGAAAAGACAGCACCCGCACTCACAGATCCAGACTCGTCGAGCGAAGAAACTATGGCAATGTAAGCGGCGTCTGAAGGTTATTTCGAGAATAGTTTACCACTCCACAATCAATCCGATAACGCCCTGGACCAGTCTCGTAAGGCTCACGTGTACAGATCATAAGAGAGTCAGGACGAACATTACAGTCGGTTTGAAGCTGTCGGAGCAGGTAGAATTAGCACTCGGGTCATGTGTGTTATGGAGTGTAAAGCATACATTCAGAGCCCTGAAAAAGGTTCAGTCCTAGTGTCGACTGGAGCGAAAGGTTGACTCACCAAACTGTCCTGGTCAAAGCAGATGGATTGGAGAAATTGGTGATGAGGTACCAGTACACAGTGATGATGCATAGAATGAGGTGAAGAGTATCCAGTGCCCTGGAGGGGGTCACTGTTCGTATCTGTAATCATGAAGCGAACAAGACAACGAACCATAAGACAAAAACGATGATCTTGAGGAAACGGGGGTCTTTAAGACCAGATTGCCTTTCAATTGGTAATGGTCACTGTCGGTGGGCAGGGGCGACAGGAGGATCGATGAACTCACCGGTAATATGTTACACTTATCCCCCACCATTGTTATCAGCGACTTTCTGCAATGGAGACACTCAGGACACGTACGTTTGAGAGAGCGTGATACCATAAATTCTGAAAATCATTTCAACAATCCGCTCGTCAGCACAGATATGCAAATAGGGGACTTACACAGAGCTGATCATCAGCCCGATGAGGAGACTTCCAAAAGTCAGCGCGAGGTTGTGGGCCCCAGTCGTATCCGCCATTGCATGCACTGGGTTCGGTGTGCGGGGAACGCAAATGAACGTAGGTGGTTGAATGGCCTGAGGCCTTGAAGGGGTAAAGAGGTCAGACCCGCGTTCTTATATGATCGACTCGGCCAGTGCTTGCTTCGGTCTATCCTCCTATTCCATTCCGGTTCCAAATAGTAACAGAATCGCACGGGGTGTCGATATACTGCAATATGGAGACAGTGCCCTGGTTGCATAAAACCTGTTTTGGAAATTGAGGATGCGAAACATTGCTGACCTGCCAATGCTCCACCATCGACGTGATCAATCATGTCTAGAAACCGAGCAAGTTTCTGACCAGCCCTGCTTGAGTTGTAATTGTGGACGAAATGAAGGGAAAAGATGCGGGTATCGAGGGCTGCATCGAAGCGAGTGCGTCAGGATCCAAGATCAGGGCCGAGGCTGGCCAATGGTAACCATCGTGACATAATCAACATTTGGCCCTAAAAATCGCGATTCCCGATGCGGCGTCCACAGAACCATCGAAACAGGACTAGCCCAAGCGCTCAAAGCGCTCAACAGTACCTTGCCTTCATATTCTTGTGCCCAAACTGCACGCTCAAGCGTCCTGCTCGTCCTCTCATCAAGTACATCAGAATTGCAGATGAGTCTTGACCTTGAAGAAATCAGATGGTCATTGGTCACGATCTGGAAAACTCTCACAAAAAGACAGCTTTTCGCATTGTGACCAGACTTAACGATGCCAAAGCGTCGTATTCAAACTCGTATTCATAAGTCGCTCAGGTCTCTTCAGTTTTCCGGAACCGCCATCGTGGCTAAGGGGGGGGGGGACTAGCTGGGACTAGCCGAGTCGTTTCGAGTCGACCTTGATCCTTTGCCAATTGATATACGGAAGGAACGGCTACCGCCTGATTTTCTGTAAAGCAGCAATATGTCGTGATAAGAGGAACGACCTCTGTCCAGCAACCCCTTTGCTTAGGAAAATCGTGACAATTCCTTCGCAATTTTTTTGTCTGCAGAAGCCTGATGTTCTTCAAAACGATTCCTTGATTGACATGAGTTGTCCGATCGCTACGACCATACAGAGTTGTCCGAGATGCATGTTATTACAGGAGGGTGCGATGCCGCACAGGGCGAGGTACAAGAGGAACGAGGCTGGGGGTGGAATCACTGCCTTTGAGCTTGTCCGGATCCTGAAAAATTGACGTGTATGTCAGCGACTATGATCGGAACTCATGGACTCACGCTCGCCGTGTCTGGAAAAGTGGTGGAGACTAAGCTAGGAGTGACTGGCGAATTCAAAAAGTCGCTTTTATACTCCGTCGTGGTTTCCACTGTCACTGAAAGGGTCGGCGCCGGCTGACAGCGCGTTCATTGAACACAGATGAAAATGAGACTTTGATGCAGCAGAAATTGTGGGAAGCGTACCCTGCGAATGATGGTAGAGACACGGGATCGAGGACCGGGAAGCTCGTCATCGCGCCGTATGGTCGATAACTGCAGAAAGCTGCTCGGATCAACATGTGACCGTTCGCGCAAGGATTCCCTGCCGTTCAGGCTAAATTCCGATGAGTATGGAGTAGTGGTTGAAACTTAAAGGCTCAAAATCAGGCACCTTGCGAGAAGAGAATTCACATAACCTGAGTCCACGAGCGTATAAATGGCCAGTCTGCCCAGATGACGAACGATAACGCACACTTTCCTAGCACCCAGAAAAATCCGAGCCATATAAAATTGAGAGGCATCGTTGCGAACTACGCCGGCATTTCTTATCAGTATATGACACAAAGCATAATATGAAAAACGCTCATACTGCGATGACAGCGCCCGTTGCCACGATACTGTTATGCAAATACAAAAGGAAGCTTCAAGCCTTCCGGCAATGGTGGATTACCGCGAACCTCGTGATTAATCCAGTATTGATTGAATACAACATGAGCGTAGTGATCATTGAATCCGTTCTGTGAAATTCCGATGTCTGGTGAGATGCCAAATGACAAAATTATAAGACTCACTTCTGGAAACCCGTTCGACTGCGAAAAAGATAGTAGCACATCGAGATAGCGATGAGAAGATCAGCAGCGGCAGCAGATCCAAGACCAGTGCACGTAATCCACTGGAAGATTCGTGAGATCGCCGCATGGAGATCGGTTCTGGAACCTTACTGTCAATTGGGTATACCGAGAGAACTCTTGAAGAAGAAACCTGAGATGACAGTGTTAAGATGACCTGGCCAGGGTTTATATGACCCTACTTACGCCTCGACGGTGAACACTTAGTAGACAAACTGAACTGAATGCTCCGACTCGGGATTAAGTGTCTGGCTCACCAATTCCCAGACCTTGAAAGGGAATGTGATCAGAAAGTATCTTTCGAATGAAATTGAATTACTCACTGAAATGGATGAATGCCAAAATGACCTGGGACATCAATACAGATGAGTAAAAATTCGGGTGAATCGTAGTCATGGCGCACGATGAGTCCTGTCACTAGCCAATTCCTGCTCACTGCCATTATTCTGGTTATTCACTTGCTCAGAAGCGGTGAATTCCCTGACGCACTCATCCACACTCGGCGAGCGAAAAAACTGAGTGCATGACATCAGCTGCTGTAGACGATGAGTATGTATACAATTAATGACTACGCACACTTCGACCATGAGTCCGATCAGGCCCTGTCAACATGCATCAATTGCCTGGAGCGGGTTCGAGCACAAAAAGTCAGGTGAGCTCTCACGTTGCAGTCTGTTTGTATCTTCTCCGGTGTATAGGGTTTTAATCAAGCAAACTTGCTCATTAGCGCAACGTACATTCATGCTCCTACAGGTGAAAGGTGAGCATTCCACTCTGACGCAGCATTGAGATAGAAACGAACCACATAGTTTTCTTCAGGGCCTCCGGATGAGCATAGTTTGTGACCAGATACCTGGTTTGCACGATGAAATGGCGGCAGTAGGGATGCACGTAGGCCCTACCAATAGACAGTTCGAATACAAAGAGCGAGATGCAGAGTGTCTAAGAACCTATCCAAGAAACTGTAGTCAATTCGAACGCACCAAAAGCAAATGCTACTCACCATAATGATAGCACCAAACTCTTCGTTCCTCTGCTATCCTTCCCATAGTGTCTATCATTCCTTTATGAAACTGCATTAGGGTTGCTCTTAACACATGCTTACCTGAAATAAAACCACCTGCTCGACACTGTTGTGAGATGCGTCACGTTTATGGACGTAGAGTTCACATGACGCACGTTTGTACGAAAGTCACCCCATACAATCTAAAGAAAATAATAGATCGTCAGCCACGACTCTGGGCCACACTCACTATACGCACACGGCACCTATCAATAGGCCAACCAATGCACTCCCAAAGGTAACACCAATGGACGGTACTTGATCCATAGCTTGCTATCTGAACGATGAGTACAAACTAAGCACAAAAATGGACGTTGAGAGGAGAGAGAGCAACTTGAAATCCGTGAGGAGCCTTAAATCCTCACCACCTACCATGTATCGGAGGCTTTCGGACAAGAATGGAGCATTCAGGTCGTATACCTGTCCAATCGGCAGCGTCATAAGGCTCACGTGCTGAGGAGCTGTGTGGGTACAATAAAGTTGGAAGCATACTGTGAACAGATGTTTACTAGTATGTCTCTTAGGGCGGCTGATGAAGCGCCGTTTGAACATGGGAGATTTGCGGGGAAAGGGATGTCATTCTTCCAAGATCCTTCGCATAGAACATTCTGCAACGTCGGTGTGAATTTGGAATGTCGTGGGAAGTAGAAACTCACATTTATACTATACAGATCCCCAATTGCATATAAGGCTGGGAAGGCGACGTGAATAGGTAGCTGACTGCGCCCTCACAGCTAAAATAGAGTGTATAAGGTCATGGTTTGGATGCGGTCGATTTCTCATGGCAGGGAATGCCCCGGATACCTCATACCGCATTGCAACCCATGTGAATGAAACTTACTGAAATCCAAATTTCCACCCAAAAGGACATGCCCAGATGATCAACCAGTGCGGACTCCCACACGTCAAAGAACGTCAAAGAACATCGATGCATAAATATGCTACAGTGTGCGCAGGAAACCCCTCTGATAGAGACAGATGATATAGATGGGTGGCTGGGAGGAACCGAAGGAGTGAGTGCGGGAATACAACAATCATGCGACGTAGGCAAAAGCGTCCCGTGAGCCATCTACCCGCTCGATATACTCCTTCTCTAGTAACGTGTCTATCGCCTGCGTAAAAGATGCATAGATTGAGAATAAGATTAAGGGACCAAAGAGGCCGGGACGAACTTTTTTGATATCGGGAATCTTTGGCGTGAAGCGTTGTGAGATCTGCGAGATGACCTCTTGGATGAGAGGTTGGTTCTTCATTGTCTTTCGCGCTTTCATGATACTACCATGTGTAAAGTTTGAAAAAGTCGCACGCGTGGGAGTTCAAAGGAGCATACCGAACGATGGTAGCTTGAATGACGTATTTCCGATCTTCATCCACGGTTTTCAAGACATCGGTCGCCTCTGCCTTGACCTCAGCTTTAATTGGCTGATTCAAGTTTACGCGGATCTTCTTAGACTTGAAGCCTGCAAGCGAAATTCATCAGCAATTATCGAACAAAGAGAAAGGGCAGGCGCACTGGGATTCAGGTCGTATTGGTCGGTCTCTTCACTGATGAGAACCCTCGCCTTGGTGAGAAGGCCAAGGACCTGTGTCAAGATATCTTTGCTGATCGCGGTGGCAGCGACGAGCTCGTCAAGTGACAACGTATCATTATTGTTGTATTGCAACAAGACTGCCATCTGATATGAGCTCGTCATCAGGATGTATTTCTGGTTCAGGTAGTTCGTCCTCAGCTCGTTCTTCGAATAATTCCAGAGCCAAGTGAGCTTCCGACCGGAGTGCTTCATTTGGTAGTACTTCTGGAAGCGCTCATACGTAGGCTGGATGTCAGCGGGGACGAGGAAGTCGCCAGCCGGGGCGCTCTGTGGCCAGAAGTTTGTTCCGAGAACCATGATGCTAAAGTTCATATCCATATCGTCGTGATTCTGCTGCATTCGCTCCTTGAACTGATCTGTAAGATCTTTGCTCAGACTCATATCTAAAATAGTGACTGGTAAGCAACAATATCATGTAAGACAATGAATCGAATAGATACAGACCAGTGAACATGCGTTGGAGCTTGTTCGTATACTCGAAACCGCAGGCCTCCTTCAATTTCGAAATCATGCTGGCCTCTGCTTCGTCCGAGGCTGACACACCGTGAATAAGACGTTTGGACAACTTGGTAGTGTAGAAAGTCTGGAAGACATCCTTGTCTTCGAGGTACTTGAACAAGACCATCTTGTTTCGTAGTTGTGATCGTCAACGTTCCTCGTATATCGTACAGAGAGGCGTTAGTGACTTACGACACGGTTCAACGCACCCTCTAGATCGCCCTCTTCTGCCATCTTGTTGTTTTTCCGTAGTAGAGCGTCGGCGTGCTTCGCGAGGAGTTCAGGTGACTTGGATGACGATGTTCCAGTCGCTGAATTCTTGTTGACGAACTCCCTGCATGCCTTGTCCAAGCTCGCAACAAATCCGGCCTCGCCCTTGAAGCTGCGGTTGACGGTTTCGGAGTTCTTTGTGTGGACCTCAAGCAGAGCATCAACATATGCTTTAGGGTCAATGGTATCGACCGCTGGACCACCCTCGCCTGTGAGCTTTGCCACCGCCGCCAGACCAGCTTTCTTCACATGCTCCTCGAACTTCTTACGCAGAGGCTCCAGACCTTCTGGAATGCGGGCGAGCAACGCATACATGCGCTGCAGGTCTTCGTCCTTGTCATAATCGAGCAGGCTCTGGAAGCTCTCCCACATCAACTCCGCGTGCTCGCGAATCAGCACATGCTCACATTTGCTGATGAGGAGCTTCCGCGTCGTAGTGTGAAGGTATCGCTCGACGCGGTCTTCCTCTTCGCGGAGACGCTCCTCCGCCTTCTTGAGGTAGTCAGACACGCTGTTCTCTGCAAGGAATGCCTCAGACTCCTGCGTGTAATATTTCTCGGTCGAATCGAGGAACGGCGTTTCGAAGTGTTCCTTGTAGTTCTCCAGAGATTGCTTGTTGATGTCCGCCTCGTCGATACCAAGGGACACGAATGAATCGACAACCTTCTTCACCAAACCTTGATCGATGGTCTCACCGTTCCGCTGCTCCTCAATGAGGCGGAGGATGGCTCCGGCGAGTCTCTGCTGCTTGTTCTGAATGTGTAGGAAGAAATTGGCCCTCCATTGAACAAGAGCAAGCTATAAAAGGTGTAAAATGACCACATCTCCCGATCAAAAAGAGTGCGCGTACAGTATAGACCGGATAGACGCCTTTGCGACCTTCGTCTCTTTCCCGCTTCACCCAATGCCGATTGAGATACGTGAACAGGCGGTTGATGTAGTTTGCGCCTATCGTGTAGCGATCCCACTCGCCAGCATAATATCGTAATAGATTCTCGTGCTGAAGGGTATCAGATTGCTAATAACGGCACGCGAGTCATCAGCATGAGATCGCTACGCGAGCGTCAACTCATCGAATGCACTCACTTCGCGTAGTGTTCGTAGATGCTGGACAAAGTATCGAATCAGGCTGTTGTAGAGGTCAGACCCGACTAGATTAGCGCCGGCTGAGTCGGATGGAAAGAAATTGTGTCAATCACTAATCACCGTGTGGCGTAACGGAATGGGGAACCTACTTCTCCCTGGCGTAGACAGGTCTGCCGTTGTCGTGTTGGGCATTTTCGAAGATGTGCAGTAGTTGTATGCTACCGTGTAGAGGCCCATGTACTTCGAGTACGAGACACCGGTATGAAGCTTGGTCATAATGTGGTCGACGCCCTCTTCGAGGAACGCCCATGTTGTCGCAAGATCCATATCCTTCGAAGGAATCGACGAGGTTTGGAAGGCCATCGCGGTAATTGTGAACAGAGGATGATAGAATACTGAATGTCACTGAATATTGGAGGAGGTTGGAGGCGTGGCTCGGAGGATGAGAGCAAGCGAGCGCAAACAATTGCCGCGCGCCAGTGGCATCGTCAGCTTGTGGCGAGCCTTGTACTCATCACGTTTATGATTCAAAATTCATAGCAAAAAAACAACAACATCCACAGATTCACCGATCAGAAGACATGTTCTGCGCATCAAATTTTGATACCCGTATGGATGCAAGCAATGCCTCCCCATAAATTTCGCCATGCACCGCCATCGCCCTCAAAATTACCCCCGGTAGCAAATCCTGCGTCCGCGATCATCTTTGCGAAGTCTGGCTGGCTAGGGAATCGGCGTATTGACTCAACAAGATACTGGTACGACTCGCGGTCGCCAGCGAGGATGGTCCCGAGCAATGGAATCACCGAAAAGGAGTATTGCTCATACACCCTACGAGAAACAGGCTTCGTGAATCAATGCTAGCCTGGGGAATAGGGCGGGAGCTTACTGTGCGAGCAACGGGTTTGTGACCTTGTTGAACTCCAAGCATGCGAACGTGCCTCCGGGCTTCAGTACACGATGTGCTTCTTTGAGCACCTCAGATATTGATGTGACGTTCCGAATCCCAAATGCAATGGTGTACAGATCATACGAATTCGAAAGGAACTTGTCCTCTGGTAGCGCCTGCGCATTGGCTTCATGGAACGAGACCTGCGGTGCTGAAAATATATATCTGTATCAATTACATATTCAAGATGAATAGACATACTGTTGTGGTACATCGTCTTCTTGAACCTCGTGTGCCCTTCTTTCAACATTTCGCCATTGATGTCCACGACCTCCACGGTCGTCTCCCGATCCGCGTACTTCTCTCGCGCCCAGTCCAGCATGCGCAACGCTATATCTCCTGTTCCACCGGCGACGTCGATACAGCGTATGGGACCTTTTGAGCCGGGGCGTAGAAGTGACACGAAGTCGTCTTTCCATAATCGATGTACGCCGAGCGACATGGCATCGTTCATAACATCATAGCTGGACGCGACGGAATCAAATACCCCACGTACAAGGGACTCCTTTTGTTCTTCTGCGATGGTACGGAAGCCGAAATGGGTTGTTCGACTCGAGCTAGGGTCCTGGGGTTGTACCGGTTGTGAATGAGTACGACGGGCAAGAGCGGGCAAGGGTGCACGGCGACACGATGCTCTCAGGGTTTGTGAGACAGTCTGCATGTGTCAGATAGCGTAGCGTCCCTCAAAGATTAAGGAAGAATTAAGCCGGCCGTGATGTTGGTGAAAGCGAGCCTGCGCGGCGAGACGCGTCTAGCCGCCGTGCGTAGACACCGGCAACCGCCGTCGTGCACCTTTCGTTGTTTCCGACTCCAGGGCTAGGCAGGCTGAAGATTGGGTGAGTAAAAAGTGCTTCCAACTATCTACGTGTCCATCAATAACGATGAATTAATCATGAGAATACATCCCTACGTGCAGCGAAGGCGTATTCAACAACAGTATATACAATAAAATACGAAGAGTTCGTCCACATAGCGGAGACAGCATGCAGAGGAAACAGGCATAATCTTTGGTAATAATGATATTAAAAAAGTCCACATGATCAGCAGCCGTCACTTGCTCTCAAACACCTTCACTCATATCGTGTGACGAAGGTGGGTCAAGCACACGCGGCTTGGATACATCCTCGCGCGACCCACGGTAACCTGAAAACTGTGGAAACCGTGGAGAGTCGGTCACCTACATGCTTCGTCAGGACATGCGATGAATCGGCGTCAAGGGAGAGAACACACAGTTGTCACGTCTTTATTGATCATGATAAAATCCGGCCCCTGCAAATGCCTGGAGTGTCAGAGATTCCACTTGGTACAATGGTGGGCAGGCGTACACTGTGCTTGAGCTGCTGCAATCGCATGCCATTTCCACGCTCCGAAAGACTGCCAGGTGCACCTTGCTTCGAGTCGCCGCCTTCCCAGCCGCTGCGTGAATTGAGATTAGACATCAGACTGTTTGTGTAGAGCTTTGCTAATGGCATGTTGAATAAGAAGTGTCTAGTAAATAGAGATCAGTAAGGAACACCGCACGCCGAGAGGCAAGTCAGCGGAGTCGCGAAAAAAGGGGTGCATACAGGGTCGTTGGCTGTAAGTCGGTTCAGTTTCAGATCATCGAAGAAAAGTATAGATTCTTACACTGCTGAGGAAAAGTACGACATCCACAACGGCGAACACTGCGGTGAGGAGGCCGGTTTGGATGGTGACTGTTGTAGAGTGACATGGGCAAACACATATGCCTTTCAAAGCTCAGATGTACTCACGTCTGACGATACGATCGAGGAATAGGTCAGTGCCAACGAGGCCCGTGCGCTTCTTTCGCTGTGATGGGAGCATTAGCGCTTCATCTCGAGAACGGCGGAATGTCAAGATTTCGGCTCGAGAACATACCAGGTACCACACAAGAACTCCGGTCACCAGAACATCGGCAACGGCAGCGCAGACAAGCCAGATGACGACGACAGCCTTGAAGTTCCGGAAATCATCAAAGTCGTGCCACCAATTCACCGCGATCGCGGAGCCAAGCGCACCGCCTGGTTCGAAAATTGAAATGGTCAAGGCACAAGAGTTTTGAAATGCGTAGGCACACTGACAAGCGGCGGCTACGGCAAGCAAGGATATAGCTACTGCCAGCCATATATTCCCCGTCAAACGTTTGACACGGTACGCAAAGAAGAGCTGTACGGAGCAGGAAATGATTCCCTAGAGGCAGAGGAGGTTAGTGGAGTGGTCAAGAGAAAATGAAAACAGTCACGGGTTTCTCACAGTCAATGCGGGGTCTGTATGATGAATGCCGAGTCAGAGGTTGTGCCGCAAAAGAAGGCACACGAAACGTACCTGTAGAGAATACTGAAGAAAAGAACCGGTGAGCATGTGCGACCGACTCCGAAGCAATAAAAACTTACACCATGTCGCGTGGGATAGGTAATCGACCTCGCCTACAGGAAAACAGCTCTGTACGGTGATCAAGGAGGCTCGCCGAGAGGCTCACCGTAATGGGCGATGAGGTATTCGTAAAGGATCGCAGCAGTAAACGCAGTGTTCAAAGTGTCCGCCAGAAGGAGATAGGCTACCTAGAGGTCGTTCAGAAAAGGCTGCATCATGAACAACGGATTAAACTGACGAAGATTTTGATCCAGGTAGCGTCGCTGACAACAGACACATGAAGCATGAAGCATGATGAACAACACAAGTAGAAACTCAATCGCGCACCGTTTGAACACAGACATGTATAAGTAACACTGCATGAACATGAACCCGTAGAGGATGAGGTTGAGCATCATGCCCAACACAAGAAAACCGAAGCTATTTTCTTTTGGTGTTAGACCAAGTCACCGATAACACCGATATGACTACTTACGAAGAACTGATATCCATGTTTATGCTCGACTCGTCTACAAAGGTGAATCCAGCAGACTATCAACGCGATACGCCTGACCTGCAGTCGCGTTGGTGTGTTGTAGGGAAGCAAAGTTCCCGCAGGGTCACACCGGCGATCGCTGTCGAGTTTCTTTTTATAAATGCGCGATCCAATAGGATCCAATCTGCATCTTTTAGGCTAAATTGGCAAATGCGAATGATGGGAGAATTCTAATTTGTTGTTAGAAGGAGCCGCCGGAACGATTAGTGATGGCTTGAAGCGGCTTGGTCAAGCATGGTCGTGGACATGTGGAAGACGCTCTGCGCGGCATGCAGCGTAGCGCATCAAAAGAAAAAGCCTGGCAGCCTGTAACATGGATAGAAGCACTCCCTCAATCACCCACTCACATCGTTGATGGCCTAGTGCATATGAGACTATAAAAATAAACAGGTCCTGAAGCCTCGTATTGGTTAGAATGCGTGTCAGTGTCACGCATATTAATGACATACGGGTCCCGCACCAATCTGATGATCGCGATAAGGGCACCGTTATCGAAGGGTCGCAGTAAGCATTATTGATACTGTACTACTAGGTGAGCCGAATTCTGTCGACGCCGAGAACGAGTCAGCCGGAATCGCCGTAGCTGGCGATATCAGACAGCGGAAAAGTGACGTCGAAAAGTAGTTGCGCGCAATTTCTCCGCAATAAAAACCCGGCTTAAATACATAGTGCATCTCGCACGAAATGTCATTTGGTGTCCACGCCCAAGATACTAGCAATGGCTCGGTAGTGGCTCAGCGTGCAAAGTTGCCGTTCAATAGGATGGCTTTGTGTAATGGCATGAACGGATCAGGCGAACAGGAGTTTGATTGACATACCAATTTTGGCCCCAGCTGGCGAGTCAGACGAGATGCCGCGGACGTTGACCATCGCTACTCGATTACATTGCTCCTTGCATCGCCAAATGCCAACTGATTTTGTCGAGCGAGAATAACAGCCAGGCCTGCCATGACTTGCACATCGAACATGCAATTCGAAGACGGCAAATGCCGACCATGGTAAAGCTACCTGTTTTGACATTTCTCGTAGTGACCCCATGCACGCTCTACATCGCGCACCAAAATTACCACAAATGTCCTTCTCGACTGCGGACAAAGGAAAAGGAAAGGCGCTTCCCGAAGACATAGCCGTGGAGGACGTTTCACACTCGCACACCGCCCCACACGCCTCCTCTTCCTCGAGCTCTTCGAGCTCGGATTCCACAGGCTCAGACTCAGACACAGACTCGGACCCGGACTCAGACTCAGAACTGGACGATGACGACCTCAATGACAGCGATATCGAGGACGCAGTCACTCCAGAATATCTCGCTTCCCTTCTCGAAAGGGCGCGCCAAAATGCGGCCGCTTCTGCACGGCACAATGAGGGCTCGGGCAGCAGCAGCGGCGCCATGGACGACGGGATCATCGAGCTCGACGACCCACAATCCGAACAACAGTGCGTTATTCTCGTGCATATCCGTTTTCGCAGGGGTTATCGACCTCGTCTCTAGAAAACTGCCGCCACTGGATCCCGGCGTCCTCCCAAAAACATATTTCACTCTCAGTGCGACGCATCAGGAGGCATCCTCGTTGACGCACGATCTCGATGTAGAACGCGCAGAACGGTCTACGGCTTCTCTGATCGCGCCTGCACCACCAGTTCAGCCCGACCCCGACCCGTTGACGAAGAAAGAGAAAAAAGCTGTATGTTGTTTCTCGCACCCTTCGCCGACGATTTTACATTCTCTATATACCTATAGCTGAGGGCCAAGACCGCGGGTGCAGACTGGTATGACCTCCCAGCCCCGGCGGAGGCGGACTTGCCGCGACTATACCGTGAAGTCGAAGCTATGAGGCTCCGGAACCAGCTCGACCCGAAACGGTTCTACAAAAAGGACGAGGGCGAGGGCAAGGGTATTAAAGGGCTTCCAAAATACTTCGCGGTGCGTCTCCCTCCGTCTTCCACTCGCCTTTCGCAGCTGATCTCCTTGGCGGGCGTGTGCGTGCAGATCGGGACCATCGTCCCGACGAGCACGCCGTTCGGGAAGGCGAGCGGCGATAATTTGGTGCGCGCGGCGCGCAAGCGGACGTTGGTCGACGAACTGGTCGATGATGCCGAGGCGCGGAGGTACGCGAAGAAAAAGTTCGGCGAGTTGCAGGCCGTCCGGGGGGCGAAGGGGAGGGGGACGCTCGCGGCACGGAAGGCAGCGAAGAAAACGAAATGGTGATCGGGCCCGTTATTATTGAGGGCATATTCACGCGCTAGACAGATAGTGACAGACGCAACCAGTTTCTTGTCTGAATATCGAGCGGGTGAGATCGACCCGTTGGCTTGAAAAGCCATTCACGGGCGCTTCCATAAGTACACAGTCCAAAGCGGTAACTGAGCACATTGTAAAGCATCAAATCATTGATCACTTCAGGTAGTCCCTACGTCCATCACACCGTGAACAGACAGAGATCTGGCATGGACGCGACCGCATCCGCAGATACATTCGAGCTATTCGACCTTCGTGTAGAGGCGATATGTCCGCCCGGGGAGAAGATCCTGTGCGGGGCGAAGCCTGGCGACCACTTCACTCTGGAGGGCGAGATGCTGAGGCTGCCGCCAGGGCAGGGGTTCTCGATTTTTTCACTGGGTATGCATTCGAAGACATGGATTGGTGACCATGCGATCGAATGCGGTCACTGACTGACCCGCTCGTACGCCCCGTGCAGGCGCAGTGTTACCTTTGCTTGCGGCCAAGCAGCGGCTGTCGTCGTCGAACGACTGGATGGAAACCGACGAGGAAGTTGCGTGCCCGGATCCCAACTGCAGGTCGAGGTTGAGAATTGTGAGGACGGGGAGACGAGTATTTAAACACGGGGAGACGACAGTAGTTCCCCTCGAGGAGGCGAAGTGAGGAGATACGAGAGCCGTTTCGATTGAGCGGATCGTGCACCTTGTAGTATGCAGAGAGTTGGGCGACCGTGTGCACTTTCGTAAATGAACGAAAAGCTGCCCAGGTGCTCCGAATCAGGAAACCCACCTTCCCTCCTCGCGCGCCTGCAAGCTCTCTGCCCGCCATGGTCCGCCGACGCTCCTCCAAGTCAAAAGACACAAAATCGGGCCCGCGGCCCGTCCACAAGAAAGACGGAAAGATAAAGCGGTGGAACAAGCCCTCCGACATCCCTCTAGACGAGGAAGACCACTGTACGTCTCTTTTCTTCTTCCCTCGTGACCTGCCTCAACCCGCGCACCCCATCTTCAGTCCATGCATCTAGAGACCACATATTGCTCGATGGGGACGATGGTGCTCAGGACGACGATGACGACGGAGAGGAGGAAGTTTTTGCTCTGAATGGAATGCCGCAGTCTGACTCTGAGCAGTCGGAAGAGGAAGAGGACGAGGACGGCGAGGACGAGGATGTGGATATGGAGGACGCGGAGGATTCGCAACCCCCACAGAAAAAGGCAGCCAAGGCGAAGGGTAAACATGCGTCTCGCCAGGACCTCGCCAAGGACGCCGCTTCAGACAAATCCGACGATGAGGACGAGGAGGAAGGCTGGGGCCACAAAAAATCGGCGTACTATTCGACCAACGCCGAGGAGCCGGACTCTGAAGACGACGAGGCGAACGAGCTGGAGGAGCAGGAGGCGCGCCGGCTGCAGTCGAAGTCCAGGGACGTCATGAACGAAGACGATTTCGGGATGGGGGATGTAGCGGAGCCAGACTTGCTGGACGACCCCATAGAGTTCGCCCGTCTGTCTTTTTCGTATGCGTTTTGGCTGACCGCGAGCGCCGCAGGGACATCCTCGCCGACGCCCCGCCCAAAGTTGAGACGCAGCCGTTGCCGAAGGACAAGGCATCCATCCTCCGCCACTTGGAGAAAACAAGCCCAGAGACCCTGGCGCTGGCTAACGACTGGGACGATGTTGCCCACAAACTTCTTCGCTCGCAGGAGAAGCTCAAACAGTACGTTACCCCGTCCGCTCCACGCGGCGACCATCTCAGCGGGGAACTCTACAGGCTCGAGTCGGACGAGCCCGACTCACTCAGTCTCGGCATGGTGCATCTACACTATCGTACGTGCCATCGCCCACTTCTCCCTCCAGAATCCAAAAGCTAAACTCGCACAGAAACCCTCCTGACATACGCGACCACCCTCGCATTCTACCTCCACCTCCGCGCGGGCGAGAAGTACGCCCAGCGCCCCGAGCTCCTCCGCGCGCACCCCGTCTTCGCGCGCCTGCTCCAGCTCAAGCAGGCGCTCTCCACACTCGAAGACCTCGACTTTGACCTCTCCAGCTCGGACGCGGGCTCGGGCGACGAGGACTACGACGACGACGAGGACCTGTACATCGACGACGACGAGTTCAGCGACCTCATGGACGAAGACGGCGGCCCCGGCCCTGGCGAGCGCGCGGGCGCGTTCGGATCGGGCCGTGGGGCTCTCAAGCGGGACTTCGAGCACCTCACGCGGATCTTGCGGGAGGCCGAGGAAGACGCCGCCTCCGCAACGCTTAACGGCCCCGAGCGCGCGCACCCGAAAAAGAAGGACGGCAAGGCGAAGAGCAGGTCCGATCTCGCGCGCGGCGGCGGCGGCTCCGAGCCCCCCGCCGGCGGCCCCCCGAAGAAGAAGCGCAAGACGGACAAGGCGTCCGCGGCGCGCGTCTTCGACCTCGTCGAGCCCGAGTTCGTCTCCTCCGTCAAGAAGAGCGGCACCGCCGGCGGGTCGTCTGCGGACGGCGCCGCGGACGCGTACGGCGATGCCGCGGCGCTCGCGGCGGCGGACGCGGAGGACAAGTCCGCGCGGCGCAAGACGCTGCGCTTCCACACGGCGAAGATCGAGAGCGCGAGCGCGCGGCGGCGGGGGGCGCGCGCGGCGCTGGGCGGGGACGACGACGTGCCGTATCGGGAGCGGAGGCAGGCGCGTGAGGCGCGCGCGGCGAGGGAGGCGGCGGCGCGCGGGTTGGGCACGGGCGGGGCGGATCTGGACGGGGAGGAACCGCAGCCGAGGAAGCGGGACGAGGACGGCGACGGCGACGGCGACGGAAGTGCAGAGGAGGAGGCGGTGGACGGGTACTACGACCTCGTCCAGCGGAAGAAGAAGGAGCGCAAGGAGGAAAAACAGGCAGCCTACGACGCCGCCAAGGCCGCGTCGATGTACGTCGCGCCTCCCGCTCGTTTCATCCGTCTCTCACGTTCCCTTTTCTTTTTTTCGCAGGCCCTCACTCGACGACGACGCCGAGGCGGGCGGGCCCCGGGCGCTGACGCGCGCGATACTGAAGAACCGCGGGCTGACGCCGCACCGCTCGAAGAGCGTGCGCAACCCGCGCGTGAAGAAGCGGCAGAAGTTCGACAAGGCGAAGAAGGTGCTCGCCTCGCAGAAGGCCGTCTTCAAGGGCGGCGACGCGAGCCGGTACGAGGGCGAGCGGACGGGCATATCGACCGTCGTCAAGAGCGTGCGGTTCTGAGGGGCGCGCCCTTGTCCTTACTCTGTGGGATCCAGCGCTCGGTCGGTCGGTCGGTCGGTCGTGTTTTCGCAATGCTACTACTGTACGTGTGCTGTCGTTCCCGCCCCCGGCAACGGGCTCTGCCCTGCCAAGGTCTCCCGCGCACAGACAGACATCCGAGAGCACGAGATCACGATTGTGAGATATATCCAAAGAGAAAGCAGATCCTCGCCATTCTAAGTATCACGGGCTACAACGACATAAGTAACTTCTCGGCGCGCGCGCTCCTCGACGATAAACGATAAAACTGTTACAGCGACGGCGGCGGCGGCGGCGGCGGCACCGGTTCTAAGCTAACACACGCCCACAGGACTAAAATACGCCGCTGACCAACCGACTAACCCACCAACCAACCGACCCAAGAAAGACGGAACGCACACGGGGAACGACGGCGGGGGAGTGAAGGAGCGAGAAGAAAACATAAAGAAAAGAAGAAAGAAAAGAAAAAGACTAGCGATATACTGAATACAAAATCGTACCGCGGACGGGCGGCTGTCGACGGCAGGACCGCGACCGCGTAGATAAACCCAGTAGGGAGACAGGACGAGGACGAGAAGAGAAAGAGAACAACGTTCATTAGAAGAAGAAGAAAATCCTCCGGCAAGAAACAGATACGACAGACAACAGCACTCGGGGGGCAAACAGGGCAGGAAAAACAAAGACGAACACCCTAGTCCGATGCCGCCGAGTTTGGAATAGAAGAAATATAGATCCACTCGCCCTCGCGGAGCCGCGGCCACTAGTAGTCCACGTACATCGCGTCCGCCAGCGGGACGTGCACCTGCTGCACGCCCATCGGCTGCTGCTGCTGCTGCTGCTGCTGCTGCATCTGCTGCGCACGCACCGCATGTGAATGATGCGACGGGTGCTGCTGCTGCTGCGCGTGCGGAAGCTGGTGCAAATGTTGTTGCTGTTGCTGCTGCTGTTGCTGGTGGTGCGAGAGCGGGTGGTGGTGCACGTGCGCGTTCGGGGGCGCGGAGCGCGGGAGCACGGACGCCATGTGCCCGAACTCGCCCTCGCCGAGGCGTGCGAGCTCGTACAGCCTGCGGAGGCCGACGGCCTGCTCCGCGGCCTCCTCGTACGAGTAGCTGTACTGCTCGAGCCCCTCGATGCAGTTCTGCACCTCGGGGCGCGCGAACCGCGCGAGCAGCATGCCCGCCTGGTTGCAGCTCACGTGCATCACCGCTGGGTCGAGACGCTGCGGCGGCGGGAGAAGGAGGCGGTGAGCGCCGCGGAGCGGAAGGAGGGAAGGAAGGAAGACAGGAAGGAAGACAGGAAGGAAGAGGGGAAGGTGGGGGCGGTGCGGGGACGTGCGGGGGCGTGTGAAGGTCGGACTGAGCGCTCACCAAGTATCCGTTCTTCGTCAGCACGCCTGCCTGTGATCGCGTCGCCGGTCAGCATCAGCGGTCCGCGGAGGTGTATGCGCGTGCGCTGCTTGCGCGCGCGTCTCGACTCACCAGCCCCGCGATCCTGAGCGCGCCGTGCAGCGCCTCGTCGAGCACCTTGCGCTTCATCTCCTCGATCTGCATGTAGTTCGTCGGGAGCATGTGCCCGGGCGGGCTCCCGATCCGCGCCGCCTCGTTGATCTCGCGCACGCCAAAGTCGTCCAGCGCGTTGAACAGGATGATCCACATGATGTGGAACGTCGCGTCGCTCGCGCCTGTTCGCCGCCGCCGCCACCAAGACCAAGACCAACACCACCGACACCGCCGCCGCCGCCGCCGCCGAGGGGAGCGCGGGGACACCAAACCAAACCGGGATGCGGATCAGCGGCAGAACGCAACAAGAAGGAAGCCAAGACGTCAGCTGTCTGTCGGAAACGCCTCGAAGCGGAACAAGGTGCAGAATGGAAGGCAAAGGGGGGGGGACATCGGGCACGGCAGAAGAGGATCACAAAACGAAGGAAAGCACAGCACGGCACGGCACAGCACGGCACGGCACGGCACGGCACGGCACGGCACGGCACCCCACAAAACGAAGGAAATCCAAAATTAACCGAAATAATGCGACTCACACGCAGAGACGGCGGACACGAAGTCCCATTCGGCCGCGAGGCTCGGCGGGATGCCGACCTGCGGCAGGTACTGCTCGCGCCAGTCGTTCAGCTGGACCATGATCCCGCGGAGCACCTCGAGCGGGACGCCTTCCGAGTCGGTGCTCGGGATCCACAGGTGCTTCGACATGTGCCGCGAGATGCGCGCCAGCGCGTGCGCCGCGCGGTAGTAGCCCTGTAGCCGTCCGTCAGTTTGTCGTCATCGGGTTTTTATACCATTGCTGCCAGCCCGTCGATCGCGGGGCGGTGGCGCGCACATACCAAAGTCTGAAACGGAACCCGTCAGCGACCGCTCGCACAAAGCGTACGGGCAGGTGAGGGAGCGAGTACGCACCTCGAGATGCTCCCTTGGGTCGGGCTTCATCATCTGCCCGTGGTGCGCGTGCCGGTCCGCGGGAGACTCGGCGTGGGCGTGCATCGCGTCGACGGTGTAAAAGTCGACGTCGTAGTCCGAGTCGTCGAGCGCGGGCTTGCGGCGGTAGTACGCGGCGCCATACGCGTCGGACAGGCACGCCATCCACCACGCGAAGATCATCGTCCCGCGCGCCTCGGGGTCTTGAATGTTTGAGATGACCGCCTTGTGATTGATCTGTGCCGCCCGCGCGCCCAGACGGGCAGGAATTGCGAGTCGACGGGGATGGCAAGGCAGTGCGACGACGGTCAGACGACGAGCGCATAGCTGTGCCTGTAGACGCACCTGCAGATCGAACAGCTGCCGGATGGCCGAAGTCAGCCAAAACCCGCGGTACCCTGAAGCATCTCCCGAGTCAGCAGAACACGACCGACGCAGAACACGGGATGGCGCATCACCGCTCGCATCATCCGGCAATTCTTTAGCCCTGTCAAAGTCAGCCTTCGGAGCTCACAACACGCAGAGAGAGAGAAAACAAAAGACGAAAAAAATGCAAGGAGAAGAAAGTACGTGAAGGGACGGGGGGGAGCGAGAGATGAACGAAAGAAAACACGCACGGCTCTGCAGCGGCTCCAACAACAGCGCGATCACGACGTGCTCCGCGGCGGGCACGCGATGCACCTTGAGCGCCTCCGCGACCTCGCGCGCGCGATCGATGAGCGCCTTGGCGAGCGCACTCTGCCGCAGCGACGTCTGGGCGCGGTCCGCGACGAGCAGCGGGTGTTCGGAGAACTTGGCGCCCCACGCGATGACCGTCGCCATCAGGGCCGGGTGCAACGGGTCCTCGGCCACGCCGCCCCCACCGTTGCCCCCGCCGGCGGTGCCGTTGAGGCTGGAGGCGCTGGCGCTGGTGCTGGTGCTGGTGGCGCTGCCGCCGGTGTATTGCCCCGGCTCTGCATGGGGGACGAAGACGTTGAGGCGGGCGCGGAAGTGGGCGGGGTTGAGGAACGGGAGGCGGGTGTGCACGATCTGGAAGTAGACCTCGACGAGGTCGAGCGCGAACCTGGCGGGGCGCGTGCGAGCGAGAGGGGTCACGATGTGCGGTCAGCGTCAGGGCCACAGCGTCCGAATCGAGTAACGAAGGCCAAGAAGGGGGAGAGACGCAGACGCCAGAAGGCCAGCAAAGAAGAAAGAAGAAAGAAGGCGGCGAACCGAACGAGCAAAGGATCCCATCGGCGGCGGAAGGCTGTCAGAGCTGTTACGGAAGCAGGGAGGGCAGGGGGCGGGTGGGGACGCGACGTCAGGCCGGCACTGCCCAGCAGCGCGCAGACGGACGGGAATGGCCATTGCCGAGGACAAGAAGAAACGGTGCCCGGAATGGCCGTGCGAGCAGCCCCAGCCGACCCGCGCTGCGCACGCGTGGGCGTGAGAGGGAGGCCGGGGTGCGCGCGGGAAAAAAACAGGAGAGAGGGCTCTCACCGCGCGGGCGAGAGAAAAAGATAAGGGAAACCCGAAAGGAGACTCACTCGATGCGGTAGGCCTCGTCTTCGAGCTTGTATGCGAGGTCGCCCCAGTGGTGGAACGGGGAGGACGCGCGATAACCGCCTGGGCGCGCAGGGGGCGCGTAGCTGGTCGGGCTCGATCCTGATGCAGCACTAACAGATGCACGCGCGGGATCAGAAGACGTCATGTCACCGGGCGAGACGCAAATGCGAATAAACGTCAGCGGCGGATCGCCCACGTCAATCAAGAACACGGCGGGGTCGGAAGAGAACGCCACGACGAGCTGAACGAAAGCCCGACGGACGCACGCGAGCGAGCGGGGGCACGGGGACGCACCTGGGGCGGTCGCCGGGGGAAAAGAGGTAGGCGAGCAGCTCCGTGAAGCTCGTATTGCGCCGAATCGGTGGCTGCACGGCCGGCGGCTGGGCGCGGAACGGGGACGGAGACTGGGGCGGAGGGGCGGCGGAGCTGGGGACGACGACGGCGGTGCTGGAATGGGAGTGGCTAGCGGGACCATTGCCGTCAGCATACCCGCTGGGGAGGAAGACGAGAGCGTGAGCGAGATGGATGCGGCAATGGGATCGCCGAATGCGTGAGCGTGGGACGAGGAGAGGGCGCGCGCGGGCTAAGTATAGAAATGGAAGGGCGGGCAGGAAAGGAAAGGAAGCACCGGGCTGGCGTGCACGTACGGGTTCGGGTGGGCGGAGGCTGTGGGGCTCGCGCTGGGAGGATCAGCAATGGGGAGGATCAGATCAGATCAGAGCCCGAAGACGGCGAGACCGTGCGGAGATAGAGAGCACCGGCGGGGGTGCGTGCGGCGGAGAGGGACAAATGGGCAAGCGAGGGGGTGGGGGCGCAAATGAGCAACAGTCAAGGGTGAGGAAGTGGCGTGTGGGAGGGGGGATAACGCACCCTGTATTGTTGCCGCTGTACGCACGGGGCCTGCGCGAGACGGCAGAGACGCGCTTTTTCTCGCTGGTTGCCTGCTGCGCGTGATGTCTGCGTGTGCGTGGGTGAGCATCCCATGTGGGAGCGCAACGGGAGGAAAGGGAGGACGGACGTGCAGGGGTAGTTTTTGACCGTACAATGCTGCGGACGTGTGGGAACAGGGTCGGCACAGGGCCAGCAGACGGAACGACGGCATACCTGACACTGCAGGAGGAGGGGTCAGTGTCGGGGGCGAAGAGAGCGAGCGAGAGACGGACCTTGGGCTGGCCGGGAAGCTGATGACACTTGACCTTGCGCTGTCTGGAGGCGGGGAGAGGGTGAGGAGGGCACGAAGGAGGGTGCGGGAGGGTGCGACGGACCTGCAGGCGTCGCAGGCGATGTTCTGTTTTCTGGGCGGGGGGAGGGACTTTGCGAGGTCGTGCATGGACGGAGACGGGAGGGGGAGGGCTGGGCGGGACGGGGTGGGTGTGTGGGCAGTGTGAGCGAGAAGCGGGGAGGTTAAAAGGACGCACGGGTGGAGTTGATGGAGCCCGAGGCGTCTGAGGCCTGGGGCGAGGGGCTGGCGTGTTGCATCTGCAGCGTCGTTGCTCGATAGGCAAGTGCAAGGCAAGTGCAATCACCACAGCGTCAGTCGGTCCCGCTCGGCTATTCCACCCCGTCGCTTGAGACACCGGCCCTCTGTCGCAGCCCAAACACCCCACAACACACATCACATAAGCCCGCGCTCCCCATTTTCAGCCCAGCCACAGCCCCTCAGTCGCCAGTCGCCAGCAGCCATGGTCAAAGTAGAGATCGTCGAGGAAAAGGACCCCCACTTCCACAACGACAACAACTCCCCCTACGCCTCCCCCTCGTCCTCCCGCACCTCCTCCTCCGTCTCACTCGACTCCGTCGACTCCGATGCCCCCGACCACGAGTCCCTCCTCGACCGCATCTCCGCCCTCGTCGACATCGTGCCCCCCTCCACCCGCCACTCCATCTCCTCCAAAATAGCCACCTCCGCCTCCTTCCTCAAGAGCGGCGGGAAGCTTGTCGGCAACCTCGTCTGGATCGTCACCACCTCTGCCCTCCTCGTCGGCCTCCCCCTCGCCCTCTCCCTCGAGGACGAGGCAAAGGTCGTCGCCCAGGAGAAGGAGATGCTCGCACAGCAGCAGGGCGCACAGCAGGTTCGTCGCTCTCGCTCTGACTCTCTTCTGCCCGCGCGTTTGTTGACGTCACGTCACGACAGATGCTGTCCTCTGGCTCCATGTTCCCCTCCACCCCCGGGTCCTCTGACCAAAAGGGCCTCGTCCCCCCAGGCTTCTGAGCCCGGCCCTCGCACCCACACATCCACACACCCTGTACATTACGCACCCCGCCGCCACCTAACGACACACGAACCCCCCTCCCCCCCGTCCCGCTCCATGCACATCTTTACTTTGCTCGCTTTCCATGCCGATGTTCCCTGATGTCCTGTACCCCACACGTCCACCCGTTCGGGACAATCGAATCGAACAAACCCAAAAGAATAGAAAAAATAAACGAACATAAATGAATAGCACCGTCTGCGCGCCCACACCCGGAGCCGATCGCGCAAATCGCGGTCCCGGGACGTCGCGGGCAGATCTTCGCGCTGACGCTGACGCCCAGCGCACAGACCGAGATATCATCCTGGCCCCTGTTCGTGCATTCATCTCGCTCGATTTGGGCGCCTGCTCGGCCCCGACGGCGCCCTTTTCTCGATCCCGATGACGCTCCGGGAAGAAAAGCCTTGGCTCGCGAAGCAGGCGCCACTGTATGTATTACTTAGTGTGTGTCCGTGTGTCCGTGCATGCGTGTCCGTGTGCATGACTCATGGCGACGGCCATAAGCAACTCCACTCCACTTTGTCAATCGTGAATGAGATCCTATTCCAAGATCCCTCGTTGGAGTTCGACGTCCCGTCTCGTCTCCGGAGCCGTCGCAGTAATAAACTGTCGTGGGCGACCCTGCCGCGGATGCAAACCGTCCATCGAGGCTTCTCTTCTAGCTCCTCTCTTTATTGCTGCGTCTGGCCAGGCCGCTGCGTCGTTCGCTCGGACTACTAAAAATCTTAACTTTGGCCACTGCGGCTCCGACGCACAGTCCGAGGTCGTGGTGGCCCTGGTGAGTCGCGACGTCTTACGCCCTCTCGCTCCTTGCATACTGTACGTCCGACGCAAAGATTCATTAAACGACGTCATGCAATAGAAACGACGCGATGCATCCCGTCCGGTGTCAAGTGAGCGCGTCGTCCAGGCCCCTCTCGCCCTCTATCCGCGACAGGCTGTGTCATAGACCCACAGGCAGCTGCTAGTAAGTTACTAGGAAACGTTCTGGCGCGAGGCGACGCGCGCGCTACTACACCACGGCACGTCCTTGTTCTCTCTTCGACTTCGCCATCAGCCCCGTCAGCTCCATCAACTGCATCAAGTTCCCAAGCTTCCGTCGGTCGACGATCGCGTCCGGCGAGTAACAGCTGCTGAGTCGTCGTGCCGACGCCACCGATCAGCGACCGGGCGCGCTGCAATGGCCACTGCTGGCCACGGGCATCTGAGTGGCCAGGGCGCGCGACGGTCGTCGCTCCCGCGCGCCCGGGCTCGCCCTCTACGGACCCAAATGCGTGCTTCGTGCGCAATGAATACGCCTTGTCCTTGTCCAGGGTTGTCCTGCTGCTGACGCGCGCGCACTTACTTTCGCGGCTCCGGACCCCAAGTCCATCTCCGTCCCCATCTCCGTCCCCATCTCCGTATCCCATCTCCGTCCCCGGGTCCGCGCTGCACGACCGCACCGCGAGGCCCGATGCTCGATGCTTGATAGTTTGATAGCTTGATGCACGCCGCTCGGGAGCGCGATGCGTTTTTCCTCGGTTGCCGCGCGCCCGCAGCGCCGAAGAAGCAGCTGAGCCACTGTATAATCGACGCGCGGCAGCGAGCGGCTCCCTCGATCGAGCCGCGTCGATTCGGATGCCCCGCTGTGTCGGCACCGAGCGGCGGCGGCGGCGCCGACGACGACGACGATCCCTACTAGTAGCGATCCATGGTGATCCATAATCCATCCTGACCCACTTGCATACGGTACTGTGCATCCCCGCCTCGGAGCGTCTGCTTCTCGCGCGCGTCTTTATCCGCATCGGGCCATCGAGCCCCGGGTTGGATCGTGTGCGCCAGTGTGCGCCTCGGCAGCGCCAGCCAGCCAGCCAGCCAAGCGCACCAGCCGGTGCGCCGAGCGCTCGATGCATCTCGTTCGCGATGGTCTCGACGATGGCGGTCGCTGCAGGAGAGCGTGGCGGAGAGGCAGCGAGACGAGTCCGTACGACCTGCGTCCTCGACTTGCGCAGAAACCGAACGCACCCCAAACGCTCGCGCAGACCTGCTGCTGCAGCGCCGAGGCCCGCAAAATGGCCGATGGGCTGTCGAGCTGCTGAAGCCCCCGCTCACGTACGCCCACTTACGCCTCCCGCGATCGAGGCATGCCGGCGAACGACGAGCGCCTCCTTGGTCCCGAGAGGTCGAAGTCGGAACAAGCGCAGACGCCAATCAAACTGAACTATATTCTGCCGCTGCTTGCTGCCGCGAATATCACTTCAACGCACCTACCAAGGCCCGCAAAAGCGATAGATCTGCGCCGCCCGCCTTTGTACAGGATGTAAGTTCTCTATCAGAGCGCGTAGAAGACTGCTACTGTACTAGGTGATCACGTAGAGGGATGAGCGATCGACGTGTGTCAGCGTGTGTCGCTGCCGCGCGGGACCGAGACCGCAGCGCGCCTTCTCGCGGTCGTGTATATACTCTGACGCGCCGATATCGGGTGTGGGGCCCGTGCAGTGGGTGCGTGGCACGCACGGACGCGAATAGAATGGTACAGATCGCGCGTCTGGCAATCTGGGGTATCTGCTGTGTATCTGGTCCTGCGGAGGGTCGGTGCTCGTCGGCCCCATCAGCCAAGGAAGCCCGAGGAACCCATTTGGTGGTCCCCAAAGAGCATTCGCGGCAGGCAAGCGCGCGGGGCGCAACCCTTCAGAGTTCAGATGGACACCTCTTCCGCGTCTGCGACGCGAGCAACGCTTCCTGAGCAAGCTCTTCCAGCCCGGCCCGCTTGGTCTGATAAGGTGGATCGAGCCAATCCGAACGCGAACAAACCGAAGGTGTCAGCCCCAGAGATAATCAGTTTGTGGGAAGCCTCTGCAGATGACTTTGGCTGTGCGGCGCGCGATGTCGTCGAAGTACCTGGTACATGTGGTGTTTGTCCGCCCAGCGTGGATCACAGGATACTTTGCGTCATTGGACAGACCAAGGGTATATCTCGTGCGACGTGTTTTACCACAAGAGTAGTGGAAGAGTTGGACACTCGTCCTCGTGATCCCTCAGACGCTCTGTTATGTAGTTCACGAAGTCCACTGTTGGATACTGGACAGATGTGAAGGAATGGCGCAAGAGCAGAATAAAACGCCCGCTGTGGTTACGAAAGTCAAAGCCTTGAGCGCGGCCGGAGAGCTAAGACTGTACAGTACAGACGACTAGTAATGACACCTACAGAAGCGTACACAGAGTCCTGAGGGAGCCGTGATAACGAGGAGCGCCCCCGCCCGAGCTTGCGGAAGATCGCGTGTATGTCATGGGTCATGGTCTATGGAAATAGTCACAATTGGACGGCAAACCTTCGAAATGAGATTGCTTGCAGGTAACCTCTGCGTGCTAGTAACCCTCAAGGGTATTTGGAATATACGCTGAATAGCGTCGATAGTCGAAGACGGCACATACGGACTCGGTGAGGGAGCGACGCGGAGGAACGACCTGGAAAAGGTTAAAACCTCCGCTTCTGTAACCTCTTTTGATTCACATTGGGAGAAAATCCGCCGCTATTTTCCCACGGAGCATATCTTCTGTGCGAAGCCAGAGGAAGCCAGCCACGTCGAAGGCTATGTTTTTTCCCCGCTGCTGAATTGGCTGTCACCTTCGCGGACATATACGCAGAGATGCAGCCGAAGGCGGAGAAACGTCGTACAGCAGTCACATTCCCGACAAACCCTACACGGATACTGTAGAGCAATGAATCGAGCGACCCCCGACCGAATCGAATCCCGACAATGATCGCAGTCGTTTCTGAAACTCATTTCGTTTCTGCCTCGATGTGGAGATCCTCACACCGGGCCAGCATGTACCATGATTTTATCTGCATCCGCCAGCCAATCAGCCTGTGATTCCGGGCCATGCAGAATCCGCCGACGCACCAAGCAGCTTGGTGCATTCACCGCCAACAAGCCTTCGCATCTCAATTCATGCATCTGTCCTCGACGGATCGCCGTCGCCGTCTACGAGCGTCTCCATGTTACCAGCTGTTACCAGGCTCATAATCGTAGGCCTGACAAATTGCCATCGGCTTGCGGATCCTTGAGCACTACTACCCGATCACCGACTGCCCACGATCCGGATATCCGCCTCCCGAGGACAACCAAGCGCGGGCTCCGTGAATGCGGAGCGACGTGAGTGTTCCACGGCTGTCGGTTCACTGATGATCGATGGTTCTGAACGGGTAGGCTTGACAAGAGTCAGTGAAACCAAGCGCAACGATGCGCGGGCAGCACGTCTGCCTCGATCTTCTCGGGAGACGTCGATGATGATTCGTAACATTCGAGACAGATCGAGGCCCGGTCTCAGTGATGTCATCGTCATCAACGCTGTCGTGCCCAGGATCCCGCCTCTAGCTCGACTGTTTGGCATCTGCCACCGGGAAACGAAGAGATCAGACGCACGAGCGCACACCGCTGTTGGACGGCTGTTGGGCGTTGGGCTGGCACGTCGCTTGCGACCCCGCCACCGTTCTGGCGATTCGATGCCAGTTGTCATCTCACAGATCCACGCTGGTCGAGTTGGCATGTCGCGCCGAGCGACCGTTTCTATACGCGAAACCAGATTCGCTGGAGGGTGAACGTTGATAGATGTGGTAAATGTGTGTCTTGCAATCCCCGTTTGAAGGGTTGCTCAGTGCAAGCAGGCCGGAGACTCAAACTAAGCTGAGCTTGTAAGTAGCAATACACATCAACACAGCCAGTTCACCCATCAAGCCACGGGGACTTCCTTAGTCGCTCCGTAGGCTTTACTTGCACAGCGGGCAAAGTACCATGTGTTCAGCTCGAAAGTAGCGGAACATGGTGATTACATGGTGATTACATGGCCGACTTTTCTTTTTGGGATAGGTTGGCCATGTAATCACCCTTTCTCGGTTGATTCCATGCTGAACACATCGAACTTTGCCCGCGGTGTTGACTACATGGTTCACATTTACCTTATCATTCTTATTCCATTCCTGGCCCTAGCATCATAAAAAAAAATCAAAATCTATCTTCTCTTTGACTAAGCCCAAAATCAAAAAAGTAGCAGGGAGAAAATGTCCGTAAAATGGATACAAAGGATCGCGCCGTGCCCGATTTCTCAAATTCTTCTCGGTGAGAGAGGAGATAGCGTTTTCTTGCGAATGTAACACTTTCCCCCGCCAAATGGGACACCTCAGTATCACGTGATGTAGCCGTGTTTGCTTGCGGCCTGCATTAACACATTTCGAATTGAATGCACAGTGAAATCACTAGTATACGTGTGATCCCCCCCCAATAGAAGTTGCACTATACCAAACCATACTCTCCTCCACCATGGGCTGAGTCCTCTCACCTCACCGTATAGGTGGAGTGTATGAGTGCATACCCGCTCATCCGACAACTGTTGATCTCCTCCCTAGCCGCCGAATCATCCACCATTTTCCGCGGCTTCATGAGCTCTTCTCTGACGGCATTGAAAGACACCTAAGGAGTATGTTCATGACATCATCGATGTTGCCTTCGTCTCCAAAGACGGCGCGACCCATGAGGTGACGATGGGGTTACGAGCCTGACACGGTCCACGGTCGGAGATCGCTTGAGACTCTCGACGTCGAGCCAATTCATCGATAGCGAGAAAAACATCTCGCGGGAATCCACGGCCCTACGGCGCATTTTCGTATCAAGAAGCGATGGATTCGGCGGATGTCTGGCCATCCCTTCGTTTCTCGGAACCGCTGGGAGGCGACGCGCAGGTCCCGCTTCATGGGGAGGCGTGCCAAGGGAACACGGCAAAGCCGTCCTGCACGCTGAGCGGGACCAAAGGGGCAATTTGATGGTGCCCATTGGATGGGAAGGCGCCGCGCTCGCCCGCAAGGTTGCTACCGCACGCGCAGAGACTTGACAGTCGGGCCCTGCTGCTTGCTGCAGGCAGTGCCGATGTCCTAGTGGCACAATGATGTTTAACGAGATGTGAAGCAGCGCAGAAGGGGCAGGGTGTGCTCACCTGCATGTATGGAGCACCTGGGTGTAGATCGCTCCCAAACATACCGTACCTGGTGGGCTGTAAGAGTCCAAAGTCAGAAAAGCCACCTTGCATCGCGAACGTCGAGAAACGCACCTGAATGCTGTGGAACCTCGCTCATTGAGGGCTGGCGCACACGAGCGACGGATGGGTTACTGTCGTCCAAGACGGAGCGACAGGACGGTACACATGCTGTTGGCTTCGGAGAATTGCAGATTTGGGTGTGGATGGGGGGTGCATCGCGTCGCAGTCAGTACGAGCAGATGTCTAGGTCAAGCGGGTGTGGGTGTGGGTGGTTGAGAGTGAGAGTGAGATGGGAGGTCAAGGCAGGAAGGCCGACTATTTATACGGTCAGTGGGTGGTCCATGTGGCGACAAAGCGCGTGCATGGACAAAGCGCGTTGCCCGGTCAAAGAGCTGGTGGCGGGTGGTCTAGTTGTCAGCGGGTCATCGCCACAGCCACCTTCAATGGGCCACCAGAATGTCTCACCGTGTCCTGGCTGCTGGAGGCCATGTATCCACCGGCGAATTTTTCCGTGTCACTCCCAGTGTAACATCAGATCCGTGCCCTGTTGAACCGTAAGAACTGGTAGCGCTCGAACCTTTCGGCAATGAGAAAAGAAAATGTGCCTCCAGACCCAAGCGTTGGAGATGGTCAAGAGTCTACTAATCATATTGTGAGCTCAACACCAGCGCAATCATCGCTTGGAAGGTTTGTCAACAACGTCTAACAGCGGCAAGGCTGGGATTTGCAATTTCATACGGCCAAATCCCAAGACAAGAGCTGAGGGCAGCTTTGGAAAGGGCAAAATATGCAAAGCGTGGCGCGGCAGCCATCGGCGCCTCGGGCTGGACTCGGGGAGACCTTTTGCGCTCGTCCACGCCACTGGTGAGCTGCCACATACGTGCAGCAGATCATTCGCAAAGCTTGTGAAGCTCTAGTGATAATCAACCGCGAGCCAACGCGACGCGAAATACATTCAGTGCGGGCAAAGTCGCGTAGAATTAGCAAAAGCCGACACATTCTCAAAATCTACTCCAACGCCTAACGCCGGTGGGCTCAGCCTCCCTCAAGAAACGACGGGACTTGAAAAACTCACCGGTCTCACGGGAAGCACGATCGGGCGCACGTAATTCGCACTGCAGAGATCACACGGTGAGCGAAGCGGGAGCGAGACGAAGCGGAGGGGCACCTACGCCGAGCGATACCGTCGCACGTACGTGATCGCGTGGTTCTCGATCTCGTCGGGGACGACCCCGACGGCGTCCCAGTCGCCCGGCGCGTCCACGTCGTCGATGAACCGCCGCACGACCTCGTCGGGGCTGAGCGCGGGCCACCAGACGGCCTGCGCCGCACGGGCGAGGGCGAGGGCGACGCGCTGTGGGAGCACGGGGGCGCGCGAGGGCGGGTTGTACGTCATGGTCGAGACGAGCTCGAGGAGGTACTCGAAGGTCAGCGTTGACGGGCCCGGAAGCGCGAGCGTGCGAGAGAGGGCTGGGACGCTGATGAGGTTCGCGAGTGCCTGTGCGACGTCCATGACCTGTGCATTTGAGATGGTCATCAGACAGCGACGGCGGTTGGACGGAGGTAAAAAAATTACGTGGACGGGGCGGATCTTGGTCTGCCCGTGATTCAGCTTCCACCAGATGGGCCAGACTAGGCGGGGAAAGGGGCGCGTCGGTGAGTCGACCGCGATCTACGACGAGCGAAGCACGCGCGCGCACCTGCGATGTTGTTCAACAACTTGTCCTCGTACCCGAACATCGATGCCGGGCGGACGATCGTCGCAGCCGGGAACGCGTCCTTGACGAGGGCCTCGCCCTCCGCCTTGGCCTGGTAGAACTTGGATGGCGAGTCCGCCGCGGCGTTGAGGTGCGAGACGTGCACGAACCGCGAGACCCCCGATTTGGCGGAGATGTCGGCGATGCGCGCGGGCCCTAAGGCGTTGGCGTCTCGGTATGAGAAGTTCCTGCGTGCGAGACGAGCCGCGAGCGGGGGTTTTTTTAGAGGACTGCGGAGAGCATGTATGAGGAAGAGGCGGTGAGGACGCACTTTGTTTCGTACTCGCGCCCGACGAGGTTATACACGATATCCGAGTGACGCACGCACTCCTCGGTCTGGTTGTCGTTCCGCAGGTCCCATTCCTAGCAAAGACCAGACGATGTTCAGAGTCAGGCTGCGAAACGAGGCGGAGAGCGTGCACACACCATAGGAACGATCTGCCCGAGATCGCCCATGACCTTCAAATGCCGTTTTTCGTCCTCGTCGCGGTACGGAATGATAACCTGCGTCCCCGTCTTCGCTACAGCCCACACGAATCAGCGACCGCACGCACGCACGCACGCACGCACGACCACACCCCGCCCCCCGCGCGGAGCGGGACACGTACCGAGTTTCGACACGAGGTAGCGCCCCAGAAATCCGGTGCAGCCAAAGACGGTCGCGACGTGGCCCGTCACGGCGCTGCGCCCTGCGGGCCCATACGAGAGGATGGGCTTCTTGTCGGGGAGCGTGAAGATGTCGTGGAGGGCGCGCTGCCATATGCACATCGTCGTGCGTGAGCTGCGCCCGGTCGCCCGACTCGCGAGGAGGAGCGGTGGAGACGGACCTTTCCTGGAGCGGCGGCCAGGCGCTGTACGCGCACGATGTTCGCTGGCGAGGAGAGCATCCTGACCAGCGTGGATTGAGAGCGAGCGAGAGGGGAGCGTTGCCGCACCGTCCCTCTCTGCCAACGCCAGCCGACCACGCCGGCTTCTCCCGCACACCAACCCCTAACCCCGACTCGCTCCCGGCCGCCTCTTCGTCCCAGCGCCCACCCCTCGAATCGACCCGTTCTACAAGATGGTGCAGGGAAAGACCAAGGGCCTCCAGGCAAAAACGGCGAACCCGCGCCATGCGCACAAAGCCGCTGCGAATATGAAAAAAGGCAGGAGGGACGTCGCACCGAAGAAAACCGTCCTCGTCAAGCAGGCGGTCATGCACAAGGTCTGCGTCTCGTCTCTCTCTCACACCCCGCTCCTCCCTCCTGCCTGCCTGTGCGTTGGGTATACATGTGCGGCGCTGTGCTGACCTGCTGCGTGCCGTGACAGAGCCTCAGCGCTAAAATCAACAAATCGGTCGAGCAGCAGATGGTGAACGCCGCCTCCTCCGGGAAGCTCACCATCATGAAAAACCTCGTGAGCGAAGGGTGAGCGCGCGTCCACCCCCTCATCCCCTCCATATCACCAACAACACGCTCTCTCAGGAAATCCTCCAAGGGGCCCAAAAAGAGCAAGCCCTGAAAACGCCCGCACTCACAAAAAAACTCAAAGTCGACGCCGCACCCGGTACGCGTTCACCGTCTCTTTCTATCTCCACCGCCGCGCGCAACTCCCAGCTGACGCCCCGGTGGAGCAGCCCAGCGTCACATGTCGCTTCTGCCCTCCGCAACGCAGCGCCTTCCGAAACCCGCAACCGCACCGCTGCCATGCCCCGTCTCGAACCTGCCCGTTTTTCCCTTTCCGGGGCAATCTACCTGACCTCGGGCGATCGTCCCCCTATAATTGTTCCTCAAAAAGGCCCGTCGCCAGACCAACGCGCGAGATCAATCGATCCCGTGGCCAGGGCCCTCATTATGTCTGTCCTAATCGAAACCGGCGTGCGTTCCTAACCCGCCTCGCTGCAGCGTGTTCGCCGCTGGACGATACTACTGCTGCTGCTACCGCTGCTACTGCTGCTGCTACTACTACTGATGATGATAGGGTCGAATTCGCTGTCTGTATATTGCCAATGAAACATGATATGAATGATGGATATACCAAGACTACTGCGTGGCCTGTCGCGTGCGTGTAACGTGGTGCAGGGTATCGAGTGCGGCACACTGCAATGAGAGACAAAGAGTTCGTGCGCTGAGAAAGGGATACTCGGTGAATGGCAGGTGTGTGTGGACGAAGTGGGGCAGTGGGCATTGGGAGGTGGGGTCAAGGGCTGGGAGGGGGAGGGGGAAATGAGGGAAGGGAATATGGGCTACGTAAATTGCACGGGAAAATTAAACGGACGATGATTGGCTGGCACACACTCAAAGACCCTACATACTGAAACGAGGAACTAAAAATATGAGCTGTATGCATGGATGCTACCGACATTGACAGGGAACGGGAAACTATTGCAGGGGGGAGTTCATGAGGGAGTTTGGGTGATTGGGCTTGGTAAAAGAACAATTGCATGATAAGTGACGTGCTCGTGCAAGAAACAAGGAAGCCAAGAAGAAAGCGTTGAGAGAGGGAAAGAAGAGGCCACCGCAAGCAGGTCAAAGCCGCAGCCCACGGGTGAATAAAGGAAAGCGCGCACGGGGTGCGCTTTTTGAGCATAAGACCCAAGCGGTATAGCAAGACGGACGGACGGACGGACGGACAGGCATGAGAGAGATGCAGCGGCGGTAAAAACGTATCAAAGGCCTCATGGAGGGCCTCGGCTCGTCACAGCTCTTGAGGCGCCTCGAGATCCGGCGGGGGGCCTCCCCTGCTGCCCATGGCGAGCACGGCTAGCTTGATCCGGGTCAGAGCCTGGTGATCATCCTGCCTGAGGAAACCCTGCGGCTGAGCGTCCACAAAGCGCATGACCTTGTCGAGAGAGCCCAAGGTGTCAGCATACTCGGGGATAGATAGCTGCGGGCCCGGTGGGGGTGGGTACATGTCAAAGTACTGCAACGGCGATGTTTGAGCAGCCTGTGCCGACGACTCGATGTGCATCGAGACGTCCGAAGAGTCTGGGAAACGAGAGAGGATGGCAGGCGATGAGGTCGAGACGTGGACTTGAGGAGACTCCATGTGCTGAGAGTGAGACAGCGAATCGGAAAGATGGGTCGAGACCGACGAGAAGGAATTGTCGACATCCAGGTGAGCTTGGGCGGTAGACGGGTTCTCCACCACGGGAGACTGGATGTGCTCGGGAGAGTGGATGTGCCCCAACGACTGCGCCGTCGTCGCCTCCATCGCCTGTCGGGCCTCGTCGATGTCCTGGTGGCTGCCGAGATTCGCGCCGATGGCATCGGTCTCTGGATTTTCAGAATCGTTCTCGCGAACGCGAGATTCGGCCGGTATGCCACTGGGGACACTTTGCTTGTGCGACCTCCTCACGGGCTTGAGTGTTTCATCAAGGTCATAGAGATTATGCTGATAGATATAATCTGCCAGCGTCGGGTGAGGTTCCTCATCCTCATCCTCATGTAAGGCTGAGCCACCTTGGGCGCGGATGACCTGAGCGTTGCGGCCGTTGCCTTCCCAAACGCCCTTGCGGATGCCATGCCGATTCTTGAAGTTCTCCACCCAGCCAGAACTGGCCTTGAACTTGTCGTCGGAGATCTCCATCTGTCTCGCGACCTCCCTGGCTTTGGAGCGGATGAGGCAGTCGCTGAGGACGACGCGGCGGTCCTTGCACTCGAAGAGCCACTTGACGAGCTCTGCTTCGATCTCGGGGAACTTTGACGGCCTGAGCACAGATGGGTTACGATAAGGACAGACGCGGAGGGAGACGAGCCTACCTCTGCTTTGCGACGAGGACTTCTTCGCCGTCGGGGACGTTGAGCCACTTCTGCTTTTGCTTCAATATCTTGCTGATCGTGCTGCGCTCGACGCCGTACTTGAGGGCGATGTCTTCCTGGCGCATGGTAGGGTTCTCCTTGTGATAGACGCAGATGGCCTTGCGATCGACGTTGTAGAGGCGCTGCTTGCGCGGTTTGTTGGCGTCCATCTTGGGTGCGGTGGGGGAGAGGTTATCGGGAGGGGATCCGGAGAACTGCTGGGGGTTGTGGCCGGAGGTGGAGGAAGCGGCGGTGGTCATGGAGCGTATGCTTAATGCGGGGGATGCCGAGCGAGGGTTTGAAGCTGAGTTTGTGGAGGCAGAATTAGCGGAGTTGGAGGTGGAACGGGAGTGGGCTGGGAAGAAGGCGTGCGAGTACGGTGCTGATGGGGGACGGGTGGCGTAGTGCGGCGAGGCAGCGTGGGCCGATGGGACATAGATGGGGCCTGGATGCATGGCAACATGCGGTGGGTACTGGGCTTGGGGCGCGACGTGGTTTGGGGTCTCTGGGCGGGAGAGCGATGTATGGATGAGATACATCTGAGGAGGAGGGGGGGGAGGTAGGCTCGGTCAGCGAGGGGACAAAGGAAGGAGGGAGAGGGAGAGGGACCACGCTGACGTACGTCATGGTTTTCCCCGGACAGGCCCAAGTCGTTGACTGGCCCGGGTCGAGCAGGGTGTGGGTGGGCCTGGGCGGCGCGCTGGCGACGAGTGAGGACCCTGGTGGGGCCGATGCTGCTCTGCAACTGAGGCGCGTCCAAGTTGAGAGCGTGGCTCGGGTTCAGGGAGGGGTCGTCGTCGTGCTGGGGGAGGAAAGCGCTAGGGGGCTGGTGGACGAACTGGGGCGAGGTGTAGTCGATATGATTGATTGGATTGTTGATGATGGGATACATGCGGGATTGGTCTGGTGGAGACGAGGCAGATGTCGGGGAGTGCTGGTGATGGTGCCAGGAGGAGAGGGAGATTGCAGAGTCGAGCGGACGGTGTGGGGAGTATTGCGAGAACGCGAGCGGGTCATAGTGGGCAGAGTTGTCCATCGAAGGCGGGGACGGAGGAGTGTGCTGCAGCAGAGAGAGAGAGAAGGGAAGGGAAGGGCAAGGAGAGGAGAACAAGGGGAGCTGGCACTGGAGCCGGCCAGGCGTCGAGGGTTGACGGTGCGGAATGAAAGCAGCACGCCTCGCCCTTCGATCCGCCGCTCTCATTTATGCGCCCCGGCCTCCGCTCCGCGACTCGTCCCCCACCGCCCGTGCAACAGCAACAACACCGCGCTCCTCTTCCCCCTGCCCTCGCCGCCCGTCGCCAGCAACCGTCGCCCTCGCCGTCCCCGCCGCGCCCTCCCCTCCTTCCGAAATACAACGCCCTCTTTGTTCCCCGTTCTCCAGCCCCGAGCCGCCCCACTTCCCCACACCGCACACACGCCGCACGCACACAACAACATCCCAACCGTCCGCCTCTGGCCACCCTTCCACACGCGGCCCGCGTTCCTCTTTGCCGCGCGGCCCTCCTCCGACTCTCCAAACACGAGGTTATGGGCTGGTAACATCTGTCCCCTCTCGTCCTCGCCCCTTCTCCTGCACGCACCCCCGCATCAGATCACTTCTTTCCGTCAGAACCTCCCTTTCCAGGGCCTTTTTAGCGGGCAGAATCCCCCCGCGATCACTCAAACAGCTTCCGCAACTCCAACTCCCCACTTCATCTACTCGCTCTCGGCCCCCAGCTTCCCGTTTCAGCCCCACATCCTCCATTCTTGTCCTCTCTTCAGACATCCGTAGCACCGCGGCTGGCAACCGTCTCACCCTACGTGAGAACCGATCAATTCCATCCTGGCGCAGGCGGCTTACTGACTTTGCTCAGCATCCTTCGGAAATGAATGCCTCATGTTTCGCCCCTTATCGTCCTCTTCATCATCCCTCCAACACACCCACCCATCGCATCGATAGCGCAGCCTTGGCCTATCCCATCTTGACACCTTTGACTAATCCTTCTTCAATTCCGTGCCTTTTCCTCCCGCTCACGAAGAAGCTCTCCAAGTTACTTGTCCTACCCTGGTCCAGCCTCCCGTTGACATACGTCAGCATTCTAATCTACCTTGGTGCGTTTTATCCCCCGTCGTTTCAGCAGATTCACCGCTTGCTTCCCTCATCATCTGCGTCCTCACCCTGAAACAAACAGTACCACCACTTAATCAACCGCGTGGAATACACGGTCTCCCGACCCGCCTCTTCATCAGCTCCGAGGCACTGTTTTTTTCGTGCCCGCTATGTTTGGACCCTGCGTGTGGACGTGGGCATTCAATCAACTTCGAGCTGTGAGTTCGGATCTCGGCATTGGGCCATCTCGTTGCGCAGCTCGCTATATTCTAGTTCCTCCTCGATCGCCTTCTGCGCGCGTACGTCCTTCTCTTCTCTATCCTTTCTGTCGCCGCCCCTTCTAGAGCCACTCGCCGTGCCACCCAGTCCCACACCGTGTCTGTCCCATGGTTGCGCCCTCTCCTGCTCTCATTAACCGTTCGGTGGTGAGCGGATCGCTGTCCTCGCGCGCATAGCCTGCCGGGGGCTTCACAGCGGCAGTGTACCGCATCAGGGGCGGGGATCTTCGCGGGGCGTTGCTGGGTGCCGTATCAAACGCGGTTCGCCTTGATTCGCTGATTGTCCGCGCTCTTTCTCTTGGGTGATGAAGTGTGTGACCTGCAGCGCACCCAATTATACCTCGGCTCGTGGCTGCGCTCTACGTGTCAAGAGGGTCCCCTTTGACTACTCGCTTCTCCGCTTGAATGCGTCAGGTCAACAGCTCGGTCGGCAAGCTCCAGGTGAGCTACAAATTTGCTTCTGCGTTTGAACGGCGTTGATCAGTCGGTCAGATGGGCGCAGGCGGCTCGAAACACTCAACAACCAGTCCACCACCATCTGATCCCCGTCCAAGTCAATTGAAAATACGGCGGATGATTTTGACCCCCATGGAGAAATCGGTCGACGGTTCCAGCCCTGCAGCGGCGATCCTTCTTTCCGCTACAGCGCCTGGCTTCCTTACGGGCCACAGAGCTCACAGGCGCAGCTTTAACTTCCCCGTCCAGCCTTTGTACTCTCCCTTGACCCGTGTACGTTACCGGTTTACGTCTATGAAATTGCGGCCAGCAGTTCCTGCGCTGCTGTCTGATCGTCCTATGAGTCGGCGTCTACGATACCTAAGAGCCGGAAAGACACACAGACTTCCGTCCGTCCAATAGCAGGACCCATGCGTACTCTGTAGAGTCGGTGGGAGCTTCGCCATTGGCCCTTCCAAGCAAGGGTCAGCTGGGCAGGTGCGGCCGGCTGCACGATGCGCTGTTATTCACGCGCAAGGTTCATCGAGGCTCCTCTCAATCAATGGCTCTGCCTGTAGAAGGCAACTCGCTCATTACCTCAATGGCACTGTGCCAGGGTCTCCGTCGATGATTGGATTGATACACGTTGTGCAGAGTGTACCACTAGCCGTTACTTACCCGCATGAAGCACCTCGGTTACCCTTGCCGCGTACGATATGCAGACTGCTACAAAGTACAACTGTCGTAGCACCGCTTGCTGCCCCCCTTGTCCTCTTTTCCTTCATTCGCGTACAAGGCAGCGACGCCACCGGCATCTAAAGAAGGAAGGTCTAGTTGATCGTACTTAGTGGCGCCGAGAATGGGATAACCATAACAAGGTCAAACAAAGCGGCAAACGCGGCTTCGGCTCTTGACCGCCAGGGACGAGTTTCGAATACTGAACAATAGGCCGCACAGGACCGTACACGCACACGATCCAACCATCTTCAGCGCCGGATCTCGCAGCTCCAACGCACCCCATTCGGAGCCATGATACGAGAGGTGTGGGCGCCCAACCTCGACATCGAGATGCGGAGCATCCGCGAGCTCATCGAGAAGTATCCGTATGTCGCGATGGTACGCTTGACTCGTCTCCTCGCCTCCCGCTGGCCCCCGCTCACACGAGAGGCGTGCTCCTCAGGACACCGAGTTTCCGGGCGTCGTAGCCCGGCCAATAGGGGCGTTCAAGACCTCCTCCGACTACCACTACCAGACCATGCGGTGTAACGTCGACCTGCTGAAGATCATCCAGGTCGGCCTCACCATCGCGGACGAGGACGGGAACTACCCACAAGACGTGTCCACGTGGCAGTTCAACTTCCACTTCAGCATCAAGTGCGTTTTTTTCCAGCCAGCCAGCCAGCCAGCCTCGCGTGCGACACGAATTACGGCGTGTGTTGCTGACGTAAGCGGACCTTTTCCCCTTCCCCCCCCCAAAGTGACGACATGTACGCGCCGGAGTCCATTGAGCTGCTGCAGAAGTCGGGGATCGACTTTCAGCGGCACGAGGAGATGGGAATACTGCCGAACGATTTTGCAGAGCTGATGATCACGTCGGGGCTCGTGTTGACGGACGAGACGAAGTGGATATCGTTCCACAGGTGCGCCCGCGCTCTCACCGCCTCTGCCATCGTGCGCGCTGATCAGAAGAATTTTTCTTTTTGGGGGGGTAGTGGTTATGACTTCGGGTACTTCATCAAGCTCCTCACGGCGCTCTCTCTGCCCACGACAGAAGACACGTTTTTCGAGGTCCTGCATACATGGTTCCCAACGAGTTATGATATCAAGACCATGATGCGCGCGTCGAAAACCTTGAAGGGAGGGCTGCAGGATGTCGCGGACGATCTAGGCGTGCGTATCCCTGTTCCCTTCTTACAACATCAGTCATCTTCATATGACTGAGCGCAGAAAATCTCGAACACGCAGATCATGCGGATAGGCCCATCGCACCAAGCCGGCTCGGACTCGCTCCTCACCGCGTCCACGTTCTTCAAGATGCGCGAGCTGTACTTCCACGACCGGATAGACCACGACGAGTACAACGGGAAGCTCTACGGGCTCGGCGAGACGTTCACGCTCTCGAACGGAATCCCAGATCCTGGGAGAGGGGGCGCTACGATCGCGGAACGGGACGACCGGGGTCCCTCGCGGGATGCGCAGAACCAGGGGGGTGCGGGGCATGGGCAGGGCCAAGGCGTCGGCATGGTCATGTCCCTGCCGACCCCTGCTCTGGGCGGCGCGATGCCGACGCCGTTGCCGCCGAACGCGAGCTACGGCCCCATGGGCGCGAACGGCTCGTTTATACGGACGGCGATCGGCGTGGGGGGAGGGGGCAGATAGGCCCCCCGTCGTCCGTCGTCCGTCGTCTGTTTTTGCTTCTGTAAGGGACTTTTCTACTCTTCTGCTGTTCTCAGTATGGGTGGGGGTGGGGCCGCTGTTCTCTCTGTGATTCTGTATCTATTCGATTGTATCAAGTGTTACTGTCCTGTTTTTTATTCTCTACATAGGTCGGTACATCGTCTACCAACGCACACGCCTCGTGCCATACCCTGTGCCGGCGGGTTCTGCTTTTGTTTTTGGATTGCGTTGGGAGACAGGAACCGGGCCCGCCGGTGTCCTGCGGTTCGCCAGGCGACATCACGCTTAGTAAGAACGGAAATTCAAGTGAACGTCATGCCCAGTCAAAAAATTGGTCTTTTGTCATGTATCCGTCATAAAAGCAGTGCAGAAGTCGTGTGAAAGTCGCGTCCAATTTTGGCAGATTATGACTTTTGCATGACTTTTTGCGCTACTTTCTTGACGGATACATGACAAAAGACTAATTTTTTGACTGAGCTTGACATTGACTTGAATTCCGTTTTTACTGAGCGTCACGCATCACGCGCGGATTCGGCTTCTCGCGGCAAACGGGTCAGCGCTGTCAGCGCTTGCAGCAGGAATCCCGTAGATCGCCGTCTCTCCACGTCGAACCTTCTCAACAGTCGGCTGTTGAACCTCCCCTCCGAGGCCTCTGCCACTGAACTACGATATACACAAGTGCATATTTTTTGGGGGATAACGCGAGATGCAAGGTAAGCTCGATCACGATTCTGCGCGCGAAGCTCATACATGCCCAAGTGGCAGTTCCCCAAACGCGTCCACCGCATCCTAGCTAGATTTCTGAGCCTACGCGCTATGAAGGCAGCTGAGCAGCCCACGCCGACCGCCTCCCAAGACAAGATTTTTTTTTTTACACGCCGATTTCGGTGAGCGGGAGCAGGTGCCGTCTCGCTAGGAATCGCCGTCGCAGTCATCCATCGCAAAAGTACCGCCTCCCGGTGGAGCGCACGCGCCCGACGCGGGAGGAATGTATGTTTGTGACGGCGTGCGGCGACGATTGCCGTGTCCTGAGGGACGACATCGCATTGGCTCGGGATGCTTCGCGACTCTAGATGGGGTTGACTGCGGCGGTGCGGGCGGCGCATTTAGCTCGTCCCCCCGGACTCTCGCTTCTTCCGCCACGAGTCCCCCGCCTCCCTGCGGTCCGAGCATGATGCTCACCTTCAAAGCCAGATGCAGTATCTGACTTCGATACGACGAGTAGGATATGTGCCGGAGACCCTCGTGTATCATGGAGCAAGCGAGGTCATGTACACGGATAGAACAGCAGCGAATACGGAACTATTGCAACGACACGCCTGAGGGAGGTGACATTTTTCCGTCTCGTCTCATCTTTTATAGCTCTCGTGCAAGACATGGGACCCCGCAAGGAACGCAACTCCGCCTCATGCTCGATCGACCCAATGATGATAGAAGCCCAAAAGTCTTCTGGATGTCGAATGCGCCTCGCAGCACTGGGGGAACGTGTCCTTAAGTTCATGGAGCCGCCGCCATGATCAAGAACAAGAACGAGCGACAGTGCCAAACCTATCTGTACGGCATCAGATATGCCTCCCGGCTTTGCTCCTCGGTTCAGCTCTGCGAGCTTCGGCGCTGATTGCTTTGGGACAGAGCGAGGCTGGAGATTCTAGCCGCCGGGTGTCGCCTGGATCTCGACCGGACAAAAGACATATTTCAGATGGCTGGGATGTACAAGTCGTGCGACATTTTCAACATCTTGACGGCGGTGGCGACTTCAACAGCGGGCGGTCGAGGATTACTCACTGGGCGTGCTTCTTTCGACACGATGTGCGCCCGAGCCATATCAATCAGGCTCGAACTTCGCAGCGCTCGTTCGGTATCTTTCCCTTCGGATGCGAAGTCGCCTCGCCTCAATCCTCATCTCTGACACATAAGGCGGCGATCTCGTACGTGAAGCGGAAGGCGTCCGACACGGAAATCGAGAGCGCCCCCTCGCCATCGACTTTTGAGCAACTAAAAGCATCTATGGAACATCGATGCCTAACGTTGGTCAGCCGGCCCGGGCTGCAAGTAACGTTTATTTGCCAGGCGCACCAATCCAATCAATCGCAGGTGCCTTGGGTCCATTCATCCGGCAAAGTACCTTGTGGCAACTGTAAACCTTTCGGGCTGCCCTTTGTGCTCTGTGTCACAAGTCGTTGGAGAATCCTCTTACGATCCAGCCCCCCCTTACGCGAAATGACCAACGGCGCCTCGAGCCAACGACAGTTGATTATCGTAGGTGAGAAGAGACATGCTATCGACTCAAAGCGTCTAATGCACTGCCCTGTCCATGAGGACGCCTCATTAGACCGGGTCATCTAGATAGAAGACCGGCCACATGCCGAGGACTCTATATTTCGCACTACCGGTGTTCTAATAGACCGCACAAGAGGCGCGGGGTAAGCTACCCTTCATCGAACAGAACGCCTCGACTGATGATTGGGTATCGTGAAGGTGGAACGGTCTCTCACGGAAAGCCGTTCACGAGAATTACGGGACCGGGCCATGGCGAAACTTGCTTCTATTGTTCTGTGGCGAATGGGATGTTCCGTTTCATGCCTGGGATTGCCATGATCGTGACTCGATCAGTGCCAAACAACGCAGGCGCGCCTCACGGTACAACGTTATCATCAGGAAGTTGCCTTTATTAAGCTACGCGACCTAGTGTTCGAACGGGGTCCAGGCCGACGTACGACCTCGTACGATGCGATTCGCATGTGATGTAAGGTAGATATGGGGCGGTGGCAGCCTGCCGGAATCGGCACCCATCGAGTCAAGCCCCTCCTTTATTTTTCCAGTCGAGTCTGATTTCGCGATGGCGTTCGCGACCGCCCAGGAAGAGTGCGTCGCTACGTAATCGAGCCAAATGGCCTACCGAACCTCCGGATTGTCGAAGGACTCTGTCTAGATCGAGAGATATATTTCCCGGTCCGCTTGATATACGCCACTTATACGCCGTGTTGTAACAACAAGGTTTAAATGCTATCTGTCCACGAGACCACGGCAACTAGTGTATGTTGACCCTCCATGAGCGGACATGCACCAGATGCACCAAAAATCGTGCGGTCGAAGTCAGTAGACATAGGAACTAGTGCTGTTTCCTATGGTATAGTCGACATAAGTTCTACCTAAACATAGGAATAGATTCAGCCTGAGGTGTGAAGACTCCGAAGGTGCGCAAGAACCTACATAGTTACTCGGGAATATCCCCTTCTGACCATTGGCGTTGATGCCTGTAATTGCGATCAGTTCTCTATCCCTCTTATTTTTGATAAAACTGCACCTTCCCACCATCCATCCGCATAGTATTCTCCTCCTGTTGGCCCGCTAGTGAGCTCTATGCTCCCTCCCTTCTGAATATTCAATTCATCTGGACCTTGGGCTTGGTATTCATAGATCCCTCGCACTTTGTGGCGCCCGGAAAGACGATAAGACCGAAAGAACTTCGGACAATGATTGGCAGACGTACCAAACTTCCCCGACCCTTGCGCATGACCAGGCGCAGGCGCTTCAATTGGCGTGATCGCATGAGAGTCTGACAATTCGATGTACGTAGCCGGGACGAGTCCCTTCTCTCCGACCCTGTCGGCTACCTTGACCCAACCTGAGCCATCGTCTTCCTCGAGCACATGCACAGTTGTACCCTCTGCCGCGAGATACCGTATAAATGGTAATCAGCCTACTTTAAGAATGGCGGACGCTGAGTGACGCACCACGAATAGCTAGTTCGAATGGCGAAGTTGGGGTGAAGTCAAACATAACACGGGCTTTGGGGTACTCCTCATGTGGGGTTTGAAGGTCGGTCTGGGCGAACGAGGACGGGGTTGGAATTGGGGTTGCGGCCACCGAAGAAGCTAAAAGTGAGTCAGCATGACCGCTTTACCGAAATGATTATCGTCATTAGATACAACCTTTGGAAGTGGTTCTGGAAAGAATGCTGGCGGTTCGCGAAAGCGAATCTGATGCTTTGTGCCGTGATCCACGGGATCCAGTACATTCAGCGGGGACCTGCCAGGGGTGTGTAGTCGGTCACGATTGGCTCGAACCATATATCGCAAATCAATCACCTTTAGCTCGCATTTCGAATGCACTGATAGCCCACAGAGTTTACACGTCTTTCCTTGCTTACTCAGTCCCCAGATCGAAGACTGCAGGGGCTCAGTACAGAAGCAGAGCATGAAGGGTTGCACACACCCCACAATACCCACACTCAGTGGGGATAGTAAAAGAAGAACTCTTAAAGGAGTGCGGACTTTGGGAACCTTCGTCACCTACAGACACGGCCTCAGTACGTCTTACAAACCTTTGATACGAACGAAAAGCACACCCGCCAGAGCCGTCGTGATCGTGTCTATCTCTGCCTCTAGGATTGTCTTAGAGTTCTCGTACAGAGATGCTTGATGCTGCGCATCAAGATAGTCCTTACACAGAAACAGTGAAGCCATATTCTCCGTTAAGTACGATTTGATTACTCACTTCGATGACCTCGTCAACCTTTCCAAGAGATTGGTTTTGAGTGTAGGCTGTAATCACTTTGGATAATTGAGTGGCTTCATTTCCTATGCGATAACATTTTCAATCATCTTTCGTAAGTAATCAAAAAGAATCAGCCCACTTTTGGCATCGAGCAAGGGTAGCAAATCTTGTAGTTTGGACCTGCACTTTGACAGCTTATTCTGCAAATATATCTTCGCAGTAGGTTCGACGCTCATCTCGCCCTGAACCCAGAATGAGGTTCCAACGTAAGATGAGCTGATAGCGTTGATCGATGCTCACCGTATCATAATGACTGGTGCAAGGCTCAAACATCCAATCACTTGGGGATGTGAAAGGCCGAACATTATGCTCAATGAAGAGTTCCTGGTCTTTCTTAGTATCGATTTCGTTCAAAGACATCTCCACAGAAGATATATGATTCTTCAATGCGTCCTGATGCGTAAGTTGAAGAGCCTGTGCATGATGGAGGGTGCTGCTAAATTTGGCAATGAAATGAGTCTGTAAATGTTCTGAGGCAGAGTCAAACACGTCGTAAGATTTCTAGCGAAAGGCAAATTGGAACTCACGATATTGCTATAGAAAGCAATCAGGAACGTGGGCGTCATTTCATTCTTTCCCAACCAGGAAAGACGATCAATCGAGCTTACGTTTTCCAGAGTCACTAGATCTTCAGTGTAGAATCTAGTCTTCGTCTTATTTGCGACTCTAGTAGCAATAAGAAAGACGCTGGAAATGATCGAGGATTAGTTTTTCCAAGAAGTCAGTCGAAATTGATACACACAACGCACTTCTTTGCGTTCATGACGTCAGTCTGCTGCTGCTCGTATTGTTTTGCTGCACGGTCAGCGTGCTTATCGTCTTGTGCGCGATCCTATAAATCAAGGGATATCAGAAAGAGGAGCACCTAACTGATAGCATGCGATCGGACCTGCTTCTGGCGGTAGGTTTCCAGCTCCTCACATTCTTCGTCATACTTTGAAAAATATAGATCAGAAAGACGATACAGTTTGGATTTATCAAGGCGTACTTTTTGCTTGCTCTGTCACATTTCAGGGTCAGAGGAGGTTGCCAGAGAGAGATTTGACATACCTTGAGACGCTCGTTGTAAACTCTATCCCTATCAGCTAAGAGCTTCTGGTAGAATTGCGCTTGCTAAAGGAAGGCTGGTTTGAGCAAAATGGGTCGTGAGAAGCAATAGGGCAGCTTGCCTTCTTTCCATTGTCTTCGTACTTTGTTTCCAGAGCTTTGAGAACGTCGACAACCTGTGTGCTCAGAGAATCAGATAAGTTGATGTGATCCTGCGCGATGTTGACGGTGGACCCGATTATTTTATTGTACATGTTGACCAGGGTACTAAGGCCAAGTGCATGAGATGTTGTCGAGAATGAACTGAAGTAATATACACACCTTTGATTAAGTGTGTCTTCGTTCCAATCCTTTGTGGGCTCATCCCCGAGTACAGCAGAAGCAACCTTCTTCGACTTCTTCTCCAGCGTCTTCTTTGCTAGCACTTGGAGCTTGGCGGCGTATTCTCGTTCCAGCGCAGCACGATCGCGATATATTTCGCGAATCTAGCTCTCCAGCGTTAGTCACATTCAGACGTTCGGTCAATATTACGACGCACGTCACTGAGGAGATCAAGTTGGGTCTCGGAGAGTCTGGCAATTCGATCCACCTGATCCTATACTTCAAGTTGAGTTTTGTGCCTTTGTTCCACATTAAAGTAGGTCATCACAGGTAGTTTCTCGCCATAAGTGAACACTGAGGGTTCCATAGCGCGCTTGTCCTTCAGAACTTCCAGTATGATTGGTACTAATCGATGAATCTAGTGTGTGTGGAGTCTAGTGCTATCCTGTGTTGTTAGTGGTAAATCTCTGTATGTTGTGTCGACCATTCAATTGGGAACTCACAAGAAGAAAAGGAGAGAGAATCGTGTCCAGACGGAAGCTGGAATGCAAACAGGCTGCTGATGTCACAGTTGCATTGAGCTGACCCGACAAGCCGGCGGTCGAAACCGAGGCACTGTTAATATGTCCGGGCCGACGCGATCGTCTCATCCCTCATCGACGTTGACTTTTTACGTTCAACATCGACCAGTTGACCTTGCAGCTTTGCTTACTCATTAGTACCGAGACCACTGTTGACTGCGATTGTGACCTAATACGTTCCGCGAGTCACCCATCCAAGATCTCCAGATTTTGAAGCCCACTCCAGCGGCTCGCGATAGATCCCTCACCGGCTCGCTGTGGGCTCTCGTTTCTTTCTATCATGGCACAGATCTCAATCTCGAGGGAATCTGACATTATCGACGCATCGGGCATCACCTAGATTCAGGCATGTCCATCCCTCTTTGCGTGAGTACCATGGGAAGGTACCCATATTTTACAGACTAGGAACGGAGCGGTCAAGGACTCTCCTGAAAAGTTGGAAACTAGTGCCCTCGGAGCTAGAGTGGGTACATCTGTATGTTGGGCGCCGTCAGGGACACCCTCAAAAGGTGTAAATTACGACCATCAACTTTGTTCTACGTTGGCATTGCGCGTTGCAGCTCGAGTGCCTTTCATCATCGATGACACGAAGCAGACGGATTGACGCTGTGCGCGCGCCTTTCTCTGCTTCGAAATGTCTCCACTCGCAGCTACACAACGTCTACAGCCATATCATCAAACATGCAGTGGGTATGTGAATAAATTACCTGTGTCGTCACCTGTATTCAAATGATGTCTGGCCTCTCACGGGACCATATCCATGTTGACGCACAGGACTTTGCCCCTGCGCTCATGCGACAATTCACTCGTGCCCCGCTCACGTCTTCGAAAGCTCCATATGTACCCAAGCGACTACAACATCGCGGCGCTGATGCCACCGGGCCCAGTGTCTAGTTCAGCGTACAGCTTGATCCTTCTTGATCAATGTCGGATAGCACATATTCCGACGTGGAAGACGGCCCTAGAATGATGGCACCGATGGATGCGACAGACCCTGCAATCTGCCTGCTTTTGCTTGCATGTTTACATGTGCTCCCAGATGGTATCTGCCATTTCCGCAATCGGCGCACCCTCGAGATGCTCTATTCCACTGGCGCAAACTGGGCTCTGGGAAACTTGGAAGAATATAGGCCGCATTTTCTGCGCTGCCGGCGTCCTTGGCGTCCAGTGACCTTTGGTTGGCGCCTTGCGCTGGGAGGCCGCTCCTGGGAATGACCCACGGCAAACTCATGAGGCCAGAGTCTCTGACCATCGCGCATCGCAATCCGGTTGGATGTGTCAAAGGTCCTGCTAAAGTTGCTCGCAATGTGTCAAGAGACCACCTAAGAATCGACAGCAAGTAAGGTAGCATTAGGAAATCAATAACAGGATTACATTTCCTGACGATGGATATTGGGGTCTTCTGATAAGACAAAATGACGCCCTTATAACCCGTTGTCAGGTTCGAACAGGCTTCCAATAAGGCTTGTCGGTCCCTCCTTAATCTCCTGACGGCCCAGACACAGCGGTCAACGGCCCATGCTTATTATGAAACACCCCCTCGCAGGTCCGAGAATCGATCCGGGGTTTACATACACGCTTGGCCCGTACTGCGTTTAGCGCTTCGGACTCCAGAATCAGACATCGCCGAGATTGGATCACCTGATGGGGACCCCAACACGCGCAGATATGTTTTCCGTAGATTGCCGCCGCTCGAGCGCCTTGCGGTACTTTTGGGGTTTGGCTAGCAGCGCGGCAAGCGCGTGCAGTGGTCGCTATTAGGAGGCTAACATCAAAGTGGATCAAGCAAAACGAGGCCGGATCGAGAATCCAAGGCCACAATTGCAGCCTGTTTCCTCGCGGCGATCGCGGGAACCTGGAAAGGCAGTCCGGGGACCCGCAATGTTAAAGCTAAACCTCGGTTCCTTTCGCGTCAATGCCTCGACCTTCGCGCATTCCTGCAGCGCCTCGGACTCATCATGATGTCAACCCAACCCTGTTTCTCTCCGCCACTTCTGCAAGCTGTGGCATCACGACATCCTGTTGGCCGCCTGTTGCATTACCTATGGACCTGTGCTGACAGCTGGAGACCCGGCGGTGATCCCCAGTCACGACGGACCAAGCTCACCCCGTTGCTTACCTCCGCAGATGTCTATGGCGACACCCCGAAATTTCGGGCTGGTCATCCCACAAAATAGTAAGTCCCCATTTATTTTTGTGTGTGACTGACGACGGCATTTTCCACGAATACGTCCGTCGGACTGACACATTTTGTGCGGGCGCTCCCCATGCGTCTACGGCGCACACTGTCATCGAAACACGCGTATAAAAGGCCCACGATTCGAGCTCAACAATTCTTCTGTGCGAGTCCCGTCCCCGCTCCCCTACCCTCGTACTTCCTGCTCTCCGCGCTTCTCTCCTCCGAACTTTCACCTCCCACCTCCCGCTTCCACTCCTCCTCGCATACTTGTTCTCACTATGTCTCGCTTTGTGATGATTCTCTTCCTGGTCTGCGCCTATGTTCTCGCTGTTATGGCTGCTCCCCTCTCAGGCAGTTCTGACTCGCTATCGAACTCTACGACAATTATAGAACTAGAGAAACGAACAACGCACACTGGTCGGGTAAGCATATGATTTGGACGTCTTGGTTCCATTTTGTTCACTCCCCGTGTCTGTGTAGGGGACGTGGTACTATCCCGGCTTAGGCAATTGTGGGTATACCGACGATTCGAATGATGACGTTGTCGCAATGTCCAAGGCGTTTTATGATAATAATGGAGGTAGCAATTGCAATCAAGTAATGAGCGCCACCTTCATCGCTCAGGCACTTTTTCTGACGTCTTCCTTTACTCAGTGGATTCAAATTAAAAACACGAAGAATGGCAAGGTCGCCTACGGCAAGATGCGCGACAGCTGCCCTGGATGTGGCTATAATGACCTCGGTATGTCTCTTTTGACGCCCATAGACTTTTCATTCATTTTTTTTTTCATTTTTTTCATTTTGCACAATAGACATGTCTCCTGCTGTCTTCAAGCAGCTCGGTACCCTCGACCAGGGCGTGCTCTCGATCTCTTGGCATTTTGAAGCCATGGGCTGGTCGCCATGAACATCGCCTCGCCTCGGCCGACGGCATTAACGCGCGTGTAAACCGAACAAGAAGAATAGACGAAATCTCGACGCTGTAACCCACCGTAACATGTCATCCCCGCCTCACGTGCCGCGAAACTGCTGTACTATTTTATTGGGTCGCTCTTCCTCTGGCGGGAAGGGTCGTGTTGTTTTTTTAGAAATTGCGTCGCAGCTAGACCACGGCGACATCCATGTTTTGCCACCCGCATCTTGATATTTTGGTTTTGGGGCTTACGCTCCTTGTACGAGTCGGTTCTTTCTTGTAGGGCCATCTGTGTTGTTGCTCTTCTATCTCTGTAGCCTCGGCATATGGTCCAGGCTCGCAGCCTTATGTATTGCTAATGTTTACCCCAAGTATTTCACACTACACTATACGAGCGATTTGATCTATCAGAAATATTGCAGGGCTTCTGAATCGCTGCGACGAACATTCATCGACGAACGCTGACGTTGAAACGTTGAAACGTTGAAGTTGAACCTTCGCATCAGAACGGTGCACGATTCATGAATACATGCCTCTTGAGCTACTTACCAGATATTACTCCTGCGGCGCACGGATCAGACCGAAGTAATGGAAGAGTGTTAGATTCCATGTATTGCGGGGGCGACACCATCCTCGTCATGCGAAAGCAACCAAGAATCCACAGCAAAAGCAAGAAACCACGAATTACTACTCGTACATTGTCCCAAAAAGCAGCCAATCATGTGCAATCCCAAAAATGCAGGAAATAGTTCAGGGAGATCATTATGGTCCGTGCAAGGCCCAGTCGTAGGAGATCATTGTGCTGGTCGATCATGTCATAAATATAAGCCGCGGGGGTGAGGGCCCCTCAAGGCGAGGGTCCGTGAGATGCTGCTGGTCATAGGAAAAACACGGCTGCGGCTGCGAAACCGACGAAGGAGGGCAGCGTTAGGTGTGAGATGCCATGGCTCATGGCGCCACTGGTAGTGTTGGTTCCGACGGTGCCTTGGTCAGGAAGGGAACTGACTGTGGATGTAGCACTAGTGGAAGCAGCACTGGATCGTGCAGAAGCCGATGCTACCGCGGTCGACACACTAGAAGCTGCGTTGTTTCCAGCAGAGACAGCAGAGGAAACTGGTGCTGGTGCGGCAGAAGCCGACTCGGAAAGGGATGTAGATGGAGAGGGTAGCGTTGAAGGGGCATCGGACGTTGAAGGAGCCTCGGAGGTCAAGGGGGCCGCTGACGTTGACGCAGGTGCGGATGAAGCGACCGACGAAGGACTCGCACCGCCAGATATCGTGAACTCGGGGCTTGCATTACCAGAATCACCGAACACTTGATGTCATGGGGTCAGGGACATTTCTCGTGATGGATCAGTGATCATGATACTTACAAACAACGATGTAGTCCGACTTCGGTGGAACATCTGGAACCGTGATCTGAACCTGGCCGTCAATGAGCTGGAACCCTGAAGCGAGGGGGGAGTCTGTGCGCAGTGGATTAATATTGACACGCGAGGTGAACATGGTAGATAAGCCAAAATGGGAGGTAAGCGTTGTCTAATCGACAAAGCACGCTACGCACACCATGTTGCAAGCGTATGGCCATTCCGCATGCCCCAAGACCACAGAGGATCTTCCTGCAAGCGAGATGGACTTACCTAGCATCAGGTTCTCACTATCATTCTCCTGGAAGCCAAGTAGCAATTGACCAGTGAAGTTCTTTGGCTCAGGGATGTCGGACGTGTCCCTGTGTTTTGGAATTCAGTATTAGGTCGACGTCAAGGAAACAGACGACTGACCATGTCACCAAGACCTTATCACCGACGTTCCAAACGGTGGATGCAGTTGGGCTCGTGATAGGCGGGCTTACAACGATGCGCTTGACCAGGGGAGCAGCATGGGCCAATGCAAGGATGTAGAGGAAGAAAATCGTGAAGAGCGACATGACTGTGTGGAACGTCTTGGTGGTGGAAAGAGTCAAGGGGAGCGAAACTCTCAAAGAAATCGAAGAAGGGGTCGACCATGTTATATGGGGCCGGAAGACCGCCTCCGAGCCCACTTCGGCAACTTTCTGATCGCACCCGTGTGACGTCTCAAAAGAATTCCCACATGGCCTCCGCTTCGCTACTTATCACCTTCGACAGCGACGCGAGCAATTCACTTGACGCCTTTGGCAGACAATATACAGGGGGACGTAATTCGGCCTCGTCCGTCTGCTGATTTTGAGCAGCAATGGACAAGTGTAGACAAGGCACTTGGCCAGTCGATCGCAAACCCTGGTAATAAGTAGCCCGCGCGGCACCGAGAGTTTCGATCATCAAACACCAATTGCCTTGAACGCTCTCTCTTCTTAAAGAGCTTCAGGCTTCGGGGCACTAGGAGACACCCTGACCATGCAAGCGTGAAACGTAAACGTTACAGGCTGTTGGACGCTTTCACAGGGCAAGCAATCTGGCAGGGATGTCAAACGATGTCGATATCTATGTTCTCAGATGCTTAACTCTAAGGCCTGTATGAAGGCAGATGTGAGGAGCTGATTCTGAGACTAAGGGTTTGTAGAGATAGATATCGATGAGAGGGATGGTGAGCGCGGCCTGGAAGAGGATGGGACAAACAGACGGCCAAATAGAAGACGCGACGCGTAAATTGCACGCGTTGATAGTTGCCATATTGAGACACCGCGTCGCGTCGTCTCCCTCTTCCCCACCGTGCCTCCTACGCTTGCCTTTTCCTTTTCTCCTCTTGAACACCGGTTTCGCACACTCAAGGTCCTCCATATCTCTCTTGCATCTTTTGACACATCTTTATACCATCAATCACGCCTGGATACCTTTCCCTCATGAGTTTGCCAACACCTCCCGGCACATCCCACCGCGACAAGGAGAACAGAACGCCCCGTATGTCCTCAGGTTCGCGCGTAGTATGGTCTCAGAACAATAAATACCACAATGCAACGAGCCCACCACGCCATAGGCTTCCCACCAGCGCGTCGAAGGTGGCCCCAGCCAAGTCGATTCTCAAGACGCCGCATTATTCTTTCCTCCCCCTGATTATCGAGAAGCAACGAGAGAGCACACCAGAACCTGGAGATCCCTTGGCTGACCTTGATTACCTGGAACGACCTGTGTCCAAAATTGTTGCCTCAGACACGTCACTACGTGAGCTGATCGAATCGTACTCAGTGCTCGCCGCACGTCTCAAATCTGCGGTCGACGAACAAACCGACGCGGATTCATCGTGGCCACTCTTTCAGCCTCTGAGAACGCACCGTGCTCAGTTTGTGGACGCGGTCGTGCGGGACCTTGGAAAAGCGATGGTCGATCCGCTGGCTGGAGTCGCGCTCAGCGAGCAGATGGACCAGGAGCGTCCTGTGGAGGAACCAAGACCGATACTGCCGTCTCCACGAAAAAGTCCTAGAAAGAAGCGTGGGATGAGCGAGGAGCAGGTGAAGCTCGCGCGCGATTTGTGCACTACCGCCCACGCTGTCATCAAGCTGGTGGGCATCGTTTTCACGCTCCCTGCCATCTACCAGATTTTTAGCGGTACAGTCAACTTGACTTTCATGTCTGTTTGCTCTAAGTGCTGACACTATGTCCACTTAGACAAGGAGCTCGGATTGATCTTGACCCATGTGCTCGCTATCCCGCTCGCTCAAGAATTGCCCACCCCGAACGCGCGCAAGACCTGTGCCTTGTCAATCTGGCTCCTCCAAGCTCAGCGTCTTCCTGCAAAAATTCTGGAACCTGCCAGAGACAGAATTGCGTATGCCATTCGTCGTGCTATCGAAGGCGAGCTCGGCAAGGAAGGCAAGAAGGGCTCTGTCAGCGATGGCCTGAAGGTAAGGCAGCCTTCTTACGATGTTACATTATGTTCATCACATTTGACAGGCCATTCACGACCTCTCACTCCATAACCCGGCCATCTTCGTTCCTGCTTTGACAGAATTGATGCCTACTGTCCTCCGTCATCTCTTGGCCGCTACACTGCCGTTGCGCGTTCAAGCATGCCATGCCCTTGGAGGCTTCACATTGGCCCTCTCCCGCATTCCCATCTCTCAATACCACACCGCGCTCTCCGATACCATCGAGTATTTCCTGGTAACTCCGTCCCTTCGTAAACCTGGCACAGAGGAGGCAACGGCACCCTTGGACCCTTTGATCGTGCGCACGATTCGTACCACCCTGAGCGCTGAAGAAGCCAACAACACCGCGCAAGGGCCCGTATGGGCGTTGAGCGTCCTCGCGAGCTTTATTGTTCTCCTTGGTCCTAGACTTTGCCTGAGCACCAAACTCGCCCGGATCGTCTCCGCGCTCCTCTCACTCGCTATGCGGCATAGGAAAAGCTCCGTGCGCGCGCTGACCTGCCTCATTTGGCGCCCTCTCATCTGGGTTTACTTCCGTCCGCCGCTGATCGAGGCAGACGAAAATGGGGACCCGGTTGTGGAACAGCTGGACGCCGAGCACGTAACACTGGCGCCAGAGGACGCCGTAAAGCGCGAGCCGTTCTGGCGCGTCATTAGGTCTGTCGTAGACATGGGCGCGGGCATCGCTGCTATTGGCGCGCTGCTCACCATATATACGGATGACGACAAGACGATGGAAAAGGTGATGTATATCCTCAAAATGATGGTGCAGAGGGGTGGGTATGCCTGTCATGACGCGATGGAGATCGTCAAGCGCTTCGTAGGCACCGAGGCGGCGCCGGAGTGGCAATGGGACAAGCTTTTGCCTCAGGCGCTGTTCTCGTCCTATCCCGGGCTGCTTACGGTAGAGTTAAGCTCGTTGTCGCTCGTGGTGAAGCCCATATTCGACCTCACGCCCATTCCCGAAGACGTGAGGCCGCTGACGAGAGCGGAGCTCGCAAGCGAGGGCGTTTTTGATGGCCTAGTTGCTATCTGGAGACAAGGCCTCACGCATGTACATCTCGCTGCAAATGCAGAACTTCCTGTAAGTGAAGCTATAGTCATCTACGCGCTGCTCATGCTCACCGGTGCATACAGTCGGAAATATTGGATACCTGGAAGGGCCTTTTGGAGGTCAGCGTGTCCGGCTTCCAAGGTACGACAATTTCTACGCGTTCCGTTTCAAGTCTGCTCACCTCTACTTCAGAATCCAGGGATGAGAATGGAATGGCGACCATGACTCAGCGTACTGCGACCATTTTGACCGAAATTCTTGGAGACCAAACAATCCAACTATCAGCCGCGGCTGAGACGGCCGACGATTTCATTCTTGAGGCTCCCGAGGACGCACCCCCACTACACAATCGCTCAAATGCAGCGATGAAGTTGTGCGTTGTTCGTGACTTGTGGGACATCGTCTCCAAAGCGCTCCCAGATGACTACCGAGGTGTGGCAGGCGAGACACTGGCTTCCTATCTTGTGGAAAAGGAAGCAGACTTGACATGGGAGACGGACTCACCGGATGATGCGCGGTCAGAATGGACATGGCTTTGCTCTGAGGTTCTGGTTCATTGTCCTGTGGGCCTATTGAAAACGTTCTGGGGCGTGGACAGCACCACGCGGCAATGGGATTGGCAGTGGACGGTGGAGGTGAGGAGTTTAGTGTGGAGAACGTTCATAGAACGGTGGCATGAGATCGCACCATCCAAATGGGAAAACACGTTGTTCCTGCTTGCCGTACCTTTTGCGTGAGTGCTAGATCACAATTACACGCCCTCCCCATGTTGCGATGCTTACTGTCTATTTTTCAAACAGGGACAAGGACTCCTGGGAGATGAGCGACGACGACCTCAATGTGTGGGAGTCAATCCTCGGCTCCTGCATGAACAAGGCGTTGGATGAAGGCGTCGAATCCGTTCGCGTCATCGAATATATATCTGGCCTCATCTCCAGCACCCATATTCCGACGTCAACCTCCTCGACGCGCGTTGTTGATGTTCTTCTTTCTCATCTGGATGTTACCGAAATCTCCGAAGTCCCGTGTGCTCTTCTCGAGCTTGTCAACGACACGCTCCAGAGCACGTACCCACCAGAGCCGCGGAACAAAATGACGTCACTGTGGCTTATCAGGACTGTGACTCGTCTAGTCGAAACATGTCCTGTGAAGCTGCTCTATCGTACACTCTGCGCCCTTCAAGACGGGGCTATCATTTGGATCGCGGACGCGTATGAGGTGTTCTATGATGACGAGTATTCATTTGATGTGAGTATCTTCTCTCTTAAAAGGTATTATACACCTAACATGATTCTGCAGATCGTCCCACTATACCAAACCATGGTCATCTGCCTGAGATCGCTGCTCGCGTCGACTGACTCTCTTGTTGCATTATCTCCGCTTCTTGCATCTGGTTTCCGTAGGAGCTCGGATACACCACCGGCCATCCTTCAGACCTTCACTGAATTCTGGGAAGCAACTTACGCCAAGATTTCTCCTCCCAGGGGAGGATGGCCAAAAGAGCTTCTTGCACATATTCCAGTTCCGAGTACGAAAACTAGACGCGCCGAAGCCCTTGCTGTTACGAAGCATGCCCTTGGATATACGCCTGATCCTGCTCCCGTGGAGATAACAGCAGCAAAATTGGCAAAAATGCCAATGGAGCTAATGCCACGCACACCCCCTTCCAGTTCTACTTCGCTGCCAAAGACGCCCCAAGCAACTTCTTCGACACTATCGTCTCCTCCTCATCGTCCTTTCAAAACTGCCGTCTCGTCCCCCAGGCATGAGAATCTATATGAATCCCCTCTCACCCCTCTGGACTCCGTATTCCTGCATGCAGCGACACCCCCTGTCACTCCCAAGTCTCCTTCACGTTCAACCAAGGATAAATCAATCGCAGACAAGGAAAACATGTCCCCTCACAGTCCAACTACAAGTATAGTAGAACGTATCCATATGAGGTCTCCACCAACAGTTCTTGGGAAACGGTTACTCGATTCAGCGTATTGGGAGCGTCCTGCTAAGAGAGGAAGATCCTCTCCAGAGGCCCTCCTTCCTGCCATTCAAGACGACGGGTTCGCGGCCGCCGCGGTCTTCTCTCTTCGATCACGATCTCCGTCATTAGAAAGCACGTGCAGCAACGATAGTGAGGACGACCGTTTGACGGTGGAACAGGCGCTATTGTCGTCGCCTGATTCTGTTCACGAATCAACTTCGCCCTTGATGCGCAATATCCACGATAAGAAAGCCACACCTTCCAGACTACATCGTCGGTCCCCGGATACGAGGGGCCACAAGCGCATGATCATGGAGGCTGTGGAGGTACCGTTCTTGCGAGATATTCGTAGGCGAGAACGTACGAAAAGCGTCCAAACCGCTCGAGCTGCTCCACGTCGCAGCCTTCGACGCATTCAATCTCTTCCTGAGGCTGAGACGCAAATTCAGCGCAAAGTCACGCCTCGAAAAAGGCGCAAGGACCTGCCATCCCGAACCAACTCGAGTCCCATTAATCTATCGCTAAGCTCTCCACTGCGAGCTCTTGAGGACGCCCAAGGGCTTGGAAGCGGTACGTTGATTTACATACCCGGTCGTTTCCGACCGTCTGATTTCCTTTGCACAGATGATTCGATGGTGTTCATGGATCCAGGTCACCGCTATATGGCCGATGTGCCGTCATCAGATGATGACCCCCATATTGGTCAAGTCACGCCTCACCATCTAGTATCTCCTGCTATGCGTCGACTTCATGATAGTCTTGCGAACGATCCGCCTAGCGACGATTCCAACGTTTCTGTAAGTCCATCGCGGGAACACATGGCACGAAAAATGCAACGGACGGGAGTAAAGTTGGATTTGCAGCCGTCGCCCTTAAGGCTTCGTATGCAGAAACATACATCTATATCTCAACCCTCGACTCCTATCAGACGTTAGATAACCCTTTGATCCTTTTGATTTTGCACTCTTGTGGTTGTTGTCGCAGCGTTCCACCATCTGTAATATCAAGTACATAGATAGCATTTGTACAATTCAAACTGTAATATATTGTGGCATAAAGCTTTCGAATCTACAACCTGCTCGATTGTAAGCTACTACGTGCACTGAAGTATTTTAATTACACGACGTCCCGGGACAGATAATTAATCATAAAGAAAAGTAATCAAGACGAAGTTACTTCAGTATGCTCAGTGCCCCTGCTAGCGCGCCATGTTTCAGGCCCCTTGAGACGTGATCAATATTATAAGCACGTCAAAAAAAAATAGAGGGCTTACTTTTCTATTGTTTTTTCTCATGTTTTTGATCCTCCGATTATACCAATCACCAGCGGTCTGAGGGGTCAAGTTCGGGTTGTCTTTGCCAAACGGCGTTTGGTTTACGGCCTCAGCGATAATCTCGCTGTCCTCAACCAAAGGAGCAAGAATAGAGTCGTTGTTCGGACGAGTGAAAAACCCAAGTGACCACCTGACATGAGAAGCTTGAGCTTTGGGCGGATTGCTGGGCAGGAATGAGTAAGAATCCGGAGATATACTGAGGCAACCTTATACTTACACAACGCGGTGCAGGTTCGAACGCAAGAGTCCGCCGCTCCACAGGGCCATGGCATCACCGAGGTTGCACACGACGAGACCGGGGACAGGCTGTAGAACCAGCTAAGACGAATACTACGGAAGGGGGCGTCTTTGAATGCGCACCTTGACATACTTCCATTCATCCGAGCCTGGAGGTAGAACTTGCAAACCGCCGAGGCGATTATGGAGGATCGCCTGAGTTCGGTCAATGACTTCTGAAACTGCGAGTAATGAAGTGGATGTAGATACCAAGGAACCAAAATCTGAGTGGATACCCAAACTTGACTTGTCAGGAGGTGCTTCAGGCCGGGGAGGGGACCTGATGCATCGCGTCTCGCTGCCGCTAGCCTCCTTGAGCGAATGCCTCTGGATGAAGGCACCGCTAGGGAGTCCTAGTCTCTTCTCTAAGACGGAAAAGATAGTAAAGCTGATCTCAAGCGACTTATCCGTATACGGTTTGAGTGTGGATGTCATGTATGCGTTGACAGTCGAAGGGTAAGTACGATGTACGTGTTCTGGCCAAGCGAGGATATCATCCTTCGCAACATTGAGGAATTCGACGGCGTCAAGAGTGCCGTTAGCATCAATTGCCCATGCGCCTGCGTGCTTGTATCTTCGGAGAATGTTTACGATTGAGGAGCGTGCAGAGATTTTAAAGGCGTCCTACCCGAATGACGCGCCCGAGTCACCCTGCTCGTATTGCATTTTTTCTTCCAGAGGGAGCTCCAGCGTGGCCATGCCCATGTCGAACATCCTTTCAGCTTCTTGGTAGACGCCGTGATTCTTAAGACTAGAGATGTGTGAATCAGTAGCGGCGCAGGTCGCGAAACGAATGTCGATACACTCACTACCAGAATCCCAGCTCAGTAGCGGCGCCCCAGAGCTTGTTGATTTCGTGTTTGTTGCCTGCTTTAATGAGCTCATAGTCAATCACGAGGAGGGGGATAGTCGGGACATCATCAGGGAATGGCGGGAGAGATATGCCAGGCATGGTTGGAGGGCGCAGCGGTAGGAAAATGGGTGTGATCCAGATAATTGACTCTGCTTAAATCGGTTTCAAGCAAGCGGTTCACGTAAGGAAAGATATTTGATGGAAATACAAATAATAGGAATGTTTCTGTTATTTCATTTCATGTGCCGCTCTGTCAGAGTTGCGGGGAGCCACACGGCGCTCAAGAGCGAGAGAGATAGCTTCCATAGCGCGCTGAAACTGTACCTATGCGATCATCATGTGAGCCGTCAGGCTGCTTCAGGATGACCTTCTGTGCCTACGTCGCAGGTGAGCCTCGATGGCATATCGCACAATGTGAAAATAAATATGTTCACCTTTCGTCGGTGGCGCGATCTGAGGGACACTAAGTGGAGACCAGATCATCAATCTAAGACAACACGTTGCACAAAGTTGTACAAAGCAGTAACGCCTTGTGGTCGCAGCCTCGCAGCATCGAAGGCCTTATTATCGGCGTTCTATTCGGTGCGATTGGTGATGAACCTAAAGCTCGGACCGGTTACTCACCACCCGATATGATAGTCATCGACTGCCTTAAGAAGCCGACTCGAGGGGGACAAGTGGGGGACAACCCTTGAAACTGAGTGCCTTACATCGATTGCGGGGCGGGACCAGAAAAAAATCGGGATAAGTCACCGGAATGTGATTGGGAGAATGACAGATTGGCCGCGAGTAGCGCTCAAGCGCCTATCTTGACCGTGGATTTGCTTGACCGTGGCTTTGATGAAAACAAATAGGAAATCCTCTGGCTCATGTCTGCTCATGTCCCTCAGGACCGAGCAAGGTTGCCCATCGTCGAGGCGAATCCCGGAGACGTGATCTCGACGGGACTTGATGACTGCCGACGGCGCAGGGGTGAGCCAAGTCGAAAATATAGACAGTTGACGCGACGACCCTTGATGTCACAGCCACAACCACTATGACGAGAACAAGTCGCGACTGTCTGTACGCAGATTTCTGAAAGCGCACCTTGCATACCACATCGGTACTCCCAACTTGCTCTTTCTATCTGTGCCATTCTCAGCGCCGAACGCGAAATAAAATAGGCGCTCGTCAGACTGAAAGGAGAGAACGGTAATGTAACTCCCCCTCCTGGTAAATCACCACCCGTAGGAGTGCTAGAGCCATCCGGATCCAAAAAAATCACAATTTATGTCAGCGTTCACGAGTAGCGCCGCAAGACACACCGTCTGGACCGGATCACTGCGGTGTTAGTACAGCTCGATCTCGGAATTTCGAAGCTGTAAGGGAGCATTCGGGGCGAGTGCTTGATATATAGAGAAACCTTTGTTCAGCTTGGGTGTTGAACCTATTCGAGCTTGCGCGTCTTAAAATTTGAGGCACAACTTCAATCCGATGGCTGTGTTCCTTCTACTCGCATAGAAGCTTGTCCTGGCGTGTCTTAGACTAAAAAAATAGTCTGGATGCCAAATTGAAACTCACATTTCCTCCATTGAAACGAGGTTAGGCGGAGTTGGTCAATGAAGTGCTGACATTCGATAGGTAGGCTACAAGGAACGCTGCAAGATGAGTTTCTCGGAAAGGACATGAATCAGCCGCGAGGTAGCAGGTCTGTTCCTCGCCGTCCGAGGTGCAGTCGCCGATCATTAGGCCCTCTCCAAAGGCGGGGGAAATGCTACGCCTAGTCACCGAGGTCCGAGACACTTCGCCACGAGATACTGGAGCAGATTGAGCTCAGCCTGGACCAGTTCATGTTCTTAGCACACCACGTGCGGTGCTTCTCATCGCCGCACACCGGGATGAACGTGTCGGGACCGCGTTTTCAGGTTTCCCAACACTGGATGTGGGGTACTTGGACTAGAGGAACTGCCACATGACAACATAGGCGACGTCTTGATTGATATCCGATATGCACAATGCCTCTTCGCAGGCGTGGCGCACAGAAGACGCCATTCTGACACCAAGAGTTGCGCTGTCCAGAAGGGACCCAATAAAAACCCACCCAGACGTTGGTCTACATGAGTGAGTGCATGGCGATCTAACAGAGAAGCGTACTGGACATATGCCAGGCCCGATGAGTGCAGTGAAGTGTTTCAGGAGCAATTGCAAGTAGGTCCTCTCCGTTCGCATCTGACGTGAGGGGTGGCAATCATGGGCTGAATAGCTCAGCAGTCAACAAGTGGTCATTCGAATGATTTTATAACCCATTCAAGATAGACAATTCCCTGGGTGGCCATCTGTTCTATTCAAACGTATTGCACCCCATGGCCCCATTGGCTTCACGCGTGAACGCGATGACATGATCTATGAACAACAAAGAAACGATGAGATGGAGCCCATGACGCATGCGGAGCGACTTAGATACCGTTCAATAGACGTGTCGTAAACCCCACTTCGCAGTAGCAGCTACCAAACCGATGCATGTCAGTGTCATCGCCTCGTGGTATGATGTTGTGACCCTCACAAGTAATCTGCAAGTAACACAGGTCAGTGTCTTTCCTGTATATGTAGCAGACAGCGACTGAGTGACATACATATCCACTTTCTCCAGAATACCTGCAACTCCGTTTGGCCGTTGGGCCCATCGAACGCTCCCGGATGCTCTCGACGTAGCGCCTCCTCAATCGTATGGAAGTTGTCAATGAAGCGGCGACGCCATTCGCGTAGTGTACGGGCGTAGTGCGGGCCTATATTTGACACGGAATCCACTAGGAGTCGGCCCGAAGTCGCACTGGTGAGGGTTGCATGTAGTACAGAAAGAGTCGGTAGCAGGCCGCCCGGGAAGACTTGACAGATATGAATATGAGAGTGATGGATGTCTGTAGATGTCGGACTTACTCTACAGATTAAGAAACGATGAGCTGATAGAAGGGAAAAAATGTGATACGAATCGGCTCTTACCCATTTTCGAATGAAATCAACTTCCTTCTCATATTTATCGAATCCTAGAGAGGGATGGAGGCTCAGTAGTCAAACATGAGGCTCAGCAGATTAGAGAGACTATACCCACGTCCTTCCGGTATAGTGATCACTTGTACGACACCTACGGCGTCCTTCTCTTTCAGCACATGATCGATGACACTCCAGTATGTCTCATAATTCTCTTTTCCAACTGCTTCCAGCATTTCGACGCTCACGACCCTATCAAAACGACCCGTCCACTCTGTTGGGATTTCACGATAGTCCATGAGGTGCACCCGTACTCGATCTTCCAGGCCATGCTTCTCGATAAGCTGCGTAACGTAGGAATGTTGATGGGCGGAGAGTGTTAGAGTGTCAATTTGTGTATCAGGCACGCCTTGAGCGATATGAAGTGCAAGCGCACCCCAACCACTTCCGATCTCAAGGATGCGATGGCCCGGTAAAATACATGCTTTTCTCGTAATGTGCTGTAATTTGAGGATTTGCCCCGCGTGTAACTCATCGTTGAAGTCGGGTGGTGACGAGGGGGGAGGAGAAGCCGAAGGGCTGGACGATAGCAAGGAACTAGAAGAGCTGAACGGTGATGGAAGTTGCTTGAAGAAGTGGCGCAGAGGTTTTGCATGGGGAAGGTGGTGGTGGAGGTCTCCATCCAGATCCGGGAAAATGGCGCATGAATACGTCATATCCGGCGACAAAAACGCTACAGAAAATGCATTAGCAAAACCATAAATACATTTCTGATGTAGGGGCATGCATACCGGAGAACATATCATTAGATAGATCATAGTGGGCCGAGATATTCGAGCGCGAGTTACTCAGCGTATTGAGGAAACGATACGATGTCAGTCGCTGTGGTAGGCTAAAAAGCCATGAAAAGTTCGAATCGAGATTCTGTAGACTTTCCCGATTGTGTATGAAGATCTAGATAGCCTGTCGATCAGTGATAATTAGTGAATAAAAACCTATTCAAGCTCACAAGGAAGACGGGTAACAAATCGTCACACTCCACTTCACCATACATATATGCTTCGCTAAAGCCCAGATCCCCCATAGTGCACAGTCGCACCCAGAACGTCTCACTGATGACTCGCAACTCAGCTTTCACACCTGACGACGCGTCGAAATGCTTTGCGTGATGTGGAGGGAACTCGTATACATGGTTTGGTGTGACAATGCGCAGGCTTCCCTTCTGAATTCTCTGGAAGACTCTGATCATGAATTTCAGTATCTGCCAGGCCATCACAAATGTGTGCAACGCACGTCGTAACAGCAATCTCTGCAAACTTGGAAACAGGAGAAAGCCCGGTCTTGAATGCCTTCTCTCTGATAAATTGGAGGGTGTTGTCAGCCAGACCCAGCAGGGAGAAATTGTGCTGAAACGGGGTATCCAGAAGTTGATTGCTCATGGTGGAAATGACGTGACCACTGGTCAAGGTGGTGCAGTTGGTGGTGGGAAGGCGGGGAAGAGCTCAGGCAGCAAGGATTTTATGACATGCTCGTGGTGGTAAGGGGCCGACAGAGCGGGTAAACGTGAGCTTCGTCGTCTCCACGATGCCACCCCGCGATCGCCGAGTCGGTCGACGTTGCGACAAGTTCGTCGTCGACTGGAGTCCATCTCGATCGTAAGCTGGCTGCAATTTACCGTGAGAAGTGGCTTTGAGCTGATTGCACCCAGTGTTGAATAACGGCTTGGTTTCTTAACACAATTATGCGAAACGACGACAAGGAAACGATGAAGAATCCGCAGAAGTAGCCAGGAAGATTGCCGAAGAGACTGACGTGCCGATTGACATGACACTGTCGCCCGCCATCGGAAATGGAAATCGGCCATGGTCGGTGACTCGGCGACGGGCGGCGATACCGTCCGCTCCGAGAACTAACCGAGCATGCTTAGTGGACTGCTCTTTTGGACAAAATGAGGGCTGCAGGCACATAGAACCGGTCCCAGTTTTTACATATGCATTTTGAATCAGATGAGGACTTAGTTCATGTAGGATGTACATTTTTTTTTCAAAATGCTCAAGAGAATCCTGTGAGATAGATATTGATATAAGTAAGGTGGAAGAAGGGCTATAGATGGTTTGATATATAAAGATGCTATCAAACATAGACATCTCATTGCTGTCCAAATTCATGTCATATTCACAACACATCAATATTCCCACTCAACCTCCCCTACCCTGAGCCAGTCTAGTATTGCCCTATAGGAGTTGCCTCCTTAGCTGCTCATTCACAGCTCTTTTGAACTCTTTTGTTGCCTTTGCCATGTGAAGCAAGGCTGGAGTATCCATCTGAGTAAGTGCTCTATCAAGTAGAAGGGCCTGCTGAGCCTGATAAAGTGCTGTCAATCTATCAGATGTTATATATGCATACTGAAGAGATGGTGCATCTTGAAGGGCCAAAAGCTGCTTGATGTCAGATGCATTGCCTACTGATGGTGAAGATTTGGGTATTAGGGGCAAACCTGAAGCCATGACTAAGATAGAGAGCAATCAACCTGGTTTATGCTATAGCTAAGTGGGGGAAATGTCAACTGGTGACATTGAGAAAACCTTGTAATAATGATACTTATCATCTACATGTGGAGTTTCTGGCACTATAGAATTGTCTATTGATAAAAATAAGTTATGGTCAGGCAAGGTGATTATCTGGCTACAAATGAAGATTTAGTAAAGAAGACCCACTAATATCTGCTCCTTCCTGCAATTGAGATGTGAATCTCCTAGCCTCTAGTAACTCTAATAGTGTCTCTTATTAATCCCAATCTTCTTCTTCTTTATGATCTGACTGCAATCTTTGTTGGCCTTTTGGCAGGTCAAGGGCCTCAATTACCTATGTGTTGGCATCTGTAGCTGCCTTGATCTGTTGCTGATGAACCTGTTTATATGACTCTATCTTAACATGATCCAAAATCACCTAACAACTTAACATTAAAGTCTCCATTAAACACGATTTCAAGCAGGCCTTGCTATTAGATACATGACTCTGACTTGATGTCATAGCGGCCAGTTGAGTCTTCAATCATTTTTTAGTTCTTGATCTTAAAGATATAAATAGAGGCCATTTCTTTAATGTAAAAGACAAATCAAGTACAGATAACTTTGGCAATAATTTTTGAGATATGTGAGGGGTGGGCTTGTCACAAACTTGTATTGATTTCTCAGCCACTGCTTGAATAATGGCCACTGTAGGAAGAATGGACATAATATGAGGGTTATGTGTGCACACCACATCCTTTGGAATGGCACTGCATCAGGAAATACACAAGTTGTCTTTTCTGTCTTATATGGCTCGATAAATGAGATAAGACAGTATAAGATATGAAAAATGATAAGGAAGCTGTCTTGTGGACAACAGGTCTACATCTGGAAAACCACCCCTTTGTATTAAGCTCTAATTAGTTCTATTTATGCATAATTAAGAATGATTAGGATTAGACATTTTTAGCTTACCCCCCCTCTAAACCTGTTCTAATTAAACATAATTTTCCTAAATCAGGAATTATTAGGATTGATTATAACTTGAAATTTCGGAAAAATCATACTAAATCAAGCATCACAGTTCTCATAGCCTTCTTACAGAGTCATGTCTATTAGAGCACTAGTTCAATACCTAAACATAGAATATACCTTATAACAAACTTGCCTTCTGCCAGAGTTAAACCAACAACCTCATGTGTGCAAGCACCCAGGACAGATGCTCTAAGCCACTAAGCCACAAGGTCTAAGATATGAACTTGGTAATCAAAATAAATAGACATAATATAGGCAACCTCAACATCTCTGATTTTATTTAACATTTATCTTTCCTCTATCTTATAAATAAATAGGTCAATAAATATCTAAAAAGTCAGGTCTTTCAGGATTTAGTTTAAACACCAGCTAAGAAGATAATAAACCAATGGAAAATCAATAATACACTTTATATAGGATAAAATAAATTATGGCACTTATACAATTTGGACTGAGAATGTGTAAAACTATGATTGAGTGTAATATTTAATAGGACTCTACTGGTATAGACAATGCTACCTGAATTTGCAAATTTGATCAAAAACATGATTATGAATAATCAAGATCCAATAAGAGAGAGGGGTTTTCCAAATAGCCACTAGTGAGGTAGAGGGTGGGGACAAGGGTATATGTATGGCATGCCTATATATAAATAAGCACAAGATTGTTGGAGGTGATCTTAATATGCTTAATGCATATATTTCCTATATGGCAGGCAAAAATATTATTCTGGCACCACATACTAATATGACTGTCTTTTCCACAGCCTAATAGTTAGAGGAAAACACCAAGTTTGAGCATCTTCTGTATAACAAGGCAATAAACAATATAAATAGTGCTAAAAATTGTAATATCAATAGTGATGGTGATTGTGTGCTGCACAAGATAGTATTAGCCACTGCACTGATAGACAAGGTCTATAAGGCTGCATATAGCATATCCCTAAGTCCAACCCACATGTTGTGTCTTATAATGACCAGTAGCAGGCATTGGCTAACAATGACAACTTTAATGATCTTGTGTGCAAGGACAAGGTACCTAGGTCTTCATAGCCTCTTGTGGCAGCTGCCAAGCTGCCAACAAAGTGGCTGGGGGCATCAATGCACATTTCTCTCTTTCTATATCCCTTGTAAAGGCAGCTGGAAAGTCAGCAAAAGAGCTACAAGATAATGGCATAGGCATATATGAAGGAGAGTAATATGCTGAAATAGTATAGAATATGCCACATCTTTACCTTCTTACTGATAGAGCAGTAGTACTTACTATTTCCTACTGATAATTAAAGACTTCTTAGTATAGAATTAGTGCTAATATCATGAAATTAGAAACTAATCTAATGCTCACAATGTGTTGCTCCTAATTAGGAAATTAGACACTTTTAGATACTATTAACACTTTTAGATACTTTTAGACACTATTAGATATAATCCGGAGCTAATACAAGGGGGTGTTTTTCCAGATGTATATCATCAAGACGGAGCATAAGCTGAAAGACGTCAAAATAAGCTGTAAGACCAAGTGAAAAAGCCTAAAAATTCTTGTCTTTCCGGTGACTTGCCTATAGTAGCTACCTTGATATAAGCCTAATGTCATAATGAATGTAGCTGTGCTCTCAGAAACTCTCAGAATGCTTTCAAAAAGTATTGGATAGATCAATATAATCAGTATTTTTTGGGCAATTTGCGGAATACAGTAGTACATTATACACAGCTCCTCGTAGACCTCGTCTCAAGCCCCCGCAGCCAATTTCCTCTATGCCAAAGCAATGCTTTATTGTATGGGCAGCCAGGTGTCTCTGGATCCAATTGGTGAAGCTGATTATTCAGCCGTGAAGGCGGTGATCAGGCCTTGGAGATGCGAGGAGCACTGTGGCCTTTGCAAAAGAAGAAACATGTAAGCACAAACTACAAAAAGAAGATCAGGAAGAAAGCTTACGGATCACCCCTCCAAGGAGTCCTCAGCAGCCGAATCTAAGGTTGTTGGTTCAACTCTGGCAGAAGGCAAGTTTGTTATAAGGTATATTCTATGTTTAGGTATTGAACTAGTGCTCTAATAGACATGACTCTATAAGAAGGCTATGAGAACTGTGATGCTTGATTTATTATGATTTTTCCGAAATTTCAAGTTATAATCAATCCTAATAATTCCTAATTTAGGAAAATTATGTTTAATTAGAACAGGTTTAGAGGGGGGGTAAGCTAAAAATGTCTAATCCTAATCGTTCTTAATTATGCATAAATAGAACTAATTAGAGCTTAATACAAAGGGGTGGTTTTCCAGATGAAAGTGTTATGATTAGGCTCATTAGGCTCTTGTGGTAGTCTATTCCAATGACAATCATCACAACTACTAGGCGGCCTTCACAGCATAAGGTGTCCTACTCTTGGGGTTATTGAATGAGCAGTTCATAACAGAAAACAGTGCAACAATTGCATAATTCTGAACTAGAGATCAAAGTTAGAGGCAGAAAAGTAATTATGGATGCACATTTGATCTTTGAATAATTACAGCATATTATTACACTACATGAACCACAGGGTTTTTTTTAGAATAAACCATGGATAAAACCCTGGATAATAATAAAGTTTTTGTTCAGATTTTCTCAAGGAAATTACCTAAATGAAAAATTAAATTTTACCCAAGGTTTTATTTGAGGATAAAACTATAACATAAAATCAAGTTTAAGCTCAGACATTTTCTTTAAGTTTGTCTTATATTAAATTTTAGGATAAACCTCTGGATAATCTTTAACTCTTATGTCACAGGACTTTTGTCATACACAATAAAATGCAAAAAATGCCACATAAATTCAGTAAATGCCTCAGTAGTCATTACAGTTATCAAGCCTATACAAGGGCTAGCTTAAATCAAAATTCATAATAATAGCCCTTGGGTTTTAAAATAAAAAAGAATACAAAGTTAGAGTACTTAATTTGACAGTCAAGTATACATGTTTAGCAACCTATAATACTTATAGTGCCAGACTATCAGTCACAACTAGTCACAACTATCTAGCACTATGATGCTAGACTATTAGAGACTATAACAACTAGTGACAACTATCTAATACTATGATGCCAGACTATTAGAGGCTGTGACAACTAGTGACAACTGTCTAATACTGCAACACTAGACCATCAGAGGCTATGACAACCAGTGACAACCCCTGTTAGCCTACTTAGTATTTGGGAATGTTTATCAGTTGTTAAACATTGTGTTAGAGGATCTAATAGTCAAATATTGTAGTTTTTGTAGAGTGTCACAGATTGTTGTAGTATCTGATAGTCTGGCATCACAGTGTCAAACCATTGTCATAGATTGTTGCAGCCTCTAATAGTCTAGTGTCATAATATTAGACAATTATCACTGGTTGTCACAGCCTCTGATAGTCTGGCATCATAGTGTTAGACAGTTGTTGCTAGTTGTCATAGGTTGTTATAGATTGTCACTGGTTATCATAGCCTCTGACAGTTTGGCATTGCAGTATCAGACAGTTGTTGCTAGCTGTCATAGCCTCTGATAGTCTAGTGTCACAGTGTCAGACAGTTGTCATAGGTTGTCACAGGTTGTCACAGGTTGTCACAGGTTGTCACTAACAGTCTGGCATTGTATAAGTATACTTGACTGTCAAATCAAGCATTCTAACTCTGTACTCTTTTTTATTTTAAAACCCAAGGGCTATTATTATGAATTTTGATTTAAGCCAGCCCTTGTACAGTCTTGATAACTGCAATGACCACTGGGGCATTTACTGAATTTATGTGGCATTTTTTGCATTTTACTGTGTGTGACAAAAGTCCTATGATATAAGAGTTAAAGATTATCCAGAGTTTTATCCTAGAATTTACTATAAGACAAACTTGAAGAAAATGTCTGAGCTTAAACTTAATGGTATGTTACAGTTTTATCCTGGAATCAAACCTTGGCTAAACTTTAAGTTTTTATTTAGGTAATTTCCTCAGACAAATCTGAACAAAAATTTTATTATTATCTAGGGTTTTATCCACAGTTTATCCCAGGAAAAACCTAGTCTCCATGGCTGACCTTATACAGAAGATAGTTGTTCTGTGTTAAGGTCTGCTTCCAAATGCTAGGGCCTTGCAGGTAATACCAATTCTGGCATTCACTGCTCTAAAATAATGGACTTTGTGAGGAATGTGTCACCTAACCTAACACATAAGGGGAAAATGCTTACCAGCTAGATAAATGGTGCTTACTGGGTAAGATTTTGTTTAATGCAATAGGTAAGTTGGAATAACTAATTATATTTTGCTTTGGTCACTGGTTTGAGTCCTGCTCAAAACACCATCCATTGTGTTCAAATTTTTTCATCACTATAATTCTATGCTCTTTCTACCTTTCTATGTCAATTAAATCTCTTTCTGAGCATCAAGGCTGCCCGTAAATGATATTTTGAGCTTTCTCTCGACCTGCACGTGCGCTGCTTTGCACGTGGGTGAGCTGAGTTTGAAAAGATATCAAATCAGGCCGAAATGCCTACTACCTGCAAGGGTGTGTGATTTGGAAGTAGCCCAGGAAAAACCCTGCGGTGCACGCAGTGTTACGGCTGCGTCGGCTCTACGCCGCCTGGGCGGCGCGCGCGAATAAAGAATAAGGAGAGATCGCAGTGAGATCGCTCGGACTAACAGGCTCGTTTATGGAATTGGTGTGTTCTCTGCACATACAACCGCTTTTGCATTTGATGGGGAGTACAGTATCTGGCACGGATTTCAAAGAGGACTTTTACCTCTCACCATTGTCACACATTCAAGCAGAACTATGGGCAAAAGCCTTGCCATCCGTCAACTAAGCTAATGCAATAACTCTACATCAATTAAGCAGCACTTATGGATACAAGCAAGGTAAGAAAAGCATGTGTCCCAAACAGAAGACATCTGAGAATGCTACAATAGATCACACACCATATCATCTCGGCAGAAATGAGCAGACGCTCATGGTGCCAACAGCCCCGCGAGCCGCTCGCGCGTCCGCTCGGTGCCCCACCGCGCCACCCATTCTGCGCGCGCGACCCGCCGCTCCTCTAGCAACGCAAAGCACTCCGGAGCCATTACGGCACTGCCCTCTCGCCTCTGCCAGTACATCACCACCTCCTGCACCACGTCCGGCGCGCCCTGCCCCACCACCGCTTCCAACAGCTTCCTCGCGCGCTCGCGCCCGTGTCCAGCATCTGCACCCATGACTAGGCCTGCATCTCCGTCCACATGCAGATCCGGCCAGATATTCGCCGCGACATGGTGCACGGCCAGCCACCGTACAAAGCCCTCCGCGCGTCCCCTACCCTCCAGGCCCTGCGCCTGCCGCCCCCCGACAAGCACGCCCAAATACGCCCCGACCACCTCCGCGCTCTCCTCCGCCGGCCACAAATACTCCCCGACCCGCGCCCCGATCGCCCTCTCGACGGGCGTGCGCACCGTCCCGAGTATATGCGCAGCGTCACCCAGCAGCGCTTTGCGATAGTCCGCGGGGTAGCGCCGCATGAGCGGCGGAAGAAGCAGCGCGGCGAAGAGCGGGTGTGCGAACGAGATGGAATCGTACAACGCGACGAAGTCGGTGTAGAACTGGTAGAACGGTGTCCCGGGCCCGAGGAAACGCGCGGAGGCGGCTTCGAGGTCATCGCTCGCGTCGAATGTGCTGGAGGGAGAGACGGAGAGCCCATCTGGGGAGTTATGCAGCGTGCACGGTGCCAGCAGGTCCTCCATCAAGACTCCCACCGCCGGATCCCGGAACACCTCACCGTCGCCATCTACCTTTCCCTCGTCCGCTGCCGCCGCTTGGTTTTGCCCATGCTCCAGCATGAACACCTTCATGCATCCAAACACAACCTCCGCGCGGCTCATCCCGAGCCCCGCGCCTCCGAGCCCATGCGCGCCCAATGCGTTCCGCACGACGCTCCCGAGTAGGAGAGAAGCGCGCACTACTTCGACCTCGCTGGCGTTCCACGCGTCGGGGAGGACGTGCCATGCAGGCGACGTGCCTGAGCGCAGAACGTGATCGAGCGCCGCGAGGGGCCAGTCGCGCGCAAGAGGGAGGCCTAAGGAGGTAGATGTAGAGCCTGACGCAGAGCTATGCGTACGGCGCCGGATAGCCCATGCAGGCGGGAGGCGCTGGGTTGTCGCGAGCTGGATCGAGCGCGGGGTTGGGACCACCGGGGCTACGTGCTCACGTTCCGTTTTGCCGCTACCACTCTCACCTCCTCCCTCAGCATCGCCGTCGCCGTCACCGTGTCCGTGAGCATGTACTTCTTTCAAAGGACGGAGCCCAAACGTCAAGAACGGCTCGATGGTGCTCATCCCACCCCGCTCCCACACGACACTAGGGGTCGCACGCCCACTTCCACGCATGAAATCCTCCGTGACCACCTTGACAACACCACCAATGATGGACCGCGCGACGTCCTCGTCGCCCGGCACCAACCTAACGAGGACAGCCGACGCCTGAGCGAGCCACAGCGCGTCGGGAGTGGTCGGCATTCGGCGGGACATGCGGACGAAGCTCGCGAGAAACGCGGTGAGCGGGCGGCAGGAGACTTGCAGGTAGCTTGGGGCGTGTTGGATGTATATGGATGCGAGGAGGGGGTGGGCTACGACAGTGGATGCCAGGGTCGAGAGACGGCGGAAAGGGAGTTGGAGTGGTGGTGAAGGGAGCGGCGTGGAGGAAAGCGGGGGCAGACAGGCGAGCCAGAGACGAAGCGCGGCCACGATGGTGTTCGCGTGCTGAGCCATAGTGCGAAGGCGCACCATCCTTTCCTCTTCCTCCTGTTCCGTCTGCGTTGTTGCTGATGCCGACGTGCCCAACATGTCCAACATGTCCTGCAGGCCCTCAATCGCCCTTGCCAATACCGCCTTCTCCTTCCCACTCTCGAACCCATCCTTGAACGCATCCACGACAACCGCTCTCTCCCCCTCCCCACCTCTCACCCCGTTCACCCGCGCGCCCTCCAACCATGCCGCCTGGACGCGCCACAGCGCCGTCCAAATCTCCTCGGCCTCCTGTTCGTCCCCTCCCTCTCCATCAGACTGACCGACCAACCGCCCCCGCATCTCGATCGCCTCCTCCGCCCACCCCCACCCAATGACTTGACTCCACAGGATCTCATGCTCCGGCGTCGTCCGATGCGGATCGACCGCGCACACCGTCCAGGCCTCCACCGCCTGCAGATAAGCCACTCTCAATCTCGCCCCCGCCACCCCGCCGGGCCTTCGCACTGCAAGGGTCAGCGACAACGACACGTATTTCCCTATGCGAGCGAGCGGCTCCGCAGCCGTCGTCGCGACGCTCGAATACACCCCATACGCCGCCATCGCGGCATACAGCCTTATCGCTGCGCCCATCAGCTCCAACGCGAGTGTACTGGAGTACGGGTACGGGTACGTCGACTCCGACCCAAAGGCGAGTTCTATGTCCGCTGGGATGGGCGCGACGACGAACCGCAGCAGCGCGTCCGCAGGGCCCACAAGCGCGCGCGCGTTGGCGCGAGAAGCGAGGACGAGCGTCATGAGTAGGTCGATAGCCTCTGGCGTCGGCTGCTCGTCGTGCGCGGAAGAGGAGGATGCAGTGCTTGTGAGCACGAGCGTGCGGAGGAGGTTGGAAATCAGTGATGGCGCGGCGACAATCGCGTCTGCGAGGGCGTTCGAATGGCGCGCCAGTCGATGTAGAATCGAAAGGAGCTGGAGGAGGGATGTGCGCGGGAGCGCCGCGGTGCCGAACGCGCGAGCAGCGTTTTGGAGGACAAAATCGACGGGAAGGGATGCGAGCGCGTCAGCATTCTTTGAATTATGAGCCTGAGACTCGTCTAGCTGGGCTTCAGTCGGAAGGTCGTTAGCAGGAGGCGGTTCGTCGCGCAGCTCGACGCCATCGACGGATGCAAACACAGGTTCATCCCACCCAACGATGCACTCCCACAACAGCTCGATGGCGCGTGCGCCCTCGCTTCCCTGCTCACTCATTGCCGCGACACCCGCCGCCACCGCCCGCCCGCGCACATCCTCCGCTTTGCTGCGCAGTACGTTTAAGCCCTCGCTCCCCTCCTGAAGATCGCTGTTCCGCGCGCTTTGCCGCTTCATCTGCCCCAAGCCCTTGATGATTCCGATCAACACGCCGACCATTGCTGTACGTTGGCCAGCGACGCTCGAGCGCGTGAGGAGAAATATGTCGTCGAGTGTGTATCCCGCGTGCGTACCCTCGGCGTGGTGGTGTAGTCCGAGGTGCGTGGGCAACGCTGCGGAGAGCGAGGGTGAGATCAGAGTACCGGTAAGGTCGAAGCGAAGATCTGTAGGGGAGTGGGCAAAGGGGGTAGGGCTAATGGTGGTAGGGGGGCCGAGGGCGTTGGAGAGGGATCGAGAGGGAGCAGACAGAGACTCGATCCATGCGAGATTGGGGTCGTGCGCAGGGGCAGAGGGGAAGAAACGCCGGCGGATGTCTTCCGGGGTACCTTCTTCAGGCTCAAGTTCACGCTCATGTTCGGTATCGACCACGATGTCAGACTCGGGGGCAGCAGACTCAAGGTCTAAGTCATCCTTCGGCTTTGGAGGCATACGCCCCGTCCACTGGCCAAGAGACATTATGACATCGCGGTCTTCGGGCGTCGGGGGTGGGAGCGCAAGCAGGGGTTTGCGGCGCGGGGAAGATGGGGCGGACTCGTAGACGTGCACGTCGTTCGGGGTGATGTCTGCAAAGCGGAGCTTACGGTTGATACCGGCGCGGCTGGAGGGGCGAGTGCTGGCCGTGGAGAGAATGGGGGGAGGGGAAGGAGACGGCGGCGGATGTGGACGTGAGTGCGAAGATTCTGTAGAACCTAGCGCTTTTTAGTGAGCGGTGTGAGCGAGAGGGTCAATGCAGACCTTTGGGAAACACGCTCGTTTCTTCGAGAGCAGTTAATGATGAGAAACAATATCTTAGAAGAAGGGAAATCATACGGACCTTTCGACATCCCGACCGTACTTACATGCTTCGAGCCCATGTCTCTCTCCATATCCCTCTCTCGTGCCTCTCGCGCCTCCTTTGCCCTCTTCAAGATCTCGCCGATACCGCTCCCGAACTTTTCCTCGATCTCGCGCTTTTCGGCCTCGCGCTCAGCGTCGGTCATAGACGCGACCTTGCGCGCGTTCTCCTCACCAACCTGGCGGAGCCAGTCGTCATCTGAGGCGTCTGCACCATTGGGAGACTGCGCGTGCGCCGGGGCAGTTGTGAATGCAGATGCAATCGATACCAATGGCGGCTCTTTGAGGCGCGCAGAAACCTTCCCACCAGCAATATTTTTCTCCCGGTTCCTCGCAAACGCGCTCTTCGAGCGGTGCTGCACGGCGGGGAAACCGGTGGCGGTTGTCTTTGAAGACGAGGGCGCTGCGGGGGTTGAGAGCTGATTGCGCTCAAAGACGGAGCCGATGAGAGGACGGGGGTTGTGGGACATGGTGGAGGGGCTGGTATGCCCGGCCGTGGCGTGAGCGAAGCCTCCTCTTGCACAGTCCACCGCCACCCGACCATATCATCCCCCTCCCCGTCCTGCTCTCTCCTCATTGTGCCGCTGCCGTGCAGGGCGATGGCCAGCCAGCAACCTGACAACGAGCAAGCCCCCTCTAGTCCCACCCAGTCCCACCTGGCGACTGCGCAGACCGTCTACGGCTCCCGACTGCCCCTCCATCGCAGCATTAGTCACGGTTCGCAATGGTCCGCCGCGGACACTCCCCAACACCACAACTTGGGCACATCGTACTCCTCCCAATACCAGAGACCGATCTCCCCTGCCCCACGGCGTCGTCCGGGCGTGAACAGGAGCTTATCTACCAGCTCCCCTAGGCGCCCGCCCGCCAGGAGCACCAGTGTAGGCAGTTCGCGCGCGCACGGCCGGTCTCTGCGCGACGATGAAGGTCTCCTGAGTGAGGATGACGAGTTCGATGGCGACGATGACGATGACAAGGATAACGAGGAGCACAGCGTAGCCGCCAGCAGGGGCAAAGCAGTCGCCGTCGATGACGTTCCGGAGAACCATGATAGCGAGGGCGAGGCTACCGAGCAGGAAGACGATCCCATCACGCTCAAAGAGCGACAATCGCTCATCAACGTCGAGCATCCGTTCGGTCTCCCCATCTGGAAACCAGCCTTGTACAAAAAATCCCGCTCCGTCACTCGTTACGCCGACCAAGCCCTTCATTCCATCCCCTCTGCGCAGGCGGAACGTCACCTCCTTCCCGGAAATATTTTATGGACTCTCTGCTTTGGCTGGTGGCTAGCCGTAGTCTGCTTCATTGTATCAGCTGTTCTCTATGTCCTCCCCCTCGGTGGACGTCGATACTCCTCGCTCATCTTCGGGCTGGGCTGGTACCTCGGCTGGCCATTCGGGAAGTACGTTGAGGGTGATCTCTCCGTCGTGGACCGTGTCCGTCTTGATGAAGAGACGCCTGTCAGTGAGACCACTGTTCATATACACTCAGGCTCGGATGGTGAGACTGTCCGTGCTTCTTCCCCTCAGAGGGACGGCAATTCTGTCCTGACTCCTCGACCGAGTCATGTTCACCCCTCGATCCATGAGCATACAGCATCGGTTTCATGGCATGACGATCCCATCTCTGGAGAAACTACTGCCCTTCTGCGGAATTCAAAGGCAGGCACAGTCGTTGTGGGGTCTCACAAGTCGTACGGTGCTGTCAGAACCACAGGTATATCGAAATCTAGCAGTAGTGTACACGATTGGCTCGGTCAGATAGCCTTCTGGCTTTTCTTTGTCTCGCTGATCGCCCCGTTGATGCTGCTCGTCTGTATCGTCTGTTGGGGACTTGTGCTTACAATTCCGATGGCCAAGCTTAATTGGGCGCTCATCAAGCATCTCTTCCAGCACCCCACCAGTATTCGGTTCTGCTCCGTTCCGTCATCTGTAGTCCTCTCTGCCGAGCCTTCGGCAACAAATGTCGACGGTGTCGCAAATATCCCGGAAGAGCATGTCACAGTCAATCACCCTCGCCTCTCTGCAGGCCAAGTTGCCCCGTCCGGGTCTCCAGATTCTACAGTGCTGCTTTGCATTTATCGGGCAGCTGGATGGCAATTCTACAAGTACACAGTCGGCGGCGTGAACATCATGTTCATTAACCTCCTTCCCATCGTCTTTTTTGTCATTTTCGACGGGTTCGTTCTGCTACCGCTGGCCGAACACCGTGAACATGCGGGGCACCATGTCCCAGCTCTCCTCGCGTTGTTGGCATCCCGTCCATTAATCTTCATACTCAGCCTCCTGAGTGTCATACCTCTTTCCTACTTCATTGGTATGGCCGTTGCCTCTATCTCAGCTCAATCCTCCATCGGTATGGGTGCCGTCATCAACGCGACATTTGGTTCGATCATCGAGATTCTCCTCTATGCCATTGCCTTGACGCAGGGCAAGGGCCGTCTCGTCGAAGGTTCTATCGTGGGCAGTCTGTTGGCAGGTGTTCTGCTTATGCCGGGTGTCAGTATGTGCAGTGGAGCTCTCAAACGGAAGGAGCAGAAGTTCAATGCGAAAAGTGCGGGCGTTACGAGCACTATGCTCATCATGGCCATTATAGGCACGCTGACCCCAACGTTGTTCTATCAAACATACGGGAATGTGAGATTCCACCGTCTCAGATCCTCTATTGATCGCTCATGTCCTGTCTTTGTGCCACAGTTCCAATTGATCTGTGACGGCTGCCCTGATCACCTTTCTTCCCTAGATGCGCCGTGGACTTGTAAACATTGTGCATACAAGCACCCAGATCCAGTGGACGATCCGTTCTACCAATCTACAGTCAAGACTTTGATGTATTTCTGCGCCGCGATTCTTCTATTCGTCAGTACATCCAGTGCCCCCTCCGAGCCCCGACCTGACCTGACCTTGTTTTGCAGTCATATATTCTAGGCCTTTGGTTCTCCTTGCGTACACATGCATCTCAGATCTGGCAGAATCCACAACAGCTTCTTCATCCTCAGGACACGAGCCGCTTGTCCCTGTATCAGAAGCTGGTTCCACAACAGGTTCAGTTTCAACCTGGCACTTCTCGGCGAGGCGAGAGCATCCTGCGTCACAAGTCAAGTCTGGCGATGACCGAAGAGAGTGTTTCACCGTCAAGAAGCGAGACTCCCGTGCCTCGCTTGAACGATCAGCTACAACCTCTCCCTGGTACCAGCCAATTCTCAGATGCAACTCAAGGTACTGCGGTGCCATCGACATCTCAGAGGCGCATCTCTTATGCCCCTCCCCCCATCATCCAGCCTCCGAGTGGGTATGCGCCGATCCTTGAGAGCGTCGACCATGCCATCAAAGATTCTGGTTTACGACAGACGCAGCTTCCGGAAACCATGACTGCAGACGACTTCACGCGTGCCGTCGCTGTCGCTACTGTCAGTGCACTTAGGCACCATACTCATGTTCCGAGAGTGCGTAGTGGTGTGATTGGCGAGGCAGATGCGGAAGAGTCTGCAGGTGGACACGGCGGACATGATGGACCCTCGTGGAGTCGAATGACGAGTGCCAGCGTCTTGCTGTCCTGCACTGCCCTTTACGCTATCATTGCAGGTCCGTTCGGCGTGCTGTGTCTTACAAGACCTGTAGCTGATAATCTATGATTGTAGAGCTACTCGTTGATGTGGTCGATGTTGTGTTGGAGGGTTCGGGCATCGACGAGAAATTCCTCGGAGTCACCTTGTTCGCCTTGGTTCCAAATACTACAGAGTTCATGAATGCGATGTCGTTCGCTATGAACGGCAACATTGCATTAAGGTATGCTTCCACGTCCGTGAGTCCAATCATTCGCTAATGTATCGTCTCGTGCAGTATGGAAATTGGGTCTGCGTATGCACTGCAAGTTTGTCTTCTCCAAATTCCTGCGATGGTCGCCTTTTCGGCTTGGTATGACCCAGCAGACGTAGGAAAGGTTGTCAATACCTTCACGTGCGTGTCTATCGGGTTTTTTTTTCTGTGGCTGATTCGCTCACAATGGTATCCGTAGGTTGATCTTCCCTCGCTGGGATGTCATTGTCATCATCTTGTCTATTTTCCTTTTGACTTATACGTATATTGAAGCGAAGGCCAACTATCATCGTGGCAGTATCCTCATTCTCAGGTACGTGCAGTGTTCTGTCATCTCGAGTTGTGGGTTTTCATCCTTGTCCCATTTTTTGTAGTTATCTCGTACTCGCCTCTGGATTCTATTTTGCGCCTCCTAGAACGGAACACTCCGGTGAAGATACCATGATTTTTGGCGCCACCGTCGTCCAGTCCTTTAAGGACTCCGCCCGATTGTTTTTCACGTCCCTAGTCAATTAGACGGTAACATCACCAAGTTGACCAATGAGATGGACTTTTGTTTTCTGCGCTACATGTAGCCGTTACGACTTATTATGATTTCTCGTCTCTACGCATACAATTCAATGTTGATCATATACATAATGGCATCTGTTATGAGGCACATCTCGAATCGCTACAACCTGAGAATCTGCTTGCTATCTGCTAATGCATGCCCTGAAGGGTCTCCAAAATTCGTCGTATATGCGCGTACTTCTGCGCCAGCTTTTCTGCCTCGTTCTCACCTGACATGATCTGTTCCATCTCCGGTGATGTCTCAGAGTAATTCATAAACTGCTCTAAGAAATCACCATCAAGGAAACCATAAGCGGCCTCATCAGCATCCGTCCTCTCCCGTCCTCCAGCTGGCGTTCTCCACCTGAAAGGGAATCATGAGTTGATTGCCCGAAAGTCCTCAAGATGATGCAGTTACCTTGTATGACGAGCCCCCGCGACATCGGTGACGATCTTGCTTAGGTTCCGCTGAACAGCACTCATCTGTAAGGAAAGCTCCTCGCCCATGTCAAGAAGGACACCTATCCGCCCCGATGCCGTGAAAATCAAGGCTTTTGATTCAATCGCATCTTCAGCGGCATCCGACGAATGTATAGCGCCTACGAAACAGATATCAGAGAAAGACCAGGAAAATAAGATGAAGGCGCTACACTTACCCAGCACAATTTTGTTGACAAGGTCGTCGAGATGATAGTGCCCATCTCGATACAAAACCGTCCTTTGTTCTAAACGTTGAACGCTGAAAGTAAAGAGGTTGCAGTCGCTCTGTGATGCAATACGGTCAACGAGGACCCGCATTCATCGTTATTGCTTACATTTGCACCAACAACGCCTTCTTCCCCCCATGCTTCGACTGCGACTGGCCATAAAGGACCATAATCCCTTGCGACTGTTGTCAAAGTCTCACCCTGGAAAGATAATATAGAGACAGAGCTAATGGCGTCTCCAACGATCAAGCGAGAGCCATGGGTTGCGAGGCTCATGACTAGGTAATTATGATTCCACTCGCAGACTTTTGTCAAAGATGGATTGTCACCAGCCTCCAATCTATAAACCGCAACCTGAGAATGAAGAGTGATTCAGAAGATGAATCTACTGATGTATCCAAAACATACCGAAGAATTCACCGCGCCCACGATGAAGCCATCGATCGATGACAACTGATAAATACAGCCGGGGACATCGATTGAGGCCACAATTTCGAGAGCAATGTGTGCCGAACTCCTGTCATTCATTGAAAAGACATACAATCGTCCTTGCGAAGGTTCCTTTTCGGCCGGGTCAAAATTTGCTGTCCCCAGGCACCAGTGGGAATCCCCCCCTTTGACAATGACATTCTGGATAGCTGTGACTTCATGATGCATCTCGCATGCAAATTGACCCAAAACTTGAAGCCTCTTTGAATAAAATCGCATGAATAATGGAAAGAGTGCATACCCTGAAACGTCGTGTCGTCGAGCACTTTGAAAGAGCTGGCCATCATCTCCGCATCGCCAACACGTCCAGGCTCCGTGCGCACACACCCTACTCCAAAGGTCCTCAGGGCGGGAGAATATGCTAACCTTCGAGGGTTGTCCAAGCCCAAAGGGATCTGAAAGATGTTGTTTACAGATCCATAAAAACTGTCAAAGATATGTACTCACTGAGCGAATGTGCATCTTGTCCAAGTCGCGAACGCGTCCGATTACTAGACCAGACGAGGTCGCGGCCACAAGACACGATTGCCACCACGCAGTGTTCACCACGGATGCGGCAGATGCATCCTGGTAAGAAGGTCAACAGGTCAAAAATCCAACGACGGTCCAGACAGATTTGTACACACTTTCAAGAGGACAGGCGAACGCTGTAGACGCTCCTTGCCCCAGAACAACATAGCAGCTGTCGTTCCCAACGCAAGCACAGTAGAGCGTCCATCTACCTGACTCCTGACTAGAGAGACCGGTGAATGACCTAGTGACATGGTTTTTCTGTCGCCGAGTTGTTGTCCTTGATATGAGTATGATACCAACGTTCCATCTGCCAATCCGATCAACAGATGCGAATGATATTCAGAGCTGGTCGGTGCGGGCGGCGGTACGAAACCAAGTAATAGAAGAGAGCGAGGAAGCGATGGAACGTGGACGGGATCGCATACACGCCCTAAGTAGTCGTTTGCTTTGGTAACAGACAGGATCTCCACGCGGTGAGGTGCCCAGAATCCCACAATAACGAATGCCGAGAATGGATCCGAATGATTGATTGGGCTGCAAGAAATTGCCGCTATTTCACCAGCCAGATCGCGATGGCTACATGGGATATGATCAATGCCTACGACACCATTTATGGTTGAGGGCGACCACCTACCCTGAAAATTTCAATCCCCCCTCCTCGTTCAAATTCAACACAGCTACCCGGCCTCCTTTTAATGCCAAAACGATCTGGCTGCTGTTGACAGAGGCAAGTACGATCTCTCTCCTGGACCACGTTACTCCCTGATCACTTGGAGCCCACTCGCTCACCACTCGATGCATGTCCAGAGTTGCATCGTATTCAACCAACACTACCCGTTTGGGGGTGACCTGAACAACGAGTGGCGAGTCTTCGTACGTCAAAGAGGTAGCACCCGGTTTCTTTGTGCGTCTGGCCAGATTGTTTACAGCTAGAGTCGGAGACTTTGTGATGAAACCAGCAACTAATGGATCGATTCGTGTGACCGTCTCTGTGTTGTTCAGGCGGAAAACAGAGGATTGTTGCCCGTCTGAGACAATGATATGTGAGTCCTGACTAGAGGCAAAATATTATGCATAGTTCGTAAAAGCGCTCAAGAACGTGAGAACTCACAGATTCTTAAAGGTGGGTCGAATCGACCATAGCCCTGTCACATCATGAAATCCTTCGATAAGGGCCTGTTCATGGAAGTCTGCACCGTTCCGTATGACTCGCAAGCTCCCAGCATTCTTGCCGCCGGAACATGTCACTATATTAGACTATATATAAAATAGCATCAGTGAGGGTTTGTGTTAACAAACGAGACTCACATGTCCGCTCCCGTCTGTATCTGCCAGCACTGCATCCATAATAGGGGCAATGTTCTTCCACGTATCCATGACCTCTAAGAAATTGCCCTGGGACCGAACGACTCGGCCGATGTCCTTCCTTGAGTCGACACCGGCCTTCCCCTTGCCCTTATCGTTTGATATAAGAAAATCAGGAGAGACGGTTACAACGCTAGGGGCGATAAGTAAAGTGGGAAGTTTGAGTGCCGAAAATGGCGATGAGTGGACTCTAAGGAGTTGCGAGTCTCCAAAGTGAGAACCCAGATAGAATACTTGTGATGACAGGTACGTGAGCGTTGTCGGTGGAGAAACCTGTTGACATGACTTCGTTGTAATAATATCTGGAGTAAATGTAGAAGATACGCACTTGACCGAGTGGAAGAAGAATGAGCCCCTGATCCTGCAAACGGTCGAGCGAGAGCAAGGCCAACTGGCCATATGCGTCCCCAATGATGTAACTAGTGCCGGTCCCAGAGACAGGACACCATCTGAAAATGTTGATATGCGGTCAATATATTTCAAAAAGCAAACACAGGAACTCACGCTGTTACCTCACTCCATGGCCAATCGACATTGGCCTTAGCCTTCCGCTTCTTGGTCTCTCTGTCTTTCTCTTTCTCTTTGGCCAACAATGATAGCTTCTCGTCCTTGCTCTTCTTCTTACTTTCCAATCTCCTTTGCTTACCCTTGTATTTGTCCTGCCAGTCTTTGGACGCAAACGGAAATAATTGGATCTTCCGTCCCCCAACTACCAGCACACCCCCTGAGAACACGGCGTCATCATCGTCATCGAAGCTCACAGACTCTATGGAGGGAACGTTGATGAGGATGGGTGGACTGTCTGTGAAAGGATATGCTGCAGTCGGGAGAGGGGTAGGGGGGAGCAAGAGAGATGGAGAAGGGGATAACTCATATGCGCTAATATCTAAATCGCGCGAAAGAAGCTGCACTTGTTGGTTGTGATCCAGGTGCAATATTGCCAGAGCGTGTATACCGGAGCGGGACGATATGAAAGCAAGAGAGAGTACACTGAACTCTGGTACTCTACGTATGATTGAAATCGTCAAATGAGTTCATAAAGAATGATAATATGGACACGCACGCAACATCAAAGTCCACATCCATTCGATCGCCTTTGAAAACGATTGCCCTCAGCTTGCCTGCGTAACAACTGGCAATAGCAACTCGACCAGATGCATTCACAACCACGTCTTGCAGGAACTCAGCCGGGCGCGCATTTCGTTCATAGAGCTCGATGGTTTGCGATAACTCGAGCAGAAGCCCTCCTGTCTTCGAGTTTCTGCTGGTAAGTAGGACTACCTTTGGATCTGGATGGTCTGTTAGTAGTAAGAGGTTATCTCGAGAGTTCTAGAAACGACCGCGGTGTCAAAACATAACTTGCAACACTTAATATCGTTCCATACCGTGGATGCGACAGCCTTGAGAGCCGAGATACGGCCCCATATATCTACACCACATTCGTGTTTCAGACCCTCCGGCCGAGTAGAGAATATATCTATTCTGTTGATCTTTGCGACAACAAGATGCTCGAGAGATGTGTCAGGAGTGAGATGGCATTTCAGGGAACTGACTACCGAAGACGACGGATGAAATGTGGTGACGACCTTCATAGCAGTTGTGGAGGATATCGTCTGTGTCGAGGGCCACGATCATCTGGAACCATTACACGTTCCGATCATCTCGGCCCGGCCCCCGGCAGCCAACTCCAACCCGTCACAGGAAATGCTATGAATCGTCCTCAGCACTGATAATTTGCATGGTTCCATCTTCGTTCATGACCACATCCTCTCCTCCACCTCCCCGCTCCTCATCGGTGCTCACGTCCTTCGTCGTCAAATATTGGTCCAGTCTCCGAACCCGTTTGCCATCAATCTGGTTTTCCAGGGCCTTGGGCTTTCGTTGTGCGGGAGGATTTGTTGAATCCGGCCATGGAATTATCTCTTCACAGGCCAAGCCCATCAATGTCAAGTCAGGTCAATTCTTGCACGGACATCCTCACCCTCTAGGAACAGGTACTCGTCTACCCTCCGTACAACAGAAGCTTTTCGCGCGAAATGAGTGACGAGAAACCCGACCATGATCATTGACGCGTACCGATATCTCTCTGCTGTATGACCTTGCTTTTTCTATCCCGATCCAGTGATGTCTTCTGGCTCGCCTCTGCGAGTCTCTTGATGAACTCCTCTGCCGCCATTGAAATTAGGAATGCAGCTTCTTTCGCCACTATCGGAAGTTCCTATCACGATCAGCGCAGATGAGTAGACATGGTCTCGAGATCTGAATAATCAGACTACTTCACCTTGTCTGCCTTCATGATCCTCTGCACACGTGCTAATGGGAGCAAGGATTTTCCACCCTCTCTAACTTCCTGAGGACATGCTTTTGTCCTCTTCTTCTCCTGAGGCTGATTCTGCTCTGTGGGCGTGCTGTCTGTCGGCGCGTTCTCTGCAGGTTCAAGCGGCGGAGAAATCGTGGATTCTCCTTCCATTTCCATATTTCGACACCGTTGCGATTGTATAATAAGAGAGTGAAATTTTTAGAAGACAATTGAAGCTGGCGCGGCGTAGCTTGAGTCGGGGAAGTTGTATTGAGGAAATTCAGTCAGCGCTTCAGCCGACGCGACTGGACGCGTTGGTGGCGCAGGAAATTGACGCGTGGCGCGTTCGATTGAATTCTCCTTCAGATCGTCATTTCCTCCTCAGCATCCACTTACCTACGTATATCATGGTCTCTTCTCACCTTGTAGAAGCGCTCTCCTCACCTACACATGCTTTACTTGAACTCTATAAAACTCAGGGTTGCAGCGGCCAATCCTCAAACATTGACTTTCCAACCGTCGTGACCAAACATTTCTCAGATGTCTTCAAATTCGACGATGCGTTCCGCGAAGTAGTAATTATAGTAACACTCTATCTCAATTCACTGACAGATCTATATAGATTCCTCCACTTGATGTGCAACATCCCCCCGAGAGCCACCGCGACCGTTCTCTCATCCGATTTCGAGCGATGGTCCAAGACACTTCTCCCTCCCCTGAGATGTATCTATCAAAATCAACTTCTGGAAAGTGCGGAGGATGGGGCATTACTCAAACAGAAGGTGATGATGAAGTCCAGATTGACCACTCGAATTTAAGAGACTGTTCGGTCGTCTGGGCTGTGAGCGTTCCTGGAGAGAGCCAATGGGTTCGGGATAGTGTAGATGGAAGCATACGAACGCAAACTGAAGGTCTGCTCGACCACCTTTGACTATCCCCTGCCTTCTGAGATCTCGACTTTCCAGATACAATTATTCATATACCTCAGCGGCCGCATAAGTACCCTCCCATCCAAGAATCGCATATTGGTGTCCAGATTAAGGTATCCACAACCCAAATCACCAGCTCCTCTTTCACATAACCATCCTCCCAATGTTCCAGATATATGAAAATTTCGGAAATAATCCGCCGAAAATGAACGATGTTCTCGACTTTGTTGGCATCCTCACTCATGAGCCGTAATGCTAGCCCTTGCTACCTTTCTTATTATGTGCTCATCAAAATACAGGTTGCATGCCGAAACTGACGTCATTCTCAACGTACCCACGTTGCATGTTTTATTCACTAGACCACAGAAGCTGGATGTCCTCCCTACACCCGGATTCCACACGACTGCGACGGAAGCACTACAGAAAGAGCTCGTCTCATGGATTGCGGAGGAAGCTCTTGGAGGTGATCAAGATGCTGCCGAGTGGGTCTTGCTCGCCTCCATTGCTCGTGTGTTCGTCTTACTTGTTTCATCTATCACTGGCTGTTCTCGGCTTGATGCAATGTCTTTTGGTTGGTAGACAATCTCGTATCCGCTCCCTGAACCCGCCTTCTCTAGCTCTATCACACTTCCCACCGCCCTCATCCCCTTCACTTGAGCCCCCGCCTCCCACGATCTCCCATGTCCTTTCCCTTCTCCTTCCGACTTTCGTGACCCTCCCACTCTCCTTGGAGCTTCTCAACACTACCCCTTTTGTTCCAGAAAGTTCAGAAGAAGACCTCTCTTCTGGGGTTCTCCAACTTTCCAGCGGCACAACGCTCTTGATAACTGAGACCAATGTGCGAGAGGGCCAACTCGTCGAGAAAGGTGCGTTCCAACCATACTATTTCTCCACAAATGAGCGACATCGTCTTCGCAGGAGTTATGAACGTCATGGCTATCCAAGATGTTATGGAGTCCCAGACCCTCTCCTACAAATTTCCCTTCAGTCAATTTTCCTTCCCGACTGACATTCAATTCATTGTGCTCAGCGAAGGGAAGAAGAGTGTATTTTTGAAGGTTCATTCAATTTCTCTATTCCCTTTTCCTATCTGAGAAATCGGTGCAGACGGACGTGACGGTCCCTCTGAGGCCTTCTGGCTCTTCAAACCTCTATAAGCCCAATTCCCAGGTCGTCTTACCCTCCTTGGAAAAGTTGGCTTCGTTCCGACGCCTCATCCTTGGCGCGAGGTTCGGCAAAATTGAAGTTGGGCAACAAACGTCCGAGGTGCGAACAAAGCATTTAGGCATTCCAGCTCATCCTCATTCATAAACATAGCATATTCAACAAGACTTCGTTGAAGAGAGGAAGTCTGACAAATCGATATCATCCGACCATTTGAAGTTGAGCATCACAACGACCAGGTAAGTCACTCTCAGTTTTTTTGAGACGTTGGTCAATTCACCTGCGTCGGATTAACAGGTTATTGGGACTAACATTACTCGAGAAGGAGCTCACTATTGAGACATGGAAACGTTCAAAAGCTCTTGAAGCAAGGCGCAAGGCGCGATTAGATTAGCACGCACATGTGCATCAGCCGACTCGACATGTATCGTTGAGCATTTTAATTGCCTCATGTATTTCCTATCACAACTTCAAATATTTGGCATTGTGTTTATCTATCAGAATCCTTGTTATGGTCGCCCTAGCTTATTACGGCTTGCCTGAAGCCAATCCTCTCCAAGCTCTTGAACCACGTCATGCAGCACTTGTTTCACCGTCGACAACGCCTTTCCACTACCTTCTAGATAATATTTGATCTGGGTGTATCCGCGTAGTCGTGAGCATAGGATCCTGTGAACAGAATGGAGTCGGCAGTCGACGTACCTTGGGTTCCGTGCCGCTGGTCCTTTTGGATGTGTCAATACTTGTTGATATAGGCGTGAGGCAATGCATCTTACCTTGTCGTCAACACAATTTTAACGCCCTCCCGAGATTGTGCCCTGAATTGAATCATGTGCCCAGACGACAGTGGAAGCTTGGGCTTGTATTCCGGTGGGTTGGAACTATCGTAGCCGGTAGTCAAGTCACAGACACCAGTGATGCTAAGCCCGGCGATGGTCTGAGGATAGGCTGGATGGTTTTGTGCGGCCTGAAAGTCTCGATGGGATAAAATTACGGCTAGCAGTCGTGACTCTGGACTCACTTTTCCGTCATAGTTGCGAATGCGAGTGAAAATACGATCGATGATATGGGCATCATCGCAGATGAAGTAACTGTTGCTTGTCTGAGGACGAGTCAAATTTAAAATCTGAGATGATAGAAACTGGTCCATACTACAAAATAGCCGTATCTTATCATCCAGGTTAACCACACAGAAAATAGAGCTTATTCGCACAACTCCCACCTGTCATAAAGCTCCTGGAGATATTCAGATGCTGTTTTCCCCTGTCGATGCAGCGAGGCTACAAGTTCTGCAAAAACGGCCTGTTCACGAGAATTCATATCCAGGATTAGAACGCATAGACAATGTAGACTGACTGTTGCTGCAACCCCGTCTTTATCTCGGACCTCACAGCCAAACATATATCCAATGGCTTCCTCGTAACCAAACGGCACCTCAAAGCCGTCTTCAACCAAGCCCAATGCAGTGTTTCCAATATACTTGAATCCTACATCATCATTTAGATCAGTTAATTGTTTCTAGCGTTCATAAGACGCAATTTCTCGCCCACCGGTCAAGCACTCCACAAATCTGAATCCTTCAATGTGTGCCATAGTCTCTATCATCTTAGAGCTTACTGTGGACGCAACCATAGCGAGCTGTTCTGTGTCGAATACGTCAATTATGACGGCAACTCAATCTTTTGGATGACTTACCTATAGGCTTCCCGGAAGCCTTGTACAACTCCAGTACTCGCCCAGCAAACAAGGTCCCTAATTGATCGCCCGTGAATATAGTCCAATTCCCATCCGACCTTTCAAGCACCACGGAAAATTCAGTCGCTTGTAAGCACAATGACGTTCAATTGAACCAACCTCTTCTCAGACGCGGAGAATCTGTCAGAATCCGGGTCCTGCGCTAAAAAATACGCTGCCCCCACTCTGTCTGCTGTTTGGATTGCAAGGTCCTATGGCAATAATGACGAAAGATGACCACACAACACATCAAGAACATACCATTGCGCCTTGGATATGAACAGGGCATTCTGAGCAACCGGTATGTGTCGACTCACTACTGCATGTAACACACCTTTTTCCTCCGGATTTGGAAACTTCACTGTGGGGAATTCTGGATCAGGAACCTGCTGCTCCCTTACTGGAATGAAAGGAGGGAGCCCAAAAATCTCAAAAGCCTTGGCCACGAATGGGTGGCTGACGCCGTGCATAGAAGTGTTGACGAATCTGACATTGGTCAGAGAATTGAGAGGGCTGTGGTTGTTTAATATCGAGACATATAGACATGATTTATACCCACTCACGCAGAAACACACAGTTTGCCTATGCTAGCAAAATAGTCTTGTGCCAAACTATCAGTCGGATCTTGATAAAGTGGGGAAGACGTGATATCGTTCATGTCCCAGCTCTTCGGTTCAAGCTTGTCTTTGATAGAGTCAGCGATCCCTTTATCGTGCGGCCCGATTATCTGAGTGTTCAGACAGGTCAGAAAGGTACGTTGACTTGTAGACCCATATGAGTCTCACCTGTACCGCATTTTCCCAGTAGACCTACAGGAATAAGTGATTCAATACGTCTTCTCTGTACCGCTTATTCAATAATGAACACTAGCACAAAAACGCACTTTATACCCGTTGTCGTCCTGCAAATCAATTCAAATGAATTTTACCCATACTGTAGAGCGATCCTTCACTCACCTTTGGATTATGGCTGGCTATCAAAATTGAGTTCAATAAGTAGATTTGCACATGAGCGACGATATCACCTGTGATCATCACGCCACATGCCGCGTGTAGCCTTTTGACGCCAAAGGGAACCCTAAGAGACATCAGGCATCTAAGTGTAAGCAGGCCATTTGATGAGCACGACCACTCGCACATGGGTGTATGAACTAGGCCCCGAAGCAGGTAAACTTTGACACCTTGTGCAATGAACGCCAAACCAGTCAACCTCGCCCATCGAGCTGAGTGATATCGATGGTCATGCCCAATGACCACACCGCGCTCCATCGCATTGTCTACATGCTTCAAAACATACGCGCAGAGACCCTACAAAGTACATTGAGTCAGATTTCTGCCATTTAAGAGCTATCGATCGTCTGCAGACCTGAGAAGATTGTATTACTATGAGATCATTCATACGAGCCCAGCCAGCTTCCATGCGGCCTCTAAGACCTGCCAGAGAAGTTGGGAGATAACATCCGGATGCATGAAAACGGTATACTCACCTGCCGTCCCAAATTCAATTCGATTCCTATTTTGAAGGAGATTCAACTCTTTGTTGAAAAAATGAGAATTCAGCGCTATGTTACCTCATCCTTTTCTCCAGCTCCCCAGTATTTCCTTTGTTTCGGAGTTGTTCAATCTCGTTTCTAGTGTCAGCATTCTAGATGCGAAGGGGGTGAGTATTTCGGCACCATGATCAGTGTCAGGGTTTAGGGAAAGGACAGTTATGTCTTACTTGATCCAGCCGAAGCCATTCATCGACCAGGATATCGAGTGAGGTGGACATGCTTGAGTACTGGGCCAAGTGCTTGTTGCGACAGTGATCATAGTTCCTGATAAGTCGTGCATGTCCCAATGACCAATCCCGATAGCTTTGCAACCCCGCGACCGAATCTGAATGTGTATTCCGCGAATAATTTACTTCGCCTCATAGGGCCCGCTTATCAGTATGAAAAGTACAAGATCCAGCTCGTTAATGATACTTAAACAGAGACATGCAATCAATGCAAGCAGATGCGGCTGGGGGAAGGCGGAACAGTATCTAGACACTCATACTTTGTCTCAACTTGAGCAAAGTTGAACCTCATCTAGCACAGAGAACAGGATGCAGACACGAAGTGAATGACTGTGTCGAACGGACGACCGGGCCATGTATGACCACGCCTCACAATCGTGCGGTGATCTTTTGGACCAACTCTCTAGCATCGTCGTCGTCCAACTCCTCACGAGCTTCAAATTCCATTCGATGCATTTCCTTATGCGTCGGAGGGTGCCTCTTTGAGACTATATTCTTGCTTTTGATGCCAGATGTCGCAGCTGGACCAAAATTCGGTGCCGGAATAACATGGTAATGAACCTAGACAAAAGCGATCAGTCGCGTTTGCATTCCACAAGCTGACCAAGCGAGACTTACATGCGGGACAGCCTGCGCATACTCCTGATTGCAGACAACATTCAAAGCTGTGTTATGCAGAGCTATAGCGTTGCATTCGCATTAGAATATATAACGCGAATTATGATTAAACAGTAAACCTTCTGTCAATGCACGCGAGACATGTGCTACTGCTTCACCTAAGGCACCAGCAAAATCGGAGGGAAGTTCAGATATCCGTGCACAATGAGTCTTCGGTACAATGAGGGTATGACCAGGGCGGAGAGGCAGGATATCTATGACACGGATGAACTTGAAGCCAATGAATGAAAAGGAACGAATTTCAGACCCAGGAATGCTATGACTTTATCTGTTTCGTATAAACGGTGAGCTTCCGCATCCTGCCGTATTATTCGACAGAAGATGCAATCCGGGCTGTCCGTCCAAGATGGTCCTACTTCACGATTGACATGATCCCCGATGAGAAAAGAAGTCATATCTTCGGTCTTGTTGCGTAGGAATCAGATGGCTAGTTCATCCGTTGACGTTGACGAATTAAGTTTGGATTTAGAGAGGATGCAATGTTCACCCCGCACAAAATTGTACTCACAATGCACATAGGGGTTGAAATCGGGAGGATGCTGCAGGAGGCAGTAACACTCTCGGGTAGAAAGGCATGTTGGCGGGCCGTCGGGTCCGGCCTACCTTTGATTTTCTCCTACCTGAACCTGGCACAAGTTGAAGAAAAGCGCTCAGGTTTGCGTCATCTATACAATGTCTCGAGGCAACCGAGTTGTATCGTCAGGAAACATGTCTACTTCGATGCGAGACAATTACAATCAACACGGTGTTGGCGAGGTATTGACAGCAGAATTCACTGTAATGTCTATGGTATTCCTAACATGATCTCGAACAGTACTATAGAAAGGTGGGCGTCACGTACAGAAATCCACACTACCCGGGGGTACGCCGGTGTCTCTTTGCATGGTTCACGAGGTAACCTTACATTGCCCTGAAGTCGCAATTTCGATTGACCCAGTGAAGTTGGTGGCAACAGGAGCACGCCAATATCGATGCCAGAGGACCAACAATATTTGACATGGCATGTGGTGTGCACTCATCAAGTCACTCTTTGTCAATGTTCACGCTGACCTAGCTCTCTAGGAAGGTGAACCCCAACTTTTCTGCTGCGGGCGGGACGTTTACATTCCCTCCTCGCTTAAAGTGGAGAAGTAATCATCGCCCTCCAAGAATGGTGGTTGAGCGGGCTATCTACAAACAACCAACCCACCCCAACCGAAATCACACAAATGTCTATTCCCTTGCCACGTTCCAAATCACATATACTCCTCCCACCGCTCGATTCGCATACTCCAAGGCCATTGGTTATGGCTGCTGATCCTGTGAGATATTCGCTATTATCGTACCGCTGAGGCTCTTTGACCTGGCTGTACACAGTATACGTCGGAAGCATTCAAGGCGCGCACATCCTTACCTTGTGCTGCGCTCTCCTTTTCCGATATTGCACAAGGCATTATGCCTGCCTCGACATCACGCCTGCCACTATCTGCGCCTGCTCAGGCTGCGACCGCCAAAAGCAAAGATGCAGTTTCGCCCCGAGAGATTATCCCCAATCTGGTCGAAATGGTCATATGCTCCTTCGCATTGCACCTGATCGAAACTCCTTCTGAGCTCTTCGCATTGCTGTGGGAGCTGAGCACAAAATGTCGTTGGCTAGTCATTCTAGCGCCGCACAAAAAACCACAGGTAGCATTGTCACTATGAGCACTTAGACGATGGCTGGCTGATGTGCTTGTCCTACACAGATCAAGGACGGCTGGGGATGGTCAAAATGGGATACAGAAAAATGGTCTAACTGTAGCATGGCTGAAGTTCAAGGAGAGTTCTTGTTTGATAGGTACATCTGCTCTTCTGTGCCTCAAGTCAAACCATAGCTGACACCGCCATCAGAGTGCATTGTCGTGTATATCGCAGTCTGAATGTTCGTTGATTTTAATATCGACGTCATCTCTCAGTTGGTACCAACCCAAGCTTAGAATTCTGGTTGATATATGCAAAGTGATCTGAAAATTAGATGTCATCTTGGTTAACTGCCAAACCGTCCGCGTGCAAGCCACCCTAGTGCGCCTGCAACGAAAGCACCGGAGGCCAGTACAGCAGCTACGTCCCGTTGCTTCGACACAGAGACGAGCCGCTCTATAGCTAGGCCGGCCTTTTCATCGACCGTTTCTGGTGGTTCGTCCACCACGACTTGTTCAGTGTGGCTCGGACTTCTTGTGACCTCCGCAGCCAACACGAGGCTCTCGAGCATCCTGTCCCGCGCCTCCAACCTTCCCTCCAAGGCGTTTATGCTTTCCCTCACCAATTCCCCATTCGCTCTCTCCAGTTCCTCCACCTTCCGCTCGAATGTCTGGGCCAAGCGCTTTCTTTTCCATGGCTCGACCAACACGATCGCAAGCACGAACACGAACACGTTGACGCCGAGCACCGCGAGCTGCCCATACGAGGATACGCTGCGGATCTTGTCCGACCAGACCTGCTCCTCGTGGTACCGCGCGAGGATCGCGCGCATGAGCTCGCTGAACTCCCGCTCCACCTCGTCTTCGGTCGCGCCCACCCCCGCTTTCGCGCGCGCTTCCTCCTGCTCATACAAGTGGTCCTGGCGCACGAGGACCGTGAAGCGCCCGACATCTGCGTCGTTCCACATTGACTTGCGCTGGAGCAGGTCGTTGACCTCTCGTTGTGAGTTGGAACGCTGTTGCATGGCCTCCTCATACGCCGTCTTGGCATCCCGTGCAGCCGTGCGTGCCGCGGCGATGCGCGTCTCTATGCATGTCAGTCACTCAGCTCGACCCATTGCAGAAACACAGAAGGAAAGGAAAATATTGAAAGAGACGAGAAAGCACACAAAGCGAACATGAAAACAACCGTGAAAACATACCTTGATCGACTACACGTCGTTTGAGCGCCTCGATCTCCTCGTACCCTGTCACCTTGTTGATTCGTCCACCGAGCTGGGAGAACGACGTTCCAAGCGATGCGACGAGTTCGTCGGTGCGCTGTCGCACGATGATGGCATTGCGCTCCGTCCAATAGCGGAGTTGTTCTCGAGCGTGAGCGACGCGGTCTTCAGGACTGGTGTGGTCGGCTGGCGGGGAACCGGGGTCTGGCGGAGGTGGTCGTGGCGAGGCATCGGTGTCTGCAACAGTAGACTGGGGCGAGGAAGGTTCAGACGTCGATACATCCTGCCTAGCGGCCCCGGATAGGGTCGGATCACCAGTGGACGAGGGATGCGCCGTGGAATACCATGACTTTCCAGATGTCGATGCGGCGGAAATACGGAAGACAGATGGTCTTGAGATGACCGCTCTTAGCATTTGGATACTCTGGAATGAACGTGGTCTCCGTGGCTGACCTTACAGCAGATGGTCGCTCCGTGGGTCGGTGGTGGACGTAGAGACAGAGAGTAAAAATCGAAACCGACTTTGTCCGAACAAGCACTCATGATCTTCAAGACATAATTCCGATAAATTATACAATTCTTAACTATTGCACATCTCCATGGCCGAGGAATCTAATCCAAACCTATATACAACGTCCCCCGCCCCCTTGGATAACCCAATAAGTAGTCGATCCAGTAACCAGCCTAATCAGTCGGCAGGCGCGCCCACAACGCTTCTACACACATAACGAGAAAACAGCCGAAGAAATGAAGATGGTAAAGTGGTAGGCTAGCAGTCGTAATGCGATAATTCACAGATGTATGGAGGATGATAGCGAACAGCGACCGAGTGAATGCACAAAAACAAAACAAAAATCCGAGCTCAAACCAAGCCCGGCGCCCGAACCAGAGGAGGCATCTGTCCCTCAGCTCCACACATCCAGCATCAACCGCGACCGCTCCTTGAGCAACTTAACCTCCGCAGCGCCCTCGACCTCCGCACTGCCGCCCTTCGCCTCACCAAGGATCCGCGCCAGCGCCTCCTCGACGGCTTTGCTCATGCTCTTCGCGTCGCCACAGATGTACACGTAGCCCTTGCCGTTAAGAATGGCGTCGGCGATTTGTGCGCGCTCCTGCCAGACCAGGTCCTGTACGTAGATCTTGCTGCCGTCGGGCTTGTATGGTGGCTCGCGGGAAAAGGCGCAGTGCAGCTCGAACTTGCCACGCAGCTCCTTTGTGTATTCTGCCCACTCTTCTTTGTACAGGAAGTCCTCAGTCGAGCGACGGCAACCGTAGAAAAGCGTGATGCGACCCCAATCGTTAAGTGCGTCAGGACCGTTCTTCTCGATCGTACGACGGGCGAGGGCCACACGCTCCTGAACGAAACCGCGGAAAGGTGCAACACCCTAAAGTTCCCAAGACCAATGATCAGAACATCACCAATGGCTCGCCATAATCAATCTGAAGTACTCACAGTGCCAGGACCAATCATGATGATAGGGCTCTTCGGGTTCGTGGGAAGCCTGAAAGTCGAGCGACGGACGTGGATCGGAGCCTTGTAAATACCGTTGTCGAGATGAGCGCCGCGAGGTCCTTCAATGGCGTACGAGGGCACGGCGACTGAAGCAGGCTTGCCCGAGGGGTCGCTCAGCAGAGGAGCTGACTCCCCGTTAGCCGCAAACTTGAGGTTGAGTAAGTAGTTGGAACCGACACCGTGAACCCACTTCTGCGGTACGCGTTCACCTGCAGACTGATATTTGAGAACGACGCAAGTGACGTGGATGGTGGTCGGGTGCAGTTTAGGGCTGGAGGAGATGGAGTAGTACCGAGGCTGCAGGCGAGAAATCGACGATACGATAATATCGAAGGGAATGTTCCAAACAGTCGTGTTGTCGGGAGTGGGGACGGCCGTGAGATCGTTACCGGCGGCGAGCTGGAGAAGTTCGCCAAGCTTGAGACAACCATCGTTGACTACTGAAGCGTACTCGTCCTTGTGCTGGTTAAGATTCTTCAAAAATGCCTCGGCCTCCGGGGTCGGCGCATACTTGGAAAGGGCGCCGAGAATTTGACGGCCAGCAACAGCGGAGATATCGAGGTAGTGGCGGAAGACGGTGCCGTAGGTAGTAGGGACGGGGAAAGGAACCTTGGCGAGAGCAGGGTCCAAGGACTCGATACCAATGACGGTATCACGCTTCTCGTAGAGTCCAAGAGCACAGAGTAAACGGTCAACCTCCACATCAGCATTAGACGGCCAGACCCCAACGTGGTCACCATGCTGGTATGTGATGCCAGAGCCTTCAATGTTGAGCTCAATGTGCACGCAGTTGCGGTCGTCCACGATCTGGAATAACTCGCGAGATACAGCGATTGGAGACGGGTAAGGGTTCTTGGCATCGTGAATACCTTTCGACCTGGTCAAAGCACGTGCAGACAACTCGCCTAGGATATATTTAAGCTTTGGCACGGCAGCAATGGTGAATGATGATCACTTACCGCGGTAGACCTTCTCCGGAGGGTGGGATTCGAGTTCGTTTACGGCGAAATCAGCCGTGTCGCTGCCCTGGCCTTCCTCGACACCCATAACGCGAGCAAACTCTTCCCACATGCCATCCTTCCATTCCAGGTAGTCCTCCTCCATGCTCTTATCGTCATCGCCCTCTCCGCGTTCGCCGATACGAGTAGCGCCCATTTTCGAAAGGTGCTGATCGACCTGCTTGGCGATGACATTGTAATGCTCGTATGTCCTGTTACCGAGACCGAAGACAACGTATTTGAGACCGTCAAGTTTATGTTCGCCATTGGAGAATTCGAAGGAGTCGTCAGCTAGGTTCTGCATGAGCTGAACGGCATTATCAGTGGGTTCTCCTTCTCCGTAGGTAGCCATAACGAAGATGGCAGCGCAGTCTTCCGGAAGCGTGTCAAGGTTTTCAAAGTCATACTCCTCGGGGTCGCAAACGAGGGAGGTGAGACCAAACTTGGATTTGGCCTCTTTGGCGATGCGGATAGCGTATTCCTCAGCCGTGCCGGTTTGCGAACCGTAGAAGATGACGAGGCGCTTTTTCTGTACGTAACGAAAGTCAGCCACGGACATACGACAGGGACTCTGGAAGCAAGGACATACGCCAGCCTTCAACTTTGCAACAAAGTCTCGGGGATTTCCACCGCCATTGGAATCCTTAGAAGGGATGGCGACCGCTTTCGACTTTGATGATGGTGCGAAGAGCTGATCGCGGAAGAGATAGATGGCGGCCAAGACGACGCCGACCGCGAGGACGGCGACGTCTGATGAGGAGGAGATAGCCATGGGGGGAGGGGCGACGACGACGAAGGTCGGTCGACGGAGGGAGGAAGGAGGAGAGGATGTACGGAAAGACCGAGGGAGATGATCGTGCGATGTATATATATTCCTCCTCATCGGACTCCGGCGGTCCCCGTCCCGCTTATTATGTCAGCACACATCGCGCGCTGCTTTGTCATCTCCGGTGTCTACTTCGCCCACTCTCTTCTCTTCGCTGCCGACTCGACTCAACCCCGGGTTTTGCTTCGTCTGCGTCAGCTTGCGTCTGTGCTCTCTTTGAGTCTCTTTGAGACCTCTCTACAGCTGCTGCATCGCCTGCAGCTCATAAGCCGTCCATCGCATGAAGACGCTCCGCGTACATAGTTCCACGCATATATGATATGATGTACATCATTCTCCACCATCTGAAGGGGTAACAGACGCCACATTCAACATTGCAGTGATGCTCATTTCGTTCGGCTGAGCGCTAAGCCCCCGTGCATACCCAGACACCTTCCTCTACTGTCAGAACCGCATCCGAAAAACGAGACAGCGGAAGTAAACCGACCCAATTCCAAACGGTCGGCCTATAGCACCATCTTATCTGATAAACACCCGCGTCCCTTGACGAGACACATTCGTACGGATTTACAGTCTCACAGCGACTCTTACTAGTGACGAAAGACCGCCCTCACAATCTTCCTCGGATGTCGGATCGTCTTACAACTCAATACAACTTTGCTCTCCCTAATCTCCGAAGCAGCCATTCATTCGCCGATGGCTTTCGGCCTCCAGGCGTCGGTTCCGATGAGTAGGTAAAAGCACTGACGACTATGCTCTTCCCTCCGGCCCACCCACTCGCATTCGCTCTCGCCCTCCCCACATCTCGTGGCTCCCAGGACTCAGCGCAACCCGACGCGCTTCCTTGGCCAGCGCGCTATCTGCACCCAGCTCGTACGTGCTCCATCGCTCGGCCAGCCGAGCCCATCTCACGACTGCCTCTGCACTACTCATTACGAGGTCCCACGTTCGTACAAGTAGGTCGTCGATCCCCGCACCGAGCGTCGCAGAGTAGCGATCAGGGCGACACACCAACAGCGTCCCCAAACACAATCGATACATGGAACGTTTTGATGCATGATGCGGAATGAGCGGAGCAAATATACACCGGGCGCACAACGATAGCGCCCCGTATAAAAAGCATCGCCAACCCACAAAAGCAGAAAATTTTCACGAAACCGTCAGCGAACCCGAAAGTAGCGCCGCAGGGTCATCTGCGGCGGTAGATGGGCGTTATCAAGGGCAGGACTCACTCTGAATGTGCTGCCGCAACCAGCATGGCGTCCGCCGCGAGCCGCCCGCGCTCGCTGTGATACCCTTCCTCCTCGCCAACGTCCCATATACGCCGCACGAGCCCGATAGCCTCCCACCCATCGATGGCGCCGTTTCCCCACTCCGCAAGGCGCGCGTAGAGGGCAGCCATTGCCCCAAGACGCCTGTCCGAGGCCCACGAACCCGCTTCGGACTGCGCACAGCATGCGCATACGCAATAGAAATCATAATTCTGCTGCAAAAACTCTCTACTCCCCCCGTCCGCTGTTAGCGCGTGCACGCAGAGTCCTCCTATATACCAGTGATTACGCACCTCCTCTCAGCTCTCGGCCTCTTCGTGTTCGTATACGTGGTCAACAGCTCCTACGACGCGCCAGCGCAGCATTCATGTCATCTGTTCTTGATCATAAGCGGCGTCCCACTCACCTCACTCTGTTTGATATCCTTCAGCGCGTAGACAACCAAGACACCCTCGTCGTCGCGCCACGAGTAGATGGAATTGAACGCGTGCGAGCACGCGTGGTTCAGCCGCGCCATACGAGGGAAGAGCCCCACGCCCTGGCCAGCTGCGACGGCATTCGTTTGGAATATAGCGAGCGGGAGTTGTTTGGCGTGTTCCTCTGGCGAGAGATTTTGGGGGAGGTTCACGTATGAGAGGTCGTAGAATGACTGGGACTGCGTGGGCGAGAGCGCCCGAACGCGGCTCAGGATGAAGTCTGTTGGGGAACCAGTGACTGTGTTGTGTGTTGTGGACGTCAGTCTGCGGCAATCCCTAGCTCATGAACCATAAGTGGAAATACACAGACTTCTGTCAGGGACTAAGAACAATGGCTGCTCGCGAATCAAGAGCTCTCCCCGCTGGGGTCAACACCATGTGAGCACATGAACATGGATGATCGAATGTCGAGGAACGCACACTCCCACCTTTATATCTCTGGACGCGATTGCCCCTTTGCCTCTACCTGGGAGGTCAAGTACAACAAACGCAGGTTCATCATCGACGCCAGCAAGCAAAGGACTCGATCTCCCGTCGAACCGAACAAGGACCGCGTCCTTCCAGGCAGCCAGCGCGGGTCCATACTGAGCGCTGACGTACCACAAGAGAAAGGAGGCGGTAGCAAACAGCAAACCTCTACGGATCTGTACGCGGGCATAGTAGACATGTGAGAGCCTCGTCGCAGTGGGCCGGATAGATACGCAGACAGACCGTTCCTTACAGTGAGCGGAGACGTACTTTGATCAAGAGGCCCGTCGAGTGCCCGGTTTGCTCGGATCGAGTGGTTTTACCCTCGTTGGTCTCCTCGTCCATGCCCTCCTTTGCGACGGTGGGCGCATTTCGCCGTCGAGTCGACATCACGGTTGGAGGAAGTGTTTGGTGTATGATCCTCCTTCGGAGTCTCCCGATCAGTGATCCACACTACTAAGTATGGGGGCCAAGACTATGGAAATCATTGCCGACGTTCACTTAATACCTCCAGCAGCCTACGGCTATCGATACCAACATCGATTGAACCTCGTGAATTCAATATACACTCGGCATCACTAGTCTCCGTGCAAGTTCAGCGCCATGACAAGCATTTGCAATTCGGTCAACAATCTCAAGCATATGTTCCACACACAGATAACATTCAATGTATCGTAAGATTGACAGTACGATTATTAAGAATGGTCTGTGGGGAAGGTCGGTATAGGGTGGATGTACGCAGCAAGGACGACGAAGACGACATGATTGACGGGATGGATGTCCTCTTGGAAACATACACTCGCTCCACAACTCCCATCGCGCGACGATGACCTGGGGTAATTGATTTTCAATTTGCTGCACCCTCGCAAACTACATAACTAGATCATGTGCAACCGAAAGAGAGAGTCAGAGAGGTCGACAGTGCACGAGAAGCGCCGAGTGCACAAACAAAAATGAACGTACATCGTATATGTACGACAGTGTCGTGAGCGATTCGGCAGCTGATAGGCCTCCGATCCGGGCTAAAATTTGGGCAAACAGTTGGGAAGGCAAGGTGGAAAGGGTGGCTGAGCACAAACCAAAGAGGTGACTGAGGTACACTGGTCAACATGAGCTGAGGGATCAGTGCAACATCGAGATCTCGATGTCCCCCAATGCAAAGACGCGGGGCCTATATGGTTCGGAGCGGCTCATAAAAGCTGGGGTATATAGAAGGATGAATTCAATAGAGTGACGATAAAATCATCCAGCGAGGAGTCTCGACAAGACAGCCCGAAGAGATTTTGGAGCTGCACGAGGAGCTTAAGTAGGGTTTCTGTGGGCAATCGCCGTAGAACGCCCACGCTCTGGCGGCAGTCCGGAAGGAGGATCGAAGGCGAAATGAAATTTTATATCTCAAGAAAATGCTTCAGCCTGGCCTGCGCCCATTAGTGGAGTGGGGTGCCGAGGGAGCTGCACTGCACTCTGTGGCTTGCCCGGTCATCGGACTCCTGGACGACCCCATCGTTTCGTTAACAGATGAACCGCAAGTGACGGTACGACCAATCGATCTCACCGGCACGCTCGCTCGGGGCTAGTGTCATCCACTATATGCCTTCGTCTCCTACAAAACGTCTTTACAGACGATTTAACAGACCATGTGAACCACTCACCTCGCCCGTCTTTTTGCTCTCTAACGTTTACACGACTAGGATGCCCTCACTCACGGCAGTTTAACGCGTACGAGCACGCATGAGCCGGTCGCGTCAGGCAGGCACACCGTGACCAGCTGCAATAGCATTTGCTTTGAACCAAGCTCGGAGAGCTGCGCCAAGGTTTCTCCCATCAGAGTTTTTGCAGTGTTTTACGCACGAGAGGTCGTCGAACGACTACCTACATGCGGCTGAGGACGATGTATGCTGGAAAACCTGTAGATGCACCCTCCCCAACGGTCTGCATCTTTCCAATTCGTAAATAGGACATTGGAGGGTCTGTATCAAACTATAAGCCTCGCCTGCTCGTGGATCAAGAGCTCGCACCGCTGGGGTCAATTTCATCATGTCAACATATGAACATAAATTATCAAGAGGAACTGACACTCCGTCGTATTTCCCCATTTCCTTCCTTGAGTCCCTCTCTCTTATTTTGCCCTGTATGGGGTTCACTACTCCTTTTCTGTGCGCGAGATGTTGGACGATAAAGGGGGAACCTGCCTTTTGACGATTTTGTCATGGTCTTCGCCTGTGGTTTTCCCCAACTTTCTATCCCTGGACAGAGACGCCCCTTTGCTCCTTCCTAACCGGTCGATCTTAACGAACACAAGGCCGGTTTTGACGCGAGCTCTACCCGAGTGTCCATCGAACCGAACCAGGGGTCTTCCTGGCAGCCAGCTCGCATCCATGCGGGCATACGACAGGGTGGACAAGATGTTAACAGACAAAAAACCAGCGCTCTTGGGTGTAGAATTGAGAGCGTAGGCACCCTTGCACGCCCTTTCGATTGTACTGTAGTTTGTTGGCCGTCATGTCGTCGGTTAAGAGGACGAGTTGGATTTCGGAATTTCCCGATGAGTGGGATTCGGTAGGGTCTGGTAGTGTAGGGTCTAGTCCAACCAACGGGGACTCTCACTATCAATTATTATTAGTTTCTAATGTTGACCGTAACATAGAAATAGCCATTCTGTTACAAGTCAATGCCAAATCGACATCATGAATCTGATATATGTTCGACACTCATCATTGACCTCAGAAGATCAGTGATCACATACGCCTCGTCGACAAAGCGAGGCTTTGCTATCTAGTCATAAACTTTGAAATATGTTCCACCGACAATTGACATTCAATGTATCGTAAGACTGACAGTACAACAAAGAACGAATCATGGGGAAGGGGATGGACGGGTGTGCGCGGCAAGGGCGCCGGTATTGGCATTGGGACACCACAATCCCACTGTGCGAGAATGACCTGGGGTATTTGATTTACCGGGCGCTGCAACCTCACAGGATCACAATCTGGATGTAAGGAGAGCAAGGAGGGTCAGATAGATACTAAGAGAATAAGGATTAACGTACCTTGAGATCGGTATGATATCAACAATGGGACGAGTGAGGTCAAACAGCCGTCGGACCTCCAACCGTCGCTCTGGAAGATTAGCGACAGATCAGTACAAGGAGGAAAATAGATGGTACAGTGCTTACCCATCAGGCGATTGATAAACAATCGTCTCCAAAGTCGCTCGGAGGTCCAAATATATACCTGATTTACTGACACCGTGTCGACGATTGCGAACTCGCGATCGGAGACGGGAATAGAAGGACGGTTTCGTTGAAACCGCCCAGCAAGCAGTCGCACATTGCGACAAGCTGGGAGACCGGAAGGCGCTTATAGGGCCTCGTCGGCAAACGCCGTCAAGCGTCCAGACAGATCTCTGAGCGATGCTCATGATGCATTAGGCTGCGTGAGGCTGCATGAGGCCTTCAGGCTCCTTCAGGACACGGGGCGGATTCATTGATTATCGCAAAGCGCTCATTTGGCATACGCTGAAAGCTTGCATAGATAGCTGAATTGAAATCTATGGACGACCGCCCACACATAACCCTGACTTATTGCATCATGTAGAGTTGCGGTAGATGTGTCGTATCTCTGGAACATAAATTCCACCAACGATGTCATTTGAGGTATCATAAGTTTGACAGTACGACAAAGAGCAAATACTGGGGAAGCGGATGGGCGGGTGCGTACAGCGAGGGCAACGGCATTGGGATTGGGACACCACAGCTCCACCGCACGACGATGACCTGGGGCAATTGATTTGCGATGCGCTGCGGCCTCACAACGTCTCACTCTGGATATCACGAACGCAACAAAAGGGAGTCAGAGTAATACACCATAGATGCGAGGATCGACGGACCTCGAGATCAATGTGATCTCTTTGATGGGACCAGCGTGGTCAAACAGCAGTTGGGCCCCCGAGGTAGCTCTAGTAGATTGGCGACGGATCAGTCGCAGGATAATGAAGGATAAGGCAGCGCGAACCCACCAGGCGATAGATCGTCTGTGCAGTCACTCGGAGGTCCTAGATATACCTATTGATACTGACGTGTCGACGATTGCGAACTCGCGATCGGGGACGGTGATAGAAGGACGATTCCGTTGAAGCCGCCCAGCGAGCAGTCGCACATTGCGCGCGACAAGCTGAGAGACCGGGACGCGCGCGCGGGCATTTATAGGGCCCTATCGGCAATCGCCGTGGAGCGTTCACACTCTGGTGACGGAGGAGGAAATCACCAGGAAATCACTAAGTTCCATGACGCCGTGTCCTTGCTGTTGCATTCACAGGCAGTGTCAAATAGTCCGGAAGCTCCGTTGCTCCAACAGCACAGCACGTAGGTTGTAGAACAACTGCCCCGGATACAGCTCAAGAAGAGGTCTGTCAAGAAACCAATAGATGTATTGTGATGTGTCGTGTCCATCAAAGTCGAACATATGTTCCACCAACAGATGACATTCAATGTATCATAGTATTGACAATACAACAAAGAACGGATCACGGGGAAGTGATGCGCGCAGTAAGGATGACGGTGTTGGGGTTGAGACACCGCTTTTCCTGTCGCGCAACAATGACCTGGGGTAATTGATTTGCGGGAGCCGCTGAATCCTGACAAGATCGAATTCTGGATGGCACAGAACCAATAGACAAGAGTCAGAGAACTGCACCACAAACGCGAGGATCGACGCACGTTGAGATCGGTGTGATATCAACAACGAGACGAGTAAGGTCTTCAGCGGCGTGGACCTCCGACCGTCGCTCTGGCCAATCAGCAACAGATCAGTAATAGGAGGAGAGTAGAAAGTGCAATGCAAACCCACCAGGCGACAGAATAACAATCATCTATGCGCCGATCGGAGGTCCATAAGATGAGATACCTGACCAGAAGAGTAGCATTTGTCTACGATTGTGATGTCGCCGTCGACGACCATGATATGAGAAGATAAAAGGAGGAAATCCTCCAGTGAGGGATCGCAGTCTGCGACTCCTGAGAGATCAATCGAAGGCGCGAGAGGCCTTTAATAGAGGCATTGACGGCAACCGCCGTGGAGCGCCCACGCTTGCCCACAACCGTGACCGTTTGAGGATGAGCGAGAATCATCGATTGCGGAGAAGTCATCCTCTGGTATGCGCTGATTGTAGACGGAGATACATTGATTCAACCAAGAACCATAGACGGTCGTATCAAGAGTAGCCATTCATAGCATCTCAGTCAACCCGATTTCTGCATATTTTTGCCACCGCTTCTTCGCAATGGATTCACAGGCAAGACTGCCGGAAGCACTATTGCACCAACAGCGCTGCACGCCGGCACTTGACGCGTGAAGCAACTACCTAGGGACGACGTCTGCTGAAGAACCAGTAGATGTCGTATCCATTGAACTTGAATAATATGTTCCACCAACAGATGTCATTCAATGTATCGTAAGATTAGCTGTACAACAAAGAACAAATCATGGGGAAGGGGATGAACGGGTGCGGGCAGCGAGAGTGGCGATGTTGGGATCTGAAACACCACAGCTCAATCGCACGACGATGACCTGGGGTAATTGATTTAGAAGTTCGCTTCGGCCTCACAAGATTACAATCCAGACAGAAACACCACGAAAGAGTTAGAGATGTATATCAAAGAGACAAAGGATCGACACACTTTAAGATCGATAAAATCTCAACAATGTGACGAGTGGGGCCTTCAGCAGTGACCTCCGACCGATAAACTGTAAAATCAACGACAGATCAGTATCGAGAGGTGTGCATATGTAGTATATTGGCTCGCACCCATCAGGCAAGGATATGCCATCATTTGTGTCGTTCAGAGGTGTAGAAGATGATTGAACGCCTGACCTCCGTCTACGATCGCGAACGCGCCATCGTGGACGGAAATAGAAGGACAAGCTCAGTGAACTCGCCTAGCGAGGAGTCGCACATTCGGACTCCTGAGAGACTGCATTGCGCTCGGAGGGCTTTAGTAGGATGCTTGCCGGCCATCGCCGTGGAGCACCCACGCCATTAGCGCTGTCCATGTCAGCTATCAGCACTCATCAGCTGCACGCCCACAAGAAGCTCCGCCGCTTGTTGCACCGGGGAGATTGCGAGAAATTGACACAAGGTCACGAACGACAAACTGAGAACAAAGCCAGTCGGGAAACCATTTGATGGGTCGGATTCGGAGAGCTTGACTATGTGTTCCACCAGCAGATGATATTCGATGTATTGTACAAGGTTGACAGTACAACAAGGAACGTATCGTGGGGAAGGGGTGTGAACAGAGGGAGAGCGGCGAGTGTTTAAAGCACCGCAAATCCCACCGCATGACTATGACCTGGGGTAATTAATTTGCAATTTGCCTCAGCAGCTATGTCAGCCTGGATGGCAAGCAGAGAAACCATGGAGGAGAGTCAGAGCAGTGATGGAGTAAACACACTGAAAACGCACGAGGAGATCGTTTTCGAAATCCACATCGACAAGCGTGCCTTAGCGCGGCACACAGGCTCTTCTCTGGAAGGTCGACGACAAATTAGCAAAAAAATGCGGAAAGTCGCTGGCATAGCCTGACAGGGCACGAACCCGACAAGCAACTTGCATGCCTAGGAGAAAGGTCAGGAGGCCAAAATTCCCGGCTGAACACGACGCCAACTTGCTAGTTGGCATCGTGTGCGCCAAGACTCATCCTAGCGGACACAATGAAGAACTTTGTTCATCATCGCAGCCGATAGGATACATAGAAGGAGGATCCACTGGAACCGTCCAGCGAGGAGTCGCACTATGAGACAGCCTGAGGGATCGCAAGGCGCGAGAGGCTAGGGCTTTAGTAGGGGCCTTGTCGGCTAGCACCGCAGAACGCCCACGCTCTGACCACCGCCCGGCACAGGAGGGGGCGACCGTCGTACTAGCCAAGGGGAACACAGCTCGCGACTAGACAACACGGAAGGCCACCCCCACTCCACCCGCCCTCCAGAATGCCTTTCCAAGGCGAGCCGGCAGAGCTGATGTGGTGACACGTCAGCACCTCCAAGGCAGCGCTGCGCCATCGCATCCACGTCGCAGCTGCAGCCACGTACTCTCCTTGTCTCCACCATGTCCTTCCTTCGGTGCGTGCCCTCCCCTCCCTCTCGTCCCAGATGCTGACCATCCGTTCAGCCTCGGCCTCTGCGTCCTCGGCGTGTACTCCATGTTCCTGGTGCGTCGCCTGCCAGCCGTGGTACTCCACCACACAACTCACAGGCCGCCTTGTAGCTATGGGCAATCGCGCAAGAGCGTCGTACGTGCATACCGCTCGCTGCCCATTCATGACATCGCTTATCCCTCTCGGTCCCTGCTCCAGTGTCTGTTCCCTTCCAGTCCGTGGACGGCACCTCCGCCGACAAATTTGAGTCTCCACTGTTCATGGGGACATGTCAAAGCGCTCTCAGCGCTCTCTCCGCCCTCCTTTACCTCTTCGTCCGTCGCAAGCCTCACCAAACACTGACGGACCTCCTGGGCCTCTCACCTCCACTCCCCGCCGCCCAGACCAACGGCCACTCCCTCAACGGACACGCTAAGCACAAGCCCGACACGCGCTGGTCCGCGCGGGCTCTCCTGCTCCGCTACCTCCAATGCGCGCTCTTCATCACCTCCGCCGCACCCTTCGGTTTCGCCGCGCTCTCGCACATATCCTATCCCGCGATGGTCCTCGGCAAATCCTGCAAGCTCGTCCCCGTCATGCTCATGAACGTCCTGCTCTATCGCCGCGCCTTTGCCCCGCACAAATACCTCGTCGTCACGCTCGTTACGGCTGGCATCACGCTCTTCATGGCCTTCGGCTCCTCCTCCTCCAGCAAGAAGCACGCCTCGAGCGCGACCGGCGCTGACGGACATCCCGCCCTGCGGCACAACGCGCTCGGCATCGCCTACCTGCTCGTGAACCTCGCGCTCGACGGCGCGACGAACAGCACGCAGGACGAGATCTTCGCGCGGCACCGCGTGTCCGGACAGCAGATGATGCTCTGGATCAACGTCTTCTGCACGCTGCTCACCGCCGCGCTGTCCGTGCTCCCGCTCCCGCACATCCCCGTGCTGCATCCCTCCGCCGCGGGTACAGCCGAGCTCAGCGGCGCGCTCGCGTTTGTGCGCGCGCACCCGTCCGTCGTGTCGCCGCTCGCTCAGTTCGCGCTCACGGGCGCGCTCGGGCAGCTATTCATCTTCGAGACGCTGCAGCACTTTGGATCGCTCACGCTCGTGTACGTCGCCTTCCTTTGACCTCTCCGTTTTTCTTTTTGGGGCTGACGCGACGCGCGACACGGGACACAGGACGGTCACACTCACCCGCAAGCTGTTCACGATGCTTCTCTCCGTCGTCGTCTACAACCACAAGCTCACGCTCGGCCAGTGGGCGGGCGCCGGCATCGTCTTTGCCGGGATCTCCGTGGAGGCGTGGGTGAAGCGTAAAGGTTCGTCCTTCCCTTTCGACGCGACCGAACTGATCCTCACGTTGCCCGTACTCAATAGACGTGCACGCCAAACGCGTCGTCCAAGAGAAAGAAAAGGCGAAACTGAAGTCCCTCTGATCGTCCTTTACCCACTGACCCTCCCAATAATCTTATTATCCTCGGGTGTGCAGCATATACAGACATTACGATACAATTAGATCATATCAGAGTACAAGGTGGCGGAGAAGCGTGGTGTGAGTGCGAGCGAGCCAACAGCTGGATGGAACGAAGGGTATACCCAAAACCGAGAGAATGTGAGAGGAATCATGAATGGTCCATCGCGTTCGGATCAGGCGCGATCACGGCACTTTCCATCAGGATGATTCGCTTGTCTTCTCTGTGGGGTCGTCGCAGACGCGTCAATGGGCGGCCGATGGAACGGGGCAAAACGAAGGGGCGCACCGCTCGTCCTCGTCCTCTTCCAGCTCTCGCTTTCGTCGTGGGGCATCGCGCTGGGCATTCGAGTACATCGAGACAGCAAGCCCGGCCCTGTATATGCTCTCGTACTCCTGCGTCGCGGCGAGCAAGCGTCAACGGCGGTCTCATACGCAAATCCAAAGGGCCGCGAATACGTGCGCGACGGGGATCGTGGCGCGACGGGGAACGGGAGACGGGGCGTACCTTCATCTGGGTGAGGAAGCCGGCGTTGGGGGAGATGCAGTACCGGCGGTTCTGGACCATGTGCAGCGCGTCCTCCCAGGACATCTGGCACTGCTGCATCACGTACATGATCACGAACGCGGGCGAGAGGCTGATGCCGCCTGCGCGTGGGCGTGCCGCGGTCCACGATCGGGGCCAGAGGCGGCCAGGGAGATGCCGGAGACGCACGGGGCAGAGGGAGAGGGAGGCGCGGTGCGGTGGGACGGGGAGATGGGAGGGCGATGCGGCGATGAGATGAGATGCGATGGCGAGATCGGGATTGGGCGAGGGAGTGGGAGGGGAGGGGGGCGGGCTTACCGTTGCAGTGGACGAGGACGCGACCGCCCTGTGCGAGCGCGGCATTGATGAATTCGCGGGCTCTGAGAGGTGCACGAACGCGTGGGTGTGGGCAAAGGGTCGCGCGCGTGCGGAAGAAAAGGGGCGAAGAGGACATACTTCGGAAAGAGGCGGATGAGGTTCTGCTCCTCGCTGTCCTGCACGTCGAGGACGAGGTAGGAGAAGGCCTCTGGGAAGCGGGGGCGCACGGAGAAGGCCTCTTTTGCGTCCCGAATGCAGACTCTGGGAACGCAGATACAAAGGCGTGAGTGGGGCCGCTGAGTGACGCACGGCGACACAAGCCCACAAGGAAGAGACGTGGGGGTGGGGGGAGACGCGCGTACATGTGTGTTATGCGGAGGTTGCGGAGGCTCTCGAGGGACTTTGAGACGACGAAGGGGCCGAGGAGGAGGCCAGGGAGGATCTCCTGGCATTGGTGGCGCATGTCGTACCTGTGCGATTCATTCAGCGGGGGGCGAGGAGACGCGGGCGAGCGCGGCGTACTTCCACTCGACGTCTGCAGGGCCTGAGATGAGGTCCTGGAGGTCCTTTCCGGTGGGTATGATGGACGCCATGGCTTATGCGTGGAGGAGGAGGAGGAGGAGGAGGACAAGGGGGCGTGAGCCACTGAATTGAGCTGATGAGTAAGGGAGCGACTCGCCCTCGTCGCGTCCCTAGCCTCTGTCCACACCACAGCAGCCCACCATTGCGTGCTCTGCGCGTGCTCGCCTCCGTCATGTCCCACAGCTCAGACGATATATCTGACGCCGACATCCCGTTCGTCTCCCTCCCCCTCCCCCTCCCCCTCTCCCTCACCCCTTCCCATGTGCATCTCTTCTGACGACGCGTTCTACAGGGTCCTCATACAGCATTCACCTCCTCCGATCCCCGAGTCCCAGAAGGACTCTCGGCGTGTTCCATTGACCATCATCTCAGGCTTCCTCGGTGCAGGCAAGTCCACGCTTCTCAAGTCAGTCCCTGTCTGCACTCGCCCCCCTCACTCCTTCTGAACGGCTCTCTCTGCGCTAGACGCATCCTCTCAGAGAACCATGGCTATCGGATAGCCGTCATCATGAATGAGTTTGCAGACACCGCCGTGAGCTGTTCGCTCTCCTCTCTCCGTCTCCGCGTCGCCCGACACGACAAGCTCTGACTCCCTTGCTCTACAGGACATCGAATGTACGCCTCTCATCTTATTTCTGCGCCCAGTCTTTGACCGACTTCGTCTTCACACCCAGCGCGAGCCATCAATATATCCTCCGATGCAGACCCCACAGCCGAAATGACGGAGGAATTCCTCGAGCTCGCCAACGGCTGTCTCTGCTGCAGCATCAAGGACAGCGGCGTCGCCGCGATCGAGAACCTCATGCGCCGCCGCGGCGCGTTCGACTACATCTTACTAGAGACGACCGGTCTCGCCGACCCGGGTCTGTCTTTTCTACCGTCCTCGACGTTCCGTCGAATTGACGTCAAATATAGGCCCCATCGCGTCCATGTTTTGGCAGAACGAGGATTTCTCCCACGGGCTTGGCACGGAAATCATGCTCGACGGGGTCGTATGCGTCGTAGACGCCGTCTTTGGTCAACAGGTCGGCATCTCACCTCCCATTCACCGCCAATTCGTAGAGTCTTCACGCGTCTGACGCATATCACCGCCCAATTCGCATCCAGCAAATGGAAGAAGACCATGCGTCCAACGGTATCGGCGAGAGTCTACGGTCAGCCTTTTTTCTGCCCTCACTCACTCTACCACGCGTGCCATCGATCTAACACACAGCTCACCGCGCGCACCCTACTCCCCTGCGCAGGCAGATCGCCGCCGCAGACGTGATTCTGCTCAACAAGGCCGACCTCGCGTCGCCAGAGTCGCTCAATGCGACCGAGCGCCTGCTGTGCGGGATCAACCCCGCCGCGAGCGTGCACCGCACCGTGCGCGGCGCCGTCGACCTGCGGCATATCGTCGGCATCGCCGCGTACGCATCCGGACCGCTCCTGCAGAAGCCCCAGCACACCACTGGGCGCCTCCATGAGCATGAAGACGGCGGTCACGACCACCACGACGAGCACGGCCACGATCACGATCACGACCACGCGCACGCGCACGCTACGCACTACGAGATGCGCGGGATCACGAGTCTGCAGGTGACCTGCCCAGTCCTCACCCCCGCCCAGCACTCTAGACTCGACGAGTGGATCCGCACCGTGCTCTGGGAAAACTGCCTGCCGTGGTCCGCGTCCACCGGCGCGCTGCTGGAGGTGCTCCGGTGCAAGGGCATGTTCACCTCGGACACGGGGCAGTGCTATGTGCTCCAGGGCGTGCGCAGCATGTACGAGATCACGGCGCTCGAGGAGGGTGGCGGCGCGGACGACGTGAGCGGCGCCGAGGTAGGGAAGCTCGTGTTCATCGGCAAGGGTCTCGACGACGCCGTGCGCGCGAGCCTCCAGGAGGTGTTTGCGTGAGCCGTGTGAGCCGTGTGTGTGTAGGTCGGCCGCGGGCACGCTCGCGGTCGTGGTACGATCGGAATCGTCTGCGCGTGAACACGGCCATGTACTGACGGCGTATTTTTTGTGTTGGTCATCTGTACGCGACGATGTGCTGCATTCTCTCATATACAGGCGCGTCTTTGCAGTTTACAATTGCTCGTGAGTCCCTCGATCGGTGTCTTCGTGGTACTGCGCGCTTTCGCAGCCTCTCCGAATCGTCCCCCGCTTGATGAAAACAGACATGAACCGCGGCGCAGAGTCACGGGCAGACCCGTATGCGGCTTTCCTGCGCGCCGCACAGTCCTCGCAGCCTATGCTTCCCCGTCTTCCCGTCTTCCACTCCTCGTAGCCTGTAGATATCGAACGTTAGGTCGCTTCCTGTCTGGCCGCGTGATGCACGCGCAGAATATTGAGACACGCGACACTGTCTGCGCGACGCACTTCACATTGTTACCGACCGCGCAGCCATCCTAGAGCTTGAAACGGCTATGTCCGGAAGGGGTATAAAGTCCTGCATCGCTCAGGCAGATGCTCTCCGTGCTCTCCAGTCTCAGCGCGGGTGTGAAGCCCACTGAGAGCTGGTCGCGCCCCCTCATATTCCGGATGTGAGGGCACGTCGGTGATCCTTGGGACGCCTTGGTGCGTATTTCGCTACATGTCTTTTCGTCTCACGCTGAAGAGTGTGTGGTTAGGATTGCCAATATCGATTATTGTTGTGTGGGTGCGGTGCGGGGGAGTGGCGGCGGCTGGACTGTATGCTCATGGCCATGAGGTTCGCATGATTCTGACTCTATTCCTGCACTGCATCACCCACTCACAAGCGTTTCACACATGCGCAGCCGGTCCCCCCCGCCCGCGCGATCATTTCTGTTGTGGCTAGATACAGGAGCGCACCGGATGAGGGCAAAGAATTTTTGTATCCTCCTCGAGCGGTCGCTCATGTATACTTTGCTCTAAATCCACTGGACTTCCTAGAGGCGTTAACGCTATGCGGAAGTCCAGATGAGCAAAGCTGTCAAGAAGAATGGCGCTTGGGGCCCCAAGCGCCATTCTTTTGATTTGCAAATTAAATACCCCAGGTCATTTTCCGCCCATCTAGTTACTTCTTTGTCGTTGTTACCGCTTTAACGATACAATGCTGGATGGGTGATGGTTTACGCGTGTAGTGCAGATGGTGCAGGACAAGCACTGTTCAATGTGTGATTCTCAACTCATATCAAACATGGAGTTGTTGTGCTCCATAGTGCCATATGGCCCTTTCACAGTGCATTGCTCGCTCCTGCCAGAGAAATGGACGTGCAAGTGTTTCGACAGGTTTCAATTCGGTAATTCCTGGCACCTTTGGATCCAGGTCTCTTTCTATTAATTCACCATATTTGGAAGGTGCTGTTTGGCTGTAACGCGTCACTCATCCGCTCGAAAGACATCGTTTGACTGTAACGCTTCATGTGTCACGTGCCTTTGTCACTTCTCTTGTCACTTTTCCCTGCCCCCCCCGGTCTCTGGGAGGATGGTCAGAAAATTGCAAACCTCAAAGGTCTTCCCCTTTGAGTATTGTCTCATCATAATTAAAGTTAGCAGAATGAGAGATTGTCTTGAGAGCACATGCTGTACATAGACATCATTTTGACTGGTTAATAAACTTGAATGGTGCCAGGTGTTGCCCGGAGGGCCGTGATATTATAACCTTAACCCGACCATTGACACGGCACCGACGCTCGGAATGACGCAGCCCATCGTTCGTACAGTCTGCCTCTTGTCTTCACACAAATTTTTACAGGTCTATCATGGACGCCGTGGTAGAAACCTGCAACGTCCGCGTCGTCACAACCATTGGTCATGTTGATCATGGCAAAACGACTCTCATGGACGCTCTTCTCGCCTCAAATAACATCATCTCCTCCCGGATGGCCGGGAAAATCAGATATCTGGACAGTAGAGAAGACGAACAGGAACGTGGCATCACGATGGAGAGCAGTGCCGTCTCTCTTAGATTCAAAGTTATGGAAAAGACAGCGGTGGGAGGTGCGTGCCCTACGTCGACTTGGTCGCTGAAACGGGGTGACAGACTTGTTCAGGAAGCTTTCCAAAAACATATGCCATTAATATGATCGACACTCCGGGGCATGTCGATTTCTCGAGCGAAGTGTCTACAGCATCGCGATTGGTCGATGGTGCGCTCGTGCTTGTCGATGTCGTCGAGGGCGTCTCGTCTCAGGTGAGCGCCGTGGCCGTGATCGCTCGGCTTTGGTGACTTGATGACTGGTCACAGACCATCTCTGTACTACGACAAGCATGGCAGGATAGACTTAGACCGATACTCGTGATCAACAAACTCGACCGGCTTGTCACAGAGCTCAAGCAATCCCCGACCGAGGCGTATCACCACCTCTCTCAGCTCATCGAACAGGCGAACGCCGTCATGGGTAGCTTCTTCGCCGGGGAGCGCATGGGGGATGACCTCCGCTGGCGCGAAGAGCGCGAGCGGCGTCTCGCGAGTAAGAAAGAGAGCCACGCAGACGAAGCGGACGCGATCGTGAACGAGGCGGACGAATTCCAGGAAAAAGACGACGAGGACATCTACTTTGCGCCGGAGAAAGGCAACGTGATATTTGCGTCCGCGATCGATGGGTGGGGATTCCGCATAGGGAAGTTCGCCCAGATCTTTGCAGCGAAGCTGGGGATCAAAGAGGCTAATTTCAGGAGCGTACTGTGGGGCGACTTCTACCTGGATCCCAAGACGAAGCGTGTCATCAGCTATAAGCATCTTCGAGGACGCTCTTTGAAGCCGCTGTTTGTCCAATTTGTGCTTGAGAACATCTGGGCGGTCTACGATGCAGTCGCTATCAACCCGTTCGTCCCTGATCACATTATGTCGCAGTGAGACACTGAACGCCAGCACGCAGAAATCCGGACAAAGTCACGAAAATAGTATCGACGCTCAACTTAAAAATACCACCTCGTGAACTCAAGTCCAAAGACAGCCGCCAGCTCCTCTCCCTCATCTTCACTCAATGGCTATCTCTCTCGACCTCCGTGATCCAAGCCATAGTCGACATCGTACCCTCCCCGCCAGTCGCTCAGCCCATGCGCATACCCAAAATGCTCTACCCCGAGCTCTACGAGTCGTCCATTGCACCGAAGAATAAACTCGAAAGGGACATGTATACCTGCGATGCATCGGCAAGTTCACACATCGTCGCATTCGTGAGTAAGATGTTCGCCGTTCCACAAGCAGAGCTCCCAGAACGGAAGAAGCGCTCGCTCACTGCGGAAGAGATGCGGGCACACGCCAAAGAAGCGAAGGCAATGCGGCTCAAGGATGAAGAAGAAACTGGGAACGGCACAGATAAACCCGAATCTACTTCTATCCCAGCAGCTCCCGATTCTGTTGATAAGGACGATGCGGACTCTATCGAAGGTTTGAAGGACGCCGACGAGACCCTTCTTGGCTTCGCACGCTTGTATTCGGGCACTATTCGTAATGGAAGCACGATTTCGTGCGTACTTCCAAAATATAGTAATGCGTTAGAACAGGGACACCCTCGCAATCGACGACACGTCATAGAGGCCATTGTCGAAGGGTTATACACCATGATGGGGCGGGAGCTCGTAGCGGTGGACTGTGTTCATGCAGGAAACGTCTTCGCGATCAAGGGCTTGGAAGGTAAGGTATGGAGATCTGCGACCTTGTGTGCTGCAGGGGTGGGTGCACAGGCAACGCCAGACGAAAAATGGGCTATCAATCTGGGTGGGGTGAATCTTCAGGTATATAACTTTTTCATGAAAATATGTCTAATGCTCACGCACACTCAAAGGCGCCACCCATCGTCCGTGTTGCTCTCGAGCCAGCCATGCCTGCTGATATGCCAAAACTTATACGCGGCATGAAGTTGCTCAGCCAGGCCGACCCTTGTGTAGAGACCTTCCAGCAGCAAACTGGAGAGCATGTCATTCTTACCGCCGGAGAACTGCATCTGGAGGTAATGCATCTGATCACTCACTGACCATCAACCCCATTCATGTGACTTCCTGTAGCGCTGCTTGAAAGACCTTCGCGAGCGATTCGCAAAAGTCGATATTCATCCATCTAAACCTATAGTACCATTCCGCGAAACCGCAGTCAAGGCTCCCGGTATGCCATTTACTCTTTCTGATTCATTATTCTCACCTGTTCAACAGACATGGCCCCTCCGAAAACCGCTGGGGCACCGCGAGGGACAGTCCAAGGGACAAGCCATCTGAACCTCGTCAACTTCACTATTCGCGCTGTCCCACTCCCAAACAGAATCACCACGTTCATTCGTAACAACATCTCCGTTTTCAAAAGGTTGCAACACGAACAGGCTGCCGCTGACGACTCGACCGGCACTTACGACGAAGAAGACGAAAGTAAGGAGGCTGGCATGTTAGGCGATGTGATGCACAAGCCGACCGTTCGCCCTGAGGATTATTGGCACACTCTGGAAGAAATCTGTAGAGAGATTGGAGGGGAATGGGTTGATATTGTGGACACGATCTGGGCTTCAGGACCTCACAATGCTGGCGAGTGTTTGCTGATTGACGCAAGGAAAGACGGAAATCCCAATTCGTGAGTCACACTCAACTCCGCGTGATAAATGGATTGCTTTATCTTTAAATAGTTTGAGACGTCGTTTAGATCGTACCAAAGAAGGGGACTTGACTGACCAACGGAAGGACCAGCTATCTAAAGATTTCGATGGTAACATCGAAACAGGCTTTCAAATTGCTACCTTCCAGGGCCCTTTGTGCGCCGAACCCGTGGAAGGCGTGGCGTTCTTCGTACAGGCCGTTGAGATCGATCGCGAAGGGGTTGAGAAGGAGCGTCGTACGTATAGTCTGCCTCGTCCTGCGATATATATTCTTGTGCTGATGCCAGACCTGTCTAGAACAAAGTAGGATATCGCAGGTGACGGGATCAGTGATCTCAGCGATGAAGGATGCCTGTAGAAACGGATTGTTGGAGTGGTCTCCGCGGTTGATGTTGGCCATGTATTCATGTGACATACAGGCATCAAGTTTGTATTATCTGCTTCTTTCCGACTACCCGATCCTGACATCAGATTTTCCAGCGGACGTGCTAGGTAAAGTTTACGGCGTTGTAGCAAAGCGGCGTGGGAGGATAGTGGCAGAGGAGATGAAGGAGGGGACCTCGTTCTTCACCGTGCAAGCAATGTTGCCAGTCGTGGAAAGCTTTGGATTTGCGGATGGTGCGTGCACATTATTGGCGTGTGCGTGGAATGCCTTTGACCTAGATTGGCAGACATCCGGAAGCGAACATCAGGGGCAGCAAGCCCACAGCTTGTTTTCAGTGGGTGAGTGTGAATTATTTCCCTGATGTGAAGAATAGGAACTGAAGCTCGCTCAGATACGAGTTATTGGATCAGGATCCATTTTGGGTGCCTACCACAGAGGAGGAGCTAGAGGATCTAGGAGAAAAGGCAGATCGATCGAACGTAGCCAAGGCGTACATGGACGGGGTTCGGGACCGAAAGGGAATGTTCGTGGACCGAAAAATTGTAGAGTTTGCAGAGAAGCAGAGGACTTTGAAACGGTAAAAAGTGTACGCAGGCGAAGGGAAGTTCGAGAGTCGACTAGTAGTAGCTCCAGAGTCTGCTTGAGCCGTACTTACCGAAATAGAAACGTCCGTAGCCACGCGCGCAAGATTATGTAAGATTCGCTGCAACCTCATCATCCCGCTTCGCCTCCGACGACCACCAGCAGTCACCCACTCCTTGTCTTCCCCCCCATGGCCACCGCCGTCTACGGCGCGACCCAGTCACATTCCACCACCTCGACCCTCGTCAACGACGGCTCACCTCCTGACGAGCACTCGTACTCGACCTTCTTTTGCCGTGCTCTCTACGACTATCAGTCTGCAGACGATGCATCACTGTCTTTTCGCAGGGGCGACATCATCGAGGTCTTGACGCAATTAGAGACGGGCTGGTGGGATGGCTTACTTGGTGACGAGCGCGGGTGGTTCCCCTCAAATTACGTGGTCGTCATTTCCGACGAAGAGGCCGACGCTGCACTGTCGGCGTCGGAATATGCTCACGCCCCGCAGCAGTCTACGCTCGCAGATACCTCTACTGTGGGCGTCTCTCAGAGCGCGTCTGAACTTCCCGGAATGGCAATATCTGCGAGCACCTCACGCTCACGTCCGCGTACAGACGGCGATGGGAACTGGTTGAACCCAGAGATGGAATTTGAATCTTCGCGAGGCGCGCTAAACGAGCTCGCGTCTGCCGCTATGGACAACCCTACTCAGTCTAGTGATTTCTGGATGCCGCAGGTATCTGCAGACGGACAGGTCAGTTCGCCGAAATATTGTCCATCCATTCTCGAGCATCCATCGCGTAATTCTCACGGCATCCGACTATAGATATTCTATGTTAATACGCAGACGGGACAGCACTCTCGTGACTTGCCAACGGAAGCCGAAGAGGACCTGAATGACAGCGATTTCAGTGGAATGGCTGCCCAGCAGCGTGCTCGATCAGGGTCTAGTGCTGCTTTCGGACAAGCAAGGCAGACAAATAACACCTCTGCCGGGTTTGGTCTCCCTCGACGTTCAAATACTCCTGAACCTTGGGTGCGACGGCTGGCTGACGATGGGATGTCTTATTATTACATTAACAAGCTGGATGGCACTGTGCAGTGGACGGTACCAGAGGTGTCGAACACCTCTCGAACGAATGGCCATTCTCGTAGTGTCCCCTCCTCTAATCCTTCAGCCCTTGAACGTGTTCGAAAGCAAGATACGGGTTCCGCCGTCTCTAACCGCCTTCGCTCAGATTCTGAAGTATCGAACATGCGAAGAGGACGCAGCGACAGTGCTGCTGGGGGCGCTAGCGTTTACTCTGACGACTCCGATGTGGACCCAATAGATAGACGTCCCCCCGTTTCTTCGGCCAACGGAAATGGAACGCGTTCTCATGAGATACGGCAGGTTCTCACGCAGAGTCGACTGCCCCAACCCCAGGACTTCGGTGAGTTGACCTCCGCTGAAAAGTACGCGCAGGACTTGCAGCAAGTGCTTGCGCCCCCAGCACCCGACTCTATGACGGACCTCGCTGGGGTTGCCAGACAGGCTGTCGCAGCCGTAGTCGATTTCATTCAGGCGCATGATGTCTTGGGCCGCCTCCCGCAGCAGCAAGAGCTCGATAATCATATCCTTGACGCCGTCGTCGCTATCCGGAATCTTCTCTGCATCTCTTCTCCGCCCTACGGACACATCTCTAGCAGCCTGTATCCAAAAGAAGGGCTCGACCCGAAGGCGAACGCTTTGCTACAGACGTTACAGGCCCAGCTGAAACCCGCACAACGCAAAGTCACAGCGACACTATCGAAGCTTGTGCTTGCCGTTCTTGCTGCACAATATGACCCTAGTACATCCTCCATCGATACTCCGACGCGTATGGAGGCTGACGCTGCTGAACTTGACCGTGCACTGGTCGCGTTCGTTTTGGAGGTGCAACGGAGCAACAGCCAAGCTGCTATGCAGCCTACTTACATCAAACCAAATCAAAAGCGGCTACGAGCTGCCTTCGCTCCGAATAATATTGGCCTAGGACTCATCGGTGCTGGCGCTGCGGGAGATTGGAAAGGGTTTGGATGGGTTGCGCCCAACGGTGCTGGTGAATCACCGCAACGAGTTTTAGGAAATGATGTCTTGATTGAGCTCAGAGCGAGCGTGTCTGATCTAGATGGCAGACTTGCCGCCCTGGGCTCGTTTCTGGCGACCCCTGATGCAGGTGAGATCCGTGCCTATCTCTATTCCATTCGGATGATTTCATCATTTGTCGCAAAATAGTTCCTCGAGTGCACGCCAACGGGCAGGCGGCCGTCTCATGGCTTCATGGGTTCCTTGTTTCAGTCTCAAATGTCTCCATCGCTGAGGCCGTTGATATCGATGGCATCAAACGAGAGGGCTCGGACGAGGACGTGTATATGCAGACAGTCCACAAGGCACAGGTTCTCGTCCGTACCCTAGAAGCGGCGACTCAGGCATTATACGACGACGGCTCCGTCTTGCTTTTAAAGACACAAGCCTACACGCATTCCCAGCGCGACGAATCATCTCAGAATACAGATGTACTTAGTTCTGTGGTTGGCTCTCTCAAGGCGAATATGGGTTTGGTCCAACAGACGCTGGACACTTTGTTCAAGCTAGGACAAGAACAGCAGGAGATCGCAAACAACGACTACAACGACTCGATTGCCTGGCGGATGTCGCGCATCAGTATGATTGACAGCAACCTAGGTCGCACCCTTCGTGAGATCTCAGATTTCACAGCAAATCCGTATCATCCGGAGGAGGAGGATGTTGTAGACCTCGACTTCGCGCTCCGTAAGCCAGCGGTTAAACCGTCAATGGACCGCTCGCAAAGCACACCAGCTCTTTATAGCAATCCGTCTGGCACGTCGGAATCTTCTCTCGAGATGTCGAGACCACGGGCGGGGAGCTCCGTCACGGCTGTGTCGCAGCACAAAGCCACGAACAGTGTGGCCTCTTTACTTGGGCCAGGCTCTGAATTTGGAGATGATGATGCAAGCCTTCTTCCCGACGATGACGGTTCGTGCAGCAATTCGAATATTTCTTGATCCTCCAGGATTGACACATCATTATAGGCACCACAGTAGGATCTGCACCTTCCATGATGAAATCTCCCTCGCGTGCCGACAAGATTGTGAAGATATTTGGCGAGCATCCCAAACACATCATCGAAACGATCAATGCAGAGACGAAACCGTGGTACCTGCGGCCAACATACAGCCAAACAGAGATCCTTATTGATCCTGATGGCAAAGTACGAGCTGGAACAGTTCCTGCACTTGTAGAACGTCTGACTGCTCACGAACACTCAGGTAAGCGGCACTGTTGCCATTCAGTATTTGTGATTGCCAACCGATCTTCAACTCTTCAACCTAGATACGATGTTCAGCAAAACTTTCCTCTTGACGTATAAGTCATTCACGGATTTAGATACCCTCTTCGATCTTCTCGTTCAAAGGTTTTGGATTGACCCACCAGAGGGTCTGAACCCTCAGGAACTTGACGAATGGATACGGCTCAAACAGCATGTCATTCGGACTCGGTCGGTATATTACATGGCTCGTCTCAACAATTTCTAATTATGTCGAACTGCAGAGTCCTCAATACATTCAAAACAATGATATTGGATACAGGGTTCCTGGAGAAGGAAGACGCATATATTCTTGACCGTATGAAGGAGATGGTCTCCGGCGAGGGTGTCATACATTTGGCTGCCGCGAAGCAGTTGCTGGTGCTGGTAGAACGCGCGGTGAGTTATTCATCCTCGTCAAAGTTTGACTCGCTCAAACTTTTGACTAGCAAAACGGTGATACCGTTCAAGCGAAGACCACGCTCTCGTTGGATCCACAGCCCACACCTATCATTCCCAAATTGTCGAAGAAGCAGAAGCTTTTAGACTTTGATCCCCTAGAGGTTGCCCGTCAGTTGACAATCATTGAGAGCTATCTGTATCAGAAGATCAAGCCTTCTGAATGTCTTGTTCGATCCCGGGAACAAAAACCTGGTGAAAACAATGATAACATTGCGACGATTATCGAGACGACAAACAAGGTGAAGATCTTATTTCACGAAATGAGGGGCGCGGCTCATCCTTCACTATAGATCGCGCATTGGGTGGCCGATACTGTGCTAAGCAAAGAAGATTCACGTAAACGTGCTGCGATAGTAAAGCAGTTCATCAACGTGGCCGACGTGAGCCCGATTCACCTCAGCTTGATACAACCCCCATTCTCAGCCTGTCTTTAATTTAGCGATGTCGGAATCTGCTCAATTTCTCAAGCATGATCGCCATTGTCTCTGGTCTCAACTCTCCGCCCATACGCCGGTTGAAGCGGACATGGGAGCAGATCAACCAACGGTCGATGACTATGTTGGGAGCTTGTGAAATGACAATTGACTCTAACAAGAACTTCAGCAATTATCGCTCGTTATTGGCCAGGATCACCCCTCCATGTGTTCCCTTCATAGGTACACCAGTCATCGAATGCTTCGAGTCGAACCTGTCGTGCTGATCCATCTCGTTTACAGGTGTTTACCTCACGACGCTCACATTCATTCAAGACGGAGCACCCAACAATATCCCTGTACCCAACTCGTCCTCTTCCGCCAATCTGGTCAATTTTCGCAAGCGGCAGATGGCGGCCGAAGTCATTGAGGAGATCAAGAAATGGCAGTCAAAGCCATTCAATTTCGCCAGAGTTGACACCATCTACGACTACATCCAGGAATGTCTGAACAAGTTCAACACTATCCCAGATGTTAGTGATCTGTTCTGGAACCTCAGTCTCGAGCGTGAACCCCGTGAGAGAGAGGACGAAAAGATGGCGAGGCTTTTGCAAGAGACCGGCTTCCTATAATCGTCCTCGTCAATCCGAGCCCATATGATCGTAAATCTGTTGTCATTGCTTTCGAGAATATGTATTACCTGCTGCTTTGCGTTTGATACGGTTATGTATAATAGTTGCGGACTGGTCTCATTAGGATTCTTTGCTATACCTCCACTAATCTGCGTACACAGTTCTTTTATTTATTTATATGAGCTCCTCTGTATACAGAGGTGGCTTTATGGAACATAGCCAGGAGGTCCGCGAAGCTGTGAAGCTTGAAGCTTGAAGCTTCAAGATTTGCTCGGTCAGAATAGACGTGGTCAAGACGTGGGCGTTCCATGGCGGTTGCCGATACGTCCCTTTATAAAGCTCTCGCGCTTTGCGATCCCCCAGGATGTCCTGTTGTAGGACCCCTCGCTGGACGTCTCTAATGAGTTCGCCCTTCTAGTCCACGGCGTGGCGACACTCGTGGAATTGATATGTCATCTGATCGACGCTGCGCAGACGACCGTATCTCGGTCGCCTCTGGGTTCGTGCTATACTATCCACTTCCTCCTGTTGCTGATCGTCGCAAACACTCCATAGCGGATGACGGAGACCTTCCCTGTCGCTGTATTCCATATCTCACTGTCATTTGCGATGAACGGGTCCTCTTCAAGATGTCTGTTGAATATGCACTCTTCCTCTGGGATTTGACACTGTTATCGGCGTACGTTGGTCCGTGTGTTTCTAATGTACCTCTCTAATACTTCCTTTCGTGTTATGCAGAAGGTCTGAGAGCGAGAATCAGCTGCAGCTACCATTGCAAATTAATTACCCTAGGTCATCATCGCGCGGTGAGAATTGTGGTGTTTAAAAGATTCCACCCCAAGTCTTCACCCTCGCTGCGTACACCCGCCCAACCCTTTCCACACGATTCGTTCTTTGTTAAACTGTCAATTTCATGATACATTGAATGGCATTCGCTGGTAGATTATGTCTTTGAATTTCTTGAATGTAACACATCCAGTAACAGATTTCTCAACCGCACCGCAGCAGTCTCTTCAAGGACCGCGACATACAAGTGCATCGACTCAGATCGACTGGTAAGTAACATCAGAGCGTTCTACGGCGATTGCGATCTCTCAGAACGCCCGGATGTGCGGCTCCTCGCTGGAAGGATTTACTGAACTCGTTCTTCTATCGCGGGCCTTGATTGCGCCCCCCGCGCTCGTCCACCGACACTGTCACCAATACCAGGTACAAGGGACTTTGAAGTCATTTTACTATCATCGGGGCCTCAAATCGATGTTGCGTAGACGATCGTATATCTGTTACCTGAAGGGTTCACTGTACAACCTCTGGTTTTCATCATGTCACCGATCCGTTACTCATTCTTTAGCTGGGTTTGATCCACTCATCACACTACCAATATCCTAGTGATCTTGAGGAGCTGTGGTGTACCAATCCTGACACCGTCCTCGCTGCTTGCGTCCCCTTCCCCACGACACTTTATCTATTGTATTGTTAGTCTTGTGTTTGGAGGTAGACCATTTCTTTACGTTTGTGATCAGGTAGAAAACTCTCATTGTGGTCGACGAGCCATGCTGAAGGCGGAGCACACAGAATATTCATGATGTCGCACAGGTTTTGACCAAATGTTGCGAGAGACAGGTGCTGATAGGGTTGCGCTCATGCGTTCACCTCTCTGGTTTCATGTGAACCAACATCTTGCCTGGGAAAGCTTCATCTCGCGGATGCGATACACTTCTTGCGATGCTTTTCATGAAACCTTGATCAATGAATGCAACGAAACGTCAGGAATCCGTAGGATGTCAATAGCCACTCAACTTGCTCTCAGTCGTACAACACTTCTAACTAGAATACAAGAGTTCGACAAAAAAGACACAATACTCAAAAGGGTCACTAGTCTTTGGTTTGCAGAACCAGGCCCAGTGCAGCTTCGGAGCGAGGGACTAATTTGCACGAGTAAGGTTTTGGACGGCTGATAAAAAGGCGTCGAGTCAGCCAGACATCAACGTATGCTACAAGATACGCCTCACCTGAACAAAGCAGACGTGAAGCCAACTTCGGGTTCGATAATATTACCGTCCTTATCGACTGGCTTCTGGACATCATATACGGCGAGAATGGAGGCGAGGGTGATCCACAAAGTGTCAAAGGCAAGCCAGCGACCAGGGCACATCCTATAAATGAGCGGTCAGGATGCACCCGACAACCTATTTAATGAATCGCAATCACCGTCTTCCGTAGCCAAATGCATCGTCCGGTAATATGTTGATGCCAGTCTCCGCGCTCTTCTTCGGATCCTCGAAGCGATCCGGGTTGAATGACGATGGGTCAGGGTATACTTCCGGATTATGTAGAATATTCCTGAAAACCAGTCAAATTCGGAGAAAAGGACGTTTTGAGTACCACTAACCAGATGTTTGCTAGGACCGTCGTTCCCTTGGGAATGTAGTATCCTTCGTAAACGTCATCCTCAGTCGTATAATGCGCGACACCCAAGGGCAGAGACGGGTTCCAGCGTAAACATTCCCAGACGATAGCGTCCACATAGGGTAATTGGTCGCGGTCGGAGAAATCAGGGAGACGATCAGGCCCAATCACACTGTCTATCTGAGCCTGAGCCTTGCGCTGGACCTCGGGGTGGACCATCATAGCAAGGAAAAACGATAGCAGAGCAGACAGGTTCTGTTCGGCACTATCAACCTTGGCTGTTTCTCAAGCCTGTGATCTGGCTTACCGACTCGGTTCCCGCTGAGTGCAAATATACGCATGCTCAGTACTGAGAACACAATTGCAAGTTCCATGGTGAAGTTCACCTCCGTAAGAAATTGCAGCCACCTGCTTGATCAGTATTTCATGTTCCGCATCCTGTCCTGTTCTGTTCCATTCCTCCAGCTCCAGGGTGGTGAAACAAGGTACCGCGGTGCCCGACGCCTGACACTGTGACTGAGCAGTCGATTCAACAAATCGTTCGCGAACGTACCATCTTTTGCTTGACCATCTCATACGGTTTGTTGATCATAGCAAGGGAGTTCTTGCGCCATTCCCTCGCTTGTTTCTGGAAGCCCGCACCTGGCATCCATGCTGGTACGTATCTCACTGTCACATACTTCAGCGGGCGGTCGTTCTACCAAAAGAAAGGATACATATGCTCACGAAGAGGGATGTAATCCACCAGGTATGTGCCATAGAGTCCTGCGCGCGAGAGGGAGCCCAACACTTGATCGGCCAAACCGACATACATGTCGCCTTCTTCTTCAATCTGGTGACCGTAGGAGATCTTCATGACCAACGCGGCGAAGCTCCTGAATTTTGATGCTTGAGAAAGTGGCGGCACGAACGACGTTCAAATACGCACCTTCGCAGATGGTGAGCAAGTTTGTCCGGGCTGCGATGCAAGTTGCGCAGCAAGGCATGAGTCTCTTCGATCTGCGTGGGCTGGTGTGTGGATGCCTCATTGGAGTGGAAGTGCTTCTGGAATAGTGCACGGTGTTTGCGCCAGTTATTTCCATAGGGCATTGACGAGAAGAGCCACCCCAAACCCATTCTAAGAACATCTCAAGGTATGGAAATGCGCGAAGCGACGACTTGAGCTTACAATTCTTGTACCATGATGCGCACCGGTCTAGAAGAGTATTTGGCACTACGTTTATCCAACAGGTCGTTCGCCGCCTTGGCCGAGTTGAGAATGATGATAGGGTTTCCAAATGCGTAGATGTAAATGATGTCCCCTGCACCCAGGCATCGACGTCGTGGTATAAGGTTTATAGGATCAACACTAACCATATATACTTTGCCAACTCGAATATGTCCGCCAGGGAGGAGCATTAGGCATCTTCACCTTTCCAAACCAGCTTGACTTCGGTCCGGGGGGAAGGGGATAACGACGGGACCTGCGAGTCCACAGCCCGATGAAAACCGCGACACTCGCTACGCCGGCAGCGAGAAGAGGCGCATAAGACTCCAGAGGGGCAGGTAGTATTCCTTCCAGCATGATGCGACGACAATGGGTTGGTGGAAAGGAGAAGGGTATTGGCGGGGTTGCATGCGGGGTTTTATATGATGATGGAATAGCGCAACGTCGCCAAGTCTATGGTCAACGTAAATGAGATACCGGCGCTTGCTACGGAGGCCCTGTTGCTGATACGGTTCGCGTTAGCATATGCCATTGCCAGGAAGTAGGTCGCAAACCATATGTCCTCGATTACATATCATGAATGCCGGGTTCAGGCAAGGTATACATTCATCGCGTCTGGTCCCGTGTCCATCCCTGACCGTGCCGCGTTCACTGATTCCTGAGTGCACTCGGGCGTCACTCGGTCCAACATCTTCCTGTACTGACTGCTTCCCTCTTCCCTCTTAAAGGGGACATATTACGTCTTCAGGTATCAGGAGTTTCTCTGTTGATTGTGACTTTGTACGAGGAGAAGCCCACGATCATGACCTACTATATATCGATCACAACTCCGAGATAGAGATCAAGGACTCGCCGAAGCTCGCATGGTGCAAGCAGTCTAGAAGACATGTGTTCCTTGAGCTGGGGCAGTGCTGCTAGCGTCCTGAGGACAAGCGATGGGCATTAAATAGGCAGCAGAGACTTACCCGTGAGCCAAGAACATGAGTCTGTGATGCATGATTCGTGGATTGACGATCAAGAGAGCGATTTCAACGTTACGAGCATCGATGGCATTCAGGGGCGGATTAGATGCCGGAGAAACAAAGTGGGGACTGACGTAACGATCCAGGTCGTAACGGAGGCACATTTATGAAATTGGAACACACTACAAAATGGACCAACACGAATGCTGCGGTCCAGGGATACTTGCTGACTCTTTTTAAAGGTATACGTCCTCCGCACGGCTCTGCATCCCAGTGAATGTGCACCCGCAACGATGCTCAGCGGGCGCCGGTCACCACTGAGAAGCTCCGGTCTTTGGGGTGGGCTCAGAAGAGCGATCATGTCGGTCGTGACGAACTTCGAACAGCGAACCGCTCGCACGGGACGATACTTAAGCAGGACCGACCTGCTCGGAGATTCAGAAACATTGTTTTGTGCGACCAGGGCTGAAGTCGACGCAAATCTGATAAGTAAAAACACAAGCCTTGGGGTGGTCACAGAAAACTGCAATACGAAAATAGATCTCGGTGCGCGCGAAAGCGTGCCGATCACTCACCACGCTATGTATGGGCCCAGAGTGGGCCCAGGTGTGTACGTACACTGAGCGCCGTGGGGTAGCGCGTAGGATGGGGTACGGGGTACATTGCATGCCGCGTTGACTTACCGGCCCTACACAGATCCCAGTATGCCCCATGAGACCGACCCTCTATTCATGCACATCACGATCAATTAACGCAAACGGTCACTCGAAGGTCTAGGCTGTGAGCGTACCAGAATAGGTTCCGTGGCCCTACATCGCCCTATGTACCACATTCCCCGGTACGAGAGCTTTGATCTTAGAAGCCGGACGCTCCGTGATCAAGGATACAAAAACCCGACATGAAGCGACATGAAGCCGGAAGCGCGAAAAGCGTCCGTCGAAAAAAATGACAGCTAAATCGTGTATCGCACGTGAGTATCACGGCCTCGTCAGGTGGCGCGACGCGTCTTCACAAAGCCACTGTGTTTGCCACTCGCAAATGGCTGTATCGAGTACAATGAACCCCAAGATCGGACACATCAGGAGCTAAATCATAGTCAAATTCGATACGAGCGGGATTAGGTAGCTTACATACTGTCGTTCAAGAGTGCGTGTATGAGGGCAGAGATCCAAGAGTCGGAACTACTCACTTGACTTTGAGCCATGCCCCTGAGCGTCAGCCATATTTTCGAGAGAAGAGTGGGAACGACTCTCGAGTCCTGAACATTTTAACGAATGGTCAACGAAGAGTAGAAATTTATGATTGCCGTAGCGAAAATCGAGGCCATGGCATGAGATTTCTGATAAGCCGTGGTGGAGGTGGCCTCATAAGACGGTGTCTGAGTGTGTCAAGAAGAGGACCGAACTTGGGCTGCGCCACCTCAGACCGAGGCGGCGCGGGGACAGCCGTTCGCAGCCACCTTGGCTTCGCCGCCGTTGGCATCCGCGTCCATCAAGCACTCGAAAAGTAGGCAGCGCCATCGTCTCCAGTCCCGTACAGAGCATGCCTCCGAGTATCCAATACCACTGCCCGTGTCTCTCCTCCACTCCGGCCCCACCGCCGCCGCACCTGACCTCGTCCTCTTACAGCTTCCACCCGCTGCACGAGCTCTACTTCTGCGAGGAATGCGATGCCGTGCGATGTAACCGCTGCGTGTCGATCGAGGTCAGTGGCTACTACTGCCCGAACTGCCTCTTCGAGGTGCCCAGCGCGAGCGTTCGCGCGGAGAAGAACAGGTGAGCACGTCCGCTCGCGACTCCTCACTGGTGCTCGGCGTGTCTCACGTCGCGACACGCTCCGCCCAGGTGCGCGCGGAATTGCTTTCTGTGCCCCAACTGCCGCAACACGCTCTCTGTGGTGCCGTCGGACCCTCCAGACATCGACGACGGAAGATCAGCCAACCTGAGTCTCAACGCCGTCGGCGAGCCGCCCTTCTTTCTCTACTGCAACCACTGCAGGTGGGACTCGGCCGAGGTGGACATCACGTTCGAAAAGCCCACAGGGCTCGCAGGTGCGTCCCCCGACCCGCCGATCCCGCGCCCGCTCATGCACGTCTTCATCCCTTCCCCTAGCGCAACTACAGAAGTACGAGGACTCCGCGCCTGAATCGCTCGAGTTCGAGCGCCTCAAGGAAAACTTTGAGCCCTTCCTACGTGCATCCTCCTCCGCCCATGCTCCGTCGACCGCGTCCCACTCACACCACTCCCACGTGAACCCCATCACAGCAGCCGCGTCCTCCGCCCTTGCGCGCGACATCCCTGGGGTCAGTAAGTATACACCCCACCCGCGCACTCGCGGCCGCGACAAGGGTTCTAAGGACGAGTCGCCGGAGTACCGCAGCCGAGTCGAGACGTCCGTGGCTGGCGCTGGCGGGGAACAGGACCTTGATTTCATGCAGCACATCGAGGAAGTGAGCGAGGTGGCCGCGCTGGAACAGCGGTGGGCGAACAGCTGGGCGACATCGCTGAGGGCGCAGTACGTCCTCTACACGCTGAACGATTGATGCCTGCTCATTTAGTTTTTACGCGCAGAGACCTCAAACCACTACGCATCCCATTACACTCAAAAAAGTCCAAGCGCTGTCCAACATGCCGCCACATCCTCATCAAACCCGAGCAGAAGGCACAGTCGGTGCGCTACAAGATCAAGCTCGTCGCCGCCAACTACCTCCCCTCCATCACCGTCGCGCTGCCCCAGCCCGAACCCGTCCGGCGCACCGCGGGGTCTCGAATCGTCTCTGGCGAGGACACCAGCGGGGCGGGCGGCATGATGGTGGGCAAGACGTACCCATTCCACCTCGCCATGACGAATCCGCTGTACGACCCGATCCAGGTGCGCCTGTCGGTGCAGAGGCAGATGCCCGCCGTGGCCGTGGCGTCCGGAGAGCCCGCATCGCCCGAAAAGGCGCGTCGGCCGCCGTTCGCGGTGTCGCTGCCGTCTGCCGCGTTCCCGATCGCCGCATTCGCGGAGGCGTGGGAGTACGAGGACGACGAGGACATGTTTGGCGTGGAGGATGACGAGTTTGGATTTGACGGCCGTGGGGGCGCGCGCGTGCAGGGCGCGAAGAGCAAGACCGTGGGCGTGCTCGAGAAGCGGGCGAACGTGACGATTGTGGGAGGCGAGGTGATGATCGGGAAAGAGGCAAAGGGGGAAGTCAAGGTGAGCATTCTCCGGTCGCGTCCCATCATCGTGAGGTGGTGATTGCTGATGCTGTTTTGGAAACCAGTTCAACATGCTCGTTTCGTACACGTATCGCTCGGACGACGCGCTTCCCGAGGACGACGTGCGTGGGACGCCATCGCGGACAAACAAAGCGCAGGCGCCAGAGATGAAGACGTTCTCGTTCTACACGGTGGTGGAGCTGGGGACGATCCTGGCACGAGAGGAGAGCAGGGTGGATGATTTCTGAGTGTGCGCCTCTACTGTCTACATTACTCTGGGTGCGATGCGAGCTAGCTATTTTGCGGTCTGTTTTCGCAGTGAGCCCTCGCTGCCCGACGCGGTGATCTATATACGAGCACGATGACCGAGATGGCCTGCCCTTGCGCTTTGGTGATTGGCTGGCGAGGGTCACGGGAGCTGTTGTGGTGCCTGGATACGCTGACCTAACCATCCAACGCCTGCAGCGGAGCGGTGGGCGGCGTTGTCGTGCTTGTGTACTTATCTTTCTCCTTTCTTTGATGCCATTCTTCAGGTCGTCTACTTGCCAGGTGCAAGCTTGAGCTAGTCTTTTTTTTCTTTCCTCCCTTTCCAGGCGGCCGACTAGTCATGGCATCCACCAACGAGGCCGCGTCGGGTTCCACCTCGTCGGCACGGGCACTTGACGTGCAGGAGATGCATCCCCCGGCGGGTCCATTGCCTTCCAAGCGTGGCGAGATTGGATACCAGGAGCAGATTCACGGGCGCCCACAGGTGCAGGAGGCAGAGGCCGCGAGCATTCCCGAAAGACATCCGGCAGACACACCTCTTGCGGGCAATCTATCGTCACCATCTTCATCACCATCTTCATCAGTTCCTACAATCACAACCAGCAGCGCACCAGCGAGCGCGCCGTCCACTCCTTTGAACGACTCGTCGTCCACGCATTCCATGGGCAAGCGCAGCATCGCGTCGCTTCTCAAGCCCAAAAACGTCCCCACCTACGGCGGCGTCCGCCTGACCACCATCCTCATCCTTCTCTTCCAGCTCTCGCTTCTCGGCGGGACCATCGCTGGCTGGGTACTCGCCGTGAAGCTGCTCGGCCGACGGCAGAGCCAGCAACCGGGCGACGACCCGAATGGCCAGATCAACGGCGGCACGACGAGCATCTTCGTGTACGTCGCGTTCGGGATCACGGTGCTCGCGCAGCTGCTCTTCCTGGAGCGGCGGATCTTCCGCGTGCGTGCCGAGCGCTACGGGTACCTGCACCCCGGGGAGATGCTCCCGACGTCGCTGCGGCGAGTGTCCGCGCGGCGCAGCACGGCGATGGGCATCGCGCCGTGGCACCGTCCGCCGCTGCCGACATACGCGGCGGCGCTCGCGCAGAGCGGGGTGGGGACGGGGGACGTCGAAGACTCGGCGATCGCGCCGCCACCGCCGCCGGCGTACGGGCACACGCGGGGAAGCCGGCTGCTGCTGGCGGGATTCCTGCGGACGAGTCTGCGGGCTCAGGCGCGGGAGCTGGAGGTCGACCGGCGGAGCAGGATGAGCGAGCGGAGCGACCGGCCGGTGAGCTTTATGAGTCGGGACGAGGAGTGGGAAGAGCGGCGGGATGCGGAGAGGGCTCTGCAGGTGGAGGAGGCGCTGGCGCGGCTGGAGGAAGGACATCAGGAAAGGCCTGTGCGTGTTTCGTAGACGCAGAGACGCTGAAACGTGCTTCGATGGACGCTGGTTGCTACCGTTTGGGAGGTTGGAATGCTGATCGGTGCGTGATGGTGACTCGGACGCCCGGAGATCTCCCAGCGAGGACTGACTCTCGAAATCTTCCGTCTGATAGCCGCTCGTTTTTATTCCTATTGTGCAGATCTTGCTTTTGGCGTCGAAGAGGGGGTCGCTGTACATTGTGTGTGTTATTCGTACGTGCATGCTGGGACAATGTATTATTTCCTTGTCTTGACCCGATGTGCGAGTGCCGTGAGTGCTTACAGCATGTGCTGACCTAACGGGGCCATGACCACAGAGCTGACTCGATCGCGGCGGTGGTGGCGGTTGCGCTACATCCGCGCTTCAGCCTCCGCGTCTCACCATGCCAGAGGCTCGAGGCTGCGCAGGGGCCGCCCCTCTCTTTGCTTTTATAAACGCTTTGACCCAAGCTGAACTATTTGAACCCCTGTCCTCTTCTCTCCCGCCATGACTTGTCTACCACCCCCACCAGCCATGCCTCCCCCTCCGTACTCTCCCTCCCCTGACGCACCCTCCTACTCCATCGACCCTCGCCCGTCAGAGATGCGTCTTGCCCTGACCACACGCAAGACTCGCAGCCTTACAGGCGACGAGACCATCACCGTCTCGGGAGACAACATCGCCCTCGCCTTCAGCGGCCAAGAGCACGGCGCTAACGTCCCCACCTACGGCCGCCACGCGCTCATCCAAGGCGAAGTCGCCCTCGCGTCCACTCAGAACGTGCTCGCCGTCTCGCTCACGGTGAGAAGCCATCGAGCCCCCTTTCCCCGCGCCCCTAACCTGACCTCTTCTCGCTCCCTACAGCTCCAGGGTACCCTTGCCCTCACCTTTGGCGATGGCACGGCCAACACGACCACATTCTTCTCCATGTCCGAGCCCCTCTGGAGGGCGGGCCCATCGGCGCCGACGTGCCAGTCCATGCTGCCCTTCAAGATCACCATGCCTGACACTCACATGAATCTCGGCCGAACGCGTGTCCTACCTCCGACTTTCAACGCGGACCTTCCAGGCTTGCCCGTGGTCCACGTCGGCTGCAATTACGCTTTGACCGTGTGCGTCACCAAGACGCGTAGCCTCACGCCATGGAATCCAAAATCAACGTGCGTCCTGCAATGCTTGCGCGGCAGACACGTGCAACTGGCTCACCCGAAAACGTTTGCATCTATAGGTTGAATGTTCCGCTCATGTATCACCCTCGCACCCGGCCGCATCAAGCTATCATCCCGTCCGCCTTCCCATTTCTCTCGACCATCAAATCCGTGCCAGAAGAATGGCATCAGGTTATCTCGACGATGTCCACCACTTCGAGCGCAAAAATCGCACCTATAGAATGCCATGTACGTTCCCGCCCCCATCAACCCTCGTCCTCCATTCCTCTTCATCGTCTGAGCGCGCCCCTAAACTTCCTCTCCCATCCCACCAGCTCTTCGTCCCGGAAGTTCAAATCTACGCCATCACAGACACCGTGCCCTTCTTCCTCCAGCTCTCCGCGCCCCTATCCTCGCTCGACGCCTTCCTCCACCCTACCCCACCGACGACGTCCCGCCTCGGCCGCACGAAGAGCTTCGACCCCGCTGCGCGCCCGGCCCTGCGCGTGTCGCTCGTGCGCCAGGTGGCCACGTCCGTCCGTGGCGAGTCTGCCATTCGCACGCTCGTGCTCGGCGAGGGCATACTTCGCGAGCTCCCGCCGGCCGCGCCGACCGGATCGAACCCGCTCCGGGCGCCTGCGGAGGGGTGCGAGGCGCTCAACTGGGAAGGCGAGGTGCGGTGTCGGAAGGACGTGAAGAATGGCGGGTTCAACGCCACCGGCCTCGTCGTCAAGGTTAGTCCTGTGTCTCGCGTCTTGCCACACCCCATCTGACTCGTGCTGTCTTTTCGTTAGGACTTTATCCGCCTTTTGTTGGTTCCGCCGAACCCGAAGACGTCGCCCCTTCTCGAGCATGAAAATCTGTTCTCGATTCGCCTCGTCACCGACTCGTACGCGGAAGCGCGCGAGGAAGTCCACTTCCCCTTCGCGTGGTGACCTTGGCGCACCGGAGCATCTCTTACCTTTCCTCTCTCTCTTTTCCCTTCTCTCCTTTCGCATTGGTTATTTTATTGGTTTATCACGCTTTTAGACTCTCATACGCTCCTGGAGCGTTCTAACAAGTATCCTACGCTCCCCATATATTCGCTCCTTTCCGTTATTATCCGAAGACACACGACCACGCCCCACGTATTCGCCCCCCCGCCCCTTCCGCACTCACTCACGACTGACGCCCCATTTATTTATTTCCTTGTGTTACTGCGCTCGCGCTCGATTCGGCATCTGTACTCCTACGCATCATCCTCCGCATCGTCTGTTGTCAGTGTATTTTTAGTAGTCCGTGGGTGGCGAAATTCATGATTATGATTGGTTATATGGTCATGCTGCAGCGCCCGCGCAAGTTTCTATCCCTAGATCCGAGAGCCGCTTGGCCGTGTCCTCGACATTGCGCGAGAGTCTGTCCAGATTGACTCCTCGACAAGTCGCGCCGGGGCACCGTGCACGCGGCGGACGGTCGAGGTACCTTCGGGATGGTGATGGTACATGGCTAGCTATGGCTAGTGGCAGCCTCCGTCATTTCGAGTCAGGACCTGTCAGGGCGCGCGCTTCGATCGACAGGACGATGATCATGACTCGGCCGATCGCGTCTCGAGAGGCGCGCCGTCGAGAACACCTGCATTCGTTGTCTGTCATCTGAAATCTCCCTGGTTTCTGCTGCGCACATTTTATCTCGTGCTCGTGACAATTCTGACGTCTAAAACTACAGGAGCAAGATGCAAGCTTCGGGCCCCCGCTCTGTCTCTCTCGCAGATTCTGGCTGTATCAAGTAGCCGTCCCGATTTGGGAGGTGTCGTGGATTGAGCGCCCGTCGATTTACGGGGTCCTCATGTGAGGTGCGTTGCACACTAACCCATCCATCATTTTCCCAATGCTCGACCTCAACCTCGAGAAAGGATCGCAAAGTCTCTGCCTCGACGTCCCCGCATGCCTATCTTACTCTCCTTTCATGCGCGGTGCCGTTGTCCGCTGCGTGTACATACCGCATCCGTCTGATGCAGCCGACAACTGATCGTTTTGTGTCATTGCCGTTGCTCCTGTTCCTTCATGTTCTCTGGATTCGTGCGCACTGTGCATATGGCCCTCGAGACGGATGCAGTGAAAGCGATTGGGTCGGGACGGTATTGATGAGCTTTATTGATACATGTCGAGCTCGAGACTGCTGAATATTTGTTTGGACGACCAGTTGGTCGCGACTCGCTACAAAGCCTACAGCTCACCGAAACTAACCGGCCTTTCTTTACAATCAAAAAGGTTCTTGGTCTCAAACTACGCTGCAATAGCAGCTGTGGGGGAATACAGGCGAGGCTTCGAGAGGCGAGGTACGTGTGTATATGGTAGCATCCTTGCCTTTTTAAGCGCTCACGCCCATCCGATCTCGGGCAGCCCATGAGCGTCCGTCACGTCCTCCTCGATCGACATCCTTCCTTGACTGTGGATGGATGGCGGCGACGGGTGAAGAGATCGCTGACAGGATCAGAGTTGATCATCGGGGATTCCATCGTGTCGTTTCTACCAACATGGTAAGTGGTGGGATCGAGCGTGCTAAACAGCGAGAGACTGTGCTCGACGATACTCCCGTCGCCCGAAGCGGCCTGAGGTCGGTGGACACAAAATCATGCACTCACTCCCATCGCAATGTTTTCCGTTACTCGGGAACGAGGAGAGGATCTTTGCGACCTCATAGTGTTGCGTTCTTGGGCACACAAGTCCGGAGAGCGGCTGCCATAAAAAAACCATCTCTGTTCCCATTTCCTGCTGAGGAGAACCACGTCGACTTTCAAGATGCCTCTGCCCTATCCTCAAATCCGCGCCTCTACTTGAGAGGTGTATTTTGGCATCACCTGGCTGCTTGGGCCCCGCCGCACGGTACCATTCCTCGCCGGCGCGTTGACTCGTGTCTCAGCACGGAGACGGTCGGGCTGCGATGTTAACTGACATTTTCGGGCTCGTTGTTCGTCTAGAACGCCCTCGAACCGCGCTCGAGCCCGAGCGGAGCGGTAGGAATGCTTTGCACATCGCTGGATTTGGTGTCGAGGATGCCGTTCTGGGCATGAACAGAGGTCCCGGTACTTCGGGTGGCCTAGGAGTTTGTTTTTAGATGGGACGGCGGCGAGACTCTTCCTCTTTGTCCCGCTTAGATGGGACGGCGGCGAGACTCTTCCTCTTTGTCCCGCAGCGCTGCAAAACACCCTTCTACTCGGACTACTCTTCCTCTCAGCGGATGGTGCTCGTCACATCTACCTCGTATGTCAGGATTTATTTGTTATGACTTGAACTCCACCAGGATCTATCTTGGTTGACGAACACATCTCCGCAGTTAGAAAGAGCAGGACAATGTCTTCACGGTATTGTACTTGGTGGTCTGGTCCAGCAGTGTCGACCGAGCGCCTCTCCGTTGTAATCGAGCCTGCTCGTGCGAGGCCGCCATCCCCTCTCAGCCTCAATCCCAATACCTAACATTTAATCCCCCCCTCTCCAGCCATGTCATCCATTCGATTCTTCATCCTCGACCATCACTCCTATCAAGATGTCCTGCAACAGCTCCACCACCGACCTTGTCAACACTGTCGCCATCGACCGCCAGGGCCTGTCCTTGTCTTGGTGTCTCTTCCTTGGCTTCACCATGTCGCTGTTCATCTTCGTCGTATACTCGATCGTCTCTACTGCTATACTCGCTCGCAATCCCAAGTCTAAGGCCCGCAAGCTTCGTCCCCTCTCGCTCTCGGCTACACACTTCACCCAAGTTCGTTCTCCTACTCTCTTCGACACGACCATCGTCTTCCTCTCCTGCTATGCTCCGAGACTCCTGCCGGGCGTCTCACATGCAGTGGAGAAGGTGCAGTCGGTCGCACGGCTCCGCGGTATGTCATGCTTCTCTTATCACATACACATCCTCGACTGACATACATCCATGCAGTACTGTCGTCACCTAAGTCCCCGGCCCTTCGCCCTCTCACTCTTCCTGCCCGTCACTGTCAACCGGTACCTTCAGGCATCATCGCCAACATCGTCGTCATCTGTGCTCGGGTCATGCAGTTCTTTGTGACATTTACTCAAGCTCGTGTGCTAGTCCTTGATAACACCTCTCGCACCCAGCACCTGGCGTCGGACTGTTCTTGCATTGTACTCGGATACTTTGATGGATGGGTCAAGACCTGGGGTGATGCCTCGCGTTCCGTCGTTGCATCTATCTCCTCTCGTATGCTGCAACTCCAGCCAATCATCGTGCAGATATTGGAAGACTCTCCTCTGGTTATTGTTTGGCGTGGTGGTAGGCCCCTTCTCCGACTCATCCCACTGCCATCGACTGACTCGTGTCGTATCCACCAGCCCTGTTCAACCCTCCTGTCCTCGCATCCGTGCCCTCAAGCCTCTTTGCTATCCTCACTTTCTCCTTTGCTCAGACGATGCAGCTCGCGGTGACACAAGTTCGATCTGCTCGTGTATCGGTTCTCGACAGCTATGCATCTATCGAACATCTAGCGAGAAAGTGGTCTAGCGCGATGCTTGGACACATCAATGAATGGATCGAGATTTGGGGCGAGCCTTCGCTAGGGTTGATCACATTCCTCGCTTCTGGTCCTGTGCAACTCTTGACGGGAGACGTACGGGCACTGGAGACTCTGCCAATGTGGAGCAACGCGATCGTTCATTTCTGGCGCACTGTTTTATTCCCTAGGCTGAATCGTATGTGCTTTTCCAGTTGCTTTGCTCGTACATGGCTTATATCTTCTTCGCAGTACCTTTCTTTTCAGAAGCAACCCCATGGGTCCCAGACATCATTCCCACTATTATCGTCACGCCGCCTAGACTGCCGCACATAGTCAAGAGCTACCCCGTTGACGACGAGGTCGACCAGACTCAACTCAGTCATCTTGGCTTTATTTCTCGTGCGCAGATGCTGGCGTGGTTTGAGGAGATCGTCCAGATATCATCGATGGGCGTGGAGGCTGCAGTCGGGGAGGAAACCCAAGCTGTGACCAAGGACAACATTTACGAGCAACAGTCAACCTCAAGCACTCAGCCACTGACGCAGCGCTTGTGCGATCTGGGCACTTGTATCCTCACCGTTCTCATAGGCTTATTTGTCTCCGTTGTCCAGCTTGCTACGACCGTTCTCCGTGGACCCTCTCTGGTTTGTATCTTGGTCGCGGCATGGGCCGCCAAATTCTGTGGGGGCTATTATCATCTGTGGGTCAAGGCCTGGGGTAATGCCCCCGCGGCACTCTCAACTCTGCGCTCTTCTTCACTGAATGGTACGCCGCGGTCTATCGATGATTCCAGATATTTATACTAATGCTTTCTGCACAGAGTGCTTCCCGTTGTACACCTGTTCATCAATGACGTCCGCTACCGATGCAATGGCCGACTCTGAGCCGGAGCTTGACGGTCTTTCAGCATTCTCTGGGTTCATGCGCCCGTCTCTGGCTTGCTTCGATCTCGCGTCTCTCGCGTCGGAATCTGATGCCGACGATCAGTCCTCGGATGGATCTTTGGCTTCCCCTTTGCTCACGCGCCCGTCCAGCCCTGAATCCGTGACCACTGTCGGCGAGGATGTGGTGGTGGAACAAGCAAAGCCCAAAGTTCTGGATCATGCTCCCATCTCAGTCCCCTTGTCTGATGTCGAACTTCCGCGTCGGTCTCCCGTCTCAGCCTTGTTCACGCTGCCCTCTACTCCCAGATCTCTTACCCCCATCCTCGAAGAGGAGGAGACGGAGATAGAAGTGCAACAGGTCAATGACCGTGCTTCATCTCCGACTCCCGAGCCTGAAGAGCAATTTACATGTCGGTTCTTTCGCATGTCTAGCTGGCTCGAGGAAGAAGAGGATGATGAAGACGACGACGAGGCCCCTGAAGGCTCTGATCAGGACGCCTCTCCAGTTCCTATGCCTGACCATGGATCATGCCAGCCTTCTGACATGGCCCCCTGGCCCACCCATCCGGCCACTCCTGGATCGGTTCCTGACATTCAGGAGGTGCAAAGATACCAGGTTCCCGATCGCGTGCTCTCTTGGGTTCCTATGTCCGACTTTGAGTCGCCGCGTGCAGCCCCGACTGCACCCTCTGTCTCGACGGTGCCCTCAGCCACTCCTGCTGCATCCACGACCGTCATCCGGGAAGAAGACAGGGTGTTGCCACAAAGGGCACAGTATGTCACGATCTCCGTGGTCAAGCCTGTCTCTGGCAAACGGCCGTCGCACCGATCCCTCGCACCCAACTCTCTGTCGCCACCGCCTACCCCCGTGTGTCTCAACATCATACAGGAGGAAGACGAGGACGAGAGTGAGGGCGCGAGCAAGGGCGACGATCAGGGACCATGGACTCCGGACCCTATCCCAGTGCTGGCTCTCATCTCACCCACTGGTGAGGAGATCGCGAACTCGCACACTGATGGCGATGCAGTCAACTGGTATCCGTGGCGTCCTCTGGGTTCTAGCTCCCAGGATCAGGTCGACGAGGTCACGCAAGTCGCTTGCTCTGCTGTGGAGGGCTCTGTCTCTGTAGTAGACGAGATTCGTTGTAAAGGTCAACACGTGCCGGGAAGCCAACAAGGTTGCGAGGCCGCGGTCAGCGAAGAGATCATCCGTTCCGCGTCGGTCCTCTTTGGATCACCGCAGTCTTCTTCGGACACCGAATTCTCATCCGTCATTGACTTTGACTCTCACCCGCCCTCGTACTGGTCAGACGACACCGTCCTCTCCATCACGCCCTCGTCACTGTTTATGGCGCGCTCCGCACAGATCGTCGCGGACTTGGGTCACCACGTCGCCGATGTCCACTGGCTCTGCGGATTCGATCTGGAGTCCCAGGCACCCATCGTGTCGCGCGGCATCAAGTCGATCGTCGGCGATGTCGTCAGGGCCATCGGACATGCCTTCCGCTCGGTGCACACCTTCCTCACGCGGGCTACCGTCTAGGATGGGCTGGTGTCGAGTCGTCTTTGTGGCGACTTCCGCTTGCGGTCATCTCTTGCACGACTTCCTGACTCTATTGCACGATATCTCTGGTTCTGTTTGCACGATTCTTGGCTCTATTTTCACGATCTCTGGCTCTATTTGCACGATTCTTGGCTCTATTTGCACGATTCTTGGCTCTATTTGCACGATTCTTGGTTCTATTCGCACGATTTCTCTTGCACGATGCCCAACTCGACTCGCATGGTGCACCATCTCTTTTGCACGATCTATGATTATATCACTTCGCTTGCACGGCTACTACAATACGTTTTCTAGTTTCCTTTCTTGCTGGAGTGTGTGGTACTTTGCCAAGCTGCCAATGCGCACGACAGCTTGGTAAAGTATCACATCTCTCTGGCCTTCTGGTTTTCTTTCGCTTGTTCCATCTTTCTTCATCTCTGGGTTTGGGGACGTTCGGTACGCTAGGGTACACAATACTGCAGTTTTCATGCATATTTTGGTACTGGCTTCCCTGCGATGTTGACACGCCTTTGAGGCCGTGTTCAGCATGCAGGGGAAAGCCGCGGGTCTGAAATGTGCTACTACGCCGCCGCCTCAAGGTTCAAGCTTCAAGTCCACGCGGATAATTCTAGACATAAGCATATTCTTTATAATCATGGTCATACAACAGTCAGCGCTCCAAGGCTACATCGAATGGCTCAACAGGCTGGTATGCTATGAGTGGGCGTCGAGTGCCAGGAGAAGGCAGGTAAAATAGGTCTTCATCGTCCGCAGGTGCAGTAATGTTATGACTGTGCCACCCATGAGTAACGAAACACGCATATGGGGTTGGTGAACTCACACTGTGAGTATATGCTCCGCCACTGTCGCCCTATCCTCGAGCTCGGGAAGAGCCGAGCAGTGGTTGCACTGCCAACGTTGATGCATGAGGCTGGGGTCTTCGGGCTCCCTGCTCTTCACATCGGCAGTGATGTCCGGAGGAAGCACAGAGAACGAAGGTGTTGAGTGGTCTATGCGGTTCGACAGCATGTAATGGTCGACCTGATGGTCGTGCCTATAAGCTCGCAGGTACCGACATAAAATAAAAGAGGGAGCTTACACATTTCCTCCAACCAAATGCGTACTCGGCTTGAGATTTTGACGCACGGCGCTCAGACTCGGTGGCGCCACCACAGTCGTCGCAGACGAAGCGCAAATCGAGCCTGTCCATGTCTGCCGCAGTCGTGGTTGTCGAAGCGCGTCCCACCAGCGCCACCAAGTTTGCCGCGGCGTCGAACCCTCGCTGGGAGAACAGAAAGTCTTTTGTGACGAGGAAGTCCGTCGTGCGCATCTTCCACACGTTGCAGAAGTCCCGCCCGATGTACGCGAGCGCGCCGTCTGTGAACACGGCGACGGCCAGCTGGAGAGCGCCCGCGAAGCCGACCTTGCCGTCGGTGCGCCTCGCGGCAGCGGCGGGAGTCGAGATGCGGACGACGCTGTCGGAAATTTGGAGCGATTGGAAGTCGGGTGGTAACATCTTGATGAACCTAGTCCTTCTCTGTTTGAACCAGTGCATCATGCTAACAGGCAGGCCGACAGCCGCTCGCTTCCAGTCATGGTACGTGAATGGTAATGCCGTAGGTGCCTCGTGGTGGATGATTTCTTGAAAGCACAAAAGGTCGGATCCCTGATACGCTGCCGGGAAATAGAACAACTGTGAGGGAAGGACCTGTCTAAGAAACGCAGCATAACAGCTTCTCGTCTCGTCACGCCGGACCTGGCGCGCCTGCTTTTGCTCCTCTGTCAGAGGTAGATCTACTATGCCAGACCGGGTGATCCAAGGATTTAAGCGCTCCAGCTCCCGGCGATCAGCCTCCTCTCGCTGTGCCCTGATCAGCGCCGCTTCCCTTCGCTTGCATAATCTGCGCTGATGTTCTTCTTGCTCGAGGCGGGCATCGCGAATAACGATCGCCTCGGCTTCAAATGCATCGCGAATGCGGTCCCAGCCTGGTAAAAGTCAGCACACGAGTTAAGGTATGTAGATCTTGTTCTGCTTACCACGATCTGTCAGCTTCTTAGCTATCCGAATTTGGGGCAATCTCTGAAACCGACAGCTCTCGATATCCTGTGATTCGTACCCGAGGTCTAGCATGCGTGCTTTAATTCTGTTCTAGATGAGCATATTACAGAAGAGCGGATAATGAGAGATGGTAACTGACTCCGCGAACCTCTCGTTTTTTAAACGAGTGGCTTCGATACTCCGCACTGTCGTGACGACTTTAAGCCACTGTAGATACTCGTGGTGGCTCTGGTAATTAGAGACCTGAATCATTACCATGCACTTTTCTCCAGGAAGAATACGACAACGTACCGCCCGGAGGCCCTCTACAATTGCAGTCCTATCTGCCTTGAACGCGTCCCAGGCTTCCTGAGCACCTGGTTTCTCTGACATGAATCCGATTGCAAAACTAGTGAGTGTGCCAACAAGTTCTTCGATATCCGGCTTCCAAAAAATCTTTGGCCAATGAAGACATTGTCCTTTCCAGAAGACGTTCATTTAGGTAAAGCGTAGACGTGAACAAGATCAATCTACCATTCACGTAAGGCACCAACGTCACGATGTCTGAATAAATTTCTGGGTATTCCTCTGCAACTTGTTCATCGCGTATAGAGCTGTAGGAATGTAGTGTGAGTTGTCCGTCTCAGTGCCCTGTAGAGGCATGCGTACAGTTCTTTGAAGCATGTTGGACAAACCCGCTTTCGAAACGAAATCTGCATGGTCGCCGTCTTCCTATGCCCGCATTGCTAAATTCGCAATCACCAAACAATAAGAAGTGTCAACAAAGATAACAATAAACCAGATATGCACTGACCCCGCAAAAGGGCCAAAAGAGCAAGGCGGCCCATCCAGGTTCAGATAAGCCTCTTGGGGGGCTGGGTACCGGGTGTTCCGCATGCTGAAGACGAGCAGACCGCCACACTGAGATGCTATTGCGGGACATAAGGACGGTGCGCAGGGGCTTCGTCAACCGAGCGAGGCGAAGTAGATCGGCGGGCGTCAGGAAGCTAAAGATCTACGAATCCAAAGGGGTCAGGGTGATCGTCTACTGAATATGCGGGCCACATACATCATACAAGATGTCAAGGGGCATGCTGACCAGCTTGTTCAAACGACCCTGTCTCCTGCGACTCAGACCCTGCGAGGGCTTCGCTAGGGCCACGCCTGTTCTCCTACGTTTTGTCTGGGGCAAGGGTTGATCTGTAGATCAGATCCACGCGCATGAGTATGTGTGATAGCGGACGTAAATGGGAACCCTACCGTGCTTGTCTACAAGAAGCTTGGAGCAATGATCCCGAATGCCATCGCCAGCGACAGAGTTGAGGCCAACTCGTACAGAGTACTCCTCAGGCGATGCTTCAATCTCTCTGGCTTCCATGGTGAGATCGATCCTTGGAGGTTGTGGCCCAGTGCTGGAGAGGAAGAGGAAGAGAGGGGGGTGGCGATGACCTAGCCTCGCTGTGCAATGGCTGCTTTTATACGGGCAAGACGGTGCCAGATCAATTAGTTAATTCATTTGTATGTCCGCCACACAGGACGACAGGACAGTGCTTCCGAGGGGAAGCGCCTGAGTCGCCACCCGCTTCAGGGTGAGTCGTTAAACGACACCCAGGGGCCAGGACCGGGCGTTTTGCCATGCAGATCGAAGCGATAATTGTCGGAGTGTTGCTCGGATATTCAACGCGAAATATATTCTAGCGAAAGATGTCGGAGGATGGCAATGATTGGTTCGAGTTGTGTGGCAAAACAGGAATCGCCGCTGCGCTGGTTTCTTTAAACGGACGACGGTGGCAAGTCCACGCTGATGACGTCAACCGTGCTTCAGTGGTTGCTCGCGGACCTCGAACACACCTGTGGCCGTCAGTCGGGGTCTTCCACTGCCGTTCTCCCCTCAAACGTCGACATGATCGCGAAATTACGCTGTCCAAGAATCCCTGACCATATGGTTCTTTTGCCATCGCTCTAGCAGACTGCGGACCCTTCGCAGAACACACTTCGTCATGCCAAGGGCATTCGGCTTGTATTCGTGCTGTCCGTCACATTGGCGCGTAATCACCAGCAAGTTCTTGACTTGGCTAAGCTTGCTGACGGTTTGAACGAACCGTCAACAAAGCTCAACAATCTGACTCTGGCCTGCATCAGCTCGATGAAGCTGGCATTCTACAACAGGTTGTATATAGATTGCGGCTTGGTGGCCTGGCAGTGGCTGGATGGACAGCGTCAAGTGGCCTTGCACGCACTGCTCAACCAGATACTATCAGACCTTACAATGTCGAACTTCGCCGCGCGCAGAGCACTATCTGTCTATCTCAACCACTGGGACTCTACTGGGGCGTACTTGGGGCGTTGAACTTGCACGGGTTATTACGTCCATGGGCTTCCGTCGCTCCTCAGCTCGGTTCGATTGAGGATCATCCATTTCCTCGTACCTTGCTCGTCGCTTACCGGGATCTCTTCAAGGAGGTAGGTGACCGAACAGCGTCTCAGAGCGTCTCAGCCACCTACAGGGGAGCATGCGTTACCGGCTATTCAAACGATCGGAGCCTTGTCTAGCCTCGTATCGTATCGTCGTGGACATCGGATAATTGCGCAGTTGAGGCTGGATGAAGGCTTCCTCTTGTTCTCATTCCATGCACACGCGACTAGGATCCTCACCGGTTGTTCACGGAAACAAGTCGCCAACTATTCGTATCCTTAGCGCTCAGCACTCATGTGCATGGGCTGCGCGCATCTTGTCGCGATCGTCACAAAGAGTCAACATCCTGCAAGTCACACCTGGATGCACTTCTCGGCATCTGACAACACCTACGGCAGGGTTGTAACTCCTTAAATCCAATCCCGCCTCCTCCTTTCCTATTCGGTGTTTTCGTCGATCGACGCACATACATGCGACTAGTATGCGACTTCTCTGCGATCACTTGCCCCACGCTAAGTGCCTGACCAAATTTGCTTGGGATCCGGGGGGCGCCTCACACCGGATGTATTCCGTCCGCCTCCATTCCCTTGCCCCTTCAGGACCGACCAATCATAGCTGCTCATCGCGCTTTCAAAATCCCAGTCGCCACTCGATACCCGTTTAGTCGCAAGCGGGGCTGGATCCTCAACGCGATGGCGAATTGGTTAGCCGTTCTTATCTCGTCATCTTCTGCGTTCCACCCGTCTGGACAGGTTCCACTCGCAGCCCTCCTTATATCGATGGAGCATGTGATGTCTCCCTTCCAACAAATTTGCGGCAATTGTTTTGCCTTCACTCCAAATTGTTCAACGGCCCAAGCTTCGGCGGCTGTGTGAGGTTCGAGGGCCTTCACAAAAGCTCACAAAGCGCTCGTCAATTGTACCTCGCGATGTGTCGTGTTGATTGCATCTGGGCCTGAAATGCGGCAACCGGGGCGCCCGAACGCTTGTTCTAGATGGGCAACCATGCGGGGCCCAAGATGGCAAAAGTACGTCAAGTTCTCTCCGTGGATTCGCATCGGTTCTTCCGGAGGTGTTTCAGCCACAAGCTCGCAAGCCAGCTCTCTGTCTGCGCTACGTTACGGGGTTGTCTATAGATTTGAGCATTTTATCGCCGTTGGGAAATGCTTACACTCCGTGGGCCTGAACATTTTGAATGTCTATGCCTTGTAGAGAGAGCGCAACGAATAATAGCTTTGCGATTGTCCTGCATCACGGGTCCTCGCGGGTGATCATTTACACCGTGGCATTCCCGTCCTCCTCAACAAGGGCTACTCGACGCCCACTCTTTCCTCCAAGAAAACCTGAACGTTCATATTTGAACACGTATTCGCCGACCGCATCCCTGAGCACCCATGTTGATCCAGCGAAATTATGTCTACCCAAATTTCAGCGGTGCTTTTGCTCGCAGATGACCCGCACCATTCTCCGATTCTCCTCTCTTTCCCTTTCCTTTGTTTTCTTCCTCTCTCGTCGCGCAAAATCGACGATCGCCAGACTGCCCCATTATGCATCAGAGATCACCTCCAATCCGTATATTGGGACACCGCACAGTCGACGAGTTTTTCATTTCAAGAAGTCCTCGTGCAGTCTCCAGTTTCCTCCGACCGCCTTTATCTGCACTGGCTCATAGCAAGGCCGACGAATGATTGCCCCGTTTTTTTATCGGTGATATCATGCTGAACTCTGTCTATATGGAGGTTCGATAGGCAGCGGGAATGACAGGCCAGAGTAGACGGATGAGGAAGAGCAAGAGTAAGTAAGTCGTGTCACTTCCCCTTCTACCCTGATCCCCAACATTTTCTCCCTCCTTATCCCTCCCTGCCGATGTCTAGTCCATAACTCTCTCCGGTGCAATGCGGCCTTCCTTGCGGTTCCCCTGTCGCCCTGGAACCCGCGATCTTCCACAATCGGTCTATTAAAGATTTCTTTGGTCATAGATGAACACAGTGAGCTCTGCAGTACGCTCCAAATGTTTTCAGTCTGACGCAGGTGCCCTTTGTTTTGAAAGCCATCCCAACGGTGAAAATCGTCAATAGCTTAGAAGGATCGAACAAAAGACAACGCCACCGTCGGCGAGGTTCCGAGGATAACAGTCAGACGTCGTGGGAGCATCCTCTTCTTAGAGGACTGAGTCACTGTCGACATACACCCTGAGTCTCCGAGTCACAGAAGATGCTCAGCCCTGACATTGGAGCAGTCTATCAACTCGAATGTCGACGGAGCGGCTCGTCTCGGCCCTCTTCTATGGACGTGGAATCGCTCGTCAGTTCATATCCATGGGTCGCTCTTTCCTGCGATGCACATCGACTGAGCGAGGGTCCTCTTCGCAAATGTCGGCCGCTACCACGGGCACCGGCCATCTGTCCCGACAACCTAGTGCCAGCCCGCCACCCCCAGATGCACCGTACTCCGCGGCGGGTACAGCGACGCCTGTAGTTCCGATAGTTCCCGAGCGAGTTATGACCCCAGTCTGCCCGTGTACGCGATGTCGCTCTCGCCATCTCGAAGCTCTACTCAACCTCACTGTTCAGAAGATTCCCCAATGGCAGTAACGATGGCAATACGCTTTCGACTTGTGATATGCGTCCGGATATCTGGGCTGGCCACGCACTAGGAGGTGCCACGCTCGCTAGGTCACTTTCCTAGATCTAGACGAAGGCTGCAGCAACTCAACCTGCACTCAGCTGCACAAAAACAGACTACCAGATAGCTGTTCTCGTCCCGATTGGATGTTTCTGACTGGGACCTTGCGCTTTCGAACCTTGTCCGGACTGTCGTTTCGGAAGCGTCTTGACCACGGCAGCATCGGGGGCCAGGATGCAAATGACTCGTGATGGCTAGCCTACTACATGTATGTCGACTTTCGAGCATGACCTCTTTGGTCCTGACTCCTTACTACACAAATAAAAGAATGTCTTCTGGTCCAGTGCTTACTATATAGCATTGCTCCTTGTATGAGTCGTCGTCAGTGAAGAAACTATGAGTCCAACAATTATACCTCAGAGACCTGGAAGAGCGGTGGCAGATGTCTTGAATGGCATGACTAGACCAGTCGAGACTCCTAACACTCCGTTCCACTCAGCGTGTCGTTCTACTTACTGACACTGGCGGTCCTGGTAGACTTGCTGGACATGAACCTCTGATATCCCATGAGTGCCGTTTATTGAGCAGAATATCTCCAATGGCAGACGCCTCCCCCCAATCTCCTTCGGTGAACCTGCTCTCCGCTACTCTCTCTTCAGCTTCCTCTCTCGTCTTCCTGCAATTCTTCTCCCGTATATTCACGTTCGCTCTCAACCAAGCCCTTGTCCGTCTCGCGTCTCCGCAAACATTCGGCACAGCCGCCATACAATTCGAGCTTCTGCTTTCTACGATCCTCTTCCTCTCTCGAGAAGGAGTCCGCAATGCTCTTCTTCGTGCGCCCCCATCTGTGTCCTCCAACAAGAAAGGCTTACGCGACCTTTTGACTAATATATCCCTCCTGCCTGTTTTCCTCGGCATCCCCGCTGCTTTTATCATCGCTTCGATCTACACCGTCGCCAGTGCCCCTTCCACTGCCGCTCAACCTCACTTCCATCTCAGCGTGGTCATATATGCTGTCGCAGCCTCGCTCGAGCTGTTGGCAGAGCCCCTACACATTCGCGCGCAAAATGAGCTGCGTTTCAGTGTACGCGTCCGAGCCGAAGGCGCCTCGGTCCTGCTCAAGACACTTGTGACGTTTGCTGTACTCGCTTTCGGACCGCCGGACTGGGCGCTCCTCGCATTTGCGTTGGGGCAGGCAGCATACGGAAGTACCACTCTCGTTTCATTTCTGCTCGTCTACGGCAGGCAGAGCCGATATCTCCTCAAAACAGTCAGCATGGAGGTTCATGGCAAGTGTGTGCTCCGTCTATACCCTCCATTGGTTCGTGGTTAACGCACATACAGCACGAAGGTCGTGTATTTTGATCCTGAATTGCTTCATCTATCGCGTGCGATGACTGTCCAATCTGCTGTGAAGCATTTCTTGACCGAAGGTGACAAATTCTTCGTTTCTCGCCTCAGCCCGTTGGCAGATCAAGGCGGTTACGCTATTGCCTCCAACTACGGTATGTCCACTCGAGGCCTCACTTCTAACAGCATCACATGCTGAATCGCCGCAGGTTCCCTGGTTGCCCGGATCTTATTCCAGCCTATCGAAGAGACCTCCAGATTATTCTTCTCCAAAACCCTCCCGACCTCTTCTGACAAAGGTGAAGCCAAAGCCAAGGACGCCATCCACACCGCCGCCCGCATCCTCCTCGGTCTCCTCCTTCTCTTCACCCACCTTCTTCTTCTCCTCTCGACCTTCGGACCGCCCTACCTCGCCCTCGCCACGACCGTATTCCTCCCACCACGATACCAACAAACCTCGGCGCCCATCATCCTCCGCGCGTATATCTACTATATTCCTACCATGGCGTTCAACGGCGTGCTCGAGGCGTTCCTCGCTTCCGCGTGCACGCCCGCTGACCTGCGCGCGCAGAGCCGCTGGATGGCCGGCGCGTCGGTCGGGTTCGTTCTCGCCGCCGTCGGACTCGCGCGCGGGCTCGGGTGGGGCGACGCAGGCTTAGTGTACGCGAATATCGCGAACCTGGGCGTGCGCGCGCTGTACGCGTGGCTGTTCGTCGGGAGGTACTTCCGGGCACGTGGGGCTGGGAGCGTGGTCGGGTGGAGGGGTGCGGTGCCGCCGAAACGGGTGCTGGTCGTGTTCGCGTTGGCTGCTGGCGTCACGAGGTGGAGCGAGAGGGTGTATCGGGATGTGCCGTTGTCCATCATTGCGCAGAGCGGTCACGTTGCGGTGGGTGGAGTGTGCGCTGTTGGATGCCTACTTGCATGGTACGTTCATTGTTCATCGACGCTTCGTTGGATGATAAACATATCGGCTTGTAGCTTCTTTTTTGAAAAGGCAAAGATTGCCGAAGTCTCTGCTGTTCTTCGGAGACGTTGAATATTTAAACGGGTGCATCGTAACGTCCTGGATCATACCAGATGGATGCTGCATGGCTATTCGCTCCGCTCATCATCAGGTGTGGATCCCTTGTGCGACGACTGTACGTGACTCTTGCGAGCACGCGTCCTCAAGATGACTTATTTTCATCTCATCTCGATATCAGTGCTCCTTTCACTTCGCAGCGTCATCTCGATGATTCAACGTGCTAGATCTCGCTACAGCAATTATACTACAAGATGCCTCAGAGAAATCCATGTAGTTGAGGTCGCATCAATTCAAGCATAGATGATAGCGACGAGTGCAGCAAATGACAAGATTATTTAAACGCCCAAGAGCGCTCGAAACATGATACTTCGATCAGCGTTACGGCAACCTCAACCTATGAAGTATGATGTGAGCCCATTTCTGTCTGTCATGTGGTTGGTATGACAGAGCGTTTGATCGACCTTAAATGCTCCGAGTCAGCCCTGACTGTCGCGCTGCCGTGCGTGTTAAGCTTCATAACCCCGCCTCCTGACAGTCAACAACGCTTACACTTCACCTGGTCGTTCTGTTCTGCATATTCGATGACCGATGATATTTTTTGGTCTAGTTCATTGCAGAGACTCGAATCCGCTATTTCATCGTATTTACAGCTGGACAGCGTAAACCTGGATGTCGTTCGCGTACTCGCTTTATTTGCTCTGCATAGCACCATCTTTGGTGCGCACTGATCGCGCTCATCTCTCGATGAATTGCACTCAGTCTGATCATCCTAATGTTCCACAGGTTTCGTGCTCGGCATGATATTATCGACGGAGTTGATTTGGTTGTGAGTACATCGTTTTGTCGTAGACCCTTGGCTGGACAGGAAATTGCCCGAAAGCCGCCAGAAATACCGCCCTGAACCCAGAACAATCACATCCATGCTGTCTCTTGCCGCCCTCATGCTCGCAACGACGACCCTATATTGGATTTTGACCAGCACCTTCGTCATCGTGTACCTTTGCACCTTTGTTCCCAAGTTCCAATTATCCAGGCTAAATACGACACTAGCCATTGCCTCTGCCTCGCAAACATACTTCCCTCTCATCTCCGTGCGTCTATCCATTCACACTGACTTCGTAGCATCGCATTCAGCATCGCATTCCGATATAGTCCGGCTTCAACTATACGACCGTCATTTGGAAAGCCTGGCATGCCTGGAGTCAGAACAAAAAATCAACCTGCATCCTCCTCGGCTTGTTGGCCGTATCCACAAGTGCGTCATGTCATACTTCTTTGTTTCTGTCTGCCTCATTTGCTTGGTGACAGTCGCAGGAGCCTTTGTTACGCGCACAATATCAGAATATACTGACCTCGAGATTGATAACCTTCATTATCTTCTCCGAACGCTGTCATTCGGCGCCAGTGCCATCGCTACATGGCTCGTCCCATACATCGAGCGGTCAGTGTCTTCACTATCGTCGTGTTGGACAAGGCTGCTCATCACATACAAACTTCAAAGGGAGCTTCGTCCATTGTTCAAGCTCGTCGATGCTCGTCTATTGACGACCAAGGCAGACAAGATCGGCGCCTATCTCATCAATTCTGGCGCACATCACTGCGTAGTGTGGGCGAGTGATGGGTGCTTGTATCAAGACTCGGCGACTGATTTCTCGAGGTCCACAGATAACACTCACCCTCTCCTGGGTCCATCAATTTGAGCCTCGACCTGCTGATCCTCCCGTCCAGCTTACCCTCAGAGACGAGATCATGTTTCTGATGTTCAGCATCTCATTTCAGATTGCTGTAAGCTTGTCTCGATTCCGTGCCTCTGAGTCTCAAGTCATTCTCGTTTCAGGCCATCTATCCAGCATTCATCCTCGTCATCGTCCATTTCCAGAGAGCCGTCTGGGACGTGTCGAGTCAGGAGGGAAGCAGAGGGTCTGACCTCACGACTCTCGTTGACGTTGATAGCTCCAGCCAAGTCTGAGACATCCAGTGACGCTTACTTCATGATGCTTGTTCTTTATACGATGCACAATTCTCTCAGTCAAGTTTCCCTGCGAACTGATCCGACTACGCAACGTCCATCTCCAGTCAAATTGAGTGACGTCATGGCAGCCGTTGGGTGACATCATCGACGGTCTACAATTCGACGCCTATAACTGCCTCCCCCACCACGACTCAGGGGCCTTCAACTCATAACATCTTTCATCGTTCATCATGTCTTCAGCTCTTCAGGAATCTCCATCTCAGGTTCGTCGTGCTTCATTTTCACTAGACATAATCCGGTGTCAGAACGGCGGCGCTTTGAAACTGCAGACCAGCGGTGCGACTACTTCAGAGGCTTTGAGGCCATCTGATGTAGCGCCGCCCACACGCGTCGATACTCTCCCCCAACAAGGTGCGTTTCGCCCGCTGATACGACACGCTCGAATTGACTCGGCTTGTTCTCAGCCACCACACAGCCTCAGGATGACGGGACGCACGTTCGCGCGTCCCCGCAGTCCGATGCTAGTCCTACTGCCGCCCGTCCTGAGGGCAAAATCCCATGGAAGGAGCAGGTTGTTGGTGCGCTCTACTTGCGGCATAGCCTCTGGGAAATTCGCTGACTCGGCGTCTATGGCAGCATACGCACAGGTATGAACGTCATCTCCATGTATGAACCCCACAGGTCTACTCACCTTGGTATCTACCGTGATAGAAAGCAAGAGGTGCTGTGAGTTGACGTGTTCCGCTCATGTCCATTATTTTTTGATCTGATTTGGTTGGCAGGTTCTGCGCAAGGTGAGACGCCACCGCAACGTACTTATGTTCGGAAGAGATTCTCACCGAATCCTTCCCAGCCAACCTTGAAGGAACACGGCAAGCAGATACTTCAAGGCGACGCGAATGCACGAGAGCCTGCTCCCAAAGCGTAGTATAAGTAGGTACTTATATTCGCCATGTGGAATACCCATCCTCAAGCCATCCGGCATTCATTCTCCAGCTCCATTTATCAGATTTGCGCGGTCATTGCTTTACCATATTGTAAACTAATAATATACGATTCGTGAAGTTTCATTACAAGCTCGTTCTTGCAGCGGATGCTCTGTGCCGGGTAGTGGCGCTGGCCATAATCGATAGAAATGCTTGCGACAGGCAAAGAACGCCGAATAAATTACACCAAGGCAAACAGCCGTCCGGTAACAGAACGAAGAAACGTCGCGCCTCAACTTAGACCACATCTAATTCGTGCTCCGAGGGCTGCCCAGCCTCCCGTCGCTCGTGAGGTTCCACGTCAAACTGAATGGCCTTCTCCACACTGATGTGGACCTGCAGAACGGCGATGGCATGAGCAAGATGCAAGCACGCGGGTGCGTTATTTGTGCGAGCGCTCACCTTGGTGCCCGTATCGTCTCTGAGCGGCGAATCGAGCGCGCTAGCCGTCTGCCGGATGGTGCTGGTCAAAAACCAGTCAAGGGACAGTATGGATCAAAGACTGACGGGACTGAACCGGCTGGCTTGGCTTGGCCTGTTGAACGCGCTTGGGAACATGATGGGAAGAGGGTGGTCCCCTTCTGAAGGCTGCGAGTGCCTTCGGAGCGATCTGCGCGAATTCAATCTGTTCACGATCGAGGCGGCCGTGGTGGAGGTATCAGCAAACCCCAGTTTTTGGCAGCATTGTCAGACGACGCACGAGGCAAGGAGCGAATTTGCGTATACTAGACCGACCACAGCCGTCGTCATTGAGATATGGACCACAAAGAAGAAGATGCGAGAACGATGGGGCGTACGTTTGCTGATGGCGAAGTAGAGCGCGAGCCAGACGAGGTTATGCCGCATCGCTAGGAACTACGCGCAAACGCGAACAAGCGCTCCGTGAGCAGGACTGGGACACGCTTGAACGACCACCTACGCAGACCATGCACGCAACAGTTATCACGCTACCGTGTCGCGGCGAGGTCAGCTGTCTACAAATGCACCCGCGGGCGGGCGTACCATGTGAGCGCTCCGTTGTTGAACGTGTAGAGCATGATCATGTCGATGACATGGTCCATGCTGGCGGAACCGAACCATTCATGTCACGTTCGATCGACGCGCGGACGTCAGCGTGGAGTGCTCACCTCCCGAACCCGGTGCGGCTAATTTGGAGAAAGAAGCACAGGGAGAACGCGATGAGGACGTCGAGGACGGACGAAAGGCAGAGGCCGAGGGTGAAGATCGACTGCGAGAGATGCTCGTCGATGAAGGAGCAGACTTGGGATCGTGACACGCGGCACTCACGCTCCATTGGTCGAGGAATCGGCTGAATGCATCGATTTGGGTCCTGTCAAGGGAGAGTCAGTCGTTCTGCGGCATGGTCTTGTTTCGGGGTATACTTGCATTTTGATCGTCGTGACTGCAAGGATCTTCTGATCAGGTATCATGGCAGGCGACACGATCATACGAAAGCATACCGATTGCAGAAGCTGGCCGTCAACAGTGATGACGCATTAAGGATGGATACACTGGTTTAAATCAAAGGACTCACCTAGCCGCATGAATGCCAAAAGAACCTGTCGGTTGTTCAGGACTGCTTTACATTATCGCACTTGACGTGTAATACGCACCAGCGGCGCGGTGATATACCAGTTGTTCTTGCTCACTGTTTGCTTTTACGTGATGAATGGCTACCGGAATAAATTGCGAGACGACTCACGCCGCAAGACCCGATGCGAGAAAAACCTATGCAGACGAATGAACAAACGATCCCTGATCGTCAAGTGTTTACGCTCACAAGTGTACAATGAAGCTCACGGCCGCCTGGAGCAGACAGCTATCAGCACGAGCATGATGGCACGATGACAGCACGTACCGTCAGTGCGACCGTAGACTACAGCACAAGTCAGATACGATTTCTGGGACTAAATTCGCGGTACGCACGGCGAGAGTCCTGAGTGTCGAACCGAGTCAATCGCCGACTCTGAACTGTGCTGCATGCTGCCTTACCCTGGGATATGGTCCAAGATGGCAGGATCCCCAAAGTTGAGTATGAGGTAGTTCCATGTCGCTGAGCACATGAGGCAGGCGTGGACAAAGTCAAGAAGCCTGCGTATTCCCGGAGAAACTACCTCGATATACGGATTCTGAGAGGGGAGGAAGGAAACAGCGCTCACCACACGACAGAAACCTTTTTTTAAAGGTGAGTCGTCTACCAACCGACAATGGCCGGCATCACGCACCATAACTTTGATGCGCATAGGGTCCTCGGGGAACATGCGAAAGTAGAAAAGGAACGTCTGCGCCGCCATCACACCAGAAAGACTGGAGAGTAGGATGAACCGTCCACATTCCACGTCAGACAGAGCATTGAGGGTCGTGCCTCCAGGCGAGAATGAGGGCAGACGCACGCTATGGCGATTATACAACCGATGAACACCGCGCCCAGAGACATGCGGACATCCACGATTGCGACCATCGTTGATCACCGCTGAGCACGTCGACGATGGGGAAGACGGGAGACAGGTCAAAGGGGAGAAGGAAGGCGCCTCTTGCGCTTCGCCAGAACCGCGCGAGCTGTCTATTATACTTCCCCACCATCCGCCGACGGAATCTTATAACAGTCACTGATACATCGACGACCGCAAATATAGAAGCAAATGCTGCGAGGAACCCCAAATGCTGCCGCGGCACCCACCTTAACAAGAACGACACAGGTTGACCCTAAGCAAAATGCACGTCGGCCCGGCGTGGAAGATATGGAAGCAGTTGGCACGGTCATTGAGGGGCGACGGATATTTCCAGGGGAGCTTGAGGGCAGAGCGGGCAAGCAAGCCCCTACCCAGGCACATACACTGAAGTGTGAAGTCCGGAGAGCTCACTTTGTGCTAAGCTGTCAAAAGAATTAAAAAAAAACTCAGCTGAACGCAGACAAGACTATCCGCTGTTGGCTTTCGACATCGCACTGAGAGTACATGGAAACTATTTTCTGCACGGAATGGTCTAGGAACCGTCATCATCATGGCTATGAGCACCCGTGACAGTCCTGTGCACAGGGACAACACCATTTTCCACGACCTCCTTGAACCCTGTCGCCGACTCTTTCCTTGGATACGAAGATGGAGAGATGGAACTCACAGAAAGCCGGGACTAACCTTATAGAGCGGCAGTCCATAAACCAGACGACTGCAGAGGAGCGCTCAGCTGACGCCACTGTGACGCCTCAAGATTACCTGCCATCATGCCATTTGCCAGGATCCAAGGCCCAGACGCATGGAAGCGTCGGTGCGGACAAAACGCACTCCATCGGGGTCGGGTGGCACAAGAAACGAGTGTCACCCTGACAGAGAGCAGGCGAAGCGGTCTCAGCTGCGTCAAGCGTATGCTGGAACAATAACAGCGGCTCATTCGAGCACCGAATCTCTAGAAAGCCACAGAGGAGAGGGCCACGATGGACCGTAGTAGGCCACGGTTCGCAGGGATCGAGAGACTGTTCACTGCACAACGCAACTGTCCCGCGTCCCGGTCTCAGATCGGATCACTTCAACGCTCGCGCACGTGCAATCTAAATTTTTGGGCCCGGCCTCATCCCATCGCATCGCATCGTCGCAGACATCAGCCCAATCCTCGACCGTCCACCACGTCCGTCGTCTCGCACACCATGGACAGCCCCCCTCCCCTGAACGAAAAAGCGGGCGACTGGTCGGACGACGCCCGCGATGCCGCGAACCCGGTCGTGGAGAGCGCGGAGTGGGCCCTGAAAGTGCGGCAGTTCCACCACCCACGGGTCGTCGCGCACGCACGCCGACTGACAGTGCCGACCCTGACCCCGCCCTCGTTTTCAGGAATGCAACGTCGTGCAGATCAACGACGCGGGCGTGGCGGCGGCGGCATCGCATGTTCGTCCCGCGCACGTCAGCCCCTAGCACTAACGCTCACTCGCAGCCCGCCGCCACCACCACCGCCACCACCGCCACCGCCACCGGGGCATGCAGATCCATGCCCGCCTCGTCTCCGAATCCTACACGCCCCGCACGTGGCGCACGCACCCGCTGCATCTCTGCCCGCCCGAGCCCTACGAGGCGTCCGACCCGCGCATCCTCGCCGCGCTGCACTGGCTCTTCTTCGTCTCCTCCCTCAACTTCAGCTTCTGGTCCCCGCGCGAGGGCCAGCCGGACCGCTACGGCGTCGAGTGGCGCACGGGCTGGGGCCGCGACGACCGCACCGTGTGGACGGGCTACTGGAGCCTTCTCGCCGCGGTCAACAGAGGTGAGGTAATTCGCGCACCCCGTGCATCCTTCGTCCGCGCTCTTCCTCACTGCGTGCTCTCGCCTCCTGCGCCCCGGCGCCGCGAACCCAGCGCTCGAAGAGGGCATCCCGATCACCGACCCCGCGTTCTACGTAAATGAGAGCCTCTGCCCCGACAGCCTCCTCGCGCACGTCTTCCGCCCCGCCGAGCGCTGCGCGGAGCCGATCCCGCTCCTGCAGGAGCGCATCTCCATCCTCCGCCAGAACGGCTTCATCCTCTGCGCCGTACGTCCTCCGCGTCTCGGGCCCGGTCGCGCGAGCGCACAAAAGTGACGCCGTTGGATCACAGGGCTTCGGCGGGTCCTTCCAGGGCTTCATACACGAATTCCACAGTCGACACGGGAGCGCCGGTACAGCGCTGCAGCTCGTCCAGATGGTCACCGACACCTTCCCGTCCTTCCGCGACGAAGTATGGCTGCACGGCCGAAGAGGCAAGTCAATGACCTTGCCCTCCTCCTCTCCACACCGCCGCTCACCCGCCCCGCCAGTCGTCCTCTGGAAGCGCGCGCAGATCCTCGCAGCCGAGACCTGGGCCGCGTTCTACCCCGCCGGCCGCGCGCAGGCGCACCCGCTGCTGCCGGGGGGCGTCGGCCAGCTGACGATGTTCGCCGACTACCGCGTGCCGCAGATCCTGCACCACCTGCGCATCCTCGCGTACCCCGCGCCGCTGCTGCAGCGCCTGCGCGCGCGTGCGCCGCTCGCGCACGGCTCGCGCGAGGAGGTCGGCATCCGCGTGGCGAGCGTCGTCGCCGTCGAGCGCGTGCGGCGCGCGATCGGCGCGCTCAGGGCGGCGCGGGCGCAGGGACGGCGCGGCGAGCGCCTGGAGGAGGACGCGGACGGGGAGGACGAGGAGGAGGAGATCAGCAGCGTGCTGATCGACTTTTATTTGTGGGACGTCGCGAAGAGGCTCGAGCGGGGCGAGGAGCGGATGGACGGGGTGCAGACGGACGAGGTGGTCCCGGCGCACCGGACGCGGAGCATCTGGTACTGACGCGCGCGCGTCGGATGGAGAAAGTATCTTACTTGGATCAGCGCCCTATTTAACCTTACTAGTCCTATCGGGGAACTTCTTGCTATATCATACCTGTCGTGCCTAATTCTTGCGATGCGAAGAGAGCGGTGTCAAGTCTACTACTATCATTGGACGGGTGTTCGTTTTGGGATCAATAAAAAATCCATTGTCCCACAACACTTCTGCTTTATGGCCTCGGAGTTCTTGCACTATTTGAGAAACTTTTTTCCACATCATACAGTGTAGTTTCTCTCTTTATTTTCTCACTCATGTGTCGGAAAACTGGATTCCGTCGTTTAGGACCAGTGTTCATTCTGGTTCCGAGTGTGACACAACGTGGGGTCACAGTTGCTGACTCATTGAATTCAAACTCAGCAACTGCGACTCGTTGAACTTTCACAACGCCGTCGTGTTTCCATCTTCACATCATTGAATGTTTTTAGGGCACTGTACACAAAAGTGCTCCGAAATCAAGGTAAGCATGACTATTTCTTAACACTGACAAATTAAAGACCATCAAAGAGGTTGTACATCTGTTTTCCATTCCCCCGATATAGCCAATTTGATATGTTTAGCTGTACTTTGGTAGTATACTAATAAACGCGAGCTTCAGTGATGTTCTGTTCGGTGTAGCCACTTTTGGCTGCCTTCGGCATGGTTAGTGCGCATGTCAGATGATGCCACTGATGCTTCTTTTGGGAGTGCTGGACTTGTCCGACAGCGGAGCCTGAATTTCACAGGCCGAAGTCACGCTTGAACGCCAAATGTAACGCTCCCCAAAAATGTACTCATTGCAAGAAGAATTTAACAGATCGGACCCTCAGAGAAGCTTGAGAATGATACATAAGATACATCTCTACAATATTTTCAACTTTTGTGGCATGAGAAGAGGAATCTCAGTCCCAAAGAAAATAAGGTCTCCGAATCAGCCACTTTCTCAAGATCTTGACTCAAATAGCTGTCCAAATTTTGAGATTCAGCCGTTTAAATTGTGCAGGTGTATGGAACATGATTTATTATGATTTTTGAAAGCATCAGTGAAATAAACAGTGAGGGTGGGAGCCTTCTATTCCATGAAAACGAACACTGGTCCTGATTGTGGCTGAAACGAACACCCATCCAATGATAGTACGATTAAGCACGGACGCTGCAGCTAAAATATACTGTGCTGTGATATATGACGACGACGAGGAGCTCAGAGCAGCGCCGGCGGCGTCTTCCTCGGTCGGCCCCTGCGCGCGCTCGGCCGCGTCTCCTTGAGGAACCCAAAGTTGCGCTTTTCCGGCGGCACCCAGGGCATGCCCAGCTCCTCGAAGATCGCCGCCTCGCTCTCCGCCTGTATCAGCTCCCAGTACCCGCTCTCCCCCTCCTCCTTCGCAGACTCCTCCGCCGACTCCTCCTTCGTAGACTCCTCCTCGCTCGTGAGCTCCGACTCGACGTCCACGTCCACGCCGGCGCCGTCGCGCGGGCCCTGCGTGCGGCGGTTCGGGTGCCACCGCCACAGCCCGTACTCGTTCAGGTACATCCCCAGCTTCGTCGCCGCGATGCGCAGCGCGGCCACAAACTCCGCGTCCCCGGTGAGCGCGAGCACCGCCGCGCCGCGCGACTTGACCGGCGCGAGGCTGGCGGGCCGGGCGGGGACAGCGCGCGCGTCCGACGCGATCTCGTCCGTCAGTCCAGTCGGCCCAGGAAGGAGGGATGGAGGGAGGCGAGCGGGACGCACCTGAGCTCGATGGGCCGGTAGCTCCCGCGGCGCGCGCGGATGTCGCGCAGGCGCTCGCCGACCTCCGCCCAGCGGCGCGCCTCGCGGTCGCCGCCCGCGCCCGCCGACGCGCGCGCGGGGAGCAGCGCGATGCCCTGCCACCTGGATGGGTACGCGTGGAGCGGTGTGGCGAGGAGGCCCGCGTCGCGGAGCGGGCGGACGACGTGCGCGAGGAGCGGGGCGGTGCCGGCGGGGGCGGCGCGGTGTTTTGGGCGGAAGGGCTGCGGGCGGTTTCCGCGCGTTGTTTTTGGGAAGTGGACGGCGGGCGGGGCGGGGGGGACGGGGACGTGGACGTAGGAGGGGTGGAGGAGGAGGAGCTCGATCTTGGGGGCTGTGGGGCGGTCGCGGCGGCTAGGGGGGTGGGGGTGTCAGCGGGCGCAGGCGCGGGCGCGGATGGGAGAGGGGATGCGTGCGCACTAGTCGCCCATGAGGTGGAGCTCGAACTGGGAGGCGATGTGGTGGCGGATGAAGTCCTGTGGCGGAGGGGTCAGCGCGGATGCAGGCGGGGCGGCGGCGGCGGCGGCGGCAGCGGTCAGGACGCACGGCGACGTTCTCGGCCTCCTCTCTCGTGACCTCCTGGCGGAGGTGGTCGGCGTGGTCGAGCTTGGCGCGCTGGGTTTTGGAGAGTATGTCGAGGTAGTACTCCCGCCGGTGCAGGTCTTCGATGGAGGTGCAGCCGGCGTCGGCGAGCTCCGCGGCGGTGCGGGCGCTGTGGCGTGCGGTGGGGTCTTGAGTGAGGGGAGATGCGAGGATGGAATGCGAGGACTTGCCCTATGCCCGGCACGGTCTGCAGCAGAGCCATCGTTTTATCCTTTTCGCGGAGTTCTTTTTCGTGCTTGACGGGGACCTGGGAGAGAGGACTCAACGGGTGCGGCGGGGGCGGGGCCGGACAATGCACACAGACATAGTCTTTACCGTTCAGGAAGAACTCGATGCGCTGGGCGATGCGCGGGCCGATGCCCTTGAGCTGGAGACGGCGGGTGGGTGGGTGGGTGGGTGGGGGCAGGAGGGAGGCGCGCGACGCACCTTGGCTGCCTCCTGGCCGGTGAGGATGGGGTGCTGTGCGCGCCTGACGGCGTTGATGGCGGTCTGGAAGGAGCGGACCTTGTAGGGGTTGCGGGACGGGCTCGCGTTCTCGTCGTCGAGGTCTGCGAGGGGGCGGGTGTGTCAGCGAGCGGGGCACGGGGAGCGAGGCGGGACAGACGCTGGGACAGCAGCCGGACGATGGCGTCGTTGGGGCCCGGTGCGGGGGTGGAGAGGGCACGTGCGGGGACGGCGGCGGGGAAGAGGCGACGGCGAGCGAGCGTGCGGGCGAGCATGCAGGACGCAGAGGACAGGCGTGGGACAAACGCGCTCCTCCACCCTCGACGCGACCTCCCTCGTCCTCGCACCCCCCTTGCCCTCTCCTCCCCGTCGTCGCCGTCCTACACAGCGCCCGACCCGCCCACCGTGACCGCCCGTCCAGCCACCTGGCCCTCTCGCACATAAGCATCCGCCCAAAAAGGCTGCCGCCTCTGTCAGCCACCATGCCCGACGACCTCGCGTCCTCCTCCTCCAGCATCCAGCTCAAGTTCAACAACATGTCCGACCAGCAGCTGCGCCAGACAATCTCCCAGCTCTCCAACGCTGCCACCTCCGGCCACTACCAGGCCGCCTTCGCCGCCCCCACCCCGCAGCGCTCCAGTACGCTCCCCGCTCCTCTCTCCCCGTCCCGCCTTTTCTGACCCCAGTCGTCCGCTCTCGCGCCCGTGCCGCAGCCTATCAAAAAAACATCCAAAACTGGTCCAGCTCCAGCACGCCACCGCCCCGAACGGGCTCAAGGCGGAGCAGGGCGGCCAAGAATAGCAACCTGGCGCCCGCACCTCCCGCAGCTGCACCAGCGCCAGCCCCCGCTCCCACGCCTGCTCCTGCCCCTCCGACCCCCGCCCCCCGCGCGCCACAGGCTCCATACCAGCCCCCGCCGCCCCTCCAACAGACCTACCCCGCCCAGGACCCCCGCATGGCCCGCCCCCGCCCCCCGCTCCCCACAACCACCCAGGCCCTCCACTCCACCTACGCCTCGCGCCTCCGCACAGGCGTCACCCTCCTCATGCAGCCCATCCTCTCCGCCCACGCCGCCTCGTCCTCCGCCGCCGCCGCCGCCACCGCGGGCCTCGCAGGCTCTGCCGCCCGCCCACGCCGCGGCGGCGTCGTCAGCTACGCCGACCCCGGCTCGGGCGACGATATCCCCGACGCGGGCGAGGTCGACTCGGACGGATCGGACTTTGTCGCCAGCGGTGGCACCCGCAGCGCCGTGCGCGCTGCCAGGGTGGGCTCCCGCATGGGCCATAGCATGAACGTCTTTCACGCCGGGGCTACGGGCAGCACACCGGGCCCGCCGTCGGCCGCGCAGAGGGAGAGGGACGCGGGGAAGATGGAGCTCGATCAGAGCTACCTCGGCATGGTCCCGCCCGCGCGCTTCATCACCCCGAAGCCCGTGGGCCCCACCAAACACGAAAACTTGTTGAGTCTTCACCTCGCTTCACCCCGCGCGCGGGCTCGCTTGCTCACCGCACCGCACCGCACCGCACCGCACCACGGCCCCGACTAGCTCGTACGACGCGCTCGAGGCGCAGGCGCAACGCACGACCGCGCTCGTGCCGATCCGCGTCGAGTTTGAGACGGAGACGCACCGCGTGCGCGACTGCTTCGTGTGGAACCTCCACGAGGCGCTCGTCTCGCCCGAGCAGTTCGCGCGCACCTTCTGCGCCGACCTCGACCTCCCGCTCGCCCCGTGGGCGGACACCGTCGCCGCCCAGATCCGCGCGCAGCTCGAGGACCACGAGGGCGTCGGCAATATGGAGCTCGCCGTAGACGGCACCGCCGACGGCCCCGCGAGCGACGAGGTCCCCGAGTGCAGGGTCATCCTCAGCGTGCGTCCCCTCGTCCCCCACCTCTTTCTTCGCATACTCCAGTGGCTGATCGTCCGCCGCACGCCGCATGCCGCGCAGATCGACGTGCAGGTGGACAACCACCACCTCGCGGACCACATCGAGTGGGACCTGCGCTCGCCGCTCACGCCCGAGGCGTTCACGCACCAGCTCTGCCTCGACCTCGGCCTCTCGGGCGAGGCCGGCCCGCTCATCGCGCACGCGATCCACGAGGAGCTCGTCAAGCACAAGCGCGACGCCATCGAGTGGGGGCTCATCGGCGGCGCCGAGCGCGACGCTGCAGCCGCCGCCGCCGCCGCCAACAGCGCCAACCCTGCCAACGCCACAGCCACAGCCGCCGCGGGGGAGGACGCGGCGCCGAGGGACAAGAGCGGGCTGAGCCTCATGAAGGACAAGACGGGGCTCGGGCTCGGGTGGGGCCGCACGCCGAAGGACGGGCGGGGCCCGCGCGTGCTGCGGAGCGTGTGGCGGGACTGGCCCGAGGCGGAGGAGTTTGGGACGCGGTGGGAGGCCCTGAGCGTCGAAGAGGTCGAGCGGAGGGAGGTCGAGCGCGAGCGCGCGAGCCGGTGCGTTTGCGTTTTCGGTCGTCGGCGACGAGGCTGGCTGCTGTTTCCCCTCGGCTGCGGCTCACTCTTCACTGGGTTTTTTTTTTTCGTTCAGGCGGCTGCGGCGCGAGACGTCGAAGTTCCAGAGCTCGGCGAGGACGAGGCGGCGGTGATGAGGACGCGGACGCGTCGCGGGTACCGTGCTTGTTGCATGACTTATCATTATATTCTGTCGCGTCCGCCGTGGACGCGCTCGACTCGGTACGCATACTGGCTTTTGTTAATACATAAAGAAAAAGAAAAAGAAACCCGAAGACAACCGCGAAGCATAAACGATTGAGCGTCGTACGTGAGAGCTATTTAAATACAGTGGGTAGGTGGGTGGGTGGATGGGTAAGAGCGAACTTTCCGTCCGGATACACAGAGACTAAGTATGGTGGTGAGTTAGTTGGTATGGTGGTGGCAGGATGAGACATGCCGAATATTAGCGGTCGACGCGAAGGGAGAGGTTTACTACGAGATATTAGAACGAAGGCAAAGGCGAAGGTCGAGTCGAGTGCGTGCGTTGGGGTCGTCGTGAACGGGTCGTGAGCGAAGAGGGCGATATGTGCTAGAACGAAATCGAATGCGTGGATAAATCTAAAAAAAAGAATTTTGGGGGGGAGGGCGTGCATGCCCAAGAGTCGAACGGACATCGCGCATCACGCGCGCACGGCCTCCCATGCGCTGTAGTCGCCGTGGGCGACCGCGGCCCAGTCCTCGGCCCACTGCTCGTACGTCCGCCTCGGCGCGCGGGGCAGCAGCACGAAGCCGTCCGCGCGGTCCGTGTCAGCGACGCTCTGCACGAGGTGCGCCTCGAAGCCGCCGAAGCCCTTCGCCTCGAGGTCCTCGAGCTGGACGACGACGGCGCGTACGCGCGCGGGGAGGCGCGCGACGCGGTCGAGGGACGCTGCGGACGGGATCCAGCCGTACTGGTCGCGGACGGGGTCGCGGCCGAGCATGCGGCAGAGGGCCGCGGCGCAGCCGGGCATGAGGCGCAGGTCGGAGAGGCGGAGGTGGGCGAGGAGCGGGCAGGCTGCGGCGAAGAGCGCGAGGACGGGGGCGGCGGTGGTGGAGAGGTAGCGGCTGCTGGCGAAGTGGAGGCGGCGGAGGCGGGGCATGGCAGGGGCGGCGGGGGGCGGGGGCATGAGGATGCGCTCGGAGAGGCGGAGGGTGAGGTCCGTGAGGAAGGGGAAGGGGACGGCGCAGAGGCGGACGAAGACGGCGGACTGGAGCGGGTTGAAGAGGACGCAGGAGAGCGTGCGAAGGGACGGCGCGAGCAGGCGGAGGAGGCGGTCTAGGAGGTCCGGGAGTACGCGGGCCTCGGCGGCATTGCTGCGGTGCAGGGCCTCGTGCAGCTCCACGCTGGCGAGGCTCTCTGGATCCGATGCAACGAGGTCCGCGTCCGGCACGGAGTCGCGGAGCTGCTTGTCCGAGACAAAGAGGTGGTGCACGCGCCGGTGCTCGGCAGGGAGCGTGGAGAGGTGCGCGTAGGCGCGCTCGATGGAGGAAATGCCGGAGATTTCGAGGGTGCGGTGGACGTAGGGGGCTGCCACCGCACTGATATACCTGGACGTGAGCGAGAGCGCGCGTGCGGTCGCGCCGCCGTCGGCGCAGGCGAGGTCGAAGATGATGAGCAGAATTTCTGGAGGGCAGTCATCCATCGCGTCGCGTCTAAATCCAAAAACGGGTCAGACAGCTGTCATCGTCGAGCCGCGATCACCCACCTTAAAAATTCCGCTATTTATGGAGCCCACGCTCGGTGTTGATGAGAGAGTGATGGTTGGGAGAGAGGTGGCGAAACGGGGGACGAACAGCGCTTTTGAGGCATCCTGGTGAAACAATTGGAGGCAGAGGACATGAGCAAAGGGGCTGGTCCTTACGTCAATCTCCAATTGTCTTGCACATCCCCGTCCAGGCTCGGAAACGGCCGGCTCTCGGCTTTCCCATCTCTCTTCCGCGATTCCGCGGCCTTGCCGCTCCACCTCCCCTTGCGTGCCAAAGCCGCTCGACGAGATGCGAGGATGGTCTCGTAGAGGTTCACCGCGCTTCGTCCACACCGCAACCTCTTCATCCGAGCGAGGACGACGCGGTGTACCCCAATGCAATCCCCTTGATTTCCACGGCTACCCACCTTCTGCTTGTGATCTCGCGAGCTTTATATCCCCACAACTTGTGAGTACTCCTGAAAAGGTATCCGACGGCGCTACCCGTGCAGCGTGCCCGTGCCCGATTGTAGAGTCTGTGGCACCTTCCATCGATGTGAATGCATCTACTTCTGCGATGCCTCAAGGCCTCATGCTTGCAGTCGACAGTGACACCGCCACCCTGCTACGTATGATCCGGTCATCGATCGGAAAGGTGCAATTGACTGAGAGTTCCTGTGATAAAGAAGGATGGAGATCGTCGGGAGCGTTCAATATGGATTTTAGGCATGGATTTGAACCGACCATAGCCGTCGTCGAAGATCCACCGAAACGGGTTGCCAGGAACACATCGGCGGGGTTCCTGCACCCACCTCGACCGCCAATGCCTGCGATGCCCGACGGAACAGACGTCGTTGTCGTTCATGTTGGGTATCTATGACCATGAAACCCTCCTGCTCTGAACCCTATGTGTCCTTCACACAGCATACAGCGGTCGTGCGTCGTGACTCCATTCAAAGGCATGCACAGCGGTATGCAATGACCGGGTCGTATTGCCGTTCGAGCGAGGAGCACCAAGAGCGGAAGAGAGTTCCCTGGCAATTCTCATAGAACCTCCGCCGTGGTCTCCGACTCTCCCGATATCCGTATCCAACGAGGATCATGGCACGTGATGACCCCGGGCAACAGCGTGCATCCTGCCAAGGTGTTATCGCTAACAGCTAACTTCAATGGGGCTGTCTCCCGCAACGAACATCTGTACCGAAAAGGCGAGACCGATGCCGCTCAAGGATCATATGTAGTGCACGCGGTGAGTCGCTGCCTCCAAAATCCCTCGCGAGCTGGTGGGTCTTTCGTTTTGTGGGGATGTATCAGGGCACCAATGTCCTCCACCTTCTTTGGATGCTCAGAAGCACCCACCCGCCAACACTATCTACGGTATGTCGCTTGATCTGATCCATGTTGACATCCAAGCTTCAGGGTATATATACAGCTGCCTTGAGTTCTTTACCCAATTGCTTGAAGAACTGTGATGCCTGCGATCCACTCCCACTGCCTTGGGATTATCACTCGAGCTGGAGGCCCATCCCGCTGCTTGATTTCCAATTTGGGCTTCTATCCGTACTCCCGCTACTCACTTCTCCGGGGGAAGATGCGGTGAGAGAGAGGATATGCACCTCTTCTAGCCACAATACGCTGGCAACATGCCAACGAGCAGGATGGCTTCACTCCCGTTTCCCATCTAGAAGGATTCTTCTTTCTATTCACTCTCGGGCTTCATGGGCAGCTGACTTAGTCCTCCATTCAAGAATACTATTTAACCTGCTCGTTGCTGTATCCTCACTTCATCGTTCAATCTCACCTCTGCGAGGCCCTGTTTTTCGATCCTTCGCTTTCGTCTTTTGTCTACACGTTGCACCATGTTATCGTTCTCCAAGATCGCCTCTTTCGCTGTTCTTACTTTGAGCACCCTCGCCTCCGTATCTGCGATCCCGGTAGTCCACCACGATGCACGGCAGCTCGTCGACATTCCCATAATCGTAGACCCCACCATCGCCCCCGTGACGACCATCACAGCGCGCGATGGCTCACAAAATCTCGCGTCCATCTTCGCCAACCTGCACGCGGCGCTACAGCCCGTCCTGTGTATGTTTTATTTCTCTCAGACGCTCTCGTCTCAGCTTATAGCTGACATGTCCCTTATAGCGGGCCTCTCCTCGACCAAAGATCCAGTGGCGTTGGAATCCGGCATCGCCTCAATCACCTCGCTCATCCAGTCCGCGAGCGGCTCCCTTTCCGCTCTCTCTGGCCAATCTCAGTCGCAAATTTTCGCCAACCTTGACGGCACTGGCGTGCTCACCACCTCCGACGTCGCGGGCCTCCTTGGAGGGGTTCTGACTAACGTCTTTGGCACCCTCGGGCCGCTCACTTCGGGCACGGACGCGATCGCCTCGCTCGACGTTCTCGATCCTCTTTTGTACGTACATTCTTTGTCTGCTTAATGTCCTGAGCTGATGAGTCATTCACGACGGATGGTGACGACGTGTAGGGGTGTAGTGGTCATCTTCTTGAATGTTGTGCTCGGCCTCGTCGGCGTGGCGGCATTGGCGCTTGTTGGTTCTCTCCTGCCCCTCATTCTCGTGCTTCTCCCCTCGATCCTGAACATCCTACTCCCCATTATTTTGGGCCTGATTGTGCTTTAAGTGCCTTCGCTCTAATGGTGAGCTATCCTCGATGTGTATATGTTCTGCGCTACGGGACCGGATGCTCACATTGAATCCTGCAGATTACCCTGCTTCTACAAAGATGTGCAGGAGGATGTTCCTTGATGTTGTTGTTTCGGACTTGTTCTTTTCAGGGTATCTCGTGTTTGACAAAACTTTACTCTTTGAGTCTTTATGAACTTTTGAATGGTCGTGTATTCGGACAAGTTATAAGTGCTGCCGTCTTTACAGTTATTTTACCCTGGTAACTTCATGTCTTTTGAATAATCAACCCCTATTCGTACACTTCTCGTCTGTCGTCTCGATACGGCGAGTTCGCGTCCCATTCCCATGCTACAGTCCACCCGGCCTTCTCTTCGCTTCGGACAAAGTCCTCGGCTGCGCCTCGCCCAAAGTGCCGGTCATCGATCCAATGCTTCGATCTCATTCACCCGGTGTGATATGCTTAGACCCTTTGTTTTGTTGAAGGAACCTCAAGCTTGAAATCCGACCGTGAAGTTTGAACATGGGGTCCAACACGTGGAGCAGTTCTTTCAGCACACATTCATAGCTCGTGCCTAGCGGTGCTTGAGATGTCATTGCCCGATATCGGGCGTCATGCATGGGTTATTCATGCAGTATCGATCAGAACGCGTCGACGTCGCGTTGATACGCGTTTGGGTCACATAATATAGATTTCCCACGAATGACGTGCATGCTTTCTCTGCGTATGTTCTTCCCTCGTCTCCTCTTCGCCCTCCGTGGATACCAAGCCGGGGCCCAACAGACGCTCACGGTAACACTTCTGGATATCGATCACGGGTCTTTCTTCTGGCCGGAGAAATAATTGCGCCGCAGACATTCACCATAATTCTCTCAATTCCCGTTTTTTCTGTCACCGGGATGGCAATACACGCGACTCGACGGGATTCGACGGGATCAACAAACTTGTCGAGATGCGGCAGCCGTTCAAACGTTCATCGCCAAAGACAACTCATCGCGGGCGAATTGAACCACGTTTTCCCACGAGCCTCAACGCTTGCGTTCCTTCTGACCGGATAACATAGTAAGTACCTGTACATTGTTCCGCGTCCAGTTTGCTGGTGCCATCGGCATCGCCGACTACCCCGCCGTACTGTAGCTCGGGTTCCTTCTTCGTCGCCCTGACGCTGTCGCTCCCGGCCCCAATTTGACGGGTCCGAAGCCTATGTACCGGTTTGACTGAATGATGAATATGGATATCGTCGACTCCATCTTGGCCTATCTTGGCCCTGTTTAATGACGCGGTTTCTCCCCACCGAATTTGTTTCTCTGGTCGCAGCGCAAGAGTACAAACCGATCTGGATGCGGTCTCGGCTGATTCGACCTAAATCTAGGTAATAGGCACTCCATTGCAGCTGCCGATCCGACGCTCCCCGGCACTCCGTTCAACTCGACGTATTTAATTTTCGACGCCCAATCCTTCGTCGAGACTCAGCTCCGCGGCACCACGTTTCCGTGCGAAATTGATAATCTGCCCTTGCGCTTCTCAGGCTATGGGTTTACTTGACCGGAACCTGTGTACAACAACGAGAAACCGAGGCAAGAAGGCGTCGCCTATGCCTGGCGACTTGCGTCTCGAGTCTGGTGGTGTTGTTGCAAGAGATTTGCAGACCTGTATTCACGATATGATCAATTAGTGTCTTATTCAACATACGCGCTGCCTGTCTTTGGCAAGCCAACATCAGGGATCCTATATACAAGTATCTCCTTCTACGTCGATACTGCCGCTCGTCTTGCAGGCGTGTTAACAGACCAACAGGCGCCTATGGTGCGGTGGCGAAGTTGGCGAAGCTCGGTCAGGTGTCCCCGACGGACTTTTCGGAGGTAGCCCTTGTCTCGACGCTCTTCTCCCGTGTAGCCACATTCCCCGCCGCCCAAACGATTACCGATATCGAACAGGAGGCATGTGCATCAACAAATACCCACGAATTGAGAGGCGCCCCAGTGCGCATGCCACTGCCCTGGCCACCGAGCCTGGTCCGTCGTTCCTCGGTAAGTTCCGTCGTGGACATCGACTTTCCTGGCTAACTCCCGTGTGCAGCCCGCCTCCTTAATCACGAGTTGTATGATCGTTGAATTGTAACTCCTATTGCACGGGATCTGATGATAGATGTGCTTGTGCCTTTACTTGAAATCTCTGTGAAGTCGACTCCAATGATCTGATTTTGCTCTTCGGGCGAGCCCATGGTTTGCGCAAACCCTGTTCGTAGGAGGAGCTAAATGTCAGGTCGACATCCTCATTTAGAATCTCAAGTGCTCAGCCAATGGCTGTCTAGTATCCTCCTCAGCCTCGGATCGGAGCACCATGATTGGTGTGCGGAACATGAACGCGTCGTGTCAGATAGTGATTCGGCCACCCCACAGGCTCATGATCGCTGGCCCATCAAAATTCCTGCATATGACGCGAAACGACACGAAGCTGCCCGAACATTCTGCCGATCTAGGTTTGTGTTGTGGCTGAGTCGCTAGCTATCAAGTTTCCTCTCGGTTTCACGGAAATAGACCAGCTGAGATGGAGAGGCTCAAAGCGGTCATCCGCCCACTCCTCACCTCGATCTCGTGCGTCAGTCCATCGTCATCCTTTCTGCCCCTGTTATCCGCGTCGTCATAGACAAGCGAATACAACCACCGCTTATAAGCCAGCGATTTTCGCTGAAACCTTCCTAATTTTTCCTATCATCCCACGTCCACCAACAAATCAATCGCTCCTAGCAACTTCTCACAATCATGTCCTCCAACCTCAATAATTCGGGCAATACTTTCGGCAACGATGATCAGTTCGACAACCTCAGCGGCGGTCGCCAGCAGCAAGGCGGCCTCTCCGACCAGAGCCAATGGGACCCGAACTCTAAGACCTCTGGCCAAGGTAACTGGGACAACAACTCTGGTACGCTTTCGTCCCCCCTCTCTTTTTCGAAACAACTCCTCACAGACGTACCCACAGGCGGAGGCACTGGACTCGACAGGGGTTCTGACACCTCTGGCGGCGGCTTCAACCGTCAGTCCGGCGACCAGGGCTTCCAGTCGGATGACTACAGCTCTGGCACCCGCGGGTCGTCCGGTTTTGACGACTCCCAGACCGGCACAGGCATCGGAGGCAACGACCAGTCGCGCTTTGGCACCACTGGTTCTGGCGCCGGTTACGATCAAGATGACAATGCGTACGGGGGCGGTCAGCAGCGCGGTGCGGGTACCGGGGGTGGAAAGGCTTCGATGACTGATAAGTTGAGAGGTTCGCTCTTGCGTTTGATACCTCCGTTTTGTCGATCTCATGCTAATAGTGTTTGCGCAGGCACCGCTGAGAAGATGACCGGTAAAATGACTGGCGACTCGAACCTCGCTCAAAGAGGGCAGGAACGCAAGGTTCGTGTTGAGTTTGTCGCGGTCGTTTACTCCTGTTTACACTTTCAAACGTCCAGGCTGGTGACTACAACCGCGACTTCTAGTTATTGAATGTGTGTCCTTCGCGAGAGCGGAGATGCAGAATAAGAAGTCGTCTGTATGATAATCTTTGAATCCCCGAAATCCATTTGTACAACGCAGCTCCTGTCTGTGATCGTTCAATGCCATCTCTATGTTGTGGCAGTCCGGCGCTTCTTCCACCACATGAAATTCTGCTCATTTTGCTTGATACCTGTGACGCGTGGCCGGCGGGAGTGAGTTGTATGACATCATGACGTAGCTAAGCACTGAAACGAGCCATCCGCTCACGTAATTCCATGCTAATTTCTCAGGTTGACCACTGGTTGACCCTGTCTCCCACTGGCAGTACCACCCCCCACACTTCTGTAACAACTGTATTCATGGATACACATGTGACGGTGCGTCTCCTCTCCACATATGCCACCCCACTCCGACATGTGTTTTTTTCCGCAGTACACCATCCTTTCTCCATACCTCGCGAGGTACCCCCGAAGCGCTGGAGTCATCTATCAAACGTACAACGACCTACTCCTTGGTGGGGCTCTCCGAGATCGCATGTCTTAGATCGGCGCAACTGACTTCTGCTGCGGCACGCCTCATGTCATATTGGAGACAGCACAGCAATGGAGTGAGCTGGAAGTTGTGGATCTCTCATTTTGCCAACGTGTTGGATTTAGAGGGGTGCGTCCGGAAATGGTGCGTCTCGATTGGGTACCTTTTACGCGCACGGATCATCACCAGCTTTCGGGTATGTGCGCGGATGATGGCGCTTAGGACACACGTTCATACGTAGTCCCGTGCTCGCTCGCGGAGGTTCTTTCGATGTCTTGGTAAGTGGACCACGTCATCGCTCTCCGTTCTCATGATGCGTTCAAAGATTAAAGTCCCTTTGCGACCCAAAACAGGATGCAATCTGCGTTCGAAGCGTTTGGAGAACCCCAAGAGCTGTACCTGGCCATTACTTCAGACGACTCGTCCCTCGTGTACTACAAGCTGAGTCTAGGGATGACGAAGCCCCCTGTGTGATTGGGCGCATCCAGCGTTCTCGATCTCCTGAGTCGCGTCGTGCGGTGATAGACGGTATGGGCCACAGGAACGCAGGAAGGCCCTCCACCGGCGCGCCAACGATGTGCTCGTCGCGGCACCTCGGCAGGCGAAAAAAGACAGTCACAGCTGCAGAGAACAGAAAAGAAACGTGGCTCGCTGAACGGACGCAGAATGTGTCATACAAGTAGAATAGAGGCTGAGGCAGATAATATATATGGCTCCACGAGACAAAACCTCAGATAGTTGATTCATGGCGGCAGGGTACGGCAGGGGTGGCAGAAGCGCGGAGCTCCAAAACGCGGTGACGTCAGAAGCAGGGAAGGGCTCGCTTTTCGTCGCATCGGGCCTCGTGAAATCCCAAGGCCCGTTGCACGGGGTGCTCAGTCGGATCTGCCTGGGGCACCATGGAGCAAACGGGGTCATCTTCCTCTCCAGTTCGCTAACGTCAGTGCACCGCCTTTCGATTTCACTTTTTTGTATTCTTTTTTCAGAACATCATCACGACCTCACCTGTGATACACAGCAGCTCCGCATTCCACGCTCTGACCACCCATAAAACCACATCTGAATCTTCTCGAGAGGCGCATACACAGTCGCTCCACACGATCGGCTTTGCATACATAGCAGGTATGTTTTTGATCACTGTGGAGACACCCCGACCAACAGCTCTCCCCAGCATACAGCTCTCCCAGCACACAGCCGTGGCACGATGGTCCCCATTCTCCAACCTTCTCCCCTCGTGAAGAGCGGTCTCCCTGTGGCACAGCCTATTGTGCGTGCGAGCTCTCTAGGTAAGTTATTTAAATCGCAATCCCATTCGTCAGAGTTACAACGGGAGGTGCCGGCGGACTGTCAACATTAGGAGGCCGCACCTGTCTTAAAACATAGGCATTCCTCCCAGTTTCCTCCAAAAAATCTTTTCTGGCGGCCGTCGTCGTGTGCGCTGTAGTCGCGCGCTGAGAAAATCGCGTGTCGTGTCGTCTTTACACTCCACCGTCCTTTCATACTTTTTTTGTAATGCCTGTCTCCTGAATACCGTTTCCCGTAGGACATTCTTACAACCCCTCACCGGGCGACAAATGTATGCGTCATGTCCCTCCTCTCTGTAATAATGTTTTGAAACTCACCGTCTGCTTCCAGCAATTTATGACCAGCGTCCGCGCGTATCCTCCACGACAGACCGCGGTCCAGCCCACGGCCTAGAAAGTTCCACAACCTTCGACTCGTCCACCACTCCACCACTCTATAAAGGGGATGCGGACCCAGCCGCCATCAATTTAAATAAAATGACAGGTCAAGCCCCTCAGCCCCTCGATGGCGGTCGCCAATCCCGCTCAGCTCTTCGTGGGTCTCACTCTCAGCCCCATGCCCCAGCGCATCAAAATCGGTCTCAACCATCACATGTCTTCCCTACTCCACCAGCTCAAATTTACCAACATGGTTCGACTTCTTCTTCACCGGAAACTCATCCCTTCCCTGGATCTCCCCCTGTTTATCAGGCGATGCCGCCGTTCGGGCAACGTGGTAGCTTCATTGGGCCTCAATACACGATGCCGCACCAACAGCAACCCCCGATGACACATCCCCCGCCTCATTTCGCATACCCCCGCCCTCCTGGTATTCTAGGTCCCGAGGCTAACCTCCCCCACATGTCATATTCTTCCGCTTCTATGGTGCCCATGTACGCATACATTTCGGAGACTAACTCGACACAACAACCGTTTCCGGCAGGCACGCCACCTCTCTATGCCCATCACCCTGCGAATCCCTCCCCTCCTACACACACCCCTCTCTCCCCTATGCAAAGTCCCTCTAGTCATCCGGGACGACCATCCTATCCACCTGGGTATTCGCCTGTTGGATATTCGACTCCTACACAGTACGCATATGCAACACCGCCTTCGTACCCATCCAGTCCTTCTATGTACCCCTCTCAGTATGGTCGCCCTCCTTATCTACAGTCATACAGCGACCAAGATGCCCGAACCTGGTGGTACATACCAAATCCCAACGTGTCACCCTCGTACGATGGGGTGCAGCAGCCTTATCAGAATATGTACGGGATGAACTACCCTCTCTCTGGCTCCCAAGACATCGAGCGCCTCGGTTCATCCCAGCACCCCAGCTTACCGTCGCCTCATACACCATCGTCTCGGCAGCGAGCGAGCAGCCAATATGGACAGATACATAGTGATCAAGCTGCTCATTCGGATGCCGCTCCGCCGTTGGCAAGGACTTCTCAACCCCCACCTGTCGCTGCTGCCCCTACATCTGAACCTGTTCTGCTCGCGGCCTCCGACGCCGAGCGTCATCCTTCGACTCGCCGACCTTATCACCCCAATCCTCCAGAGAATCGCTCAGAATGGGTGATGTGGGTGGGCAACGTCCCTGCTGATGCGACACACGACGAGCTATGGCGCTTCTTCAATCAGCCGCTGCCACAGCCGAACCCCAGTGAGGCGTCCGCGGGGACAGGCGACATCTCCGGCGTCTCCGGCGTCTCCTCGATTTTCTTGATCTCCCGCACGAACTGCGCTTTCGTCAACTTCACGTCTGAACAACACCTCAATGCAGGCTTTTCTCGCTTTGACGGTCAGACGCTCCGACCTCAGGATCCTCGCAGCCCTCGCCTCGTTTGTAGGGTTCGTAAGGAGAGCGATGATCTTCGGGCGGGTGTGGGAGGACAGCGGGGAATGGGTTTGCATACGCAGTGGGTCAAGGACCAGAAGCAGAAAGGGCGAGAGGTTCAAAGACAAGGACAACGAGAGCCAGACGATCTCGCAGAGTCCACCAGTAGACTCCAGGGCCTTTCGCTCATGGACGACGAGACGCAGAGCCTTCATGGCGGTCGGAGGGCTACGGAACACTCGAACAGCTCGGGGTCATTCGCGAGCACGAGTTCTGGGATGCTGACACAATATTTCCCCCAACGATATTTCATCCTGAAGTCGTTAACACAAGTGAGCACTACGCCATTCATCTCGCCGTCATTGCCTACTGACGTACTCCTTTCAGTATGACTTAGACCTCAGCGTTGTTAGAGGTCTTTGGGCGACTCAAAAGCATAACGAGGGGATCCTGCAACAAGCGTTCCGAACCAGCAAGGACGTCTATCTGATCTTTGGAGTGAACAAGAGCGGGGAGTTTTACGGTTACGCAAAGTGAGGACAGATTGCAAGCCTAGTCTGAGCAGTTACTTACCAACGCCGAATAGAATGACAGGACCGATATCTTCGGGCGAACAACGCGTTCCGTGGGCTTCGCCTTCCGATCCTTCTTCTTCGACATCACCTCAATTTTCGTCCATTTCCCTTGGCCATTCACATCGATCTCCGAACCCTCAGCAGCGAGGCGGCGACACGCATCGCATATTTCCTCTTGATGAGCGACGATTTGCGGAGGATTCACCCATGCCTGTGTCAAGCTCGCAAGACCTTCGGCCCGGATTCCCGACTCCAGCGATGACAGGACAAATTGTGTCCGCTCCCGCTGAGCTGCGTGAGCCTCACCATAAACTCACCGTTGGTGGGACGCCGTCGGCCAACTTCAGCCTTGACGTACGGAAAGCTATCCCGCCTCCAAAAGAGTTCGTCCTCGACAGCTCGGCCCCCGTCAGGGCTCTGAAGAACAAGTCGGCGACCGAATCTGCGTTACGATCTACCACGGTGCAAAGAGAGCAGTCGGAGCCGCTGTTGGAGCCCTCGACCGCCCTCCGGACAGTGCAGGAAGAAGACGAAAAGCGCAATGCTCCATCGCCCACAGTCGATGGACCGGGAGACGATAAGCCAGACTTGGAGGTATGGGGCGAGCCATTTCGTGTGGAGTGGGTGAAGACGAATCGGCTGCCGTTCCACCGCACGCGGCACCTGCGTAATCCTTGGAACCATGGGCGAGAGGTCAAAGTCTCACGGGATGGAACTGAGCTGGAGCCCAGCGTTGGGAAGGCGCTCTTGGAAGAATGGGGGCGCCCACCTTCGCCTTCTGCAACGCCTGCTCCCTCGCGATCTGGGCACCAGCGCCGCCCGCAGAGGCCGCCATCCCAACACGCAATTCCCTAGTCCTGATATGTTTGTGATCTTTTAGGTTCATGTCAGATCTATCATCTTTTGGACCGTCATATCACACGCTCATTCTTCCTTCTCTATGCTCAAGGTTTTTGTGAGATTAGATCCACATCATGCACGCACACGTATTCGCTAAAATCCAAACACATGCTAATATATGTGATCGCATCCGCATTCATCACTCACTGTTCTATACTCCATCTCCCTCCCCCTCTCCCTCTTCATCTCTACATCGATGCTGATCATTCACGACCTGGCAGGGATTCTCTTGTAATTCACGAAACAAGATCCGTCAATCTAGTGTAGTTATCCCTTTTTTTTTGGTTTACTATCCGTTTTTCTCCTGGGTCCTTCTGTTGTTTTGCGAGGGTTTATGTTTGCTGGTGTCGCATTTTTGCTTGTTCATCGCGCTCTTCTTCTGACACGTTATCTCGTTCTCGTAGGGATTGTTCACACTCTATCATTACCATGTTTTTGTAGCTATAGGTGCTTGCGTTTGCACAGATGTAGTTTAGCCCTCGTATTACCAGTATACACGACGCAGGTAGTGCGCTGTAATAAAATTACATCATTCTAGATCGATGTCCTTTCTTTATTACTTTCAACACATGTGGCTCGTTGTGAAGGGGGCACCAGCGTCTATTCGGCGCTCACGCTGTCGGTCCAAGAATAGGCAGCGCATTCATTGATGGATTTGGTGACAGGAGATGACGTACTGTCCAGCTTGGGCGTCGCAACCATTTTGTAAGAGGTCTTACCTTGCTCAGACACTGCTAAGAAGGTTCCGAGATGGATGCTAAATTCTTAAAACCGCACAAAATCCCTCAACGTCCGTCCGTCGGGCTCTTCGGCAAAGCTATATAGTATCACTTCATGCTAGATGAGCTTGGGCAGTGCTTCGACGTCCATTGGCCGCGACATCGCTGGAGGGCCCATTCAACGGACACGGTTAGTAGGGTGGCATAGGTAGCACTGCTGATTGAAAGCACCCGGGCGCTGGCCTAACGCACCCTGTCGATATACAATTTGATAACGGCGCTGTTCAAGACTAGCCTGGCAGGTTCAGAGGACGAAGACCGCCCGAACGCCCTGGAACGCCCTGCGGCACTACGCCAGCCTCGCACGCTCGCGGGTAAGTGGGCTCAAGCAATGTAGTGAGGCCTCGCTCTTTTGTTGGGGTTTCGGCCTGTTTCGAATAAACGCACGTACCTCAACAGGACTGTGGAGACGAATGACGTCCAAGGAGTCAAACCTCACTGTGCTTGTGTTCCACCATTGTCTACGGCACGGGGGCGCCGAAATGTAACAAAGAAAATGACCAGCAATGGCGCCAAGACGAAGTTTTTTGCTCTAAATGACAGGCTTTGACGGAAGAAAAGGGTGGCCATGCACACTGGCCATGCTTTAGCAAAAGCATGATCATGCCGCAGTCTCGCCAGATGCGAGATTCTCACACTTTCACCGCTTGTTCACCGCTTGTTCGCTTCCTAGTGCTGCGCTATGCGCTGCCCGATCCTAAAATTTGACGCTCCGACAAGGACTTTTGAGAATCTCGGGCCTAGTTATTACTACAGTATAGGTTCGGCTGTCAATCTAGATGCAGATTTATTATTAGTTGTGCAATAATGGAGAATTCAATCTTTGCCGGAGCGTGAACGCAGGGTCGTGGCGTCGGAGTCCGCCGATCCTTAACTTCGCTTATAGACTGCTTATAGCCGCGGAAATGTAACATTTAAGCCTGAGGGCTCCGGGAAGATTTGGGGGTGGACTATATTGTATTTCAAGGGCTGCGAGAAAAACATCACAGTTTTCCCCAATTTGCCGCAGTTTTTCCCATGATCCCGGGAAAGAGCACGCTGTGCATACAAGGATTCTGCTTCTCATCTAGAGGGCGACATAATCTCAGGGAAACATGCCGTAAACAGAGGACATCGTCCACAGCGAAATATTTGAATGACGCAGTGGAAGCTCCACGAATCACGACCATCTCGATCCGCTCTTGTGCCTTTCCGAGCCACTTTGTTTAGAAAAGGACGTCGTAAAATCGAGTAGTCCAAAATTAGCAGATCGTTTCCAGTGACGCAGTGGCGGAACCATATGACGTCGAGCACTTGCGGCCCGCATGTCCGCAGCATCACTGAATTTGCACCCGAGGCGTACACCAACCTGATAGAAGAATAGTCTCTTAATGACCTTACAGAGAGATATTTCAGCGCGTTCGAAATTGAGGACTGTCCTCGTGCAAGCGTCGACGTTTCACAAGAAATATACAGAAAACAGGTGTTCAGCAGTGACTACAAGCGAGATGTGCAAGGAACAACACCGCGTAGGCTACAAGCGTTAATGTTGGAGTCGTCAAAGATCTCGAGTATGTATCTAGCAGCACATTTCGCAAGGGCAGCCTGAGGTTACGTTCTGTGAGTTGCAAGGCCAGGTATGGAATAATAAAACAGTACGCACAGAGGATGTCGGCGGCACAATCGCAGCAGCCCTAAAGAACAAACAAAGTATGTTAATTCAAACACGAATTCTACGTATGAAGCAAGCCCGACCTCGCAGCATTCTGCAATCAATGAAGTCAGACGAGAATCTGGTGAGAAATAGTCTGAAGGACGCACCGAAGCAGACGAAGCACCCGAACAAGCCGATGAAGCAGTCCTTTGAGCGATGAGCGTCAGTAATATGTGGCTTCGCGGCCACCGTGCAACTGACCTTGCCGGCTCCACCGCCACGGATGCGATGGGCCTTGTGCTCATGCTGCTCATGCTGTTGCGAGTTTGCAGGGGTAGCAGGGTTCATGGCGTCTGCAGACAAGCGCGCATTGTTTCAGTATCCAGGGTCGGTGGGAAAGGGGAAAATTCGCACGCACTCATTTGTACGGCAGCCTGGGGCTGGTTTGCAGTAACGTGAGCAGCTTTGGGGGCTTCCATCGTAAAGAGAATATGTGCAGCGGGAGCGGGGACGTCTGTTGCTATGATGTAGGGACCAAGGGAGAAATGACTGCGGAGAGGGAGACAGGGAGCTTATATAGGAAGGGCTGATTGCCAAACGGTTACATCATGGAAAGAGGCAGGACACATTGGGGTCCCGGCCGTGCTATATATAGCTACGAGCGGCTCATCGCACTCGTTCGTGCTCCAATTAATAGCGCATTGCTGCATAAGGTCCCTGCGCGTCCAGCATCTGGCTCCAGTGCGCCACTGTCGTGCGCTCCGTCCTGCACGAGCAGGATGCATATGGGGGCGAGGAACTCGAGACAAGCTGTCATTGATTTGACGTGCGCAAGCCGTGGATTAGAAGGGCCGTCCGGGGCCCAAACGCCGTCTAAGGCAATTTTAGTCACGCCATAAGCACTGTCAGACACAATGAACAGACGCGGTGAGCGGTGAGCTCCAGGAAGCGAGGGAGTCGGAGGACTGCCACGGCATCGAGAGGCGGCCTCTTATAAAGAATACGGCTGACGAATGTGTGCGCCATCTGCGAAGCATCTTGCCCAACGCCGTTGTCCTGACTCAGCCCAGCCAATCATTTCTCCTGATACGCGTTCCTTGGCAGTTCTGACTAGCCCTGACTGCTCCATAAAACCCTGTAAATTCACCCGAATATGGCCTTCGTAACCCCCCGCGCCTCTGGTCTTTGGGAGGACGCCGCCAGGATGAGCTATTTCGGTGCTGACAACGCTGACGATCTCGAACAGAGCAACGACTTTGATGACGATGGACGTACCCCGCTCGACAAGACCATAGATCGCATTGGAATGGGTGCGTGCCTGGTCACCTCCACAGATCATCGTGACGAATGCGGGGTTGTCGACGTGTTTGGGCGCATACAGGCAGCTATCAATGGACTCTTCTTTCGCTCTGCGGATTTGGTGAGTTCGTTACGCGTCGTTCTGCCCAAATAGATCTAGAATAGCGGGCTCTGTGATCTGCACAAAGGTTGGATGGCCGACAATGTGAGTCTACGTCCGTTGTCAGAGGTTCTCCGCTTGACGCAGAGAAATATAAGATGTGGATACAAGCGGTCGCAATAATCCTCCCTCGAGTACAGATACATTACTCAGGCAAGCCCGAAGCATCGTCTCTGTATACTCAGCTTCATCTGTGCTTGGACGCGATTGCAGTGCCTGACAGTTATATCGGCACATTATCCTCTTCAATGTTCGCGGGCATGATGTTCGGCGCAATTGGCTGGGGAACATGTTCGTACTTCCCTCTCACAGTCGATTTTATTCTATGACAACCCCGTAGGCTCCGATCTCATGGGCCGTAGCGCGGCTTTCAATGCAACTTTGTTCTTCACTGCCGTCTTTGGGCTCGTCGCGTCTTTCGCCAATACATTCGGCACGCTATGCCTGTGTCTTTTTCTGTTAGGCAGCTCCGTTGGGGTATGGCTTTCTACCACACTTTATATCGAGTCACAGCTGCTTCACACATTCACATCCCTTACTGCAGGGTTCCATGCCGACAGATGGCACACTTTTACTAGAACACATGCCGCGCGGAAAAGAATACTTGGTCACCGCGCTTTCTGTATTTTTCTCCTTTGGCGCAGTGCTCTCCGCTCTAGTGGCCATTGTGCTGGTCCCAAAACATTCTTGTCCTCCAGCACCTGCCGCTTGCGATGTGGCGATCGAGAATTTGGGCTGGAAGTACGAACTCATGGCTTTAGGATTGATCGTACGTCCCCTATATACTGCGCATTAGGCCGACGATGCCTTGTCATAATGTCGGCCACCCTCACCCCATCTCGCTCTAACTGCACGCATCCCTACTGACACTTCCTGCCGGCCTACCTAACCTCTTATGGCATTCCTCATACCCCATCTCATCCTAATAGACCCTCACGATGTTCCTCGCACGTATGGTCTTCTTCCGGTTACATGAGTCCCCGAGGTACCTCGTGCACGCGGGACGACACCAAGAGGCGCTCGAGTCGCTGCAGATGATCTCGCGTTTCAACGGCGACGATTTTGACATAAGCCTGTACGACGTCGACGACAGCGTGCGCGACCGCTTGGGCGAAAACACGCCATTTCTTTCGCCACCACACGATGAAGATAGTCATCTGCTCAGTGCGAGCGCGGTCGTACAGGCGGAAGTCCCGCACGGGGAGACGTTGTTCGATGCGAACATCGACGAGCCTACAGGACCTTCACCCTCTGCCACCACTCCCGACTCTGTTTCGTCAGAAGCCCTTCGCACCACCATGACTGCCTACCACGCGACCGCCGAAACGCCCACGACCCTCCTTGCCTTCTCTCACCGCGACCCCGACGCGCCCCCGCACTCCGCTGATTCGCACTCCTCCTCGCGGCATTCCTTCCTTTACCAAACCACACCACATCTCGCCGCGCAAAAAGAGAGTCCTGTGGTCCCAGAACCCGACGCCGATACCGATGCGGCCGCATCGCATCCGCCACCTGCCCGACCACGACCGCGGCCACCGCGATCGGAGAGTAGGGCATCACGGACATCCGTCACGTCTTCAATCTTCGAGGGTAAAGGAGGCTGGCTATGGTGGAAGCTCCCGCGGTGGATCCGGAGACCGCTCGGGGCGTGGCTGGACCGGTTTGCGATGGTGCTCGCACCGGAGTGGATCAGGACTACGGTGGTGGTCTGGGGCGTATGGTTCGGAATGTCACTAGGTGGGCCATCAACCCCAGATAGACCTATTCGTAGCTGATTTATATTTTTTTGTACATCTGCTGGTATCTTACCTTGATGATATGTGTAGGGTACACGATGTTCAACGTATACCTGCCGAAGCTCCTCGAAGCGCGGAACTCGGCAGGTGCAGCGCCCAAATCGTTAGAAGGGACATTGTGGGACGTTGTCATTTTTACTATTGGTGGATGTCCAGGCGCCGTGGTACGTGTTTTGATACTCATCTTCGTAAAGACCCGATCATTTATGGCGTGGTGCACTCATAGCTTGGCGCATACTTGATAGAATCGCCTCTCGGGCGACGCTTATCTCTCGCGGGCAGCACGTTCGTGACTGCAGTATTCTGCATCATATTCGCCATGGTAGATGGGCAGTTCGCGGTGACCGCGAGTACGGTAGGCATCAGCTTGAGCGCGACGGTACGTCCTTTTGTCGTGTCTCTTTTTTGAGACAGCAATCATTGATGTGATAATCATGCAGGCGATGTGGGCTGTACTGTACGGGTACGTGTTGCCGACGATTGTCATTTATGCTATGTTGAATGACGACTGGAACGTGGACAGGTGGACGCCAGAAATATTTAGCACCAAAGTCCGCGGGACAGCATGCGGAACTGCCTCTGCGCTTTCTCGCATGTACGTTACCGCCACTGCATGGTTTCCCTCTGACTTCTACTGACACCGCCTCATGCAGAGGCGGCATGATCGCGCCGATATTGGGCGGTACACTTTTGATGGTGAACACTTCCTTCCCCGTATACACGAGCATATGTGTCTTCACTCTGTCCGGCGTCGCTGTGCTCTTGCTGAGCGAGGACGCGGGGGACACAAAGGGAAGAGAAGGGGGTCCTGTAATCGTCCATTAAAGACGAGAGATCTTGCGGCGCGAGCGCCTTGGACTGGTCGATGACTTTTTTTGTAGCTACTGTAACAGCAGCAGTGTATCATGTGACTCTCGCGCGCCCTTCGGTGCATATCGCCTATTCCTCTGATGGCATACTGCACGCAAATCGAGGATATGAATTGACCCTTGCCTTTGATCACCCGCGTGAAGCTGTCCGTGAGGTGCGCGCGATCGTATATGATGGGGCTAAATGCGTGAAGCACTGATGGGCATTCATTCCCCTGAACATAGCGTAAAACCTTGATCTATTGAGGGAGTCTTGATTTACTAAACGATAGTATAGGTATAGGTATCAAAGAAGGTATGCTGTCGGAGTCTCTACACGTCAGCCTGGATCAGAGCTAGAGCCTCTGCAGAGCGCGGGGTGATATCACACTGAAATGAAGGTTTCAAGTGACTAGATGAGATACCCAAAGTCAGTATTGACATGCGGAAGCAAGCGCAAGATGAAGTCGAACCTGGCAAGACCAGACGAAAACTCGACGATCGGCTCAATCTCCTTGCCACTGGCGTCCTCTTTCTTCGAGATAATCAAAGCCGACAAGACCGACGAAGTGGTGAAGGTCAACGAGGTCTCCGCAAAGTGGGCACCTGGAGGTCCAGACAGTGAGTGTGAAAAAGGTTTTGAGTTTTAGACGTAAATTCATACCTGGGCACACACGGCGGCTGAATCCGAACGCGTACTTGCGCGGGTCGGGCTGTGGATTTTCACTGAGATACCGTTCAGGAATAAATTTCTCAGGCTCCGGATACAGTGCTGGGTCGTTCAAAATCGCCCTACATCGTGTATTCAGCACATGTTGCGTATGGTCGAAGAGAGTGCGCATACCAGATATTCGTGAGGACCACAGTACCTTCAGGAATGAAATAACCCTGGTAGACATCGTCCTGCGTGAGGCGGTGCGGCAAGCCCAGGGCTGTGTAAATCCAGCATCATTCAGAAGGGGCTGGAAGTGCAACATACCCATCGGAGCCACAGGAGCTCATCGCAGGATTTACTTCACCACCGCATTAACGTAACGCAGATGCGGGACGTCCTCGACGGTCGGTAGGCGGTCGCAGCCGACGATAGCGTCAACCTCCGCTCGCGCACGAGCTTGAATTTCGGGATATAGTGCCATGACCGCAACGAAAGACACCAACGCGGAGACAGTCTTGTTTTGACAGATGGCAATGTCAGCATGACAATCGAATGTAAGCAATGTCTAGAGACGTACGGTGTCCGCGCCACCGCCATAGAGAGCACCGCTGCACCATTTGATAATATCCTGTTCTTCAGCATCCGGAGTACTGCCGTCGTCAGGTTGAAGCATTTGAGAGGTGAAGGAATCGATGAATGAACCAGATGCCTGTGGAGGTTGCAACACGATCAACATTCCAAATATCTAGACATAAAATGACCGAGCATTTGCTTCTTAACCCACTCGAAGGGCACCTTATCAATCCTGCTCAATTCCTCTTTGAGGTATTGCGCACGTCTCTTAAAGTATGCACCCGGGAACCATGAGGGGACGAAGCGCACTATATCAGAGTTACAAGACATCAGTGATCAGTAAAAGAAATCCGAATGAAAGCAGGAGTGCGTACGGGCAGGCAAATCCTCGACAAGCCACTTTCCAGGGGCATTAGCTTTTGCCATGTGATGAACCGCTTGCTCCATCAGTTTAACGAAGTAATCGTCGTTCGTCTCGACCGTCCAACCATACGCGACCTTCAAGATCACCGCTCCCGCATTCCTGCGCACGTGCGCAGAGAGCTCGTTCGGCTTTGTATACAGCCCACGCATCAACGTGCGGACTTCAGACTCCATCAATGGTGCATACCCTTGCGTCGCCCTCGGGTTCAGGCCACTATTCATCAACTTGCGGTAGCGCCGGAAGCGCGGGTGCTTGATAGAAAGATTGAATACATTCAGGAAATGGTTTGCGAGAACGCCGTACATCCACTGCTTTGGTCTGTCAGAGTATATTCCTGAGCGAGACTCAAGGAGATCCGTTGCGACTGAGGCGCTGTTGATAACAAGTACACTGCGTTGCAAGCCGAGGCGTAGATATATCATAGGACCTGCCAGCTTTAGTCTTAGTGAACTCGTATTTTGAGCAGAAGAAGTTACTGTGCAGGTGATGCTACGCACCGTACTCCTTGCCCAGAGCGGCGTAGCCGAGCCATGGATAAGATCTCGGAATGACATCCAAGTTACCAGATAAGAATTTCGGTTTTGGACCAGGAGGGAAAGGAAGGTTGCTCTTGGACGATCTTCGATACACGAACAACGCCAACGTCACTGCAAGCACAAGACCACTGAGGGTAGAGACGATGGGATCCATGGTTGATGCAGAAAACATCAGCTGAACAAGGGGGCTTTTAAAAGAGCAGAAGACTCATTCGCCAAGGTTCTTCAAATTCCCGTAGTCATCAGTGTTCCTGTTATACAGGCCGCTCAGCCGTCTTCTTTTCGCTCGCTTCTGCTCAGATTCTCGATTGCAAGTGCACCATTTGCCCTTAGGATTTCGTCAGCAAGTTGCAGATTTGACAAGGGCCTGACAAAATTAAGTAGGCTAGTGATAGCTTGAATTGAAAATACTTTGTATTCCCGCAGCTTCTATGGTTCTCACCAAGGGACGCCGGGCTTTGAAGCTATATTCGCCTCATATCTCCGAGCTCAACTAGCGTGACCGGGAGAAATGAGATAAATTGACCTTGAGAAAGGGCAGATATGTGAAACTTGGTCAGAGATTGTGAGTCTACACTTCAGAGTTATTGACACTCGGTATCCAAATAGATTAGTCTGCTCATGCGACGGTGAGATTAGCGACAGACATCACTGGGAGGGCATCGGGAAAGAAGAAGGCAGGCTAGCTATATTGTGAATCCAATTTTCAAAAAAGAGGAGGGGATTACAGCTTTACGAACGGGCGCTTTGCTTGGGTACAATCCGATTCGACATGATTGCCGGTGTTGGAGGGGAAGTAAGAGTGTAGATCATATGCTCCAGATTGTCGCAGTCATTCTTTCGCCACATAAAGACTGTGGTCACAGAATAATGGGAATATGATCCCTCAAAATGGCTAGTAGAGAGATTTTAGTGAGAGAAGGTGTGCGAAGACATTGGACAAGCTATGTTGCGTGACAGATATGTCACGTAATCAAGCACTGTCAGTCACGAACCGCTAAGATCTTCCAAAAACTTAACTTGCCTCCGTCTGTCTTTAAATCTAGAAGCTGCATCACTCAAAGAAAATGGTACGAGGTGCAGCAGCTTCAACCATCTCCTTTCATTTTCTCATTTCTTCTGAAATCCTAGCGACCAATATTGCTACAAGGTATGTGATATAACCTTTTCTACCGAAGCTTTCACCAACCTACCTGGTTCAGGCCACGAGCGGTCTCTCACGCAGATCAAGTTCAACAGAGAGGGCGATCTCCTATTCTCAGCCTCGAAGGATCTCATCATCAACGTCTGGTTTTCGCACAACGGAGAGCGCTTAGGCACGTACGAAGGACATAATGGCTCTGTCTGGACGATTGATGTAGACTGTGCGCGAAGACGTTTTTTCTCACTCCCTAATGTCTGATCTGTCTTCGTAGCGCAATCGCGGTTCTTGGTGTCAGGTGCGGCTGATAACGAGATGCGACTATGGTCTGTACAGACCGGAAAGTGTTTGTTCGTGTGGGAGTTCCCAACCGCAGTGAAGCGGGTTGCGTTCAACGAGAATGATGACCAAGTGGTCTGCATCACGGAGCAACGGATGGGCTACCAGGGTGCCATTCGGGTCTTCGATATTAACCGGGAAGGCGACGGTACAAATCGTGAGTCGTGGTACCCTCAAATCATCTGCTTCGCGTTCGAGTATGTTTTACCCGTGCAGAAAGCAAGGAGCCGGCGTCAATCTTTCATCCCATCGGCTCGAAGGCCACAGTTTGCGCCTTCTCCTACATCCCTAATTTGATCATAACTGGTCACGAATCAGGCAAAGTTGCACTCTTTGATGCAAAGAGTGGAGAGGAGGTTCTCAACAATGAGCGTGCACATATGGACGTCGTCACGGATCTCCAGCTCAGCTCGGATCGTACATACTTTATCACCAGCAGCAAGGATAAAACGGCGCGGGTACGAAATTGGCCTTTCTTGTTGGCTTTCCTAGAATTGACATGGACGATCTTTTAGATACATGACGCTAAGACACTCACTGTTTTGAAAACTTTCAGCACCGAAACGCCGTTGAACAGTGCCACATTGGCGCCGAAAATGCCTTATGTGCGTCCTTCACATCTATTGTATTGGAATATTGCTTGAATATTCGATCTTAGGTTCTGCTAGGAGGAGGACAGGAGGCCATGAGTGTCACGACAACATCTCTACGGCAAGGCAAGTTCGAAACCCGATTCTGGCATCAAGTCTTTGAAGAGGAAGTGGGACGAGTAAAAGGCCACTTCGGCCCTATCAACACGTCAGTAGCTTTCTGTCACACGTTTTTGCACATCTCATAACTTTTCTCTTCAGTATCGCTGTGCATCCCGCAGGAACCGCATATGCATCTGGAGGAGAGGATGGTTTCGTGCGTGTACACCAATATGACGAAAGCTATTTCAAAGCCAAACCATACGGAGATATCGAAATTCTCAATTAGAACTTGGAGCTACTTGTTTGTCATTGAATTTTCGATTGGTTTCTGTGGTGTATTTTGTACGCTTAATTTCATTCAAAAGATACTTGTATCGACATGCACAATGCTTCCACACATCGCCAGCACTTCAGCCTTTCACACAATGCACAACCCGAGCATGAGATCCGCACTTCGTTGACTTGGGATGGCTCATTCTTCGGCTCCCGCCCTGTGCGACACTCGAGCAGTCCGACTTCATCATCATAAGCCAAATTTTGCATCCCGTCAGTTCGATGCGTGACTGCAGTCGAGGTGAAAGGACGAACCTCCATTTCGACGAGGCATCAAAGCTATCCTTAGATGAGTTATCGTTGTGGTAAAATCCAATTTGGATGACACTATCCAATCGTTCCAATCGCTGTCCTCTCGTCGAATGATGCGTAAGTAGCGCAGGTGCTATGGCCAATCGCAAGTTGGAAGTTTTCATAAATGAATCTTCGGAAGGCTTATCCCATGCCGTTTTCTGAAGAGTCACTAGGACGACAATGACTGTAGGGTAGATACCCTAGTAGACTTGAGGGTATGGACTCGGTAGATGAACAAATAATTTGTCTCACAGCGATTTGAACTGAAGCGTCCTGTATAAGCTCACACTCAGGAGCAGAGACGACGCTAAATCGAGTTGTGATAAGTAGAACCTAGCGCTCAACGTCAATAATTAGAATCCTATCAACAATCATGTTCTACTCACCCATAACACGCAATAGAGTGCGCCAGACTCAATCAGAAGGGCAAAGATCTTTTCCATCTGCGTTCGTCTTAAACCTCCGTGAGCGAGATAAGACTTGATCATTCGCCGGTGCCGCCTTTTAATAAAGAGTTAACAGAAGGTTGAACATACTGAGCGTTGATCCTACCAAGCTTTGCAGGCAATTAGAATTGTTGCTGCCACATTCGTTGCAAGAGACAGGACCCAAGCTGCAAAGAGACTGTCCGTAGCTTGAGACTTGAAACCCTTGACTTTGTATACAGCACTGACAACGGCAGAAACTAATATAGAAAAAATAGATAGTAAGTCTCTTACAGCCTATTGAATAGGCCTCCTCTGGGCGTACCAAGTGAGCCCAAAAGCGGGACGAATGGGATTATGGAGATCCTTGTATTGTGCTGCCAAAGAACCCAGGCTCTCCAAGCGACAACAGTGTCGCTGAGAACATACTGCAAAATTCACTGTAAGCCATGTTCTCGCTTTACCAAACGAAAATCATACGTTTATCATGGGAAGATACATTTGCGCGATGTACAGACCACCAATGAATTCACCTTCTTGTAATGTGATCTTGTCAGGATGATACAAAGCTTGTACAGACATAACTGAGATAGTCAAAGTGAAAGCCCAATAGGTGGTTGACGTTGCAAACATGATGGTTGTCACAGACAACATCATGACATTGGCTTTGGTCTCAAAGCCCTTGCAGCTTTCTTCTTTTTCAGTCCGAGCGCGATATAGGTTGCTCAGATCCACTCACCACAAAAAGTATGTTGAAAACAACATAATGACAACAAAGATTCCTACAATAGCCGAGGATGGTAAATTAGACATAGTTGGAGGCCAGAGTAGACAGCGACACACCGAAAAAAGCACTCTGTGATGCAACCGTAGCGATAACTTGTATGATTTCAGGGGAAAAGTCTGAGGAAACAGCAGGAACAGACGACCCAGTCGCCGACATACTTGCACAATCGACGCAGTCGATATGCTCAGCAGGGTGTAGTAGAGGTCGTAAGGGAAGGGTGGGATCCGTTTCCACCAACAGCTTGTCTGGCATTTAGCTTACGAGATCGTGAGAGATCAATCAATGGTAGCTGTGATCATGTTGAACAGATCGTTTCAAAGTTCATAGCTATATATGTGTACTCACCGGGAGGATCAAGCTCGAACCTGTCAGGTTCATAGCGGAATATATATCTAACACCAGTGTCGTTGCTACCGAGAACCTCGATACTCGAGCTTGGAGCCTATTTTCGAAACAGGAAGAACAAGGACGGTTCCTGCCACCACTGTTCTAACTTCCCTGCCATGGAGTTACGTCACACTGAGGCTGAGCAACATCCACTGTGATTGGACGAAGCAGATCAACATGATTCTCGCAGTCATTTTGCTGCCAATCCTCTTGAGCAATTCGCTCATGGCATAGTCAAGGGTGCTTACGAGACGGTCCATCTGAGATATTTGGGAAGAGACAATCAGCTCGAGCTCGCGCCGACGAAACTTCGCTCTGTGGACGAAAACACCGTGGCCGCTGCCATCATCGTAGTATCACAATATCTTGCTGTCTCTACTACGTCACGATCAGTCCTCAAATCATGATCGTGAAGCGACAATTAATCAAGCCAGGATATCATTTACTTATCGAAGGTGTCTTGATAAATCTTTTCTTCTGGGATATACTCGTACTGTGCAGTATGGTCAGTGGTGTGTGGCGTCGGCGCTGGATTGTTTCGATTTGGCCGATTTCTCACGGGTATTTATCCGATATTTTCCCGATATACCTACACACCATCTATCTTCGTCGCGGCTAGCCACCATTTCGCCAGCCGCTACGGTCACTGGATGCATTTCGCAACTAAGGGACGTGATTGATATATGTTTCCAGGGTGTCCTATGACCACATACTAACGGTCTTATTAGCCTTGAGGGGAGTGAAGAATGCCCCTCAAGCTCGTGTTGAATCCTGATAGTATGTCACTGTCGACTCCTGATACAACACCAGTTTTTCCAACTCCCAGGATACCAATGGCCTCGTTGGACTTTAGTACAAATATTGACCTTAACAGACAATTGGAAGACATCGAATTGATTGCACGGGCACCGACCCAACAAAAAGAGCCTCACTCCGTGGAACTTGTAGACGAGCCTGACATCACGAGCATCCGGATTGAAAATACTGTTGTTGATGTGAACTATGGTCATACACTCGTAAATCCTATGCTGGGGCACATTCATATTGCGACACTCTGCTGGACTCTCTTCATGGAAGGTTGGAATGACGGTTCGACGGGGCCATTGCTTCCAAGGATCCAGAGGGTGTATAATGTTAGTGCTGTCTGTTCATACACCGATGTGATCTCATGTATCCCATATGAGAATCTCTAGGTTAGTTATATTGTTGTTTCCCTGCTCTTTGTGGCAGGCTGTGTGGTTTGTAAACTCCATTCCCAAATCTATTGTGGGTATGATAACCCTTTTCGGCCAGGGAATTATGATCGGAGGAGCTGCATGCATCTTTTTGACAGCTAGGATGGGTTTTGGGAAGGTTGGTCTTGAACCGGAATATCACCCTTCATCATCATTTCGTGAACTCATACACAATGCATGCTTCTAGACCATAGTCCTCGGTAAGATTTCAGGCTTGCTCTGATCATCATATCATCGTCTGAAAGTTACGAAACAGGCTCTTTAGTTCAGGCTACGGCGTACTGTATCCAAAGCCCTGCTCCGCCCTTCGTCGTATTTGCCCTAGCCTTTGGCCTCAGCGGCTTCGGTATGGCACTACAAGTGATTGGACAGTATAGTTTCTTGAGTCTCACAAAAGCTGATCCCCTCCCTGAGCTCAGGACGGCCAAGCCAACGGATATGTCGCCGGCGTGAAAAATTCCTCGACCAAATTAGGGTTCATACACTGCGCATATGGTGAACGTCCACCTTCCAACGCGCACTCTGATTATCGATCTAATGTATTTACATATCTTGCAGGTGCAGGGGCTTTGGTTGCCCCTTTAGCTTCTACTCAATTCGCTCAGCTCGAGCATTGGTCATTCCAGTATTTGATCTCCTTGAGTTTATGCCTCCTCAACACCGTGCTCCTCATCGCTGTCTTCCGCTTCAAGTCGCAGGATGGCAAGTTTGCTATCAATCTTTTCCGCAGGTTTCTTGCTCTGAAGGGTCGTTATAGAATGCTTCAAGTCGATCGGAGAAGCCGTCGGAGAGCATGGAACCAGCAAAGATAATACATACAAACAGATATTCAAGCAGAAGGCTGTCCACCTTCTTTCATTGTTCATTCTCGCTTATGTTGGCGTTGAAGTGACCATTGGAGGTAAGTGTAGAACTCATCAGCAGCCTGCCCAGATATTTTATTTAGAACTGATCGACAGGCTGGATCGTGACCTATATCATAAGATTCAGAGATGGAGGCCCCTCCTCGGGCTACATCTCTTCCGGATTTTTTGGGGGCAAGCGGCACTCTCAAAGTTCTGACCTGAGTACTGAAAAATATGAACGCGCGGATGCAGGTCTTGCTCTGGGTCGTATCGCTCTGCTATGGGTGAACCAGAAGGTATATTCAACACATATACTGTTATTCAACATATGACGCGTAACCTTTCCTTCCCTAGCTCGGACAGCGCCTTGCTGTCCTCATATACATGCTCTTGGCCATCGGGTGCGCAACTCTCGTCCGTCGGTCTGCAATTTCCATGACGCTTACGGACCTCTTCGGGACTGGAATCAGACTGGAACTCATTGTCTGGCTCGTCCCTTCCCTGATCTCCGGCGCTGTCGCCATCTCTCTCACAGGATTCTTCATGGGTCCTATCTACCCCATCGTCATGAACGAGACGGCTCGCATCCTTCCCAGATGGCTCCTCACCGGCTCTATTAGCTGGATTGCCGCATTTGGTACTACAGGCGCCGCCGCTTTACCTTTCATCGCCGGAGCCCTGGCGCAGGAGAAAGGTATCTGGACCCTGCAGCCCTTGTGCGTTACTTCTAACGAGCCTTCCTTGATATATCTTGTTTGTAACGATGCTGCCGCCAGGCTGCTTGCGATGATGGCGGTCATGGTCTCCTTATGGCTGATCATCCCCAAAGAGCGTGTCAGCGATCACGCAGAGTGATTTTGCTCGACTGCCCGGCCTCGTTTTAGGATTCAGGCCCAGATCATATGCTGTTCATCAAGTTTCACATTCCAGTGCCAGTGCTTCTATGACAGTTGCTCTTTTGCACAAAATCTAAATCAGAATACCACTTGTTGTTCCTCTCTTCCTAGACCTGAAAGGCGATGCAGCACATTGTTCGAGAGTCTTCGTCCCCACGCTCACCGAGGCCGCATCTCGATTGTGTTGTTTTGAATCACGTACCTCTGCATATAGCGACCAACGAGAACAAGCTTCTGTCGAATATTCTATTTTCGCTAAACTAAATCTTGTCAATAAGGTTACAATCGTCAATGTTCTCCCTACTCATCTCGATGCTGGTATAGTATGCATATGGGGTCGGAGGGGTACGGAAGATACGTATGGATGCGATGGGGCAGCAGGATATACTGATGGCACCGGTGGAGGTAGGTGGAAGCTGGCGGAAATGCAGAATTAGAGGAAGAAACGTAGGAAAACGCCCGACCAAGACCAGTAGATCGTGGCGTTCGCCGGAGCAATAGAAACGGTCCATTTGCGGATGTCGTCGCGGAAGATATGAAGGAAAGACATCCAGAGTTACACCATGCGAAGCAAGTGGGGGCGAGCAAGCATGGAATGGCATAAAATGTCCGTCTAAGGTGCAGTGATAGGAAATGATTGACTATAGTATCCACGAGGATCCAGAGGAGATGAGGAAGAGGAGCACCCCAAGACAATGGGGGATTGAGAAAGGCAACCAACTTGTTAAAGGGTTCGATGTTCGTCGATTTGCCCTACAATGACAGTGTCAAGAAAGGAGTAAAGCTATGAGACTATGAGAGCTCACGATGAAGATGAAGGCTTGGACAATAGTCGGACTTCCAGCAATGCTACCAACCCATCAACTGCATTCGTTCCATTCGCACCGACCGAAAGATAATGATTGATACCATCGGACGTGTTTGAGAGCAGACCAGATACATATTGTACGTTGGTTTGGTAAATGTACCCGTCAAATGACGTCTGGCCTGAGTATATTGATTGGTTCGTGAGGTTTGAGGTTGGTATTACGGATGACTGGGCAGTGACATTCCCCACTAGCCAATCACTGGAAGATATGCGGGTTCAGAGATCGGGAAAATATCAAGAAAACTCGGAGAGCATACCGTGCTAGGTTGTATCTACATAATTGAGTTAGCAAAAGGACCGTGATACCTGACGGGATGGCACGCACCCGTTGTATATGATGTCATGTTGCTCTATTTTTCGAGATGAGCGAGGGAACATGAAGACGCTTCGCTATGGCACGTACGCTTATCAGGAAGCTCATATGATACGGCTAAAAATATGGCCCCGCTGAAGCAGTGTAAGACACGATGAAGTCGGTACAACTGCGGAAGATTTCACACCTATCCGCGTCCTTTCCGTCTTGCACCCAGTATCGGAAGTGATTGCCACCTTGGATCGTTTCTTGGCAAGTGCCAAAGGTTGGATTTCCGTAGTCCCATCGAATGACGGCCGTCTCGTTTTCTGAGAAATGACGCGAGTGAGAATGACTGTATGGCTGCGATACGGTCTGAATCCCACCCACTGGAGCCATTACCGTCACCGAGGTTCGCGCCCTGGTCGCTCCCCGAGTGCTGCCCGAGGCACTCACCAGCAAACCCGAACGACCTGATGCAGCGTCGCCAGTCATTTATAGAACACCTGACGCCCAGACCGGCCCACTCACAAGAAGTAGTTGCGCAGACCACCGTCAGTCTCTTGATCTACCAGCACAGTCTCGTCCGACGACCCCAGAATGATCGCGTTCAATGGCTCCCCGAGGCCAGCAGGAAAGGTGCCTGGTACTTGCTGAGCGAAGAATGAGCATTTTCTGGGCAAGCTTGGAAGTAAAACGCACTGTAAGAAAGCTGCCTCCCTTGTCTCGCGGGTCATAGTAACCTTGGGACGAAGCACGGTGCTCGAGGGTGGCAGAGACAGGTATTGATGATAAAAGAAGGGAAATAAGGGCGGCAGAGGACATGCCGAGTGGGTGGGGGATCATGAGTGGAGTGTGAGGAGAACAGAGTCGTGAGGAAGGCCGGTCCTCACAATCTGGTGAGCTCAGCCGTGTCGCCGAGCCGTCTCCAGTCCGGCGTTACCTCATTCGGCATCCACAATGAGCGCACTCATTTGCTCCTGAAAAACAACCCGCAACCTCCTGCCTTCGACCTAGCAACCGCCTTGTCCCTCCATTCCATGTCTTCATGGCACCCATTGCACGACGACCGTCTTATTGAGTCATGGATAGCCCGAGGGCGCGATCCTTGTTTGGCTTCATGCCTCGCAACATGCCTTGCGACCCCTCATGTTGTTCTTGGCTTCCTTGACATATTCCACGACGGCTCGGTCACTCGAGGCTATGGCGCATACTCCTATTCTCTCATGGACGTATCACCGTTGTATACCCATAAGGTGAGGTTGACGCATTGTACTGTCAGGACTCAGGGGATTCTCTTTTGACACTGCCCACAGCGGCGAAGGCTTGAAAAAGTCGACACAGTGTTGTGCGTACAACGAGTAGATCCCCAGTGGCTGTGAGTGCATGCATGATATCGTATAGAATGGCCGCGTTCAGCTCGGTGAGTTCGTTACTTTATGGGCGTAATGCCCCTGACATACGGAATAAACATTTAGTGAACCGAAGTCCATCTCAGCGGTCTGGGAGCACAAATGAGAATCCATGACGCGCAAGTAGACACATGATTGAATCGATTCCAATGGGTATATACACAAATTCGGCTCATCATCGCCTCTTTGACTGCTCAAGTTTGCGCGGGAACGCCTAGATATTCGGGCCACATCGACCGAGGAATACGGCGCGCGAGCTCCATGAATCCATGCGATGGGACAGGTGAGCCTTGGTCGCGCATGATGCTCTCAATAAGCCTTCCCGTCTGGTGAAGCTGATGGTCTGATAGAGGGATGTGTGAGGGGCCCGGTGAAGCAGACAGCATACCAGAGTCCGTATGTGCTTGTTGCACTGTTGAACTCAAGAGGGTATCTTCTACGTATGTGGTCCTTTGCTCGTGAGGTAGGTCCTCTCCAGCTCCCCGTCCGGTAGCATTGACTAGAAGTTGTTGGCAGTTATTCTGTTGGCCCGTCGCGTCTAGCATGAGGTCTTCCATCTCCACAGTATTGTTCGTTTTTGGCGCTAATTTCTCTGCCTTCATGCGGGCCAAGAGATCGATCATCTTCTGTCTGAAGCTTTCGTGCTTTTGTTGGAGAACTCGCGCGTGACGGATTTGGGCCTGTGCGTTGAACAAGGAGATTAAAATCGATGTTTTCCCCAGGTGAGCTTCCTGCTTACCTGGAGGTGCTGTGCCGTCTGCTCCGCGGTCGCCTTCGCTTGTCGCTCTCCGGCCAGCGCTAATGCCAGGTGGGTATGACAGTCGGCATGCGCCGCAATGGTGCTACCCTCTGCCTCCTTTGGAGGGATACCTTCCTCAGCTGTCACTGACTTGCTGATGGCATTCTCTCGCCGAATGACGTCCTGCTTCCGGAATATCTCGTTCTCCATTCTCAATATGTCGATCTCCTCCCTCATCTGCTCTCCCTCTAGCGCCCTTTTCTGTGCCAACTCACCCATCCACTTGATCGTCCCTTCCATCTGCTGCAGTCGGATCCGATACGTCTCCTTCTCGAACTCCTGCTCTGCCGCCATCTTCACCAGTTTGTTCTCCAATTCCCCCGCCCATCGTTCCAATTCTGCACACTCTGTCACTTTGATAGCGCTTTCGCACCTTGCACGGAAGATCAGATTTTTCAATGCCGCCACAGTCTTTGCGTGCTCTCCGTGCTCTTTGGCTAGTATCTGGCGTACACGACGGTCCTCATTAACTTGATAGACATAGAGCTCCGTGTAAGCGCTCCGTAGGCCATTCCCGAGCTCCGCAATTCTCTCGTCCCGCTGTTTGATCTCGGAAATACTGTTGGCCTGGTCTGGATCATGAGCCTTCGACTCTGGAGCATCTTGCTGGGGGGGATGCTGAGAGTACACAGGACGGCCATGTCCACCATCGTCAGTCTCTGTCAATTCACGATGTCTTTTCTCTAGATCTGCGCACCGCCGTTTCAAGAGAGTGTTTCGAAGTTGTAGCAAGTGAGCCTTCATAAGGGCCTTAGTGAGGAATGCAGTAGCAGGGGTGCTTGGGTCAAAGAGTTGTCTGTTCTGGATCTGCAACCTCTCTAGATGACGACGCAAGACGATGGTGAGCGCGGAAGCGTAGGGGTTCGGAGTAGAGAGAGAAGGCATAGTGCGAGGGTGCCGTCTGCGCGCGCGAGAGGTGAAGCGAAGCGAAGAAGGTGTAGCGGCTATACGCAGACTCCCCCTTCAGTTCAGACCGGTGGATCACTTTGAGTCTGATGTGCATGATATTGATTTCGAGTGAGTCTGGTTTGAAATGCGATTGAATGTGGATCCGTCGTAGTGGATCAAAATGTATTAACAGGGATCTACCCGGCTCGAGGGAAGTCTTCTCGGGGAGATGACCGAACGTGCTCAATTGCCTTCAATTGCTTGCAAGAGTGTGGATCTCAGATCATCATTTGGTTTCGATGCACAGGTCTCGTTGTTTACATGGCTTTGCGGCAGTTGTCGATTTAGGTCTCAGCCGCCATTTCGTTAGTCTGCTGACGCCTACCTGCTACGTCGAGTGAACGGCTCGTATGGTGCCATGCCACATAGGCTCGCTGTTTTCAGAGGCGAACGTTGAGAATGTGAATTTTACATAAAAGCATGACGGCGTACATTCTGGCCAAGGCAACTTTCTCGCATGATGCACCGGTTGTCGTAGGGATTCAGCTGCTTCCAAGTGGGCAGATCGTGAGCTCAGGAGCGGACGAGCAGTGAGAGCTGCACACGAAGCTACGCGAAGAGGCACAAGGCCCTACAAGGCCTACAAAAGCCAGTGATCGGAAGTTCCCACGGACCGAAGGCAGGTAGCGGAAGGTTACAACGCAGCTTTCACCGCAACCACGAGGCAGGACCGTCTCTTTGTCGTCGACCTCAACGCTCCCGTCGCCGTTGCTGTTGGCGACAGTCCTCAGCTCCTCCGCGTCTCTTGGGCATACACAGGCGCATACGGTCACTGTTTGGTCGCTCCACGAGGCCCTCTCAACTGTTCTTTTTTCCTCAGCAAGGTGGTCCCCACGTGTTTCCTCTGATTTCTTCTTTCTCTCCTCGTCAACGCGTCAGCGGTCCAGAGTCTGATTTTTTCCTCCTCCATAACGAACCCATTTTTGATGATTTTTTTCGCGGATCGCTCCGTTCAATGACATCCCGCCCAACTCGTCCCTCTTTTACCCACAGGAGACGTCCTTCGTCTGCTATCTTCCTTGGTTTGAACGTCAATATCCCTGATTTGCCAGAGCCGCCCAGTCCCGGCGCAGCTTCCAACGGTTCCGGCCTTCCCTCGCCCCCTGCCACGAACTCGACAGGAAGCGGCAGCACCGAAAACAACGGCAGCCTCCGCAGACGCTCTGTGTCTGATTCCACCACCTCCCCCAGCCCCAGCAATGCCGTGCACTCCAGACCATCAAGCCCCGACGACGACATGCCAAGCGATGCGGACGATAACACTGCCAGGCTCACGCGCAGGCGCTCGTCGCAGGCGTCTTCGGAGAACGCTGCAGCTCTGCAGCGTGTCATGAGCCTCACCCAACGCAACCGTATCGTGAGCATCTCCACCCGTCCTGTCCTTTCATGACACGCGCACGTTCTCACGTGCATATATGCGCCTCGTTTGTGCATATAGGCACTAGACAAACTATCCAGGTTGAACACGTCCTCGCCTGCTCTTCGCATGTCCGCAACGCCCTTGCCTCCCCTCACAGGTTCATCCTCGTCATCACGGCTCTCCTACAACTCTCATGACCCTGGTGGTCGACACAGAGACTCCACGCGTTCTGGCTCCGAGACAGAACGCGAAAGCCATCACTCAACATCCTATTCCTCAGATGATCAGTCCCTTACTCCACCGTCCACCGCCGTCCAGCCGCCTCGTCCCAAAACATCATCAGCCCCCTCCTCGCCTACCAAAGCCCATCACAGCGGGCGCAGCCGCGTGTTCTCTCCTGGAGCTAGCACGAATAACAAACCGGTCAGGAAGCGAGTTTCCGTGACGGATTCAGAGCGCGGGTCTGAAAGAGAGGACGAGAACGATGTCACGGTCGCTGCCCTGGCTGCTGTCGCTTCTCTCCGGAGAAGCCCGACGAGCACATCGATTGGTAGGAGAAGTAGGCAACCTTTGCCAAGAGAGTTCCGGGAGAGAGATGGCAGGGTCAGCTTTCACCATCCTTGACTTGTATTCATGTTCTTAATGACTTGCGTCTACCTTGCAGAATTCCACTCAACCTACTACTCCACACCGACATGCATCCCGCGATCAACATACCATTGCTACACTCGGGTCTCCTTCACCTAAATCCTCCGCAGCTACACTGTACGGCACCAATCAACAATTATCTCCTCGACCAACACGAGCTGGAGGAAGTAGGTTTGCCTCAACTGTGCGCGAATTGACTCGGAGACATCAGACACGGTGGATGTCGGAGGATCTCACTTCAACCACATCTGCATCCGTTGATGACGGCGACGACGACGAATCTGATCGGCCCAGTGTCAGTGGCAGAAGGCAGACTGTCAGAGGAGGCAGCATGGAAAACGTGCTGGGGACAAGACTAGTTGGTTCTGGCCTGCGCGCAGCAGGAATAGGCATGAGACGGGATGGTGGGGACGACGTCTTCGGCAGTCAAGAGACACATGATAAGACGCGTCGAGCGAGATCCAATGGTATGAACCCTAACGTGGACTGGGAAGAAGATTCTAGATCCAGCCGGACCAGCGGTCCCCCACGTATGTCTGATCGTTCAGGTCTCTTCTATGATTCTCAGACCCCAGCCCCCAACGGTTCCTCTCAGCAACGCGAGCGTGCTCCTCTTACTCTCCGGCCTGCCACATCGATGGCCGAGTTTCACCATAATGATGGTCCTAGTACTGCGCCTCCAGGGCTACGTACACACAGGTCTTCCTATGCACTGGACCGCGACCGCGAAGGCATAGGTTCCCGACAACAAATGCAGCACCCATATCCCCTACAGGCGCCGATATTTCAGGAGCGAACTTATGGTCTACCTCGCAATCGTCCACGGGATAACATGATCACAGCTTCTGGGCCAAGTAAAGTTCCCTCCTCTTCAGACTCACAGGGAGTGGAGCACATTCGACTGATGGACGAGTCTCTGTCTGTCTTCGAATCTCTCCTCTCGCGACTACCGAGTATGGGCGAAACCACAACGGCTACCATCCCAGAACTCTACCGCAACGCGCAGAGTATAGTTCGATTTTCCGAGCAGGTGAACGGAATGCTACGGACAAAGACTAATCGTGCTCTGGAACGGCAGATCGATTCCGAGGTCGCAGACGAGTCGGAAGCGATCGATATGGCGGCTCTGTGGAAGGATGTGGGAATGGATTTCAGAGACTGTTTGCGGGTGAGCGACGAGCTTGTGCGGACGATGACTGGTTTCTTGCTCGGTGTGGGCAAAGTGTTGCGGGAGGCTGCTCCTGCACCTGGTACAAGCACAGCTTTGCAACATCTTCGGGGTTCAAGCCTGGATGACGGCATGATGAGAAGCATGGGCAGAGATGGTGGGTCTTCGACCACGGGTAGTGGTACCGGAAGCGGCAAGAGCAGTGTCGATGGCAGGAGGAGCGCCGATGTAAGAAGGAGCTGGGATCTGGCGAGAGGGGAGAGAGATTCGGACAAGGACATCCCAAAACGAACGTCAAGTCGAGCGGACGGAATTCATGCGCGGCCGGCATCGTCGATGCTCCGAGAGAGAACTCGGGACAGAGGGGACCGCGATCGGCGAAGTAGAGATCAAATCAACTTGGATGCCGATCAAGATCCGTCGCCGCGTAACTCGTCTTCAGCCGCAGGGCCATCAGCGATATTGAGACGACTGTACACGCCCAGAGAGCATCGGGATCGAGCAGCAATCGCATCGATTGCCGCAAGCTCAAGAACGGATCTGTCTCTTACTGACTTGCAGCGGAGCACGCAAGAGTATGATCCGTCACCAACCCCTGTTTCACGCAATCAGGCAGCGTCGAAAATGGATCGGCATCGGTCACTTCCACCGCTCTCGATCCCGACACCCCTCCCCTCGCTTCCGTCCGAGTCTTCGCTCAACCGATCCGGGAATGAGAAAGGGAGTCGGCGCAAAGTGTCAACAGCCTCTAATATCACCGTACGTGCAAACCCCAACTTCAATATCTCAACTTCAAGCGCGACGACGGCACTCACGCCACACACCGTGTCCAATAACATTACCCCTGACAGGACAGCATTCCCAATGCTCAGAAACGATTCCGGGGAGTCCGCTTCGACGTCGGCGAAGAAGAACAACATCACTTTTTCTCGACCATCGACGGTCTCGGTGTCCGCACTGAATGGCCTCCAACAGCGTGACACTCGCAAGCGGACGATTTCTGCGACTTCATCGACATCTGTAAATGAGAATGTTGCTCCCGTGCCTACTTCCAACACTGCCACGACGCCTAACGTGCGTACACCCCGCTCCGGGTCGGAGACAGAGCGCCCAACGCTCAACTCTAGTAGTCGGCGGACTGTGGGTCCTACAAGGGCACGAGTGTCGCTGGACGCCGCGTTGGAAGAAGAGGCCAGAGCGGAGGGAATTGGTGGCGATCGGAGCGGAAAAAGCGCCCAGACACAGACGGCTGGGTATTCGTCTAGCACAAGGAGAGAACGGCGGCGGACGGTCACAGAAATATTCTCATAAGCTTTCATGTTCCTCAAAGGGTTGTGTGTATCTTTACGCTCTTGTCCTTCTGCATCGTGAGTGCCCATTCACGTTGACCATGAAGAATATCGGCTCATGCACTCGTCCTACGGCGCGACAGACATGCGCATTTTCTTGTTCGATTTCTTTTTCTGTGTTTTTATTAGGAGTCTGTCGTGTGTGGCCTCACAACTGGCTCCCTTGTGTTTCTGTCCCGATTCATCGGACAATTGTGTGTGTTTTTAATTTCTGTTTGATATCCCTCGTGCGATTCCTCCTTCCCTCCTCCAGTTCCTTCAGTTCCTCTCAGCAGCCCTGAATCGCCCCACTGGCCCGCATCATCTTCTGGTGAACCTGTCCTAAGTAATACATCCGTCCCCCACTTTGTCACATTCCTTTTCCCGTTCGGCTGTTATTAATACGCTCTTTCCTACCTCTCACCCTTTGATCTGGTTCTTTTTTCTTCTCTGTGATATCAAGTGTTTTTTATAGCACCCTATCACGTCGCAGTATGTTTATGGGCTCTCCATGCATGAATATGATGGAAATTGAATGACGATCTCTCGTCATCCCTTTGGATATGAGAACTTGGTTCAACGTCGCTATCAGATACATCGGTACGTGCGTCCTAAGAACATGTCTGAAAATCTGCTTCTGTTTTACACATAGATACCAATACAAAGTGGGCCAGAACACGGAACCTCGACTGCTGCTGCCGAAACGCTCACAAAGGCTTCCACACTGCCTCGGTTTGATATTTATTGTGCTCCAGGTCGTCGTTATCGGAGAAGATTATGGATCGACTGGGAGGCCGGTGAATGGCGTCTGTCTGCGCAGAACGGTCGCGGGAGGCATACTGCATGTGCGGCATCGTTTTGATGGACACATCGCTCCCGCATGGTGAGCGATTCATTTTGACCAGGACGATGATGGCTGTCGGGTAGATGCCCTGACCGTGTGGTCATCGCGCGTGCGTGAGTTATCATATCGTCGGGGACTACGGATGGGCGAGGGCGCGGGCGCACTCACTGCGATGTGTGTGTATGTGGGCATGAACATGTCGGTCACCAAGCTGCTGAGCCCGGGTATTCGGATGTACTCGCCGACGATGAGCGCGAGCTGCGTCGAGGGAGACGGAGGTTAGCGTGCGCGTACGTGCCGGTAAGCGGTCCCGGCGGGGCTGCGTACCCATAAGAAAGAATAGAGAGCGGCAGACTCCACCAGGAGAGTCAGGATCTGCTGCGCCCTTGAGGGCATGGGACGGCCGATCAGCTGAGTGGCCTTGCGGTAGTTCCTAGAATGAAAAAGGAAGGCCGTTGTCAGTCCTGTGGAGGGCGCAAGGGGGGGGGGGGGGGCCGCGGCGAACGGACCATGTTGTGCACGCGATCAGACACGTGCATAATAGGTTGATGACCAGAGAGAGGCCCCAGTAGACGCAGCGGCTGATGACGATAATTTGACCTAGGGGGTCTGAGGGCGAGATTAGGTACCTAAGCTGACTGCCCCCAACGACCCCGGCAACCACTTGCGAGCAGGAGACGAGTGGAAGTCAGTGCGATATGCATCGCACAGCGCACACACTTGTGCTCACCGATGGAGCACAGGAAAAGGCACAATAGGACGAAGCGCTGCCACTTATGACGCTGCAGGACCATGGCCCTCCAGACGACTATGCTATCCCCAAGTATGAACTGCCCCGGGCCGTCAGAAGCCCGTCACGTCACTCGCAGACAGATATAACGCTCACGTTGATAAGAGAGCAGTAGAAGGCGCCGCCCTCCATGCCGCGCAACGAGTCCCTGATCAATGGAAGCTTGGCTGCGATCGGTTCACCGGGCTGTTCGACGAGCAGGCTTCGGATCCTCTTCAGGACCGTCACAGTGTGCACCCAGAAGCCGCTCGTCGAAGAGATGAACATGACGAGGATCGTGACGAGCATCATCAAGTTGGCCCTCGGCAATCCGCGTTGGCTGAGAAGGCAGTCAGACAGCGCACGGCCAAAACGAACACGCTGGGCGAACTGTTGCTCACCAAAGTACCCATGTAGAAAACAGGATCAGCACGACGTATATGCCTGGGTGCCTTTGTCAGTCGTTGCGCTCCACAATCGCGCTCCAGCAAGCTAAAGAAGCGACCCACCGTAAAACAGCGTCTGCAGGGCCAGCGCAGTGACGTTGTACAGAATGATCAAACCCGCGTCGTGGATCGCTTGCGCCTCGGTCAGGTCCGACGCGTTATTGGTTTGGGCGTCGATGTACATCGAATTGAAGGCGGACATTTGCAAGTGGAGATGGAGAGCTGTGACTCTCCCCCCTCGCAGCTCAAGGCTTTAAACGGCCCAGCTGGATGATATCTCATATTGTCGAACAGCTGTATGCGTTGGTTTACTCGCAAACCAAAGGATCCTCGTAGTCGCACTGCGGCGTGCCGGGTGCCGCCTGCTGCCTGTCTCCTGTCTATGGGTTGAGTCAATGACGATGACAATGACGTGGACGCGCCTGACGAATGGACACACAACTGTAATACTTATCTGGACTCTTGAGATTGCTCTTGGATCCTTGTAGAAGCCGACTGCGACACAACCATCCACGAACGGAATAAGGACTCCATATCACACATGGGCGTAGTAGGTCCACGTCTATCTACACCTGTAGCTCACGTACCGATCATACATACACACACCCCGCATACAGGACATCCAAAAGAAGGCATGAATGAACGGACGGACGAACAAAGAATGTCAGCCCCACATACTACTCCGAAACCCAGCACGGTCCTCGCGATGGGAGGAGTCCTTATAGGGGCCTCCGCGCACACACATGGAACAAACCACTCGGCGCGGGTGTCTCACTCTCGCCTGCTCGTTCGTCCGCTGGCGCTGCCAGCAAAGGCAGCGACCGCGGGGCGCTGCGCCGTCCACAGGTAAAAGCGCCTGCGGACGGGCGAGGGCGCTCGAGGCTGCATCGAAATAGAGAGATCAGACAATGAAGGAGCCTCCTACGGTCCGCAAGGATCAAACTCGACAAGGGACCTGTTTTGGAAAAGTGCCAATCCATCGACATCCAGATTCCAGTGGCGGAAGCAGAGCGCTGGTCGAAGTGGCTCGGAGCGGAACGGAGATTTACACCGGATGCACACGGGGCGCTTGGACCAGGACCCCGGACCGCAATGCATGGATCGAGATGCGCCAGCGACGGCTCATCTCGTCTGGTACTTGTTGCTGTAGGAGCTCAAGCACGGAGCTAATTGTCACAAGCCCAACCCCGTGCTTTGACCAAGCCAGCCACTGCGAGGTGCGACCACAAAACCTGATGCCTTCCTCGACTTTCTTTTTCATTTATCTCAGCTATCTGGCGAACACGACTTTCCGTTGGTCATCTGGGAAATGGCGTCGGAGGAACCTGAGTCAGTAGATCGGATGGACGAGGATGACAAACACTTCCCCTCAATGCGGAAGATGAAGAGGCCGAGACAGACACGGAAGAGACAGACATGGTGCAGTGCGCACGATGCAGGCAGGTATGTTTTAGAGCTTTAAGCGTTCTCCTCCTTTTGAGACCAACGATAACATATATTGAACTTTACAGAGAAAGTGTCGCTATCGTCAAGTGCAGATAAAGAGCGCTGATGAGCCCAGGACAGTATGTTTTATTATTAATTCAATTCCCAATAGGTTTCTCATCCTAAGCTTCTAGACATTTGTAAGGTACATGAACATATGGGGCTACACTCTGGCACCCTGATTGACCTTGATGCTACGAAACTACAGATGCATGATCTGCAACTATAAGTAGAGCGCTATATCTCTCCTCTCGTATTCGTCGCGCTGACGGTCGCTTGCAGGTGGAAATTCTCGTAGAGTGTGCCGCCCTCCCTCACAATAAGGTGCTGAACCTCACTCACACTCACCGTCGCAGTTGGCAAACCTATGCCTGTCCGTCCGGGCTTCAAAGCCACTGTAACGCTGACTCCTCCACCTCATACCCGTTTCTCTGGTCCCCGGGCAAACTGCCTACTAACGGCTGTGCTAGCTTGCTTTACTGGGTTTATGCATCTCCCCCCTCCCTAGCTACCAAGGCCATGCTTGCCTACAATCTTGTCACGTAGTTCTGTCTTTTGTGCTATCGCTGCTTTGCTTCGTACTCCTCAATCTCCTCGTTCTCGATCGGCTAAACCAGAGCGTACACGAGCCGAGATCGTTTCACCAAGTCGAGTTGAACGTCAAACTCGGATCGAAAGTCCTCGGAGTCGTTCTAGCAGTCCGATCGCTGGATACGCCCAACCTTCTAGTGGGATCCACCGCGTGTCCATCCAGCGGCGGCTTCGAGAGATCAGAATCTCAGAAAAATCACGGCAGAGCCAGGTGTCCTCATAGGACCCCCGAAAATAGGGGAGGTGGCCTGACCCCCTATCCGGAGAAAATTCGTGCAAAAAAGGCCTAAAAACCAGAGTCCGTCCGGATAAAAATGCCACGCTGTGGTGGTAGGCCTGTGCCGTGGTCCGGATTTTTTGGGCTGTTGTCGCGGAAAAGCTGATGCCGGGTCCGGATCTTTTGGCAGTAATATGGATGATGAGTCCGAACTTTTGTATCGGTCTTGTGGTGCAATGGAATGACCAGTTTAATTTGAACACAAGAGTATGCAAGATACGAGGTTCGAGCCACAAGCATTTTCGGGACTTCCTGGACCCGACTGGCCTTCTACTCCTTGAGCTAAAAAACCGCTGTGCTTCGACTTTATTCGTTACGTAGAACAGGCGCTTCTCTCGCGCTCGTCTCTCTTCGTCTCTACTTCATCTTTCTTCATGTTCAACCATCCTTCTAAAGCTGTTCACCCGAGATATCTTCCCTGTTTTTGATTTACAATCTCATACTAGTCAGAGGCCACTATAGACTTATTTGATAGCTCAGTGTTACTATGCCAGTATTATCTGGCACCGGTCTGGTATCATTTCATTTGCTCGACACAATGACCGAAATTATCCTCGACATATCCGACACCAGCTCTGACATGGCACTGGATCCTCAACTTGATATTCCTCCGGATTATACAAAAATTCTCCCTCATCGACAACTATCGATCACCGAGCTCACAGACACTCTCACATATGCTCTCTTGTATATCATCAGTTCAAAAATGACATTCTAATGTAGATTCTAACAAAATTGTGTCTTTAAAGGCCTGATCTATGTTGTCCGACGAAAAATTGGCTCTTTTGAGGCCTGATCCCAGCAATCCGAACATTTTGGACATCCGGGATGCCTGATGCCTCCGTCGGGCAAAATTATGGATATTGGCACCAAAACCAGAGGCAAATCTGAACATTTTGAGCGAGATTTGGCTCACTTGTCCGAACTTTCTTCAGGATTTACCAAAAATGTGACTCAGGCATACCCCCCTATTTTCAGGGGCTTTGTCCTCATCTGCTGCGACCACAAGCCTGGATTGCCGCCGGGCGCTTGACAGAAAGCCCTCAGGCCCTCAACGGTCGCAGAACCACAGTCATCGAAGCTGAAAACAAACGCATGCCGCCATGTGATACCCAAAGTCGCCCAACGAGGGGACGTCGTATAACCACGCTGGCCCCACCGTCCCCGTGCCTGCGCGCAGGAGAGGAGATAAAACACTCGAACAGAAAAATTCAGAGGCACCTCGCGCGTTCGTCAACACCCACATCCAACGACACGACGCGACGCCGGATGCCAATTAACCGCGATACACTCATACTATACTCGTATACAACGGGCCGTGCAGCTCAGCCCAGCCCCGCAGCAAACGCACCCAGCTCTAACGACGACATACGAACGACGACGACGACCGATGACGCAAGCAGAACGGACCGGAACGGACGGAAGACGCAGAAAAGTGGAAAAGAATGGGGAAGGAGAGGCGGAGATATGTTGAAAAAAAGCGGTCAAAGACACGACGAGGCGGTACAATCAAGCCTATATCCAGCAGCAAGCGAGTGAGTATTTCTTATTTCGTGCACGAGAGCAGACACATAAACCCAAAGAGAGAGAGAGAGGGGACGACGACGACCGCAGGCCAAGCAAAAAAGAAAGAAAAAGACAAATAAAAACACGCACTCCGCACCACCACCGCGCACCGACCCCCCACGCCCGCAAATCACTCACCGTGTCACCGCTCACCCTCCCCATCGCTCATACCCACGCTACCGCTCTCGCTCCTCGCCCTCTTCCCGTTCCCGTTCACCGTGCTCCGCTCCGACCCCGACCCCGATCCCGACCGTGACCCGGTGCCCGACGTCCCAGTCCCCGGCCTCTCGTGTGCGCGTGCGCGTCCTTGTCGCTGGTCCTGGTCATGCTCCTGGTCGTGCCCCCGACCATGGCCCCCCTGCCCACGGCCGACGATCGGCGGCGCGGGGTACGCATTCATGATACTCGCGAACGTGGGCGGGACGGGCGGCGGCGCGCCTGTCATGTACGGCGACTGGGACTGCGAGTGCGCCGACGGCGAGCGCGAATCCGGGTGCGAGGGCGGGTGCGAGAGGCCCTGGGATGACTGCGCCTGGGAGGAGCTCGCGTGCGACTGCTGCGAGTGCGAGTACGAGTGTGTGCTTGATTGCGAGTGAGAGCGCGAGTGCGCCTGCGGAGGATACGCCTGCGGATGCCCCTGGTGTCTCGGCGGCGGCGGCGGCGGGTGTCGCGATGCGTACGGATGTCGGGGCGTGCTCATGATGGGCGAGCGGGATGGCCCCTGCTGGTGCTCATGACCGTGCTCGTGAGGCTGGTATTCATGCTGGTGCTGTTGCTGGTGCGGATGTTGATGCGCGTGTGGGTGCGCGTGCGATTGAGAGTGTGAGTGCTGGAGCTGTGGCGCGAGATGGTGTGCCTGATGAGGGTGCTGCTGGTGATGCTGATGATGGCGGTGAGGATACGGCGGCGGCGGCAACTCGTCCGGGATCCCGTGGGACGCCCTCCCATCTCGCGGCTCGTGTTCTGGTGGAGGCGCGTGTATGTCTTCCATTGGCTGATCGCCGTCCTCGAGGTCTCTTGCGTCCCCACGACCATCATATTCTTCGGGAAGCGCGGGCACGACCGCCGCGTGCCGCCCGCCTAGCTGCCTGTGCGAACTGATCCTAAGCCTTGCTTCCACGAGACGGGGATAAAAGACACCAAAAGGGCAGGAAACAGAGAAAAAAGGGCAAGGCAAAAACACTCACCCGCCTTCATAGAAATTTTGCCATACATAGTTCTGCAGCCGGTCCGCGTTGGGCAGCTCTTGTATGAGATGCTTGATCGTGTTCTGCCCGAGGCCGAAGAAATCTGGCCCCGACACGGAGTTGCTATGCTGGCGGTTGCGCACGTGGTTTGCGGCACGAACGACGACAGACCATGCGCCGGTCGCGGTGCCTGCAACAATTGGCTTGTCGGGCATGTCCGCAGCGATGATCTGGAACTTGGGTCCGTCGCCACCATCCAGGATCGTGCAGTGGTAGACCACATCCGCGTTCGCGTCGCACGCGGAGTGGTAGCGCCTGCGAAGGGAACACAGAGTGTGGAAGAGGAAGAAACAGGCAGGGCATGAGGATGATAAGGCAAAGCAGCGCGGCGAGGTGGAGAGGACAGGAAAGGAAAGGACGAGACAAGGGGGTGGAACCATGCATGAGGAACATGTACACAGGAGGGAATCGAACCCCTCGAGAACGACGGAACACAGGGGGACAAGGGAAACGAAGGGGTGAAACGGAAGAGAAGAAGGATGACGTACCTGGTCACTTCGTATCCTACAGGGAAGATGTACCTCTCCGTATGGAAATGTTCGCGCATGCACACCTCGCCGAGGCTGATCACGGTCATGATACCGACATTGAGCGGGAGTATCGGGCCCCCTTTGTTGTCGCGCGGCACGGTGGGGATCGTATGCGACTTGGTCATCACGGTGTGCGCCTTGAGTCGCTTTGGCTTGGCATGTCGCTGGATCTCGGACGGCCGCGAGGCCGCGGTCGCAAATGCGGCTGCGTTGGCCTGCACCTGCGAGGAGGTGGACGCGCCTGGAGAGCCCGTCGGATGTCCCCCTCCGCTGCCGTTGCGCGGGTGTGCGGGAGAGTCGCCCGAGTAGTGCGGCTCGTTGTCCGAGGCGAGCGAGGACAGCGGCGAGACGGGAGAACGCGTGCTGTACGCATCCGTGCGGTTCCACGTCCCGCTACCGCTTCCACCGCCGTTGTTATTGTTGTTGTTGCTCCTCATAGCGAGGAGAGAGTTCTGAGCCAAGGGAGTAGCGTATTTCGTCTCAGAGGCGGAGTTCGACGGAGGCGGAGGACCGGGCGGCGCCGGCGCCGGCGGAATTATCCGGATACGTTTGCCCGACGTCGAGACCAGCGTATGGGTGCCGGGCGGCGTCGACGCATGCGGCGGGGGAGGGCCGCCAGGGTGAGAGGGTGGTCCGGCATCGACCGGTTTGGCCCCAACCCCAACTCCGGCGGGGCCGGGTTTCGGCCGGCGCGCGGGCCTACGGACGTCACGGGCATCTTCTTCAATGCGCTCGCGCTCCTTGGCCTCTTCCTCGCGACGGCGGCGGGCCTGGAGGCCAATGTAACGGGAGGAAAGCATCGGATCGGTGTTGGCGTCTTCGGATTCGAGCTCGTCGGCTGCGCGGCGGAGGTTTGCAGCAAAGGCGGCCTGCTTGCGGGGCGAGAGGAGGGTGCGCGGCAAGGCGGTGCTCGCGGGTTGCGGGATGGAGGGATCGGAGAGGATGGCGGGAATGCCGTTGCCATTGGAGGGGATACGCGTGTGGGCGCTCTCGGCGCCGTTGCTTTCGAGCCTGATGATGGTCTCGAGCTCGATGATGCGGTCGAGGAGTATGCTGGAGGAGAGATGAGGAAGATTGTAGAGAGAGGGGGGAGGGGAGGGGGAGAGGGCGTACTCTCTTTCGTCGCTCATGCGCTGATTGCGCTCAGAGGAGAGGCTGAGGTCGTCTTCCAGGGCCTTCGTTTTCTGGGGAGAGATGAGCGTGGGGTGGGGGGGGGAGAGGAGAGAGGGGGGCTCAAGGTGCACCTGCTCGAGGTCGACATATCTTTTTTTGAGCTTGTAGTACTTGTCGGCGAAGTCCCTGGTGTCCTTGAGGGACGAGGGGGGGAAGGGCTGGGGCACGGGCACGGGCACGGGAGGGGGACCCATTATGACGTCTCTGTCTGGGGGAGGAGGGGGCATTATAGGATCGGGGCGCGTGCGACTGATAAAGAGGGGAGGGGTGGTGGAAGAGGATGGCGATCAGAGGCTCGCACTGGAGTGACCGCGCCAACGCTGCAACGAAACGAGCTCGCAGGCGCGCCAGTCACTCGTCCAGCCGTCCGAGATGCCGTCATCCTGATTGTCACCCGACTCTGGCCCATTTCCAATCCCCGTCCCCTTGCTCTCACCGATCGTCCCTCCCCCTTTGGGCGACGCTACGCCATCCTCAGCCGCCCGTCCCCTCGAGCGACCCCCCTCCCTATGCTCCGTATGGGCCCTTCCATCGGTCCAGCCCGGCCCCCACCCACCGCGCCCAATCCCACCGCACCCTGAGCAACCCTTCGCTCCTGTCGGACCCAGCCACAAATGATTCCTCGCCAAGCGCCCGACACCGCGCGCCCGCCCTTCCATTTCCAATTCCCCCTCCTCCCCTCCATTTTCTCTCTCTGCCCTTTTTCGGTCATCCTCCTGCTTATTTGGGATCCCGTCCGCTCCCATGACACCCTGGCGTCCGCTGCCTCCCCTCTGCGCCGCGACACGGCGTCCGCATCCCACTTACTGCATTCCGACACGTCGCATCCCGTCTGATACGATCAGTCCCGGGCACTTATCTCCTCTGGGTCGTTGGTGTCTGCGTCGAGCCCCTACCATTAGTACTCCATGATGCGTTTGTCAGATCACCACCGCTCTTATCCTCGGATTGGCTGCCGCGTCGCTTCGCTGTACTCTACCAGTAGCCATGACGATGCCTCCTCGACCCAATCTGCCGAGCACAGCGGGATCAGCACGGTCATGCGAGTCTCTGTGCCGTCGTATCTCCCCGTCGACACAGCGCCGACAACAAGCGCCACCGCCAGCCACTCGCCACCATCACCTTAGTACCTGCACCTCGCTCCCAGTGCAGCCGCGCCTTCCGCTTCGCATTCACACACACGACCCTCTTCGCGCCTTCGCACTTGATCGAGCGGGCGCCGCGAGCGAGGAACGCGGCCGGGCTCGGCGCGTGTCAGCGCGCACGAAGACACGGGACGCACAGGACGGATTCTCTCGCACGAAGCCAATCAGGATGACAGGTCGCAAGTGTTCGAGAGTGAGGACCCCGGACGCCACACAAAAGTCCCTCGATGCGGGACCTGATCACACTCCTGGCACTGACATGGCCAGACCCTGATGCGAAGCATGCCGTCCTTTTGCTCACACGCTCCAAATTCCATCTCTGGCTCGCCGCGACGACCTCAACCACAGCCTTCCGTGGCCGTGCGCGCGGCGGACAGCACGCTCAGCCACCAGAAGCTCGTCATCGGCGCGTCTACCACGGACGTCAGCCACCCGCCGCCCGCCGTCCAGTTCGAATGGGGGAACACGCCTGGTTCGGACACGCCTCTGCGGCTTCTTTTCTTCCGTCTTCTTTTGTTCCCTCTGCCAAGCTTCTCTTCTTTCCCCAACGCATCCGTCCTTGACACGCCCTCTACGTACGAACATGCGCAGCGTGCACGACATTCGCTCCGCTCCCTCTCTGGGAGTCGGACGCAATCTTATCTCCTTTGGGCCTGTCGTCATCTACAGCCTGCAGGCCTCGAGCCACGGACCGCGATTCGAACCGTGCTCATCCTCTTGTTCCGACCCACAGTCTTCCTCCAGCCGCCCACGTCCTTGCAATGTCTGCCGTCATGATGACACGCGCCCCCTCAGGATACACACGCGCCGCTGCCCCCGCGCCCCGCATGGTTAATCACATTCCGCAACGCTGGCGTCCACTCTCCACTCTCCACCGACGCCAGCCCCCCACACGAGCACTTAGGGTCGCACCTGCACACTCGAGGAGGGGTCCGGACCCGGACTTTTGTGCCTCAACCCCGAGGCGCTATGCGGACCGTGCGCGCGGCTTTCCGATGCTCCCAGTCCGTGGGCGTGTGCGTCAGCGTCGGGGCCGTGTGACTATCAGTGCCATCGCGCTCACCTTATTAATAGATGGGAAGGTCGTGCTCCTTATGCACAGATGTTGCGTCGATCTGGACGAGACGAGACACGGCGGTAACGGCGACGTGCAGGAGCCTGCCCGCGCGCCTGTCCAAAACAAACAGACAGTTCTTGGAGGAGGAGAGAGGGGGCAGAGGGGCTGATGCGGCACCGTCGCCGAACAGGATGCGCGCCGGCAGATCCTCTTATTCCCCTCCACATCGGCGCACGTTCATATAGGCTCATGTCGTGCTTGCCCCGCATCGCGCTGTATTGCATTTGTACCCTCTCCCGCAAGCGTCGCTTCTTTCCCAGGCTGCAGCCATTATTTCACGTCTGCTCTGATCTATGAACGCCTTTTTCAAGGCGCGAGCGCGAGCGTGAGTACGCCTGGGCACATCTCAGCCTGCGCGGGGACGAGCCGCGCTCTCGAGTCTGGACTGCGCCCGCTCCTACAGCTGCTCACGCAGCCTTCTTGCCTCCAGCCGTCGAGATCGCGCGGACATCTCTCCCTCCGGCGGTGCTGAGATCCACGAGCGCGAGTCGCGGCCGGGATCTGTCTCTGCACGCCTTGTACCACATATAACTTGCTGAGAGGCCTGCGCGAGGCTCTGGGCCCACCGCGCTTCTCGCGGCGCGCTATCTGCGCACCTGGTAACGACCACGAGCCTCCTCTGGACAGCAATCGCAACTTACATACTGGCTCCTGGTTCGTGGGCACACGGTCCCAGACCGATGTGTTTTTTTTTTGGTGCACCGATTGACCTGAGGCTTAGGTCGAACGCCCGTGCGGGTCGGGCCGCGGAAACTTCAGCGTGAGTAAAGACGTGCCGACACTGATACCGCCGCGCACGATGGACGTTCGAGCGGTCTCGAGCCGCTCGTTCAGGCGCAGCCTTGAGAGCCTCGACGCCCCATGAACCTTTTCCTCCCCCTTCCCCTTCCCCTTCCCCGTCCCCTTCCTCCTCACCCGGCCGGCCTTCCTCTTCGCATCCGCCACGGTAGTCCCGCGGCTTCCACAGACGTGATCCGCCTCTCCTCGCAGGCACGCTGTCCATGCCCAGGGCGCACCCGCGGCCGCGCCAGTAACCACCAGTCACCGAGTCGGCGATGCGACGAGAGAGGCCCCGACTCGCCAGCGCCCCCGCGCTGGGATCTTGCACCCGGCTTCTCTTGGCCTGCACGGCGCAGGGCCCAGACCGCCCAATGAACGGGAAGCAGCGGGAAGCCCAATGAGCCAAGCGCGCGTGTCGAAATTCCAATCGGAATCGCAATTGCAATTGTCATCGTCTAGCTCGCGCGCACGTATTATTATTGTATCATGTAGGAGATTGGAGGTGTGTGCCTCCGGAGGCTGCCTCGCCCTGGTTGGTCACCCTATCATATGGCCCCCTGTCGCAGCGGCTTCGTTCTTCGTCTTCTTCGTGGGCCTCGCCTTCCGCATCGGCTATCATCAGCTCGGTCCCTCCTACCCCCTTTCCTCCCCTTCCTCCTCTCCTCGCCTTCGTTCCCTTGCACCGTGTTCAGCCCTCGTGACGTCCCCGACTCCACGATTTCTGTGCGGTAATTGTACGACGACCGATTGACTGAATTGACCGCCCGTTAGTTGTGCGGCACGAGAGAGGACGAGACCGCTCACAAGCGACCGCTTGCGCGACGCACAAGTCGCTCACGTCTATCGATCCATCGATCCAGTCTCCGTTGCTGACCAACACAGAATTCCATCCATCTATGATCTGCGTCTGTAATAACAGTGGCACACGAACATCTGATTTCCATATGCCCGTGCGCCAGGTACCCCGCGGCCTTGCAATGCTGGACGGGCTGGCCTGTCTGATATGGATAGTACGCGAAATTATCGCGCGCGCGCCCGTGTGGGCCTGCATGAGCCTGCGTGCTCTCTGCTCTTCGCCTGCGGATGCGCGGGCGTGCCTCGTCGACCGCTGGCTGGCGGACGTCCGCGACCCCGATAGCGACGCGATCGCGCGCTCGGGCCCGCGTGAACGCTGCATCTGCGTCTATCTGCGTGTCCACCCACTCGCTCGTTCCTGCGCAGATCCACGCGCCGGAGCGCGTGCGCGTGTGTATGCGCGCGATTGTTGTGTCTTCGCGATTTGATGGCCGGGCGAAGGCGAAGGTCACGTCCTCCCCCCTCCTGTCTTCGCTCCGCTTTATCCGCGCGCACGCTTCTCCGCGCATGCTGCCCACTGCCCAGCGTCCACCCGTGGGTGCGCTCGAAGCTTAGAATGCGCAGGCGTCGAAGCGCGGCGTTTCCAGGGCCGCTCGTCGGGAGTAAAGTTCATCTTGACGCCCGTTCTTGGCTGAAACAATGCCACGAGCTTGGATCGGAGACAAGACGAGGGGAGTGACGCAAGAGTCGAGGAGGTGCAGTGTGAGCACGGAGCGGAGATGGTGTTTTCATACACGGCGTGGTTCATCGCGCGCGCTACTTTTGTCGACCCAACATGACAATGACACGCTTTTGCGACGGCAGTTTAATTAGCGATACTTGGCACAGGGCTTTCGTTCCTAATGAGAAGGACGGAGCCGATCTACGTCGATTTAACATTACATTGCATTTCATCGACGGCTGCCCGCTTCCTCCTTTATCGACCCAAGCCCAAGGGCACAAACCCTGTCAAAACTCGTATCATATACTACCCTGCGTGACCGGAACATAATCCTTCGTGGACTCGACCACGCCCTCCGTGGCGACCCGCGTTCGCCCGCGGCAGCGCTCCGGCTTTCCCTCGCGCTCGCTCGCGTCCACCTCCCCTTGCCTTGTCTCCCCTCGCAGTCCCAGATCTCATCAACATCGCCCAACCCGCCGATCTCGATGCGCGAATCGCAAGCCAGGCGACCGGCGACGAGACGCCCGGCAACGCCGCGCGCCATCAGCTTCCGGGGCGGCCACGGGCTGGGCCGCATCCTCATTTGCCCTCCCCGTCGTTCGTCCGTCCGCGTCCGTGCGACGTACATCTAGATGGCCATCGCCCGAAGGTCTTCCTATTTCTCCTCAGTTTCGACGCGTGTTCGATGCGCGCGCCTTCCTCTTCGTCTTCGCAGACGTCTACTTCGCAGGGCTTGCGTTCTCACGGGAACACTAACGCGGGCCAGCATCAAAGGAGATACTAGAAGCGGCCAGATCTCCAAACTCAACTGAGCGGACGACGTACGACGTACGACGTGCTCTGTTGAGGAGCTGATCAGACCGGACCTCGCTGCTCCGATTAGGCCTCGCAGCCTCATCCAGACACGCCTCGTTCATGGCGATCTCATTCATTGGTCGCGCCGACGGTATATCGAGATCTCGCGCGGACGCGCTCGCATCGTGAGAACGCACGCTCGCCTCTGCCTTAAACGGGTCCATGACGGTCGCGAGATGTATAGTAGACGTGTGCGTGACGTCGTGGAGATATTAAGTGCGTGGAGAATATTAGTGGGGACATTATACTTCGTTCATGAAACAGATACGTCAAAAAATCCCGGTGAGAGCCTACGCTACGGTCCAGGATAAACCTACTTGACGGCAAACTTCGATTTTTGCCTCAGTCGCCCACCTATCCTGTGGAATATGAACCTGTCCGGGCAACCGATAAGCTCACACGGACAATGGCGAGAAGAAGGAAAATGGCTTACGGGAGCGGTGCCATGAGGGTCGTCAGGCCGGCCAAGAGCGCTGTCGCACCCACCGTCCCGAGACGGGCGTACATCGCGTTCGCAAATAGCGGGAAGCCCGCGGCAAACGAGCTGCGCATCGCGCTATTGCTCGCCATCGCGGACGCGGCAATCGGACGGTAGGCGACCACCAGGTACGTGAAAGTGGACGTGAAGACAAAGTACGTGCCGGTGCCGAATGGGATCGAGGCGACGAGGGGCACCATCCAGTGCACGCTCCGGTAGGTCGTGAAGGCGAGCCAGAAGAGCCCGATGGGAACGAGGATGCCCCCGACTTGTCCCATGCACAGACGGAATTCAGGGGGAGGGTCACCGTGCGCGGACTTGTACTCGCGGAATTTCCTATGGCCAGGGGGCGTTAGAGGGTGTCTGTGCGGAGGTGGCACTAAAGTTTACGCACCTGTTCCAGTACGGCTGTGTAGACAACCCTATGACCATGCCCAGGCCGATACCGAGGAATGTCAGCCCGGTCATCTGAGCATTGAAGCCATGGCCTCGTTCAAATATGATTGGGAAGGCTTGGAAGGCGAGATACAGAATTCCCAGGATGAGTGCTGTCCTGACGACCGAGCATATCATATGAGCTATGACAGAGAGGGGGAACAAGATATAAGGAGATGTACCACAGATTGAGCAGGAGTGCCATCCGATCGAGCAGAACCAGCTCTGACAGCAGCAAAGATGCATCAGCATTGAGCCTGATAAACGTTCCACTGCGTCGGAAAGCTTACCAAACGGCTTGTAACAACTGATCGCCAGAGCCTGTATTAGGCTTTTATTCGTCCTTTCTATAGGCGCATAATATTTAAGTTCTCCAGTTTCCTTCCGCACTCTATCGTCACATCAGTCAGGTTCCTTCCAGGAATAAACAAGAGAAGGCCAGACCTCTGTGCTTTCTGCTTCAAGATCACGGGTATATACGTCTCCGGAACCAACTAAGAATATGTGTGAACGCAGGGACCACAGATCGGAACGCGAGGACTTACCAGAATGAGCCCTATTGTCTGAATGAATATCCAGATGATGATGATGTAGTAGGTCCATCTCCAATCCAGGTGTTGATTGACAAATCTGAAAGGTCGCGTTATCAAGGGTGGGGAAAGGAGATAATATGATTGGGCTCACCCACTAAATAGTGGCCCGAGCTCCGGGCCAAGAAACGGCGAGATGGTGTAGATGGCCATCGGTCTGATGAATGCTGATGAATATTACACTCGATTACTAGTGGACGCGGAAACGCACGTCGCAACTCTCGAGTTTGGAAACATGTCGCTGACACTTCCACCGGCGACACTGAGGAACGCCGCGCCGCAGTAGCCAGTGACAAATCGAAAGATCAGGTATACGGCTAGATAGAAACAAAGTCCGTTGGGCAGCAGACGGACACACGGAAGGTGAGACGAACCGATATTGGGAGCAAAGGCTACCGGCCACGAGAATATAAAGAACATGATGAAAGATATCCGATATATGATATTCCTTCCATATACCTCAGACAAAGGCCCAACAAGCAAAGGCCCTACGCCAAGACCCATGACAAACAGGCTGATGGCCAGTACGGTAACTTCCCTGCTAACATGGAACTCGCGCGCTACGCCAGCTTCCGTAAATGCAGCCTGGAGGCGCGGAATCGCATTACATGAGAACGTGTCGCGGAGCAGGGTGGATGTATCGTACCGCTGATGAGGTGCATGTGACGCACACAGACGCGCAACTGATGGTCACCACAGCGAGCCACCGCCTGAGCAGAGGCAGCTGCTGAGGATCGTCCTCGGGGCCCAGGGTCACCTCGTACTCGGTCGATAATACGACGTCCGTCGGCGGGTCGACCTTTTCGTCCTGCTTCTCGGCCGCTATCGTGTGCGTCCGCGAGAGCTCTTGCGACGTCTGGGTGGACATCAGGCCTCGTGCACTCGACCTTTGGAGGCGATGGTTGAAAGGACGAGGCAATTTGTGAGCATATTACTTATAGACCTCGGAAGACGAACGACTCCGTGAGTCAAAGGGGAGGTTTTGGGCCCAGGCAAATTCCGTTCTGCCGCCGGCACGGCGGCCGAGCCATGTGGGGCTACTTCGTCATTGGGCAGCCCTCCGTGGTCCTCCGGTAGGGCGCGAGGAGAAACTCCCCAAGAGTTTTTCGCAGATGAATAACATGACATGTTAATAACACTTGGTTATCAACTCAGTTATTAACTCCTCTAAGTTAACTATATTAAATTATGCCCTAGCAGTGTGATCAGCCAGTGGAGATTGCACCTTTATTAACCCTCGCAAACATAACGAGCAGCCCACTGTGGAGCAAGTAATACATCAGACTTCAATGTTTTAACATGAACTACGCGATGGGGAAAGGGTCAAAACATGTTTGCCCGATGAAAAATCGAACCCAACGCTCATGGGTAACAGTACCCTTGCATGGCCACTAGACTATTGCAACAATAAATATTGTCTTCGGTAGCAGATATATCCACACGGATATCTACACGGTAGTGTCGCGCCTCTATATCTTTTTGGTGTCCTCCTATGATCATAATATAAAAAGAGATGGGTCAACGTGCATGACAGCTTTGGGTATCATTTTGTTGCATAGACGTATCTCATCGAGATGTCAGTCAGCCACCCCAAACTGTATTGTTGGCAACTTTCTCGCTAAATTCTCAAACTATTTCCTTTGAATTACCATTTATGATAATAGTTATTAACACCCCGAAATCCTAGCTCGAGCAGGTATGTGTTAGTGACGTATTAATAATTCCCCAGTTATTAACTCAGTTACTAACTCAGGGTTTTTCCCCGCGCCCTATCCTCCGGCGATATGTCGTGCTGCCGTCGTGGGCGGCTGTATGTGCTTCAAACAGGAGACGAGCTTGAGCGAGATGAGCGTCAAGGTCTTATTTCTCCATCGAGAGACCTAGCCGTGGCGGTTTCTGGCTGAAGAAACAAAACATGCTGGATGGATTATTATGCAACCCACATTCGTGAAACAGATCAAATCATGTAGTGATTGAAAGCATGGTCTGGTGTGGGCGACCTGCAAGAACGGCGTAGGATACGCCGACGGCACGCATGCAAACCAAGAAGCCAACGGCCGAATGGTATATATATGTACGTATGCTAGTCCGCACGAAAGCAATGTGACACACCACTGAAAACACGGAGCGAAGGAAAAGATACATAGCGTATAAATCTGCACACAGTTCCTTCCTATCCAATAGATCCTATGCACCCCCTCCACACCACTATCGAAACACGCAAAAGTAGACCACACCTGGGTATAGAAGTACCGCTTTACAACGAGCATATGGATGACAAGAAAGCCGACGGGCTTAACGAACGATGATAAGGGCACATTTTGGAGGGCGCAGTCCGGAAACCTAGAAAACAAGGACAATGGTGGGGAATAAAAACATGGTCAACGTTCAACGAACGATTGGAGGGCGTAGTCGGCGCGTAGCGAAGTCTGCAAGAGCTCAAAATAAGGTCACCGCGTCCGCGAAGACAAAAGCGTGAAATTACCAGATCATAGAGCTTCCACGAAAAAGCTGCTGACTCTCTTCGAAGCCAGGAAAGCTGGGATGTTCTCCCCGTGTTCCCTGAAGCAGTCGAGAGGAACCAGCCCCTTAGGCCCCCTCTCCCCCTTCCTCACTTGTGCCCACCCATCATCGAATGCTTGCAGGACAAGCACCTCTTCGCCCACTTCCACTGCCAGCTCGTCAACGAGGGTAGGAGCGAAAGGCCGGAAGATCTTGTGCGGGATGCCGGGTACGATGTCAGAAATTGGGGAGGGGCCTGTGTCGACGCTTGCGCTGTCAGCGAAAGGGTTTTGAGCGGAGCTGATAGAAGGAGGGTGCGAAGAGCGAGGCGCCGTGGCGGCGATCGAGACACGCGAGATGTTGTAGGATGAATTGTCACCGAACGGATCTTGCATGTCCTGTAAAGATTGTCGTAACAGCCCTGGGGGTTTCGGGAAAGCAAAGGATTCGCTCGGAGAGAAGGGTCGCACGGACATCGGCGTCGTTGGGATCTCTACGCCGATGAGATTGGTCTGGTTTGGCGCGATGACGGCGGGAGCTGGGATAGACAAGTATTGCGACTCCGGATCGTCGCCTGAGTTCGTGCTGGAGGAAGACATGGTGCTAGCAACAGTGAACACGGATGCCCTATGATGACCGTCCATATCTCTGGTAGACGTGGTATATGTTGGAGATACCATGACTGCGACCGGAGCGTATTGTGCCATGGGTGAAAAGACTCGTTCCGAGCCCGCGACTAAGGGTGCGGCCGATGGAGAGCCAGGCACCGTACTATCTGGTGGAGAGTTGAAGGAAAATCGCTGCTCGAAAGGAGTTCCGAAGCTGCTGCGCGCAGATATACGCGTGGCGGCGCGAGTCGATTCGACAGGCTGGCGATCAGCAAACCACTGAGACCTCCTCTGCGCGCGGCGAGCTTTAGAACGTCGGCGTAGAAGGCAGAAGACAACGAGGACGGTGAGGAGTAGGACGCCTACAATGATTCCTGCAAGGGTGCTCGCAGATAAATGGGAGCCGCTGGAAGCGGCCTCAGCTGTATTGGACGTGGTCGGGTCCGACGGGTTGGTGGACGTAGAGCCACCGTTGCTACCGTTGCTGCCGGTGTTGCCCAAGTTCGAAGGAGCGGCGGCCGTACCCAGAGAACTAGCCGCAGTTTGTGTGGCCCCAACAACGGTAGGGCTCGGGCTACTGACCGCAGGAGCAGCGGCAAAATTCTCAACTTGGGGTGTCACGGTCTGAATAGCACCGTTGTTTGCACTGCCAACTTCGGCGTTGCCAGAAGCGATCGAGGCGTCCGTGCCACTCACGGGAGATGCGGAACCAGTAATTGAGGTGGTCGAAGGTGCGCTACTGCCAGTTGCGGAGCCACCGGGCAGCGCAACAGAACCTGATGCTATCGACGAAGAACTGGCGGCAACGCCGGTCGTAGCGTGCTCGGGACTCGAACCACTGGAGGAGTCGTTGTTGCTGTTCCCACCGTTACTGGATCCTGATCCGGGTGATCCTGAGTCTCCCGAGCCTGACGAGCCGCTATTCCCGCTACCGCCGCTGCCCGAGCTGCTCCCGCCTCCGCCTGAATCGCCGCCTCCACTCGAGCTGCCGCCATCACCGCCACTGCCCGAGCTGCTGCCGCTACCGCCAGAATTACCACTTCCACTCGAGCTGCCGCTACTGCCGCTGCTGCTGCCACTGCCTCCACTGTTACCACCAGATGACGACGATGCCGTCGTCGTCGTCGCAGGAGCGGTTGTCTTTGTATGAGTAGGAAATAAATCACCAATGAGAGCGGTGACGAGAGGATCTATAATGGGAATGGAGATAGAGGGCAGGTTGATGCTGATGGAGAGACCAAGGAGTGAAGGGTCTCGTTCTTGGAGCGAGGCGACGCCGTGGCGCCTGTGATGCCTGTTCAACGAAGAACCGTGCATGGTGTCAACGTCTGCCTGCTGGGATGACATGCAGGACGTTGTGGAGAAAAAAGAATGTGGATTGAAAAGAGCGAACGGCACGCGTGGCGCCTGTGAGAGAAACTAGAAGGACGTGGGGACCATGGAGTGTCCACAGAAGATAAGACGCTGGTCGACGCGGTCGCAATAAATGTATTCCGCCGAATGTCCTCGCCCTCCCGTTTTGGGTTCCCCCGTCGTCGCCCGTCGCCCGCATGGCCCGCTTCCGACCTCGACCCGCTCTACTATCACGATCGCTCAAACAAGGCCCTATTACACGCCCTCTTCCCAAGCCACGGGGATCCATACAGGCCATCTCTCGCTCCTCATTCGCTGCATCCACCATTCTCCACCCTTCTGCACGTCGAGAGTTTGGCATGCTGTGCCCTTTGCTCGGTCAGTATGTCTCCTTCTTTCCATCTTTTGTCATATCCTGGGAAACGGGTATGCGCCGTGCCTCGGGACTTCTGGAATTCTGACCATGCGTAAAGTATAGGAATCTCTTTCTGCATTTTCGGAGTGACGATTGCCCGCTCAAACAGACATCGGCATTTTCGCGCTCTCTGCCTTTTTTTATTTTTTAATTCAAAATGGCATATACGGTGTTCACTGCCGCCACAACGCCAACACTGATCTCAGTTCTCCTCTGTCCATCATAGAATCCGCGAGCCCCCGATGTCGAAAGGCTTCTTTCATCACTGATGGGGTCATCAATATTTCGATACACTAGAGCCGTAATCAGCGTACATCATTCTGATTGACGTTGACGAAGTCCAAAGCTCGGTATGACTTCGTGCATCTGTGCAGGGTCCCTGTTATTAGTCCTGTTCGGTAGAGGTCAGCCAATCCTGCTTATCACCTTATTTCGTCGAGCTTCGCTACGTCCACAGGCGTCCTCATCTTCAACTGCGACGTCCAGTCCGAGACTCCCAGCCGGGCGACGGTAGAATCCGCATTTATGATGCGTGATGTCGCCTCGAACCTCGGATATGTGTAACCTGACACGGTGATGGATCCCTCCTACTTATTCGGACGAGTATCAGCACAATCAGGCAAGTGTCTGTCAGCGGTCCATACAGAAAATTTCACTGTCTGCGTCGTCTCAAAGGCGACTAGCAGCTGCGCGACTTGGAGATCCCACCTTGACCTGCGCTGTCTCGAAGGTGACTAGCGGTAGCTAGCGGCTCGTCCACCGTGCGATTCTACTTTGACCTGCGCAATTGCCTTCTCTGCTTCGGGGGGTTCGACTTGGCCGCTAACCCGATCAGTATCCGCCCGCCTTCGGGATGTCGGTCTCCTTTACACGTGCAATCGATAGTCCCACTGACTGCTTGCCGCCACGAGTGGTTCTCGCTGGTATCAATCGTTGCAATACGAGCGGGGACCGACATCCCCTAGAAAGCCGGCGTTCTTTCCTCTACTCTCCCGAGAAAGTTACCGGTCAATTTTCTCTGCTCCCCGTTCAATGTCCAATCTCTGCAACTCGACATCTGACGCGGTGGGAGATGTGTGTATGTCCGCGGAAAGAACGAAATCGGGTAAACGTTCTCAGGATGATAAGGTAAATATCTACGCTTCGAGATTTCTGCAGGCTCTGGAGATGCATCTTTTCATCTCCGCCTTATTCACTCTCATTCCCCATAATTCCTCCTTACAATTGTACCTCTCCCAGTGCTTTCGTTCTATAAGTATTCATGGAGTCTTCTCGACTGGGCGCAGCACATCATCCCTCATTCCTTATGCGTCTTTGAGGTCCTCCTCTCAGGTCGAATGAATGAACCCACCGGACTGGGGCGGCGTTTGGTCTCAGCTGCATCTCCAGAGCGCCGCCTCACATTACGTCCATCGGATGCACAGCCGTTCGACGAATCCTCACACGCACGAGCACGGATCTGCGGTATCATCTATACCACTGGAGGCAAAGAAGACTTTCAAGACGTATGTGGGAGGGAGCAGCTTGCCAGGCACCTCCGCGAGATCGAATAACCACTCGCATGAACGGGAGCAGACACCGCCAAAATATATCTGTCGGGAAGGATTTAGGACGGAGATCTGCTTCTCTGACGCACACTGCGCGCGTTCTATTGGTATGTACCTTCTTCTGTAGCGTTGACCGGCAAGATCACTAAGTATTCAAGTCCTCACGGCGGTTTTAATATATGATTGAGGACAATACAAGTCTTTCCGGCACTGCATATCATCACGCACGAGGCCTTGAACGGTGAACCCCTCGCTAGTAGGAGATATGCCGAAAGTAGCCTTATCTCCATCTCCAGTCGCTCTCGGAGAAGGAGAATGTGGATGAAGAGTCACTCGAAGCGAGGAGCGCCGAAACTCCGTAGGAGCCTTGTATTCCTGTCAAATCTGACGCCGAGGGCACGGTATTGGAGACACTCTTGCGCTTTTAGCTTACACCTTGACTGCTTTGTTTTAGGGCACAATGACACGAGCAGTGATTTGATGGGTTTTGGCCATTGCATTGTTGACAAGAAAGCTGTGAACGCCGAGTGTACTTCTTGACTATTTCATGTCGTTGATCAATCGGAAAAACAACGGAAAGCTAATCAGTCGAGATAATGATAGGAGGTAATAAGGGTCCCACAAGTGCATAAGCCACTGCGCCGCATGTCCGTGCTTGAATGGATGAAGAAGAGTGGACTCGCAGTAATCTGTTCTAAAAGCAGCCTTGACGGAGAGCCAGCAAGAAAGTGAGAGGCCCCTACACGTCAAACGTTCCAAGGGCTCCATCACCCCATGTCGGCGAACGTACAACTGCGTTCGGGCGTGTTCCTTCTTTCACTTATGGAGCGCTACGCAGTTCGACCCCATTTTCTGTATGGAAGGAGGGGACGCCTACGCCTTTCATGTGGAGGGGAGTATGTGGATGCTGCTTGCTCGAAATGGCAAGCTTCGCGAAGTTGCACTGCTTTCGGTCAAGTCGCCGACAACCGCGGCAACGCAAGGCACCTCTTGCATATCCACTGTTGTATGCCTTGGCAGCGTGTTGTGTCGACGTCGATGTGGCTTGCAATCTTTCGGATTCCGCGAGATCAGCACAGCCAACATAAAGCAAAGTACGAGGGCTACTCGTAGATGATGAGTCGACGAGTAAGTGAGCCACTATCACTCCTCTACTGCGCCATCGTGTGATATCTCACACGGTCTTCTACTCGCATCACCTTGGAGGAGTGTCTCAGAGATGGAGACGTAAGAACGAAGATTCCCTTACAAGGAAAACAAGCAAATTTTCACGACGCTTTTACCACCTGTTCGTCTCGAAAGGAAAAAGAAGACTAGCGCCGTAGCGCCTTGCTTGTCATCTTTGTCGCGAGCGACTGATCGCGAACCCTTCGACGCTCCACGAGCGGCATTTCACAAGGCATGAAGCGTAAGTACGCTTCAAGAACGTGCCTTGTCTCACGTTTGTCGCTCAAGCGTTTTGACATGCTCGGTCCTGCGAATGAAAATCAAAGGGTAACCGTGTATGTATGATTTGAGGCGGTACGACACGACCACAATATTCGATCGTTCTAACAAAAAACCAATCGACCCTTGATCAGGGCGGAGATATGGTTGCGAGAGAATATGATGACGCTGCAGCTGTCATCTACGCGGTATGAATTCCGTAACAAGAAACTCACGCATACGCTAGTTTTATCGCAGCGCGAAGAGGCGCCCCACAGCGACGCCTTAGCGATATACGGCATTCAGGAGCCCCAAAATCCACTGGCTCACGGAATCGCCGCTTTTTGTCTGGCGCTCCGCACGGACACATCAAGCAGGCGCCATGAGTTTGCTAAGGGCGACGACGATCGTCAATTGGACGATTGAGCTCCTCCTTTGCTTTCAAAATGCTTGGGGCCCTTGACGTCATGGCGCCCCTCTTCGCACTTGCCTTTTTGGACCTCCCGCGACAGTTATCCTCGCCGGAGTCCTTTGTTCAGGGCGGTTGCAACTGATCAGCGACAGTTGCTCGACAAACCGTATATAAGGCCAAGCGCAGTTACAGAATGCCCCTCACCCAGGCAAACATCTGTTTACCGCCTCTTCACCCTCTAAATCTCATCGTACCCTCCATACCTATCATCTTAGTACACCCTCTACGACCATCATGTCTGCACGAACATTTCACGCCGACGCCGTCCTCTTTGACATGGTGTGTAATTTCTGGACCAACCGCTTGCTTCGCGCTAACTCTCCCAGTGTGTTGACAGGACGGAACACTCACAGACTCGATTTCCGCCGTCGAAGCAGCATGGGGCAAGGTCGCAAAGGACATCGGGCAGGACCCGGCCTACGTGATCGCCGCCACCCACGGCAAGCGCGCCGTCGACAACCTCGCGCAGTTCAAGCCCCACATCAAGGCGCACGAGATGGACGATGCCGTCCAGGATTTCGAGGAGACCATCCTCTATTACGCCGACGCCTACCACAGGCATGGTCCTGGCAGCCAAAGCAACTCGCCTTGGACAAGAACTCCCATGACTCCTTTGACCCCTGCTTATTCGGGCTTCGCTACCCCCGAGCTGTCTATCTCGCCAGGCTCCTCTGCTCCCTCATCCCGCCCCGTTTCGCGCGCCCCATCCATGACCGCGGCTCGTCGTCCCTCTTTCGGTACATCACTCGGCAACCTCCTTTCCATGTCAGTAATGTCCGACACCGACATGCACGTTTTCGACGATCCGATCATGGAAGATGTTCACGAAGAGATGGTGCAACAGGAGCGCGAAGGCGGTCTCAGCGCCTCGAAGCCGAAACATCTCGAGGAGCACGAGTTCAAAGCATGGCAGATCGAGGCCGCCAGCGTCGATCGCTCAGTGCAGATCCTCCCTGGCGTCAAAAGGATGATTGAATCTATCCCCGAGGGCCGGTATGCAGTCGCGACCTCCGGCGCAAAGACCTACGGTACGTTCTGCGTTTCCTATATCGAGTTTCTCCGTCCTCACCTCTATTCTTAGCCTATGGCTGCATGACTCGCGTCGGCATTATCCCTCCGCCTGTCACCATCACGGCCGACGACAAGCGCCTCAAGGCCGGCAAGCCCGCACCCGACCCCTTCCTCCTCGCCGCCAAATGCCTCGGCTTTGACGCGAAGAAGTGCGTCGTCTTCGAGGATTCGCCTTCGGGCATTCGCGCGGGCGTTGCATCAGGGGCGACCGTCATTGCTGTGTGCACGAGCCACGAGCGCTCGAAAATCGAGAATTGTGGTGCGCACTTCATCGTTGAGAATATGCAGAAGGTGCATTGTGTTCCCTGCGAGGTCGACGGAGAACTGAAGCTGCAGTTCGTGATTGAGCCGTGAATCCAGCTTGAGGCTTGTATTATTAGCGCTGTTCTAGTATCGTCATGTCGTGTTTGTACCCGTTCGCGTCGTATCTTTGTGTACTTTTGCAATACCAGTATAATAATTCTTAGAGAAAAAAGACTCGTCATACGCTCATCGCTGTGATCACCTGCTCATACGTCAGCTGGAACCTGCCGGAACACGCCTGTGATGTCGCGTGACATAACGTGAGTCATTTAAATCCAGCTGCCGTCTGCTGCCGCCGTGGTGCCGGATGGGAGCTCTGTTGCTCTTCGCCGTGTTGACAAGGCTTCCTCTCGAATAAATCTGCATTGACGATGACAATCCACGATGCGGAAGAATTGCTCATCAATGCAGACGATACCGACGACGATGAAATGGACTGGGAGGAAGTTGCTGTTCCCGTCGAAGATTCCAACGCCGCGTTGCTCAAGGACCTTCACGTCGAAGAGGAACCCTCAACAAGGCAGAACATAGAGATCACGCTCCGAAAACATCCTTCGAAGGCAATAGATGAAGAGAAGTATGTGGCCACCCGCTATCTTGACTGTGCACGAATACTCAGCAGATGTCGACACTTGTAGGAAGAAGCTGGGAGGCATATCGCGCGCCGAACGCCTAGTGCGCATTGACTGCCACAAAGTGCACACAGTCGCTCTTCTGACAAATGCGTGGGTGCGAAATAAATGGCTCAGCGATCCTTTGCTTCAGGTATGTACGAGCTTTGTGCCCAGTTCCCCACCATCCTTTCATTGAGGCGACGCGCCAATATCCTCTGCTCGCATGCACGATGCATGTCTAGGCGCGTCTTCTCTCCCTAACTCCACTCAACCTTCAAAACACTTTCGCCAACATTCACAAATCACGCATACCCGATGCGCTGCAGCGCGGGACGATGTTCGAGATGGCCATGCTGCGCTTGGTTGAGTGGTGGTCCCAAGATTTCTTTGAGGTCGTGCTCTCCGGACATCTTCGCAGCCGCATCTTTGACGACGTCCAGTCTGAACTCCTTGCTACCGGGATGGTCGAACCCACAGATCAGAAGGGCAAAGGCAAAGGCAAGGCGCATGAAATCGGTTCAGGCTGGTTAGATGAGGGCGAGGTCGTGAAGAGCGAGAAGAGCCTGATGAAACACGCGTTGCAGAAATGGGGCAGTAGAGACGTGAGTGCTCAGTTATTTACTTCGCTTTGCAGGGCCCTCGGCATTCCTGCGAGACTGGTTGTGAGCTTGCAGAGTGTGCCATGGCAGGCAGGGGCAGGTAAGCCCAAAACAAACCCCAAGCTGAAGGGCATGAATGGCAGGGATAAGGGCAAGGAAAAGGCTGCTCAAGGGAGCGATCATGGTGATGAGGAGTTGGATATGGAAGAGGTCGAGATTCCCGCTACTGGCAAGTTTCCGGAGGGTGGAGAAAGACTCGACGGAGGATTCATTCCGCCGGAGGACAAGGGCAAAGGAAAAAAGAAGGTAGGACCCATCATCAAACTCCGGGCTACGAGGAGCAAGGGACAGACCCTCAATTCAAGCCGGCCGCTTAGTGCGTAGGCATTTCCGTACTTTTCCCAGTCTATATTTATGTGAAGACAGCTGAGATCTTCTGATGGTTGCGTATGATGCCATGATGCGCCTCACAGAGCCACCAGACCCTACTACCACCCCGCCTATTTTCTGGACCGAGGTGTTTTCACGCCCAGATGCACGCTGGTTACCGGTAGACCCCATACGAGCCATCGTCAACAAGCGCAAAGTCTTCGATCCCGCCTCTCTCATATCCTCCGTAAATGCGACGCGCGCAATCGCGCGCACGACCAGAGTCGACAACCGTATGGCGTACGTGCTCGCGTTTGAAGAAGACGGTTACGCACGAGATCTTACGCCGAGGTATGCGCGGGAATACGGTGCGAAAGTCGCAAAGGCGCAGGTCGGGGGGAAGGGAAGACGCGAGTGGTGGACGAGGGTCCTCGGGATCGTCACGAGGCCTTATCGGCTTGTAAGATCATCTCTCTCCTTAAGACAGGCATGGTCCGTTAGACTGAGCCCCGAGGCGCCTTTCGTCATTATGTAGCACCGAGACGACCTCGAGGACGACGAACTTGCCTCCAATCAGATCACCGAGGGCATGCCCACCACGCTCGCCGGCTTTAAAGATCACTCCCTGTGCGTCTCGCCACTTTGTTTCTATCCCTCTTCTCCCCTCTGATCGACCGGTATAGATATGTTCTTGCTCGCCACCTCCACCGCGATCAGGAGATTGAACCCAACTCGCCCGAGCTGGGGAAATTCCGCGGCGAGCCCGTGTACCCGCGCAGTGCCGTTCTGTCGTTGAAAACGGCAGAGAACTGGATGCGCCGCGGCCGGAGTGTGCGCACCGGCGAGCAGCCTATGAAGTTCGTCAAGCAGCGTGCATCGACGATCGGACGCAAGAGAGAAATCGAGGTCCTTAGAGAGGCGGGTGCCACCGCCGATGGGAACGGCCCGGACGTGTTACAGGGGCTGTATGCCGAGAGGCAGACGGAGCTATATAGGCCGCCACCTGTCGTTGATGTGAGTGCGTTTCACGGAACTGAGGTGTCGTTCATGAGTGTTGGATAGCTAATCAAGTTGTCTCATTAGGGCGTTATTCCAAAAAACGATTTCGGCAACATCGATCTCTATGTTCCGTCCATGTTACCAGTTGGGGCGGCCCATATACCCAGTCCGTCTGTTCTCACCAAAGCCTGTCGATACATGCACTGACATGTAGGTTTCATGATCGCCGATCTGGCAGACAAGGGTGCCAGCAAGGTTGCCCGTCAGCTGGGCTTCGATTACGCGGAGGCAGTGGTGCGTAGATGTTCTCTGTCTCCTGGAACATGTCTCGCGAATAATACTTGACGTCTCGATAGACGAACTTTGAGTTCAAAAATCGGAGAGCATTCCCTGTCATCACTGGGATTGTCGTCGCATCGGAGAATGAGCAGACCGTTTTAGAGGTGCGGTTTTCATCTGAATGCCCCAGTGGTGCTACTGATGCTTTTCTATAGGCTTGTTGGGAACACGAGCACAACGCAGCAATCAAAGAACAGGCCAAGCGCCAAGAGGCGGTGATCAAGCGCTGGACGCGGCTAGTCCATGGACTGCGGATACGACAGCGATTGCAGGAGCAATACGCTGGCAGAGGAGATGATCAGGGTCTGGGCAAGAGTATCGAAGTGACAGTGCAAACATCGCGCCCCGTACGTCGACGTCATTCAGCCTTTTGCCCGCCTGCTCTTCTGGTTTTACAATCGAATTTTCTGATTTCCCAGGACGCTCAAGCATCGGGCGGTTTCCTCACGACAGCGGACGACGTCGTGCAGCATTACTATCTGCCCAAGTTCCAGCACCCGATCCTCGACTCTGCACCGGATGCGGCGGCGGCGGCACATGCCGATCCTCAGCCTGGTCCCAGCACCGCGCCGTCAGCTTCGTTGGGAGATCGCGGGTCGCCATCGCTCGTAATGGAGACCGTCGACGACAGCGATAGCGATATGTCATCCGTGTCTATCCCGCCACAGCCCGTGAGAGGTGGCGCGCCCAAGTCCATGGCGGAGCTCGCGGCTTTGGATTCGGTGCATCAGAGTGCGGTGGGTTCGCGCGCGTCATCGACGGCGATGGTCGCTCGGGATCAGCCTGCGGTCGCGGAAGCTGAAGCTTATCGGCCTTCGCCTGCCACCGCGGGCACGAAAGCGACGCCTCGTGGCAGGGGTGCAAATCACGCCTCGAGCTCTGGGAAGAGCACACCGTCGAGAGTGAGGGGGCCACCGGTGAAAGGCAAGAAGAGGGTCAGGGCCGGTAGCACGAGCGCCGAGTCCGATGTCGCAGATGGGCCGAACCAGCCTCCGCCAACAAAGCGCACGAGGGGGAGAGCGTCAGCGCCGGCGCCGGCGCCTACCCCTGCTTCCGAGCGGGTTCTGCGTAGTCGTCGGGGCAAGTCGGTCGCTCAGCTCCAACAGGAGCGGGAGCAGGATGAGGCTTATAGACGCGCGATCGAAGACTGAACATCTTTTTATTCGCAGCGACTTTTACATTTTTCGTCGTAATGAGACTGCCTACATCGACTCTCGTTTTTCGTGTGTATGTAAGGCTATCCGTGTGTATCCTGAGACGCGAGAGCATCGTCGCGTCAGCGAACGGATGTCATCCGAGATGAGGGAGGATCGGGGTAGAGGGGACCTCTACGTTTCATCTATAGACGGCCCTGCCGTGACATCGGATGTCTGAGACGCCGGGGTTCGTGGGGATGGCGCACTTTCGTGTTTCTCCACTGGGCAGGTGGGGCTTTGGGTGGCCACGGCAGGTAGCAGGCATGCGAAAGTGAGGTAAGACGTGTGTCCGCGAACTTCTTGTATGACCTTGGACACGATTTGTGTCGTGGCCGGGGGAGGCGTCGGTACTTCACTGGTGAGGGCTTTTGGGTCGACAGGCTGGGGAAGCGTGTCTGGGTTTTCTTCCATTGTCACATCTCGCACCTCGTCCTTGGCCCCGAGGGGGGCCACAACAGATGCAGGGTCCTGCGCTGATGGACCGGAGGAGCCCTGGGCGTCGCCCCGAGTCTCGTCTTCAGTCTTTACCCTCTTAGAGCCTGTCGCATCGTTGTCCTCTGGGCCCCCATCCTGCTCCCTCTTCCTTTTCTCCGCATGCCGTGCACGTGCATTGGATATCTGGCGCAACCGCTTCTCTTCCCGTTTTCGCTCGGACTGCTGCAGCTTCTTGCTGACCGCGCCGATAGGAAGGAGCGTCGGCACCTCGCTGACCTCGTGGGGTCTGAGGAGCGTCTCGTACATCGTGATGTCTGGGCGTGCAAATTGCGCGGTGCACGCGGGAGCCGGGGCGGGTGAGCTGTCTGGGCGGCTGTACATTTTCGCGATCCGCGCGCACCTGTGAAGCCGGCATCGTTCAGCGCGCTGACGGTGCGCAACACCTGCTCTATACACGGGCTGAAGCAGCAGATTCGTGTGATGCAGTCTCTCTGATGGACGTGAGCGCATCGGATAGCAAATAAGTTCTATAGCAGCCGGGGCGCGGAAATTCACGGCCACGCACGCGTAATGCCCTTTTCGCATGTTCGACTGCTTCCCATGGTGCGGGAAGGTCTAAGAAGACTGTCCCAAAATTGAGCCAAGGACGTCAGCCGAATCGGATGAGGATAGTCGTACCCGAGTCGGCAGTATCTTCCACGGTGAAGCCGTCCTTGCAGACATTTCTGTGGGTAAGGGTGACCACGTCCGACATGCCGTGCCGAGTGAATTCATCCCTGGAGGACAATGTCAAGCGAGCTGCCATCGAACGCGGGGGTGGCGAGGGAGGAGCTACCTTGCCTTGTTCGCTCTGGCCTCATGGAACTCGTAGGACCATAATTTCCCAGTGGAACCGACGGTCCTCGCGACTGAATGCGAGAACGAGCCTGAGCCGGTGCCTTCACGAACTCTAAGTCAGCCCTGAACAGACACGTGTTTAATGGAAAAAAACGGAATGGACGTCTTGAGGGTCAAGACGTGGGCGCCAAAGGCTTCGATTGGACAAATTGAAAGACAGCGATCGGAGAACCCAGCCAGGGAGGCCGAGAGATACGCAGAGACACATGTGGATCTCGGGCCAGACTGATACCTAATATTGGCAGCCAATCAGGCGCAGACGCGCAACGTTGCCTGCCATCGGTGCCAAAACAAACTATGTCAGAGCGGGCTGCGGTCTGGAGAGTGCAAGCCCGTCCGTTCTCCATGCAGGACGCGGTGAGAGGCTGGCGCGACGGAAATAAACGCAGCCATGGCGGTACCCGAGATACCGTCATCGCGTGATAGACCATCAGACCACGGCGATGTATTCTGTGAGAATTCTGAGGGCCGCAGAAAAGACTGGAGGACTGGTCCGAGCGATCATTGATCCGGAACGCAATAATCACGTACCAGCTTCAATGACGACGCTGCCTGGGCGGATGTTTAGCCATGAGGTGATGAAGGCGATGTCAGCGATGTAGAGGATCTGTGTTCGGTGCGGGAGAGCGAGCGTCCAGAGCTCAGGAGTGGGGCGGAGGACGTGTATGAAGCCCTTTCCCGTGCGAGAGGCCACCTTGGAGCCATAGGGAAGACCAAGGAGATCCGAGTGTCGGTAGTTGCCGTACTTGCTGTTGAACTCTTTGCCTGGGGTGACGATAAAAGACTGGACCATGTCCCTCGTCTGGAAGGATAAATTTTACGCGTGCACGGAGCGGTGAATGGTAGGAAAGGTGGCGCAGAGGGTGCGCGGAGATGCTCACCAGCCATACTATGACGAGGTGGCCAGGTGCGATTCGAGCATCGGAGGACCACATCTGATTCAGCGCAGGCTGGCGGCGGCGGACTGGACACGGGACGAGCGACTGCAAGCAGAGCGTGGGAAAGACGGGTAGGGAAGGTTCAGATTTGATGGATCTTAATCAGCATGCGCGCACGCGGAGCCGAGATTGGGGTGAGATTCGGGAGGACGAGCGAATCTGGGAGCAAGCTGGGCCCCTGGGAAGCGCCTGGCTGCGGGTGCGGCAGACGAACGGAAACAAAAAGAGAGAGAGAGAGGAAGGCGGGGGGAGGGTGGCTGGGCGTGGAGAGGATGCTCAGGCGAGTGCCGCTGTGATGCTGGGGCTGGGGGGGGGAGGCGGAGTCTGAACGGGGGGTGCGCGCTCAGCTGGGACGAGGATGGGCGCCAGTGTTGTCGTCTGCTTATGTTTGTTGTAGAACGCTCTCCTGTGTTATTTAACTGTCGCAGTCGCGTCCGTTAGCCTCCTCGTTTGCTCCCGCAGACCCGCCCCGGACGAGACCCTCGCCACTCCCCCACTCCCATTTTCGGTACAATATCCGGCACCTTCCAGCCACCGCCGCATTCCCTTCCTTCTCCTTCTCCCTCTCCTTCTCCTTCTCCTTCTCTCCCCTTCCTCCTCCTCCTCCGTTATACCCTCCGTTCTCCTCTTCGCCCATGGACTCCTCGCCCTGCGTTTCGTTCAGTGCGTACCCCGACCTGTCCCCATTTGATATCTCCTTATCCTCTTCCGCGTCACCCAGTCGGCATCGTGGATTTCACAGAGAATGTGCGGCGTTCTTTTCAGTCTGCCTTCACCCTCCTCATCCGTCATAAATTTCAACCATCCAGGCCCGCTGGGTGTTTTTGACCGAGTCCGTCAGCGACTTGTTGGGTGAGACTCTGCCGCATTGTCTCTGCCCCCGCCCCCAATTCATGCGTCCTAGGCTACGAACCACACGAACTCGTCGGCACCCCGTCCCTCGACCTCGTCCATCCTGACGAATTTCCCCAGGTCAAACTGCTTCACTAGTGCGTCCCTCCTCGCATCTTCCGCTCTCCGTCACCGTGTCCCAACCGCCTTTCCCAGTGACACAATACGACAAGACAAAGCCGCCGTCCTCGCATATCTGCGCATGAAGCACAAAGACCCATACAAGGGCTACATACTCTGCGCAATAGTAGGCTCTTTGATTATTGCTTCGAGATGCTCTTTTCTGACGCCAAACGTCAAGTCTCGGACCGTCGCACATAACGTTCTCGTCGGTAGCGTGTCCTTTGCCGCTATGGGCCCGAAGGCCATGCACAACGCCTCGACGGCCCAGGAAATCACTATAATTACCCCTTCGGCTACAAACTTCGAATTCAGAGTAAGCGCCCTCGTTGGGCGAGACTCTTCACATCGTGTACTCAAGCCCTTGTTCTTTCCAGCGATGGAACGATCCGTCACCGATGCCCCCAAGTCCCATCCAGGTGCCTTTGCTAGACTCCCTCACCGACCCTGGCTCCCCGGAATCAACTACTGAATCGACCGCAGACAGCTCCACCAGCAAAGAAACTCTGAAGGACGTCGAAGACGATAAAGACGAGGATGCCAAAGACAAGGGTCAAGACAAGGGCAAGAGCAAGGAGAGAGAGGTTACGCCCCAGCCGCCGGTGCCCAAACCAGAACCTATCACCTTTGATCCTCTGCCCAAACAGTCTATCCGGACTGCCCTGATCCTGGATCGCTTCTCTCTGAGCTGTCCAATCATCTACTGTTCCAACGACAGCTTTCTCTCAACGACGAGAATCATGGGTCGCAGCTTCTTCGACTTTGTCATCAAGAGGGACGAGGAGCTCGTTCGCAGCTGGATCGACGCTGTAAAGGGATGGGGAGTCAACGAGCGAGGGCAGCCGAGTGATGGTGGGTTTGGCTTTGGAAAGTTCACGCTCTCCCTAGTGGGTAGAGACTCGAGGTAGGCGCGACACTCAGCCTCGCAGTCGATGACTCACCTCATTGATGACGGGCGACAGCGATCGACACCCCGACCCGCCACCATCGCGACACCGCCACGGACAACACGGCGGCCCTGGCGCCAGGGACTCTGCGGCGCGATCCCACGCTCACAGCGCCGCACCTGCGACAGCACGCTCGCGTGTGCGGACGCGTGGATCAAACCAAGACCAGGAAATGGCAGTTGACTCCATCTTCTCCGCTCACTCTGACGGGCTCATGGTCATCCTGCGGCATGCGGCATAGACTCGCAGTCGACATCGGCTCGGGTCGCAGTCCTGTTGCCCTGTCCCTGTATTCTTGTTTTGGTTCCGTCCGTCATCATGTGCACTCCGTACTCGCCTGTGCTTTTTGTTTGATGTGCGCCTTATTATTGGCCATTTGCTATCCGTACCACCGCTGAATACCCCGTTCGAGCCGTTTGTCCAGTTACACATATGTAGAACCACTTCCCTGTCTATCCCTATCGCTATGCGCTTGCCTTCCCTGTCTACGACTCGCCATCCTCCTCTCTGTACATGTAGGTTCCCCGTCGGTCCCCGTGTCGTATGCGAACTGTGTTTTTCCTCGCAATTGCAATCAATGTCATTTAACATGTTCCACCCCAATCAACTTTGCGCGCTAGTGCCCAGCATCCTCGGTGGAGTGTCATGTGCGTCCCTATCCAGCTCAGCGCCGGGCGCGCGCTCTGCCCCGCAGATCTGCTTCGGGCGTAGGGATCTCGTCTCCCGAACAGCGGCACGCTAGCTCGCGAATGTCGAACGCGCCCGTTGACAGGAGGCGGTGTCTCCTCTTCCGCGGTAAGCAGGTAGATCTTGCGAGATACACGCTGCGAGCTAAAACAAATCAGTGGCGGTGCAGTGCGCCTGGCTGCGTTGCTCATCCGCGCCGAGAAAGTCCACAACTCCGGACGGGCGCTGAATCGTCCGCAGGGCGTCCGCCGCTGGCTGGAAAGCTGGAACGATGCACGCGCGAGCTTCGTAGGAACGTAGGTCGGGTAAGAACGAGGCTCTGTTCCCAGGTGCGCAGGTGCCATTGTTATGTCGTGGTTCTGCAACTATCTGTCGCAAGCGCTCAGGCCACCGCTCGGCGCACATTCGCGTACATGGCCCTCGCAAGGTACGGCCGAACACGGCCGTCCGTCCGTCCGTCCGTCCGTCCGTCCAGAGGCGCCCTGCACGCGCATGCGACATGCAATGCGCTACGGCAAACGCTTTTCTTCCGACATTTCCTTGGCGCCCGCCGAGAGCGAACCGACGAGACGTCGTCCGGGCGCAGTTGGCGTCTTCCAGCGTCTTCCAGTCGCCATCCTCGTTCTTCGCTGGACACGGAGAGAGATACACTCCGCAGGAGATCTTCGGGGCGCTCGAGTCCGTGCGTGCCGTCGAGTAATCAAGTGCTCGAGTATCCCGGGGCGATCAGCGGGCCTGATGCTTCGACGCAGGCTCCCGTGCGCCCAGGGCCGAATGGGGTTTTGTAAAGAGCTGACCACGAGCGGGCGAGCAGGCGAGCTATTATTGCGTGCGTCCACCGGATCTTTCCACTCCAGCGAGCAAACTGAATCTATGAGCCTCGAAACGCCGGAGTCATCCGAGAGCGTGGAGCAGGGGCTTCGTGGGCTGAATTTCGTAGGTCAATTCCAATGGGAGAGGACTCACTCCGGGAGTCTGCCGTCCTTGAGCTTCTTCTGACCAAACACAGACGGGTCGGACGTACGCGAGTCCCGGAATGGGAAGGCTATTAAAACGATACTGCAGCCGTGCAGCTGTCCAGTCGAGCGAGGAGCGACGGAAGAAAGGTCTTGTTCTGATGGCGTAGTGACTATGCCTCTGCGGGACTGAGTATCTGACCCCTGGGTGACAACAGGCCAAACTCGGCGAAGGAGCTGTCTGGTCTCCCGAGCGATGTATCAGCGCTGACAGTGCGATGGTGCACAGGAGCACTGGCGACTCAAGCTTCAGAATGAGGATGGCGAGATGGCCTGTATGCGCCTAGTATATACCGTAGATAGCTACATTGTGGTGACACACATCAGAATCAGGATCCCCCATGCGATTATTGCTGACCTGTTTTAACTGCTCTGCGTCGAGCTCTGTCGTTGTGGGGTGGATCATTGAAACGCAGAGGCCCTGTTCGATCCTGTTCTGATAGAAGAAGGTTGGCAGTCCTCGGTCCGTCCGTTTCTGAAGTGGATCATAGGACCTGGAACACAGCGACCGCACTGTCGGCTATGGGTCTAAGCTCGAGACATACACGGAAATGGGAAGTGTCGGATAGCTTCAACCTCTGAAGCCATAATGCACGACGCATGATGCACGAAGAGTTGACGTTAAAGCTTTGAAGCCTTGAAGCTTGAAGCTTTGAAATTTGCAGGTCGTGCAGTAGAAAGAGGCGGAAGGGCCATTGTCGAGTTCCAGGGGTCTTGCTCCGATCGCGACTGCCCGTGAAAATCCGCCAGAGCAGCGCTTCGAACCTGGCCAACGCGCCTGCTTGTTTGTCTGTACATATTCGCCTCGAACATCTGGCCTCAGGATGTCTGCTCAAAATCAGGGCGATGCCCTGATCACTTCTAGCGACCCCCTGCATGCAAGAGCCCTTCTCTCGACGTCACTTCCGAACAACTGATCCTGATCGATCCTCCAGCCCGCGAACCTCATCCCCGAGCTCTGTAAAGGTTTCTACAACCTCGGATGGGTGACGGGAACCGGAGGCGGTATCAGCATCCGAGTCGGGTGAGTGGCTCTGCCCATGCCCTCGCTGCCATTCACGTTGACGGCGGGCGTTCGCACCAGCGACAAAGTGTACATCGCGCCCTCCGGAGTGCAGAAGGAGCGGATCCAGCCGACACACATCTTCGTCCTTCCATATCCGCAATCACTAACGCCAGACAACGATCGGCGGTTCCTCCGCAGGCCCACCGCGACACTCAAGGAGTCCGCCTGCACCCCGCTCTTCTGGAACGCCTTTGACCTGCGATCTGCGGGAAGCTGCATCCACACGCACTCCCAAAACGCCGTGCTCGCCACGCTTCTCTGGACAGGACCCGTGTTCAAGATTTCTCATCAGGTCAGTGGGCCTGCTCCGTGCTGCGCATCGCGGTCGGATACCCATAACCGTGATTTATTTTGGATGGCGTTTAATAGGAGGCGAGTGCTTGTCTTCGAGGTCAGAATCAACAATAAAGTGGGCTGCTGCAGATGATCAAGGGTGTTCGGATCGGCGGCACTGGACAAGCGCTGTCGTACCTCGACACGCTCGAAGTCCCCATCATCGAGAACACTCCAAACGAGGAGGATCTCAAGGACAGCATGGCCGAAGCCATGATCAAATACCCCGCTGCCGCGGGGGTCCTCGTCCGCTGTCACGGCGTGTATGTGTGGGGTACGCCCTCCGCGCGACAATCTCGTGCACCGTCCACGCTAACCGCTCTCGACTTTCAAACTCAGGCAACGACTGGGAAAAGGCCAAGACGCAGACCGAGGTCAATACAGTTCCTGCTTATCGACGCCCCGTGCGACGCTGATTTCTGGGAACCCGCTCTAGTGCCTCGATTACCTGTTCGAGATTGCGGTCAAGATGAAGCTGGCTGGTCTGCCCGTGCTGCAAGGAGAAAATGCCGTTACCGCGTAATGTGCACGTCGATACATGATATTAGAGGAAAATATAGGAATTGTATTCTCTCATAGTAGACACATCGGTGCCGCAACACGGCCTCAATAGCCCTTGAAGTAGACATCCCGGCGTAACGGTATGGGTGCTCGTGTGACGATATGGTCAGATCAGGAGCACGGACGGCTTGTTCGAGGCTGGTGTCTGGATCCTTGGACCCAGCGTCGTGTATCTGACGATTCGGAATACGAAAGTCGTCATATCGCCTGCTGATGTACTTGTGGGCTCGCGTGCGACTGATGGGCGGTTGGGTCAATTTAAACTCCTCAGCCAAGTACAGGCGTTTCGGCACATTTTGTCGGAGAAACCGCGGCATACTGATCGTCCGCTTTCTACAAGAGTCAACAAATGGAGTGCAAGATCGACGTCCCCGACCAGTCTGAAATGCAGACCGAACTAGGACTCTGCGCTTGTGCGGATATTGCGTCTCTTCTCCCTAACATTATATTCTCATTCGATTTACGAAGATGGCCGCTTGATATATCTTTTGGCCAGCAAGTCAGTCGCACAGGAAGTTAGACATAAAAGAAGGTTACGAAGCTGTTCACGGGGTGCAAATACACGGTATACAACACCACTCTACCTCCGAGCTCTCACACCGTCCAATTTCTGATTCCTTCCTGGGTTCTCTCCATCACTTGCAGTAGGGCAGGCCTGCCTCGGCCTTGGTATAATGCAAAAAGTGCAGAACTTCCCGCAAATTTCTTGCCTTTCCGTGCAATGTTAGTATCATGTAGATGAATGCGATAGTGAAGCCCTTACCGTTCTCCTCTCCGCATCGATTACAGACGATGGCGACGGTACGTCTGGGTTCGATAATGGCGGGAGGCTGATTCACATCGTCTCCAACATGCGCCCAGAGGGGCCGCAAACGGGAGGCCCAGTAGTTGAGAGTATGCCAGTCTTCGGCTGTGTCCTCGTCAACACCGGAATCCAGCCAAGCATTGAGCAAGATCAGTAGATCTGTGCCATTCACTCGGCAATAGTCCGCAATTTCGTATGGACCATCTTCAAGCGTCCAAACAGCGGGGGGCTGTGGGTTCAGGTCCATGCATATTCCAAGACTCACGGTGTTGAGTGGGGCAGGGAGGTTGAAGGTCACGAACCCAGTGCCTACGAACCGCGAGCATGCATGAGTCTCAATCTCACAGTCAGAGCTTCGGGATGAACCTGGTTTCGCCCATGTTTGATCCGTCTCAAACAGGTTTGTTTTACGATAGCCACCAATTCGTTCACCACCGGGGCCGTGTACGACAGCACTGTTGGCACCGATCGCGTCGATGATATGACCGTTAGAATCCCTTCTTTTCGTGATCTCACTCTGTTCTAAGCGTTCTGGGTAGCCAGCGACAACATAGCAGTGCAGCTTTTCTGCCATCTCAGCACAGAATCTCGAGGTGGGTCCGGTGTGGGGATGCTCCAAGAAAGGCGATATCGAGGCAGCGTCGCGAAAAACATATCCTGAGTATGAGTACACCGCAGCTCAGCGCCTGTGTCGGTTCCGCAAGATGAAATGTACAGACCACTGAAGATCATTTCCGGAAGAACCAGAAGATCGAGCGAACGAGGTTGAATACTGGAACGACGACGCATTCAGGTCCGTCACAGGGAAAGCTCAATCCAAGAGCTCACTTGGCACACATCGCATGAGCCCGTGCAATATTTTCCTCGACATGTCCTATCTGAAAACGTATGGGGCGCACGCATCGACATTCTCGACCAGTTGGAATCTGATCGAATGCGCTAAGTACTGACTCGTGGGGCGAACTGGATGACCGCAATTCTCAGAAGTGGATATGTCGACGCCATCGTTGCTAATGGCTTGATAGCATTCCGTACGAGGGAAGACAGACTGTGAATCCTCTCCCTGTTGGTCGGGAGGAAGAGCTGGACGGGGCGGTCTCTGGTTCCTCCGGTCACGGTGAAGTCGCAATAACGTCACTAACAGTCACACCTTGCTCGCGACTTTGGAACCACCTCTTGTAAAGCGATACGGCGGCGTGCAATGCTTCAACGAGATGTGCTCAACAGTCCCCGCTTCAGTGAGATAGGAATCTATTTTTAACGTATTAGTCTAATCATGCTTCTAATCGTACGTTCAATTCACAACGTTATATGATTGACAACGCAACTTTGTCTAGACCTCTGGTCTGGTGCCAATCCTTCGTCGGCGTACGCGCGCAGACCGTGACGAGATGCGTTTTCGAGACCTCCTATAAGTCAGCTTGTATCCAAAGTGGGACGAATAACATGTGCGTTCAAGGAGGCCGATGAATACGCTGTTTGGATAGTGACCGGCATGCAGACGTGAGTGATCTAAGATTCTATATCTGAGTTCATATCCCCATACTCTCATGTAGCTCCTGAGAGAACTGCCGCCGACCTTGCTGGCATGGACAAGTCCATTGAGCTGTCCAGGGCAAATATTCTGTGAAAGCCATGAATATCGATTGACTGTCATCGCTCATACTTTCGAGGCACGACCTGACGCGATCCTGTATTCTTTGGAGGCCTATATGGAAACTCCTATCCTTAGCGCTCAGCCGTAACCGCTGGGTGCCGCTGGAACTTTGTACCAAACATTTGATTATCAATGCCGAGACTACGTGCAGAATGAGTTGTTTCACGGTGAGTGAGCGTGTGTTTCTGGTGTACATATAGATTCTGACCGCAAGCCTTCCTGTGGGATGTTCAATCTTTTTCAACAGATGTCCATCTTTCTTTGTGGGTCTTCCTTCGCTAGGAACTTGCGAAGTTACGCGGAACTGAATCTATGAAGCTCCGTGAGACCATGTAATGCTCCGGATGAAGGTCATGCAATCATGTGTTTATTCTTATTGCGAATGCATCTCGGTGTATCATAAGGCAGCGTGGAGTTAGCGCTCGTCAGTCGTACTGTTTCCCCGATCATCATGTCTGAGACAACGACGCCTCCTTTTCCTGACGCCATTCCAGTCGCCCCTTTGCTGGTCATTAACCACGCGCTTATCAAGGCGGGTGATCGGGACGAGATCGATAAGCTCTGGAAAGCTGCTACCGAGCTGGGTTTCTGGTAGTGCGTATATATTTGATCGTCATGTTCATCAATCTTTCTACAATTCAACAGTACGAAGAATCATGGCATGGACAAAGAAGTTGAGGATATGTATGAGCTGAGCATGAAGACTCTCGAGTTGCCATTGGAAGAGAAGATCAAATCTGAGGGGTACGAGACACTGTCACACGCCTGGTATTGACTGTCCATCCATATCTCTCAGGCATAAGCGAAACGGCCGTTGGGTAACTGACGAAACTGGCTCCCCTGACAATATAGAATTCATGGATATCGCCAAGGATGATATCCTTGCTTGGCCCGAACGCATTCTTCGGTCATATCCACACACCGTCAATGACCTTACTATAGAGTCCACACTCAAGCCTTACTTGCTGAAATCCCTGGATCTTTGTTTCACTGCTTTCAACATCTTCGATGGCAAATTCGGCCTGCCTGGTGGTAGACTTGTACAGAACCATACGGGCGACAACATCAGTCGTTCGGAGATACGGTGCATCAGGTGTCTTCCTCGACCTGAAGTACCAGCACATAAGTTGAGTCTCGGTGTGCACACTGATTTCGGTTCTATGGTATGGTACTCCGCCTGGTACCTTGCATATGGGTGCGCTGACCCTCGCTTTCAGACTATTCTTCACCCTCGTCTCGGAGGGCTGCAAGTTTTACCTCCCGGGTCTAGCGAATGGTTATATGTAAAGGTAAGGTCAGTTGTTTATCGTCGACCTATATGCAGCTTACCTAGGAGACTTCATCTTTTCAATGCAGCCTGTACCTGGCTATGTAATCTGCAACCTCGGAGACGCGATGGCGATATGGAGTGGTGGAATCTTGCGGTCTAATCAGCATCGTGTCGTGTCAGTCTATGTTATCATTACTTCGTCGATTTCAGACCTCATTCCTTTGCCCTCCGTCTAGGAATCCTCCCAAGGAGCAGGCCAGTCTTGTCAGATGGTCACATGGGTACTTTACGCGGCCCAACGACAACTGCATTCTTGCTCCCTTGGTAACGAAAGCGCGAAGATCGCACAACATGCGGCTCAGAAAGCCAATTGGAAGGAGAATCCCAACTTGCGACCTCAGACCGCGGCTGACTGGTATGTCAGACGGAACAATCTTATGGCGTTGAACACCTTTAAGGTCGGCCAGTTTGCTTTTTTTGACAACGCATTATATCTGACATCAGGTCTGAAGGGCCCGGAGTCTTGGTGGGCCAGCAGGGGTACAGAACATACCGAGATTCCCGTGACTTGAGTGGGGCAAGGTTGGTCTGTATCAGCGGACCATTCCGCTTGATAATTTGTCAATGTCAGTCTGTCAACATATAGCCTCGACGCTGTCAGGTTTCTGATGTCTTGTCCTTGCATAGGGTTAGGATGGTGTAAGTACTATGATGAAACGAAGCGCAAACATGAATGTTATGTATGATCACGGTGTGCACTACACCACGGACTTCGCTGTTTGAATGGCGCTGCAATACAACAGCGTCACTGCCTTCGAAGGATCCACCCAAAACAGGGTCTGTCATCTGGAGAGTCACAATGCATAGTCATCACACGATCTCCCTCAAAAATCAATGGTGTTGGGGAATTAACGTGTCGACTTTCATCCGTGTAATGTTTGTTTCTCTATCTAGATTGAAAAATGCTCTGATATATTCCAAACTCTAGCAGTACTAGTTCGTCGTTGATAACACCAAAGCTACGCATCAGTCGGATGTCTTGTTGAAACTGTTCGATGGAACTTATCTACTTGAACAGTCGTTTCAGTCTCTGACAGCTGTGCGTGTTGAGGCATGAGAGTGATCCGGGTAAAGAACCAGATCAAAGTCACCCCACGGGCGTCTCGCAAATCGCTATAAAGCTAGTGAAAACCCGCATATAATGACGATTATTTATTTGTTCTACAGTAACCATTCACATACCACAGTGACCGCTCATATGTCTTTAGGTCAGTCAATGAAGCATCTACTTCATAGAACCGTCCTAAATCCTCTGTCTTCTAGTTCTGGCTCCACATATGTCTCGCCCTAGCCGTAAGGCTAGTCGGGCCATGCGCGCTTCTGTCCCTCACTCTGCTGTGCGGTGTGATAGTGCGAAACCGAGACAGTGCGAAACCGAGCCGATGCGTTGATGGGCCCTTCTTGCATAGATCAATAGACACAAACACTGGTGCCAAGTATTCGGATAATGAAGGTGGAGAAGAAAGGCATCTTGTTAGACAGCGTGCGTATACATCTTCGGGCTGTATACAGGAACTCAGGAAGCTCAAGACAAAGAAGAAGAAGGCGCGTGCAAAAAGGCCATGAGGGAGTTGGTCCAGAGCTCGATCGATCGATCACAGCTCATCTCCGTTCTAGTATGTGGTTTTTGTCTTCGCCCTCTTCGTGTAACACTATCTCGCAGCTGTACAACTCACTTTATACCCAATCCTAGACGACCTTCTTCTCTGCAATGGAAGCACAGCTTCTTGGCAGTGCGATTCCCGATTCGTCAAGCCTGCCAGCGTCATTTCCCAGGTATCTGTTGTATGCATGATCTGTGCGCTGATCGTGCACTCCTTTGCTGGTATGTATTCCGTTCAATTGAACACTCTTCACTTCACCTTCTCTTTATATCATCGCATGCCATCTTCCGCCATCAATCAATGACCGTCCTGTTTCAGCAATTATCTCATTCCTCGCAGCCTTCGCGCTTATCCGATATAAGCTCAAGGAAGCAAAGAAGGAGGAGCTCAAAGTTGAGGGTTTCGCCTACGCGTCGCCTATCTCTGCCGAAGCACAATCTATCGCTCAAGAGGGAACGGATGATGAGCCATCTTGCTCGGACCCTAAACTTTCGAACCACCCTAGCACCGTGGACCTAGCTGATCCTACCTTTCCACCTATTCTGTCCTATCACTACACCCCCATCAACTTCCCCATTTTCGCCACAGATCCACATTTAGAACAAGTTGGTCCATTCCGCACGCGTCAGCCTCCCACCGGGCTTGTTGGAACGTGCACATACATTGTGCATATCAATGGCCACTGTGGGCTTCATTCTCATCATGATTGGGATCGTATTTTGGGCTTGGGCGCAGTTGTCCATAAGTGTCTCTGTGGCGGCGACTGCAGCAGTGGTAATGTGTACTGGGCCGGCCGTGGGGATCTTGTTCTTCGGAGCGTGAAGCAGAGGTACTGTCTTATCGATGTATCGACTCTAATTTGTTCGCTCAAACATAGTCGTTCTAATCCTCATTCTTCCACATGAAACAGACTACTCGACAGACCACTCTACCTAACAAGGCGTTGCCAGATATCCCAAATATACTACATGCTGAGTTTGATGTAGTGAAATCTCACTGCTCCTTTTGGAGTGGGTCGAGCTATCCTGATTCATCACTGTTATCTTGTACGCTTTTAGACTATGTACGCCGCGCCCGACATGAGACTTACCCCACATACATAGCCCATCATTGATCGATCATTGCGTCCCAGGTCCATCTTCACAGCTTTCGAAGATCAGCCGCTCAGTGTGCAGGTTCGTCTCGAACTTGACGTTGTTCGCACAGTTTATCTACTCTGTAGTGACGAGTGAGTCATTTGCTGCATGAGTGAAGGGTAGGTTGCTGACTCTAATCTCTTCTGCTCCAAGGAGTTAATGTAGATCCTGTTACTGGCTCGTCGTGATGTTCTGTCTGATATGTGAGCATGATGGGATCCCCAGGACACGTTCGTACGCCACAGGTACATCAATTGATGTCTATCACAGAACACCTGTGGTGCGCCTTACTGCCTGATTCAGAGTCTCAACTTTCTAGCTAGTATGAAAGACCTTGAATATAAAAGTCAGTCGTCTTGGGATTGTCGAACACTCACCCCTCTAGACTCCCAGCTTCGCAGAGTTAACCTTTCTCTGGATAGCCGCCGGATTACAATGCCATCCTTGTCGAATGCCCACGATTTTGGCTACGAGATGCTGATAGATGCCGTTACACTATGCGGTTCAGCATTTCTATTTGGTATGCTTACTCTACATTGTGTACGCTATGCAAAGCTGATGAAACGGGTCACCACCACTAGGCATTTACGTCGTTTTGATCTCTTTCTCCACAGTCATCCTCGTGTGAGCGATGAATCTGCTTTACCACGACGATCGCTGACTGCGGCTCATGCCAGTCGAAAGGGCTTAGACTTCAGGGCGAACAAAGTGCTGCTCGGAGTAACTTTTGTGATGTTTTTGACGTCGACTGGATATGGCGTGGCGCTCTTCGTCGGATATATTCAACAAGTCCTAGGCCTATCCTTTGTGCAACAAGGCGGTGCGCAGGGTGACGAGATATATGCGGCCATGGGGTCGAGCTTTAGCCTTGACATCGCGCTTTTTTACTTGTCATTTTTCAACGTCTGTCATCCTTTCTTGACCGACTCAACATTCGAAGCTTATATTTCCATTCTTTAGTATGTATCTGGTGATGCGATCATCGTTTGGAGAGCATGGGCCCTGTGGCCTGATAACAGGAAAGTCGTCATGCTTCCCATAGGGCTGCTCATGGGCTCCATTGGTGAGCATTTCCTTGCCTATCCCCGAGCGCAACGAGCCCCAACATATTCCGTCCACAGTGTCTTCATTAGTGTGTGGAGGGCTCGAAATTCGAGCGTTCCATACCCAATCCCTTCGGATAGAGAAGATTGGAGGCGACGCTCAGCTCGCGAGCTGGGCGCTGTCGCTCGCGACGAGCGTGGTGGCCACGGTGCTGATCGCATACAAAGCTTGGTTCGTCTCCAGTTTGCTTCGGGTCGTCTAGCAAACCAATTGCCGAACGCCTCACCCTCTAGGGTACACCGCAAGTTCATCCAGTCAAATATGAGCGGCGGCGGCATCAGGAGGTCAAAGGCCGGGAAAATCATGTCGCTTTTGGCCGAGTCAGGTGTCGTCTACTGCCTTGTGTGGGTAAGCCAGTATACCACAGTCGCCACCTAGAATCCAAGGGTTGAGCGCCTTGTATACTCGCAGATCGCTCTCATATTCACTTCGTATATCAATCTCCCCAACGACGACGGCTTGGCAGGGAACTTATTCTTGCCACTCAGCGTCCAAATCACAGTGCGTGCATATTTACACCTCACATACCCTGGACCATTGTTCGCTCGTGCGTGCACTGAGACTGACAAGCGGGGTCAGGGCATATACCCTACGATCATCATCGTCCTGGTCAGCCTCGAGAAGACAATCTTGGGCGCGCCCAGCCTGACTACCGCGGGCTTCGGCAGCAGAACAACGCGTCTGCAGTTCGCCACCGGACCCGTATCAGAGTCCTTGCCTCGCCCTCAGAGCCCGCACGGGGGCGACAGGGAGGATGCGCCGAAAAGCGAAGGGGTTTAAATATTTTTGAATCGTTCCAGTGCCTCCTGCGAATACCTTTTTGGGACATCGGTATATTATGGCGCTGGTCACCACGACCCTTGCGAGTGTACCAAAAGTCTGTTGTAATTTTCACCCTTCTTCAAATCGTGTCCACTCCCGCGCAAACCAGCTTATCAGTGACCCACATCTCTTTGCTGAACCAGAGGCACCAAGCGCACCAGAACGCATCGGGCATCGCCTCGCCGATGGCCACAGCGGACAGCCACCTCGTCCCAGGCAGGCGCAAAGGGGAACCCGAACACAGTACAGCATCGAACCCTATCCTCCGGGCCGTCCAGCGAGAGCTGCCCAACGCGCGCTTCCCCTTTTATTGCATGCAGGCACCGTCGTCCCATGTCATGCTCTCATGTTCGCGGTTCCTCGAACGCGAGAGAGGTCTAGATTCGGCGCGACCGTGCCGCAGCCACTCACCTGTCCTGTGCAAGCCTGTGCAGAGCAAGTTCAGTGTTCTGCAAATCAGTCGGGCGAAGGTTCGGCGCAGAAGGGTCTACGTAGCGTGCTGGCTGCTAGCCAGGGCATCACGTGGGAGCAAGCATCACAACATCGTGCGCGCGCGTAAGGCCACAGCCTGTACGAAGAACGACTATCTTCTGCGTAAGACTAAGGTCAGCACGGAAACTAGGGCCACAGTGCGGACCGCGATTGAGTGCAAACAAAGTTTCGCGCGAGCCAAAAGCGGGAAGGCCATCTCGGCGAGCAGCGCTGGCAGAGTGGGCGCGAACTCTGCGGTGGGCAAAGCAGGGACGCCTCGCCCGAGAGACTAATACATGGGCAGTGCGAGCCCGTGATTCCCAGTTGCACATGCAAAAGCATACTCAAAGCATCCGTCGCGTCTGCCGCATCTTCTCGCGCACGCTGCGAACTCGGGACGTGTGAGTAGTCTATAGGTGCGCGCGCGACGGCGCCCTGCAAAGCTCCGCACAGGGCGCGCGTGAGCGAAAATAAGCGCAAAGGTCCAACACCGCAACGTTCGCCAATTTCAATTTTGCGCGCAGATTCGTATCGCCTGCGATATGCCATATCAGGGCGGGAAGCGCAACCGAACGCGAGCGAGGGGCGCAAAGGGAGAGGCGATACCGCGGGCGAGAAGCGCAGAGCTTTACCCCGGAGGTTGGGGTGGAATCGCAACGATCGATGACAGGGGATCGATGAAGAAGGCTAATCGCCACTGAGAGCACTGATCGGCGTCATCGTCGAGCCCGACTGCGTGAGCTCTGCGTATCACAAGCTTGATAGAATTGTCGGGTGCCGTGCGATGCGGCCAGATGCAGCCTCGACCTCTGAAGGCGAGAAGCTTGGCCCGATAGATGCACAAGTTCCTCAGACGAAATGACCGAGGCAAACCGCATCCTTCAATGCACACTGTCTCCGTCATGACTCACAGCGCGGTCCACAATGGTTGATTTATACCGTACGTTACACGCTCACGTCTGAGGGTCTCGCCTTGGTGCAGGATCGCATTTGCCTGTGGCAACCGGATGCAAATGACATCTCCATCTTCTCTGTACGTGCGATCTCCTCACACGGGAGAATCGTCGGATGCCACCATCCGATAACAATGACGCTGACGATGTCATCGACATCGACTTCAAAAAGCCTCCGATCGACGTCCCGGAACCTGAAGGGGGGGGGCAGAGGATTAGCTCTAATTTGTAACCTGTTACAACCAGATTGGCTTTGGCCGCATGTGTCTCGACAGAGCCAGAATTGACTGACGGCAGCAGCAACGCGAGGGCGCAGTCCACGATAGGAGCGTAGGTGTTCGGGTCGAAGCTGACTGCGGCGACGATGTTGGTGGCAATGACAAGAGAAACAACGTGTTTGCATGGGGGAGCACATATTCTGCATTTAATGCTTAATATGACATCAAGTAAGAGTGGACAGTATGAATAGCCCGCCTGGCCTCGGGGGTGAAGTTTGAGCGGCGGCCCGCTCAAGAATCAGAAGGCTTCCTGGCAACAAGAGTGCGCCCGCAGCTGTGTGCCTTGAACTCTGTCCTGTCCGCGCACGCCGACGAGTAGGTAGGTCCGGCAAGAAGGTCAGTGAAGCAAGGAGATGAGACGGCAAGACGGGGCGGCAGGAAGAACGGCGCGAAAGGCAGCAAGGGGGAACTCTCAGGCCTTCGCAATTTGATCATCGATCGGGACGCCGGGTCAAGTGCGATATCGAAAGCACATTCGCTGCGGACGCCTGTCTATATATGCGCGCTCAGACGCGTCTGGGAGAAACCTGGCTGTCCGAGCGAGAACGAGAACGGCGTCGTGTCAAGTATACCATCGAGTGACCGAATAGGGTGGTATTACTAGCTGCTCGCAGCACGTGTAGGCGCAGTTGCCACAGAAATCGGAAGAAGGGTCGAGAAGGGGGGATCCGACCGCGCAGAAGACGTCGCGAAGCACGGATGGCGTCGGGAGAACCTGCCGCTGCAGAGAGATAAGAGGGCCCAGGACCAGTGTTTGTATCCCAAAGCGAGTGAAGAGCAGTGGGCGGATCGCATTCGCATGACATACGTCAGCTCTGGGTGGACCGACCATTCACGGTGCGCGGTGCGACATGGGACTGGGAAGCATCTCTGGCACCAGGTGTTGGAGCACATGGCGATCTCTTCTGTGCATAAGACTGCTCTCCAGGACAGGACACCGTCAAAAACAGAACGATTGACTCGGGTACAGGCTGGTCGAAGAGGGGTGGCGATCAGGCCAAGGCTCCGACCAACGTGTACGGGGCTATGTAGAGGCATATGAGGCCAGCCAGCGGCTACATTGATGCGGCAGAGCCGAGGCGCCTGGACGACTCAATGGAGGAAAAGGAGAAAGGATTATGTTCGGGGCCTCGGATCGGAAGCATCGCAGGAAAGGAGGGCCGCAGGCGATGACGCACGAACCGCGTCCGTGAGACCCTCGCCCCGGACGGCCCAGGAGCGTGCATCTGGTCTGCTGCCGTCGCGGTTCATTTCCCGCTGGGGGCGTGGTGCTTGCGTTGGACGCAGACATGGAAGAGAGAGCGAAGTGCAGGCGCTCGTGGCACGCGGGGGGGTCGCGGACATGGAGCAGAGAGGTGCGGGGCAGAGACTGAGGGCCGGAGAGGCCAGGAGGAAGAGTGGCCGGGGGCGGGGTGGCGGGGGGCGTGTGGCGGGGGGATTGATTCCGACTGAGAAGCTGGGGTCGCCCGCGAGAGGAGCAGCGACCAGCAAGACGAACAGAAAAGCGGCGAGGAAGAGTGGCGATGGGCAACTCCAACTCGACACAGGCCCCTCCCCTAGCCTCTGCAGACCGCAACCACGCACGCCGCACACAGCCCTCCAGCGCCGCCCTCGCATCCTCTGCGACGCCCCGCGCCCACACCCCGCATCGCTCCCTCCGCACAAAGAAGAAATCCCTCGAGCTGCCCGATCTGGCGTCGCTCTCGTACCCCCTCGCTCCGTCCTCCCTCAATGCGTCGCCGCACGCACACTACGGCCGCCACAAGCCCTCCTCCCCCATCCCCATCCCCATCTCCCCCCACACCGCCGTCCTCGACAACCACGTCCAGTCCTCCGTCTACGGCCGTCCCCATCCCACCCAGCTCCCCTCCACCTCCTACATTCCCGATGCTCTCCTCGCGCCCCCCTCCACCCACATCCCCATCGCCCCCAACCAGCGCCCTCACTCCCCCTACGCCCCCTACAACTCCTCCCGTTCCCCCTCTCGCGGTCGGCCTCCACCGCCCCCTCCCCCCTCGGAAATCCCAGATGACCCCCCTCCATTCGTGACAGAGACCATCCGCAGCACCATCCCACTCGGGATTACAAAGCCCCTGTCCTCCACTGGCGCCTCCCTCGTCCACAAGCCCACAGATCATTCCCGCGACCTCGTCCCAGTCAAGATCACTTGGCACGGCCCCGCCAAGACTGTTGTCCTCGCGCGCGCAGGCGATGCCAACTGGACCGGCCGTCAGCCCATGGAACGCGAGTGCGTATCCGCTAACCTTCCCCACATTCTCACAATCTGATGAACACCCCTTCCCGCCATCGCAGACCGAACGAGGAGGATACATGGTTTACATGGGTCGAGCTCCTCCCGGGCACGCACCACATCAAGTTCTTCGTTGACGATCAGTGGCGCGTCGCAGACGACATCGCCACCGCCGTCGACGATGACGGCAGTCTTGCTAACTACGTCAACATTCCCGCCGTCGCCGTCAGCCCACCCACGCCCCCTCTCGGGCCAGCTTCTGGTCCTCCCATGTCCAATCTCTCTGCCTCCATATCCAAACATACCGGCCCGCCCTCCACCCCTACCAACGGCAACGGCGCCGCCAACGCCACGTCCAACAACGCCGGCGGGTTCCAGATCTCGTTCTGGAGCGAGAGCAGCGTCGGCGGCGCTCGCGCGGGCCCTCCCAAGTGGACACAGGATCTCCCGGCCGAGCTGCTCGCTGCGGCGCGGGAGGAGGAAATATACCTCGCCGACGGAGCCGCGGGCGGCGCGCCCGCGCCGAATATCCCGCCCGCGCCCGTCCTCCCGCGGCATCTCGATAAACTGATCCTGAACACGCGTCCCGCTGCGCCGCGCTCGGACGCGAACGCACGGGCGGAGGAGCGCGCGAGGCGGACCGCCGGCGCGAGCACGCAGGCACCGGGGCACGGGCGCGTGCGGTCGCGCACGCGGCATTCGGCGCTGGGGATGACAGAGGTGCAGGGGCAGGGGCAGGGAGGGTCGGCGGACGGCGAGGGTGCGATCCCAGTCACGACGGCGAGCGGGACGGACGTGACGGCGACGGCGGCGGGGCGGGGAGAGACCGGCGCGCGGGCGGGGGTATCGCTGAGCGGCCCGGCGCTCGCGGACGACGCGAGCGTGCTGCCGGTGCCGTCGCATGTGGTGCTGCACCATCTGAGCACGAGCGCGATCCGGAACGGGGTGCTCGCCGTCGGGAACACGACGCGCTACAAGAAGAAGGTGCGTTGCCTCTTTCAGTCCTTCTTCTGCTTCCTTGCTTCCTACCCCCGTGCTCACGCTTGGCTCGCAGTTCATCACGACCATCTATTACAAGCCGACATGAGCGCCCCTCCTCTTCTTTTCCCCTCTCTCGTTTTGTGTATCCCATCCCCCCACTCATCCCTATTTACCCTCCCCCCCTCCTGCATCTACTCTCCCCTTTTCCCATGTTTTGCTCTCTTTTTTAGATTCCCATCTTCATCTCCATCTGCCTCTCTGTCTCTCTCTGTCTCTTGCTCCGGGTTCCTCTCCGGCCTCACTTGTCCTACACGATGCACATACATACATACATACATACATGTTGTACATATGTTTACCTACTCACGGATACAGACACCCTGCCTCGCGCATATACGCGCGCCCCGAAACAAGCGCCCGCGGCCCGCGCTGTTCGCACTCTTGTTCACGGTCGATCTCGGCGATAGCGCGAGCGCTGACGTCGATGCCGCAGGCCTATCCCCGCGTTTCGATTGGGGTACCCATCTGCACCATCCGCTAGCTTGAAAAGACCGTCTGCGGTACATACGTGGAAGTCTGTTTTGGGTCTGCACACCCTCTTTATGGTATTGGTCCATCGCGATCCGCTGGGGGGAGAGACCGGTCTGGCTTGGCTCGTCTGCATCCGTCCGCGTCAGGGTCCTAGTGAGCTGACTGTACTCATTCGTGTTGAGCCCGCACGAACGCGGCGCGGCAGAGAAATCGGACCAGGTGAGACTCTACTCCCCTTGATTGAACGGATGGATGCACGAATGAGCTTGCTTATGGCGCCAGTACATGACTACCCATGAGTCCGTCGTCGTCGTCGTCGTTTCCACTTTGTGTGATATAGACTTAATGACGTACATCATGAAGGTCTCAGGAATGAGCCCCAAATATCTGCTTTCGATCGCCTCGGCCGAGTCTTGGCCGAGGGCCCCTGGAATGTTCAATGAACAGGCTCGGACTGGACCCTGTCTGACTCACGAGCAGGCCGCCATTTGATCACGCGCGGGGCCCCAGGGAGCCCCTAAATCTAAGTTTCAGGGGCCGAATCATCCCCACAGCCGAAACGAGACATTCCCACGGCCCTCCTCCCGCGCTACATGATATAAATTCCATCGTTCCTGCTCGTCGAGCGACACAGGCCGCCATCGAGCCGCAGCAATGATCTTTCCTTGCTTGAAAGAGGGATTTGCACGGGTCCGTGCAGCTCCCCTGCGCCGCTGCGCTTGTCTCTGCTGCCTTGCCCTCGATGACGATGATAGTCCGTGACTATCTCTCAGCTCACGCTTGAGCTGAGCCGCCTTCCAGCTCACGCTTGAGCTGCGTCCCCGCTCGCACTCGAGCCGCTTTCGCCCGACGCTTCGGGATCAGTGCCACGCACGCCCCAATCCAAAACGCTCCTCGGGTCTGTTCGGCAGACTACGGATGACGGGGGCGCGCCGCCGCGCCCCCCGTCGTAGCGAGCATCGCACGCTTTCGAATGCGTTCGGGTTCTCGCTGAACCCTTGGCCTTGCTGCACCCTCGCTATCGTGAGGCTTGGTCGCCCTTGCGACGCTTCCCAGGGCTCGTGAGGCGAGCACCTCGCTAGGTGTATCGTCTCTTGATTTTATTGTCGTCTGGCCTTCGCGCCGCCCCTTGGATAGTCCGCGACTGTCTGCTCGCGCGTGAGTCGCTTTCGCCCGATGCTTCGGCGTTAGTGGTTCAACACAGCATTATGGACGCGCGCGACCCTCGGCATGTGCTGCATTTTTTGTAGTCGCCCCTCAAGGCATTTAGTGTACTGTACGGTTCTCATTCGGCAGACTTTCCTCTCTGTATATGACGCCTATTCTGAATTCGATGGCGCTTCTGGTTGCACTATCACTATGACATCTCTCTGTCTCCCGTTCCTAGTCTCGAAATTCGATTGAAATTGTGTAGATGCTTTTCAAATGACATATGGCCCGTCTGAAGTCTTGATCTTGTCAGCAGTACTTGCACGGATCTTTCATGTCGAGTCACCAGTATCTTGCCTTCTGTACTAGCACAAAGTTTTTCATATTTCGCCTTGAAGCGCCGTAAGAGGAAGAGTTGGACGAGGCTCGCTTCGTCAGGAATTCTTTACAACACACATGACGAACATTTCTCGAAGTGAACTGTCACGTTACAACTTGAACGCATTCTTCTCCAATGTTCTGTGTAGGATGATCCAGTATCATCGAATAGAAAATGCGCGCGACTCATCGCTCCCTTCTGTCTGTTCCAATATAACCCGTGAGCGACTACACCTCCTGCCTGAGGGCGCATGCACATAGATACCACTCAGATAATATCTCCTATCGCGAAGCAAGAACAGAAATACAGTTACAAGGGGGCACGATGATCATATAAATGAGCAATAATAGGTAGCATCGGGAAACGACCGTGTGTATCTTCTAGATCGGATCCCTCTTGGGTCTCAGAACCCGAGTGAAGTGACCGTCAGCGACATTCCCTCGGCCTGGAAGAACTGCTTGGCATCGAGCATCCTGCAGATCCCGCAAAGAGAGGTAAGAAGAAATTTATATAGACGTGGTCAGCATCTCCGGTGAGGAAAAGCAGAGGGCAGACCCACAAGTCGTGCACAAGCGCGAGCCCGCCGGGGAGCGCGGTCGTGAAGTTCGCTACGGTGCCGGAGACGATCGGGTCCAGCGTAGAGAACATGGAGTTTACGTTGGCCACCAGTGTCGGTGTGAGGTTTGAGAGGCTGCTCGCGGTCTGCCTGCACATCTCCAAGAATACCGACACAACAACCGGACAGGGCAGAACGCAGCGAAGCCAACAGGCGAGAAGAATGGCTAGTGAGCACGGGTCGAGAGCAGAAATGGATATAGAGATACGCACGAGAGAGTGCTTGCAAAAGTAATAGAGATGTCGTCGTTCGTCGGCGCCGTTGTGTTCGATCCGTCGCTTGGGGCGACGTTCCCGAGATCGCGGCCCGCGGTGTCCCAGACTGTGTTCAGCTGCGCGAACTGCGCGCCAATACTCGTCTCATTCGCTTGGTGCGCAGCCACGAGAGTCACTGTAATGCAGAAACCGCATTTACGTATGTCACCGAGGTCAACCATGAAGGGGCAGGAGCCCAGACGTACGTATGTTGGGCAATATGATATGCAGACTCTCGGAGAGCGAGTCGACGAAGTTATTGATGTCCATGTTCGTGTTGGCGGCGAGCGCGGTGGAAGCGAGAGCGAAGGCAGAAAAGATGGAGAGCTTCATGGTATTGTATGGCACGTATAAGGCGACTTAGTGGTGTCAGAGCGTCTCTACGACCGAAAATGCAAGCTTAAATGGCTCTCTCCATTGCCCCTTCAAACGCCTTGGAAGTGATAGGCAGTGGTATTTTGCCCACGCCTGGGCTTCGCAAAAATGATGATGCAGCTCTCTGCATGGTTGGAAGCACGCGTGGTAAGGATCCTCAAGTGTCGGTGCGGTAACCGTAGAGGGGTGTGTGAAGCGGACGTGCTTGGGGAGTCAAATTGCGAGGGAACGCTCCGGACAAGTTTACGCCTCTAGGCTCCCAAAATGCTTGCTCCCGTAACCGTGGATCTGGTGACCAAGTCGATCAAGGAGAATAGTCTGGTGATGAGAACGTGAGTGTATAGATGGGAAGGAGAGGTGGCGGCAGTGAAAGGGCGAGTGGGAGTCGTTGGTGGGCCCGGTAAAGTCTATTCACTTTTCATGGTACGAAGGATCCCAGAAAGGCATACACGCACCTTGCTTGTCGTCTTCTGACCCAAGAGACGCCCCACAGCAAGGGAGAGTTGATGTGGGAAATAACCGGACAAGGGTCTTGGCGTTCTCCTGAGATGAGGAAGAAATTCACTCAACAATGTTGCTATCTGACGGGTTTATGTCGATCATGGACTGTCATTATTAGCCTTTTAACACGCTGTGACTCGGGAGTTGCGTAAACAGTTGTGGAGAGAGGCGTAAAATTTGGACTAGAAATACTCACATCGAACTGGCATTCAGCTGCGACCATGCTCAGAAGCTGTCACAGATTGTCCACGTACAAGTGAACTATGATTTGCTACCATGCAACAAGGCTTTTCTATGCGCGGAGGATATCCGGCCCGTTGTGCGTGAGAGTGAAACAAGCATGTTATGGGAAAACGCAGCACGGTTATTAGGCCTGCAGACCAGACGTGATGAGTTCCTAGACCACAGTTTGGGTTCACAAAACGGCGCCCAGCCTGCTAACGAAACCCTAAAGCAACCAGCCAATCAGTGCGTCAAGGTAGGTCATAATTTTTTAGCACACTGATTTCTGCTACAGCAATGGTGGTCGTAAGCGATGGGGTATACAGCTGTTGAAATATAAGACACGAGATCAAGTCCATAAATTTTACTTCTTTGCCTTCAAGGCACCTATCAATGCAAGCTCTTCCATCAAAGTCTCGTGTCTGAACTGCAGCCGTCCGTTCGGCACATTAGTCTGATCATCAAGCGGGCGTCAGACTCAAATGCCCAAGACGTTCTTTTTACAGATTCACGTGCCTTGTTTATTTCGTTCCCTGCAGCACCCGGGAGGTACCATTGCTGTCCCAGCCAGTGACGCTTCATTTCCATTTCGAAGCCACTCTGGATAACCGAGTTGCGTGCCAGCTCACAGAGCGAGCTTTGCGGTAATTTCAGGATCTGTAGCGATGTCAACGAAGAGAAAGCGCCAGCGAGTTCTCAAGAATTACTCACATGAGCCGCCACACTATATTCTTCAAGGAGCGGTTCCTACCGATACGTGAGATCAGACTTGCAATGCCGAACCTATGAAGAGGTTTGCATACCTTTGTGAAGTGGAATTGCAACGGATCGTCCGTACTCAAGCTGACATTCAACCCAGTTTTGAAAAACTCCGGCAATGGGTTCCTCTCATAGGTCAAGAAGAGAGCGTTGTTGCTCAGAGGACTCATCGCGATACCAATCTGCTTTAAATAAAAAAGATACTGAAGAGCAGGGACCTTACGAAGCAAGATGCCGTGGGAGATGGAGTGCGAAGTAAGGAATGCAGATGTCAGGTGGTCGGTATCGCCCGCCTCGCCGGAGTGTGGACGGAAAACGAATGTGCCTAAACGTATATTGAATCAGAGCACTTTGTGGCAACATTTTAAACTCTTTCTTACTGAAACCACGAGCACGTCTCCAATGGTTGAGACTTGACATATTGGCATACATATAATAAACCCTAACAAAACAAATATTATTTCAAAGAAATAAAATGATCTTAATTTTCGACATACCAATAAGAATATGGTGGTGACTGATCGAAATTCCACAGCTTTGGGTATGGGAACTTTTTGTGATAACGCCTCTCCGTCTTCGATTCATCATCGACAGTGTCAAATCCAATGACTCGCTGTAAGAGTACATGAAGCTCGGGATGCGTTGAGGGATCTTTGGTGACCTCGAAAAGGGGCTTGAAAACATCTGTATGGGAACATGGTCAATTCTCACATTGAAAGGGTACCGAACGACTGAGAAATCTTACTCCGAACGATATCTTCAAACGTCTGGATGGAGCCGTTGTGCTTGTATACGTCATAGAGGCGAGGTATCTGCACAAGCCAGCGAACATTGTGGGAGTAAAGCTTATGATTGACGATCCATCGGGCCAGTTTATCCCATTCATCTTCATTTCTGCCATAGATACTGATGCGCCATTCGCAATTCTATTATAACGATTATAAAAAAAAATAGATAACGGGAGGATTTGACGAGCTGACCTGATATTTACTCTGCTCAAGGTCCGTCATGACCTCTGTAACAGAGATTTGGTCACATTGTTTGCTACAAGAATAGATTGCTCGCACCTTTTGTCAACTCAGCCAAATATCTGCCTTGGATGTAATTATCAGTCTTCAAGAAAATCTCTCGCAGGCGCGACTCTCCAATGGGATTATACTTGAGATTGAATTTGTCAAACCGATGGAAGGAATCCTGATGCGCGTGCATGTCTAGGGTGTCTATCGACAGGTCGTACGCGGTCAGCTTCAGCGATTCAAACACCTGGGCCAAAGTGAGCTCCGCGCCGTCACGGAAAATGACGACATCCTGGAGAGAATATATTGTCAAAGGGATGAATGGACAAAGTCGGTTGAGCTCACGTCTGGACTACGTTTCATTTTGGATTTGATGAATCGAAGCAAATGCTTTTGATTCATGCTGCTGGAGTGGTGCACGTGAGTATCCACCTTCCGAACATTGTAAAAGTCGCTGAAAGACCGAAATCAGTCCACACAATCACCACCACATCGTGTTACTGACCGATGAGGGACTTGCTAGAGTGAGATTTATCGATATCAATTTATTCTTCCACATGGCGCCGAAGCTAAAGAAGCTTACCTTCATCTCCGTCAACTCATGAAACTCGTTCAACAAGCTATGCATGGTGAACTTTCCCAACAGGTACTGGAGACGACGAAAAGCAAAGCTTTTTGCAGGTCCATCAGAGATTACACCCAGCACAAACTCAAGATCTACAAAATACTCTCGTATTCCAGGGATATTGAAGATGGGTTTTTTGTCCTCAACTGTCAAGATATGATCACTCGTAACTCATGGACATTCCGTGAAAAATACCTACCTTCGATGTTGTGGTATACTTGAAAGACCCCCTTACTGTCGAGTTCGAAGTTCCACTGATGAGAGCCCGGGATATCACAAGCAGCAAGGTTGAACTCTTCGTTATGATCATCCGCATTTGGGATTACGGTGCTTGACACGGCCTTCTGCTTAGCCGTCCAGTGCCAATGAGGAGGCGGAGGCTTCGGATAAATACGCCAAGGCTTGAGCTGTTCGGTTCCGGGCGCCTGATGAGATTGAAGAAGGTCAGCATCGGGACGAATGCCCGACACATCCGCCATGCTATCCTCAAGGCCCGTGAAAGTACCATCATAGTCCCGGGGATTGTCTCCAAGGCGCTGAAGCGAGATGGCCATGTATTTGTCCCGCAGCTCAAGGCATTTGCGGAACAGCTCAAACAGATGTTGAAACTCGGACCCCATCTCTGGCGGCATGGCGATCGCTGTGTGCGGAGTTTAAGAGAGTGAGCATACGTGGCGCGACGGGCTGCTCTAGCAAGATAAAAGGTGGTACGTACGGGCAGCGGGATGTTCGGGTGCGGCCTCAGCTATTGCTTCTTCCAAGTCCTCTTCCTCGAGGTACGGTGAGCGGTGTGCAACATTGCGTTCAGCTTCCAATGTGGGAGGCAGCAGAGACATCGTGACATTGTTCGCGACGGAGGAGGCCACCTCTGAGTGAGAATCGGGCCCAATAATCGGCGAGCTGGGATAGAGATTGACGGGCCGCCCGGCCTCACTGTGGGACTGCGACGGCCTTCGGTGGGCCAGAACCTTTTCTTCGATCTACGAGAACGAGACGAAATCACCTTCTGTCCATAGAACAGAATCCGAATAATCTTAAACATACATGGCGCAGTGTCTTTTCATCACTATATCCAAAAAATGCATCACGCGATTCTGGAATGTGGACGCCTGGAGAATGGACGCCAGACGTGTCGTTCAAGAAGGAAGGCGTCGGCGAAAGACTCGAGTCATTCGGCCCGTGGTTTTCCTGTTCTTCTATCGAGGGGGAACTTGACCTAATAGAAGACGGCATTTTTTCACGATCAATCTGGTCTATTGGAATGCGACTGAAGGTAATGATGCAAGTTATGTAGGATGGCGGTCGGATCTGGTAGGACGAAGAGCAGTCTTCCGAAAAAGGCGGATCCGGACAGAAGATTTGGTCGCTTTGCACGTGCCTTCTTTTCGCCAATGGCGACACGTTAACTTGGCCTGCCATACTTACAATCTTCATTCTACAGCGTACCGCTGACTCAAGTACTCAGCGCTCAGCGCTCAGAGGTGATGAAAGAGCAAAATAAATGCAATGTGTCCAAGGTTGATCCAGCAGAAGCGTACCAAGATTTAAGGAGTGGGTTACGAGGACAAATTTATGAGTTGGACTTCATGTACAGAACGGCGTGCCAATAAATATCCCTTCGTATGCCCCCAAATGGTCAAGAATATTACCTTCAAATATGTTTGATACAGTCTTAATTTGACATTGGCTGTCAACCGCATCATCGTCTCCTGCAGGTTCAAGTGTTACCCAAAAATGCAAATATCACCGCGATTAATGCTTACCTGGACATGATACGGCATTCCCGGGCTCCACTATATGGACTTCGCCGTGCGGATGAGCAAATCCCAGGAAACGACCGGGGATGATGGGGACAAGGTCGCTCTTGTTATTTACACGTGTGAAGTCGGATACCTGCTGGTCGAACAAAGTCACAAACTTGGAATTTCCAACGCGAGGCGTTCCATAGGTGACGCCTTTGATCGTTGTTCCCATGGGAAGATTAAGTTTCATGAAGAGGCTATCGAGTTCAGCTAGCGCGCCGCCCAAGGAATGCCCAATCTATATTTCAATGTCATAGAAAGAGATGGTTCGATTAAACGATTAATAAAGCTTACGAGTGTTACGTTGGTTGTGCGATGCGTCGCCATGAGTCGCTTCACTTCGGTGAGAATCTGGCTAGCAGTTTTCTCGTGCGCATCAGCAAAACCCGAGTGAACTTCTACACCATCGGGAACACCTGGAAACAGTGTAGGATCCAATACACGCTTGGCAATATTGAGATCCGTCAAGTCGGACTTTCTGTGAACAATCCGGAGACTACTGAGTAGCCAAGAAAGTACAGAACAGATAAAGAACATACATTTTCGTTGGATCAGTCCCTTGATGGGCTACCACCACCGTGTTCTGGTCGGGCCAGAATCCAACGAAGACTAGGGCACAGTAGAAGCAGAGTCGATCAGATAGACCAGGGCTACACCTGTTTTACACGTACAGAACTGGATAGAATTAGCATCGCCGCCTGTCAAGGTTGGCTCAAAGCCTGGTAAGGCATCGCAAGCCTCTGCATCAACAATTTGACTAGGTAAAAAGCAATGTCAAGTAGCATGGAAGATACTTCTCACCACCGCACTGCCATCCTTCGATCTTGGAAGGATCGCAATACGCCGCCCTAGCAAATTGCGTGAATGGAGCAAAACTTGAAAGTTGGGTCGGAGATAATGCAGTGGGGGAAGCTCGGGTACGAAAGTTTCGAGGCGTAGGGAGGGCAGACACTCCTGCCTTGATCAACAGGACAGAGAGTACAAAAAGAACGGCAGCCATATGCATTGCAGTGAGGGTATCAAGATGGTGGGTTAGCAGGGAACGAGTGAAAGCCGCACCAAGTGTTCATAAGCTGCTCAAACGAGTATTTATTGACAATGTCTAGAGATACTGTGGGATACTGGATAGTTGCATCAGAACTCATATATGTGTTGTTGGGGTCATATATTCAACCAACGAGTGACTTGGAGTGACTACGTGTCGTTGCCACGTTACATGCGAACGACTGTCGGCACAACTGCGGTGGTATCGCCGTAAGTACTCTTGGTTTCCGAAAAGTATTGAACCCAGTTGAAACATCTTCAGACACGGCTTGGAGGAATTCATGTAACATGAGCATAAACTATTCAAGCTCACCTTCTTGGCACACAGTACGGCAGTTTTTCTTCTGACCCTGAAAGAGGGGTGATGATTAAGTGATGATGGTGGAGGCGCCCATCATATAATGCCCTGGCTGAATGACTTGCGTTAGCACTGTCGTTCATGAAAGACTCATTCATTTTGTGACGCGATATGGCGCGAATTTGTTGAAAGATAGAACCGGGACTCACAAGGTTCTGTGTCGCTTCTTCAATCTCGCGTTTGAGTGCATGCCAGGAGCCTTTGATGACATATGTAACCACTACGCATAACCGAGTAACCGCCGTATAAGACTCGTATAAGTTAGAATCCAAGATGGAAAATATGATTTGAAATCACTCCAGGCATCCAAGGCACCGGGACATGTCGATTCACCTTCGGAAGTTTGCGATGATTACCAGTTGATTACCCCATGATGACGACTCTCTGAGTGGCAACTCACTGGCAACTCACCTTGCATGTAACAACCACCTGGCTACCAAATTCTCAAGCCCGATTTGCCTTGAATCTCTTGTACAAATCCGAAGCTTTTGGAATAATGGACGCCGCAGACTTCGATTGGCTCCAAATGCTATTTGGTCGTGGTTGGGAGGAACCGTTACCAATAGATAGTCATCCTCGACTTGAAGGAAAGGATATCCCATCGCTCGCGAAGTACATGAAATCGGACAAGTGTAAGAATGTGTTTGTTATGGTAATTACAGCCTCAAACCAACCGAATATCCTTTCGTTCAGCTGACCATCCGTGTTTCTAAGCTTGGCGCAGGTAAATCATCTGCACCCTTCGATTTGATTTGATATCTTCAATCTGTTGATGTCACAACCTTAAGGTGTCAGTACATCTGCAGGCATACCCGATTTTCGATCACCAAAGACGGGTATGTGTAATTAACATTCATTAGAAAAAACCTAAGTGTTGTGCTCTTTGCAACTTACAAGGTCTATATGTGTGTTCACTTGACATCAAGACGGACAGCGACATAAACTAACTGATTGGAAGACGAATCTTGCTAGACTTAATTTACCGCGCCCAGAAGCGGTGTTCGAGATGAGCTTTTTCCGCGTAAAGCCCCAGCCATGTAAGCCAGTCCTAATATCCTTGCTTCCAGTGGAGCCCATACCTGAGCTCGGCGGGCGATAGTCTACACACTCGCTAAAGAGCTCTACCCTGGGCGCTACCGACCAACGCTATCCCATACTTTCATCAAACTTCTTTCACAGAAGAACTTGCTTCGCATGTGCTTCACTCAGAACATAGATACCCTCGAGCGTCGCGCAGGGATCCCTGACGAGAAGATTATCGAAGCCCACGGCAGTTTCGCCACACAAAGGTGCATTGAATGTCGGAGACCGTTTGACGATGTCAAAATGAAGAAATTCATCCGGAAAGCGGCAGTACCGCGGTGCGAATACTGTGAGGGCCTTGTCAAGCCAGATATCGTCTTCTTTGAAGAATCTGTATGTCATTTCTTGGTTCTCGGCTCTCCCGCGTTCTCATGCTCCGACACTCTGGCTTCGATCAGCTTCCACTGGCCTTTACGCAGGCCATTCCCTCACTCCAAGAAGCTGATTTGCTGATCGTGATGGGTACATCGCTAACTGTTCACCCCTTCGCATCTCTAGCCAACCGAGTGCCGCCTGATTGTCCGCGGGTCTTGATTAATCTGGATAAAGTCGGAAACTTTGGAAGCCAGATCGACGATGTAGTGCTTCTTGGTGAATGTGACCGCATTGCGAAGCAGCTGTGCGTGGAGCTTGGGTGGGAGAAAGAGCTCATAGATGAATGGGAAGCCACTGCAGGGTCTGTGGAGCAGCATGATGCGGATGATGTTATGGATCAAATGGTTGGCGAAGAGCATGGTGCGGAAGACAATCTGACAGGTCCCAGCGAGAAAGTGGAAGATATTGTGGATCAGCTAGCCGGCGTTCTTGCCAAGTCTATGAACTTGATTGCGGACGAAAAGGAAAAGGAGGTAACTGAGGATGCGGAACAGGTAGACTCAGCTGTCCTACCGCCACCAAAGCGCGAGCAGGCTAGGGAGTCTGGAGTGGAGACTGAAGAGCCGCACGAGAAAAATGGCACAGGCCCCTTGATAGACAACAAGGTGAATCTCGTTTGAATCAGATACGAAATACGCGTCTACAAGCTCACTTAACCTTGCAGCCGTGATGCTTTGCTTGATTCTCGAGCCTCATATGCCTTTCTACGGCCACACGCTACAACAATACATTGGGTTGGTATACAGGATGGTGAAAATCGGAGAGAGACGATGTCAATATCTGTATGTGCTGAAATTTAGCGATTTAACTTCCAGAGCCCTTCTTTCGTGGTGACAACGAGCCCCTCTCGCTGCGCCGCATCCATGAATGCAGCCAGCTGATCAATCCTCCGATCGTAGCCAGGCGCGAACTTGAGCATGTTTTGTATTCTGTCGAGTGGGAGAGACCCCAGATTTGTGAGCATGCCCTCGATGAACTAAAACAAAGCGAAGTCAGAATACGGCTTTCAACGACGAGCTCGAGAGGTTGAAGAGTGGGGGAAACGAACCCTCCAAAAGACTTTCATCTGTTCTGCCTGTTGTTGCTGCACCGACAACACCGGCAGCAGCTCCTCGTTCTGTGCCCGCGTTCCAGATGGTCGTATGTGAGGTTCTGGCTGCGATGCGTCGACCTCTTCCAAAAGCTTGAATGTGTCGTCCTTGTCTTCTTTCAGCACGCCACGGTCCACCCAAGCCAGGAGAGCCTTGAGCGCTGACGTCCGGTCGACAGGGCCAACGCGTAATATTAATTCGTCAACCGTCCATACATCTGCGAGTAGAGCAGTGCGTGAGTGATCGGTCTATGTAACAGGGAAAGAACCAAGCAGCGCCCGTCAATATACCCTTTTCCGAGAACATCTCGATGAAGGCCGCTTCCAGAGGCGGCACGTCCGCGGTCACGGTTCTATCTTGCAACTCGATATCCAGATGGACCGAGCCGAGATGCGGGAGCCAGCGCAGCTTCTTATCCGGCTTGAAGGTTATGTACTCGCTTGCATATGAGCTTTGAATCCTTGGTGCGCAAAAAGGGTCAGCGTATTATTTATTACGAAGCATGGAGGGATAAGTGTTTTTGGGCCTTACTCTCGGAACTGCCCTGGCATGTCGAATGTGCTCGACTGTAATGGTGGCCAGAAGTGGCGGGATATTATGGTCGGATGCATGATGGACTGGCAGAAAGGAATTTAGAAATTCAGTGAAATGATTATCCCCAAGGCGTGGATAAAGATTGACATACGCTCTTTTGAGACTGGACGTGCTGGTCTATTCGACGCGAATCGGTCATGTCTTTCAACATGACCTCACATACCTGCAGCGGGCCCTCTCCGAAGCGAATTTTCAAGATCTCGATGTTACGACGCTGACGGTCCAAGTACTTTAGATGTGAAAAATAGGAGAGTTGAAAATAAGTGGCCACCTCTTTCTCAAAGTTACCGTCTGTGATAGCCAGTAGACGCTGAGCTAGGAGTACCTGCAGCTCTTTCACAAAGAGGTCCTTGGAGTCATAAATGCTGACAAGAGTGCTAATCACGTCGCTCGGTTTGTTCGTTCGGAAATCTGATAGATGAGTCAGATTTCGTGTGAACACAGCTAGAGTTTATTCAAACACAGTAGTCCACTCACCAGGCCCTGCATCCATGGGTTCAGGCTCCCAGCTGGGATCCAAATAATCATCAACCTGGACGCCCTGCAATGGTTGAATCGGATCGTTGTCGTCGACCAACGAATCGCCGCTTTCTCCGTCGCCTACAAGACTTGCGACAATACATCGGATGGTGTCAGGTTTCTCTCTGAGATCAGCATCAGTAACCTCAATACCTGCAGTATTCAGAAAAAACTGGTACCTCAGGTACCGTCGGATAGGATCAGCTACTTTGAAGAGAAGTACCCCTGGAGGGTCGACGATGCGCAAACATCGGATGATTGAGACGTATTGTGTGAGAATGTCCTTTGTGTCTGCCCCTGGATGCAAAAGCCGTTTTTTATTTCTGTAGAAGGATGGGGATGATTGAGAAGAAGAAAATCACCATGCCGTTCATGACTTACGCCTTACGAAGGGATTGGACCAATTCGGTTCGCTGGTCAACTCGCGCGAGGCATTCCTATGTTCGCCAAAAGAAAAAAAAAGTCGTATCGACGGCTTTGGGAGAACAGATACTCAGGGAAATGCAGACCTTCAAATCATGGAGGGCCGGCGTTGATTCTGGATAATCGATTATTATATCAAATATTTCCTTGGTCCTTTATGGTCAGCAACGCATGAGTCGACAGCAGATTGCATTCTGTGCTCACTCACTTACCGAAGGTCACAGAGGGTCTTGCAGACGTGGAAGTCGAAACGAGAACCAACTCCTTGAAGCATTGTTCGCGCCTCCTCCGCTAGACAAGTACGTCAAGTTTAGCTCTTAGTTGGTAGAGTAAAGGACAAGAACCGCACCATTTCTTGCACCTCTTGCGTATGGAAGTAGCATCCAGGGCACAACCTTGTCCGCCATCCAATCTCTAAGAATGGTCAACATGGGCTCGTCCCATCGACCTTGACATGTGCTCCGAACATGATTCTCGATATGTTCATAACAAACACTGGCGATCAGAGACTCGTAGCGATCGACGAGCCCCAGCATCTCGAACGCCGCCCAAAGCTTCGGATCCTGATAATAAGGCGCCATTGACGACAAAGGGTCGGTCGTAGCTTCAAGAGTGGCAGCTATGAGCTTCTTGAACCCCCCAGCAAAGGTTGGAGGCAAAGCGGAGAAGATGTGGGTCTGGAAGTGGACAACGTAGGTAGAAGTGATGGTGTGACCTAGTCTGGTGGACTAAGGAGGCTGGTTGAGGCACGAATGAGAGAGAATACACTCACTCTCCACCTGGCGCCCATGCCTTGTGCCATTCTGCGAGTCGGAACACAAGCTGAGCGATGACCCTGGGATCCCCAGTCGTCTGCCACGAGTCACATCCAACATTCACACACTGAAGCCGAGCACGAAAGGTATGTGGCTCATACCTCATATTGTTCCATGAACTTCGCAACATCTTCAGTGATAAGATACTTTCGCCTCCGCACATCCTCTGCAAAGAAATTCAGCACGCTAGCCGAACCTGATCAGACTGGCGCATACCGATAAAATTCTCGAGCAACACAGGTAGCATGCGACATTGCATCAACACATCGAAGGCACCTCTGACCTCCAGAGAGCCTGCGTAATCAGAGAAAGAGGAGTGCTTATGAATGTGCGCTCGTTTCTGGTTCCTATAGGTGGACGTAGAAGTGCTTCAAATGCTTACTGAAATCCTTAGGCGGATCACCTAGTTTCCTCGGGTATAAGAAGTCCGTCGAAGTCTTCCACGCCTGGGAGACAGCTCAGACTATTATTTCTACAAGTCCCGCGTGATACAAGCTGCTCATACCTCACTGAACGACATCAGACCTGCAATACCAGGCGCTTCACGGTTCAGGCGGGCAAATGCATCTTGCCATTTGGCGCTCACTTGAGCACGCACGGACTCGGAACCCATCGAAGCAGATATAAACAGATTACTTGAGCAGTGGAGGGTTTGTAGGGTTCTAGAGGAAGTTGTGATCCTCCCAAATCGAAGAACGTTTGGTGGGCAACTTCCCGAGAATGAGTTGAGCGCGACGCGGCGTGACTGAAAGCTTGTGTCACATGACCAGGGCGCGAGCGTGTTGGCACGCGTTGGGCTTGTTCGTAGCACAAGATTGTAGTCCTTGTATTGAAGGATCGCTTCAGAGGAAAACTCCATGCGTCCAGTCAGACACGAGTACCTCAAAACGAAGTTATGATATTGATATCGACTGATTACCGAGACCGTATTCTATGCACCATGGTCACAGACCTATAATAATCTCGCAGCTAGTCGCAAGCGTGAGTACACTATGCGTCTCGATAGCCTCAAGACAGCCTCACCCTCCGCTTGACACCACGCGCTCTGCTCCCTTACCCACTAGCTACACCAGCGCTGCGCCCGCAAAGCAAGCCCCGACATACACGATCACCTGCTCGAACCAGCCGCCCAGGACCTCGAACCCTGTCTTGAGGCGCAGATGGCCGACATCCACGCCGTCGATGGCCGCGGATAGGGCATTCATAATAGGGGCCGAGAGAACGCTGCCAATCCGGCGCGAGAGCATCAGGAAGCCGAAGAGCGCCATGGACAGCGTCGGGTCGCCCCTTGAGGGCGATACAACAACATCGGCATCGGCATCGACTCACACCGCATCTGTGTATGTATGAAGGAGTTACTTGGGATCAGCCGCACAAAGCCGGTCCATAAACTGATCCACCCGCCCGCCAGAATGCCATACGTGGCTCCGGACACCATCCAGCCGGCGACGATGTGTCCCGCGACTCCCTAGAGAACGAAAGTAGAGAGAGATGTCGCCGCGAGGGCCATCAGCCCTAGAGGCCAAGGCGAGACGTGGTCCGAGAGGGTGCCCATCAGGAGTCGGTCGACTACCGAAGCACCTGAAAACAGATGTGAACAGACCAATGAGATACGCCATTGAGCGACTTGCCAGAAATTCGCATACCATTCAGGAACGCGAGCGCGAGCGAAGAGCTCGAGGAGGACGCGTTAAGCGCCGATGCGCACGCTGCAACATGGTTCAACGGTGCCCTTCATGATTATAGTTTGTATGCGAAGCGCGAACGTACTCTACAGCCATACGTACTCGGCAGCCACACGATGGGCACAAAATATGCAAAACCCTGGACCGTATTCGCGACGACCAAATTCCACCAAATTCAGCTTCTCGCCCACTCCCTGCCCTCCGCATTTCTCCTCGCCGGGCCATGCACGCGTCTTTCTGTCAGCCGGGGCTTGAAGAACGGAGCGCCGGCAGAAGACTCGCAGGGATGGCTATGGACAGGCATCGCAGGGGGTGCGCGAGCCCGTAATGGCGGAATAGAGTAGGGAGAATCAGGGCGAGGAAGAGCCCCCATGAAAGGCTGCTAGATGATCCCGTGCCGCATGCGCTTAAATACAGGTGGAGGACGAACCTACATCGACGTGCGGCGATGATATGGGTAGCGGGAGGCAAACGGGTATATCACAGGCCCTGCATGCGCAGGTAAGAGCTCGCCGTCCATCATGCATCACGAGCAGGATCGGGAATACGCGCTGAGCAATAGATAATGCCAGAGGAGAGGGGGCCAATGAGAGGCAACAACACACCCGCGTGAGGCTGGGGCGCGGATTTGGGGTGGAGCGTTTGCGTTGATGCGCACGCCAGGCATATTATTGGACGGTAACCAGAGGGTTGGTTTATACAGGCCTGATACGTTTTCCAAGGCCTATAGTTGCAAGTTGGTCGAGTCATCTGTGACCGCTGTAAACTTCTGACAACCCGAGAAAAGGTGCATGACGCCTATATCGCCACGTAATCGGACATAAATACATGCTTGATACTCATCAGAGACATAAACAGAGAGGACAAGATAGATCACATCTCCGTTCACGTGCAGAGCACAGCGCAGGCAAGGCGCGCCGGACTAAGCGAAGCTGTGGACGTGAGACTCGACGAGAGGGGTCTAACGAAGCTGTGATTGATACACACGGAGCCTGAAGACCTGAGCCCGAAATTCTGGATCGCGATCTTTTCGAGGACTCTGCGCAGAGGCAAACCCAATGGGATTGAGACGCAGAGAGGAGTTTGCTTGGCGGGGTCTTCAAGACACCTGCGAAACCCCGGGAGTCGCATGCAGCGCTCTACATGTTACTTGACAGGACAGGCCGTGACAGAATGATCGTGCGCGATGCTTCCGGCCCTGGCTTTTCTAGACGATGATGACATCGTTCGCGGAGCAATCAAGCCACTTTGCTCAGCCGCAGGAGGCGTCATGAGCCCCTGTCAATGGTGGAGGGCTCTGGGGTGACCCCCCTGGAATGCAGATCGTTAAACCGGGACTCGTACAGGGGCTTCCAATCCGTTCTCGTGCACGCCCATGGACGCAGAAGACTACTGGGGTGAGAAACGCTGGGTGAACTATTAGATGGAATGACATCGTCAAATGATGGTCGCAAGTCGGGTGCAGTGCTATTGATGCGTACGTCCGACAGTAGTTAGACGGCAGACGACGGGTTGGGACGGTCGGAGACCGGGTCGTATCAATGAACCACTCGCAGAAAAGGAGCGCTGGAATCCCATTGTCGCCATGGGCCAAGAATAGCCGGCAATGCTGAAAGGCGCGATAATGAGCGCAGCAAGTACATCAGGGACGGGGGAAAAGATAGAGAGTGCGCTTATTGGTGCGCTTCGTGCAGACGAACAAAGGGTCGAGACTCGCTTACCTAAGGACCAAGCTCGGTATTACTGGCAGCGTGGCGGATGAGACGCTCGCCCGCGACCGTGCTCGCCGACGCAGCAACCGCTCGTTCTCCCAAGCCCATCCTTCCCTCCCTCCCACTCCCTCACTCACACCGTTCCCGTTCCTCTCCTCCTCGCGTCCCCGCTTCTGCCTCGCCACATCGCGTCGATCTCCCTTTGTGCCCCTTGCACCCCATGGCTACCCCCATCCGCAAGAAACGCAACTTCAAAGCCCTCCAGCTCGATGTCGCGCAACCCCCTCCGGAGCCCCAGCCCCAGCCCCAGCCCGTCCCCACGCGCCTGGCACCCGCAGCGGGGGGCAAGAAGCGCCCTCCTCCCATGGCCCTCAAATCTTCCACCAAGAACGACTCCTCCACCGCCCACGGCGCCGACGACAATGGCCTACTCTCCGTCACGAACGGCCCCACATCGGCCCCCGCATCGGCCCAACGCACGACTTATCACACCACCCTCTCCAACACGCTCGCCAACCTCGACATGAACGCGGAAACAAAGTACGATCTGCGCGATGAGGACCTGAAGGATCTGAAGGAGCTCGGCCAGGGCAACGGCGGCAGCGTGAAGAAGGTTGAGCACGTCCCCACACATACCATCATGGCGAAGAAGGTGCGATCATCCCCCCATATCGTCCCGTCCCGTCCTGTCTTGTCTCTTGTCGGTGCTGACTAAATCGCATTATGTGCGCCTAAACTAACTCATCCGTCCTGTCGACTGCGCTCTCTTCCGCCCAAATGGCCCACGCGATCGGGTGGCGCAGATTGTGCTCATCGACGCTAAGCCGTCTGTGCGGAAGCAAATCCTGCGCGAGCTGCAGATCATGCACGACTGTCACTCCGAGTACATCATCTCCTTCTACGGCGCGTTCCTCTCCGACCCCAACATCTGCATCTGCATGGAGTTCATGGACAAGGGTTCGCTTGACGGCATATACAAACAAATTGGCGCCATCGACGTCGAGGTGGTCGCCAAGGTCGCTCTCGCCGTGCTCGAGGGCCTCACGTACCTGTACGATGTGCACCGTATCATCCATCGTGGTCCGTTTCTCGACATTTCTCAGGATCATCTAAAGCTCATATCCATCGCGTATAGATATCAAGCCGTCGAATATACTGTTCAACTCGAAAGGTCAGATCAAGATCTGTGACTTTGGTGTGTCTGGCGAGCTCATCAACTCGATCGCGGACACATTCGTGGGGACATCGACGTACATGAGTGTGCGTCCTCTAGCCTCTCCTCACGCTCGATTGTCTACCCGTTTTTTGCTGACGTTGGCTATTTATGGCGCGCAGCCGGAGCGGATACAGGGCGCGCAGTACACCGTCAAGTCGGACGTGTGGTCGCTCGGGATCTCACTGATCGAGCTCGCGCTCGGGCGATTCCCGTTCTCCGACTCGTCCTCGGATGACGATTCTGACCTGTCCGACTTTGAAGGCACGCTCTCACCCTCACGGCCCATGTCGCTCGGGCTGCCCCCGCCGCGCGGCAAGTCCAAGCCGATGCGCAAGGGGCTCGACAGCAAAGAGGCAAAGCGGAACAAGCGGAAGAGCAAGGGCGTGAGCTTGCAGGGCGGCGGGATGACGATGAGCATCCTCGAGCTGCTGCAGCACATCGTCAATGAGCCGGCGCCGAAGCTGACCCCCGAGGGCCGCTTCCCGAAGGTGGCGGAGGCGTTCGTCGACGGGTGTCTGTTGAAGGACCCGGACATGCGGCAGACGCCGAAGGATCTGCTGGTGCGTACCTCTCTTCCTCGCCCCGCGCTTCTGCAGCACCTCGCTGTCGGTGGCGCTGTGGAACGGGCTTTTTTCAAATACTTTCGCGCCTTGTTGATCATTCGCGTTCTCATTCGTCTCTTCTTTGGCAGCAACATGAGTGGATAGTGAGCGCCAAGATGTCGACATTCGACCTCGAAGCGTGGGCGAGCACGTTTTGAGCCGTGTTGACTGCCTCCAGTCTGACCAAGCCCCCTACAACCCAAGGGGAGTTCGATCGTCGCTTCTGATACCCTCTGCCTCAGGCGCGCGGGCGCTCGCGCACGGACATATCTCCATCACCTCATGCACAAGTCATTTCCACGCACATACACATCTAAAACTGTTGACAGTGAGCCCCTGCCCTGCCCCGCCATCTTTTACTATCCCACCTTCCCACCTGTGTGCCGTCTTAGGCCTCGACCTGCTCCGACCCGACCCGACCTCCCTCGACTGGTTGTTCTGTCTCGATTTTTGGTTGTCTCTGCCGTGCGCCTCGGGCTGGGCTGGGGGCGAAATGATATGAAAGCGCGATGTATGTATTGTTATAGAAAGAATGCATGATGATGATGATGATGATGATGACGGCGACGACTACAAAGATAACGAACGAATTTCTGATGATCACGGGTGTTCGCTGCGAGGCGTGCTGTTGTTCGGTGTCTGTGATGTTCTGCTCTTCCAATCTGAAGTCGGTGGATCGTTGGGAATGTTCAGTCTATTTTTGAGGACCAGGCAAGTGGGTTGGCTTCCGCTCTGGGGTGCCGTCGATCGTTCATGCTTGGATGCTTCACAGCGCTGCTGCACCGTGCCTAGTGTCTATCTGGGCGGCGGATGGGTTGGAATGCCTGAATGGAAGAAGCCAGGAACGGCGCCAGTTTAGCGCCTCTCAGAAGCGGAAGCGGGTCCTGTGATAGGACGGGGCGGCACGTGGTGTGACGGGTGATGCGATGGCCCAATGCAGGCTTGAGAACGTTCCATCCGGCGCGTCGAAGGTGAGCGTGTTTGTTCCCCACGGCCGAAGATCGCAGTGCTCCTGCATTCAACGGACACCTCTCGTCGTGTGTGCTCGGCTGCTGATGTTACCGTCCAGCCCGTGCGAAGGGTATATATATCATTCCATGCTGCGATGTCTGCGCCCGATCGCCCCCCATCACACGCACCAGTGCATAGCTCGTCTGGCAGCACCGTCGACACGTCCCCATCCCCATCATAATTCACCGTCGTATCGCCATCATCCACCCCAGTGCCGCCCACGGCGGTCTCCATCGCTCAGGAACCTTTCCCCCCCTCTCTCTCGCTAGCAAGCAACCTGGTCACACTCAGCCCCCCTGCGTCCGGGGCGAGCAAACTGCCATTCCTGATCGAAACACCGACGCGACAGTGCGTGCGTGCGTCCGAGATTGGAAGCCCGAGACCTCCCTCGCAGCTTTCCAGTGCCAGCCCGGATCCTTGCATCCCCGTGCGCTCGATTTCTCGCCAGCCTATAAATGGCGGGCATCTCTGCGGTCGCCGGTCCATCGACCAGTCCCCCCGCTTTCCCTGATCCCTTCTTGACTCTACCGCTAACGCCCCTCGTGATGAGACCACCGCGCACCCTCGTGCTCTGCTTCGACGGCACATCCAACGAGTACGACGCCAATGTCCGTACGGCCACGCGTATCCTATTCCAGGAAGGGGCACTGATGCGGCGTGTGTGACTGCGCGCAGAACACGAACGTCGTCAAGCTATTCTCGCTGCTCAAGAAAGACAACATCGACCAGCAGATGTGCTATTACCAGGTGCGCCCGCGCGCCGCGTCTCGGCAGGCAGCGCGTCGCCGCTCACGGAGCAACGTGCGTTTTTCGGTGCGCATACATCCAGGCCGGTGTGGGCACGTACTTCCAGCCGGGCGTCGTCTCGCCCCTCTTCCAATGGGGCGCAAAGATCCTGGACGAGGCCGTCGCCTGGTACCTCCCGGCCCACGTCATGGACGGGTACAAGTTCCTCATGCAGAACTGGAACACCGGGGACAAAGTCTGCTTGTTCGGTAACCTCCAAGTTCCGTCCCTATCTCCCCGCTACCTTCCTCTGACGAACGTGCTCTCCTTTGGGTCTGATCAGGCTTCTCTCGTGGCGCATACACCGCCCGTGCGCTTGCTGGGATGCTCTACAAGGTACGTACATCCCATAGACGCGGATCTTGAGTCTATTTTGGGAATGGCAGGTGAACTGGTGCTGAACGGCCGCGCGCACACACACACAGGTGGGCCTCCTTCCGAGGGACAATGAAGAGCAGGTCCCGTTCGCGTACAGGCTCTACGCGTCGAGCAAGTCGACCGACCTGACTCTCGCTGCGGGCTTCAAGACCACGTTCTGCCGCGACGTGCCGATCGAGTTCGTGGGCGTCTGGTGGGGATATTGTTCTTCCGTAGTGTGCGCAATAATTTTGGAAACTGAATTGAGATTGACGCTGCAGGGACACCGTGGCGAGCGTCGGGATAGTCATGACGAAGAGTCTACCTTTTGTCTCGACCAACAACGCGATCCGGACGTTCAGGCACGCGCTCTCTCTCGATGAGGTTCGTTCGTTCAGTATCATCTATTTCTGTAGACTTGTTCTATCTGACTGACATCCCCGTGCGCGCCCTCTAGCACCGCGCCAAGTTCCGTCCGAATCTATATCACCGTCCCGAGATGACGCCGAGCGGCCTCGCCACGGTCGACTCGTCGCAGCACCCTACGCTCTCCGCTCTCAGGATGAAAATCCGCCGGAGCTGGCAGGAGAAGAACCGCAAGTTCGAGGAGGCGATGGGGTACGGTGACGGTCACGATGTCGATACTGGATCGAACGGGAGCGGCACGCGCTCGCCCGGGTGGACGACGGATGTATGCGAGGTGTGGTTCAGCGGATGTCATAGCGGTGCGTGATGGCGCTCGTTTCGCCCTTTTCCTTGGAGATGCGTCCGTGGGGAGGCTTGCTTATTATTGGTCCCTCGTGGCTGTTGTGTTTTCGGATACTAGATGTGGGCGGCGGTGCGGTGACTGATGCGACGGAGTACGCGCTGGCGGATATCCCCCTGCGGTGGATGGTCCGCGAGGTGATGCTCGCGCAGTGCGGGATCACGTTTGAAGAGGCCGCACTGACGCGCTGGAACATCCCGCTGACGGCCACGGAAGCGTTCAAGAAGCAGACGTCGAAGCCGTCGTCGCCCGCCCCGGGCGCGGCCTCACCTGTGAGCGCGAACGGGAAAGACAGCGTCGAGAACGGCAGCAACGGCGGCAACGGGCAGAACGGCAAGGGCATGAAGAGGGCGGACTCTGTCAGCAGCTGGGTGGCCACGAGGGAGCTCGCGGACGCCGTGCAGCCGATGGACGACGAGCTGAAGAAGCAGCCCTTGTGGTGGATCCTCGAGATACTGCCCACGAAATACTCGTATCAGGACGTGGCTGGCAAATGGATCACCTTCTGGAGGTGGGTGCGGTTTCTGGCCCGTCTCCATGCACCGTCGGCTGACCGGCTTCGTATGTGCTCTTTTGGTTTTGTCGTACAGCATCCATCTTGGCCGCGGCCGATACACGCCCCCGCAGCCCAAGTTCCACGAGAGCGTGAAGGTGCGCATGGAGGACGTTGCGCTGAAGTATGCGCCGCGCGCGATATACGACAAAGGCACCGAGACGTACGTGCGATGACGATACAGGTCTTCGGACAGCTGTCGGGTTTCGATCGTGGATAGGACAGTGGACTAGATTCCTGTTGCTGTGTGTTTTTTTGACTCGCTCGACCGATTTTATGAGTGCTGGATACTACGGGCGTTATATGACGAATACCTATGATTTCTTGGTCTATATGTGTTCATGGATCGTATTGTTGGTTCTTGAATCGAGTCACTTGTTGCAGATGTAATAGCTAAAGGATTTCGGATATCGGACCCAAGCTTTACACCCATAACCCTAACCCATGTTCGGGCAATATGATGTTGTGGCGAGTTGCGTTGGCCAAGTCACTGACTTGCTTGTAAAGCTACACTGTCACCCCGCGTATTGGAGCCTCACATACCGACTATCTCCTGTGTAAGGTCGCTCACTTGGATTTCGCAGCGTTCAATTAGTACTGTCTCATCCGTCCGCCATGCCACCACGACGCTCCGCCTCTCCCAGCCTACCTGAAGACAGACAAGCCTCTGGCAGCCGAGGCTACCGAGGACGCAGGAACGACGACCGAGAATATAGCAGAGATCACAGAGATAAAGAGTCCAGGCCATATGGGCGCGCTGATAGAGACAGAGGCAGAGGCAGGGGCGCGGAGGCGGAGAGCTTCAGGGAGAGGCGGGGCGGAGACAGGTATCGCGACCACCGGGACCGCGACGACGACAACGGACGTGGCCATTATTCTCGAAGCAGAGACGACCGCCCATCGGAGAGGCGCGCGCGCGAGGGCTCGAGTGAACGGAACGGGCGCGGCGGTCCCTCGACGCACCGACGATCTGCCTCCCCACGGCCCTCGCGTCCGCACTCGTCGCGCCCGCGCTCGCGGTCCCATTCGCGCTCGGCGGTGCCAGAAGACAAAGAAAAGGAAAAGGAAAAGGACAAGGCGAAGCCGAACTTTGGCGCGTCAGGGCTGCTGGCCGCTGCCACGAACACTGTCAAGAAAACGGACGGTACCTCGACGTTGTTGAAGTACAACGAGCCGCCGGAGGCGCGGAGGCCCGTTGTCGGATGGAGGCTGTATGTGTTCAAGGGAAGCGAACAAGTCGGTGCGTTCTGGCTCCGATGCCCCCCCCCCCGCTGTCAGTTTGCTAATCCCAGCTCCGGCGGCGGAAATGATCGAATATCGCGCGATTGGGATGTACAGACCTCCTCCATATACACCGACAGAGTGCGTACCTCATTGGAAGAGACAAGGCGGTGGCGGACATCACGATCGACCACCCTTCTTGCTCGAAACAGCACGCCGTGATACAGTGTAAGCCCTTCCCCCCCTCGCGTCCCCCCTTCGGCCCGCTCATGCGAACGTTGCGTGAAGTCCGGTATGTGCAATCAAAGGACGAATTCGGCGTTTCAAAGGGAGTCGTAAAGTGCGCGGTGTCCTGTTCCGCTTCCCGCACGCACCTGTGCTGATGGCTCGTTCTAAGGCCTTTCGTCATCGACCTCGAGTCCACGAACGGAACGCATGTCAACGATGAAACGATACCGACCACTAGGTTCTACGAGCTCCAAGCGAGCGACGGTGCGCCCTTTCTCTCCGAGCCGTGCTGGACACCTGATGCTCACTTCCGCTTTGTTCTGCGCGGATGTCGACATTGCAGTGCTGAAGTTCGGGCAATCTACCCGAGAATACGTCCTTCTGCATGATGAGGCCGCGTGAAATCGGCCTTCATCGTCCAATTAGACTCGACGCCGCGTTATATGTCGATACCGCCGATTTGGTCCCATCTTGATGCCATCGTACCGCCTCCAGGCAGGATCCGTGAGCGACAGTCGTGAAGGAGCGTGAAGGGCGCGTGCAGGGACCGCTTTTGTCCGCCTAATATGGACAACGTCAACTGCAGCTCCGAAGCGCTTCTTGACAGGGCGGCCCCTCGTTTCTTTGCTTTGTAGTCGTATGACAGCTTAGCCGAACACGTTTGCACGCGACATCTGCGCGTGTGCTTCTCGTCGTGCTTTGTGCGCCAGCCTATGCTTTGTGCGCCTCGCTGTGCACGTCTTCTCTGAGGGAATATTCCACTAGAACATGCCTCGGAACAAGGCGGTGATCAGAGACAACGAACAGTTTGATAGCGATACAGATCCGAGGTATTACAGAGATAGACGTGTGGGTAGGTGCGTTGGATGGGGAGAGCAAATCGTAGGACAGAAAAAATATAGCGAAAGCCGTTATAGTCGGGAATACACGAGACGGGGTCAGTACCTGAGGTATCGGTACAAGCTAATAGAGCAATGCGAAGACGGGGGAAGGCTTGAAAAGAGAACAGAAGCAGAAATAACCTGTGGAGCGAGAGACTAAACGATCTATGCAAGTTGTGTACGAGAAAGGAGGCTCAAGGGGCACAGCCCCATCAGCAGTCCCAGTCCAACATCGCGTGAATATCACCTTTGCAAGTGATATTCGCGTTGTCCAGATGGCGCTTGAGCGCGTCGCGCCGGCTGAACCTTTTGCTGCACCCGCCGACGAACAGTCTCTCCGCCTCTCCATAAGCAATCGGAGTGCACTCCGACGAGACTCCATAGTCGTCCGCATGCTCCATGGGCACACCACGGCAGACCCACTGCCCCCCCTTGTGCGTCAGAATGTGACGCTTCAGGTCGGGCATGCGCCCGTTCGATTGTACCCAGCTGCAATGAGGGCACTTGAACGACGAACGTTTGGACGCGTCCGGGAAGATGGGAGTCGACGGGTCGACTTGGGCATTCCGCGGGCGGGCCTCGCGACGCGAGACCCGCGGATCGCGGGGAAGGGGAGCCGAGCGTGGGCGTTTGGAGGAGGAGTCTGGAGAGGAAGAGGAGGAACGCGAGACCGTGGACCGGCCGACGATGCGCTTGCGCGAGTTGAGACGGGGGGAGGGGATGTACTCTTCGTCCGAGGAACTACCCTTGCTTTCGTCCTCGTCGTCAGAGGGGACGTCGAGCTTGGGGGGGAGGCGAGACTTCTTGCGGGCCGAACGTGAGGAGCTGGTCTGGCCAGAGAATATTAAGGAGGTGGTATCGGGTTCTTCTGTCGGTAGCTGGGACAAATTCATTCCCGATCGAGGGCTGTATATCGAGGGCGAGTTAATAGATAGAAGGCAAGCGAGATAGGGCTTCCGACGTACGCATCCTCGAGCACGGAGATTGGATAGGCATGGCCACCCACCACACGGTACAGTTCTTCGTGCGTGTACCAGAAGGGATCCTCTTCCGCGTCGCTGTCGCTTTCCGAGTACTCGATGTCGGAATTGCCACCGTCCTCGTTCATAGTGGAGAGGGACGAAGGGGGGGAGTCGTCGTATGGCATGGTAAGCCGAAAGGGCTCGATAGTCTTCGGGGCCTCCTTCTCTTCATATTCAAACGTGAAATCATAGCCCTTGTGGTCTTGTACGAGCCAAGAGAACTCATGAAGATCATCTTCGGGGATGGGGGGATCGAGCACGGAGTGGTAAGAAGTGGAGGAAGCGGAGGAAGACATGTTGTAAGACTGCGGCACTGCTGGACGAGGAGAAGGCCATGTCTCCTCGTTTTTATACCCAAAGACATGCCCTTTCTCTCGCGATGGATGGTTGTGCGGACGGTGTCTCGGATGTGTCCGTGGCGATTTCAAAGCCCTCTGGCTTTTGTTCCCTTAGGCACGGGTGGCGAAAGGAGGATATAAACGGAAAATCGGGGGAAATTGTCGACGAGACAAAGAAACAAGCTCGGACCAGCTCGAGGACACGGCATGCTTGGGTCTTCCGAGCTCCCGACTGGGCCGATGATGCAGCTCGTATGCGTGTCGCGAAGGACACAACGCTCCCCACCATGCTCAAGAATGAGTCGGCCCCAGCCTTGGAGGAGTTTGAGTTTCTGTAGTAGTTTGCTATCCTCAAGGTCATCCCGAGGCAGCCAGCACCCAAAAGTCGCCCAAATCGGGAAGCGTGACTGGATACCAAACTTGTCCAAATGGGGTAAGGCACGATATACAAAGCATCGACTACCCCCCCACATGGGAAAATTATATCGAAGGAGCGGGGCATCTAACTCCTCAAGCACTCACCTCATGTATCTATTGCGGCGCGATCGTTTACTGATTCGAACGAGGCGGAAAGGCACTCAATGAGGCGGAAAGTGCCGCGAGAAACTCAGTGAATGTACTTATTGCCAAAACATAGGAGCAAAGTTAGAGTCGGTGAAGCTCCAGTCACCTCGGTATGGGAAGGCAAGACGAGAAAGATGTGCCGTTATCCAACTCATGCAGGACAGCATTCGGTTCTCGGGCTCAGCACGCGACGTCATAGAGCATAAGGGATTTCCGACGGGGAGTTGGAGGTCTTCTAGTAGCGATGATGGTGATCCACGAACAAAGAGAATTAGGTGCCTCGGCGCTCGACCCTGATGGTGCTGATGGCGAGAGGGCCATGAGCGAGATCGGTATGCTTCCCTCGCGATTGCAATTCTGTGCACGATGAACGGCGAGTTGGGCGGACAAGGAAACGTGGCGTGTCTGGGGTACTCATGGTGGCCAACTGTGTGGCACGATCGGTCCTGGAGTCCTCGATTTGTAATTGGACGATCTCCGATTGCAGGTAGACGTATTCCTCAGAAGCTCTTGAGCGTTCGAACCATCACGACCTTTCGGCGACTGAATCTACAAAGGAACAGGACACGGCGTTGTCTTTGACCAAGCCAAACGTCTGTCCTCGTTGGAAAACATCTTGATTATCAGCTCCACAATGGAAAGGAGGCGCGGCCATTCGAAACGGCCAGCAACTAACGAAGGTAGGACAGATTCCGACTCATTGGATGCTACTCAGACATCCCTGGAAAATGTAATCCTGATCTTTTCTACCTTGTCTTACAGAACTTGAGTGCTGGTCTCACGCTGCAAAGTCACTGTCTGTGCTGTCCAATCTATGTATGGCCTCGTCTGCGCAGGATGCTGTTGGGAGGGTCAATCGACTTATCCTCGCATGGCCAAATGACGAGACGCTGCCTGCCGAAGGCATGGATAGCGTCAAGACAGTCTATAAGAAGCTGTCTTCTGGTCTTAGTGAAATCAAAACAAATTCAGAACGCGAAATCAAGTAGGTGTTCAAATCTACAGATGCCATTTGGAGGGTCGTTTGGAAGGTCTTGATACTTCTTAATAGGGCTATGGATGACGCTGTAGAGCAGATCGGCGTCTTGATTGCTCTGCGAAAGGCGTCAGAATCTACACCCCCAGGTGAAAACCTCTCTTGATTGAATCATCAATATCACGGCGCTCAAATATATTTTCTATTCAATGCTATAGAAAAGAGATACAAGCGCCCTCGCATCCATTCTCCGCCACCGACATCAACGCCACCAACACCAGCGATAGCATCAAGTACTCGTGGAGCGTCCATCCCTGTACAAACGCGAGGATCCGTGGGCCCTCAATCTACCATTCCCTTCTCTCGTGAGCCTAAAGCCCGGAGAGAAGCTTTGAATGCACAATTGCCATTGCAAGTTGGCAGGGTCGTCGCCTTCCACCCACCCGCAAAAAATGACGTCGCGAATGGTGACTCCGACGACACTACGTGGATCCTCGCGAGAGTCACGAGGTGCATCAATCAAGATAAGAATAGGTTTGCGCTATTGCCATCTTCGCGCTATAGCTTCAAATGCTGATGTTTGAAGCAGATACGAAGTTCAAGATATTGAGCCACAGGACGATGGACAACCCGGACAGTGCGTACATGAGAGCATGCTACACGTGGCACTGGAGTTTTGTTTGACCGTTTCTACAAGGTGCTACAACACAACTCTCCGAGCCATCATACCTCTCCCCGATCTCGAAGCTTCACCAAGTAATGCGGCACACCTCAATGCATATCGAGAATTCCCGGTCGGGTCAACGGTGATGGCCCTGTATCCGGACACAAGCTGTTTCTACAGGGCAGAAGTCATCGGGGCACGCGTGAGTCAATTATGTTTCATGCTTTCTCGTTCACTTCTCGTGGTTCACATATTCATGTTTGGCTCAGTTTCAGGCCAAAGGTGAAATCCCGGCATATAAACTCAAATTTGAAGACGACGATGACTTGGAACAGACAGTACATGCGCAGTATGTTGTTGAGTGGCCTGGAGCATGATCCTTTTTTGAATTTTGGTCCATGTTCGAGTTTTGTGGTTCTTGTTTTCCTGCTTTTGCTCTGCATCTATGGCATGATGGCGATACTTATTCTAGAACATGAGTTGAATATCGACAGTCGGTATCTTGGACAGTCTTGTATGATAAATGTAGAGTCTTGTCTTTTGTATGTTGGTCATCATCGTACTGTACGAGTTACTGTACGCTACGGAAGAGTTCCATCCTGGCGTGAGGTTCGAAGGTGGAGTGCTATTGGCTCGGAGCCTATTCAATTACAACGTGAATTGCCTTTCATGAATTCATCCCACGAAAGCACCGACGTCGTTCCATTCCATACTATCCACTCTGCGCAGTGTCACTCCTAGCCAGAGCCCGAAAATGCTCGAAGCTACCCCCGCGCCGTCCATCTTCACCCAAACGTCCCTATTTTCCCTTCTTGGCGTAGCCTCTCTCGGCCTGATTGCATACACGGCCTCGCGTACGTTTTTGCCCAAGACAATTCGATGGCAAGATCGGTTTGCATTCATCTGGCTTGTACGTGCTCTACATGCAATTGGCATGCGACGCCTCGCGACACGTTGTATATCGTCACGTTACAACACTAATGCAGAACCACAGATCTTTGATGCGCTCATTCACTTCATTTTCGAAGGAAGTTTCTTATGGCTTTCGATGTTCGGAAGGCAGGTGAACACCAGCACTGGGATGTTTGCTGAAATGTGTAAGTTCCTCGCAGTGTCTCCTTCCCATGCCTCTTCACCTCTCTATGACCCGTCCTTGATGCGGTACTGGTATAGGGAGAGAATATGCTGCGGCCGACTTCCGATGGGGTTTCTCGGACGAAACTGTGGTGTCCCTCGAGATTCTTACTGTCCTTGGTGCGGGCCCGCTTGCCTGTTATATTGTATACCAGATCGCCAGGCAAGACCCGGCCAGGCATTATTGGATAGTTGTGTTGAGTACCGCAGAGTTGTATGGCGGGTGAGTGTTCTCCGCCATGTTCTTGCGATGGGTCGCCTGATATCTTGAATGCTTACCTAGGTGGATGACGTTTTGCCCAGAATGGCTTACCGGCAGCCCGAACTTGGATACATCAAATCCTCTCTTCCTATGGGTATACCTTGTTGTATGTATCAAACTTGCGCATACTGCAACACTTTCATGCTTTGACTGATACCTTCTGTCCATCATAGTTTATGAACACGATGTCAGTTAAAATCTTGTTTGTTGTTTGTTACCCTCCTATTGACGCACTTCTTTTCTAGTTGGGTGGTCATCCCGTTCTGGTTGCTGCACGATTCGTATCGCCACATTGCTGACACGTTAAGATCGGCACAACCCAACTCTAAGAAGACTCTTTGAACCTGCAATAATATATCTTGATTTTGGACTACAGTCATATTCCTCAACCGAGTCTTTATCTCAGCGTGCACAGAAAGGCTGCTTTTACACCACAATCCAAGAGTTCGAACTGGCGGACGGTGGTCAGCGAGTCAAGCCTTTCCGAGCCGAGGATTTCGAATCTGAATTTCTGACGCTTATTGGACAATAGTGCCTACTGATAACCAGTTCTAATTCAGTCGAATTTAGCTCACACAATATTGTGGGTATCAAGAAAGCCGATGGGCATAGTGGCACAATGCAGTACAGTAAGTGCTATTGCGTATGCATGGGCGAGGGTAGTACTGAAAGTAAGCAAGCTGCACACAAAGTAGTGCGTCAAAGTCCGTGAGGAGTCACTAGTCAATGTCCGTCAGAGTGAAGGATTCAAGATTTGGAATCCTTTGCCCTCAACAGTTCGTCATATGGTATCGTCCCCTGAGCCCGCGCACTCAAGCTTTAAAGATGGTGAACTGGGGAGAAGTATTGCCAGAATCACCGAACACTGGTGCCAACATTAGCTGACGCTCTATGTACGACACCCAGATATGAACATCACTTACAAACTACAACATAGTCGGTCCGGGTGTCCACCACGGGGACCGTGAAGGTGACATTTCCTCCGCTGAGGGGGAAGTTCACAGCGAGAGGCGTGTCTGCAATACTCACAACTCAGTCACGGAAGAAGCGAATGATACAAAACACATACTGATGTCCAGATTTTCACTCCCGTTTTCCAAGTAACCGAGGAGGAGCATTCCAGGAGAATCCTGCTTCTCATCGGGGATATCGGAGGTATCCCATGTGACGGTTTGGTTTGAACCCGTCGTCCAAATCTGGCCTGCGGTGGGGGCTGTGACGTGGGGACTGTAGACGATGAGGGTTGCTGGACCCTTAGGACCAGAGGAAGCAAGGTTGGCGACCTTTACAATGGGAGTCGCGGTGACGGCCGAGGCGGTGAGGACGATGGCTGAAACGAAGGTGGTGAAGAACTTCATGGCTACGGTCGGATGATCTCGGGTGAAGTGAGGGTATCGAGGATGGCGGATGGGAGTGAGGAAGGAGGGGGAAAGAAGGAGGAGAATAAGAAAATGAACGGCGGACGTTCACACTTATATAGGTTGGCACGGAGAATGAATGGAGCAGGTTAGAAAGGGTGGCAACCGGGGACAATCAAGCATGACACGAACATGATATCAGAATGCTCGCCTATTCGGGGGACTGCGGTGACGCCATCCAAGGAGGATCACAATGTACGAACCCTCGAACCGCGATTCCACCAGATCCGCCAACGGTGGCCGTTTGTGAGCCTTTGAAGCACTTCCTGGTGTGCAAGGCTTCAGGCTTTCAGAGCCTCGCAACTGAGGCACCATGCGCTTCTGAGGTCTCTCTACAGCGTAGCCAAAATTGGCCCTTAGTCGCTTCAGCCACGCGAGAGTGGAGTTGGCGCCAATTAGAAGCACCCTGCTAGTCTGCGATCCGTCCTCCCATTTAGGCAAGTCTAGTGTTTGCGACGCTTAGCCGATATGATATTCTCTGCCAGCGGAGAATTGGGTTTAATTAATTTACGAGATGTTTAGAGCTGTAGATTCAGGCAGATCTATCCAATATTTTTGGAGTTGGCAGAGGTTGGCAGGTGGTACTGCATGGGCATGTATCCATGTCATCACTACCAAGTAGAAAATGTCTACTAAACTCAAGAATTGTCCTTAAAAGCTGCATGCATCAATGTACTAGCATGCAATGTATAGATAGATTTGATAAGTGTTTGGTTGAGAATATAAGACACCTGATCAAAGATGCCTATACAGTATAATACAGTGATCCAGTATCCATGCACAATGGAATACAACCACAACCAATATACATTATGTAAAAAAAAAGACCTTATTAAAAGTTCTTGAACTGAATTACATCTGGAAAACCACCCCCTTGTATTAGCTCTGGATTATATCTAATAGTGTCTAAAAGTATCTAAAAGTGTTAATAGCATCTAAAAGTGTTTAATTTCCTAATTAGGAGCAATATATTGTGAGCATTGGATTAGTTTCTAATTTCATGATATTAGCACTAATTTTATACCAAGAAGTCTTTAATTAGCAGTAGGAAATAGTAAGTACTACTGCTCTATCAGTGAGAAGGTAAAGATGTGGCACATTCTATACTGTTTCAGCACATTACTCTCTATTATATATACCTATGCCATTATCTTGTAGCTCTTTTGCTGACTTTCTAGTTGCCTTTACAAGGGACATAGAAAGAGAGAAATGTGCATTAATGCCCCCAGCCACTTTGTTGGCAGCTTGGCAGCTGCCACAAGAGGCTGTGAAGACCTTGGTACCTTAGCCTTGCATACAAAATTATTGAAGTTGTTATTGTCAGCCAATGCCTGCTACTGGTCATTACAAGACACAACATACAGGTTGGGCTTAGGGATGTGCTACATGCAGCCTTGTAGACCTTGTCTATTAGTGTAGTGGTCAATACTGTCTTATGTAGCACACAATTATCATTACCATTGATATTACAATTTTCAGCACCATCCACATTGTTTATTGCCTTATTATACAGAAGATGCTCAAACTTGGTATTTTTCTCTAGCTATTGGGCTATGGAAAAGACTGCCATGTAGGAAATATGTGCACCAAGCATATTAAGATTATCTCTAACAATCTTGTGCTTATATATACATAGGCATGCTATACATATACCCTTGTTCCCATCCTCTACCTCACTAGTGGCCATTTGGAAAAACCCTCTTTCTTATTGGATCTAAATTATTGATAATTATTGATAATCATGTTTTTGATCAAATTTGCAAATTAAGGTAGCATTGTCTATACTAGTAGAGTCCCATTGAATATTACACTTAATCATAGTTTTACACATTCTAAATCCAAATTGTGTACGTGCCATAATTTGTTTTTACCCTATATAAAGTGTATTATTTAATTTCCATTGGTTTATTATCTTCTTAGCTAGTGTTTAAACTAAATCCTAAAAGGCCTGACTTTTTGGGTATTTATTGACTCATCTATTTATTAGATAGAGGAAAGATAGATGTTGAATAAAATCAGAGATGTTGAGATTGCCTATATTATGTCTACTTATTTAGATTACTAAGCTAATATATTAGACCTTGTGGCTTAGTGGCTTAGAGCATTTGTTCTAGGTGCTTGTATATATGAGGTTGTTGGTTCAACTTTGGCAAAAGACAAGTTTGTTATAAGGTATATTCTGTGTTTAGGTATTCAACTAGTGCTCTAGTAAAAATGACTCTATGAGAAGTTTATGAGAACTATGATGCTTGATTTATTACTTTTTTTCCGAAATCTCAAGTTATAATCAATCCTAATAATTCCTAATTTAGGAAAATTATATCTAATTAGAACAGGTTTGGGGGGGGGGGGGGGGTAAGCAAATAATCTCTAATCCTAATCATTCTTCATTATGCATAAATAGAACTAAGTAGAGTGTAATATAAGAGAGTGATTTTCCAGATGCTATAGAACAGAAATTTCTTTGGCACATTATTTAATCATGAAGGTAGGGCTTGTATTTCCCAAGTTGCCCAATACTAAGGTCAAAATGCCATCAAAAGAGTTTTATGCAAGAAAAAAAATCACTTACAAACTACAATATAATTGCTAGCTAGGAGAATGTTAGGGACAATAATCTTGGCACTGCTGTCCCTTAGATCAAATCCTTGAGCAAGAGAGTGTTCTATGATTGGAATGTAAGATGATAAGCTTAGACCAGCATATACAAAGTATATAACTTGCTAATGTCCAAATTTTTGCTGTTGTAAGATAGGTGTCTAAGATATATTATTCCTCCATAGTTAGTAACCTGCTTAAGAGGGTTAGAAGTGTCTCTATGAGTGGATCACATCACCAATGTATGAGATGAACTAAACCAGATGCACATACGATTTGATAGTGTAGTTGGAGCCACTGACTAAGACATCACTAGCTATAAGGCTGATAAGCTTTGGAGCTTAGACATCCTGCTTGGAGTTTAAACTAGATATGGTAAAGGTGGTAGGGCACAAGAAGAGAATAATGCTAGTAGTGACCATGGAGCTCAATGGCAGGATAAAAGATGAGAACATCATGATCTGAGTCCAGTGAGATATAGGGAAAGACAGAAGATTTGAGACCAATGGAGGTAAGTCATTGAGCAAGAAAAGAAGCTCCAAGTCTGTGACAACAAAGTGAGATGGATGAAGGGGACAAAGGTTTCCAATCTAGAGAGAAAAGCTTTTATAGCTAGGAGTGCAATTCAGACTGCTAGGTGAACATCTCAGTAGTGACACTATTCTACCCTACAGTGTAATCATGACCAAACCCTAACAGGTTTCATATAGATCCAGACTACAGCGTACAGCTGTATCCACTCAAAAAAAACCACATTCTCTTTAATCAGATCTTATTGCAAGATAAGCAAGAATGAACTGGCTAAGACTCAGAGAAAGTGATTAGACATAGCAGGCAAGATGGAATGGCGGTAGCATGGTGAGACAGCCACTTTAAGGTCAGCAGCAGAAGCAGGGACTAATGAACAGGCCTGATAGTTTAAAATTGAGATACTCAGAACTTACTGAGATTGTGGAGGAGTGGGCATTTCTGCTACTCACTTATTGGTCTAGAATTAAGGCCTTGAGGTTGATTGCATGTGTTTATATTTGGCTTGTTCTAGTCCTATAGAATTGAGTTGATCGCAACCCAAATGGGGAAAAGAAGGGTGAGTGACTTGAGCAAGGCATATAAATAATATGCATCAAGCCACACATTGTTCTTATTCTTGGACACAACACAAATGAAACTGTATCATGGGTTCCAAACTTCTACATTTCAAAGTTGTTAATGACAACCTTCTGTTGTCAGGCACTTTCTCTACTATTCTAAGGGTGTGGTGGAACTTAGAGGGTTAGAGATGAAACTAGCTTGAAGCTGGGGATATCATCTAGAAAAACACCCCCTTGTATTAGCTCCAGATTATATCTAATAGTGTCTAAAAATATCTAAAAGTGTTAATAACATCTAAAAGTGTCTAATTTCCTAATTAGGAGCAACACATTGTGAGCATTGGATTGGTTTCTAATTTTATGATATTAGCACTAATTCTATACTAAGAAGTCTTTAATTATAAGTAGGAAATAGTAAGTACTACTATCAGTGAGAAGATAAAGATGTGGCACATTCTATACTATTTTAGCACATTACTCTCCTTCATATATGCCTATACCATTATCTTGTAGCTCTTTTGCTGACTTTCCAGCTGCTTTTATAAAGGATATAGAAAGAGAGAAATGTGCATTGATGCCCCCAGCCACTTTGTTAGCAGCTTGGCAGCTGCCACAAGAGGCTATGAAGACCTTAGTACCTTGTCCTTGCACATAAGATCATGAAAGTTGTCATTGTTAGCCAATGCCTGCTACTAGTCATTATAGGACACAATATGTGGGTTGGGCTTAGGGATATGCTATATGCAGCCTTATAGACCTTGTCTATTAGTATAGTGGCTAATACTGTCTTGTGCAGCACACAATCATCATCACTATTGATATTACAATTTTTAGCACTATTTATATTGTTTATTGCCTTGTTATACAGAAGATGCTCAAACTTGGTGTTTTCCTCTAGCTATTGGGCTGTGGAAAAGACAGTCATATTGGTATGTGGTGCCAGAATGATATATTTGCCTGCCATATAGGAGATATGTGCATTAAGCATATTAAGATCACCTCCAACAATCTTGTGCTTATTTATATATAGGCATGCCATACATATACTCTTGTCCCTACCCTCTACCTCACTAGTGGCTATTTGGAAAACCCCTCTCTCTTATTAGATCTTGATTATTCATAATCATGTTTTTGATCAAATTTGCAAATTCAGGTAGCATTGTCTATAATAGTAGAGTCCCATTGAATATTACACTCAATCATAGTTTTACACATTCTCAGTCCAAATTGTATAAGTGCCATAATTTGTTTTTATCCTATATAAAGTGTATTATTGATTTTCCATTGGTTTATTATCTTCTTAG